CTGCACACACAGCCGTGGTGCTTGAAGGAATTTCGAAAACCACACTCTTCGAGAAGGCATTTCAGGGTTTCGTTTGAGCAAGATTACAAAGGTGGCAGGTCCTATGTTCAGAGGTGTGCTGCCCCAACCCTGGACTGCAAAAGCCTCTTCATAGCGTGCGATACCTACAGGGCCGGTCAAGAGACTCTTTCACAAGAATACCATCAATAATCAATATTGAAAGAGTCTAAATATTGACGCTGAGTGCGTGCTGCACGGACAGCACGTCCTCAACCCTGGCGATCTCAGATGGCTGCTCGATGTAAAGAGATGTGCCCATCAAGGAGGGGCACCCACGCTGTGCAGCAAATTGACACCCCAATTCTGTCGCTTGTGGCACATTTGATTGATACACATCGCGTGCGTGTACCATAGCGTGGGTGCCGGCAAGATAAGGGCATCACCTTTGCGCCATCTGATGTGACATGCCGTGTGTCTTTATGCAGCGACCAAGAAGTGCGATGATGCTGAGAAGAATCTTGTAGCAATTCTTCCACGTTCAACATTCTATGTGAGTGGATTTCGACACCGACATCGTAGAGAAACAGCAAGAACGAGCCAGGCTGCTCAATGACAGATGGGGTTAATAATATTATAAGATAGGCTCAGGGGATTTATTTTCTTGCCCTCCACCGCCACTACCTTGTGGCGGTCAGCAGCAGTGCTCTGTCTTCAAGCAGAAGTGCTCCATCCCACTGGCCACTTCAGATTCGAAGGTTGAGCATGTGAGGCAACCGGGAGCAAAATTACCTTACAGATTGTTACATGCATGATATCTGGTTACCGTCATGATTGTTGCGCACATGTGCAGAGAGGGACAAGTGAGTGACTAATATTAGTTGCGTAGAGCGCATGGATGTGCAACGCCTTGTAGTGAGGCAGACTTGGTCACAACCTACTACAGTCCTCATTGCAATATCAAATTTAGGACATAAAAAAAATTGATGCTACATTTGCGTCATGCTCACACGCCAATTCTGACTAAGCTTGAAACTGACTTAGCTTGAAAGTGCAAAGATCACATTGCAAGTCACTCTCCAGCCGCCGGTGGGCGCCTCAGAAAGCGAAGGCACCTCTCGGGAACTGCCACCATCTGATTGCCCCCAATTGCTTCCAAGGGTGTTCTGCCTGCTCTGACTTCATCTGTGTCGCTCAACCATGCCTTCTGGTGTCCAGCCCCAGTTGCGTCTGTGATGGTGAGCCCGCAAATAACACCAAACCCCTCAAGCTCAGCACCGTGGAACCGTGTGCCAGGCCCAATATGCACCACCTCTGCCGTCCCCACTATCCTCCTGTCATCTGTTAGGACATAGACTGTGTCATCTGGCAGAATCTGCACGTCACTGTGCGCGCTCGAATGGCCTCTGGCTTGCGGCGAGGGGTTCAGCTGACATGCCAGCCCTGCGATGACACCCATTGCAGCTTCCATGTTGATCCCAGGGGAGGAAACTTCCAGGGACGGTCGACCTGCGCGCACCAACACACAGCTGCTTACAATCCGCGATTATTACCGCATTCAAGCAATATCTTCCCTAGTGTCTTGCTAGGATGTCAAGCTCAAATTTATTCCTGTTGTTAGTATTACCCAGATGACCCTTAGGTGCGGCACTCTACCACATCATATGTAGCAGGGTGCGTGAGTGACAGGCATGACTCAGGCAAAGGGGCAAGCACAGCATGTGGAGCAGGGTGCGTGAAAGACAGGCATGGCTCAGGCAAAGGGGCAAGCAGACACTTCAGCATTGAGAGACAAGACATGAACAAATCAACTACACCAGCGTATGAGAGCAGTCAGTTGACAAGTTCACAGGAATGACAGAGCAGGATTTTGTACATGCCTGCTGGGCCATCTGCAGAGCGGTAGGAGGAAGCTGGCTCCTCATCGGCAGCGAGCTCCAGAGCAGGATCAAAGAAGACCATGGCGCCAGACAGCGGTGACTGCTCCAAGGCTGACTGCGACTGCTCCGCTGCCGTAGCACTCCCACCTAGACAACACATGCCTGTCGTCAGCTTATTGCTGACAATTACCTGTCGATAAACCTTCGGGGTATGATTCGCATGGCATTATAACTTAGAAACTCACTGTGAGTGGAATCATATAAGCCAGGACAAAGAGAGCCATGATGGCTCCTCACCTTCTCCGGCGCGCGCCGCATTCTGCTCCTCAGCCAGCAACATTGCCAGCGCCACACCAGTTGCAGCCTCTTCGACGTTCATGGGCGAGCTCCCGGCAGCGCCTCCGAGAGCCACCTTCAGCCGTTTTGGATGACAGAGGGCCGCTGCAATGTGCCGGTAGTCGATCACCAGCACAGCCATTTTGGCCGGCGATGCGGCATGCCCCTGCATGCTCAGCCGCACGTTGGGGACTGGCACAGGCTGCGGCGACTCATCTGCCAGCAAGCAGCCGTGCAACGGCGACTGGCTCGCACAAGCTGTGGGCTGCGGCGGCACTTCGCTGGCCTCAGGCAGGACACCCTCTGCCTGCCCTTCTGGCTCTGCTGGGTCACTGTGCTGCTGCGCTGGCTGGTCATCCGCATCTGACTCAGAGAAGAGGTTCCCAACCTCGTCTTCGTCGCCCTCAGTGGGGGGACCCCAAAACTCTGCGGCTCTGGCGGTTGGGCGCCTGAGCCTGCCTCGGCTGCCCCTTCTGGGCCGATTGCTGCCACGCGCCCCGCCTGTGCCGCGGCGGCCACGCTTCCTGCCCCGACCCCGCCCATGCCCTTCCTGCACGCCCCCACCGGTGGCTGCCTCTCCTGCACCCCGTCCCTCCACATCTGCGCGTGCCCCACCGCCTTCCCCTGCCACCGCTGCCTCGGGCTCCCCCTGGCTATCTGTCTGCACGCGCGCCTCGAGGAACCATATCTCCATATGCAGCTGGGTGCCATCGCTGCCTGGCTGCACAGCGCGCACCAAACCAACAGGAGCCTTGGCAGCACGACCCAACTGGGACAAGTTGCGTGCTGGGAACTCCCCGTCGCGGTGCAGCGTGCTTGTGACGGCCCAGAGAGCGACACCAATCGAGGGAGTGCTCTCCCCCAACTGCGGCAGGTAGTGGCACTTGTCGAAGGTCCAGAGCAACTCGTCAATCTGCTTGAGTTTGACCACGGGCAGGCCGCTGCTCACTCCTGCAAACATGTGAGCGCCTCAATTGACTGGCTATCATTCCCTTCCATCAAATCTGCAGAAGTTAAAGCCTTCTCGGGTGTGCAACAGTCACCAGGTGATCAGAGCTTCCAGCTGAGAGCGCCCACTCACCCTTGTTAACAATGGACTTGGCCGCTTCCATCTGAAGCTGTGACTTCTTCGGCGCCTGTAACAACAATAACTTACAATCAGTGTGTTCAGCCAAACTCGCTTTCACTGCACCAGCAGCTTGACAGATGAGAGGCGTTCACAAAGCACATGCAAACATAAGGATCCTCAACAAGATGCCCACCTTCTGCCTTGCTGGTCTTTGCCGTGCCGGTTGGGCTGCGGCCTCAACAGCGGCTGTGATCTCTTCAACCGCCGCCGCACTCGGCTCCAGTCCACCTGCATGACAGCATCCATTAGCTGCCAGCGCATAAGATGTCCAGAGGAAATGGTGAGGACATGTTATTAATTTGCCAGGCATAAGATGTGTAGGCGCTGATCGTTACAGCCATCATGGATAGCTACCTTCTGGATGCTCAAATCTAAGCAGCCCTTCCACCCTGGCGAGCAGCGCGCTTCTGGTGAAGATCACTGGCCGCTGGCCTCTGTCAAGCAGGAACCGCTTCAGCTCTGCAACGGTGGATGAGGCCTTGAGGCTGAACGCAAGCCACCGTTGGACGATGTCCTGCTCGGCTCCCTGAGCGCTGAGCTGCCTGCGGCTGATCCCTGGCTGTGGCGCTTGCGAAGGTCCTGCAGCTTCTGCCTCTGGGGCTGCGGGACCCTGCATGCCGCCTGCTGCAGCTGTGGCGCCCCTCTGCGCCTGTCCTTGGGCTGTCTGGCCTGCCTGAAGTCCACTGGCCTGGAGATACGAGGCTGCCATCACTGTCCTGTTCAGGTTGGGCACTGCTGCCAGCAATCTGCTGGCGCTCTTGCTGAAGCTGACTTTCTGATTGAGGTGTCTCGTTGCAAAGATGGCGGTCGAAGTCGTCCCATTGTCTTCGAGGCGAGCCTGCTGACCACCAATGATGCCTCGAATCTTGCTTGATCGCCTATCGGCTCTCTTCCTCTCCAAGTCGCCGGTCTCTGCCTCTGAACGCAACGCAAAAGTCAGAGTTAGTTACTCTGTGTCAAGGTCATGGGGAGATTCAAAACATAGGTGTTCCCAACCTTCAAAGATGGAGTGCTTATTGAGACCTACCAATCACTCCTTGATGCATGATAAAATTCAACTTATCCTCATTGAGATCCTTGCCCCTGGTTTGGGCTGCAATGACGCAGTCCTCACAGCATTTGTGGGTAATATTTCTGAGCTCTGGATACTTTTCGCTCTCAATCTTCCCGCGAATAGAATAGTAGCCATTAGCTCTGGACAATGCTGAAGGTTCATCTCGGCCAAGGCAGCTCTGATGGAAATATCTGACCCCTGAGTCCACGGCATTGCAACGTTGCAATGGCACCCTTGCCTCTTGTTTGAAGACCCAGTCGGCAACAGCGTCGTGGCCGTATTCGTCCTTTGTCAGACCTTCTGAATAGAATCTGATAATATAATCACAACCTACACAGCGAGTCAAGCGTTCTGAACTTGCGCAGTTCGGATGAAGCTTCTCCTTGTCACTGCCACACTTGTAACACGGGATCCTAGCAATAATAAGTGACATGCTCGGTACAGAAACACATCACTGATCATTCTCCATGCTTACTGACGAAAGGCCTAATTTTTATTACCAAAATGGCATGCTATGGAATGTGTTACCAGGTGGCATGGCCCCTGATTGCCAATAATCCACCACATTAGTAGCGTTTACATCCACTAAAGTAGTGGATTTTGATTACTCGGGTGCCCTGTCACAGCACCTGGTCAGGTCGTACACCCTGGACGTGCCACGAGTCCGCTCCACAGCTATCACATGGTAGTCCCACACAACCGCGCCACCCGTGTTCTCCTCTACCGTTTGTCGAAGGATGGGTACCTGACACCAGCCGAGAGCCTGTTGAGATCTACCTGCCGCTCTCATGAACTTTTTTCAGTAAGGCGGGTTTTCCGCGTCTTTCTGCCACCTCCCACGCTTGAAGAGTTGGGAGCAGCCATGCTGTGCTTCGACGGCCTGCTATAATACATTTATCGTTTTCAAGCCGACTCTTCCGGACAAATCGATGGGCGTAAAGTAACCCGCCTTTCCCCGTGAAAGTTCTGTTCTTTCGACTTGTGGGGTGCAATCATGACGAAGGATGCAATTACGGCTGAAGGAGATCACCAGCTTTTCCCTGTTCGAGATGAAGACAGCGAACAGCTCTCCATCATAGTCTTGTTGCCCAGTGAGTTGCTGGCACAGCTTGTAGATGTTCTCCTCGCAAAAGTAGGGCGTGTACATGTATTGTAGCTGCGACATACTCCTTCAACTCATCCAGTCCTTCACGAGCAACGTCCTCTAAATCACCGCTGAACCACTCCTATGCTGATGGTGGTGCTGGGCCAAAGTGCCAACCTGCACCATGAACGGATTGCACTGCATCCAGCCTTCTGGCTTGGATCCGAAGTCGTGACCGAGGGAGGAGCGGCTGTTCCTCATGTGACCATGAGTCAGGCAGACACAAGCTCTGACTTGCCATGATGACCTCACGTGGCCACGTTGCGCAGATCACTCAATTTTTGGGGTAATTACTATAATAACTGCTTAGTATAGTATAGTAATTACCCCTTCTCAACTTAGCCCGACGAAGAATTGCAAGGTCAAATCTCCCAGCTTGTTCATTGCTGTCTGCAAATTCCTGATCTGAAAACATATTATGATATCTATAACCACTACCTAGCAACGTTTGCTTCGACAACCCAGCCAGGTTGTTCAGGCTGAGTGAGGATGTGTGAGCAAGATGCCGGCAGAGAACATCTGGATCAATCAAGGCAGACAAAGGAAAGCAGCATAAGTATTATACCTGATGCAAAGGATGCAAAGGGAGAGCTTCTATTCAGGCCCCCTGGCGGCCCTTGCGGGTGCTGGCCTCCATCGCCTTGGGCGCACTGTGAGATGCTTTTTACATGTCTTCTCACATTCTGTCGTCTTTTGACATTGATGCTTCTTCATGGACCCTGTCACCAACATCTGATGCTCTCAGCACTTCTCAGATCACAGAAACCAGGCGTGTTCCGCTCAGTTGGTGTTGCACTAGCTGACCTCAATGCTGAATCTGGTGTTTCGTGCGTACAGACGTCCTTGAGGATCCGTATGAACGCGTCAACGTGTGGAGTCATGGACTTCCAGGCCTTCTTTTCCTTCTGCTAGGGTAGGGTCTCACACCTTTTCTAGCAGCATTGCCTTGCGCAGCAGCAGGCGTGACCTGCTTCTAGTAGTTGGTACAGTATAGTCTAGCATGTGCTTTGCATCTTTCACAGCTGCAGGCAAGTTAGATTAATGCATGCAAGGCAGCTCACCAGCTTGTGCTGTTGCAGGATTGCTTCGTACAGCGGCTTGTATGACGATGCTGGGCGGCAGTGGGTGCACAATCCCCTGGGCATCTTTTGCTTCTGTGCTGCCACCACCCATCTGGGCTCCATGATGACCCACATCTACCCAGACTCATTCGCCCTGGTAGGACTCCTCAGCACATAACGGCAGCTAGGCACTCTCGATCTGGCATGCCGCATGAGATGTCATCTGCAGGATGACTTGAAGCTGTGATGATACTCTGCTTTCTTGAGATTACATCACAATTTTTGGCTCTCATGTTGGGGAGCGTGCGATTCTGACTGATCCAACTGCGGCTGGCTGCCCAGGAGAAGCTGGATCACTTGGGGATTGTGGCGCTCATCATTGGCACGCCGCTCACAGCTCTGATGGCACACGAGCACGGCGAGGTGCCCCTAGATGTCAAGGTAAGCAGAGCTGCTTGTATAGGACAGAATCTTTAGAATGGATAGGTTATTGAGCCTCTCCACTCACCTCATACAGTACTCGCAATGGCCTTTCATTGGCACGTTGAGACAGCAGCAGCATTGGTGGAGAGGCCAAGACCAGCACCTTTTGCAGGAGCCAACACTTTCATCATAAAGTGGCCACAGACCTGCTGCTGTACCCTGCCTCAGTTCGCAGGGATTGCATGCCACAAGGCATGTATTAATAGGCAACGCTTATAAATTTCTGTGCGGTGCTGACGTCCGCATGCGGCAGGTGATCTTTGCGGCGATGCTGGCATCGGCATTGCTGGCGCCGGCGGCACGCGTGGCCGGTTTCACAGCAGGGACGGTGGCGGCCGTGGCTCTGCACTGGCACCAGGTGCTGAATTGGAATCTGGGCGTCCAGCTGGCGCTCTACGGCGCCGCTGCAGTATTCTTTCTCAGGTGCTGATTTGACCTCTCACAAGATTCGGCCTCATTGATCCCTCCAATGTTTTCTTTCGGTCCTGACTCGGGAATGGCCTGCCGTGCACTCAATGCATTTTGTGGCACTGTAAACGAGTATCCCTTGGCAGGATTTTCTACCGGGGGTTGTAGTCCTGCTGGGCGCAGGGCAGCAAGCATTGTTGCATGGTGACTGTTGGTCAGCCTGTTTGGAACGGCCTCTTATATAGTAACATGATAGACAACCGGTGCTTCGGATTTCATGTTGTGTGTGCCAGCGCTGTCTGTGGAGGTAATTGTCGCCGCTGCAGGAGCAATGGGGTGCAGCTGCAGCAAGGCTGGGTGCATGTTCAAAGATTTTTTCCACGTTGAAGAGGGCAACGAAGCAGGCTCCATGCAGGGAAGAGGAATTCCCATACGAGGACACATCATCTGAGGCATTGTCTCCCTGCAGGTCCAAGCTGCTGGAGCCGAAGCTGAAGCGGTGGCAGGGCTTCTATGATCACCACCTCCTGCACTATGTTGTCACCGTGGCCTCCACTCTGCACCTCTTCTATATCATGGCAGCGACAAATGAGGGCGCTGGACACTTCACTTGATCACACCATAGCACCTATTCTTTTTCTGCGCCTGCATCAGCCTCTCTGCCATGGCATTACACATGTAAGAACTTGTATCTGTGTTCCAAATGACTTGTGATGATTAAGTGTTGCTTGCATGCTCTGCACATGCAGAGCTGGCTGCCGGGACTGGCTCTTAGTACTGCCTGCTTCTCGTGCAAGCATTGTTTATGAAGTGGCGAAAGCATGCCTTATTTGTTTGTGTAGCATAGGTAGTTGCGGTGCCCATTTTCCTTGTTTGCACGTGTTTGATGTGCTGTTGTCGCCTGTACTTGCCTCGTAATTGTTGGAATCAGCCGTAGAGTACTTGATGATGACTGGGCGATCGAAGTTGGATCTTTACAGTCCCACAGTGCAAAGCGTGCCCCTCAAGTGCATCTTGCAGATTAAAACGCAGACAGTCCTCTGTCAGCTTTTGAAGCAGGCAAAGAAAGCCTGCTTGTGAATATTAATGATATATCATGTTATATATATAAAGATCTCAAGCATATGTATATACAATATATGCAACATTGAATTTGTCTGTCTGAGACTGTGATCCAGGTGCACTTGTACAGCCTGCTGGACCATCCCTAAATTTGCCCATGTCATGTCAAAGGGTGATGATAAGAACGTCACTGTTGCCATCATGAAGCCGATCAGAAATTTGCAGGTGTTTTCATGATCACCCAGCTCGGCACAGTGCACAACAACAATGAAGTGGTGCTGCAGCAGTGCGATATGTTTCAAAGGGTCTGCTTTGGAAATTTCATGATGGATCATTCATTTGTACTAGATTCATCTTTAATTCCTTTACATGGTGTTCCTCCTGACAAATCTGCAGACTACATTTTGGAGGTTCCATGTATCATCAGATTTGTAAAAGGGCGGCCAAAACGACAGCAGCATATGTGCGCAAAACCTGGGCAAATCTGAATCGCATCGGCCGAATTTGAAACAGACTACAAAATCAACTGATCAATGCCATAAGTTCCTTCTTCATCAGTTTCCAGAGTACCAATCTTTTGTGCGTTTACGCCCTCTACCAATCACAGAGACTCTGACCTTCTGCTGAAGAGACCTACCAATTTACGTGACCCAAATTCATCTTGCAACGTAGGACTGAATTACCACCACAATTGCTGCACCATATCGCGGATCTGGGAGCGGCAAAGGTGGTTCAAAATACCAAGAGACAAGAGAGCAACACTAGATGCGTGTGCGCCTTAGAAACTTCTGTATGGCAGCACATGGGACGCCTTGGCAACGGGTCTCCTGCAGATGACTGCCTCTGAAACTGGCGGTGGTTCGATTGCTGGCAAAAGCATGGCTCCTTCCGAGCCCTGAGGCCTTTTCGGCGCCCCGCTCAACAGCCCGATAGTGACACATTTGCATGGACCCCTGGTGTGACTCCAGCAAGTGCTATCCCCTGGTGTGACTCCAGAGAGTGCTGTCCCCTTCTAGACCTCACTCAGCTGTGTGCGATGCAGCAAACCCCATCATTTGACGGGAGCATGCGCCTCACCGGCCGCTGCAGAGCATCCATGTACCGGCGGAAACACTGTACGCAAGCCTGACGGCCAAATCCAATCAACGTACCCAATATGTGCAGAACCTGAACTCAACATGCAAACCAGGGCCCCTGCAACCCTGCAACCTAGGCGCTCAGAACCTCTGACTCACGCCCACCACTTTCACTGACCAACTTTCCCTCGGCAGCAGTACACGCGCTGACACTTCAAGCAGAGGCTGCCGGGCTGTGCTCTCCAATTCAAATTTGAATTCGAATCAGAGGAAGGCGGCGCGCTGAAACTTGGAGCAGAGGCGTCAGGGCTGCGCTCTCAAATTCAAATTCGAATTCGAATCAGAGGACGGCGGCGCGGAGCCGGGCGCTGGAGCGTGTGGGGCTGGGGGACTGCGGCGCCTGTTTTGGCGCGGGCTCCTCGCTGTGCTCCTTGTGGTGCGCGTGGCCGTTGGCGTGGCTGTCTGTGACCTGCCCGTACTTTGCGCTGTACTTGCTGCTGGGAGAGGCGTTTGCCTGCGACAGCGCAATTCCTACTTCTCAGCACCCGGCATACATCATCACAAGCTGTCATGTCGATCCCCGCCCTAGCATCTTGCACATTGTACTGACAGTGTGTGACATATGACCTCGCCCCCTTGCCAAGCTTGCATAACACCCCAACAGATTTCACGTGTACAGACTCCAGTTTTTTGCTGCAGCGTTGACGTGACCAGGAACTGAGGGCTCTCCTCCTTTGCACACATCCCTTCCCCTGCTCCTCCTATCATGCCTGCCTCATCAGCAAGGGGAAAAAACAAGGACAGCAAGCAGGCGGGTTGCAGGGGGTGCTCACCTGGACATACTGCCAGGCCTTTTCGAGGTTGCCGTTCTTCAGGTGCGCCCAGGCTGCGTGGCGCGTGTCGTGGATGTGGCGCGTCGCCTTCCACACAGCGCTGTTGCACTTGAAGCCCGACCCAAAACCGACCTGAGCGAAAAATGAATCCCCGTTCAGAGACGGAACACACTCATGCACGGAACACGCACTGCACGCCAAGTCCAGCGACCCTTTATGCATCACAGAGGGCAGCGACTGCAGCAGATTGTGCTCGTGTACAGGTGCAGGCAGGATGCATGCACCTCGTGCTTGCACGCACTTTCGGAGCAGACAATCAACGGAAATTTGCGTGGAAAATTAGCTGGCAAACTATGTGACATGCACGTGCCGTGGTCTTGGTGAGCAAGAATAGGGGTGTGTTGGTAGGGAGAAAAGCAGGGAGTCACCTGCCAGACGACCTCGCCCTTTTTCACGGACTGCGCGGCCTCGATGTAGGACAGCGCGTACCAGAGCGAGCCGGAAGATGTGTTCCCGTACCTGCACACATGCCCATGCAATCAGCCACTGACGCCAGCTGCGTGGTGACAGATTACCTAATCCCTCCAAACGGCAGGCACGAACAGACATGCGCGTCTTACTCATACAAAGATTGACCCACTGGACAGAAGCGACACATCACACCAGCCACTCCTGTCCTTGCTTTGTGCAGCAAAGGTGGCAAGGGCGAACGGGAAGCAGCGCACCAGTAGAGGGAGTTGAAGGAGGGCTCCACTTGCTTCCTGCTCAGACCCAGCTGGCCGCCCAGCCCCTCAATCACTCCCCTGCCGCCTGCACACGCAACAACCACACACGTCAGTCAGTTGTTGGATACATGCAAACCGTGCATGCAGGCAGCTGAAAAAGTGCTGCCCCAGTAGCTTCCCTTCACTATTGCCTGCCTTTTCATGCATAGCTTACTAAGATGTCGAGTCTTGCATAGCAACACCAACTCTGGAGCCAATTGTGCCCACGCATTGGCGGCTGAGTGATGCATGGCAGGTGCATGTCTCCCCACACAGATCTTTCTATATAATCTTGTAGCGCTCAGGCTTCCTCATCAATGCTGGTTGTCAATCTGACTGGCCAGCATTGGGCTCGATGACTATAACATACGGTGACAATTGTATGATGCGGAGGGAATTTGCGCGCACCGGCATGGAGGCAGAAGTGGTTAAAGGCCTTGGTGAAGTTGGGGACGTAGGGCTTGAGGTGGCGGCGGCCCAGCAGCTTGCGCGCGGCAAAATTGGCTGCGAAGCGCAGCTGCTCGGTGACCGGCAGCACGAGCGGCCCCATGCGCGTCATGTTCTTCTCCAGCGCCTTGCCGGCCACCTTGACCAGGTCGCGGTTCAGCTCCACCCCCACCGCACCCTTCTCATCCTCCCGCTGGTACACGCACCTGCGCGCATGTGCCAACAGCCCTTGTCAGTCCGGATTCAGGGTTTTCAGCTTTTTTTCATTAACTTCCTACCCCACCTTAAAACCTTGAATACAAGCCGCTGCTCCTGTTCCTTGTCATCCTATGGGGGCTGATTGTTGGCGGTTCAGGTCAGCAGACAGGCAGCTGGGAAAGACCAGGCAGAGCTCGCTGATTTTGCGCACACTGGTAAACCAGCACAGTGCGCTGGTGTGTGGCCATTATGATTGGGCGGCTGTAAGCTACTAACCCACATCCTGCATCCTCTGCGCACTGCCACATCGTTGAGCTCAAAATAGATCAACCACCCATGAAATAGAGGAACAAGCCTTGCAGCAGCTTCTCTGTTCAAGACCGCGGTGGGGCTGCACGCTACAGAGCCAGAAGTGGGACAGCAAGCTTGCATGCACTAAGGGGAACATCCAGAGGCTCTCATTCGCTGGAGGAAATGCAGAAATGACAAGATATTTATCAACATAGAGGGAGGGAACGCACTCGTAGGCGGTGTCGTCGGCGCCTAGGTGGACGCGCACGACGTGCTGCAGCTCGTACTTTGCGCGCCAGCGCTCGGACAGGCGGTTAGTCAGCACCATCGCGGCGCCGCCCATGCGGAAGAGCGTGTTGGGGATCAGCATCGACCGGTCGTCGCCCAGGTACCAGTTCTGCGCAACGCATGTCACACCATCAGCTATCTCTCCCCTAGGTGATGATAACACTTTCTGAGAGCCAACCCACACAACTGTATGAATCTGCGCAATGCTCACAACTCAGACCCAAAGCCACTCCCCACATGGCAACACATCTTATTGTATATCAGATGCATGTCCTGTGGGATGTCCCTATGGATCGAGTTTCACACCTCTGCCTCTGTCTGTCCACCCGACCTTTTCCGCCCTAGTGCTGAACACCCTGAGACTTTGAATGCTGCATCGCTGCAGCATAAACAAGCAGGAGAGGGCAGCAGGCGTCACCTGGGTGATGTTCTCGGTGGACACCACGAGTGCGTATTTCCCCGGCTCGGTGCGCAGCAGCCGCTCGGCCAGGCCGATGGCGATGACGCCCGCAGAGCAGCCCATGCCGGCCAGGTTGTAGGAGATCACGTCGCCGCGCATCTTGAAGTGGTTGACCACCATCGCGGACAGCGAGGGGGTCGGGTTGAACAGCGAGCAGTTGACCACCAGAATGTCGATGTCACGCGGCGTCAGGCCTGCGAACGCAATGATCCGATTGTGAAGGGGTTTCTTATGACCATGAGAATGAAAGGTCCTGCAGCCCATGAATTGTGGCCGGAAAGCATAGGTGCATGGTATGCTGCTTCGTGCATGGCTGTCACTCAGTGCCGGTGCATGTGGAAGATGAAGTAGGGCGGCCGTTCTGCGCACAAGGTGAACAGCTTTTGGGCCACTATGCTGCATTCCAGATAAAGGCACCCTGCCCACATGCATCTCTATGCACTGACAGGAATGGTCCACCCAGCTATCACAGCTCCCGTCTCCCCATCCCAAGCCCGGGTGGAGACTTCACCAGTGAGCTGAATCTCCACCGCCACAGCAGCACGGAACTTGCTCACAAACCCCTCTACTCAGCCGCGTCAAAGGCCGTCAAGACATCCGCGAAGCAGGCATGACCCAGCAACCGCGAGGGCAGAAGATAACAGCGGTCGGCTCACCGGTGCGGTCGAAGACCTCCTGGACGGCGCCGAAGAGGACCATTCGCGCCTCCTCGCGCGCATTCTCCATGTTGACCACGGGGGGGTCCATGTGCAGCGCGGGGGGGAGGTACGTCTCCTCACCCAGACCGTTGCGCTGGCTGATGCGCCTCTGGAACTCCAGGCTCTCCTCAGTGAAAGCCTGCCCAAACACATATGCGCGCATGCATCAGATCGAAATGTTCCAGCGACAACAAGCAGACCCAGGCTTGCCTGCTGAATTTGGCAAGGCTGTAGTCTTTGAAGTCAATAACATACAGGTTCTGTGCGTGCGCCATGATGTGGCAAAAGTTCCCAGGCATGCAGTCGGCCACAGAAGCCCCGCACAATGACACATTAGTTGGCGCACGAAAGTAGCTGGGCAAGTCCTTGAACAGTGATGATAGGGGGGTGCCGCAAAGTGAGTCACTCGTCACGCTCACAGTGCTGCAAAGCCCCACTGCAGCCTTTGCGGTGGATGTTCAACGCGAAACTGCAAACTAGAGGACAAGGTTCGCACCCCGGAGTCCTTGGAGCCCTTCATGAAGCCGTCCAGGCCGACCTTGAGGTTCTCAGGCGGCTTGTAGCAGGCAAAGTCCAGCAGGAACACGCGCTGGCGCGAGCGCAGGAAATTCCAGATGCCATACACCACCGCCAGCACTGCCGCGACTGCCGGCACCTGCGCGCACATGCCACGGAGAATCAGTTTTGTTCACACTTGGTCATGCAGCACACCACCGTGCGTTCTGCTCCCTTGCCACTGTTCGCAGCACGGGCACACTACTTTTGCCGGAAAAAGCCTCGTCAGCAGCTTAGCGTATAGGGGCTGACGTGTAGCACATACTGTGATGGTGATGCCAAAGGCAAGCAGGAAGCCTCATCGCGATCATTTCTGGTCACCCTGAGCTGTGGGAATGGAACGCAAGCTCCCAAACGCAGTGTTCATTTGAAAGCTTCCTGAAGATAGTTATTAATAAGCTCAATCAAGAGAAAGCTCTAAAAGGATATTGGAGGGAAGCTAGGCCTGCGCACCACTCTGAGCTCCACACTGAAGGACGTCCATGTCTCCCAGGCCTTCAAAGAGTCTTCTGTCATGATGGATTTCTGAAAGTCTCCCTGTGCACACACGACAGAAGCACCTCACTATCTTGACTGTGGATCTGGTGGGACTAGGACCCAGCGACTAGGTCGAAATTGTTGGACGTTCTGCAAATGAAATACAGCAAACTATTGAGCGGCATGAAAGGCAATGTACTCCAATGCGGCAGACATACGTACCATGTACTTCACCACAGCATATGTGATTGCCAAAAATACAGCATGTTTGAGTCCTGGGAGCTGGGTCCAGGACCGCTGCACTACTGCCCGTCGCTCCCGATCTGCATTACAAGAGCGGTGTTATGTCCACGCCTCGTGAGAAAATGCAGCCCATACTGCTCCCAGCATTGACCTAAAGTATAGCATCTACAATAGTTGACTTGGGGCTAAGACGCTTTGTAGAAATGAGTACGTCCCAGTGAATAAAGCCAACATCCACATCACAGTAGTAGCTGATTGCTTGCCGGCAATAGGTGCATACGCCAATCACATTTCGTCAGCGGACCTACTACCGAGAGGTCGCATGCATCGCCCTTGACTAGCCTCACTCGCCCCCAGTGCTACCTCCCCAGCATGGCATATACAGTGATCTAATCTCTCCCCAAGTACACGATACCTCAGCCGCCAACGTCAAGCTTCCTAAGCTCCATCCCAACGCTGTAGAGTCTGTGGCTGAAGGTTCTCCGTCAAAGAGACGGTGCCTCACCTTGTTTTGCATACGAGTGCGAAGCCTCTTTGTCTGACTCCGTCCTCATATTGCACATGGTGCCAGCGCTCCGCGGCCCCTGCCGTGCCGAATCGCCCGACAAAGCTACCTTCTGCCCAAAACAAGAACGATCAGATAACCATCCACAGCAAGGATAGCCCACTCCCGCAGCACCCGCACCCCTCTGGATAGCTCTAGATACTTCTCTTCCACAAACAAGGGCTTCCCAGATCAAGACGCCTGAACGATGAGATGAAAAGGCGTTCGACAGGCTTTGGCGCTCAACCTCCTCCAACAACCCTCGAGCAGCCGGGGTTGATGAAAAGATTACGGGATCCCTCGTGCCTGCGCTTCTGGTCGCTCAGTGCGACCCAGGGCGTCAGGGCAGCGGTCGTGAGCCACGCACCTGTGTAGTGGAGGTCAGACGCGATTAAAGAAGATTTCCGGATTGTCCAAGGTCCCGTTCCGCCAGACACTACGTTGGGCTGGGCTCCAGATGCTGCCAAAGCAGGAGGGCAGCGCTCCTTGCACTGCTGTCTTTATGCGAGCCCGATGCAGTGCCGATGGATTGATCCTGCAACAACACCAACGATGTCACCTCGGACGCCAACATCGGAAAGTCGTTTTGTACTTGCCGTTTTTCAAACGGTTCTCCAAGGGCAGCCAAAGGGTCGACCAAGGAAACACCTAGGCTCGCTTGTAAGAATAACTTCAAATCACACCCTCGATGACAACAGATTCTCGCTTGGAATAAGCCTTCCGTGAAGTTCCTAGCGACACGAAAGGGGCTGGAGCTGGAAACCTGCGCGAAGGATTGTTTCTGCTTGCTATGAAGGGGCCTCGACTACCGCTCCCAAAATTGCACAGCTCACAAAACTGCAACACGCTCAGTGACAACGTTGCAATTGCTGAAATTTTCTTCTGAAAATTAACTGTGATATTCTTCTGGTTGACGAGTGCATGACGACACGAATATGTAGGCAAGTCGGTCGCCCTGCTGCAGCCAGCTGGCGCTTCCGCCGCTGGGGAAGTCATGCGAGCAGGTGCACCCGCCAAAAGTACCATTGCAGATTTGCCCTGCACATGCTGTGCCACCTGCTTGGGGGGCTCAAATCTCAATGCAGACCAGCTGTGGTCAGCTTGCTGCAGTAAGTGAGAGTTTGCATGCTCGGTGTTCATGCATGCTCAAAGATGATTTTTTTTACTACCGGAGGTCGGGCCACAGACTCTATCGGACAGCCTGCTCACATGCCGCTGTTCTCAGCATCATAATAGTTATGAGGCTCAAATGCTCTGCTTATTTACAAACAGATACACTCTCACATCAAGGACACTTAAGCAGTCATGATCCACCATGGCGAACGTACAACAAAGTCCACAGATGGTTTTGCGGGATCACAGGAGCAGCAACCCAGCTGAATTGTTCGTTGCAGATTGGAAACTATCGCGGTTACTTTAAAACGTACATTTGAAAGCAATTAAGCTCTGTGACAGCCTGTGCTGACCATGCATTTCCTTAGCGCTCTGCCCTCAAAACTCTTCTTCAACCCAAAAGCAACACAAATCTGAATGCTTTGTGCACGTTGGCAATTACAACTCTTTGCAGGATTTAAAACATGCCAACAATCTCCCCTGCACCACATCGTACCAGCGCACAACATCTGCTGTACACCATAGCTACCAGACAAGCTGCAGTTCACTGCTATTCCTTGTTGGACTCGCCAGATCCAAGCAAGACTCAATTAACCATGGGCACGGTGCTCAGTACTTACACCGCCCCCCGCCAGCCGGGGCTGACTCATGCGGGGAGCTGAGTCATCAGGTGCTGAGCACGGCCCCCGGCGGCAGGTGCAGGGTGCGGCCAGAGAAGATGACATGGTTGATGTCAATGTTGGGGTCGTCGTGCTGGTCGTCCCACTCGTGCATCAGGTCCTCCTGGTCTATCAGCTTCACCAGCACCACGTTGCCCGCCACCCTGGCCGGCAGCTCAATCTCCATCCTGCCACACCACAGTGCGCACCATCACTGCACCCTCACACTGTGCCTAGCCCTTGTCATAGAGCTAGTTCTCCTCTAAGACCCTCAATGACTGTGGATTCCTCAGGCCAAGGGGTCTCCCACAGATGAATCCATGGCTTGTGTGTGTGGAGGAGCCATGAGGTCCTTTGTCCTGCGATAGCTGAACCAGCAGCTAGAGGAGTGTATTCCTCTGCAAACATTTTTTATGGTCTCTTTACTCAGTAAGACGGCTCCGGAGCATGCAAGGGGAACTGGTGAAATTAGGGATGCCAAAAACCATGGAATCTTGTGCTGCAGGGTACTTACAGATTGCGTCCCTTGGTGCCCCGGGGCTCGCCGTCCATATCGATGTCAGTGTCATCGTCGTCGTCCGGCTCCATGACTAACCCGTCGTCATCCTGGTCCACGCTGGCAACATCCTGGTCCACGCTGATGTCATCCTCTTCTCCGGCGCTGTATGCCTCCAGGTCGATCTCCGCGCTTCCCTCACTATCTGTCTCTGGCGGCTCGTAGTCTGACCCCGAGCTCTCGCTCATAGACGCCGGATGGCCGCCACCCAACCAGGCCGCCGCCATCTGCAGGCACATGCACACATGCTGCTGTCAGCATGGTCGTCACACAAGATTCTTCAACTCATATTGTCTCCCTTGTCCATTGCTTAGTGTCTAATCTTTAGAGGGTGACAATGTGCAGCAAGTGGCCAACCCCAACAGAATAAGCCTCTTGCCCCGAGAAATTCGTTGCACAACAAGAAATAGTCCCTGTCTTGCATGCGTGAAGGCAGAGATGCATGAACTGACAATAACAGTAAGCCATTCCCAAACGGGTGGTCCTAAGACCTTGTGACTTCTGACGTTGCATTGCCATGCTATGTGCAAAAAAATAGGGCCCACACCGCTTGAAACATAATCCTGCAAGGGTTCGAAGCGCAGAGCTTTGGCAGTGTTTTGGGGCGGCCAAGGGTAATGAGGAATGCAGACCTGCCCAATCTCGCCCACAAAGCCCGCGACTCCGCTGTTGCTCGCATATGCAGCGAGAGAGGCTTCGGCCTGTGCAGCTCTCTTCTCAAATTCATCCTCTGACATGTCAGCTCCGGCACCTGCCAGCACATGCCGCCCATGCACTTAAGAATTTGCACTTCAACCCCAGTCCTTCAACTTTCGCCCAGTAAAGCCATCCCTTTCATTCTACTGACCCTGGAAATTCACAAATATGCCAGATACTCTTTGTGTACTGCTTGTTTTCAGCCAATTATCTCAGTGGGCAGAAGAAGGCTGCTGATGGCCCCCATCAGCAGGATGTGTGTTGTTTGAAGGTAAGTACCTGATGGCCCCGCTTCATCAGGGGTATTCTCAGGAGCAGTGCTTGCCGACGGCTGTGAGCCTGCATTGGAGGAATGCGCCAAATCAGGGTCTTGCCCCTCCCAGACCGTAACGGGCTCCGGTCTCCAGCTGCGCGCCTCTGCCCGCGTGTGGAACTTGAACCAGGCCACTGGCCGTAACGGACCCACCTGCATGCAGCACATGCCTATCAACGCGGTGCAATGCATTTATGGCAACCATACATGGAAACTAAAATATGTAGTCCCCTTTGCATAGTGATTACACTAACTACTGAGACAATCCATTTCAAGTGAGAAGTTCTGACACAGGAGAGCATATATGCTCATTAAATGAGGACAAGCGGCCAAGAGACAGTTGCTCGTTGCATGGCAATTACTTTTCCTGCCCAAGTGGCCTTCTTTCATCAGTATTGGCCACCACACCCAAGCATGACACATATTCCAGGCTCTGCTCAGACCTCTATTGGCAAGAATGCCAGATTTTAGAGGACATTGGTGTAACTCTGTTGCGCACCAAAACTGTTTTCACAGCGCTTGCATGCTCAGGAAATGCACCATGCACCTGAAGATCGAGCCCTGCTTACCGCATGAGAGCCAGCGCCCGCTGCTGAGCTCGGAGATGATGTAGCAGGGCCGAAAGTGAAATGCACGCCGGCCGTGCAGGCTCTGTGCATACTCCGCGGTGGCAGTTTGCCTGACAACGCATAAGGATTTTATGACACAGTATTCCATGAACACATGAAACCCAGCTGTGCAATGTCATTTGTCTGGGTCTGCTTACTCTGTGCCAAAGTTGCCATCATAGAACTGACATGGGGCGTCGATGGCTGCAAGGAGGTCATATAGAATGAAAGACCAGCAGGATAGACAGTGCGCACCGCTCTTGACGGCTTCTGCAAGTGCTTTCTCGTCTTTCAGATCATCAAACACCCTGCACTCCTCTCTGTCAGCAAGCTCCTGCACAAAGAGGGAACATCAAACATGACAAATACCTCTTTCGGACAAACTGACCAAGGCGGATTTCAATCAGGCCGGATTTGATCGAATCCTGATAGATCAAGTCCCTTTTGGCAGTTCAGCTACGCACCATGATACTGCGGCGGATCTCCTCTTCAGATCGGCAGATGTGGGGATTGCAGTTGGCAACGAATATCACTCCCGCAAGCACTGGGCAGCTGAAATGGCCGGCGCGCGATATTGTCAGCTTCTCTAGCACACCTGCACGTAGCATGCAAATAAGATGTCAGCGCATTTGCACTTTAGCAACAACAGGTAATGTACGGTGCATGCCGCAATCCCAGAAGCGCAGCTGAGGTGAAGTACAACTCAACGGCATGCTGGTGCAGTGGCATGTGCTGCATGAGCCTCGGGCCAGGGCACATAGCGCAGCATATGGTAAAGTATACATGCCCTGGGACGTTTCCAAGACACACTTGATTCAATAAACCAGCTGCAGGCGGATCTCACCCACAGCAGTTGGTGCAGAGTCTCCCCCCGAGCAGCCGAGGTGTGGGAGGACAGAGTGGTCAAACAGCCTAGTCATGTCCTCGGGAGTCACTTTCAGCGCATCGTTGGTCTCGCTGATGTGCTGATCGATCCCGGCAGCCACACTCGCCATGCGCACGCGCTCAGACTCCCGCGCGTTGCCCACCAGGCCGTGCAGCAGCAGCCTGCCAAGTGTGTTGCCCTGCGTGCAGCACATGCACACACTGCGTGAGCATGCAGCTGTCATGTGCTGTGCTGTGCTCTGACACAAAGTCCTGTCTTGTCGATGCCATAAAGTCGACCTGTTGCGCCACCCTGGTCCGTCATTGGGATGCATGCATTGGGCCCTTCCCGAAGCAAAGGCTTGACCTTCCAAATAGTCATGCGAGGCCTGGCCTAAGACGGAGTGCATTTGCAAGGGGGCAGGTCCGAGAGACTCTCTCAACATTGGATTCAGCTTGCATATCTCATCCTGGGCTCTTGTGGCAGGTATTGAGCCAGCTCAATTGGAAAGCGAACTTCGATCAGAACTTGTGTGCTGATCAACACATCGCTGGCTGCCTTTCTTGCACAGCACAGGGGTAGAACACTGGGAGTGGGAACGGCGCTCACCACCATGAGCTCCTGGTAGAACTCCAGGAAGAGGTGCTCCAGCTCGGCCAGGCTGTTGGCCTGGAGGCGCTGCATGACAGCTGAGTCCACCTCCTCTGACCCCTGAATCACCGCCAAGTCCACCAGCCCGTGCCCAAAGACCACCCCGGCCGGCACGCGCAGCCGCCGCAGCAGATACTCCCTGTATCGCGTCTTCTCCTCGTCGCGCGCCTTCGCTCCCTTGGGGTTCTGCACAGAGCATGCATGACCCTAAGGCTACAGATGTAGGAAAATGAGAGCGCGCGCAAGAGCTATGCTCCCGAGTAGATACAGGTCAGGAGGTGGGGTGTGCAACTGCATTGCCATCCAAAGACATGAGCATGTCTGTTCATGTCATTCCGTATCTAAAGCGCTCATTTGCTCATTTCCAGAGGGATGGGATGCATCTGAGGCACGGTGCATGCAGAAGGCCTCAGACTTATGCCACAGCAGGCAGGAAGTGACAATGCTGGAGAGGCTTACCGCTAGGACACCAACGCAGTGGACATTGCCCATTGATGCGCTGCAGTAGGACTCCAAGGAGTTGGGTGCAAAGAGGTGGTCCATCTGCGATAGGCACAGCAATGGGTTTGACTCCTTGTTCCTTGTTGCAGGTCGAAACAACACCTTCGTGCTGGCAAGCTCAGACCCTGCTCTAATCAAAGGCCCATACCCAATATTGGCGCCTGTTCAGATCGCAGCCACCATCAGTGTAGCATCCCCAGAATCGGATTGCTGTCTCTGGCTTGCACAGCCTTGCGGCCTTGTAGATCGTCCTTGCCTCTACAGGTCGAGATGTCGGAATGACCTGCGAAAACAAAGTCAAGAGTTCTAATCAAGGGGAAGGCATTCAGCAAAGTAAGCTGCACAGTACTTGTATGATTATGATGGGTGGGCAAAGCTGACACTTTAGATTTTATCGCCCTTGAATCTCACTAATAATGAAACTTGATTACTTTTCACCACACAGAATATCTTTAAGGAGACGTCGAAATCCTGACAGTGCTGACCATTCCATCAAGAAGTATTACAAGAGTGAGCTGCTGTCTCAGACAAAAACAGTGTACAAGATTGGCTGTGCACCTTCAGATCGACTCCAAATTCATCACGCAGCCGGGGCAGCCACAAGACATTAGAAGGCATCAGTGCTCGCATCCTTTGGCATGTCTCACTGCAAGCGATGACCCCCTTCACAGGCAGGTACTCAAATATGTGCAGTATGCACTCTTCTGGGAGATCTAACAACTCCATTTTTGCAATGATGGTCATCTGGAAGCCTCGACTCTTCATTCAGCATTACATGCATATTTCCCAGCTGGCCAAGGGGGTTGTCCGTAGTCCGTGAGGCAGTGAGGAAACGCCGTTGTCCCATCGCCCATCGATAAGTTTTGGGAAATGTCATTGCTAAGATCTCGTCAAACCTTTCCCCAAGACGCAACGATCGTATATCACAAAGCAATCACAGTAAGCAATTGATTTGTTCTCGTGAGAAACGGCTGAAGACTTTCAGCTCATCTTGTTATCAGATCTAAGGTGCAATCGTCCAAGTGTCAGGTGAGACTTCCAGGCCTCCGATCTAACAAACGATAATCTTCTGTGTTCATTCAATGATGGGAGACGCAAGGCCAGGGGCATCGGTTAGCTTTTGCGCTTGGCGCTGACAGATCTGGCACATGCCGGGATGGACGAGCTCGTAAAGGCTTGTACCTGGCAGAAATTGAGTTCGAATAATGCATAAGGATATTTTTTGGCATGTTATTGAAAGTTAGATGCGTGCGACGAGGTGTATGGGCGCATCCTTGGACAATAATTCGTACTTCAGATTGTCCTAGCTTGACAGCGTTAGCGTCAAGCGTCGGCTGGCTCGTAAACTGAATTACCGCAACCGATCAACAATACTAGATCGGCAATAGTGGATTTCCTTCACATCGCTTCATATATTCCTTGCTGCACCTCCTGACGCCTTGCGGTGCCACTGAACTGCAGGGATATCGGCTGCTCTGACGGATATTTCCAGAAGAAAGAAGCACAGCCTAGCCAGTAAGTCTTATTCACCTGCTCACTGCCTGATTACGTGAATGCGTGCTTGTCTCTCCTCAGTGCTCGTGCTGGTGCACCTGCTCAAACTTTTCAACCAGATTTTTGTGCGTCTAGCTAAGTGAGCCAAAATATACTTCTTTCTTTGCAGGCATGGGCCTCGCATACAGAGGAGTGCTCAGCCTGCTCTTCCTGGCAGTTGGCACGCTGGCGGTCTGTTTGGAGGCACAGGCACCCGCCACAACTTTCACCAACATGCAGCAGCAGCAGCAGCAGGTGGCTCAAGGCCCTGCCACCACTTTCACCAACATGGCCCAACAGGTAAACTATTGCCCACAAGTGCTTAGTCATTTTTAACTGCTAATCATCTTCTTGCATTCACCCAGAGACTTAAATGCCTTTTCCAGCTGTAGCACATCCCCGCTGTGGATATAAACTGACCCTGAGTGCCCTGCAACAAATTCTGTCCTGTGACACCGGATGCATGACCACCTTGCAAAGAAGGAGGGACAGCAGAAGACAACTTGATCTGCATTCTCACTTGACACTTTCGATGATTGTAATGAACAGGTAGCACAGGCATCAGCATTCCCCAACACCCCAGGGTCAGTGAAAAGCCCGCCTGCCCAGGCATCCACTCAGCTGCAGTCAGCCGGCAACAGCAATGGCGCTTCAAACCAGGTGAGAGAGCCAACCTGCATTGATCACCTCATGGGCATTCTGAACTTTAAAGAATCAGGAGTCTCAAGCATGCGCTCGGCAAAGCACGATTCTGGAGGTCTCAGGCAAGTATGGTATCTGGGCAAGCACGCCCAAAGAATTTAGCATAGCCGTAGTCAACGAGCATGCTCTTTTGCCCAGTGCTGTGTAATTCCGCTGCTCCAATATGCTTGCAGCAGATTAACAGCGTGATCCTTCACTGTCCACCTTAATTTTCAAGCTTTTTCACATTGCTATCTTTTGAAGCCTTCAGAAGCGAACAATTCACAAATTCTCTCAAAAGTTCCCAATTTTTGTGCTCACAAATTGGTCCTGTCACAGGCACAGAACTCTCAGGCCCAGCAGAATGACTGGGCGCCCAAGGCAGCGCCTGCAGCACAGACATGGCAGCCGACCGCGCAGAACAACTGGCAGGCCCCTAGCGGCCAGGCCGCTGCGCAATCATCCAACACCCAGCAGCAGCAGCAGCCGCAGCAGCCGGGCAACCCCAACATGCCACCCCAGCCACCCCAGCTTCCCGCGAGTGAGTCTCCTCTCCTTTACCACCGTTTGGAATGGCGCATGTCGCAAATGACTAGCATGATGACAGGGCGTCAAGATTACTGTACCAAGAGCAACAATAGAATTGCCAGATGTGTCCGCACTCGACGTGTTGACACGGCTAGCCAAGGCCCAGAAGCCCCTGATCCATTTGATCAATTCTGGGGGAAAGTATCTCGGATTGATAGATAACTTGTAGGCATGCAGAAGGCACGCCGCCCATTCTGCAGGCCAGACACAATCACTTCGAAATGATCTTCTCGGTGCGCGTTTCCTTGCCCCTCAGGAGGGCTTGCCGCACAGCCTGGAGAGCAGAACGGCGAGTAAATTTGCTGACCCCTTTTTCTGCTTCCTCGCAGACGGCCCACAGCAGCCGAACCCGCAGGGCACCATCAACACGATCGGATCAGTGGTGCAGGCGGCCGGCAGCCTCGCGAGCGCGCAGCAGGCGCTGACTAGCGCCGGCTCGGCCGCCGGCACCGGCGACATCCTGCAGACCGTCGGCCAGGCCGCGCAGGCCATGCAGGTGGGCTGCCCGAGTTCAATTCCTCTTGTTTTTTCCCTTTTATTTCCTTCCTTTTTGGGCCATTAATGCAAAGGCGGCCGTGGCGTCGGCCAGGCCGCGCAGGCCATGCAGATGGGCTGCACGCGTTCAATTCCAGCTGAAGCTCTTTTTCTCATTTCTTTTCAACTTTTGGCCCCCGATACTGAGCCAGGCTTGTCTTTGGCATTTCTGATTTGATGGATTGATACTGGATATACTCGTCTGGGTCGCAGGGTGTAGAGGTGGTGAGTGGGCAATTTTCTTCAGCAATTCTGAAGATGTTTAAGAAGTTTTGCTTGCGAATGACGTGGTGTCTTTCTGGTGGGCCCTGGCATGCGCATGGGCCCCCCAGACCAAGCATGCCGGTTTAAAATGTCAGGAACAGAATGCAATCGGATGGCCTCCAAAAAAAATCTTGAACAGAGTCTAAGCCTGATATATGTAAACGCTTTGTGTTGGAACAGGCGGTGCAGAGGGCAGCAGGCGATGTGGGCAACGCTCAGAAGTCAATCCAGACCAACGGCGCGTACGTGGCATCTCCCATTCCCCAGGCAACCCCCTCACCGCCCACCGTTAACATCAATGTTCCCGGCCTCGGGGGCAACGGGGGAACCCAGGGACCCCCCGGCATCAGCTACGCTGCCCCTGCCACCCAGGTGTGCATCCCCCACTCAACCCTTGATGCCAATCCTCTATATGCGATCTATTGTGATAAACAAAGCGATGAAACTGCTGAGTAAAAAGCTCTAAACAGGAGACTTCATGCATTATCTGTCATCTTCAAGGCAGTCACCACGATATGCACTTTGAGATGGCAAAATTTGCTAATCGCAAGCTCTGCCAAGCATCCAAGAGGAGTGTACAATCCTTCTGTATCAGCAAGCACTTGTACATGGGCATTAATGGCAAACTTGGGAGGTCACCGCTGATCTTGCTGGTGGTATTGGTGTGCAGGGCTCACAGGCGGCCGCGCAGCCCGCCGACCCTCTGGCAGCCATCGGCTCCGCGCTTGCGCAGGCGGCTTTCGGCGGCGGCTTGAGCCAGCCGGCGGCGGCAAACGTCGCCTCGTTGCAGGACAAGAGCGCCGCCAACCAGCATTCTGGCTGACTCGTCTGATCGCCTGATTTGGCTTACCTCGGATGTCTGCCTGATCTGGCGGATCACCTAATCTGGACTGATCATGGTTCTCTGCCTGATATGGTGGATTGTCTGATTTGGTAATGATTCCGGTTCTGGTCAAAGCGCCTGATTTGGCTGGGAGTGCAATTTCGGCTGCGCGTTTGATGTGGCTGGGCACGGTCTCCAGAGGTGGTCCTTGCATCAGCCGAGCTGCCCCTGCTGCCGCTGCAGGCTTGCGCAGTCTTCTGTGAAACATGATGCAACCGTGGGTTTGTGGGCATGCAAGCACAGAAGTGCAGCATTGGGTGTGCAGTCGACAGAATTAGAGCAGAATTCAAAGTTCATATGCAGCATGTGACTTCTTAAATAGAGATACCCCTAAGGCCTTTCCCGTTGAGGTGCAAGGCTGGGTTGATCCCCTGATGCGCGCTGGGCTTCAGGGGGATTGGGGAACGGTGAAATTATGCAAAAAATCACTTACCGGACACATGTTTCTCAGGTCATCACAATGTAGGATCATACGATTGCTGGGAGAGTCCTGGAGAGGGCGAGCTGGCATGAGAATGCACTGTCTCTCATGAGCATAAATTGTAGCTTTGTAGCTTGTGGAATAGCATCGGGCTTGTCAGAACAGAAGTGACATAGATGCCAATACAGAGGGAAGGGCAAGGGAAACTGCAATCTGCATGGAAGTCAACAGTGCATTGCACAGTGGGTTGATGAGAGTTGCAGACCAAGCAGACTTGGGTCAGGACGCTTCAGAGGCATCCGACCGAATACACACAAGCAGAACTAGTATCTCTGTAGATTTAGAGTAGAGCGCATTTCATGCTTTTGCCAGACCATTTTTTGTCGGATTTGGAGCTAAAGCTCCCATGAAGATTTTTGCATTGCATGCCAGTTGATTAATATAGAAAGTGTTGGCATCACTGTACAGATATGTCTTGCCCACGACGGTGTAGGGTGGATTGTTTTTCTGCCTTCAAGACTTATTCATGGTTCTGCCAGTGGCATCTGCCAGACTCGCGAGCTGCCACCCTGCTTTAGAATTACACCGGAGCTGTAATAGTTTCAATTTCAAATAATGAACTTCCGGGCTGCAATATCTAGCTGTGTAAATTGTTCCCTGCAGCTTCACAATCAAAGCTCTGGAGACATTTCGACTTCTTCTCCCTGCATGTCTGTGCCTATCTTCATGAACAGGTCACAGCCAGTCATGTGGCCCTGAAGCCAAAAACCCCACTTTTGTGCATGAGTTGGAAGTCTTGCACACAACGTCTGCCTCTGCAGCCATGTCAATTTGCCATCCCACCTCTTCGCATTTGCTGAGCACAGCACGCTCAGAAGAATCGCTTCTGTAGGGTGCCATTAAGAATCCCCACATATCGATCGGCTGATCTGAGCACCACGGCCCGCGCATTTGAGGAGACTGCCTTGCCAAACCAACCAGCATACAGGTGCTCAAACTGGTATGGCCACGACTGGATAGTGTCCCTTATTCGCGCCACCTGTGCTTCTGGCAGGGGAATTAAGTTGGGGTAGCTGTACATGAAGCTCACCCACCCTTGCCCTGGAGTGGCCTGTATTGTGTCACCTGCGCACACCAGCACACACGTGACAAAAGTTCAGAACACCAGCACACGCGTGGCACAACTACAACCTGACGCAAATGAGACCTGCATGTCAGGGCACTGTCCCCACACCCCTCTCACATTGACACCCACATTGGCTGTCAGCATGACAATGGCCTGCCATTCATGGACAAACATTACAGCAGGGTTTCCAAACGGGGAAAGAATGATTGCCCAAGATCAGGTTGCACGCTGGAGACGGCGCACCTGTGCAGAGGATGCCTCGGCCCTCACACCCCTTGTCCCAGTGCAGCACAGCGCTGCCCGGAAAATGACCGCCCAGCCGCAGCACTGTCAGGCCTCCAAACAGCTCCAGCTTATCACCTGCAGTAGACAATCTCAGCACAAGGATCCTGCTGCCAAGAAAAGGATCCTTCTTAGGGGGACTTCAAAGGGAGGGTCCCTAGCACATGCTGTCAAAGCAAGCCTGTTGTAATTGTGAATCTGCATCAGGGTCCTGCAGCAAGAAATTAATGCTTTGTGAGAGAGCAATTTGTGTGATTGGCGCAGCATTGACAAGGGTCAAGCGAGGCAGGATGCACCTGTCCAGTAGTGTATGCGGCCACTGGGAGTAGTGACCCACTCCTTGTCCAATTCATGGACGTAGACAACTGCATCAAATGCAGCTGCCCAGTCTGCCATGCCAGTGTAGAAGTGGGGGTGCGAAATGGCAATAGCCTTGATTCCCCCGAGCTTGCGCACTTGCTCCTTGGTCTCATCTGTCAGAACATTGACGCAGTCCCAAAGCAGGTTGCCTTCCCCTGTGACAGAAGAGGTTTGTTACAGATGACGATCTACAGCGTCTGTTCCAGCGTTTGTGTCGCACCTTGGGGATGATTATGTAATAGCAAGCAGTTTCAGACACCAGAGGGATGGCACATGCCTGTTTGTACGAGAAGCGCCCTCTGGCCAATGGCAAACGTTGGGTTGGTTCCTATGCCAATCAGACCAGGTTCTTCCTCTTTTACAATGTTTTTGTGCTGCTTGAGCAGGTCCTCTTTGTCCACCCATTTCTGACCACCCTTTGCGACGTATTGCCGTTCATCTTGGCAAATCTTGCAGCAACTCCACGGTCCGGGATATTCGGCCCCACAGGTCACGCAGACCTGCATTAAGAAAGACTGCTATGACCTACAACTTGAAACGGCTGATGCGATCTGAGTTTGTTAGCTTGCCCCGTGCAACTGCCTTCACGGCACTTGTTAGAGGAGGCATAGCTCGCAAATACACCTACGTAATGAATTACATTACTCAATGCATTGCACAATGCCCAATTAACACGTGAATTTTAGGTCCTTTCGATTTCATTCCATAATATTGACGTGGCGGGCAGCTTCCTCGGAGTCGCAGGCAGCTGCCGAGGAAGCCATCTAGGATACTGGGTTTGAAATTCACTCACTTGCGGCTGGCTAGGTCGTGCCTGTCTCTTATAAGGGAGGTTTCTTTGTACAGCACTTCCCCATCCAACTGCAATGGCACCCTCAATATTGATCGTGAATTTGCGAGCTCGAGGGCAGATGCACGACAACTTGAAGTCGGACAGCGCAGGGAATTGACTACTCTGGCTGAAATACCAGGGGTATGCATATTCATGCTGCAGCATCAACTGCAGCTCACTTTGATACTTTGTAAATTGGTCACAACAGCTATCACACATTAATTAAAACCACGGCCCTGGCAGAGTGTTCTTCAGGGTTGCTCTAGCTTGCATGTTTGAAATATTTGCACTGTTCACATGTGCATCATTAGGCGGCCCAGACATCTGGCAACGGATTGGCAAGGTCCTTGCACACTGATTCTTGCCATACATTCATGCACACTGTCAAATTGAAAGCAGCGCTGGCAAGCACCAGATGGCCAGGAAATCTCATGCTGACGCCTTATTCGCTGTTAAGAGCTTGCACACACCAGTGTTTTGCCACTGTCAGGATCACACAGAGGGCGTGCCTGATGTCTGGGCCTTGGTAAACCGCTGCAGGACTTCATCACAATTTAATCGCGTGCCGTTTATGCTGTAGTAAGCATCATGCGCTGGGGCTAACAGGCCAACCTCAAGAGGATCAGAGTCACACAGAGGGCGTGTCTGATGTCTGGGCCTTGGCAAACGGCTGCAACACGCGTGCGAGGCTGGTCATCTTGCCGGCCTTCTTGCGCAGCGCCTTGATTTTGGCTTCTGTGGCCGCCATGATCTGCGCTGTGTGCTGCTCCAGCTCTGCCAGCTGGCGCTTGTGAGCCGCCGCCCTCTTGCGCTGTGCGGCTTGCGCTTCCTGCATGGGACCCAGCTCATCAGGAGTCTTCCAGAAAGTGTACATGGGAGGAAGTTGATGTCGATACGATGAGATGAGAGTGAGCCCCCAAGATATCTGATCAGCTGTCTTGCAGGCAAATCCGCTTGCCGCACAAGCAGCAGAGACGAGAAGATAGATGTTTGAAAGAAACAAGCCTTCTGTATGCCAACCTCATTTGATACAGTACTACAGCCGATTAACGCGCTAGCGGCTTGCCTCACAACAAGCAGAGCAGTAGAACAAGGACACAAGAAAAATGTTACTCGTCAACCTAGCAACAGACTGGCAATTGGCGGGATGATCGAGCACATGCCATCTGTCCTTCATGCAAAGTCACATGGGTTATGGGCTTGGCATCTGCAGCAACTTCAAGAGGCACTGATTCCTGCCTTGCATGTGATGTGATTGCCCCACTTGGCTGCCCACCTCAATGGGCAACTTAGAGATGAGGGGTCATCTGAGGCCTTAGGGATCCTCAAGAAATACAATGAAGGGGATCGCACCTTGAGGAATGCAGCCTGGTGCTTGCCGGTCTTCTGCACCTCGGCCCACTCCGCGGACACTGCGGCCTCAAAGGCGGCGTGGATGCCTCGCAGCCGCTGCTGGTGCCGCTCCAGGGCCGCACTGTGCTGCGCTGCGCCCTGCCAGCACAGCGGCAGATTCAAACTCAGATGTGACAGCCACCTGCCGAAAGTTGGATATGAATCCTCACGGCCCAACATGAGCCAGCAGGAGCCGACTGAAAATCACAAGGCCTGGTCTCCAATCTGCCAGTGCCTCCCTCCATTGTCCGCCTGAAACGGCAATTTATTCTTGTGCGTCCGCTTATGGTAAAAGGCATGTTGACTCTATATGTCCTGCAGAAGCATGACTGTCTCCTCTGTACTAGGATAACTCAATATTGAAGGGGATTGGGTGGAAATGAAGGGGTATGTACCCTTGCCATGGCTGCCTCGGATGCCTTCTCCTCCTTCAGGATTGCTGCCTGCTGCCCTTGCACTGCTGCGTCCACCTCTGCTTGCGCATCCTGCAAGCAGGCACAAGAACGCTCGTCAGTCATGTAGCCCAGGATTGGCCGGGAGCTGCTCTTAATCTGCTCACTGTAGCTATGGCAGCTGCTGTAATTGTACCTACCTATCTTGCCGACCATGTTCAAATTGCTGTGACCTGCTTGCACTTGGCCACCGCTAACACAGGCCCCTCCGCATAGCCATCCCTCTCAATCACAGGGTAGTGGAGTAGGTGATCTCCACATTTGTTACTAGCAAATTTCTGAGAGTAGTGAGGGATGTACCCGAAACGAGCGACATGCATGAGCACTGCGCAGTGCTTTCACGGGGAAATTATTCACCTGAAGGATCCGCATCTCCTTCTTGCGGCTGATGGCTTTCTTGTGGGCCATGACTCGCTTCAGCAGCAGCTGCACCTCTGCCATGCCCTCCTCCTCATCGCTGCAGCACACAACATCACACCACTTTCATCAGAATCTCAGGAAAGTGTATTAGCCACACATAATCCAATGCTGGTCACTGCAGGAACTCCAGGATTATACCCACAAAAAGCAGCACCCATGATTGTGCTCTGATTGAAATGGTCATGGCAAACGCCACTCAGTCACACAACAGCATTCATGAAAATACCAGGAAAGTGAATCTTGCCGGTAGCGATAAAAATCACGAGCTTCAGATCATTGGTATGCCACTCAGAGGGAGCAACATCCATGGGAGTGTGCATGAAGGTGAAGGTTACAGAAAGCTGCACCTGTCAGCATCGTTCTGAGGGCTCAGGGCAGCTGTCATCTGCTGCGCGACGGCTTTCAGAGACAGGCCGTCTCCATCCTCATCTGAAGTTCCCTCCTCGAATGTAGCAAATTTGGCTGCCTTGCGCTGCCCACCTGCCAGCGCATGACATGAGCATGAGGATAGACAGTGGAAGACACAAAGGATAGGGTCACCTCAACTGCAAGCAGCCCCCATTGGAGCTTCAAATGTGTGAGGGCAGGCAGGCTACCAAAAGTACCTGCAGGCTTTGCCGACTTGCGCGATTTTGCAGCTGGCTTGGCTTGCATCCCCTTTCCAATGGCAGCTTGAGTCTCAGCATTGCCCTTCCCCCTGCAAGCACATCACACTGTCTGAAATAAATGCACTCATTCAGAGTTGCTTTATAGCTGCAATGACGACATCATTTTGCAGGACACTGCAGAGGGCTCACTTGGCTGTGTTCTTTATCGCGGCAAGCAGAGGTGTGTTCTGGGGCTTGGAGGGCTGGTTCATGGTTGGCAGGTCTGGGATTGGGCTGAGCAGCTCATCTTCGCCCTCAGGCTCTGAGCCCTCGTCAGCATCATTGTCATCTGCAGCCTCTTCTGGCTCATCAACCAGCTGTGGCACATGGCCCAGGATTGCAGGAAGGCTGCCGTTTGCATGCATGACATTCTCCCTTGATGCCAGGTCAATCTCAATGTCGCTCTCTGATGCCGCCTTGGCGTTCTGCTTGGCAGCGCGGCCCTGCATGACAGGTGATACTCGATCAGTGCCATGCATTGCACGAGGGACGTTCCAATGCTGATCAAAATATCAAGTGAAAATCTGCCAGGGGTCTACTGAACCTTTGGCTTTTTGGGTGCCCTGGGCTCATCTTGCTCCACATCTTCTGGCTTGTCGGCCTGTGCTGCAGCCTGCCTGCGGCGCTTGCGGGTTGGAGGCTTGTCCACAGGCGGCTCTGCTGCGTTGCCTCCATCTGCATGCATGTCTGACCCGCCGCCAGCCATCTGCTTTGGGGCAGCCTTCTGCTTCTTCTGGCCCTTTGCTTTCTGCTCCGCACCTTTGTTCTTCCCAGAGGCCTTTGCCTTGCTGCCCTTGCCAGCCCCTGCCTTGGCTCTCTTGTCCGTCCCAGCCAGCAACTCGGCCTCTGTCTGTGCTTCTGCACCTCTGGCATGCTCTGCTGCAGCCTGCTTTGCCTTGCTGACATCATCAGTCCTCTTCCGAGCTGCTGTGTCGCCGTTCACCCTCGCCTGATCAGTGCCTGACTTGGCACCAGGTCCACTGGGGACCTCTGTGGACGCTGCAGGCGCCATGCTGACTCCTTGTACCATGCATGTGGGCTGCTCATGTGCTTGTGCGGCCAAGACAGGCGGGCGCATGACTGCCTGGGAAGCATCCTGCAGCTTCTGCAGGGCCTGGGTGAAGCCGTCGCTTCTGTCAAATTCGCTGGCGTCGCTGTCACCCTGAATGCACATGTTGCACATTAACATGAACTTCTGCTCGTTATAAAATCATTACTTTCCTAATTCAAGATGCAGGCTGCTACTCCATTGTGGTGTTGCTTCTCATGGCATGAAAGATGCTGCATGCAACATCACTGCACAAGTGATGTGAGCTTTTACCAGGTTGAAGAGATGTGGTAACTGTCGGATTGAACACACCTGGTCATTGGCCCATGTGGGTACTGTCTGGTGAGCACGTGGCCCAGCGGCAGCATGCACAGGCATGGGCTCATCCTTGGAGGGCTCTGCCTTGGACTTGGCCTGCAGGAACGCATCCAGTTCGCAGTGTCCAACATTGAAGCATGCATGTCAGAAGCGGAATGTGCACGAGCAAACAGACCCCCTACATTTGAGCGAGTGGTCCGCTTTGCTGGTGTCTTGCTAGCAGATTTGGGAGCAAATGGATTGCCCTTCTTAGCTGCAGCAAGCCTGTCTTTGGGCTCGCCTTGCCTTGCCTGCATTGATGACAATTTCAGATGCATATTTTGTTGCATGCAGAAGTGAAGATAACAGATCAAGAATGAGGCAGCAGAAGAATACCTTCTTGCCAGCTGGGGCAACCAGCCAGTCTGGTTCTGCCTTGCTTGCTTTCGGGGAAGCAGCATCGAATTCGTAAACATTTCCGCCCTCCTGCAACAATAGCTCCCTGTAAACCCAACAATTCAGATGACAGTATGACAACAAGAGGTAAGATGTGTACGATTAGCCTTCGTACCTGCAAGGCTTGCATTATTCGTTGCTTGGAACGCTTTGCCTTCTTGCCAGCAATGCTCATTTCTTCTTTGGTGTGTCTGCAGGGTGTGGCTTTGGGGGCTGAAATGTCTTCATCCTCCCTCTCGTCGACCGCCTCTTCACCACCTGCATCAGAACCATGTCAATTATGAGATGTGGCATCAGCATGGATTCTGATTAAGATCGGATGGTGCAACAAGCCATCTAACCAAAAGCTGGCATCTTACCAGCATGCAGCAGTCCGGCTGACCCAGGGCGATGCAGCTTCTGCTGTGCTGCGTCCGGTGGAGCATCTGACATGTGGCTGAAGAGCTTCTTGGCAGCCTTCGGCCTGGGCCTGTGCAGCTGCCGGCCGCGCATCTCATCGCCTGCATGCGGGGTGCCGCAGGTTGCTTCTTTCTCTGCGTCCTCCTGAATGGGCAGCAGAGGCCGCGGCTTTCTGGCAGGAGGAGCAAGGACTGCTGGTGTGGTTTGCTGCTGAGCTGCTTCAGGCGGAGGAGTGGCGCGGCGCTGGCTGCTGACAGCCTGGCAGCCGCCAAGGTGGGCTGCAGCGCCTGTTTTTGGGGGGGTGCTGTCTGCTTGGGCGTAGAACAGGCTGGATGGCCTGCGCTGTACAGGAGGGGTCACTGCGAGGCGAGGAGTGTTCTCCTGGTCTGCTGTCCACAGAGGCTCCTGCACACAATACCAACATATAATGAGGCTATATCCCCAAATTGCATGGTCACCAATGATGCGCCGCACCATTGAAGCCATGCATAGGTCATATGCACATCAAGGGAAAACATGCAAGCCTCAAATTGCAAGATAATTCTTACCGGCTGAGCGCACTGAGGCGAGTTGAATGCGTCAGCATCATTCAACAGGTGATCTTCTGAAGCACACCCCTTTCCTCCCTTCTTGCCTGGGCATCAAACACAAGCCACCATAGTAATGCTGCAGACAAGAAAGACACTCACACCATGTTGAATATCAATCCTACCATGGGATGCATGTTGCCTTTCTGCCAGGGAACGAAGAGCATTGCCAGCCATGACAGGCCTGCTCACCTGCATTTCCTGCTGCATCCATGACCACCTCCGGATCAGCTGGGCAAACTGGCTGCAGCAAAGAGGACTGCTTCTGCCTTGTCCTCAAAGAGAGCCGGATCTTGTTGGTAATGGTTGTCGGCTCCATTGGCAGCGGCACATAATGAGGAATTCCCCTGCTCTCAGACAAACGACGACTTATAATACAAATATGAATTCCGATCCTGTGTCCAAAGAGCTGTCCTGCAAGATGATTACGATGCATGCATGCATTAAGTTGAGGCTTTGTTGGTGCGGCTGAGATTTGCTCACCAGGACACCTTCCGCCTGGCTCCTGGCTGCTTGATTGGGGTGTTTTCCAGTACCATATCTTGGCTTATTCCTGTCAAGATGCGGGCATTGGAGTCCTGTCCCATGGCTGCCCCGATTGGCTTTCCGAGCTGCAGTGCAACAAAAGATGAAGCTTTACGAGATGGCACAGAAGCTAAGCATGCTTGTCTCACTGTAGGAATTCCTGTATGATCAGTCAGCGAGCACGATCGGGTCAGATAAACGCACCAAACCTGTCATTGCACTGATTTCTGACTGCAGCAACGACGTCAAGAACAGGGGTGAAAAAGCAGAGCGTAGCTTACGATGGTGCTTGCGGGACCAACCGTAATAGGCTTCCAGAATTTCCAGATGCTCCTGCCTCGGTCCCTTCTCAGTTGACTCGGCAATCTTGAACGCAGGCGTGCTCTTGGTTCAGCTCTTTGGGGGGCTCCTGGTAGGCTTTGCCGCAGCAGCTTCTTCAGCTAGCCCTCATCGCTCACCCGTTCCATCGTCACAATCAACAGGGTCGTGCATTTTCTGAAAGGTATCAGTTCACATTGTCAGGTTTGACGACGAGACCGACTTGAACGCTTGGGGCATCAGCGCGGCAAGTCTTGAAATCTTAGTTGCCTCTTCAGGTCCCTACTTCAAAAGGCATGCATGGTCAGAGAGACAGTGCATGTAAATTACCTAACTCCTCTACCACTCCTATCCTACTGTAGAGGACAAGATGTAACAACTGATGTGATGGTGCTGTGAGGCATATCATGACCACCTGGGGCTAGTGCCTAACCTGAGTAGGACCCTTGCAGTGTGCACATGTGGACATGGCATGTAAAATGATCAAGAGCATCCATTCTCAGATTGACGCATGATGCGTGCAGCCACTACATCTGCTACCTGGCTGGGAGCTCGAGCTCTCAGCTGGGACCCTGCATGCCATTTATCTCACTCCATAAAGGCAGCTTCACTGGCATGCAAATCAGGTGATGTGAATACTTACAGGTTCCAAGACGCCAACAATCTCCAAAAATTTGGTCTTGCAAATTCCCCTTCATATGATAGTATCCTGCAATCTAAGATTGCTCCGCAACATTCTGTTGCCAATACGTCTCTCCCACAATGCATGTCCAGACCACCAAAGTCAAGCATGCTTGCATGTTAACAATAGACAGTACGATAGTACTCTGTCATTAATCTATTTTGCCACCAAAGCTACCGGTTTGTCGTTTCACTTACTGTAGGCCACTGTGATGGCATCATTGATCTTGGCTTATGCATCCATCTCACCGTAGCATCTCAACAAGGCTCTTTGCAACAAACTCACATGTCTCTCTTCTCTCAGCTCTTCAGCAGTCACGTGCACTAGACTCGCCAGCCTCTACCTGCTTAGGAAAAATATTGGTCCTACCGCATCATCACAGATCTTCTAGCAGCAAGCTCGCCTCTGACTCTCCCACCCACTCAGCGCCAAAACAACTATCAAATGTAGCCGCTACCCTTGCACTTGCTGCACAACTTCATGCCGGCGCCCCCACACACTCTGCATGCGCTTGGATTGGCAACGCGACCAACAAAATCTCGTCTCTGTCCCGTCACTCCTTTCTTCTCCTGACTCTGGCAAGCACATGCACATGCTTGAGCCGCATTTCTCATCCCGTTGATAAAATGCACTGCCACCACAGACCGACGTAGTAATTTGACAGCTCACAACGACAGAAATCCAGCAGATCATGCATGGGGACTCACCTCCCGTGTTCCTGCACCTTCGCATGCAAAGCATTTGGCTCCCCCAACGCCTTGGCACAAGTCACAGACCTGAGGATCTCCCTGCCACGAAGCACATGCAATCCTGCTGAGATTAGGAGCACATTCGACCACCCCATACACCGTCAAGCACAAAGCAACGGATCTATCCACTCCAAGGGATACAAAAAGTGTTTCGCCACATAGCCATGCACTAGCATGCGCCCTGTGATCCGTGCAACGTCTTGCGACTTCAAGAGGTAGAGCTGATCAGGACAGGGTAAAGAAAGAATAATCTGCAGGGTACTGACCTTTAAACCGTTGTACAGTGCCGCGCTTACTGCGGTGAGAACTGCACCTCCCACAATGACATCTTGCAGATCTGCGCTGGCTCTGGGGCATCTGCTGGCCCTACCAGCTCGTCTTCCTTTGTTCATCTGCCGTTTGACAGCTGACAAACAGCTTTGCCTAGCTGGAAACACCAGGGAGCAGCTAGAGCTAGAGGATGCCTGGGTGCACGAGCACAGTCTGGCTGCCGTGCTGCTTTCGATTGCTGCTACCACTCCCAGCATCGCCTGTACAAACATTGGAACATTTGCCAGGGGCAAGCTGTTTGTGTGTAGACAAGGCAAGTCCTTGGGGACATGAGCTACACGTCCTCAGTACTAGGCACAAAGAAAAATAAAAAATGAAGAAGAGGGTGTACTAAGCCAATGTCAATGATCGTTTTATCGACATCTTGAAATCGATTGGAGAAACAATCTGCGAAGTGGGCACATCTCACAATGGACGATCTCGTTTCGGATGGGTGGCTTTTGAAACGCACCTTCGTGTGTCTTATAGACGTCTTTCTAATTCTTCGTGAGAATACTTAATGGACTGAAGGAAGAGGGAGTTTGGATGAAAAGAAGGAACATGAGAGCAATGATGATGATGACGTGGACCTGGCGATCCTTGCATTCCTGGCAGGATATAATATAATCCCTGAAGAGAGTCATCATTGACCATTGATGCCCACAGGACATCGCCAGAAACATCGAGTGATGCTCCAGTAAAGTGCATCAATAGAGCGAACATATATTAAAAAATACATCGCAGCCTTTGTCCAGGACAATAGAGCCTGAGCAGTATGGACAACTTAACAGCCATACAGTCGGTGAAGCAGGAGACGCGGAAGTTTATGGCGGTCGCAAACGATAAGATGGCTCTCGCAAGTGCTTCAGTCAGCCGTGGAGAAACACATGTGAGTGACGCCTGCCTGGGTGCTGGCGATTTTACGCACATCTCTAGGACTCGAGGGGGAACACCCTTCAGCGGTTGATTGTCAGATTTGGCGCTATTCGGCCCTCCTATCTACTTCAACTGTCCGATGACAGTTTTAGGATGTTTGTGAGATGGTGTCACAGAGCACTCAAAGTCTCACCCACTTTGCACAAGGATTACGGCATGACTATGTGTGGTAACATTGTTTCTATGCAGAGGGCCAAATGCGTGACTATTGTGTGAAAGACATGTGTGACACTCGTTGCAACCCTTGGCAAGACGTATTCATGTCACGAGGGTGACCTTGAGCCCAACAGATTTGCCTTGTCCAAGGGCCAGAAGTTGATTTGCTCTGTTATGTAACTCTGCAGGATCTCGATGTGGCCATCATCAAGGCAACAACGTCACAATTTCACGTTGTCCCCAAAGAGAAGCATGTCAGGAGTGAGTGCACACCCCTTACTTTACCATCTTGGTCCCAATCACTTCGTGTGTGCTCCCTGCTAAAACAATTCTCCAGCCTCACCTGACTCACGGGTTATTTGCACTTGTGCAGCTCTGAAGCACGCAGTCCACGTCTCGAGGAGCAGACAGGATGTAGCGCATGTCAAGATGGAACTCTTGAAGCGGTTGAGGAAGGCAACAGATTGGCTGGTGCGCTCCAATCTGGTGGTGCCAAGATTTCAATCTGGGATCTCTCCATCCTCCATGCTACTCAAATAGTCAGTGTTATTTTAGCCGCTCCTCTCTTCTTGATATTAACCGGCTTTGCCTATTGCAGACCGCGCTGAAGGCACTCATGGTGATCCATCAGCTCATGAGGGACGCCGACACCTCATGGCTTGAAGAGGTGTGACAATCGCACCATGTGCCTTCACCCAATCAAAAGCTTCCGCGCCTTCTGCAACATTGCTCTGCTTTGATTCACTTACAGTGCTACAACGGCGATCCTCTTGACTCGAGTTTGTCTGCAACAATGTTGTGGCTGCCTGCAGCTCCTCAAGATTGACATGGCAGTGCTGCAAGAGGGCAGATCCAGCGGGCCAGCAACGCCGCCGCGGCGCGGCTCGCAGCAGCGGATACGGATACTGGACATGGACAACTTCATCGACACAACCAACATCGAGGGTCGCTTTGAATACAGCGAGTATGTGCGCGCATATGGCAAGTATCTGGACGAGCAGCTGGAGGTTTTTGCCAGCATCAAATTCTACCAGGCAAGTCTGCCCTGGTTCTTGCAACCGAAAACCCCTCTTTGCCCCAATTGACAGCAGAAGCGTGTTGGCATATCATTGCCAAGCTGCACAGAGTTCAGGTGCCGAAAGACAAATTTCTCTGATTGTCTGTTGGATATGTGTTGGAAGACCAAAAGGAGTGTTGCCAGACAATTGCAGAGGGTGGGCTTGACTGTTGAAGATAAATGGAAATTTTGCTATGAGAAATCCTTCCTCTGCCACTTTGCTGTTGTCAGTTGCCGGTGGTCTGTCCCAGTGTCCGACATGTCACGTTTGGGCAGGCTACAATCACTGGTACCACCATGATGCACATCACTTCATTCCAGGGTGTGCTAGAAAGTGACGGGTGTGTTGTGCTGGCCATGCGCAGGAGCAAGAGCAGGGCGGTGAGCAGTCGCGCATGCGGACGCTGGGCTCGGCGGAGTTGCTGCGGCAGCTGCCGGTGCTGCAGCGGCTGCTGGGTCGCCTTGTGGACTGCCGCCCCACTGGAGCTGCATCCCTGGACCCTGTTGTCCAGGTGCGGTACCCACTGTGCTGCGGCGCTAGCTCTCTCCATTCTCACCTCTCTTCCATCATGTCATGTCATCATTGCTACATTTTAGGGACCTGTTGGGAGCCACCTGAGACTCGTTGGTCTTTTCGGCAGTCTATCATTGTCCAGAATTTTGTCTGTGTTCAGGAGGCTGTTACAAACGCCTCACTCAAATAGAAGCAGACAGCGGATGCGTTGTATTGCCTCTTCAAGCTGTTCATGTCGAGGTCCTCCGAAGCCTGTGCAACCCAGGCTGGTCTGTGCCCAGGCAGAAATCTGGATATGGGAAGTGGACTGAAGGTTATGGGGCTGTGAGCAGGGGTCGCTGTTCTTCGTGCTGAAGGAGAGCTTCAAGATCTACAAAGCCATCAGCGAGGGGCTCATCAACCTGGCGGACAAATTCTTTGAGATGGACTACCTGTCCGCCCAGAAGGGCATTGAGATCTACAAAGAGGCCATCGTATCCAGCGAGCGCCTGCAGGTACTACTCTCCAGCCCTGTTACAAAGTGTAGTCTATGCTGCTTCTATGTAGGCATGCGCGCCTGCACAGGACAAGGCTATCTACATTCGCATGCATGCATGGCAGTGCTGAGCGTATGGGGTCTGTGCTGCAGACGTTCCATCGGGAGGTAGAGCAAATAGAGAGCATAAAGAGGGTGGTCCAGTTCCCCAAGCTGGAGCCCCCGCCTGCAGATTTCTTGGTGCAGATGGAGAATTACGCCCGCGAGGCCCCCAGATGCCTGGATGACGTCCAGTCCAAGAAGGTGCCCACACTACCTCGCTGTACACCTGTGTTTTCGCAACAGTGCTTGGTCGTGCAAGCCATGCAAGATGCATTCGGGTTATAAGATTGACAGAGCTTATCTTGCAAGGCATAGCATGGTCCTTCCAAGAGCGGCAAAGCATTAAACAAGGAGGAGGTAATCTGGGGTTGTTCCTTTAGAATCTGGCACATGGTATTAGGTTTGCTGGGAATGTCTATGAAGGGGATGTTGCCGTCACAGCATGCCAATTGCCACTGTGCTGATTTTGCGCAGAGGAGCCCACCGCTGAGGAGAGGGAGCAAGGTGACAAACCCGCGCACACGAGCAGATGCCAGCCATGACCGCTTGAGCGCACGCTCTGCCGACCCGGGCATGGTGGTCGCATTTGATAAGGCATGCATGCATTTCCCGGAACCATATATTTTGCTCTGATGTCCCATTTTACATTGATCCTGTCTGCAGGCTAAACTTCACTGAGCATGCCGGAGCTTTGCTGGCGAGTGTTCTTAAATCCTGATGGATGCCTGCTTGTTCCCATCAAATGCTTATTGCCAGAAAATATCGTAGCACCATCCATGCATGGGCTTGATGCTTGCGTGGTGCTGCAATATGCTCAACGCTTGTTGCATGCAGGCGGCGGACCCTGCAGCCAAGTCCAAGCCGCAGCTGGACCTGCTCAATTTCGAGGACCTGTCCATCGATCCGGCCTCCTCCTCGCCCATGCCTGCAGCCACTCCCAGCTCCAACGGCGCCCCTGGGGAGCAGCCCGACTACTTCTCCAGGTGCCGCCCTTCCCTGCACAGTCGATATCATTACCTCTACTACTTTGGATCTATTACCAATCTAACTTGCAAAATGTAGTGACACAACGCTGATGATGATGCGGCTGAACCCTGCAAGTGCTTTCTGATTCACCCGTCCACACCCGTCCAACTACATGCAAGCAGTGTGCTCCGCCAGTGAAGAGGAGGGACTCTCAAGATGTGCTGTTACCCCAGAAACACAAAAGAATAACTAGCTGTGGGATATGCATGCAGCCTGTCCGACGCGCCGACCTTCCCATCGGCCAGCCCGTCACCGGCGGACCCCTTTGCACCCTCCACCTTCAGCAGCACCACCACTGACGGCCTGCGCTCCTCCGCAGCCTCCTCCAACGGCCAGGCCAACATCTTTGCGCCCTCCCCGGCCGCCGCCGGCCGCGGCCCGAGCGCCAATCCCTTCGGGCCGTCGGCGGGCAACGGCGGCGGTGGCGGCTTTGGCGGCAGCGCATTCGCGCAGCCGGCCGCGAGTGACGGTTTTGGGAGCGCCGCGTCCTTCCAGCAGGTGCCCTCAGGTGCGCTGTGCCACGCGGCATCTGCCTTTTTAGGCATCCCAGCCAGCATCAATGCTTCCTCTGTGTGTTATCTGTCAATTGAGGACACTGTCCACATAACCGCTGCTTCAACTGTGCCGGTGCTGTACTAGAACTGAGATTGCAGACGGTGATGTCAGACCCCTGCTATGGAGGTGTTTCTGACATGGAGCTTCCTCATGGCTGGGCAGGAGCCGCCCCCAGTTTCTCAGGAGCTTCACCCAGCAGCTACACACCTGCGCCCACGCCCTCGGGCCCGGTTGAATTTGGCGGCTTCGGCAACGGAGCGGGCGCTCTGTCACCGTTGGGACCTCCCAAAGCACTGCCTCAGAACCCTGCCCCTGTCCCAGGGTAACTTCACTCTGACCCCTCTTGCCCTGCAACTCATCTACTGGCTGTTGTGCACTGTCTTGCAACCGTTGACTGTTGTCATTAGCTTAAAGGAGACAGACCGCCCTCTTCAATCTAAGGTTGTTGCATGGTTCTGTGGCAGTAATGCTCAAGCTGTGTTGTGGCGCATGCAGGGCGTTCAACAGGAAGGAGGCATCGCTGCACGATCCCTTTGCGGAGCTGACTGGGCTCAAGTCTGCGCCTCCCAAGGCATCTCCCCCGCTCAAGAAGAAGCTTGCCAGTGGCACCGCCCCTGCGGCCCCAGCCCCTGCGCCCTCTGCCAGCACTGCTCAAGGTGAGCACTTTGGTTTTTGGCCGGCTGAACTGGTGTTGACTGGAGTTGGACGACATCTGCGAGTATGACGAGGCTCCACTCGTGACCTACCATTGGCATGCAGCGCATGCTGTAGCCATGGCAGCAGCTCGTTATTGCTTCAGGCACTGTCCCACGCTTCTGTCTGCGGTTGCAGAGGTTGTGAATCTGATAGGAAGGGAGGTCATGTTGAGGACAAGGGAATTTGACGTATTCTGTCTTGCTTCAAGGCCTTTAATGGGCTTACGTCTGAGCACCGGTGTTCTGGTGTTTTGTTGCAGGGTCAGCGTTGCCAGCACAGGCTGCTGCACAACCGCCAGCGGCGAGTGCTGCTGCGAGCGGGAACTTGGGGGGCAGCTTTGATGCATTCCCTGCAGTAAACGGCGACCGGGGGCCTCCGTTACCTGTGCAGACAGACTTTAAGAGCTCCTTTGACCCTGAGCCAGCATCCAATGGGAGCCTGATCTGAGCACTCCCGTTAAAGCGGGGCACAGGAACTCATGAAACTGTTGCGGTTCATTATGAATGTCCGAGTCAGGCACAGCCTGAGGTCGACCTGAGTTTGTGTGGAGCGCTAGCTTCAAGCAAGTTGCAGCGCTGACAGTACCGCTAGCGCTTGATTGAAGTTGAGTTGCGAAATCCTGCACCTTCACAAAGGTGTGTGGTGTCCAAAATATATTGTTACAGGTTGCACTGCTAGAACCTGCCCTTCCCCATGTACCCCAAAGACCCCAAGGGTCACACGTGCAGTCACATGACCACACGTGCAACATCTTCAACTCTTTCTGGCTCTGAACATTTCACTCTCTGCGTAAAGCGTTGGTAAAGAGAGTTCATGGGCCTTTGGACGCCTTGAGGCAAAGACTGTCCAAATTCATACCTCGTACCTGCCGAGGAGCCGTCGAACATATCAAAACCGACGCCAGTACCGAGCTCAGCACCTTGATAAGAGACGACTCGGGCTGGAATTCATCTTTAAGAGACTTACAAAAACATATTATGAGATGTTGTGATCGATCAGGTTGACAGTGAGAAGGAACAAACACGATGAGCGTTGGAGCAAGGAGGGCAGTCCTCCGCGGATCTGCTCTACTGAGAGGTTCAAAGGGGGAGAACTTCATCAGACAAGCACAGAAGCACTGTTACGCAGCCCTCTCAGGATCCAGCATATTCCATGAGGAAGATCCATCCATGCTGAGGTGACCTAGATCAACTGCTCCATGTTATCGACGATGAACCAAGTGCAAACAACATGCTCAGATCTCTTGCTTAGAGATGGTTGCAGGTAGCTTGGATTGATGCGCAGGTGGATGCTTGTAGCAGGCATGCTGGGAACTGCTGGCAGTGCCTTGTTGATGAGTAGCACTAGCCCGGCTTACTGCGATGCTGCAGAATCACCCAAGGAACAAAACTCACAGGAGGAGCGCCGCCAGCAGCTCAAGTCATGGCTGAGAAGCCTTGGAGCCCAGATTGATGACATTGACGTTGCACCCATGTCAGAGGTGTGTATCTGTACAGGTCCTGAATCCCGCACGAAGCACAGCCCCATGACTAAAGACTCAAAGGCCGAGGAGGCCATCAATGCTGCGTTGTGAGGACTGTCTGTGCATGTGGTCATGGCGTTGCTCAAGAAGTGTTCAGAAGTCAACGGTGGTCTGCATGCAGGGTTCGGGGTTGGGCGTGCAGCTGGCAAGTAGGCCAGCACAGCTGCGCTCATGGCGGGATTGGATCTGGAGTTTCCTCAGACCGCAGCAGGATGTTGTGCTGGCCAGGTTTCCTCTGAGCATTGCCATCACTCCCAATTCGGTCACATCCCAGCCAGGTACTGCTTGCATGCATGGCCATCTGAAGCATGTGCAGAGCGATAGAGTCAGTTGTTTCCCTGATGTCTAACGTTCATCTCTCAGTCAATTTAGCTGATGACCGGCAGTGGTGGTGCACAGGAACTGGTCCCATATATGGTGAGCTGCTGGAAAGCGGTGCATGTGATGAGCGGCTGCTGATCATGCTCTTTCTTGTTGTGGAGAAGCTGCGTGGAGAGGTGGATCATGTCTTACCTCTTGAGCACATTATACCGATTTTCACTGCCATGTACACTTGCTCGGGAGCCTAAAATGGCAGGGGGCTTTTCTGAATAACACCGTATGCTGAGCAGGCGTCTTCACTGGCACCGTGGCTTGCATTGCTGCCCCCCGGTTTCGACACTCCTCTGCACTACTCTGAGGAAGAGCTGTTGCAGCTCAAGGGAACCACCTTGCACTATGCAGCAAGGCGAGTCTATGGATTTAGCTGGAGACAATGAATCCTTTTGTTTGACAAGAAATTTGACAAATGGCAGTAACCGGCATGTATGGGCGACCTGCAGCCTGACTCGTAGACACATAAGATTGCGTCATGCTGGTACCCTGCAATCAAGCAAGCGATGCTGCCTTACAAAGAGTGTTCTGCCATGTGGCGTATGTTTGGCTTGAAGCTCTGCCAAATTGCAGGATCCTCAATAAAAACCTTGAGCTGACGTGGAAGCGGCTGGAGCCCTTATGCAAGGAGATCTTGAAGGAAAATGGCACCAAGGATATCCTGGGATCCATCTCTGACTTCCGATGGGCCTACTCAGTCTTCTGGTGCAGCCCCTAAGCTACCTGCCCGGCTCTGTCACACTCTCTGTCGCAGACATGGACATCTCAATGATATATCCTGGAAGGAGGGTTGTCATGCCTGCTGCTGGCAGCGCATTACCAGGCTTCGTGATGTCTAAATGATGCATGCATAAAGATTGGCTCATGGTGTATCAGGTCGCGAGCGCAGACATTCCCCGACCCTGACCCAGAGGGGAGGGGACTGGCTCAGGAGGGCATTGTGCCAGGATTAGATTTCTGCAATCATCATTTCTCAGCGCCCTGCCGCTGGACGGTCTTTGGTGCGCGCACAGTGAGTTGGCACCTCTGCCTCTTGTAAATGCTTGCATAAATGCATGCATGATGGTATTGTCCATTGAGAATGCTGTGTGGATCTCCCTGTGCCATGGACTTCACAAGCAGTCAAAAGTCATGACGCTAACTCGATGTATGTTATGCTGTTCACATGGGATTTGGCGTTACAGACGGCAGGATGCAAAGCATGCCTGTGTGCAGGCTGGGGAGGAAGTACCAAGTAGCATCTCTTTGGTGGCAAGGCGGCGAGATGTTCCCAAAGTTGGAGAGGAGGTCAGCATCAATTATGGCGATAAGAGTAATGAGGAGCTATTGCTACTATATGGTGAGCCCTTTTTTACCATTCGTAGCATTGTTGACAGATGCCAACATTTTCAGTTTAATTCAGACTTCGCATCATGCGTGAAAGTTTGTTGATGCACATGAGGTTGCAACGAAAATTAAACGAGGTGCCTGGCACATTGCAGGGTTCACAGTGGATGACAATCCCCATGACATGCTCATGCTGCGCTGTCCACTGCCTCCAGTAGCAGAATGGGGCGAGCTGTTGAAGGCACGAGCAGCCTTGCTGCAGCAAAGAGGCCTCTCTCCACAGTTGTTTCTGCCAGCTGCCAGCCTCCGAGGCACCCAGGATGCCAAGGCAGGCTCTCTAACTCCCTTGCTTTGGAGACCTACATCGGCCATGCAGATGGCACGGCTCTGTCTACATGCAATGATAGAGTTGCGACTGTTACTAAGAATGCACTTGCTGTTGCCATCCCATTTGCACTGTGGGATTAAGCACTCGCCAGCAAGTGGTCCAAACGTAAAGTCTGAATATTGCTCTGTTGTGTTGATGCAGGGCCAGAAAGGGAATGCTGGTGACAGGCTGCAGAGGCTGCTGCCTCCAGCTGCATGGGAGACTCTGGAGGTGCTTGTCATGGAGCCACCGCAGCTTCTGCAGGAGCTAGAGGCAGCTGAGCAGCCTGGAAGTCAGGGTCCTGCGCCTTCTATGTCCAATGGTATGTCAGCCATTCAGTGCAGGTTAGCTGCATGCTCTTCATGCCTTTGATTGCTTGTCATCTGAAGCTCTTGAGGTTGCTGCAAGCCTGCTTAGCAGCGGCCACGCCAAAGATGGAGACTACAGTCCTCATAAAAGCAGGGCATGACATCCTCAAGCCCATGCTCAGCACATGACTGACCGATCCTGGCATGTGCTGGCATGTGCGCAGTGGAGGCCGCCGGGCTCAGGCTGGCAGTCATGACCACTCTGGTCCGCCTACTGGAGGTGAAGCTTGTGGAGCTGGAGGGACCTGAGGGCACTGGGCCCCTGGAGGAGGATGTGAGCCTGTTAGAGGCACATCTCTCTGCTGGAGGCAAGCTTCAAATCCGCCAGGGATGCCCCTCTGTGTATTGTTTTAGAGACTTTGGTGCATACCAGACAGGCTGAGGCTCCTTCGAGACCCAACACCCAGCAAAGTTAAGAAAGACAAACTTCACAGATGAATTTCCATAGATCACCGCACCCCTGAGGATTTGCGAAAGTCATGCCCCACAATTGCTGCATGTCAACCAGGAGATTTGCTTGTCTGGTGCTCTGCAGTCCTTCGCGTGAGGTGTTTTCTGTACTGTGTGGAGGTGGCGGGAAGCTTTCTGGGCGGCTGCGGGACTGCGTGGTGTATCGGGCAGGCCAGAAGTGCATTGCTCGCATCTACCTGCAGCTTGCGCGTGCAGCTGTCATGGAAGATCTGGAACGCATGCAGCAGCTGCTGAGGGAGGATGACGGTGAAAGAATCAGGAAGTGAGCTCATACATAGTTTTGCGCGACAGCATTACAGCTTTATGCTGGTAGACACCAATATAAACAGAGGTCTACTGGAGATGTTGGCTATTAGCCAGATCTACTGGAGATTGCGGCTTTTAGCTGGATCTGTGCCCAATACTGCACTACGTGTTGATGCGTGCCTCGTCCCAAAGGCAAATGGCACGGCACTGTGTATGCTGCTATGATCAATCTTCCAAACTGCAACTCTGAAAGCCAGAGCACTAGGCAGTCAACTATTTGCAATGTAAAAATTACTATACAGGGTTATGATAGACATGCTCATAATTTTCGGCTGTGTCTAGCTCTGCTGCACCAACTTTCTGCAAGCCATCACCAATTGGGCAACTTCAATCTTGAAAACCCGTCAACCTGATCAAAGCTTTCACAAGATGCTCAATGTAACCACTGGCATTATATGGTCAGCATTATGAAGAATTCACTGCTTTGGACAAAGACGGGCGCCAATCGTCAACTCACCAAAACGGCAATGATCTAGTGTGGTCCAGAAATCAAAGTCCGCTCCCCCGGTCGGAAGCTGGGTGAACCTGCGGTCCCCCAGGTGACCAACCAGATCATGTCAGTGCAACATGGGACGAATGCTTATTGCATTCATCCTTCTGCTGCAGCATAGTGGGTTATAATCCATCACATGTCATCGAGCGAACACTTCTAGTTCCTCTGACCATATCGATAGTACCCGACAATCTCTTCTTTTGGTGGGGTATCATAGCTCTTCCAAGTACTTCATACGTCAAACTCCTGCAGAAGGCTCGAATATGGAAGTTCTGGTGCAGCAAAATCACTTTATCACATGGTCTAACCGCAGATCATGCATCCCGCTTCGAAAACCTCTTCACTACCGGTTGAACCCAGGTGACTTTCTTATTCGAAGGGGGAATGCTGTATCTCACGAGAAACTTAATTGCCTTGCTTAAGTTTTCTCCTGTCCACAGGAGGGCAGCATCGGTGTGTTCATATATCATGCGGCACGCCAGAATGGCGCCTCTCCCAACCCCCTGGGGAAGGTACTCCTGCCTCAGCACAGGAGCCACTGCAGGGATCACAGCCACGAATAGTGCCAGATCAGACAGCTTCAGCAGATGAAGCACAGTCAGTGGGCATTGGTGGCCGCATAAAACGGTTCTTCCTGGGAGACAGATTCGACAAAGAGCGCATCAAAGCGCTTGGTGAGGCCCTGCAGCTCTGGATACTTGAGCCATCTGGGATCATTGGGCCTCCCTTTGATGCATACACAGTGCATGCCAGATGCACATCCGGTGAGAACTCTCAGGACCAAATTGTGCTTGTCCGGTGAAAAGCATTGTCTTGTGTGCAGGGCTTGGAGCGGTAGCTTCCTATGGCTTTGTCAGCAATCTGACATATGGCACCGGCCTGGCAGTGGCTTGGATAGCCTTTGTGCGGCAGGTGGGCAAGTCACCGCTCATGGCCGGCCAATGGAAAGCCTTCCTGGCCTTCTATGCAGGTGGCTCACAATCCCACATGCTCAACAGCCCTCTTGCAGAAATGTACGCCGTTTACAGATGACAGAGCAGCTCTTGCCATCAATGGGTCTCACCAATGGCTGCCATGACTGATATCACCTGTTGGGCACTATTTGATGCCAAGGTTGAGAAGAGCTCTCCTCAAGAAAATGGACGAGAGTGTGCTGTGAGTGACAGTGTGCTTTGCTTGCTGATCTCAGGTTTCTGGACGATTCAGAACTTTGTGCGACCCCTGCGATTTTCTGTGGCGCTGGCAATGGCGCCGCTGTTTGAAAAGGGGATCAGTGCCATCAGCAGAGCCACAGGCTTCTCGAGGAGAAATGCCTTTGGGGTGTACCTGTTCATTCTTGGCAGCGTCACCTCGATCCTGGTCTTTGGCAGCATTTTTGTCTTTGCTGGGACCCTCGCATATGCACGAGTATAAAGTACTTCTGGGCGCGGGGAGATGATGCTTCAGCAGAGGCGTGAAAGTGATGTGAGCGTGTGTGTATGTTCTTCCAGTACATGTGCTCAGACAGCTTGAGGAGCAGTGGCTCATTGACGTTTCGGCAAAGTCAAATACATCACAGGCTGTCTTGCCTCCCGACCGTATGACTTTGAAGCACAGGTCCGAAACAGTGAAGTACTGGCCTCTTGTGGCTTCACAAAATACAAATTGCAGGTGCTGCTATTCCTACGGGAGGGTCGCTTTTGCACCAAAAGTCGAAGGGCAGAGGTATATGAGTGTAGAATTGCAAAAAACTCCTGCCAATTTGTCTTCACTTTAAAAATTTACATCTGATTGTCTAAGACTGGATTCAGTCCGGACTTCTGTTCTGAAGTCCTGGCTTCAATTGACGACTTGCAAGACTGACCCTTAATTTGCCTACCACGATGTTTGGTAATTCGGTATCTGACTATAACGATGGCCTTCAAGGGTTGCAAAATACTGTTATCAGCTCAATATCTAGGTCTGCCTTTGTCAGAAATCCGCAAATGGTAATTTGCTCATACAAGCTACTGTAACAACACTCACCGGACCCTGCACGATGCACGATGCACCAAACAGCACTGAACATCCAACACACTGCCATCCAGCCCAGCCTATACCAATATGCATTCATGTGAATGCAGCTTACCAACCCAAGCTTCCCAAATCCAGCCGGCACAGCCGCAGCCGGGCCGCGCATGCCTGCATACGAGTCCCTGATATCTTCCCCCAAAAATGGCCGCGGTTATGCTGCAGCACATCTACGCAAGCACATAAATAGCCCTCAAGGAAGGGAGGCCTGCACGTGCATGGGGTAGCAGCCCAGCACGCGCATAAAGTCAGTGACTTCCTGCAGATGCCGCAGCGCGTTCTGCGGCAGGTCGTCCGCCAGATTGCCCACAAAGTCCACGTAGAAGAGGTAGCGGAAGCGGCGGCCACCCACTGCACAATAGACACTCACTATGTTATTTCTTAAAGACAACTTAGGGCTAATTTAATGCCTGCCTGACAGAACAGGGGTTATCATGCATATTACAAGCATCCCCACATATGGCTTAATGAACTCCGGAAAGAACCCCCATGGCACCCATGCACGCCATTCAAATATGCTAAAGGGCAGAATGCACCCCCAAGCACCAGGAAGCGGCAATGCTACTCCTGCTGTGACATTTGCACCCACTCAATCGTGTGCACAGCTGCAGAGTCACGCACAGGCAGGTGAGCCTGTGCACCCAGGGGCCCTGCCATAGCAGCTGCTGGCCTCAACTGCCACTTCATCAAAGTTGTTGGTTGCGAGCCCCCATCACATTTCCCAGTGCAGCATGTGAGCGCATGCATGGAGCAAGCAGCGGCGTGTTGCGCGCACCTGTGCCGTTGGCGAGCTGGACGGGGTTGCTGCGCATGGGGCGCGACTCGATCTTAGTCATGTCCAGGTCACGCAGCGCAAACACGCTGAGCGCCTTGAACAACTGCCCCGGGCCCTCCATCACCGAGAAGACCACCGACGTCTTGAACTGCCGTTCCGACGACTGGGCTGCACGCACACAAGTGCACAAAGATGTCAGGTGGCAGCAGTGGCGCTCATTGGCAAATCCTTGAGTAGAGAGCATCAATGGCTGTTTCTCAACTCTTCCAGACCTCATGGCCCTGGCTACAGGAACGGAAGGGAAACTCTATGTAAGTGCTTGCCTACGAAAGGAAGACAAAGAGGACATGTGATCAGCTGGTAGCGCAGAAAGGCCTCACAGATAAACAATGCCAGCACAGGCATCTTGGACCATTTTTCATACAGTCAACATTTGGGTGCCAAGTGGCCTTACCAGTGACGAGGGGATCCCTGGACAGCACGAGAAAGCGACAAATGTTGGGTGAGTTGCCCTGGATGTCTCTTTCTAAAACTTGCAGCCCGTACAGCTCCGCCGCCCGCTCGCTGCCGATCGCCGCAGCGTCTCTGCGCAGAGCCAAAGCCAGACCACTTATTATCGACAACCATAGAGTGTCTATATCTATGCCACAAGATCATGAAGAGAGCACAGGTGTGTAAGCATGTGTGGGCTTCTCATCTGCAGACCAGCTTGCACGTGCGTGCAATGCCAGCAATGCAGTCTGCACATCTCTGACTTCACCACTGCCTCTGCGCCTGCGCTGCAATCAATAATGACCAATCTCTAATGGGCGATTGCTGCTGTGCAGCTCAACCCTCTGAAGAAGTATTTCCCACAAGTGTTGCCGACATGTAATCAGGATGACACATGGCAAGCAATGTCAACATATTCTCACCTCCAGCCGTTGTCAGCGATCATTTTGGCGGCGGCTGCAGTGTCACCGACGGCCTCGCGCACGATGCCGGGCAGGCCGCGGATGAAGGAGTCGCAGTGAGTCAGCGCTTGGGGGTCGCTGATGACTCGCCTTATGTCACCCCGCCGCGTCCCCGGCAGCGCCAGTAGGCAGTGCTTGATCTCTGTAACTCGCTCACTCACTATGTGCAGCCGGTACCTAACCAGGCACAGCCACAGTCAAGATGATGTTTCCCTAGTCGTACACAATAGCCATACACACAAGCAGCTGACATTCAGTCCTCTGCTTGTCATCCTCATGGCATCCTTAGCAAGCTGGGGTAGCACATTGTTTAGCAGTCCTGCTGACATGCTGGCGATGTTCCTGACAACTATGGCGTGCATGTATCACTTTCAGTGTATATTTTGGGGCAATAGTACTATACGCTTTGCAAAGAGTAGAAGTTTAGTGGTACTTAGTGAAGAAGGGCAGCACCTAATGAGCAGATCATACACCGCATGTATGCTGCCGTGCGCACTGCTCTCTATGGGAAGGATGGCCTTGTCCGCCAGCCACTGTGACAGCACCTGTACGTATTGCACCAATACTCTCAAGTCCTGCACCCTGACAGCAATTGCGCCCATCACTTGCCTGAACTACAATAAATGAACCGGTGCAGAAACACCGTATGGTACTGTCAGAAACTAGCAGAAGGATCCCGACAACACTGCTCACCGTTCCTGCGCAGGGAGAGTCGAGACTGACAATGCATGACAGAATTGGTAGGTCAGATACTGCATGCAGGGAGCAGAGCATTCTGTGCACCTGGAAGGCCGTTTCAAAGTGCTCGCAGGGCAGAGGCTGGCAGCCGGGCACGGCCTCCAGAGCAGCGGCCTCGCTGTACGCGCCATAGACCCCCTGGAATGCCACCACTGGTGCCACCCGCTGTGTCTGCACCCAGAAACCACCTCGAGCCTCAGCCACATGCATGGCCTAGCGGTTGCATCACCCTATGGAGCTCCTGATCAGGCGCTGACATTTTTTATTACAACCCCACGGCCCGGGTCATGGATGCCGGCATTCAGTCATTGGAGCCATGCATAAGGCAAAAAAGAACATCGTCCTGGATAGTGCACGGCAGCACAGCCCACCGCACCGGGCAAGCACAAGCTGGTTTGGTACACATGTGCAGGCTCTCTACTGAAGATGTGGTAGTAGAAAGTGAGCTCCATGGAAGCAATGAGCAGCAGTGCCTTTTGGCTGCCACTGCTGCCTTACACATCTTTTGGCACCATAGATGCATGCCACGCGAGCATGCATGCATGCATCGCTACCACTGCCTTGAGGCCAGGCGCACAGGCACATGGCTGAAGGATGGTAGTAGCATGCACCTGCATAATCGGCATGCGCACTGAAGCACCGGTGACAGCCATCAGGAGGTCGTCTGTGCGCATGGCCTGCCGGCCGCTGCCATTAAGGCTGCGGTCGTCCCCTCCAAGGTCTTCCTGCTGCACAGAAGCTGCCCTGAAGTCGCCGGCGTCCAGGTCCATTGGATAGCAGCCCAACACGCGCAGGAAGGGCGCTATTTCCTGCGCACAACGCACTCACCATCAGTCCTGCAGGAAATGCACATGTTCCTGTGCGTCCTCCTTATCCGAGAAGTGAATATATCCCTTGGTCTTGCATGGTTCCCTCGTGAGAAGACAGGAATGCAAGAAGGCCATTGCCGTGCAACAGAGAGATCTTACATCAGCGACATCCGCTCAAAGCTAAAAATCTCTAGTATGGCCATTGCAGTTTGCACTCGAGAGATCACAGTGAAGGTGTGGGAGAGGAAATACGAAGCCTGCCATAGACCCTGATTGAGTCAAATGCGTTGGCATTGCAGACTGATTGGGAGCATTTGCAGTTGTATTGTTCAGGATTGAATCAATAAAGGTAGTATCCTCCCACATGTCCACCATGATCTGCCACTCATGCTAATTGCACAACATGCTGGGCAAGTAGAGACAGCTCTGCTGTCTCTCTCTCCTGTTCTCAAAACGACCAAGACAGCCCATGCTGGAGGCTGCACATTAATGCGCGAAGCTCCAGAGGCGGGCTGGTTTGCTTACTAGCTCAGCCCTGCATTCTGCTTGTCCTCTGCCTTGTGCTTGTGTTCTGTTTTCTGTATGGGGACCTGTCCAGACTTGCGAGCAAACCTGCAGGTGGCGCAGGGCGTTCTGGATTACGTGGTCCCCTAGCCCGCCCACAAGGTCTACATAGAAGAGGTAGTCAAAGCGGTGCCAGGACTTGGCCTCGGCCGCTGACTCTTCCGGCCCCACGGCGGCCGCCAACCCAAAGGGCATCGGGCGCGACTCGATCTTAGTCATGTCTACTTCGCGCAGCGCGAACACGCTCAGCGCCTTGAACAGCTGCCCGGGGCCCGGCACCTGAGCGCAACAGGGCAAGTCACACTCATGCCCATCATTGAAGTTCATACATTGCAGATTTTGTAATTCAGGTGCATGGATGGTCCTGCTAAGGCGTATGCTGCTGTCCTCGTAATCCATGCAGCTTGGAGAAGATGGTCCAGCAGACGGGACAAAGGGCAGCAGACATGATCATAGAATGCAAAATGCATTTCAAGCAAAGAGGACACCACCCCATCAGATCAAAGCCACCAGTCCATTGCAGATGATGCGCACAGCACCAGCGCATGATTTGTGTCTCTGGAACTCCTAGCAATTAGGCAGGTCAATTGCAAGACGTGGAAGGGCTCCAATAGCACACCTCCCCAGGCCGCGAGGGCAGCGAGAAGACGATGGAGGTTTTGAAGGTGCGCGATTCGTCGGGGAGCGCTATGAGGGGGTCTCGTGACAGCACAATGAAGCGCGTAACATTGTCTCGTGCATCCTGAATGCCCCGGTCCAGAATATCCATCCCGTACAACTCCGCCGCCCTCTCACTGGCGATGGCCGCTACGTCCCTGAACAGCGCCAAACCACTTGAAATTCCCTCTCCCGAAAGATTCATGCGCATGCTATTGTATACAGAGGTCCTGACAGCTGCACGTCGCGTAGACTGGGCAGTACATGCCAAAAGATGCTCTTGCAGCTGGCAAGTGCAGATCTGGAGAGTGAGCCCACATCCAGCGGATGTGCATCAATGACGGCAACTCTTCAACATAGACAGCTCTCTGTCAATCTTGAAGCGCCGTCGCTGCCGACGCACAGCCGCCCTGGCACTCATGCATGCAGCGGCAGGCGAATTGCCCCCGGGATAAGCATTAGGGCAGCCATCACACGGGCATGAACGTCTGAGACTCGCGCATGGTGTGGATACAGGGTGCAGGGATTCAATACCTCATGTTGTTCTGCGCGATGGTCTGCGCGGCGCCGGCGGTGTCGGAGACGGCTTCGCGCACGACGCCGGTCATGGAGGACAGGTAGAGGTCGCACTGGCTGAGCGCCTGCGGGTGGCTCTGCACGCGGCGAAGATCCTTCTTCCTCACTCCCGGCAGCGCCATCAGGCAGTGCCTCACATCCACCGACACCTCCCCCACTATGTGCAGGCGGTACCTGATGTTGTAACAAAGTGCCACTTATCAGCATGGACCAGACTGCATGCAGCTGCAGCTTCAGAGCAGCAGTCTATCAACACATGGGCGTGCCATGATGAAAACGTTTGATTTCAATAGCTGCATGTCTCAATCCAGCACAGGCAGGATGCCAAAAATACATGCAAAGAGTGCCTAAGTGAGTGAGATGGAAGGAATCTTCTCGAGATGACAGGTGCAGAAGAGGCAAGACAGGAGACTAGAGTGTTGCTCCTTCTCGCTCTACCATCCTGACTGGCCTGACTGCACATGTGCTCACATGACAGAGGGGCTGGAGGGCTCACTTTATGAGCAGATCGAAGACGGTGTGGATGGAGCCCCCGACGGAGTTTTCAATGGGCAGCACAGCGGTGTCCGCCAGCCACTGAGTCAGCGCCTGGAAGGCCACCTCAAATTGGTCGCAGGGTAGAGGCTCGGCGTCAGGGCACGCTTTGCGCGCTGCGCTCTCACTGTATGCCCCCGGCACGCCCTGGTACGCCACCCTGTGTTGCACTGGGCTGGGCGAGTGTATCTGCGCAGGAGCACCAAACAGCCCCACCTTATTGGGGTACACTCTCATTGAAGGTGGCCTGCAAAGCAGATGTGTCAACTGCACAAGCAAGGACAACCTGAATCAATGTTAGCATGCTCAAAATGCAGTCTGAGGAGCACAAAGGGGCACCTCATCCACAGTCTTGTTCACTGCTTGGGCTATAAGCAGGGACGTCAGCACAGGCACTCCAGCCACGCCTCTTACAGACCCTGCGAATAAATACAAGTCCATTTGTTCAGCTTGCTTGGATGTGCAAAGATACCAACTCGGGGTGGTTTGTCCCTAATGCTCGTCAGGCATGTAACGTGAGCATGTATCGAGATGCGGCCATCCAGAGATCTGAGCACAAATCGTGGGAAAGACGTAAGAAAGATAATTTTACCTGGTCGACGCAGCTGCTGAAGGGGGGTGGAAAACCCTTCAACACGTGCTCTCTTGTGCAAGGACACATCCAGCTCCTGCACGCTGGTGGCGTCTTCGGCAGTGCAAGTCTGAGTTTCTGCAACTCTGCCTATCATAACTAAGTTTCCGCCAGACGCAGCCAGTCTTTGAATAGTGCCCGGGGACCTATCCGCCAGTGGTGAGTGCCTTACTAGAATATTTCCTGAAGGATTCGATCCCGCACACCGTCTGATGGCTACGTTAGAATTGAGACCACAGTTCATTTGCATCGCTTTGGAACTGCTTTGTCTCTGTTGCACGCTCGAGTGCGGGCATGCATTGAGTGTGCTTGCCATGAAAAAATAAAATCAACGAGCCCAGGGGCTCCTTGCCTAATTCACATCATTCGCAGCGCAATTGAATGCAGGCCATTCTTAGTAATTGTAAGCGCGATAATTCTTTGCCCGATCAGAAACTTAGCTACATGAGAAACTTCCCCCACTGGGATATCAGGCAGGGCATAAGTGTAATCTCAAACAGGGACGGCTCCCCCCGAATGTCTCTTTCCTATCAACTTTACCAATAAACAGCAGTTAATTCACTTGTTCTGAAGTCTTGTGGCACTACTGCACGACTGTACTCCTAACTATATTTGTGGCGGCAAATTTTCTCTATTGATCGACAGTACTGTGAAGAGGTAGCAGGAGTAGGAGTCCAATAGACGTAGATCGGGACCCGTCATGCCGCCCAAGAAGGCTAAAGAAGAGCCCAAAGAACGACCTATCCTTGGAAGATTCAGAACCAACTTGAAGGCAGGGCTCTCCTCCTCCTCCTCTGCATGCTTTCCTGCTTTCATTCTTATTATGCTGATTCCTCTTGATCAATCTCGTGGAAGTAAAAATGCAGTTGTAGATCTGTGATATGACGGGGATCTGCGGATTGAGTTGGCTTTAGAAGATCAGAAAATTTGTGTACTGATGGGCAAGGCAGATCTGTGTCTGCTTGTAAGAAAAATTCCCCTAGTAAACGAGTCTGAGATAGTTATTTGTTCAGATTGGTATCGTTGGACTTCCCAATGTTGGGAAGAGCACACTCTTCAATACCTTGACGAAAATGGGCATCCCAGCAGAGAACTTCCCTTTCTGCACCATCGAGCCCAACAACGTACGTCCTTGCTTGTATCTGTGCATTTCCTGCATGATCAACTTATTAGTCTCACAAGCGTGGCATTCAAGGGCTTGATTGCCTACGAATCCACAAGGCTAGTCCTGGTATGACACTGGCCTTATTTCCCACAGGCTCGAGTCAACGTTCCTGATGACCGCTTCAAGTGGCTTTGCAATCTCTACAAGCCCAAGAGCGAGGTCCCTGCATTCCTTGAGATTGTGGACATTGCTGGGCTTGTCAGGCAAGGGCTCCACTCTATGACCTGTTCTGTCAGCTTTTTATATCTTCAAGGACAGCAAAGTATCGATAGATACATGCTTAATTGCATTGTCTTGGCATCTAATCAAGCTGACTAAGCTTGGCAACATCCTTCAGGAGTCACAATGCATGTGTCATGATTGGTTGGAATTTCTGCTGCAGGGGAGCGGCGGATGGTGAGGGGTTGGGAAACAGTTTCCTGTCCCACATTGCAGCAGTGGACGGCATTTTTCATGTGTGCCGAGCCTTTGAAGATGCGGATGTGGTGCACGTGGAAGACAGAGTGGACCCAGTGGCAGATCTAGAGATCATCCATGGGTGCGAGGATGCTGCCGCATGCATGCACACACTCTTTTCTGTTGCTGGAACAGTGCATAAGCAATGCTGATGGCCCCTACACCATTTCAGATTTCCATGATTGGGTCTGTCTGGTAGCCTAATGCACAACAGCAAGCTGAAAGCACTGGGGTATATTTCATGCAGACTTGAGGATAGCTGCAATTGTTATGTGCATGCTAGCAGTGAAGCAGACAATCTGGTGGTGTGCACAGGGAGCTCAGAGCGAAGGATCTGGAGCGACTCAACACCTTTATAGATGATCTGAAGGCCAAGGAGAAGCGGGGCCTTACCAAGGACCAGAAGGAGGACCTGGCCGCAGCCCAAAAGGTCAAAGACTTTGTTGAAACGGGTGTCGATGTCAGGTCAGCATCCTCCCCCATGCAATCCAGCTCCTTCCATCTTTCTGCTTGTGCTCTTGCTCCCCATCTCAGTACTCAGTCATACACACGATCAAAATAGAGGGACAAGTACAGTTCCAATGCTTAGAAGCAGTAAGCAGAGGTCATGGTGCAGGTTTGGCGAGTGGAATTTGAAGGAGGTGGACTTTCTGAACACAGTGCAGCTCATCACAGCCAAGCCTGTGGTGTACCTGGTGAACCTGACTGAGAAGGCCTACATCAAGAAGAAGTCCAAGTGGCTGCCAAAGGTGCGCCATGCACCCCTTTGGCTTGGCATGAGTATCCAGCAGGGGACATGAGATCTTGGCTTGCCTTTCTTCGAATAGGTACCATGAACTCAATGTTACGTTGGAGCGTGCCTACACATCCCCCGCTGCAGGTTTCAATTGCCCTGACAACATCAAGGACTGCTGCGCATAACTGTCACATCAAACTTTTGCTGTTTGTTCCCATTGTAGATCTTTGAGTGGGTGAAGGAGCACGGCGGCGAGCCCATCATCCCCTTCAGCGGCGTGCTGGAGTCAAAGCTGTTTGACATGCCCGATGACGAGAAGGCCACCTACCTCAAAGAGGTACACACTCAGCAGAGCCTTGTGGAGTATCATGCGCACATTAAATCAACAACTGACATGCACTGCAAGTTTACCTGATGGCTCGCAATGGCCAGAGCAGGCCGTCCGGGTGCACTGCAGCATCTAGGGAGCACGGTTGAGCTCACCAAGGTTGTGAACCTTGCTTTGGTCTTGTTCGAAAAAGGGGGGAGACTCCATGATGATGAGGTCTTAAGGGGATTAATGCTGTCCTCTGGACGACTTTCAGCTTGGCATGTAAGCTGGAGATGTTGGCTGTGCAGAATGAGGCCATGTGTGCCCTGCCGAAGATCATCACCACCGGCTTTAAGAGCATCCAGCTCATCTACTTCTTCACCGCTGGCGAGGACGAGGTGAAGTGCTGGCAGATCCGCAAGGGCACCAAGGCACCCCAGGTGGGCAACAAGACAACCCCACTGTTCATCAGCGACATACAAACTCTCTTTTCCTACCTAGTCAACCCCTGCTGCAAAGGACTCTGCTTATCAATCAGGCTCTCATCGGGCGTCATATGCTTGGCAGCTTGAACGCTAGCCACAGTACTGTCACAAGAGTGTGGTGGGTCAGTAGTCTCAGGAAAGGCGGCGCAAAGTGCAGTCTGCAAACATTTGTTGTATGCATGTTTGGGCACCTCGTCATGTGGACACCCTCTGATGCAACCTGTGTTGGTGCGCAGGCGGCTGGAGCCATCCACACGGACTTTGAGCGCGGCTTCATCTGCGCGGAGGTCATGCACTACGACGAGCTGCATGAGCTGGGCACTGAGTCTGCAGCGAGGGCTGCCGGCAAGTACAGGCAGGAGGTGAGCTCTGCACCCCAGTTCGTGTGCCCACAACCTAGAGATCAGAACGCATGCAATGATGCGGTCACATGTCGGTAAACCAGCGCCCCGATGGCTAGACTGTGTGGATGCGTCAGCCTGTGCATGTCAGCATGGCATTGCTGGCTGCTGAGGAAATGCTGTGGACTAAGGCCACTCTGAAGTACTTTCCTGGTGGCATAGTGTGCCAATGTTGATCAGCCTGGAAGTGTGTTGCCTTTAGCGTAATGTGCAGCAAGGCTGGTGTCAATGTCAGGCGTTGATCACTTCATTGGTATGTGTGGCGCAGGGCAAGAACTATGTGGTGTTGGACGGGGATGTCATCTACTTCAAATTCAATGTGACAGCCTCTGGCAAGAAGTGAGATCTGCCTGGCCAAAAGTGCCTGCAGCGGCAGGAGTGCCTACTTCCTGCTGTGCTGATGGCATGGAGCGGTATTAAATCATGTGATTTTCCAGTTTTTGCAGACATAGCAGTCACAGCATCTTTCGGTTGTTGGGGAAATGTACTGGCATGTAAGCAAGGGGAAGGCGGTATGGCAAGTTCAATAGAGCTACGGTATGCATTCATGAAATCATTTCTTGTTTGAGCGGGCACTGCCTGTAAGGCATACTGGCCAAGATCGAGATACTATATCCTGATAGTATCACCTGATTCTCCAAATTCTGCCCAACGTAATTCATAAGAACAATGGTACCTTCTTGACACCTACTGGACAATATTGCAGGCATCACCATGGGAGGGCCATGACGTTGCCAGAAGTACTGAGCGCCAATGACCAGCCAGCTTTCTTTCTTTGTTGATCTTGGCTCACTGAACTATCATGATGATCATGCATTGGACCAATTGAAGATTTTGATGATATCAATCATGATCGATCACGACCATTACGTATACGTTGCCTAGGCCTGTGGATAGTCATGCGAGCGTCTTCAAGATTGTGTTTAGTCAGCACACGACTTTCGGACAAGCTCTCCAAGAATGCTGACCTAGAAAGTGGCTTTTGTGACGTCCAAGGATACTCTCCTGTGCCAAGGCCTCCAGCTGTCTCTATCTGGCCCGTATTTTGGCGATTGTGCCCTGCCCGTAGCGTGTGGATTCCATGTTGTGAGTAAAGCGTTGGTGAACTCTGGCAGACCCAAACGATCGAGAGCTTGTTCACCGCATACCACCACACCTAGGTCTTCACCGTAGGATCGTCTTGTTACTGGGCAACGCTGCCGTTTGAGGGAAACACATAGCAGCCCGGCTTGAGTATTCGAGGTCGGCAATCCCGATCCAGAGCGGCCCTTCACGCATCATTAGGTGAGAAGTAACTTCACGCCTGGTCACAAACAAGCCAGAAGACTATACTTTGGAATTTGCCATTGGGTGGCGCGATGAAGCCGCCCCAGCTCTGTTCAAGAAGCGAGACGCTCGACCCGGCTGAGGTTGCGGAGCGACAGAAACAGCAGTCTTCTCTTGCAAGCTCTTCGGTTCCGATCTGGTCGCATCAAACACGACTGATATTAGGAGCTCTTGCATGTGCGGCAGCAGCAGTTCCTGCGTCTGGATGGGCTACACCGTCTTATCTGAGAGTTTCACGGGACGATGCAAACTATGCAGGAATGGCGCGCGAGGCTATCTCCCCGGCTCAGAAGCTCATCAATCGTTATGTATTCAACGGAGCGGTCTTCTCGGGTCTCGCGGCCCTCGCCCTGGGGCGGTATGCCTGGGTAAGCCTTCTCCCTACATACAGATTGATCTGCTCATTCACCTGAGACGATCCAGGATCACGGGCGGTCGATTGGTCTGGTTGTATAAACCGAATAGTTTGGAGGATTGTCTGCGAAATCTTTAGGTCCAGAGCGGACATTTCTTGGGAGCTTTCGTAGATCAAGACGCACTGGCTTTGACGGCTTCAACACTCGAGTCGGGATTACCAACGATAGCAGACATTGCAGGACGTCAATTCCGAGCTATGAGTGTACTGAGGTGTTCACGCATGATGCTACGGAGTGACGACAAAGCATCGCGACATTTCGCTACTCTCTGTGTAGTAGGGATGGTTGAGGTGGCTTGGTTTCTTGTGTCTACAGGTTGCAGCCAACACTGCAGAGTACAATCAGCTACTCGACTTGTCGAAGCAGGCGTGGACTGCTGCACCTTCAGCCCTGGTGAATGCTCTACTCACCCTGTTTTGTTTATGTCACTCTTCTACATTGGCAATGCTTGGGCAAGCTTGCATGCCAGACCTTGCCCTGTGCATTTCATACAACTCATTATGCAAGCCTTTTCAGACAGATTTATGCTAGGCACGTCAGCCAGTGAGTGACAAGCAAGAGGAACAGAGCTCCACTCAGTTCAACGCACAACACCTGTCCTGGCTTGTCGAGGGCCCCCCTTTGCATCAAAGCCAAGACTGGGCAAAGCTTTGTGTCCTTCCCTGTCAAAAGGGGCCAGAGCAGGCCTTGTTTCAGCGCCACGGGAGGCGCCACCTCACTATTGCTGTTGCCAATTATTCTCACTGGGGGCCTTGCAGCAGTAGTGCCTGACATAGGGAATTGTGTGCACGCAGATCGTGACCGTGCTGTCCGCAATTCTGGTGATTGGGTGGTTCACACGGAAGTACGTGCCGCGCCTAGCTAGGCCGGTGTTCCTGATCGACACCTACACCTACAAGCCGCCTGACCGCATGAAGGTTTCCCGCGAGAACTACATCCGCGGCGCGCGCATGCGCAAGGTGTGCTTGTGCTCCCACACTAACAAATCCATGTGTCGCCTGTCTCGCCAGAGGCACAAAGCCACATTGCTTCTGTTCACGTGTGCCATAGTAACCTAGAGGACTTCCCCACTTCGTAGCAAATCCATGTGTCGCCTGTCTCGCCAGAGGGGCAAAGCCACATTGCTTCCGTTCACGTGTGCCTACTAACCTGAAGGACTCTGCAACGGTGGTGACTGGCTGGGGTTGGTGGGATCGCTCGTTAGAATCTCTTGGCAGCGCGGTCTGCTGTGTGCGCGCAGAATTTGTGTTGCAGCTGTCTGGTAGCTGGGTGCGCGCTGATGAGTTGATGTGGTGATGGGCAGATCTGGGGAGAGGAGGCTCTGCAGTTCCAGGAGAAGCTGCTCAACAGCTCTGGCCTGGGCGATGAGACCTACTTCCCAGACAGTGAGCAGCCTCCCTCACCCCTATTCAATCCTGAAAAACGCCCATTACCGCTGCTGCATGAACACGCGCCTGCGAGCTAGTTGAGAAGTCCTTGCAGGTGTCACGTGCTCGACCTCTGCAGTCTAGCAATAGCTCTGCAGTCTAGCGATGGAGTGGATACATGGCTTGGAACAAACCTCTGCATTCATTTGGATGTTTGTGGCGGGCATGTGTTAATACTGGGGTGTGCCGTTGCTGCATTCAGGCATCATCCAGGAGCCCATGAAGCTGACCTGGAACGCGGCCCTTGAGGAGACCGAGATGGTCCTGTTTGAGACCGTGCACAAGCTCCTCAAGACCACCGGCATCGACGCCCAGGACGTAAGAATCCCTTCCACCTCCAATATTTCTGCCTTTCTTGTCTTGTTGCAAGGTGCTTGTGGCACAGCAATGTCTTGGCATCTATATGTTTGTCCTGGACTCGGCATGACAAGGCTCTGTGGCCACTAATCAATTCATGCAGATACCATGCAGCCTTCAGTGTCCACGTCAATATCCTCCTCATTATGAACATTTTGACCAATTTTTGGGATCAATGCAGCCCCTGCAGTGTCTCATGTAGCCCTGAAAGCTTGCCAAGGTTCGCAAGATTTAGCGCCTGCTGCTCTGGGCTAGACTGACATGGTAAGGTTGTTGCTGGGTTGACAAGGTGGGATTGTTAATGCGCTGCAGATCGACATCCTGATTGTGGTGTGCTCCTGCTTTGCGCCGACCCCCTCGCTGGCGTCCATGGTGGTGAACCACTTCAAGATGCGCACGGACGTCCTGTCGCACAACCTGTCCGGCATGGGCTGCTCCTCCGGCGTCATCGGCATCGACGTGGCGCGCCACTACCTCCAGGTGCGCGCCTGACTCATCCTCTTTCCACGATTCAAAAAGGGAACCTGAAACTTCAAGGCAGAATCTGTTTTGCACCCAAACAGGCCCTTTCCTCTGGTTGTTCATGTACTCATCGTCCTGATGCCTCCCTGCCGCCATGTAGTGAATAACCAGCATGGTGCATTGCTGAGCTGATCCGTTGACCTGTCTCGGCCACTAATGCCCCTGGGTACACCCTACCTCGCGGGGATGGCAGGGAGTATCGGGTTGGCCTCTGATTTCATCAGTGCATGACATGTTGAGTACAGGAGAGCTACTGATCAAGCAGGCTGTGGATATCTTGTGGTGGGAGCAATGCAAAAAGCCGCCTAGCCGGTAGAACTGATCAGACTAGTTGGTGAGCTTGCTGGGATGAATTTTGACGTGGTTGGTGGATTGTGTGCGCAGGCGCTGCCCAACAAGCGCGCTCTGGTGGTGGCCCACGAGAACATTACCAACAACTACTACCCGGGCAACAACCGCTCCTGCCTCGTTTCCAACTGCCTCTTCCGCGTCGGCGGCGCCGCCTGCCTCCTGTCCAACAGGTGCCTCTCCTCACCGGATGCTTTTCCTGTTGTTGCTTGCCGCCGCTCGAGGACAGCAGCATGCAGCAGGTCAAGGGAGCTCCATGGTTGCCGATGAGTCTGTCTTGGGGACGAATCGAGGCTTTCAAATCTTTCAGTAATGAGATTGAAATGTTGTGGCTGTTGCAAGCGGGGTTGCAGCACGTTAGGACATCATAGACTCCGATCTTGCATCTTGTCATGTGTCGTGTCATGTGTAGCAGCGCACTTCACCCTCGCCCTGCACAAGCTTGACATCTGACCTCTGATGTCACATCTGAGATCATGGACCCAATCAAGCCGCTAATGATTGCTTATTATGCAATTATAATTTATAATAATAATAACAATGATAATAATAATAATAATGCACACTAAGGGCACCAGCATTGCTGTGAGGAGCCTGACCTGGCACAAATGGGCAACTAGGCGCCTGATCTGGCATCCATACCACGCCTAATTCTCAGAACTGCTCTGACGCTCATGGCTCCGTTTGCTTGCACAGGCCGCAGGACCGCGCGGTGGCCAAGTACGAGATTGTGCACTGCGTGCGCAGCCACATCGGCGCTGATGACGACGCCTTCAACGCCATCAGGTGCGCATGCTAAGATCTGATAATAGCTGCTGGATGCCTTCAAAAAGGAAGGGAAAGCGGTATTTTGCCCCATTGGTTTGCTGTGTTACTCTGTGAAGGGACAGCAGCAGTGACTCTGGTGGGTCAAATTCTTTGTGTGAAAGAGATGGCAACAGTGAGTCTGGTCGTTCAAATTCTCCAACTTGGATTTTTTGGAGTTGAAAATAAAAGGTACTGTTTGAAATTTTAACAGGCAGCGCGAGGACGAGGACGGAATCCGCGGCATCCTGCTGCAGCGCAACGTGGTGCCCACTGCCGCGCTCGCCCTGAAGACCAACATCGCCTCCCTCGCACCCCTCGTCCTCCCCTTCACTGAGCTGGTGCGTGCTCAGCCACCAGCCCTATTTCTATGGGAGTTTACCATTGCATTAGTGCTGCATCTGGCAGGGGGCCGGCCCTTTTCAGCCGTGACAGTCGTGAAGGATGTTGCCAGGCTTGTATGTGTGTGGCTTGTCTTCCTTGGTGAGGTCTAAAGTCGTGTTGTGAAAGGAAACTTCAAGGGTCCTGAGCATGTGATCCTGAACTGCGTAATGAATTGGTAGATAAAGAGCCACATGTCTTCACAAGATTGTCTGATGATAGCTTTTTTTTGGAGCCATGTGTCCTCATGAACTAGAATCTTGACGGCGCTCCTTTGCCCTGCGCAGATCAAGTGTGTGATGGACAAGGACTACATCCCCAACTTCAGGACGGCGTTTGACCACTTCCTGGTGCACACTGGCGGCCGTGCGGTCATTGAGGAAGTCGAGAAGAAGCTGCGCCTGGACCCCTCGCATGTGCAGCCCTCCAAGGAGACCCTGTTCCGTTACGGCAACACCTGCTGCGCTGCCGTCTTCTATGTCCTCACCAACATGGAGTCCCGGGTGAGTCACCTTTCCCTTCCCATTGCTGCACTCTGCGATCCACCCAGCACACTCCTGATTTACACCCCTCCATTATACACCCTCAACAGCTTTGCTAGCTTGCAAAGATGTGCAGGTGCAGGTGTTTTAGGCTGTTTGATAGTCCATTATAAACTCCATTTGCCGTCCAGAGGGTCTAAGATACGACGCTGCGTGAGGGCTCCAAGGTCCAAAAGCTCTGAGGATGATGTGGTCCTGTGTGTTTACTGTGTCCTTTTGAGCCCGCCAGAGATCATAACAAGCAAGGCACTGCAAGATAGTATGTTATCGGAGATCCTTGCAGCAGGGAATGATGTGGGCATGTGTTGATCTCCAGGTGGGCTGCAAGAAGGGCGAGCGCGTGTGGATGCTGGGCTTTGGTACGGGCTTCAAGTGCAACAGCGCTGTGCTGCGTGCTCTGCGCGACGTGAAGACCGTGCACGAGTCATGGACCTGAGCGCAGGCGTTCCCTGCATGTGGCCTGATCAGGCCGCCAGCTCCCAGAAGCTTCCGGAAAGCTTCCACAGAGTCTACTGCACCAATGAGCACATCATAGGATGTCATACATGGCCCCACCAGGCACCGCTGGCGAGAACCAGCCTCCGCAGTGCAGCAGCAAGGGTCAGCTCGAGCTAGAGCCAGCTAGAAAGTCCACCATAGGGGGAGACACCAGGCGACTGATAGTGTTGGCAGCTTTATGCTGTATCCGTCAACTTCCACCCAGCCTGAAGCTGCGCCTGCAGCTGCCTGTGGTCTCATCAGCAGCAGCCATATTGGTGTCATGCATTGTGCCCTTAACAGGGCAGCTGCTGCATTAGCCACAAACACTCGCAGCAGATGCGTTGTTGCACCAAACCTCCACTTAAGTGAGCGGCATGTGCAAAACATTCTTATTGCATCAACATTTACATGTGAAAGGTACTCAGTGCAGGCACCAGCTCAAAGCAGGTTGCTCGAACTTGAGTGTGCCTGTTCAGGCAGTAGTGGTATATCCATTTTTTGCTGGCAGCAGCAGGTCTCTGCACTTATATTTTGCGCTCAGGTGTAGACACTGTGTTTTGTTTGGTGGGCTGCTGTTTGAGAAGCCTGGCTGCTGTATAGCTCTGTCTTTTTGGGCTTGAGGGGACCAAATTGGTTCTCTCGAGACCCCAAGAGAGTGTTCGCTGGCTGGCATGACTCTGAGCTGATGGCATGGAAGAGAATAAATCTGTTGGTTTGATGCGCATGAGTTGCTCAGTGGTACACTGCCGGTGAGCAAGAGAGTACATAGAGCATTAGTGTGAATGCCAGAGGTGAGTCAGTGGTGTGCCCGCCTGACTCGGATTCAAAAGTGCAAAATTGCGCAGTCTGCAAATTGGTGGCATGAATGTGTAGGGAGCAAGCTGTGATCAGTCTGGCATTGCATACTTTGATTTTTCTCATGTGTGCACCAACGCTCATTTGCGTTGATGAGTGAGTCTTATTGACAGGCTTTGTGTGAGTGGTTGGATCCAAGGAAGATGTAGAACTGGTTGAATAAGGTTGATGAATTGTGAACATGATTTCTGGCATCAGCAAACTATGCCAGAATTGTTGCTTGTTTTCGAGTGCTGACAGCATACTGCCCTTTCATGCAAGCTTCGTTTTTGTAAGGACCATTGTGAGAAATGTATGCCAAAGAGGCCCCTTACTTGAAAGATGTCATGAGCAGCATACGTTGTCCTAGTTAAAATGTGACAGCAAAAGGTTCAATGCACGCTATATGTGTATGCTTATACCTCTGCAATTACATATTCACTAGAGTGTGATGAAAATTGAACATCCTCAAAAGACAGCAATCAAATCCCCCACTACCTCCGTCACATACAACTCAAAACCCAAAGATCAAATGAGGTTCCTGAACTCAAACAAGTGCATTTTCCACTGAACAGTAGGCGCTCTTGCGCAGTGCCAGAGTGAAGTTTGTGGACTCGGGGACTAAACAAAAGATTCTATTGAATAGATCACTTGAGCAAAGAATTTGCCGCATGGAACACCAAGCAAGCTAGGGACGATCGCCAATCAGGGGTAGTAGCATACACTGTCTGCAGAAACTCTCGTGCATTTTGGTATAACAGCAAATCAGACAATAGTTTCTAGACTGCAACATCTGTTGACAAAGAACTATAAGCGGGCAGCTCACCGTTTGCCACCCTGCCATCATTGCTCGCTGCTCTACTGGCTAAAGGCTGCAGCCCAAGCTGCAGGCCTTCAGACATGTTGCCACGTTTGACCCGGCAGTTCCACGGCAAATATCTCCAAGTACTTCAGCGCTCCCAATGGGCCAGCACACGGAACCCGGCAGAGGCGGTGTGAACCAGCAGTGAAAGACTACTTAGCCTCTTAATGCCGAGCAGGTGCAAAGGAACCAGCCTCCGGGGCGGCGGCAGGTGATTCCGCGGCGGCAGGTGATTCCGCGGCAGCAGGTGATGCCTCAGCGGCAGTAGGGCCTGCTGCAGGCGCAGCCTCCGGGGCAGCGGCGGGAGCCGCCTCGGGAGCAGCGGCCGGGGTGGTAGATGCGGCCTCCGGTGCAGCTGCTGGGGCAGCTTCAGGGGTCGTCGCAGGCGCAGCCTCTGGCGCAGCGGCCGGGGCGGCCGCGGGTGTTGCTGCGGCGGCCTCGGGAGCCGCAGCAGGAGCAGCAGTTGCAGCCTCCGGTGCTGCTGCAGGGGCGGCTGCGGGCGTGGCTGCAGCTGCCTCGGAAGCTGCTGCAGGTGCGGCTGTGGCGGCCTCGGGTGCTGCTGCGGGCGCTGCCTCCGGAGCCGCAGCAGGAGCAGCTGTGGCGGTTTCGGGCGCTGCTGCAGGGGCGCCCTCCGGAGCTGCTGGGGAAGCTTCCGGAGTCGCTGCAGGGGCTGCAGCGGGGGCCGCCTCGGGAGCAGCGGCGGGGGAAGCAGTCGCAGCCTCCGGGGCAGCTACAGGCGCAGCAGTGGCCGCCTCTGGTGTCGCAGCAGGAGCAGCCGCGGTTGCCTCGGGAGCAGCTGCAGGTGCCGCCTCTGGGGCAGCGGCGGGGGCGGCAGGAGATGCCTCAGGAGCAGCGGCCGGGGCGGCAGGTGCCGCCTCCGGGGCAGCTGCTGGTGATGCAGTCGTGGCTTCAGGAGCCGCGGCAGGAGCGGCCTCCGGAGCTGCTGCAGGCGCAGCAGTGGCGGCCTCGGGAGCAGTGGCCGGGGCGGCAGTGGCTGCCTCCGGTGCATCAGCAGGGGAAGCTTCAGGAGCCGCTGCAGGTGCGGCAGGTGCGGCCTCTGGGGAAGCGGCAGGGGCCGCTGCAGGGGAGGCCTCGGGAGCAGCGGCGGGGGACGCGTCAGCAGCTGGTGAGGCGTCTGGTGATGGTGACTGCAGCAACACTGCAGCACACAACTCACAAAGCATGGTGAGATTCTGATTCGCAGCAATAATACAGTCTTCCGTACTGCCACCACAGCACAGCGGTGAATTGATTACTGTGGTGTCATGAGATGTCCCTGGAGAGAATGTACACTATCGAAGCATAAATGCATACGATGCAGGCAAAATATTATTAGATCCAATCAGCTGCTCAGCGCAGTTTTGAAACAGTAATGCTTGCAACAATCAGAGCGCCATAGGTCAACAATCTCAGCCCCTTCGATACGTATACAAGCGCCTAAAGAGCGCGAACCCCAGCGATCATTGAACTTAATCAATATTGAAGCTGTAGAAGTGCCTAGATGCCATCATCGGGTACAACCCAGATAGCAGCACCTGACTGAGACGAATTAGCTTTCCAGAGATCACTTGGCAGGCCGCTGGCCAACTTGACATGTCTACAGCGCTTTGAATCAATAAATCAACGGAATAATATCTATACTGGACACAAAAATCCAAGATAGCGAAGGCCCGTGGCGCGCCCACACCTGTCGGAACCCTGGCCTAGCTGAGTGACCAACCCGCGTCGTTGAGTTTGTCAGCGGAGCAGCAATAAGGCGCCTCACCTCTGCTGGACACCGACGGAGACGCAAGGACCAGGGCAAGACCCACTAAAAGAAACACTGCCGCTGTAGAGCGCTTCATTGTGCCCCACGACGCTGCGACGAGAGGCAACGGTCTGATGCGACGGTCGTTTGTGCACCTGTTCGTCCTGCGTCGCAACATTCCAGTCAAGAAATGCCTGCACAGTACCCCAGCTCTCTTTCATAAGAAATCCAAATGCAAGGGATCAAACCCAAATGATTTATCATCATACTAGAACTTAACACGAACATCGAGCTAAGGCGCCGTCTGACCAAATATCGGGCAGGAAAGGAGTGCCAATTCGCACGGGCACACCTCACAAACTAGTTCAAATGAGCTACGGGAGATGCCACTGAATGGGATCCAGATCGTGGGCTCAGTGATGCGTTTCCAGAGATTGCGAAAACACTTGATTTTTGAGGGAGGAGGTAGTGGGAAACGTGACGTAAGGAAGCTTTACAAGCTTGCTGATCGTGCATTTTGATCCTCATGGAAATCCGTAAAAAGGTGGTCTCATCGATCAGTAAGTTGCAAGGTACTGCGCAGTACACCTACTACCTCCACCAAGGATGTGCTAGCGCGCTCCTTTCAGAGCCTTACTGGAAATAAATACAGATCATGCACACGCCATTACATGCCAGGTCCAAGCTTGACATTCATCTTGGATTCTGTGCAGTTTGCCTCTCTGAATGTGTCCAAAGCGGCGAGTGTATGCTGTCCTCTTGGGGCAATTCATATACTGCGCACTTGCACAACTACCGGTAGCTTGAATTCTAATTCAAATTCGAAAAGATTCAAGCTTGCACCTTGAAATTCCTGCCGAGGCCCTCCTGGGTGATTTGGCACCATGCTCAGCACTGCAGTGTGCACAGCCGCATGCTTACATGCTTGTCTAGCTAGCCTTCAGCTACTAGGACGTCCGGCCCAATCCACTCAAAGTATCCAAGGCTGCTTGTGGCTACTCAATGCAAGCATAGAGCCCACGGGAGCAATGCAACTAGAAGGACTAGTCTAAAGTACTATTTCAAGACTGCGTCGTACTGGGTTCAAACAGACTGCCTTGTCACGATTTTGAGCCACGCCCCAAGTATGTGTCTGTCCGTGTGTCCACCAAAATCTTCTCCCCTTGGATGATGAACAGAGGCACCTGCATCCAGGCAATGTCCCTCTCAATTGGACAACACCCCATTGCCTTGAAGTCACTGCCGCACTTTGTGGAGCTTGTACTGCTCAGAGATTGATACCACACCAACATGCATTTGCAAAAGAAAGGCCGATTAGATTGAATCTCTGCAAGCAGTGTGGGAAACAAGGGTACGTCTGGTGTGCATGGCAGTCATTGCAGCGCACCTGAATGACTGCTCCAGTCTCCAAAGTGGCGGGCTTGCTCCCACCTGCCAGCATGCATGATGCTTGTCAGTCCCTGAGGATCAGGCTCCCACGAAGCACCAATCCTTGCATTGGCCGCTCTGCATTATCTATTGTTCTCTCAACTGAAGAACTCTCTGCGGGAAACCAATGGAAAGTACCTGCCCTGGTGTCACTACAAAGCAGGCCTGCAGCAGCGGGCAGCTTTGCCAAACGAGAAAAGCAAGATGCCAACCAGAACAGCTGGCAAATGAGTGAAGGTGTCAACCAGTCTCTGAGGTAAGAGTCTGACCAACTTGAGTAACAAGTGGAGCAACATCGGAGTAGGGTCCCACCTGCTGCAGTGTTCCCCTTGAGGCCAGGGTCTGTGTCAGCTACCTCCAGCTCCACAGTGGATGGTGAGTCAACGCTGATGACTCTTCCGTTCCACACCAGCAGGGCCACCTCAGCGCCCTCCTTCAGGTATTTAGACCAGCTCTCGTCCTTCTTTAGCCGCGTCTCCTCATACGTTGTATTGTCCATGAACACATACTGTGCAGCAAAGTCTCTGTCAGAAAACACTGCCAGCCGACATCGCATCAACCACAAGTAAGGCTTCCAATGATGCTTCCATTTCTGGCATGATGACCTGTTTGGAGGGCAGCCACGGAGTCAAGTGGTATAAGTGACTAAAACTAGTGGCTGCAGTGTGCTGGACATGAAAAAATTGTTTGCCACTGCTGCATGACAGGGAACAACACAGGTGTTTCACACCACTGCTGCAAACATTACAGAGTGTGTAGAGAGTGGTTTCCTTTTGCCAAACAATAATCAAGCGAGGGTGTTTTGATGCGCACATCATCGCCATCCACATATGTGAACTGGGTCTCCTTCTTCTCCAGCTCGGCCTGCTGGACTGTCTCGCCCCCTCGGAAGGTCCTATCCACGACGTTTCCTGTGATGTAGTTCTTGAGCTTTGTTCGCACGAACGCAGCTCCCTTGCCTGGCTTCACGTGCAGAAACTCTGCGCGTCGCACACGCAACACACCTCATCAGCACCAGAAACACCCACCGCTGCCATTGCCAGCACTTATGATCTGCCTGTAAATTCCCAACCTCCTCGACTCAGAGAGGGATCTCAGGCACTGGGGGGTCCTCAAAATTTTCTGAAGAGCCAGCAAGCTATCACCTTGTACCCTCCAGGGTGCGTTATCAAGTTCCAGGGCAACGCCAGGCCTGAAGTCATTGGACGAGATAGTAGACGCTCTCACACAGAGGCCGCCTCGCGCTCTGAGTGGCTGCAGTCACAGGGACCTAATGTAAGCCAGAGCAGGACAGTGGGGCGGTCAACCATGAGAAAAAGTGCAATGCATTTTTCAAATGTAAATTTTTAAGCGTCCAGTACTACGGAGCCAGAGATCCAAGGCTCGAGGAACAGCATGCATGGTGTGGACCACAGTAGGAGAGAATTCGAAATCGAACCCTAAAATACCGAAAAGTTCAACGGAATGGAAATCAACAGGTAGGGTCGGCATGCACTATTGCCAGGGGGCAGATCTGGGCGACTACCTGCGAAAGCCGCTTGGTGAAACAGCTTTTTGCACCATGTTCAAACTGCGATCCAACATCAGTACCCCTGCAGAAATGCAGTGTTATCAAATAAGATATCTCATCTGAAGAGATGGATCACAAGGCACGCAGGTCATTGCTGCAAAGTGACTGCACACCTTGAGAAGCTTCCGTGAACCGCAAAACCAGACATCTTCTACAGTTCGGAATGTCTACTGCAATATGTTGACACGTTAAATACAATCTAGGGGATGTAATTCGCACAAGATTTTCCTTGCTGGGAACTCAGTGCCTCAACGGTGACGCTCAACAGATAGGCATTTCTCCGAAACGCCAATTTTGGCCACGAGCCGGTTTAAACTTTTTGCCAAGCAGTGATTGGCAACAAGGCTTAGGAAAGAGTATGATATTGATTCTTTGGGGCATGTAGACACAAATGGAAGGACTACAGTGTGACATGCAGTGTGCCTCAACATAATAGATCTTGCCACAGTACTGGCTAGCGCTAGCTAATTAGCTAATTAGCTATAGCCGGTTGAACCTATAGGTAGCTAGCTAACTGTAGTAGCCTGGCTAGCCTGAGTTCACGTGTGCACGTGGTGTTCAAGGACTGCGTGACGAACTAGTTGGAACATTGCAGTATCTGCTTGATATCAATTACCAACCCAGACCAGGGATATCATTACAAGGATTCCGTTTGCTTGCGCAAGCATGCCGCAGTCCTTGGACTGCGGCAATCCTTGGCAGTTGCCGCATTGGCAGTCATGACTGAGAACAGCCCAGGTCAAGACCACATTGCGCATAGTTGATTGGCCTGATGAGACAGCGGCTGCCTGAAGGCTGCCTCACGACCCCTGTGGGCTGTAGGTGTGGTCCTTCCCAGAGCCCCACTGCCAAGCCTCAAACATGCGCTGGGCCCTGTAGCCTTTGAAGACTCCTCGAAAGGGCTTTGATATGAAGTTGAGCAGCGTATAAACCCCCAACATCACATAGTGCTTCAACCAGTTCAGCACCACAGCTGGGCCCACCTGCGCATGCCATACCACGCAGCTTTGAATACGCAGCTTTGCAGAAGCAATTGTCAATAACGCTTTCTAAAGAAAGACAGAACCCCAGGAACACCTGCTCAGTGCCTGGAATATCAATCATCAATGCAGCTACATCTGGAGATAGCCAGTTTGGGGTTACGCAGATAGACAGAGGACCGTGAAGTGCACTGCATGCGCACCTGGACAACCACTCGGCCGATGGTAACGGGGGCAAACAGAAGGGTGCCGGTCATTGCAGCTGTCAGGGGCCAGAACTGAATTGTGTCCTGCAGGAATGGCCGCAGCACCCGGTCTCCCAGCAGCTGCAAAGACCGCACACATATATCCTCAAAGTGGGCAAGAATTGGTGCCATGATGTATGCTTTAGAGGCGAGCAGTCCAGACCGCTAAATGTGCCGAGGCAGAGTCTGTATGCAGTCACTGCTGTCTACCCGAGCATTGCACGAGCACAGCTAAGCTGTGCAAGGTCACCATGCAATTGTCTGCAATGTTGTTTGCATTCTCCTGCTGTTCAAGCCATCCGTGGCCAAACAAAGGTACCCACCTGCATGACGCGGAAGTTGGCACGCAGCAGGCGGTTGATATGGGAAGGCGGCAGGAAGCCGCTAAGCTGGCCCCGGCGCCCGCGTGGCGCGCGCGACTGCCCCATCTGCAGGGCCATGCTGCGCTGGAACAGCCACGCCGCTGCTAGGCACGGCTGATACGGCTGCGTGCACACACACAAAACTGATCTCTTCTTGCTCCTGTAGGATCGCTGGATGCCTTTGCATGCCTTGAGAGGGCAAGGCTTTTCATAGATCACGCTTCTGTGGATAAGAACAGCAAAGATGAGGTAATTATGCATGCTGGCTGTGGGCTCCTCTCTTTCAGGACGAGTTGTCTGCTAATCAGACCTTTTACAACATGGCAAGGCAACAGCAACATGAGCAATGCTGGGCTGCGCCGAGTTGCTAAATTGAAGAGATCCGTCAATGAGGAGGGTACAGTCTATGATAAGGATAAGGCGGTTGTTCACCTGTATGAGTATCAGGGCCTTCCTGGAAAGTCTGTCCTGCTGCAGGGCAGCGTCCAGGCCCTCTGTCAGCCGGCGCAGGTGGCGCAGCATGCTGCCGAAGCCGCCGAAGGACAGCGGGCTCTGCGATGAGCTCGCATCGCCCACCTGCAGGAAGCAAGTGACCGTTTAGATATGCAGGCTTGGCATTGTCTCGCGTGGGACTGTGCCGACAGGAGAACATTTCCATCACCTGAGACATCAGGGACCAAAGAATTGCAAGTGCATGACCACTGGAGTTTAATCCACAAGAGTCTTTCAAAGATAACGTGTGACCTCGAGAGAACTTGCTGCCGGCCAAACAGGTCTTGAAGAGGCAATGCCACGTGCAATGGTAAGGGTTCCCAAATGAGTGAGGTGAGTGGCAAGGTACCTGCAGGATGCGGTCAAACTGAGGCTGCAGAGGGCTGGAGCTGTAGCAGGGGAAGCCGCCAAACAGTACCCGCTGAAATTTGAGGGAGGACAAGGGAACTCCCTGGTAGCCTGGCAGCAGCTCAAAATATCTATCCAACAGTGCCTGCACAGCAGTACACTGACATATGGAGACCCAACCTCTGAGCTGCTCTGCAAAGAAATCAAAGGCTGTACATGTCCCGAGCTCTGCTGCATTGACTTTGTCACATGAGGAACCTCACCTGCAAAGAGGGTCGTTGCTTTGCGCAGTCTGCGTATGTGAACATGTAGGTGGTGCGTGCAGCGCCGCCCTGTGCAGGGAATGCCTGCCAGAATAACTGCATGTCATCCTCTGCGTCTGTGACTGTGCGCATGAAATCCCCTGACCTGCACAGCGCGACACCAAATCAGCAACAGAGTCAACCTGATGCTCGCAAGAAGCACACGGCAGGGCCTTTTCTGAGTGTGCAGCATGGCTTCCCTCATATGCTCAGAAGACCAATGACTATGAATATGACTAGAAGAGCCGGAGGCGCCCAATTAAATTTACTCGATACACAAGAGCAAGATGGTGTACTTACTTATTTCTCTCAGCTGGGAAGCTTGTAGCGCAAGAGCCTACCACCAAGCACATGCCATCCGGCCTGCTAGACCCTCGCATCTGGCGTACAATAGGACTCCAATGCCCCTGCACATTGCCACATTGTCTGTGTCTTCAAGTGTTCACAGAAATTGAGATTGAGCATTCGGGAAGATTAAAAATACCTGGAAGCAGAAACACATACCATGCAGTCGATGAGCAGGCGGCAAGTGAGCTGCTCTGGCCGCCCGCTGCAAGAGACCTCTCCATTATCATTCCCTGGACTTGCACCATTGGAAGATGCATGGCTTTCCCTAGAAGCCTCTGAGGGCACGCCACGTGCTGCCAGGGGCCTGTTGGCATCCCCTGCTGTGATGGGCGATTCAGTGCCACTTGACACCCTGAATGGAGCGATCAGGATCTGTCAGCTGAGCACCAGTGAATTGAGAAGAATTGCACAATGAGCTGTAGCACAGGAGGCTCAGGGACTCACTGGATCTTTACCCCTTCAGGGTACACCTCAGCTGTGTGGAAGGCGGCGCCCTCATAAATGATGCCACCCTGCTCTAGGAAACGAGCCCGCATGAAGCCCAGTAGTGTCCTATGGATGCACACAGGAAAAGTCATCTGATGAGCCTTGCATTGAAGCATCCGCTACAGGTTGATGTGTGGTGAGAAACCCATGGGAAGAGTCACTCTCCAAGAAGTATACTTCATAACAGGTCGTCATAGACGCACCTTGGATTGACGCCCAGATTGAGGACATCATGTGCTACAATGTCCGGCTGAGGTTTTAACTCGTCATAGAAACCTATGTGGACTGGGTTAAATTCTGTGGCGATTGACTGGGACAACTCGGGCTCGGTCACTAGTCCCAGCTCCACAAGGTCCTGCAGTACAGCATGCTGTTAGAGCAGACATCAAACGACTGAAGTCCAAATGTACAGCTTAGTTAGTGTGATTATCATTCAAAGAACATTGTCTGAATAAAAAATCCAGTGATGGAGTGTGTACCTGCAGTTCATGCCTGCTCACATTCCACTCCTGTATGCGCCCCTCCACCCTCCTTTTCTCAATAATGCTCACTCTGTGACCCCTCAGCTGCAGAGCAGAAGTGCCCAATCAAGTTATCTGTGCATCCTGGCAACAGTACATGAGGATGAGAGCATCAACACACAGATTGCAGGTATTGAAAGTGGATGTGTGCATGATGGCAGGGGCAAAATCGGGCATGATTGCGTGAAGCGTGGCAAGGTGCATGATCAATCTCAGACGCATGCATGCAGCGACTCACCTGCAAAGCGAGAGCTACCAGCAAGCCAAGAGTGCCTCCGCAAACCGCCACATCGCAGTCCAAAGCATCATTCAACCGCCTATGTCGCACGCGCACCACTGCGGGACCTCTCTTTGGAGGCGCACTCTTCATAGCCTGCATGCACCCGAAGAGAAACCAAGATTTTTGCAGAATTCCAGATGAATGACGAAATAATGCGCACAAGTACATGTGAGGCTGCACCTATGAGTGCAGCTTGGCAGAACAAGCAAAAGAAGCATGAATACTAATATGTCGCAAGGGGGGCACGCCTGCCAATATGCCTCAGAGACGCGGAGAAATTTGATTGGATCCCCCTCGATGTCAGGATCCGAAAGAATTGAGCTAGTGAGGCTGTCATTACTTTGCTTGGATGTTTTCACGTCTGCTGAAGCTGTGGGGCTCGACACTTGCAATGAGGAGGATTCAGACCGTCTTAATGGCTGAAAAGGGTACTTCTGTCCAACAAAGTTTCTGAGAGGGAGGTGGGCAGACAGCCCTGGGTGCTTGGTCACTCTCACATCATGTCCGAAAGGACAAAGATTCCCGCCAATGGAGGACGGCACAAATGTCGGCATAAGAACGAAAGAGATTTTGAACATACTGAATATGACAAGACCTAGAAAGGCAAATGCATGCTGGATCCTCTCAAATCTTGGCAGTTTGCCGCTGAGTCGGATGTAGAAATAAACGTTGTTTGCTCAGCAAGATGCCTGCTTTACAAGAAGTGCACATCTATAGTACTCTATTTCAATCCTGGTTGTAAATTTGTGGGATGCAGTGTTTGAGCCTCAAGCCTTGAGCAATTGACCTGAAGTCGGAAGGCTCTGAATGCAAGATGACTCATCACCTGTGGCACATGCCTCAATTGCTTCATGGAAGCCAGAGATCGATCCAGGACACATTACGATCGATCATCAAAAGAAAGAGACGGCAGCAATCATTCTGTGGTGTGCGCGTTGCAATCCAACTTGGAAGCACATTTGGATCATCACTCTCCTACTTATACAAATTTTGCCACAGTAAACACAGGAGATCAGCGTCACAATATAAATAGTATCCTTTGGCTCGATTAATGCGATTGAATTACAAATATAGCAGCCAATCAAGCACCTCGGAACCGATGGCCTCGCCTGCCAGTGCTCCAGCAGGCGTACAGAGTTTCCTAACATCCGATGAAGGCTCTATTGAATACAACGACAGCCTTAATACTGTCTCTGAGCAGCTAAGAGGATCCCAGCTCACTATCCTAGATCTGGTAGATTTCAGATCACCTGCTCTTGACTTACTCAGCACAGCCAGCTCTAACAATCTATATCATTGACAGTGTGTCACATTCGTTGAAACATAAACTAAAGTAATGGATTGCACTTTCAGGTGAAGGCGCTTGCTGATGTGCTGACCAGCACCAATGACTCCACCAGGACCCGGGGAGCACTTCTTTTGGCAGAGGTGCATCACATTGCCAGCAGATGCATTCACTTCCAATTGCTTTCCCATGTCTGGTATGGTGTTGCTTTGCATTGACTTGTACTGAAGCATTGTTTCTGGCCTCCAGGTCATTGACGTAGTCCCTGCGGCTCTGGACTCAGTGCAGGATGCGCACCATTTGGCTGTCTTCTTTGCAAGCCGCGTATCTGACTGGTAAGCACCTTTGCCTTGCCAAAGGCGTGGTGCATCTTTCAGCCCTCTATCTTGACCACGGCGCATGGCACATTCAGCAGTGAAGTAGCATGCACCCTTCTATTTTCGAGGGTGTGGATCGTCCAAAGACTGTAGCAATGAGTCGTGAGGAGGTTTGGATGGCACGCAGGCCCTCCTTGAGACCAGCCTTGAAAGGCTGCCTGGCATTGGTACAGCAAAGGGGCGAGTCTCCCGCCCGATGCACGTCAGCTGACGCGGTGGAGATCGCTAGAGCTTTGCTGGCTGTCAATGTCAGGAGCCTCACAGTGGTGGACAGGCAGCTCTGCCTGCATCTACTGCTGGCCCTAGCCAAGGTAAAGCTTTTCAAAACTTTCTTGAATCTGTTGTTCACATTCTTCTTTCTTGAATGTTGCATCGTCTTCTCTGACATGCCACGGCCTTTTCAAGCAGGATCCTCACACAAAATGGCTGTTCGTCGAGGGCTTGTATCTGGGAGCAAATGTGGCGTAGTCCTGCTCAGCATGTGAGTCGTGATGCCGTGCCCAGGGCTATGGAACAACTTTGGTGGGCACGTCTCTGAAATTGTTGGAGGGAGCGGCGGCGGCTCTGGATGGAGAGCGCGACCCTCGATGCCTGCTAGCAGGCTTCAGCGCCATACAGGCGTTTGCCGAGCTGTATGCGCACTCTGGAGAAGCAGCTGCCAAGGTGGCGCTGCTGTGACATCCTGGGAGCACTCCTATGCACTCCTATGCACTCCTATGCAAGGAGGCCTTCCAAGATGCATGCATGCATTGCACTCTGCATACTGGTATACCAGCTGTTGTAAGGCCGTCCAAGCGCATGCGAGGGTATCCTGTCATGTTCTTGTTGACATGGTGATGCTAGTTGACGTCATTCTGGGCGCATGCAGGGATTAGAGGAGCATGCAGAGGAGCTGATGGATGTGTTGGGCTGCTACTTCCCCATTGTGTACACGCCGCCTGCCGACACAAAGGGCAAGGTCACCCGGGGGGAGCTTGTGGCTGGAGTGGAGCGTGCCCTCTCGGCCGCACCTGCACTTGCGCCATATGTCATCCCCATGCTGCTTGAGAAGCTCTCGTCCTCCCTCAGGTGCTGCCCTGCCCCTCCCATGGCAAAGGTTCACCGCCCAGGGCTAACTCTGTCTTCCACATAAATGGCACTAGCTTGTGCGTCAATCTCTATACCAAGTGGGCTGACATGCCATCATTTTTTAAGACGACTCTGCTAGCCCTCAAGTTGCGTTGTAAAGAAGAACAGCAAGAGCCCCGCACGCAAGGCCACTGAACCATCACAAGCGTGCCTTTCACTGGATGCCGCAATGGCCAACAGCGGCAAGGGCCAACAAGATGTCATCATTTTGCAGGCAGGCACAAGAAGATGCTCTGTCAGCTCTGGCGGTGTGCACAACGGGCTACGGCGCAGCCGCCACGGAGCAGCACTTGCCCAAGATCTGGGAAGCGCTGAGAGGCACCCTCACTGCCCCTGGCGAGCCGGATCTAGCTGCCGAAGATGCCATCAAGGCATGCTGCTATCCATATTGCCCCCAATCCTTTACTGCCCATGTCCTTCCCTGCCATGGATATAGAGATGCCCACGCTTTCATTGTGCAGCAGCCTTGGAGATATATGTGCTGCCCTCATCATGCCACACAATGCTTGAAGGGTAATTCACCCGCTGCAACAGGTGCAGGAGCTGGCAGGGAAGGCGCAAGCATGTCTGCGAGAGTGCGCGCGCAGCTTGGCGACAGAGGGAAATACGCAGTTGGTGGATCTTGTGCTGGATGATGGGATTATGCGCGACCTGCTAGATGACGTGGCGGACGCCGGGCAGCGCGGCGGCTTCGCGGGAGCTTTCCGCCGCTCCCAGGCCGCATTGCCTGTTCTGGCCGCAGTGAGTCCCACCTCTTATCTTCTCCCTCTGCTATTCTCATTTGTCTTCATGCAGACTCTCTGACTTGCTGCTGATTATTCCACGTGCAGCTTGATGATGTATGTATTGTAATGACTGTCTGTGCATGCAGGTGGCGGGGTCCTCGCTGCTAGGGAGCACCAGGGTGAGCCAGAGGCTGCTGGGCAGCCTCATCAGGCTCACTGCAGCAGCGCAGTCCAGTGACAGCCGGCAGCTGGGACTTAGGGCTGTGCTCTGCTTAGTCAGCTCCACGCGCGATGCCGTTACAGACGTGCATGCTAGGGCGCCAAGGACAGGCACTGCAGAGGCACTATCTGCATCTGTCCATGCAAATGGTCAGCCTGCTGTCTCAGTGTCCAGTCAGCCTGGCAGTTCAACAAGTGACAGCAGGGACATTGCCTCTTTACTGGCAGGCAGGGGCGCCGATGTGCTGCAGCTTGCCCTGGGCACTGAATCAGCAGGAAAGCAAGCAGCCTTGAACTCAGAAGACATGGAAGATGATGAGCTGGCAGGAGATGTAGCAAGGAGCGCGCAGGAAGCTGGGGTAGGAGAGCTTGATCCTGGTGGCGCACCAGGTTCTGAAGAGAGGGCTGGTGAAGAGACAGAAAATTTAACGCTGCAACTGCAGGTGGGCTCTTCCAAATGTGCAAACAAATATTGGAGTGCCAGGCAAGCTTGTGCTCATGCATGTCACCCTGAATCAAGATGACGTCTGGATGTGCATGACAACCCCCATGGAACGGCTGAAAGCCATGATGTACAACTTTTATCCAGAATAATGTGAGGTAATGGTGATAGTGTCCCTGAATCAATGTACCATGTGTCCTGCAGGTGCTGGCAGAGCTTGCAACATTTCCCAAGGCAGGCAGCCCTCTGTCACAAACAGACCAGCAGCAAGCTCTGCAACGGCTGCTTGAATATGTCTACGCAGACAGCGTGGCAGAGTCTAGCACACCTGCAGCACAGGCACAGCTGAAGCACCTTAGCACAGGCAATCAGGAAGCAGTTAGCAACTTGGTGTGCTCAGCACTGGAGGGCATGGCCAGAGCAGGTTATGCTGACCTGCTTGCTGGATCTGCACTCCCGTGCCTCTATGCTGCAGCCAGCCTACCCGAACCTAAACCATCCATCTCTGGAGTGCCAGTGCCAAGAGTAGAGAGAGGATCCGAGCTTAGTAGCAGCCAAGAGGCTGGAGCAGCACAGTCACACTCTTCTGGCAGGCACACTGGAGAAGATAGCGTGGCTCTGCAAGCTCTGGCCAGCGTTGCCAGGGCTTCCAGGGAGCTGAGGACACCGATCTTGGCTGCTTTTGTTGCTGGTATACCTGCAGCTCTTGCTGCAGCTGCCGCAAAGGATGGTGAGGGCTGCAAGGCTCTGTGCTCCTTGAATTGATTCCTGCTGGAAGTCATGTAGTGCGTCATGGAAGGAGCATTTGTGAACATTTAGTCAAGGTGGTCGTTTGGCATGCAGGATCCCATCATAGCCCATTACTCATGACCCTGTCAGACGAGAAGCTGCTGGCAGGGGACAACGAAGCCGCTGAACGTGTAGTGCTGCAGCTTTTCAAGGGTGTCAATGCTCTATTCAAGGTGAGCTGTTCATAAGATGATGATCAGTAGATTTAACAAGTCACGTAATTGCTTCTTGATTCATGAATCTGCATGAATGTATGCTCCAAATATTGCACACAATTAAGCATCAATTCATGTGCTGGCGCAAGCATCCTGCTTAGCCTGCAGCGATTGACGCCGCTGTGCTGTTCTGTGGCAGGCAAAGAGCAGCATCTCTGGCGCGGCCCTGCACGACGCAGCCACCCTGTCTCAGGTGGCAACCAGCGTCTGCAGCGGTACAAGGGATGCAAAGATTGCACGCGCTGCCTGTAGCACTGTCACGTCTGGCGCTGCATCCCTTGCCACACGTGAGTGATCATCCTCTTCCTCTTGCAAGTACACGTGCATACCTGGCATGCAGACCTCATGCATGTTACTACGTAGTGTGTACTGCATTCATACTCTGGGACATGTAATTAGCCGTGAGTATGCTCGAATGATGAACATTTCTGTCAATAGAAGTATACTACAGTTAAAATTGGAATATAGCCCCCTTTTCCCAAGACCTTCACAAGGCTCGCAGCCCTAGCTCTCATGCTGTGCCCTCCTAATGCTGTACATGATTATTTTCGTGGCATTCCAGGGCCGCATGCGGAGGTAGCACAGGAGGTTGCTCCTGCAGCAGCAGCGCTGGCCGTGCTGCCGGCAGCCTTTGCTGCAGAAGAGGCGCGCCTGCAGATGCTGCGAGCATTGCTGGAGTTAGCTCTGGGAATGGAGGATAATTTTGCTGCGTCCACAGTTGCTGCTGCGGCAGCGTCAGCCATAAATAAGACTCCCAAAGGTGCTCAGAAGCATTGCTGTTGCCCACTCCCCTTACATGCCGCTTTCGTGATATTAACACTTAAATCTCATCAGCGTGGAACAGCTTGCTGCGACGTCTGAAAGTTGCCCGCATGATATCCTGGAAAGCTCAATCATTTACTGCTAATTCACCTTACAACAGTTTAAATTGCTATGCTGGTGGACGGCAATAATGACTGCTGCTGCTGCTGCTGCTGCGCTGCAGATGAGGTCGACAGAGCTGTGGCTGTGGCTCTGGATGACATCTTGCTCCCACAAATAGCACAGAAGGGCAAAGGCTGCAAGCGCGCCCTCATGTGCCTAGGTCAGCTGTCCAAAGCCCTGGTCATGAGAGGCCATGCCCGTTTCCAGGTGATGCACACCTTCTCATGCACTCCTCACCTGTTGGTATCTTACAACGCATTTGCACCTGTCACTTTGGGGTAAACAATTATGTCATATGACACATGGCTTCACTGTACTGACTTAACTTGTTTTGGCGCCTCCAGGACATCTTGAGAGCTGCCCTGAAGCTGTCGCATGATTTGACCCTTGCACAACCGGCGTCAGCGGACATTACGATGCCTACAGGCGAGGCCACTGCAGCAGAGGCAGCGCAGGTCTTTGGGAGCCTGCTTGAGATCGACGAGAGCCGGCAGCTGAACCGGCCTTCGCAAATATTTGGCAAGGGGAGAGTTCTATGGCAGCAGCGCGCCTTCACCGTAGCAGCTGATCTGCTCATCCAGGTACGTCTCTGCAGTGGTGACTGTATGTCAGTAACCAGAGAACTCCCTGGTTTGTGCTCTTTGCAGGGTCTCGGAAATTGAAATCATCCAGCAGCTATTTTTTCCCAGAAAACCAAGGGACATGTGGACTTTTGTTGGTACAAGATAGCACGCTGCAAGGGATGCATCCCATGCAAGTTAATATGCACCACAGAGCAGCTTGTATCATGGTCGAAAGCTGAAGGTTGCATGGCTTGGGGAGTGTAAGTGTTTGAGGCGGCCATGCAGCAGGGCAATGCAGCGCCGTCCAGGGGAACCATCTACTGCCTGGAGCGGCTGCTGTCTGCCGCCAACAGGAGCGCGCCTGCGGTGGTGAGGGCAGGCTACGATCGCGTGCTGCCGGCTACGCTGACATCACTTGTCGCGCTGAGCACGTTCGGTGATGTCAGCGATGACGGCGCCGCCGACTCCCTGCTGCAGCAAGTGCAGCTCGCGCTCGCCACCCCTCAAGGTATAATTCTCTCCGGCCATTCTGCTCATCCCTTCTGATGGCAAAGGCTCAGTGTAAGCTTATGGTCTGCTTGTCTTATACCTCTCATTGCTTCGGGGCTTGATGAAGAATTGCAGCAGGTTTCCATGAGGCTGCGGTGGCTGCAAATTGCACTTTGCACAAGACTAAGTGGTTGACGATATTGTCTTTGAGGCGTCTGCTCTTCACTGGCTTGCGCTCTGTCTTGCCTTGATCAGAGCAATTTTTCTTGGCTCAAAGGGCAACAGTAGCGTGCAATTGACTGACTGCTGTTGTGCTCTCGTTCCTGCAGGACAGGCAGTGCTGGAAGGGGAGCTGGATCGGCTCATCCCGCTGTGTGCAGAGCGCACGCTCTCCACAGGTCCGGCGGCGCACAGAGCAAATGCAGTGCGTGCCCTTGAGAGCCTGGCTGCCTACCCCTACCACCTGCTGCACCCCTTCAGGCCCCAGGTAAATATTACCTGCAGTGCGGGAGTGACCACATCTGTTTTCCCAGCTGCCCACTGCAGAGAGGCTATATATTGGTAGTCTGACTAAGCCAAGGGGCCTACATCCGGGTGTTCTCCGGCTCGCTGTCGAGCCCTGGTTCATGCCAAGCGGGTGTTCGCCTAAGAATGAAATCATGCAAGGGAGAATATGTCAACGGGCAGGAACTGAGCATGTGACGGGCATGTGCCGGCAGGTGCTGGCGGCCCTGTCAAAGGCGGTCGATGACCGAAAGCGCGCAGTTCGCGCCGCGGCGGTCCGTTGCCGCAGGAAGTGGGGAGTGAAGCCAATGTAAGAGTATAGAGGTGTTACATTGCTGTACAAGGGCATTGTAGCTTGCCATCAGGGGGTGCTGTGGCTTGACATGCAGGATGCTGCAACGTTGCTGCAACTAATATTAGTAGTTAACTAGTCCCTGCTCACTGGGAAATTTCCATCTGTGGAGACTGCGCATGCGCACGGTTGTTCTCTGAGGTTGCTAACGTCAATTGAGTTATGTGGTTCCAGCCTGTAAGACTGCGACATATGCACCTGTAATGCAACTTTCCTCTTCACACTTGAACAGATCTTGTCCTGAGACATGCCATACACTCCTCAGTGAGGAGTGCATCTCGAGCGGGAACGCCCGACCAGAACATGGCATGCCAAGAAATGAGGAACCAAGAAAGAAATTTGTGGATGATCTGCAAATTCGTGAAAAATAAAACCTATTAAAAACACGCTATTAATGACTTTTGAAGTCCTTTTGTTCTCAGCAGGGCAGTTGATCTCGCAAAGCAGTTGATCTGTGATCTGATCGGGTCAGTACTTTTCGACTCACCCAGAAAAGTATCCCTAAAATGGTATTAGCCCTTGTAACTTACGAGTTGGACCTACACATCTGACATAATGTGCCAGGAGCCTCTTCCTATCGTCCCACCAAAGCAGGTAGCTTGCATGCCGTGAGTCACGAAGCAGACTCATCATCTATTATGCCATTGCAATCTTGGACGTAATCATGACTTTAATTTTTGGTGCAGTTTCCCTTCTGCGTTGTGTGGACTCCGATCCCTGTCATCTCCTGGCTCCTGCCGTTTGTGGGCCACATGGGCATCTGTACTTCGAAGGGTGTGATATTGGATTTTGCGGGGCCCTACTTCATAAGCGTGGACAGCCTGGCCTTTGGAAATCCTGCCAGGTATAATCTCATGCCTCTTGTGCCCCTCGCTGAGTTTTTGATCTTGATGTACTGGAGCAACTTCAAGCTCTGCAGGTCTCGCGCAGCCTTTCAATCACAAAGGTGCCTGGCAAATAGCTACAGTAGTGAGTGATAGCTCGGCAAGGGAGCATATATAGACTGTCGCAGAGCCCTGAGGCCCGTTTTATCCATGATTCATCCCCCAAAAGGTGACATCAATCGCTGCTGCATGCCGGGTTTCACCTGTATGCTGTGCACAGATATGTACGCCTGGATCCTGCCAAGGGATCAGCCGCCGCCAGCGCTCCTGCGGTCTCCAGGCCAGCACCGGCATGCGCAGGCGAAGACATTCAATGGGACACTACTTTGCAGGTCTGTCTAATGCTTGTGGCTTCCTGCATGTGCTGCAGATGCCATGCAGGCGCAGCAGGGTTCAACCGTGCTCTTGAAATTGACGGGGACATCTGATTGCATTGCATAATCTGAGCAGGAGGCACCTGCTTGACTGGTGCGCAGGCGGCATCAGAGGAATACAAAATGCGCATGTACAATTTTCTTACCGACAACTGCCACAATTTTGTGGCGCACTTCCTCAACGAGCTGAGCTATGGGGGCTCCTCAGACTGGAGTGCCGTCTGCTTGGTGGGTCTCATGACAACTCCAGGATTTTACATGGCCCATGGAAACCATCCATCTGCTCTGGCCAGATCATTACATGCCTTGGCAAATCTATGTATGTTCAGTTTATGCTGTGCATGTTCAGCTGCAGAGGCCAGGAAAAGGTAGGCCATGTTAGAGTGCATCTGACTCAGTCAAAATAGGATGCATGAATTAAGACATTTACAAGCCTGCATGCAATTGCAGGCGGTCATGGTGTTCCTGAAGGGGCGGTATGTGGGCTGGTGGGGGGCAGTCAAGACATGGCTGCCCTTCTGCACCATCATGGCAATTGGGCTAGCCTTTGGGACTTGGTACTTTGCCCTGGCATGGACCTGCGGCCTAGTGCTGCCTCTGGTGCTCTGGTTTGTCATCCGACTGTATCTCCTCAAAGGTCCGAGTGTGAGGCAGCAGCCTTAAATTGCGCAGAGGAAGTAGACTTTGTAGCTTCTCTGCTGAGGTCAAATGATTCCATGAATTTTAATCAAGTGCATGGGGCCTGCCACTGGCAGCAGATCTTATGAACAGATCATACTTCTAGACACCGTCCTGGTAGCAGGTAGTTCCATCAGCAGCATTGTGTGAACTGCCAAGGACGAAAGAAATTGAAGATGGAGCTTGAGCAGAATCAATCATGATGCATTCTGTGGCAGATATTTTATTTCCATAAGTTTGTCAGTGCTCAGGTTGTGGCATAATGATTACTGCTGCCCTCCCTGCAGCAGAACTGTTGCACTAGTACCTCTTCAGATGTGTAACTTAATTTGCGCTGAAAGAAGTCTTGCAGCACAGCAAAGAGCATGTCTGTGCTGCGTCAGTCATTTGGTGACGCCACCTAGAGGTCATCTGGTTACTGAAGGCCCTTTGCAGGGCCCTGACCCGTTGATATCGAAAACCCCCAGGCGGCCAGAACTCGTTTGCACAAGTGAGGAAGGAATGAAATAAGTGTGTGAAGATCTCTCAAGAGTCATCAATGCAGAAGGAAGGAAGGGGCTTTAAGGTGCCTTGCCTTGCACTTCTTTGGAGGCTGAGAGTTGACAGTGAGAGGAATGTGTAAGCTGAACATTCAGCCGTATCCAACCCTGGACTTACATTTACCATACTATTGCGCTTTTCAAGAATAGTGTTCCTCCTTGGCTAGAACCACAGCAAAACTGCTGACAATGTTCAAGCCCACCAGCAATGCGAAAAAATAAACCAATAGAATCTGAACAAATGCCACAATTCTCAGATGCCTTGACAGCACGAATTGCAGTGCAAGCTGTGCCTGAACGCAGAGCTGTGCTCGTCAAGGCTTCAGGACAGGTTGATCTTGGTCTGAGAGTCCATTCCACGCATGACAGAGCCCAGGGGGTCTGCGTAGATGTTCTTCCAGAGCATTTCTGGTGGGGGAATGGTCCCCTGCTTTGCGCGCTCCACTGCTTCGTCCACCTCCTTCTTGATGGCCTGCAACAGCGCACCACTCCTCTCGTCAGCGCATGCATGCAGGCTCTCGGAAATGCTGCGAGCTGCAGATTGGCGAGGCAGCAATCAAAGAGACGTGCCAAACACCCCTCATTTTCTTGTGCTTGCTATCATGCTGTCAACACTTCGCTTGTGTTGAGCCCACAGCAGACAAGCAGTTTGTCACATGGATCTTCAGTAACTTTCTCTGCACCAGATTCCCTTGTCTCCCCTGAAGTGCACAGCCAATCGAAGCAGGGCCTTTGACACCTAGGCTTTCTTCCAGTCCTTGCTGAAGCACAACTCCCTGCTGGACCTTTGATGAGGGGGGCTTGCTGTCATCAAAGGTGCTTCCGCCACAGCAGTAAACCGGCCACCAGCAGAGCCCTAATACTCCAGCCTTGATTATTGTCATGCCGCCAGCGCACAGCTTCACTCAGGGCTGTCAGCCTAGCAGCCAGCCCCGCTACGCTGCGCTGAGCACTCCCACTTTCACAGATCACATCCTCGCATTTTGGGATTCCATTTTCTTGCCGAGTCCAGCATACTAACCCCACCAAGTAACGCCAAATTCAAGATTACATTCAAGGTTCAGGGGCGAATGCAGGACTGCGCACCCTTTTGGAATTTTAGTATCGGTGGCATCCACCATGCTCAAACCAATCGGAGGAGAGATCCCAGGCTTCATTCAGGGTTCAGGGGTGATGCAAGACCGCACACGTTCTCGGACTTTTTGACATCGATGTAACCACCCCGGCCAACCTTCAGGCTTCAGGGGAAATGCAGGGCAGCGCACCTTCTCGGTCTTTTTAATGTCGGCGGCGTCGACGAGGCCGCGGTCGAGCAGCAGCTTCTTCACGTGCTCCACGGGGTCGCGCTGCGTGCGGATCTGGGTGATCTCATCGCGCGTCCGGTAGGTTGACCCCGGGTCGCTCATGGAGTGGCCGTGGTAGCGGTACGTGTCCATCTCAAGGATGATCGGCCCGTGCTCCACCGCGTGTGCCTTCGCGTATGCCACTCCCTGCATGCATGCGCGGGGCCATGTGAGTACGATAAAAGAGGAGGCTCACACAGGGGAGGCGAAATTTCCACTACATGACGCAAGGGGCAATAAACTGCACGCATCATAATCTCTGGAATTGCAGTGCGGGTACTTGCTCAAGCCAGCTGTTGGGCCCGGTATTTATAAACATAAACTGCGCGGGGCCATGTCAGGGCCAGACCGACTGTCCTCAGGATCGTCCTGCTTTGAGATTAGCGGCGATCTCCCAATGGATAGATCCTTGAGGCTTCCCAGGTGCATTGCCCTCCGCCACTCAGGGAAGATGCAGGCAGAGAAGGGCTTTATTTGGACGAGTCATGGTGGACCAGGGGTAGCCTCATCATCAGGTACATGTGAGGATATCAACATGCATCCAGTAGGGAATTGCCGTCAAAATCGACTGCCAAAGACTTGGGCAATGCCTTGGATCTTTTGCTGCTAGAAATGTGTGGCACAGCACATGCGAAAAGGCACCGGAGCAAAGGGGGCGCACATGTTTGACGGCCAGTGCATCCATGCCATCGATTTTGAGGCCTGGGATGTAGTCTCCCCGAGTGTAGAACGCGCTGCTCTTGGAGCCCCTCCACTCTGCTGTGCCCATACCTGCACCCCAGCAGCAGCACATCTGCAACTACAGAAAGAGCGCTGGGAATGCCAAAGTACTACAGCAGCTCAGGACCCACGCTTCTGTTTGATAGAAAGCAGGCATGTGGTGAGGTGTGTGGCATCAAAAAGAACGGCTGTGAGGCACAACAGAGCAGGGAAGGCATGCAGTGCACAAGAAAACTGCCTGCATGCTGTCCATAAGCAGCCACAGGGCTGCCAGCCTCCTGCTCAGTGCTCACATGAGCATTGCACCACCACAACATTTTCAAGCATTCTGTCTATAAGACATCTAGGGCGCAACGCACCATAGTGATTGTTTTCGCAGATAAAGACGACAGGCAATTCCCACAGGCCCGCCATGTTGAACGCCTCGAAGATCTGCCCCTGGTTTGCTGCACCATCTCCGTACCTGCACAGCATTTGTGAACCCTTACATGACTTCTCTCCTTTGAGTGGGTGTCCCTGGGGTGCACCCATGATTCACTTCCCTGGCGTGAAAAATATTCATAATGTCTGGCAACCCGGGCAAATCTCCATCACACCGTCTTAACAGGAGTGAGGCTTTCTACTGAGGCAGCTCAAGCTTCCAGCGGCATGCATGCTACAACCACCTTTCATGTGAAGAAAGGATTCCACCCCGGGGGACCTCCATTTTGCTATTTAGAATGTACCGGCAATCTGCATTTCTGGAATCGACTCTAAGATTGGAAGTCATGAAGATAATCTATAAGATCTGTCACAATCCGAAATTTCCCCAAGGTCAATTGACCCATTTCCTCAAGATCGATTGGCCTGTGAGCACCCACAACCATGTGGGAGAGAGAGGGCCGCCCACATTGCGTAGGCGACGCTGCCGTCCTTGCGGTACTTGTGCGCGTAGCCGAGGCCGGCTCCGAGCGGAACCTGCGCGCCCACGATGCCCTGCCCTCCGTAGAAGTTGTGCGCCTTGTTGTACATGTGCATGCTGCCGCCCATGCCCTTCGTGGCTCCCTCTACCCTCCCCATCAGCTCTGCAGCGCAGATGAAACTCTTCAGAACTGGGCCCCACTGGTCAGTCTCTGCTTTGTAGAGAAGCCACACTCATGCATCCAGATTTTCTGCCATGTTTGTTTGCGTAAAATCCCAAGCCCATAAATTGGGTGTGCTGAGACTGACCTTGCCAAGCTGCCATCATTTCCCATAACACTCAGCTATGAAAAGATCTGCCTACTGCATGGACCAACATGGCATAGAGAACTCCTTCAGTGGTGGTGTCCATTCGGCAAATGTGCATCAGCTGCACCTGCAATGACATCATAGACTGTGCCTCCCCGGCCCAGGTGCGTGCAGTGGTCTCTGTACGAGGTGATGATGGAGTCCTGGAAGGTAGATGCTGCCTCCAAACCCACAATAACCGCCTCCTGCCCATCGTATCTGTGACAAAAGAGCTCTTGATCACTCCAAGATGGCACTGAGATCAAGTCTATAGCGCGCAGCATGTGTGGCAGACATGGTGGTGATTTTCAGGAGACAATGAAGTTAAGAAGATAAAGTAGAACACTTACAGATGACAAAAGCCCCTGATGAGCTTGGACTTGTACAGCATGTCTGCTGCGATCTCCATCCGCCTCATGCGGTACATGCTCTCAAAGAACTGCACTAACTCAGCCTTTGTTGTGGTCACAGTAGTCCCAGGTGCCTCAATGTGATGGGCCTGGTATTCCCGAACCTGCAGACATCCATGGCAGGCACTTTCAGCTGCCTGAGCCTCCATCCATCCTGGTATCAAGCTCCACATACGGGAAACAGTATTTGAAATCACCTCACATCTTCTCTACACCGCCACAGAGCAAGCCAGGCGTACAAAAGACAGATTCCAAGCCTGCAACCCTAGGTGAGCTTGGAAAAAGCACAAGCAGCAACTTCCAAGTGAACGTGGCAAAGAAGGAATAAAACTATCGCCGACATCAATTTTGAAAGTTCCCTTTCAGATGTAAGGGCAATCGCGCACACTAGCATCTGGTCAAAGCAGTACGTTCTAGCAAGAGAGATCCTATCCTCAAACAGGCTCTTGACCAAATGCAGCGCACCTCCACTGTTATTGTATCATCTCCTGCCTCAGCTGCATCAGCAGCGAATGTTCTGGAAGAAAGACCATTGGCGAGCGGCGATAAGACACCTGCTGATGCTCTGCCTGACTGCTGTAACAACCCAGCGCAGCGTGGTAGCAAGGTGGCCCCTAACGCTCGGGGTAAAGCCATCACGTATGTTCACTGAGAAGCTCAGACAGGGTCGATCCTTATGAAGCTGGAAGACGGGGCAGAGAAGGTCTTCCAGCTTGGGTGCTAGGGCTGAACGTCGCCTAATTTGGACACAATTTGCATGCAGATGAGCAGGTTCCCAGCACTTCCAGCCCCGCTGCGAATGTGGCTTTCTTGTATCAGAGATCTTTCAGGAGTCAATTTTTTGCTTATCAACAAACGATGTGGGATCCTGGCAGATGAAAATTAAGGAGTGCAGTAATTGATCTTTTTTTCAATCTTGCTATGGCCGGCCGGCGCTGGGCCGCCGGCCGGGCCTGCAGGAGATTATCCGATGATCATGATGCATCCAACCAGGACCCAGTTCAGAAATCTTGAGGCTGCCAGTGGCCAATGCATAGTGCCAGTGGCCCTGATTGGCCACACATATAGGGTGTAGTCGATAAGATATATTACAAGAAAGGCCCCCGTGGTGCCCCAATTCACACAAAAATTCTGCTCAGGATGGACCAAACAAGCCATCGTGACACAGAATTGGACCCGGTTACCAACTGGATTTCACATGGTCCTTTAGCACAACAAATGCCCAGTGTCTGAGGCTGAGACATGGCGAGCTGCTGATGCTGAGGCATGCCCTCATGCGCATCCACAGCACCGGTGCCGCATCAAGATATGTTCCGCTGCCATTGCCAACTATGGATTTTAGGGGCGTTCAAAGAAGTTTAGGAGACTCCTCTTTCAGATTGCAAGCAATGCTGCATGCCGCAATGACTGCAGCAGTGCAGCAGCTAGCTGCACATCTACTTAAATGGCAAAGAAAAATGGCCTCCTTCAAGACTGTCAGAAGCAACGTGGATTGGAGATCCGACGTGGTCACTGAGGCCACTGCTGTGCTGTCTGTTCTCATCAGTGCACTTTATCAGTTTCCATATCCAAAGGGCCTTCCTGCTCAGGGAACTTCATCGTCCGGAAGTTGAACATGGAGAAATCACCAAGCTCGATTTTGCTCGCAGGTGCAATTGCCAGTGCCAGTGGAGGCATTTCCTCAAGTTGGCTGTCTGCCCGTAAATGCTCGTACATCTCGATGCATGCATTGAAGGTGGTCTGCGGCACTGCAAACACAGCCTGGACCTGCTCCAAGTCTGCCTCTGTTGAAGACAAAGCCTGCGACCAATTTCACGGCTGCTGATTTAGGATCCTGTCAAGAAAATATTCTGCCGTGCAAGCTCCATGCGGTGATACAGTTGTCTGCAAAAGGACATGGTCATTTGCAGTGTCCAATCAGGGGAGGGGTATTTGCTCACCACGCGGAAGATCACGGCAAGGCCTTGCACCCTGTCTTGCATCTCGGCAAGCTTAGCCTGCAGCGCCGGAAGCTGGGAGTTCTCATCAATGCCACCTTCTGGGACCCACTCATAGAGGACATCTTTGCACCGCCTCACAACATGCGGCGCAATGAAGAGGAATGTGTATTGCCTGCCAGGATCCTGTCCCCCTCTCATGACCTGCAGAAGGACTCACTGCAGTCAGTGCTAAGAGCTCTTGTCAGACAAGGCTGATAACCCTCTATGAATAATGGTGCAGACTGCACTGTGCAAATGCTTGCCACTGGCATGTTGTCAAACACTTGTTCCCGAATTGACCAATTCGTCGGCGTACTAGCTTGTCGGGGCAGGTGTGCAGGGAGGAGCAAACCTTGTCGAGCAGCAGAGTCATTTCCTTGATGAGATCCTGCTTTGTCTTGACAAGTCCCAGCAGTAGCAGTGACTGTTGCATGACCTTTCTCGCCTCTTCTGCCTCAAAAATATCTTTGTCATTGTCCACTGGCCCTGCCAAAGCATTCAAGGATGTGCAGTGTGGCAGAGGCAGCACAAGACATCAGGGGCTCTGAAGCCACTTCATGGCGCAGGCAAAAAGCATATTTCACTTGAGCGGGTAGCTTGGCAGGATATTTGGTCGTTGCAGTGTCACCATGGAAGTATGTCTCAATTGATCGTTCAACCAGTGTGCGACATCTCTTGCTTCGCCAAGCACTTGGTGGTACTTCCGGTAATGCCTCCATTCCTCCTCCCCTATGGCGAAGTCATGCATTGAATTCGAACTTTGAGAGTGAAATCCTTCCAGGAGAGTGGATTCCCTTCCAGGAATACTAAGCGATAGACTGCATTTCTAGGATCTGCACATGGCAAGCGTGCACGTCCACTTCTTACGCTCCGCGATCCCGCCATACAGCACAGACCCTTAAAGTCTGATGCACGGACTCCCACCGTGATTGATACCCCGAAACAGTGATTGACGTAGAAAAACTCACCCGTGATACACGTCCTTATCGGACGCCATCGCAACAATTCTGGCCAGGCCAAAGACGAACATTTCACAACTTGCCATCGAGTACCAGCGCTGCTTCACCTTGGATGCATAATGGATTGGCTGCGTGACCTTCTTTGTATAACTCGTGTTGAAATAGCTTGACTGGATCAGTTTGCATATCCTGCTTGCGTTGAGCCCGATATGATTGCAGGTGCTCATGAGATGAACAGGGCGCCTAATTAAGAGTCCTGATTGCATGCATCATGCAAATTCAAGATTATGCTGCTATACTTTCCTACTATCCTCAGCAAGGGTTGGTATAAGATGCCACCAACAAAGTACAGCAACGATCAGTCTTCAATCTGCGTAAGGAAGGTATAATCATATTTGTGCAGATACCGACCGGTCAAGGTTCACTGGCAACACTGTTAACAGTTCTTGCTAACGTTATATAATTATAATATCATATTATGTATGACTTGGTGAATCAAAGGTCGGATTGCAACTGATTGCCTTGCAAATGTACACGAGGCTGCCTCATGCGGCATGAGCTCCTGGTCAGCCTCAGAAGCAACAACAAGGTACTGTGCCCGCCGGCCCGGGCCCATGGGCAGGGCCTGCTAGTGTCCAACTCAGCTTATAATGCAATGCAGCAATTACTAATCTTTCTTCCTGCAGGCAACTCGGGGAAGAGAATTTTACCGATCCTACTGAGCAAAGGTCCATCAACAGTGCCTGGAAAAGCAAGACCTGCTTCGCCTTATCTTTCCCAGGGACTGCAGTATGACATTACAGTGCAAACTGTCACGCTTATTTGCTTTGGCTGTACAGATTTGGAAATGCCCCGGTCCATTCCACAGCCAATGGATGCCAATGGCATCATGCCATTCACAGAAAAAACACAAGACTTGCTCTTTTTACGTCCCTGGGCACAGACAAGGATTGAAAACCGTTCTGTCTTTCAGGTCAATTCAACCCAATCATGACAATCTGGCCTTACTCCTTCTGGCCTCACAGTAAGCAACAGTGGTTCATGCTCCGCCTGCCATGCTTCTGCCCTGGCCGAACAGATTGGCAAACAGCTGTGTTGCCAGCGTGGGCGCCTCTGCACGCTCCACAGGTGTCATGAAGTGAACAAGTTTTTCCATGACCTGGTACCTCAGCTTTCGCCCCTTGGAGGCGCGCCGATCCACTTTCTTGCGCTTCTTTTTGCCCCCCTGCGATAGACAACACGCAAAAGGTCAGATGTGCTGCAACAAGACAGGCTGGATCAGTCTCCTAAGACCCACACAATCCAGCAGAGCACTCTTCCACAGAAAGTGCAGCACTCTCTGCCAGCCCAGCGCTGTGGCCCGTCCATAGTAGCAAACGGAGGCATGCAGCAGCCCAACGCACCGCCTTGGACACTTGCGCGCGACAGCACGAACAGCGACACATGTACATGCCATGCTGATGACTCTATATCTCAGCTGAAGGAGACCTAGCATGCGCACCTGTGCGGAGGCGTTGACCGCTGCAGCGTCCACCCCGCTGCCCTCCAAGAATTCCTTCAGCAGCTGCTGGTAGAACTCTCCATCATCAAACGTCTCGGCATCGCGCGCGTCCAACACAGTCTCATCAGGCTCGTCCTCATCATCTGCATCCTCGTCCTGGTCTGCCTGCATCTAGAAGCATGTTGTGTCACATGACGGCACAGATGTGACGGGTATATAGACCAGACTAGTCCACTTTGGATACCGGTGGTCCCGAAAGGCCATCGGCGATCTGTAACATAAGGGCTGGAGGAGCACAGGAAGGAACAGTGGCAATGCATGCACATGCTCTCAGGTGCCGTCACATGATGGCACATGGTGGCTGGAGGAGAACATGTGAAGGTGCAGGACCCCCGCCAGCGGCTGCCATTTAAGCCCAGCATGATCTACCAACCACATGCAAGCTGCATTCTGGCATGCATGCCCCGCAACATATCCAAAGACTTCATGCCAGCAACACCTCCAGAATGTAGCTCTCAATTACAAAATAAGATAGACCTACCTGAGCGGACGCCCGCCCCATCAAGGGCCTGATTTGAGCGGTCATCAGCTGCGTGCGTTGCACTGCCGGTCCAGAGTCCGTCACTAATGCTGCGACCTGCATAGCCAGTATTAATGTTATATTTAAAAAAATTGAAAAATGCTTTCCAAAATGTGGTGACCACTGAAAACCTGACATGCAAGGGTTGAAATGCAGACTCAATATACCAGAGCACAATCCTGTCATGTGCATGCATGAAGGGTAAAAGGGAATGGCTGACATGACAGGGTGTACCTGTGAAGAGAGGCTCTGATTGAGGGCGCGTAAGTTGTTGCGGAGAGCGCCACTGCCTGTCATCAGCATGGTCTTCCGGTGCCACCTGTCCATTGATGCGTCCCGGAAAGGAGCGAAGCTCCCATACGCCGCATTCATTCTGGCCCACTTGGTCCCTGCACAAGGAGCAGCTGCGCACGCTCAGCAATTGCCTTCGACAAAGCCCATACTGCCAAGAGTATTGCAGCCCGCGCAAGAGATAGAGCATGCTGATATCCTTTGTTGGGCTTTGTGTCCATGAACCATCACAGCGGATCACCCAGGGTCCTGCGATGGGCTCAGAAGAGCGGCATGGAACAGTCGCAGGAGGCGACAGATGCTCACCAGACAATAAGTCATCCCCGGCAGCGCCGTCTCGGCCGCGCTTCTTGCCGGTTTTACCCATGACGGCTTCTGCTGGCGGCTCGGTGGCGGCGGCTGCCGCGCGGTCAGGCACGCGCTCAAGCAGCTCGTCGTGCAAGTCCAGGAGTGAGTCAAGGGTGGCGGCTGCGCCGTCGGCCAAGCCGTGGAAGCCTGACCGCAGCTCTGGCGCCACCGCGCATGCCGCCACATGCATGTGCGGCCGGACCAGCCTGTTGGACGCCTGCGCGCAGATCACCGCAATGAGCAGAGTCTCTATGCAACGCTGTTCCATGCACAGGCTCTTAATTCAATGAAGACATGTGGGGCATCGTATTCACTGCGCCCTTTCTCAATCCCCTTGACAGCACTGGATTGCTGTCTGCAAGGAATAAGCGAAGTGCAAAGGGAACTGTCATGCAGGCAGAATGGGTCACATGTCAGCACCAGATGGAAGCTGTCCCCTGCAAGATATCGCCTACAGACTGTGCTTGGTATGCAGGTGGGGCCATGGCAGAGTGCCATGCATAAACCAAAGGAGCCACTCACCTGCAGGCAGCTCTGCAGGAGGATCCGCAGCTCGAGCATGCGCTCCCACAGGGCGCGCTGGTTCTTCACCGCTGTCCCCTTTGCCCTTTCACGCGCCGCCCTGTCCCGGTTAGTAATTGCCATGTCAGCGGCGGTGGTGCCGGCCCTGGCCGCCTCAAACTCGCGCTCCAGCGCAGCCGCCTCCTCATCGACCTCATCCTCTGTGGGTCAACAAGAGCTCTTGCATTGTGGAACAAAACACAGTGACGGTGTGAAGTTCACAAAGCTGAACATGGGAGTCTTTCAAGCTTGCACATGGGATGCTGCATAAGAAATTTATTTTCATGTACACATAGCTGAACATGGTATTCTATCATACTTGCGCATGGGGATGAAACCACTGACCTGATGTTGAGCCTTGATCTTGATTGTCACCAAAAATATCTGCCCCATTTGTGACAGCAGATTCTGGCTCTGCTCTGGCCCCCTGCTCATCCCCCAGCTGCCCCTCTGACTCGTACTCCTCAGAACCTGTCTCCACGTCCCTACAAAATGTGCAGTGGATCAATTCTACTATCTCATCCACGCCCATCCCGGTCCTGCCAGCATTAACGAGGGTGATGTCCAGAAGATCCGAGCAGCAACTACTTGGTGAAATTTCTCACTGAACAGATGGCCCAGAACGTGGGCCCTGGCCAGCAGCATGGGAAGGGAAGACTCACTCGTCTTCTGAAATGGCGTCCTCAGATTCATCACCAAAGACGGCGTCTCGGCTGACCCTTCTTCCTTCATACTCTGGGTCATCCAAGTCTATGCCTCCCCTAAGCGGCAGCCCCTTCTCTCCCTTCCTTGGCCTGCACACATGATAACGCTGATTTTTTCGCCATTTACAGGATCAGATCAGATCCTGAATGTCTACGCCTGCTTCGCCGCCTCAAAGTGGGCGGTTCGACGTATCACCTCACCTGTGGTGCCCATTTTCGAGCTCATCATCTGTCTCTTCCACCACAGCATCCTCTCCAAACATCCCCGCTTCAGGATCATGCTCTGTGCACAGGAAAGCCAAGTTCAAGACAGGCATTGAGCTAGACTGAGAGCAAGAACTCCAGACACCAGGGTGGAGGCAGGGTGAAACACCAGATGGTATTTATCATCTATGCAACAGTTGTTATCCGTTGTAATAGTGATCTGGAGCATTATCCATCAGACTACCTCTAGTGGGCGCAGTAGTCGCCAAGTCTTCTAGCTCTTCCGCTAGAGTCTTCTTTCGCACCATGGTGGTGCAATCGACAAAGAAACCTTTAGAAATTGGTTTTCAACCTAAACTTTTGGATTGAAAAGTCCGAGGCCTTTCACAAGGGATTATTGTGCTGGCTAGTAAACCGGATGTTGCCCAAAGAGTCACTGAAAAGGCGATTAGTAGTACGAGATGCAGACGTACAGCTTGCTATTAGGCAATCTTGGCAATTTGATGTTATACTTTAGAAATATTCTATCAATTGCACTGGCACGGTAAAAGGAAAGTATTGCTCGCTCAGCTGGTAGGCATAGGGCTTGGACGCCAAGGGTAGAGATAAACGTTGAAGGGTCGTTCTGGGGCTTTCTCCATCAAGTGTGGCAAAAGTTTCCCAGCAATGGCAAGTCGTGCCCAATGAACTCAGAAATCCCGAAGATAGACCATGAAAACAATGTATGTGTGCAGTATCAACGAAAGGGATAGCTATCAAATACCACGTATATCTTGATTCCCGACGTCAGTAAAGCGTTCAATCGGTAAAAAATATCATGGACAATAGTCATGCGAAAGCTTATTTATATCGCATTTGAATTGACCGAGGCAAAGCTGCCTCAGGCAGGTTAGAAAGAGCATATTGATGGTTAATGACGACTTGATGTGAGGTGAGGAGCTGGCTGCAGACTCAACATTGCGATCAATGATTGCTCATTGTATTTTGTCATTTATATCGAGTGTTACCAGGTACCTTTTGTAAACAAGAAGAAGCCACCTTGAATAGATGGTCTCGGCGTATCGCACATCCTCCTCCAACGGTGGAGGTGGGAGGGGCATGGGGATCAGTGAGGCACAGCATAATGCTGAGGCATTGTTTGAGAGCCAAACGGTGGTGGAGATACGGGAGGCATGTCTCACAATCAATCTTCCAAATCTTCCAAGTCCCATCCTGCAAAATTTCAGTGGAGAAGAAGACACTGATTGGTCTTCACTGGCCAAAAGAAATGGGGAAAAACACTTATTGTTGCTTACGTGTCACGCAGGTGGAAACAAAGACCAAGGTTGACATTGAGGACAAGAAGAAGCAGCTCCGACTGCTAGTGGGCAACTCCTACAGGTGAGTCCTCCTTATAGCACCAAGGCTGAAGGCTTCACAACAGTCTGCACACAATTGCATCCTTCTTTACTTCCATGTGAAAGAGCAGGTTCTTGGGATGGCTAACACTGGTACACCAACTGGAGTTTGGTGCACTGCCCAGGGACTTGATTTCCAGTGCCGATACAATTCTGGACATGACAACTTGTTGCAATGGGGTGGTGACCAACTTGAAGGAGATCCAGGTGGCCTTCCTGGTCCTTGCCATTCCAAAGTGAACCTCAAGCTTGTAATCCCCGACTTTAGACTTCTTATCTGAGCTAGTCTGCACTGTATTCGGAGAAATGTGATCAGACTGAGTTACTAAATGATTCTTGTGTCACACAGGGAGGACTTGCAGAGTTTAAGGCTGATGTGTCCCACGGCGAGCAGAACGAAAAACAGACCTCTGCATCCAGCGAGGAACGCCTTGCACTTTACTGTGCGTATTACCCCCTCCCCCACATCACCACCAAGTGCCCTGCATGCAAGGGTGGTTACAGTATGCGGACATTGGCTCTTGCTTCTTTGCATGCACCATACATCCAGGAAGGACATTGTATCTCTCATACATGCAGTACATTGCAATCCATGTATGCCGACCTTTCAGCGATGCATGGCGAGAGATCTTGCAGGCTCGCATGTTTGCAGTGCATGCTAAGCTTCTGCATGTGTAAAGAGCTTGCTGTTTTTAAAGATGCTTGCCGAGCTCATTTCCAATGCGTGTGGGCGCAGCATTGGGCGGGCGGGTCAAGTACCTGGTGGACACCCCGGAGATTATCTGGGGCTGCCTGGACGCTCGCGAGTTCCTGGCAGCTGCCCGGCGCCTGCTGCGCGCCTCCCATGTACACTCCACTCTCATGGCTGGGCCTCAAAGGTCCCTTGTGGACCGCCGCTTCCCACTAATAGCACATCTGTGGCCCAATGCCCGGAAGTTCAGGTGAGTAAAAGTTCTTTCCTGTATGCTGCTCTGTCTCTACTGCAGTGGACATGATAGCAAATAATCTGTTCTTCAGCAGACTATCACAATTGGTGTACTGTCTAGTCATGCCTGCTAAGAAGTTGCCAGTCATGCCTGGCTCACGCTGACTGTATGTCATGACTGCATGTCAGCATGTCAATCATGCTGCATGTTTGCTGCTTCCTGCATCGGGACAGGCGCATGGTTCTGCATGTGTCGTTGGTGCATGCATGCCTCAGTGGGAGCCCAATGTCGACCCCATCTGGACAAGCATCAAGCAACGATGGACATGCTAAAGCTAGCTGACATGCAGGGTGCTCTCTCGGATGCATCACATTGTAATGTGACATGTGTGGCATGTGGCTGCAGGGAACAAATCCTGGAACTGGCCAGTCAGTGGCTTCGGTCTGAGGCCGTGCTCCCTCCCGCTGAGGTTGCCACGACTCTTGCAGCTGTGGCGTTTCTGCAAGACCTTGACACCACCCAGGTATATTATCTGTCACCTTTAAAGAAGAAGCACACACACTCTCCAGGGACTTCCCAAACCCGCTTGATGTGACAGACTGACAGACACTGACAGAAACCTTGTCTGCTTTCTCTGTGGTAGCTCTCCACAATTTCATGGGGGACATGGGGTACTGGTCGTAGATATTACCATGCAAGGAAGAATGACTATGCATTGATCTGAAATTATGGCTATTTTTTGGAGGCTAGTCTTAATGACCCAACTCCAAGCTTGTCTTGCAACCATGTGACAGGGGGTTGAAGATGGTACCTGTTCCTTCATATTGCAACACGTATTGTGCATTATGGAGATGTGACGGCCAACGATATTCAATATATGCAGCTGTCTGAGGCTCATGTGTCGACAGGTGCTGGAGTCTTTCCTTGACGCCAGGCGAGCGTGGGTGATCAGTGCTTTGGAGAGAGCGCTTGAGAAGGGGCCATTGTCTGTTCAGGAGCTCTCCCACAACCTGGCAAAAGTGTCAGCACAAGTCCAGGTCTTCTCACACACAGACCCACTAATTAATCCCAGAGCTAGCTCTTTCCTGCCGGGATATTTCTTTCAAACAATTTTATTGATTACTCTTCACAAGTCTCTTGCAGGCACAGACTTCTTCTTTCTACAATTGCTCTTTTAGCAAAGGACCATTGGCCTGTTGCGCGCCAAGCAAATTCACACTTCTGCATTGTGTGGGAAAAAAGCAATGCCTGCACTGAGTTTTTCGAATGAGTGATAGTGTATATAAGGAAATTGGTGCATGATTACCTGCAGGAGACTATCTGCACGGTGGGTGAGGTGTTCCTGTCGAAAGTGTCAGGACTGGAGCGCCAGCCGCTGCTGCCACAGGCGGCGGCCAATGACGGCCTGGCCGGTGCAGCGCTGCTCTTCGGGCCGGTGCCCAGCGGGCAGACTGGGCAGTCCGATGCAAAAGCCTGGCAGGTACACCTTCTGCCTCAGTATTTCTCTTTATGTGGCGATTGGTAGTGAAGTGTGATCAACTTGGTTGTCTGGTCTGAGTTAGCCTCATGCAGCAAGGGTTATGCAGCAAGGTATTAATGAGATGACAACCATGTGAGTATGTAAATGGTGTGTTTGCCAAAGCAGGCCCGCAGCAGCGAGATGGCTGCGCGGCTGACGGCGCTGCCGGCTGCCGATGCGGCCGCGGCGTGCAGCCGGTGGTTGGAGCGCGCAGCAGCCGACGCGCGGCCGGCACTGGGCCGGCTGCTTCAGGGCTGCACAGCTGCTGCTGCGCTGTCCAGTACCGAGCAGACCCTGCATGCAGCCATTGCGGCCTGGCGGCATGAAGCTCCTGCAGAGGATCCAATTCCAGGTACATAAATATGTTCAATGTCCAGATTGCCGGACCCATTACTTCCCATTTCCGATCAATAAATGAGCACTTGTCTCTGCGGCGCCTGCATTCAACAAACAGGGGACCACCCCATGGAGACTTTTGCACTTCTTCAGTCAAAGTCTACAATATCTCAGGAAGGCGGCTTTACCAGATTGACATTCAAATGAAGGCGGCCATGAAAATGGTGCCGTTGCTGCTATTATGCAGATGTGCTATCGCCGACCAGCCGGACACCGCACAGTGCGCGCAGCGACGCCTTCAGCCCCTTTGCAGCCGTGCAGCTGGATGGAGGCGCCAATTCAGGCACCATGCCAGACACCTGGGAGGCGGTCTGCGAGTGGGTGCTCGGGCAGCGAATGGACCTCTGGGACGCCGTTTTCGAGCCAGTCTTCCTGCAGGCAAGCTTTCTTGGCCCCTCTCAATTTATTGCAGTCGACGTGACCCTGAGATTCAGCTTGAGCTCCTACACATGACGACACTTGTTCAGCTCCAGGATACAGTGCAACAAGCTTAGATTGAGAGTGATTTACCGAGGAAACCTATTTAGACATTGACGGGGATAGCATTCCCTGCAACCGAGCATGATCCAATATTGGCCATCCCGCAAAGACACTACACTACAAGTTCTTGTTGGCGCTTGTTTTCGAGGTTGCATGCTGCTGCAATTGGGCTTTGATGCTAGTAAATCCGTGCTGAATGTTTGCTTTGTGGCTGCAGAGGGCTAAGGAGTTGATTGAGGAGTCCTTCCATGGCATAATTGCTGCTATGGAAGCTCCACTGTCCAGCAGCCTCGATGCAGCCAAGCAGGCCCATGCGGTGAGAGGCCTCTCTGCTCCATTTACTCTGTTCACTTGGATACCCTAGTGTCAATGAGCCAAATTTCAAAGCAATTTTGACATCTGCATCTTCTTGTGTCAATGTGCCTGTTTGTGATCGAATCTCAATGAACCTCAAGAGCCTAATGCTGTGCGCATCCCGGTGTGCAGAGTTGCATCTTGCTGTCGTTTGATGGCATATATTATGTTCATCAGACCTCCCTGAGTTCCCAAATAAGCCTCAAGGCAGGTAGCTCTTTTGAAAGAAGTGCGTGTTGAAATACAGGCGCCTGCCGGAGCATTCCAGGCACCTTCCTGGCCGGAGGACGCCCCCTCATTCGCGCCGTCAACTCCCACGCGGTCAGCTCCGCGAAAGCGCCTGCGCATGGACAGGGCAAACGATGAAGCAGATCAAAGCGCAGCGCAGACCAGCCAGGGAAGCGGGGCTGACACAGCAGCCAGCCAAAACTGGCGCCTGCATGTGCGCGAGCTGCAGACAGTTATGGACGGCGGCCTGAGAGACGCGCTGTCCGGAGCGCTGCTCCTGCTTAAGAAGCCGGTGAGGAGCCCTTACACGCCCTTTCATCTTGCAGAAATAGGACGGATCTCATGGGACACTGCGTGCTTGTTGAGAAGGAGAAGTCATGCATGCATGGTTGCTTGACTGGCTCGTAAACGTGCTGCATTGCAAATAAAGTGGGAGGCATATTATGCTTGGTGTTGGTACCCACACTCCGAGTTGCCTTCCCAGTAATAATAAACTGACCTCTGTGAAGAGTTAGCTTGGGTTCCTCTGCTGCATATGCAGTATTGCATGCAATCAACTGATGGGTTTCTGGCATGGCAGGCCAAGGAGAAGCAGCGGTCCGGGTGGGAGCAGTGGAGCAGCCGCGCCAGTGGTGCCGGCCGAGCCGCGCGCGCGCCGACCGGCCGCGCCGCCATCCTGGAGCCGCACATCCAGCAGGCATGCGCGGCCGCGTCTACCGCCGTCGCCTCGGCGCTTGACGGCCGGCTCGGCGCGCTGCCGCCGGCCGCTGACGGCGGCGCCGGGGCCGCTGTTGTGGAGCAAGCTCTCCTACTCGGTGCGCCCCTGCTGCTTGTGTATGTCACCCTCAGGCAAGCGCTTGACCTCCAGGCAGAGGATTGTAAAGGAGGCAGCAGATCCTTAATACAATGCATGGTGGAAATTGACTATGGCAATATGCCGTAGCTTTTTCCTTTCGCATCCATATTATGTAAGAATGCTCCTCCGCATGGCCAAGCACATATGGCCTATTTCCCTGGCTACTTGGTGATGCCAAGGCCGGAAGAGTGACATCATGAGGACTCGTATGGCGGGGACATGCATGTTGCACAGTTGCCTTCATGCTTCACTCTCAATCCTCCCCATCCCGTGACACAGGAAGTTTTCCTAAAAGGATGATGCACCTGAGATATCCTAATGCGGGAGTTTCCTCCTGATCATCAGCAAATTCCCCGTGTCTTCAGGGATGGTAAGCAGGTTCTGAGTGCATGCGGGGTGTTTTGCAGGTCGCCTGAGCGCCTCTTTTGGCGCGCACAGCACCTTCCTGCCTGTGGTCCTGGGCCCACCTGAAAATTGGCGCGGCGCTCTCTCAGACTCCGCCTCAGCCAAACAAGGCGCACTGCAGCAGCGTGCAGCCACAAGCAGCGTTGCCACTGCTGCGCAGCACCTTGAGTCTCTGCAACTAGAATTTGGGTCTGTCCCACACCAACATGCCACGCAATGCACGTCGCGCAGAGCCCTCTTGTTTTGGCGTGTCACTGTAGTTGCGCAGACTTAGTACTGCACCCATGCATTGTCTGATATGAGTCTCTCAGACCAGCTCAACTCCTACGATTGGTCAGTGCTCATACTAAGAGCAGCAGGATTATGAATGCCTTGTGCTCTCGGGGTATCTCAGGCCGTACAAGCGCATGCATGCATTTTTGGCAGAGAGAGAGACGCACATTGGCCCGTCCCCTTGGGACTCCCAGTGCTCAAGTCATAGTCGCAGCAGCAGGATGACAAATGCCTTGCGTTGAGTGCAACCCAGGTGGCTCAAGTAATACCAATAGCAGGACAATGACGAATGCCTTGTGTTGATTAATAAATCGGTGGCTCAAGCCATGCCAACAGCAGCAGGATGACAATGCCTTGTGTTGGTTCACAAAATGGTGGCTCAAGTGATGCAAACAGCATGAGAATGACGAATGCCCTTTGTTGACCCACAGATCGGTGGCATTGAAGGCGCACAGCATTTGGGCCAAGTGGGCGGCGTCGGCGTTGGGGCGCCAGCTGGCAACAGGCATGGAGCACGACCCAGCGCTCACCTCGCACACCCCACTGCGCAACTGGGCGGACACCGTCGTCAAACATGTGAGCTTCTCCACATCCAGCATAATCTTGTTCTTACTTATTCGTGATGTCAACAATTGTATGCTCTGAAATTTGCGAAGGGGCATGGGTGAGGCAGATGCGCAATTTTAAAGGCTGGCTGGATCAGCTAGAAGGAATTAAAACGCGTGTCCAACAGAAGCCACAGTGTGTGCGCTGCTAGGGCCTCGATGGTAGCATTAATATCTACGTATCTAGTATTATTCATCCATCTGTGCCGATCCAGGAGGATGAGCTGGGCGGACCGGCGGAGGAGATGCGCTTCCCGCTGCCGGCCGCGCCATCTCCGGTCGCACAGGCGGCGCTGCTTGCGGCCTGCCGAGAAGTCGCGCGCGCTGGCGGCCACGCCGTCTCGGAGCCTGCCCTTGCGCTGCTCGCATGGGAGCTCGGGAACGCCGTCCTTGCTGCCTTCAGGTGTGTGAACAGATCTTTTGCCCATGTACTGAGATTCTCTGTGGTCTTCTTTGCGTAGACACAGCGCTGTCCTTGCAGCCCTTTACCAGCGGCCATTCCTATTTTGTGGTCCTCAGCTGGATGGAGACTTGAGCTGAATGCAATATAGCCAGCTTCATTGGATATTCCTTCGCGAGAAGACAGCTGCCTTCCTCTTGATTTCTTCTGGGTGCACCCTTTCTACCATACCAAAGGTCAAGAGCGACAGTACCACCACCCGCTTGCCTGCAGGGATGTGCTGCGGCTAGGCAACTCCCTGGACAGGGCCATCACAGAGAAGGGCGTCCTGCAGCTGCTGTTCGACCTGCGATTCCTGCGCAACTCCCTCGCAGGCGGCCGCCCCGCCGCGGCCGATGCCGGCCCGGCTGCAAATGCGCGCCTGGCCAGGAGCGGCGGTTCCAGCACCGCAGCCCTCTCGCAGCGCAAGCGCGCATTCTCCGACATCGAGAGCGCTCTGCAGGTGGGATCTGCAAAGCCGTATGCATGTTGTGCCATGTGCGCAGGCAGTTTGTGGCAGCTCGGCTGTATTACTCTAGTTAATGCCCTCTGTGCGCCTGGTCCATGCATATACATTGTACACTGGTTCTGGCTTGCCAGGAACCTTGCCTGCTCTTAGTTTCAATCTAAGAGACTTGAAGAGCAGCAGTGGTTTTCAGAAAGCCAGAAGCACTGCAATCTTCACGTGCATGTCCAGCCTTAGAACCTCCTTCATAGGAATCTACTTATTCAGAAGATCTCAATCGGAGCGCCACAACATGCAGCTCTGACACCTTGCAGGAGCGTCTGGACCCCATCGACTGGGCCACCTATGAGCCCTACCTCTGGGCAAACGAGGCCACGCTGCGCCCGCGCACAGCAGTTCTCTTTGGGCCGATCACTCGCTTGGCGCGCGCTGACGGCAGCGTTCCCTCGGTATGACGCAAAAGACGACTTCGTGTGACTTATGACCGTCAATGACAACATTCATGCGGCGGTATGACATGACTGGAGACATATGCGCATTCCCTTACATGGTCATTCACCCATCCTGCATGACAGGGCTGTCAGGCCATACACCAGACTGTGGCTGATTGGGATACAGTGTAGTTGCTTAAGAGAATAGGAATGCGGACATCAAAGCAGAGCGAGCAACGGAGAATAGGGAGAAGGGCTGCCTTGCAAGTGCACGCCATGCAACAACAATAAAATGCCCCCCCGGCCCAGGAGCATTAAATGACCGCATTGCATACAAGTGCGGCTGGATGAGGGTAAGGGCACACCAAAATGAGTGCGCAAGGTAACAGTCAGATCATGCATTGTAACAGGGAGCAGCCCCCGGGATCGGCCGCGGCGCGCCGGCCGGGGAGGCGAATGTGATGGCGGCCGCGCCACAGGCCCCCCGCTTCGCGTATCTCCCCATCTCCACCCCCTCGCTGGGGGGCGCTGCTGGGGCGCGACGGCCGGGGGCGTTCCCCTCCGGGACCCCCACCTTTTCGGGTGCGCAAACGATTTCCTCAGTGCACCATGTCTTCATGAGTTGGATTTTGCCAGGCAGGAGATGCAGCAGGAGCCAGTATTAGTCCATGCTAGAGTCCTCCTTGTCAGAGTTGCTTGGGCATAATGCGTTTGGATGCTTGAGACTTTGCTTTTCAACGAACCCTGCTGACCCTTCATCAATATCGGATGCTCTCTGGTCGTCTGAAACAGGACAGGCAGGGATTTGGGCGGTGCTTTATGTCTGTAACGGCTTGATGCTTGCATGCTGATTGGCTGGTGCATGCATGCAGGCATGGAGAAGCACTTGGGCGACTACTCTTTCTCCGGGCTGTCAACAAGGGGCGAGGAGGGCAGCCTTGCCGAACAGGCCGCACAGAGCGCCGCTGCCTCAACGTTCGAGGTAAGCACTGGCCGCAATAATGGTGGTACTTGCTGGCTTGTCAAACATCATGTTGGGCTCCACGCATTTAGTCAGGCCTGTCCCCATACTTCATTTAGCAATCCATTCAAACCCAAGGACTCGGCGATGTCATCTCTGCGATTTGCTGATGATTTGGACCGTGCACATCCAGGCACTTGCATGGTATGCAGTTTCTGTGTGGGCATCTCTGTGTCTACTGTACGAAAACCAAAATGCCGCTATTGGTGCATGCGCAGGCGCTGCAGAGTAAGATCACCAGCCAGAGCCAGCGGCTTGGAGTCTTCGGCTCGATGCTGGGAGACAAGGCCGCAGAAGTGACGGCCATGGCGCAGCAGAGCTTTGGTGACATCTCGCTGCCATCAGCGCTGACGTCAGCGCTCGGCACCTCCGGCACTGACCGCAGCGCCGCCGGTCTGCTGTCCACCTTCCGCGGAAGCTTCCATACGGCTTCCTGAGCCGCCGCAGAAAAGATTTCCACCCCGGATTCCCCCCGGCTGGCCGCCCACCCGGGGGACTTGGTGATTGGCATAAGGGCAGTGGGGGCCCATATACAATTTAGAAGCAGCCTAAATGGACCCTATTGCATGCGTGGTGCACAGCAGGCAGTCTGCTGTCTGCCGCGGCCGCGGCATATGTCATGTGACCTGCTGATCCCCCAGAGAAGAATAGAAAGAAAATAGCCGTCGGGAGTGTCTTGTCGAGCTGAACTAAGAACAGTACTGAGCTGCTCTTGTGAGTATGGTGTGATACAATGCACTCATTCCAGAATGGTGTGTGATGAAGAATGAAACAGGTACTGTGTGGGATGACCCTGACACTTGCATCCACAAGGCTTTTCAGAGCCAATCAATCTTCTCCATGAAAATCATCCAAACTTCAGTGGAGATTGCACCTCCCTGAAGACTTTCAAGGTCTTGAAGAACATTCCCTAATCAAGCTTTAGACTAGTGCAGTTGTTTGTAGAAGGCACATTCCGGGAATAAAGCCATCGATATATTTTGCGGATCAGATGCTTGAATTATTCCTTACACTTCCTGATTTAAACAATGCATGCGAAGCATCACAGCCATGTAATGCACAAAGCTTGCCAACCACTTCCTCATAATCACAGAAACCAATGGATGTTGAGCTACTGAAGAGCAAATAACTCCAGCATAGAGAAACTCATGTTCTCCCATTTGGCAACTTGCTGCCATCAAACATTGCGATTGACCCACAGACTTGCTCCACACTGCATTCTGGATACAGTGTGTTGGTTCCACGGCAGATTCCTGCTTTAAGCACGGCTCAAATCTGCGCTGCTGCAACCGACGCGATCCCTGGGAATGAGCCTCAGCTCTGATCCATGTTTGAGGAAGACATTCCCAGCTGTCTGCGAGGGGTTGATTCCAACGCCATCTGCAGTTGCACTCTCTTGGCTAATAAACAGAGCCCGAGTAGAATTTTCAGATGCCATGCATTGCTTCAAAGAATAGGACTAGGAATGGGCCTGAATGCCTCACCGTTTGTGATGATTGCGCTTGTTTGTGCAGGCACCTTGAACTGCAGCCATCACAGATTGGAGATCAGTGATCACGCAGGCATTAAAGGCGTAGAGGTGACACAGACACAAGAGAGACACCTATTCCACTTTGTCAAGAACACCCCGCACCTCCTCTGCTGAGAATTTGAGCACAGCTGTAAACGGCGCTTCTTCAGGGACACTGAACCTGCAAATATGATAGAAGACTTAAGTAAAGGGCGAGCTGGCCAGTGTCTCTAAGGCAAGAGTCAGCACAGCGGAGCGATGTAGAGACCCACACTCGGTATGGCAGCTTAGGATCTGATGTCAACGTGACCTTAAATGTCACCTTAGACCTGCCATAAGCCACCAAGTCATTCAGATTGATCCCACAGGTGGTGTTCATGAGACAATTAAACCATAGCACAACTGTGCAAAGGGAAAGTCACGATATGGGGGACCCCAGGCAATCCTCCAGAAGTGTCCAAAGATACTCACATTTCCTTTGATCAGATAAATAATGGACAGTATACAGCTGCTTGATCGCTCCTTGCCTATTCAAACAGCAAGATGACTATGAACAAGTAGCAATATTGTGATGCCCGCGTCCTGAGGTTTAGGATTCAGTGAGTGAAGCAAGATGCAATCAATTTTGCCCTTTGCAATAATATGCCTACGCACCAATGAGGTTTTGTAATCTGTGGGTCCCAAGTTGGAAGCCCTTTGTGCAACACCCTGGAAGTCTAGCCCTTGCGGGGGTTGGTGACGTATTAAGATAAGGCAACCTTGTCCAGATCAGTGCAAGCCTTGCACTGCAAGGCGAACATTCCTGCTTAAACTCAATAATAGTCATATCTGCCTTGAATTACTTATAAATATTCTGAGAAGTAATTATCCCCACGCCTTCATTTGCTGTCTGTTGGCCGAAGGTCACCCATCAGTACAAGTGGAATTACAGAACGTAATCAACCGTTGGAAAGCGCATCGGATTGTGAAGTCCAACAAAAAGATTACCTATTGATTATAGATTGATTCCTTATACTGAGGAGTCTCGATTAATCGTCGATTACTACGAGTTCACATACTTGGTTATTCCAACAATAGACCGGAGGGAGCATAAAGATATCGGTGCTGTCGTCGCTTTTGCATGGGCGTTGCGGCGAACGGCACAGCCCCAGCAAATGCGGGGCTTGCAGCCCCCAAATTGGGGTCTACAGACTGGAGGTACTTGTGTGCCCATACAGCTGCAACGTAGCAGTCTGGTTTCCAGTCACCACATGCATCTTGAAATAGTTGACACGATATCAAATTGATTTGTGTGCAATTTCAGTGTGGAGGAAGACAAGATCCTGGAGAGCGCACTTGCGGAGTTCTGGGATGTTGACAACAGGTGAAGATCGTTCCATTGTTCTTATGCAAAGAGCAGCTGCATTCGATCACCTGCATGATTTGACTCCTCTGATCGCTGCATGCGGCGGCCCCCTGTAGCTGATCTATGCAATCACGTCTCTGTAGGGTGGACAAGATCATATTGAAGCTTCCCAGGAAGACAAAGGATCTCATCAAGCACAGGATAAATCTCTTGGAGGTGAGGCTTTTGAATGCTAAGAGAAACCTGTCAGGACATCAGCGGTGGATCAGACATGGAACTTGGCCATATTGAGGGAGGCTCTCCGCCCTTACAACTGACCCGGTCGATGTTGCTGGTGATTCCAGGAGGATGTAAGGAATATTGAGTCCGGCAAGGTTCCTCTTCCTAAGTACCTGGCCTCTGCAGAGCCTGCCAGCGCAGCAGTCGGGGTAAGCAAGTCCTTCCATCCTTTCCAGCAGGCCCACAAAAGTTACTCTCTCAAAAAGCAGGATGTGATGCAGCACTATCCTTCTGTGGAAAGATTCAGAGGGGCTTGATTTATGCCAGAATTTGATGGCATTCTAGCCAGCTGGTGTCCTTGGATGCCGGCATATATAGCTCTAGTATAACATTGTTAAGAAATCTCTGCTGTGAGCAGAAGTCCAAGGCGTCAGAGCAGGAGCGGCGGAAGGGCATCCCTTGGACAGAGGAGGAGCACAGGCTGTTCCTGATGGGCCTCGCCAAGTTTGGCAAGGGCGACTGGCGCAGCATCTCCCGCAGCTTCGTCATGTCAAGAACTCCCACGCAGGCACGCCCCACAACGGCCTAAATTTACTAGCTTTGGTAGCTTCACACTGCCAAGTTTTCGGGACATGCAGTTGCATTTGTTTGTAACTCCTTCTGGCATTTGCTCTGCCTCAATTTTGCATTTGGCTTTCTCTAAGTTGCCCTGGGCTTCAATCGAGGCCAAAGTGCTGCCTGCATGGCCATCCTTGGCCTGTACTGTAGTAGTCATTCTAAAACCCGCGCCCTTGGCGGTGCGGGATTTTATTTTTTAAAGCAACTTTTACTTGTCGTCCTGACTTTAAATATACCAGGGTCATACTCCATCGGATTGGGCTTGTCTGGAGCTTTCCGGATCTGGTCTCAAAATTATCATGAATTTTAATATTCTGGGAGATAGGGTCTTAATTATGCACCCTTTTTGGCCAAAGATAATTATTTATTGCGGGTTTTAGAATGTTTACTAGAGTATCTTCAGTATGAAGAAAATACAAGCAAGCATGAAGATCAGAGTAATGTCCTGCATGTCTTCTGTATAGATTTGCCAAAGGTTATCCATGCATGGCCTGACGCGGTGTGCTTTCTTTGGACAGGTGGCGAGTCATGCGCAGAAATACTTCATCCGCCTCAATTCAATGAACAAGAAGGACAAGCGACGGTCCAGTATCCACGACATCACCAACCCTGGCGGCGTCTCCGGTGATGTCACAGGTGTGCTGCCATCCTTTGCATGTTCCCATTCTTCCTATTCTCCTCTCCTAGGTGGGGGCAGATGATGTTTGCGGCCTTCACCACTTGGCCACCTTGGCCAATGTCGGATCCATGGCAGATTACCACCAGCAGTGAGCATCATGCTTAATGAATTGGAGCACATCTTGTATGGCAGCGCAGACACCGCAGTGATTCCCTGCCAGCTGCAGTGCCAAGTAGGAGTGTGCGGATTATTTTCACTGCAGGTCGGCAAACCCAAAGCCACGGTTGTAGGGCATACACGCAGGGCGTCTGCAGCCATGTCTGCGGGGCCTACAAAAGTCTGCAGCCTGGTGTTATATCACAATTCATCAAGTCTCAAGTACCAAACCCTCATACACTCCCTGTACCGGAGCCTGCGGATGCGCTCTCTGACAGTGATGGTGTGTTCTGTGCGCAGGCATGATGCCCAATGGGATGGGCATGCAGCAGGGGATGATGCCCATGGCGAATGGGATGGTGATGCAGGGAGGCATGGCCATGGGCACCCCTGGCATGATGGGCTTGCAGGGATCCATGCCCATGCAGCCCCATGGATGACTCACCCGCTCCACCTGTACATGTGTAATTGGCAGAGCAATAGCGGCTCCCTCATCTACCTATGCTTCGAGCGGCCCGCACCCAGGCATATCATCAGTACTGCCAAAGAACCACACAATCCGTTAGTCACCACAGACTTAAGCGACAAGGAGAGCTGTGCATCTGCAGACCTGCCACTATTGCATGGTGCTGAGTGCACATGCAATGTGAGTGAGCAAAACAGAGATGTGAGCACCAGGAACACCTCAGGCACCAGGCATGTATCGACTGGCCACAGGGGCTACTGATAAGAAGAAGGTGTTCTTGGCTTGGACAGAGATGTTGATGATCCAGCAGCTTGATGGCACCTGGGCTAGCCCGGAAGGCTTCTGAGATGGTGGTGGGCCCAAGATATGGCAGCCAGGAGGATCCTTTGGTCCTGCACAATTTTGGTAGCGTTTCTTATTTGGTGCAATTGGTATCTGCAGAAGTTTGTCTGTTGTTTCAAAATGCCCAGCAAGTTTTGAGAGACCGAACGATGGTAGCTCGCGGAATAGTTGCATGCAGGCAAGGAGCTGCGGCACATAAATGCTGGGAGAATAGAAACTGAGAGACAACTTTCATTTGTGCAATACAGCCATAAAATTGGTGGTCTGAGTGTTACAAAACGTCTGCATGCAGGGAATATTTATAAAATATATACGGTATTCTGTATATTGAGAAGCTTCTAAGAGTCTGTACGCATAAGGTGTGCACGTCAAAGCTTTCTTGTAACAAGATTGGCTTCTGTGGATGTCTAGGGTGACCTTCACTGCTGGTGCTCTGCTAGTAAGGGGAGCACAGCTGCATACCTACAGGTGTGTGCCATGCCGCGACCGCTGCAGCTGTAGACGCAGCTATCTAGCAGCTGCAGCACTGGAGCAGATGCATGTCCCTTTCGCAGATGCACAAAGCAATCTGCTCCTGTGGCAATTGAGGCAATAACCAAGATGACACCAAGATGGCACTTCATCAAAACAGAGCTTTTGCACAGGCAGCTTCACCCCAGCTTCCCATCGGCCAAGCCTGGCCAGAAGCTGCTCCTCCTTGATTGGGCGCCCCTCCTTTGGTTGAAACCTCGAATAGCTTGGGATGCTCTCAGAGCCACATTTTCTGAGGGTATACTGGGTGGCGTGCGCTCCCTCGACTTGGTATATCGGATGAAGAGCCTGAGGATTGCAGAGGGTTTGGGCAGCGCTGGCTGGCGGCATTGTGAAACTTCCAGGCTTAGCAGATCAACCATTACCAGGCCATCGGAATCCAAGAGGTCCACCACAACTTACACGCCAGTCCAGGTGATTAACCAGTCGTGGAGCAACAGTAAAAGCGTTGGTTCAAAGATGCAGCGACGGCAAGTGCTGTGCAGTCCCAGGAAATAGAAGAGCAGAGTACCCTGCATTTATTGTTATTTTGCGTGCCTATTAAATGGGGATGCTCGGAGCTCTGTCCCTGACACGTACCGAAGCAGTGCGTTGAAGCATCAGCTCGTCCATGGCAGTACAGTCCAACAGAGAAGTGAAGTATGCAGGACAGTTTACGCATTCAGAGGCCAGAAACAATTAGCCAGATGTGAATCTTGATCCCTTCTTGTGGTCTTGGCGGAGCACTTGGGTGGTGCTACTTTTCAGACTTACACAGTCGCCCACCATCCCCAATAAAGTTCAGAGTGAAGGGCATGTCTGTAGTTGCCAGAGATACTCCCAATAGCTTACTTCATGAGTAATTGCACATATTGAGCATTGATGGTGTTTTCACAGGCTAAAGCAGCACAGCTACACGGTGAAACACGGCGGTGGAATTTCAACGAGATGCAGAACCTGAAGAAGAAGACAGTGGGAGCCTCGGTTGATGAGGAGCACAAGCCCACAGAGATCTTCATCATGCTTCCCCTGGACATCATTGCTGTGGGCGAGCTTGAGGAAGGTGGGGTGGCAGCACCTTCCACTGTCTCAAAACAGGCTGCAGTTTGTATGTTCCCTTTTCACTCAGCAGAAACCACTTGCAAAGGGGTTGATCTTTGCCAAAAGCTGATATGCTGTACTTGTAAGTTTATGGAGATGTTGAGTGGAGCATGCAGCCTATCATATGGTACGAGGGTCTCAAGTGACCATTCGGTGCTTTTGTGTCTCCAATCCTGAGCCCAGCCGTCTGGAAAAAGCTTAATCCTGCGGTGAACAAGTTGTCTCTCACTGATTTTCAGGCCTGTACATATGCAGGGAAGGAGACTTCGTTCATTCATGCCCCCTCCCACAATGCCAAGCTGCTGGACAGACAGTTCGCCACCCTGAAGGAAGCCGGTGCCCACGGCGTCATGCTGGATGTCTGGTGCGCCACCCTCTATGTGCAGTCAGTCCTGCTATTCCTCAAGTTCAGGAACATTATGCAACACATGCGACCAGGAACCACATAGAATCAAAGAGCATCTGTCTGCACGCAGTCAAGGATATTGGCTTGTTTTGAGCAAAGAAATGCAGGACAGCGCTCTTCCCTGCTTGCATCCATCCGGCATTGTATGCAAATGGCAATCACAGGAAATTGACTCCATTGTCACACCGTGGTGGTGGTTAATATTGAATCTTCCCTCCGCAGGTGGGGTATCTGCGAGAGGCACGGCCCAAAGCAGTATGACTTTGGCGCGTACATGGAGCTGTTCAAAAAAGCGCGCAAGCACGGGCTGAAGGTGCAGGCGGTGATGAGCTTCCATGCGGGCGGAGGGAACGTTGGGGACGGCTCCTGCGATATCCCCCTGCCTGACTGGGTCATCAAGGTGCGCCTGATCTGGCGCTGCCTTCTTCGCTGGCTCAGCGCTGTGTCACTTTACCGCACAGCAAACATTTAAGCCAGAATGCAAGCTATGGACATCATACGGAGCCAGGATCAAGCACTGGGAAAAGCATCCTGGTGCTATCTATTTCAAGAAAAGTGCCGAATCAGAGAATGCCAGCTTGTGCTGCATGCAAAGGCAAGGGGTGCAGGTTGTCAAGGGCTGCATCCTATGGGTCATGGAAATTACGGCGCCAATGTGCATCACGTTTGAAAGATCAATCGGCATGTGTGCACGTCAAGGAGCAAGTCCATGAAGTGCACAATCTGCACCTGGCAAGCGGAGAAGAGGTGGACGATGAGATAATGTAATTAAATAAGCGCTTGTATACACACTACGTGTAGCCTACAGTCACAGAAGTGGCTGTCGTACCAAGAAAGCAGTGCATGAGCGCAGGCCGGGGAGGAGGTGGATGACGAGATATTCTACACAGACAAGCGCGGCGGCCGCGACCACGAGTGCTTGTCACTGGGCTGCGACCACGAGCCTGTTCTGGCCGGCCGCACCCCCCTGCAGACCTATGCCGACTTCGTCGGCGGTTTCGCCGAGCACTGTAAAAAGAACGACCTCTGGGGTGCGCACATCTTGCAACTCGCATGCCATGTGACTGCCAAGGAGCTGACTCCTGTAACCTGAGCCGTGCAGTGATTCACACAGTGTGTCTGCTGCTGTTCGGATTATCAACCTGACACTGTTTAGGAAAAGTTGACAGTAGTGCTCGCTGACAAGCAGTGCGCTACTCTGGCAGCTGAGCTGCGTGTGGCACTTCACAAATTGTGTTTGCTGCTGTTTGGAGTAATCACATGACTCAGGGCCCCAAGAGCTGGCCGTCAGCAAGCAGCGCGTACAGCCAAGCTCTAAGGCGTTGCTGATCTGGCGGGCATGCTTGCTGGTGCATTGTCTGTAAATCGGAGTGCAGAAGTTCCGCAGCAGTTTGCACCAGTGCCAAAGAGCTGAGGTTGGGCATGCATTCTGCGCAGGGTCGACAGTGACGGAGATCTGTGTGGGCACTGGGCCCTGTGGCGAGCTGCGGTATCCTTCCTACCAGGAGAAGGACGGCAAGTGGAGCTACTTCGGTAAGCAATTATGATCACGTCCTGTGAAATGAGGAACACCATTGTGGCATGAGCGAAGGGATCCCTTCTTCCTGAGATTGGACAAGAAACGGCTCTTGCAGCGTGTTTGCAATTTGTTGTGGATTACATTATCTCCATCGTCCCAGTGTTCTCAGAGACTCTGATTGATCCCTCCCGCAGCATAGATCTCTACCCCGTTTCAGCCAGTGCACTGTAGTTTTGCCTTCTATAGCTCCTGCATGGGAGCTGCACCTGCTGTAGGCATAAATTAGGGTTGCAGCCATCATGAGATAGAATTTACTGTCGCCCAATGAGAGATATCTCAGAATTCTACTGACTTCGGCTTGCAGGTGAGACTCTGGGCGGCATGGGAGACCTGCAGGTGCAGAGGGGGCTGCCGGGGATCGGCGAGTTCCAGTGCTACGACAAGTTCATGATGGAGAGCCTCAGGCAGGCGGCCGAAGAGGTCAATGAAGAAGAATGGTGCGCGCTGTGATCACCTCCTCTATGCCTACCTCAGATGGACCTGCTGTGCCACAGATTGACCCCAATGGCTGGCTTTTGGGTCCATGAAAGACCACTGGTGACCAGAACGTGCCTCTCTCTAGCCTATATCTCAGTTCACTTGTGAACAGCTCGGTGTCTGCAACATCAGTATGGGAATGCCCCTCCAGCAATGAGATTTCTTAGAAGCCCCCGGAATTAAGATCATCTCATATCCTGCAGGGGTGACCCGCCGAGGGAGGGCGCCGGCACTGCCAACTCAGCACCGTGGGTGAGACTCCCCATTACTTGCGCTCTTCTCTACTCATTCCCATGTCTTCTTGCTTGTGATGTGGCATATTGGAACTGCCAGGACGTGCTCATGTATTCTTGTTATCACACGCTTTTTCTGCCAGGTGCATCTGAAGAGGAGCACATGTGTTGCCCTGGGATAAATTGTCCTATTGGGGCCGAAGGGGTGGTTGGCTGGCTGATGAAGTGTCCTTTTTTCCGGCAGGAGACGGAGTTCTTTGCCCTCACAAACTCTGGAGGCTGGCTGCAGCCGTATGGCAAATTCTTCATGGTGAGCTGCCCTTCATCTCTCTGGCCCCTGTCTTGTGCCATTCATTCAAGGTCCGGCTGAGTGTGCGACTGCGCAAGTTTCCTCTTCTTCTGAAAGCACAAGGACACTTGAGCACACCCTGCCGAGAGCAACTTCCCAGCAGAGAGCTTGCTGCATTTGCTAGTTCCCTGCATGTTGTGATTGCATAGAAGTAGCTGAAATAGCAACAATGACATGCTGGTGCAGGAGTGGTATTCTGGGCGTTTGATACAGCACGGCGCTGATATCTTGGATGCTGTGCTGCCGGTCGCGCGCGCCTCAAACTCATCCGACAATGGCAGCGCCCCCACGGTGATTTGCTCCAAGCATAGAAACGCCTGGAACAACTCTCTTTATATACCAGAGGGCAGTACAGAAGCAGCAGTTTTTCAGAGTTCACTTCTTTCAGGTGCACTTATTTCTGTTGAGTGGGGTCCACACAACATGCACATGTAGCACACACAGATAACAAGCATGCCCAGCATAAATAGTCATCCTTAGCATTCCAAGTGCTGTATGTGCAATGTTGCAGTCACAAAGCCTCTCATCAACCTTTGATCACTTTTGGCTCCAGGCCAACCATGGTTGATCATGCATGCGCAGGTGGATGTGGCAATCAAGGTGGCGGGGATTCACTGGTGGTACAAGTCCCGCTCGCATGCAGCGGAAATGACCGCAGGTTACTACAACCATTTGAAGCGCGACGGCTACGCACCGATCGCCAAGATGCTGGGCAAGAAAGGCGTGGGACTCAGCTTCACCTGCATTGAGATGTCCGACGATGAGAATCCCGACCCGCGCCACTGCAGCCCAGAGGGTGCGCTCCTCTGTGTACATCTTCATGATGTATAGAATGTGCAGGTCTCTGAGCTCATGCACAAGCCTGTTGCATTGCGTGCAATTCCTATATTGCACTTCCCCCACGGGCCAAGATATTCCATTATGGGATTACGGTCACATTGGAGGGCATGAACTGTTGAGCGCCTGCTATCAATGTCCTGCCTCGGGTCCGGGCCTCACATGCACTTTGAAAGTGTTGTGCGCGCATGTGGTGTACTTGTGCTCCTGGGCATTATGCAGAGCAAGTGAGGCTTAGCGTGGCATTCAGCTGTGCCGATTTTGCTCTCTGCCAGCCACTGCAAGCATTGGGTTTTTGACTTGGTCTCTCTGAACCTTATTGTGCTGCGCAGAGCTGGTGAGGCAGGTGATCGCTGCTGGGGAGGGCGAGGGGCTTCAGGTGTTGGCAGAGAACGCGCTGGAGGGAGGCATCTACAACGCAGACGCCCTCAACCGCATGCTTAAGAACTCCAAGCACTTCCAGCGGTGCGTTCTCCCCTTCCTCCTTTCTCTTGAGCTCGTACCTACCGACAAGGCAGGCATGACAACAGAGTCATACTGTACAGATCTACTGCTGTACCCTTACGCAGCTGAAGAAGATTGGTTCTGCATGTTGGTTCAGCCGTTGGCCTGTACTTTCATGAGAGACACAAGTGTGTGCATGTCACCGAAGCTTGTGAGCTGGGACACAAAAGTGATTGATGCTGCTTCTTTTCTATTGCTGCACACCACGGGCCTGGGTAACATTAGTTGCTGTGTGGGTGTGGGAGCTTCGTTTCTAACATGCTCTGCTTGTGTGTGCAGGATCACGCTGCTGCGGCTGAAGCCGTACATGTTTGAGCCGGATGAGGAGGGAGAGACTGGCATGCGCGTCAAGCAGCCTCTCGCAAGCTTCCTCGGAAAGTTTAGGCAGGCACGCATGCTTTCTCATCTCCCGATCTCTGAGCACGCTGCACCCATGCTGAATATGCACCTGATCGTCTCACTTTCATGTGGTGCTTTGGGACGCTGATTTTGATCAGTGAATTGGCTCAGAATATGTCTTCTTCAGGGTGCAGGGTAGAGTGTGTTTCAGCTGTCTGAAGGCGTGTCTTGTGTTATGCAGGTGAAGGCAAAGGAGCCTACGATGGTTTCGGCATGAAGGAGTATCAGGGCAGATGGGATCTGCATGCATCGCATCCAAGATGTCAGGGTTTCATTGGCACTGCTTAGCACTGCTAGAATTGTTACCAAGAACTGAATCCGCCAAATTTTTCCACTGCGCTTGGATTGGTTTGCTTCAACACTTTGGCTGAAACTAATGCACAACATTCTTTCATGCCGCTTTCATGATTTGGACCCAATCTAAGAGAGCCGGGTAGGGGCAGCTTGCAGCTGCAGGGCTCACCATTTGCTCTATTGCCGTATTCTTCCTCGCCTTTTACATGATCATGAGGACTGCGTGTTGAAGCCATTCAAATTAGCGTTTAGGCAGCCACTTCCAATTTAGACCGATCATCTCAACTGTGCTTCCCTGAGCTTCTGACAGACCTGCAAGTAGAGACTTCAAGCCGTGCGTGCAATGGAAGGATCCTAGCTAGGATTAACATTACTGCGTATGCAGATATCTGTATATCGATATCGATCTGAAGGTTTGCAATTGCAATTAATGTGCTGAAGGTGACCAGTCTGCAAATGCAAATGTCCTGTAATAGCGCATGCTTCGTTGCTGGACTTCTTTACTCTTGGGATCATGTCTTGCACACGGGAAGAGATAGCATGTCCGATATACCTTGTTGCCGTGCCGTTCTACGGAAAACACCCTGCTGACGTCAGCGAGACCTCGTCCTCATGCATTCAACCTTGGACATGGAATGTGATTAAAGGACCTTTGCCGGTCCGCGGATCACTTCGTATCATCCCTTTTCTCTCCAAATATCAGGCGATTGCCTAAACATGGTGCAGATCGACAGAATCCTGATAGTATGCACGTCGACGGGAATTTTGGGAGACACCGATCAGCAAACGGGAGTGTGGTACGAGCTCTGCTGACCGTGAATATGGGTGACGGCGATAGTTGATGGCAGACACTGTCGTGTTAGATGCACGCGTTCCGAACGTGATTCCATTTCCTCAGTTTAGTAAGAGCAACCTTGGACGCTTGTTCCGTCACATCAAGATTACGAAACAGCCTCCGCACGCCTTCAGAAAACAAAATCTGCCTTTGCCTGTGCCGCTATCGTGAATTCGCAAGGTGGTAAAGGAAAGGCACTGCACTCCGCAGGGCCGAGGAGCTCGCTGTGCCGTACTATCTCTTACTCAAGAAAGGCTACCTTGTGGACATCGTTTCCATCGGCGGTAACAAAGTTCCCATTGAACCCCTGAGCGTGGCTCCTCCATACAACAGAAATGCAGCCATCAGGCGTTTCCTCGAGGACGGTGCGGTGCTCGTTCACTTTCCCGGTTTGTAAGTGCCACTCAGTGCAATTTAATTTTGAGGCTCAGCATTTCTAATCGCTGTTTTCTCTCGTGCAGTGGAGCTGCAGACGAAACTCAAGAACACCACGTCTATTGCCTACGTCGACCCAGCGCCCTATGTTGCAGTCTTCATCCCTGGTGCGGTGTCTTGCTGGATCTTGCAACGCCCGGTCACTTCACACCTGCCTTTCAAGAGACCCTACTCTGCACAGATTGTCTGAGGCACACGCTGCCAGCTCTTTATGCTTGATGCAGCAACCGCCCTTCATCACAGACACATCCAAATTACTGCCATCTGTGACACCAGTGCATAGAGGACATTTTCTTGAGCTCAATTTGACCTACCGGCCCATGCACTTGTCACTGCTGATCATTTCCCAGCCTGCGGGGTGTGCTGGCATGTGCGGGCATCTGAACTCCTGTGGTCACATACAATTAGCGCTGATAGCACTGCACTTCTAAACCCGGGGGCATTTGCCGGCATGTTCGCGCAGGCGGCCACGGCATTGCGTGGGATGGCCCATTCAGCAAGGAGCTGATGCGCGTTGTGGAGAGCGCCTATGCCGGCGGCAAGGTCATTGGCGCTGTCTGCCACGGCCCGGCAGGCCTCATTGGCGCCAAAGTCACTGACCCCGGCGACCCTCTTTACGGCCAGTCCATCCTCACCGACAAGCAGGTGCAGTCACTGACCTCAACAGTACTTGCTCGTGATGTGCGCCAGTCACACCCATGACACCATGGTTGTGATAGGGCCTCAAAATATTCTGTAGAGTAGCCCGAATAGTTCTGGAGAGGCAACAGAAGTCTCCGAGAAACCCCAGAGATCTGCCACAGAATGGGGAATTATTATGTGCGGCCCACATATCGATCCCCAGCAGCCAGAAGACTGAGGCCAATCCCAGGGATTTCCCATCGAAGACAAAAGATCCTGTTTGAAATTGCAAAATCCTGCATTCTTGTTTAGGGTGTGAAGGTCTCTGTGTCCTTGCGAAGTGTCTGGAATAGGGGTGACTGGATTGGACACACAGTGGTGGCGTGTTTGTCATCAGAGCAGGTGCAAACTCTGCAGCAGGCCATATGGGCCTTGCTGCAATGCAATCTTCTGTGTCAACCCTTCAAGCAAGGTGCATGTTGGCGAAAGAAGCAAAGCAGTAGAGCAGGCTTCTCAGGCTTTGTGCATGTGCAATATTGTGGCAGGTGACGGGGCTGAGCAACAGCGAGGAGGAGTCAACCGGCCGCGCCGCTCTTGTGCCCTTCCTGCTGGAGGACAAGCTAAAGGAGGTCGGTTTCCCACGCAGCACAGCGCAATGCATACACTGGCTGTTCATACTGAGAACATTGTAAGCAGTGATTCTTTCGTGGCTTTCAAAAGCCAATGTGGCTTTTGACAGATTAAGGGGTCAGATTTGTGGCCTTCAAGGGGTTTTTGGATGTCTGCTTGGAAGCCACAAGTCGGCCTTGAAAAAGCAATTCACAATCGTGAAAAAGCCACATTTTGCCCTTTTTCAGCTTAAATGCCCCTGATATCACAAGTTTGAGCCAAAATCTCTCAAAATTCCTATCTTCAGCCATTTTTGTGGCTTCAGAAAGTTTGTTCAAAGAAATCTCCAAAGCCAAATTGGCTTTCGGCCAAAGATCTTGACACTATAAAAGCTGTCATGTGGCAAGAGGTACCCTAATGGCTGGGTGGAAGGGGCTGTGAAGGTTGAAGTCAGATCACACAATGAGGCATGCTGCGCAATTGAAAAGTCCAAACAGATCTGCTGAGCGTGTTTCCCTGCGAATAATGCACGGCTCTTGGCAAGACTCACCGGCACTGGCAGGCTTCGATGTCAATTGTTGTAATGGCGCGAGGGGAATGATTGGCAGTGATTGGCGTGTTGGTGGGTGGAGCAGGTGGGTGCAGTGTACGTGCGCGGGGTGAGGGACCTCGGCCCGTACGCCATCAGAGCCGGCCAGATCATCACAGGTGTGCTCCTCATATCAAAGTGACAGCCTGGAATATTGAGGTGCCACCCTGTAAGAGCGGCCAATACATTTCCTGTAGTAGTCATTTTAGAATCTGCAATAAATAATTGTTATTGGCCAGAAGGGCGGATAAATAAGACCCTAACTCCCAAAGTATAAGACTCTTTTGAGACCAGATTCGGAAAGCTCTCGACAAGCCCAATCCAATGGAGCATGACCCTGGTGCGTTTGAATTCTGGAAGACCACCAAAAGTTGCTTTTAGAAGTATCCCGCACCGCCGAGGGTGCGGGTTTTAGGAATGACTACTACAATATTGCTGCGTCTTTCTGGGCCCTCGCCACAGGACATGACAGGTCTGACACCGGCCATTACGCAAGAGCAATCCTTGAGCCCTGTTGTGAAGGAAGCCTCTGAGTGTTATTAGAAACCCCACATGTCTGCTTGAATACAAAACTAAAATGCAAATTCAAACCTTGTGATTCAGGGCTGGTTGTGTGCAGGTCAGAATCCGGCGAGCTCGAAGAGGACTGCGGAGCTGGTGATTGAGGCGCTGTCCTTTGGCGTCCGGCTGACCCCATGAGTTCTTTCCTCAAGCTTTGCAGCCACAGCATGTCTAGCCCTCTGTATTAAGCCCTCTCAAAGGGAGGCAATAAGCAAAGGAACAGTGGGTAGAAACCGCAGGGCATGCATGGGTATCATATGTGGCTGTACACCGCAGGAGGCAATAGCTCCATGTCAACTCTCAAAGGGGAGACTGAGTACTTTCTCAGTCCTGCAAGAACCCTGGCAATATGGGCATCCTGCTATGGGTATGTACAGTGTGTTTCGCACAGAATCTGAAAGTTTCTTGAGTTGAAGCTTGCCACTACCTCTTGTGACCAAGCAGAGCATGGCAACCACCTTCTAGGAAGGTCTGTCTGACACATGCTCTATGTGCAGCCAAAGCTGCCAGTCAGGTCTCAGGACAGCATGACTGCCCCTTTCATTCGCTAATTGCACCATGATGTGCTTTCTTGCCTGTTCCAGCATGTTTCCCGCGTCAAAGGCACTGAATGGCAAAAGCTCTTTCTGCAAATATTCCATTCTCAAAGCTGGCATTCGTCAGCCTTGTCTGAATTGGCCTTGTCTGAATCAACCACCAGCGGATCACTGCAGAGTGGATGTATGGCCTGCGCTCAATATGAGGCCGACTGCTACCAAGAGTCCCTGAGGAAGGTCCTCTGGCCTTCTAGTATCCCTTGCCCATGTAGCCTGCCAGAGTGAGGCTGAATACTGCACAAGAAATCAATGAGTCACAGCCCTTCTGCACAAACCCGTTACTGCCACAGGGTTATGCCAAGTACATAGCCCGTGCAGACCAATGTATCAACCACTGTGATTCTGTTGCAATGAGTATTATGGCATTGCGGTAGGCATGGATTCATCTTTCAGGAAGCTCACCTGTCACACCACTCCACTGGCAGCATAGGAGGGCCCTATGATAGACTGGCGCTTCTGGTTGTTCAAGATCATGTGAGGCTGCCCGTTGATTGACAGGACGTAGCTGCCGAACCATGTGATCAGGAAATTCTCCAGGAAGGGAAGCACAGGAGCGCCTGCTGAGTCTGCCATCGTGATGTGTGGAGGCACGGGCTGCTGGACATTCTCTGCGTTCGCGATATAAACTCTGGCCACATTGTTGTTGATCCGTTCAATCCGGATGCTCAGGGCGCCGTCAATCTGCAGGTAGTTCACATTGTCCTGCAGATATGAAAAGCTGCCCTTGTTCGTCAGCACCATGGCACCTGCAGCCAAAGCAGTCAAGTCTTGATATTTTCAAAGAAAAAGAAACACAATGGAAATTTGTTCGCACAGCGTTAACAGTGGCAACGGCAGGGTCCAGCTTGTCTTCTCACATCCTGGCAGAAGTGCAGCTCACTTTGCTCTCACGATTTACTCTCAGCAGTGGGCTGCAGCCCAAATGTTTGTAGAGCACTCAGGACTCTAGAAATTGTTCGTGTGGAGCTCTGCTTCACTACAGAAACAAAAGAATACAACAACGATGACTATGTTCACTTCATTAAATCTTCGCGAAGAAGATTGTGCACCTGGCAGCGATCGTGCTGATAGAGATCAACAATTCACGCCATGCCTTGAAGCCCACCACCCTGTCCACTGGACAGTGTCCAGCACCGAGCGCTTCCTCACAACCCAAGCGAAGGGAGCTGCATAATGGTCACGTAATGTCTTGACTAAGTATCTCGTGTGTCAGTGTCTCAGAAGAGGACGGGTATTGAGAACGAGCGCCCAAATTGATGAGTGTAGCGCCTCATAATATACGGCCTGCCATGCACAGGCCATGCCATGCTAGCATCTATACGATGCTAGCAAGCAATAAGGAGATATGCTTCTTTGCACAATTTCCTCGGATTCCTCCTTGGCACGGAACAACAGCTGCTTCATGCCCACCTAGAGGCTCTCCTTTCCGCAGTATCCCGCTACAATATGGGGCTTCTTCTTTAGGGGATGCTCAAGGTACGCCCTCCAAACGAGCTGCGGCACTGGACCTGGCAGATGCAGCGATCAGCCTGCAAACAGGTGTGCTGCTATTTTGCTTTGAAAGATCCATTTTCATCGAGAAACGGAGCGAGGTATTACATTTTTGCACTCGCACTCAACATCCTCCCAGCGATGTCTTCTCCATACTTTTGGACGAACGAACGTGCAATTGAACAGTTAGACGAATACCGAACGCCTTTGTCTATGGCTGCGGAAATGGAAAGCACTTGAATCCTTCAGAAGGCATTACCAGCATAGAGCGGTAAGAACGAAAAGCCCGAATTGAGCTCGCAAAAGATTGAATGCAAGAAGGCAGCAAGCAATATTGAGTCTTTGAGGCTCATCAAAAGTAGAAATTTGCACTGTTCTCAAGCTTACTGTGAATTCTCCATTACATCAAACTGCTTGTCAACCTCATTCCTTTCGGTGCTGTCAAATGCAACGCATCTGCCATGCTGAATTGCAGAGGCATCATGTAGGGACTACATTGCAGCCCCTATTTGCGATGCTCCATAAATCCCTGAGCGAGAAAGTGAGTGTGGAGGACTTTAGGGTCCTCGTCAGGGACCTGAAAACAACCCCGATTCATAATACACAATGCTGCCAAATCTGCTCATCAATGGCTCATCAAGATAACTGGTTTCATCCGTGGTTTCTAAGGCAAAATCCGGTGTTTTGATGGACGGGTGGAAGCTGCAATGCATGCTCTCTTGCAGAAGGCTGGTGTTGTGGAGTAATACATAACCGGCAAAGAGAGTGACTTGCTCGTCATAATCTCCCCTACTTTCTGAGTGCCATTTGTGCAGTGGAGAAACACAAGCAGGATAAGGCAACCGCATTTGATGCTCATTTGGTTATCGTAGAGTGCTAGCACCAGTGCATAGGGTCAACTGCTACTAGCTACAACAGTATGTGCAACAGGGCTCTGGGTGTTTGACTTCCTTCACAGTATATGATCAAGCAACATCATGACTTAGTCAGTATCACTTTTCCCAGGTTCATCCCAGTGTCTGGCACGCAACAGCACAGCGCATGCGTAGAGTCTTTCACCCTCCTGCACAAATCTGCCCCCGCGTCTGCACTCTTTATGTGAGTGAAACGGGCCAAGCCATGCCTCAATATCCAATAACATCCATTCATCACTCTTCAATGTTCTGCAGCCGCCTTTGCCATTTTGGCGTGCAAGCAAGCACTTCCATTCCGCTGTCATTTGCAGTCATATTCATTGCAATCCGGAGAAATAAGCACGAAAGAAGGTGTCAGGCATCGGGCCGCAGCCGCTTCGCAGCCGGCGCATCAAATTCCGATCCCATCAGATCCACCCCCACTGACACACCCCCACTCTGGGCGGCTCCACCAACGCCGTCTGACGGCTGCGCCGCCAGCGGGGCGCCAGCTGGCAGCGCCCCGAACACACTTGCCTCCCATGCACCTGGACCCCCGATTGGCACCGCCAGAGCAGAGCTCTGCACCAAACCCCCTGCTGCATCTCCGGCCGCCTGTCGATCAGCAGACACGCCGTTCAAGGCCGGCTGAGCAGCACCGGGCCAGTCTCCCTGTGCTTCTCCGGCCGTCGCATGTGGCAGGGCAATTTGATCATCGGTAGGGTCGGCAAGGGTGGGCGCGCCGCGTGAGGCCGCGCCAAAGTTGGCATCGGCCTCGGCCACGTCAGCTTCCTGGCGGCTGCGCTTGCGCGTCAGCGGCGTCCCCGGCTGCACCGGTGCATCAGTCTCCCGCGCTGTTCCCTCCTCGCTGCCCTGCGCGTTTTTCTCTGGCGCCTGCAAAGCATCTTTGCCGCCGATGCGTGCTGCCTGCATCGGCTGCGCAGCGGGCTCTCTGCCCATCTCTGGTGCTGAAAGCGGCAGCCTCGACCCTGCGCAACGACAGTCAGACCTAAAGGAGCATTCATTGGACACCGCAGCCCTTTCCTTCCTCCAATGATGCCCTGCTTTTGGTGTTCAGAGTTTTCGAGTTCACTGCTCCAAGTGCTGCAGTGACGGGACAAAGCACAAGAAAATAAGCCTGCGGGAAAGGCACTTCTTCTCGTGGTGACATCAGAAACGAGTGATCTAGGAGAATAAACAATGTCTGTAGATCATGAAAATGGCCATCTGGAAATCGGATCTGCTTGAATCATTCGCCGCATGCAAACTGCAAAAACGAAAGAGCTTCATAGTGAGCAGGCAGTCCCACCCTCGGCAGCTGCGCGGGTGGCCGGCCCAGAGCCCTTCCCCGCCGGCGAGGAGCGCCTTGTAGCGCGCGCCAGCTCATCATACGCGGCCGCTGCATCTGCCGCTGTCACGACCGCACTGCCCGCCCGCTGTGGCCCGCGGTACAGCTTATATGCCCTATAATAGAATCAATTTTGGAATGAATTCCCATTGTAGAAAGCATGGATGGATCACATCAAACATTGAGCTGCAGTCTTGCATCCTTCAAACTTTGGCAGCTGCAGCGGCGCGAAAGTTGCTGCAGGACCCATCAAAGTGCCTGGCAGGGCCAAAGCTGCGCGTTATGTTGCTGACTTGGTAATGATCCAGCCAACTTCTCTTTTGCAAATGAATTATAAGCATGAAGAAGACAGGACAGTGAGTGAGAGAGCGGCTGCACCTGACTAGAAGCTCGTCGAGGCGGCACAAGCTGCCCGCTCCGGGCAGCCCACTGCTGCCCGCTGCGGGCAGGCGGGCCACTCCAGACTTGTAGAGGTAGTGTGCGTGCCGCAGCAGCTCCAAAGATGCCTGTTGCACCACCGCATCCGTATGCATCGGCGCATGTCCCACCGCTGCAGCCGCCTACGATTTTCCAACAACTCAGTTACACAGTAAATATGGGTAAAATTGGATATAAGGTCAGGTTACAACTTTGGATTGAATCCACAGGCAAGCGGCCAAGCCCTCAGGGTCGCCACAAAAAGATCAACCTTTCTACTAGAGGCAGTAATGAAAAGTTTGGTGATCTGTTTTGGACAATTCCCGCTTTGCCTGGAGATAACAAGCAATTTTCCCCTCTTGCATGCACAGAAGATGACATACATGGGATCGTTAATGCCACTGCAGCACATACCACAGGAGAAAATCTGCTTTTGGTTGGCAAGGGGCTCTCCAGGACAAGGTGCAATTTATCAAGACGTGCGTTTACCTGGGGAGGCGGTGTGGCAGCTTCCTGGAGGCTGTGCTCCATGGCAGCACCTGGCAGGGTCTTGGCTGGCGTTGTGACTTGAGGCTGCCACCCTGCCACTCGCACCGGCGCCGGCGCTGCCCAAAAGGGCGCCCTCGGGCTGCCCGGGCCAGGCAGAGCATTCCACGCCTGAACTGGCGGCTGTCCAGAGGTCACCACATTTGGTGGCCAGCTGAACGCTGACTGACTTGGTGCCTGGCCAGATGTGACCTGCCTGAGCATAGCCTGATTTGGCAGTAGGCTGACGGCTGCCTGGTTTTGCGGCTGCGCAGAGAACGTCTGATCTGGCTGGAGGCTGCCTGAAGCCTGACTAGGCATGGCGCCAGCCTGGCGGCGGTCCAGATCAGGTAGCGCTGCTGCGAGCGCTGCGGCCGCTGCCGAGGCGATGCGGGCGGCAAGAGCCTGCACTTTCTGCGCGCAACCATATGACCTTCAGGGATCTCAAAGCATGAGGACACTCAACAGTCTGCTAGAAACTGTCAGTGCAGACCCTATCCTGGCCCTGCCCTCAGCAAGAAATGGCCGAGACCTGCAAGACCACAAATGCATGAATTAACATTCCATAAACCATCACCAGCACCAAAGAAGCACGTTCCATCAGATGCGCATGAGTACACAAAGAGTAGCAGCAACGGCAAAAACAAACCTCGTTGGCAGTGCGCAGGACTTTGCAGCGTTTGCGCACGGCTGCCAGGCGCGCCTGCAGCTCGTCCAGGTTGCCCCTGCGGCCCAGCTCATCGATGTACCCTAACGCGCCGCGCGCAAGGGCCGCCTCAGTGATCCACCCCACCAACGGCGTGTCAACCTGCGCAGCATGACCAGAAATAATAATGATATTTTTGACCATCTGCAAAGGTCACCTTGTTTGTTGGATCAAAAAGAAGATCAAACAGATTGAATTCTGTTTGTAGACTTGGTGCGCTGCAGATGGTGCACCTGAAAAGCCAGACCAAGCCCGATCAAGACCTGCTTCTTTGGTCCATACTTTCCTCAGCTTGCCGCCATTGCCTTTGCCGGAGAACTGTGATCCGGCGTTCTCAAAGTATGCAAGGGAGGCCTGTGAAGCTCTATCAGGAAGAGTGTATAGTTGGAGCAAACAAAGAGGTAGGGTCTCACCGGCTGGACAGCCTCGAGTGCTGCAGTCCAGTGATTGGCACCGTGCTCATTCCCGCCCAGCACAAAGTGGTCCATGTACAGCCCGTAGGCCGCCTCCAGAACAGGCAACGCCTCATCACTGACCGCCAGCTGCTGAGCTGGCATGCTGTTGCCTGCCTGCTCCCCAATCGGAACTCCCAAGAAGGAGAGTGGCATTTGCCCATTGCCAAAGGGGGCAGAGGGGCCGGCTGCTGCGCCCGGCAGGAGCCCAGGGACCAGCCCAGGGATTTGTCCAGATTGTATAGTGCGCTCCCCTGGAGGGTTCTGGAATGCAGGGGGCGCGATCGTAGGGCAGTGCTGCCGCAGCTGGCTTGCCAGTGTTGTGATGCAGCGGCCCAGAGCAAGCCTGCAGGCAGAACAAGTCTTCTCTTCAAAATTTAACATCACGCTTCCTGCCGTTTTGATGATCCGTCATCTGAGATTTGCTCTCGAAGAAGTTGCACACGACTTGCTGTCCTATCAGCCTTACAGAGATCCACAGAAACAACGCCAGAGGGCAGAACACATTGTGTCAGAGTGCCACCCTTCTGCACTACGCTTTTTGTCTAGTCTTAGAATTATGATAAGGAGCAGTCTGATGTGTGCTCAGAAGCGCACCGAGCCAGGTCAGCCATCATGGAGGGGTTGGACCACTGCTGGGGCGAGGCCAGGAAGCTGTGCGCAGCTGCCAGCGTGGCGTGGTTGCCTGTTCTGGCCAGCAGGTCCAGGTACCTAATCAGGTACTTGCGCCGGCAGGCTGCAAACTTGCGGTGCGACTCGTCGAGCCCGTTGCCAGCCGTGCGCGGCGGCTGCCGGCCCCAGGATGACTCATCGTCAGTCAGCGCTGAGCTGGCACCCTCATCACTCTGCCTCTCCACCTCTCCACCAGCCGCCTTGGTTAGCTGCACGCATCAAGCACGAAACAAGATCTCACGTGCACAGAAAGACTTGAAAATGTGGAAAATATTTGCTAGTAGTATATTTTAGAAATGGCCCATGATCAGGCCTACTGAGGGGAGGAGCACAACCTTGTCATCCAGTTGAATCTACCTGCCTGCACCGCTCTCTGCTGGTGCATGCATGCTCCCGGAACCCTTTAAATATGTACCAGGGATACAGATCTCCAATATGTGCAGCTCACGTGGAATATACACAAGTAATTCAGACTGGGCGTTGCAGAGCAGAGAGTCTGCACACCCTGTCGCCGATCTCCCACATGCTGATGCAGAAGTTGCGCTTGGGGGTGGTGAAGAGGTGGCGCAGCTCCTCGGCGGCTTCCCGGAAGCTGCCGCGCGCCTGGAGGGAACGCGCGAGCGCGTGGTGAGCCTTGTGGAACCCCTTGTCCTTCTCCAGGCACCATCGCAGCGCCGCCTCGCAGTCCGCCACCAGCAGATTCACCAGCTCCTGCGAATACATTATTCATTTTACTAATATTGTGAGAACAGTCTTTCCTGCCAGGGGCAAGGTGCGTCTGAAGAAAAGCTGCGGGTGAAGGCTGCCACGTGTCCTACCCCTTGCTGGACTTGCCAGATGCAAGCAAGGCAAATGTGACAAAATCATTCCTCCCTGCTGAAGACTGTTGGTCTGCTTTTGAGAACACGGGCAGACTGACCTGACTGAAGCACTTTCAAAGGAACATGCATGACACCAAAGAGCTCTGTGAAGAGGTCACCCCAACAGAAGGTGCTCCCTGGCCAGCAGTGATTTGCTGCATCAGCGCAGCTGCCCTCTGTTGCTTCTCCTCATCAAAGCAGTACCTGCGCAGGAGATAACAATATTTCCAAATATCTTTTCTGTTACGCACAGGCTCGCAGACCGGTACTTTCTTTCGCAAGGGCTCCTGTACGTTTTTATCAGTTATATAATGCATTAACCTGAGGCCGCAAGTCGCAGAACAATGTCGGCCTGCTGCCCACCTCTCAAGATGCCCCACACACACGGCACTGCATCTCAGCTTCCTGACTCAACACGATTGTATTCCTCAAGATCAGTATTGCAAGAGCAGCTAGCGACAACAAAAGGCGCTCAACCTGCATTTTCCCTGTGAGTATACCCTGTGGCCTCTGGCTATGGCCCCGCCCCTTCAACTGAGTACTACTTCTTCTGAGCAGTGCACAAGCAGCAAGCCAGCGCACCTGGCGACCAGAGCGAGGGCGTTCTCTGGGTGGTGCAGCTATGTGAGGTGGGCAGCATGCAGCCAGAACAACTGTTCAACCGCGCCACCGGCATGGACAAACTCCAGCAGGCCAGCGCACCTGGCGATCAGGGCGAGGGCGGCAGGTTCCAGAGACTGCGGCTGCTGCAGGATCTTGAGGCGGGTGGCGTGCAGGCGGTACAGGGGCTCCACCAGGCCGCCAGCATGGACCGATGCCAGCGAGCATGCGCGTGCCATGTCCGGCAGGTACTGCTCCGGAGGGAACGCTGCAGACAAATTCTGTATCTTACTTATCCAGCTAAATAAATTCCTACCCCTCGATGGACTCGCCAAGTCCATGCAAGAAGCAGTCAACCGCGTGCATGGTGCTCAGTATTTACACTGCCCTCCGCCAACCGGGGCCTCATCTTGTGAATACCTGGTAATGCTATCTCAGGGGTTGGAAGTGTATATTCCCATGTGGTTTTTCAATTGTTGTCTTTGCTTGAGAGACTTGCTTAAGTAAGCCGTAACCTGGTGAAGCAAGCAGGGTGGGCCAAATGCATGGCAGCAGGTGCTGTGGGAGACAGCAGCCAGAGAGTGGAGAAAACAAAAAAGCTGAAAACATGTTGCATGTAATATGGGTGCTTTTTGAATTGACTTGTCACGGCCCAAGCATTGTGTGGTGGGATCCTTTCTAAGGGCCAACAGTGGTTGAATGATTTACCAAGGCAGAGAAAAGTATGTAACCAAGGGGGGCATGTGCGGTTAGATCACTGCACACCGCATTTGGCGCGCATCTTGCCCAGGAACATGTGGTACATCCATTCGTCAGGCAGGCCCTCTATCGCGCGCTCGCATGCCTGAGCAGCCTGCGCCGCCAGCCGCTGCACAACCACTCTGTCCGGCACCTGCATTGCAAAGAATGACTGAGAACAGCGAGATGGACCCTGAAGCGGGGCTAGCCCCTGAAAAGGAGCAATCTGACGACAGCGATGCCATATGCGAGCAGCTGTGCATTGCAAGCAAGCGATGCAAGGAAACAACCTTCAGAAGACCTCCACGAAAGATCCCTGGGTGTCACTTGTGATCAACGTGCATCACCAGAATTTCAAAGATCTCATCAGGCACCAGAGCAACTCAAGAGCTCCTTCTGCAACGCACGTACGCGCTGCCTTCACAGATTAACAGGGACCATAGAGGGAAACTTTGCGTTCAGCTGTGTGTCCTGCAGCACAAGCTTCTGAGCATATACCATTGAAGTGATTGTTTGCTGGGTTTGGGAAGAAGCCCCACCCGCGCCAGCTGGTCGTAGAGGGGCGGTGCGTTCTGCAGGCGCTCGTGCAGCACCATGGCGATCTGCTCGTCCTGGAACACAACGTCCTCCGCCGGGCACAGCTGCCGAGCCACCAGCGTCGCCCGCGCAGCCCGCCTCTGCGCACAGCACATGCCCGGGATCACACCCAATCAAACAAACGACTTGGGCTGACAAGAACACTTCAGTCTGTCAGATCCCTCACAATTGGCCCTCTGTAAAAAGTAAAGCTGGGGTTGTCATCATTTCACATGGCACATGCTTTGAGTGTTGCATCCCAAAGCAGCTCAATCCACTTGCATGCATGCGATGATGTCAAGGGTCCAGGGAGAGGTAAGGGAACGCACTGCACTGCCCATGTATTGAAAGGCGCCGTCAGAGGCCAGGCCAAGCTAAGGAGACCCAAAGAATGGACGCTGTTCCTCTCTCAAGGCATGGATTCTTGAATGGGTCTGCTTGGTGAAAACAAAAGTGTATGCCTGATCGGACAAGGCGCGAGGCACACAGCGACCAGTACATGTGCTGAGCGCAATGGGATCATGTCCAGCCACACATCCATTTGCACTAGACGAGCCATCACCCCACAATGAAGCTATTCCAATGCCCAGGCAGGTGGCAAGCTCATCAAGCAACAAAGGCAAGGCATTATGGAGAGATGCAATCAAAAGGGTCTTGCCTGATACAACTCAAAGCGCTCACGGAGGTCGGCATTTGTGTCTGCGTGCCACTCCTCCACTGGAAGCTCTTCGGCAGCCATCTTGAGGATCCCCTCCGAGGCCTCCCGGTACACCACTGCATTGACGCCATGTACACACCGTAGTCAATGCGCCTCATTACGTGGCAACTGAATTGATTGTACCGGAGCAACGTCTCACTCCAGTTCACACTTCTCCCACATGCATCACAGTTTTCAAGCACGTTTGCAAATTTTGCAGTATTCACCAAGGCCAAGAAACTCTTGAACATGCCACGGCGGAGAGTATTGGCCCCAGGACCAAAAGAAACATGGAGGACTGTGCATGCAATGAAAGGGGCAGAGAGCAGAAAAGACGAGATAGATACCTGCGATGCGGTCCCATGCAAAGTAGCGCAGGGGGTTGTAGCGCAGGTCGAAGCAGGCCAGCTCGATGTAATTCTCCACTGCCGCGGCACCGGCCGGCAAAAGGGCAAAGTCCTCCTTGAGCAGGACGTCCAGATCTGGCTGTAGGCGCAGCAGCAGGTGGTGCAGGATCGCGTGCACGCCCGCATGCTCATCGGCCGCCACCTGTCAGATGCATGCATGCAGCCGTCAGACTGCTTGCTGAAAATAGTGCCTTTGTCTCATGACGGATATCCCTGATAAGCGCGGTGAATGTCTAGCTCAAAACATGCATGCTTGTCAAGCAAATTGAGCCATGAACATAAAGTGGCGCGGCAAGAACTTGTGACCGGGGCAATCTTGCACACATGATAGTTGCAGGGGTCTCCGAACACAGGCATTTGAGAAGGCATGTAAGCAACTTAATAAGACGATACAAGGAACATTGCCAAAGCACAACCAACTCATTGACTTTGCGGCCATGCACTACTGCAAGCATTCCCAGTGCGTGAAAACGCACCGCTTGCTGCAGCTCGGGCGGCGGTGCAAGCAGCTTTTGGACGGCAGTCGGCCGGGCTTCCTGCAGCAGGTACTGCTCGCCCATATTGTCCAGCAGGGCATCTGGCCTCCATGCGTCCAACACAGCCTGCGGCGGTGCCTTGAAATGCTTCTGCATCGCCTGCAGCACCCCTGCGATTCATACAGTCCCCTTGTCTCAGTGTGTCTGTCCTGAAGGTGTGGAAATTCTGCAACTCCGCGTTGGCACTTTGGCCTGTCCACTCGGAGCACCCCTATAGCTGGCATGCCTGATGTAAAGCCTGCCATGCATGCCATACGCGGACTATATTCATTGAAAAGTGGATATCCTTCAAAAGGTGTCCATGATGAGAGGCAGTGAGCTGGCGTGAGGAAGCTGACAGGAAGCTTCCTGATGTCAGCTGCACAAGGGCTGCAGAAGGCAACCCTCGCTTGCGTGTGTGAGAGAATTTCATGCAATTAGATTTCTGACTGACATGTCGGAATGCATCCATGCCACGAAAGTGAGGCTGCGCACCTTGCAGCCGGCCGAGCGCCTTCTTGTCATGCGCGATGCCCTCTGCGTAGGGGCGGATGTAGCGCCAGGCATCCAGACACTCCTCCGGCGTCCGCATTGCCACCCGCGCCACAACTTGGTCCTGATAGCATGCCACATAAACACACCCTCTCACCAATCCCAAGTATCACAAAAACAAGCAACGTCTGCGCCTCTGTGGTGCTGGAAAAGCAGAAAGCGCACAGGTGAATCACCCAAACCTGACGCTGGTTCTGCACGAGCTTCTCTGCCTGGTTCTATGCAACAGAGATCGACGCCCCCGAGTGACACCCGGGCAGGGGCCAAGGGGTGACAAAATTTTTCCTCTATGAGTAAGATGTTGACAGCGGTGAATGGTGACAAGGCTGAGAAAGCAGCAGCAAGGAAGATCTTGATGCCGTGCAACCAGATCCCTGTCAAGATTTGGCCAGATAATGCCGTGGCAAACTAAGCCTCTCCCAGACACCAACTGGACAAGATCTGGCTACTAGCATTATCAGGATCCCTGATATAAACAGTCAACACCAATCATGGTGTGAAAAATTCTTCACCCACATCATGCACCCTCTCAAAATCGGATGCTTTGATTCAAATGGCCAGAAGCCAGCGATATCGGTGCAATGTCGCATGGAAGGCATGGTCGGGGGCAACGCATATTAGGATGACTCACCTCCATGCTGCCCCAATCGGGGTCTCTGTGAGGCAGTTCGACACCGTAGAGCACATGCAGGCATTGTGCCAGAGCGCCCTCCACCCGCGCATCCAGCGTCGCTGTTCCCTCCGCCTCCTCAGAATTGCCTTCCTGATCCATATGCCCTTCTGCACAGCCAGTCCATGCCTGATTGCTGAGAAATACAATGGAAGATGAGAATAATTTGACATGGGGACAAAGCGCTCAAAGAACTGCTGGCCGAGCATGCATGAAACGTAGAGCACATGAGTGGAGTGACTCGCTTTATAATCATACCAAGGTGGCCAGTGTCACGCTGATAGAGCACATGAGTGGAGTGACTCGCTTTATAATCATACCAAGGTGGCCAGTGTCACGCTGAAGGCCATAGAATGTAGGTATTTGGAAGCCCGTAGAGGCAATGTGAGAGGCCAGTAGAAATATAGAAGCTTGTACCAACCTGCAGGGACCTCCTTGAGGGCTTGCAGCAAAGCGCCGAGCTGCGTAAGGCATGCCTTCACCCAGGCGCCATGCTGCTGAGTCAGCGCGCGCCTGGCGGCAAGGATCTCGCTGGCCGCGCGCATCAGCGCCTCCTCAGCGCTGATGTCAGCGCGGCTGAGCTGGCGCCGCGCTGACATGCGCAGCGTGCTCAGCGCACACAGCGCTGACACCGCCGCCAGCAGCGCTGCCTGCCTGCCAGCGTCCTGCGCGTAAGATGCACAGCTCAAGACCGCAATCATGTTTTGCAGCTGAGTGCATTGCTGAAGATTTGGCAAGGGTGCTGGAAAACCTCATAATCTTTGTCACAGTCATTACATTACCATCTGCTTTTCCTAGCTGTTGGGTAAAGTGGGGTGTGTGCCAGGCAACACTCGGGGTGTCCTGATGAGCGATCAGCCTTTTGAATGCAGACAGACATCTTTTATCCTTACTGGACTGCATGCAGGGACTTTAGACTCATCACGAATCATCAAGAGGCACCTAGCAGGCGCCTCACTCCAACAGCGCCTCAAAAGGTCCTGTACCTAGCATGCATGTATACATGCATCAATCAACCACTTCACAATGAGGTGGCTATCATATTTACCTTGCCACTAAGGCTGCGGCCAACCGCGCCGCGTGCCGGTGCCTGGCACAGGGACCAGTAGTACCTCTCTACCAGCACAGCCACCCGCCACTGCACTTGAGGCAGCTCTTGTGACTTCAGCGCCTCCAGATGTGGCGCTAGGGCCTGCAGCCCAGCTTCACTACGCGCATGCGTGCTGACAAACTCGGCCAACTCCGTCAGGGCCTGCAGCACACAGTGACTGATCTTAGAAGATCAGACATAATGGTCCCCGAGAGCTGTGCTCTGTGGCAGGCCTCTTCAGCAACTGGGTGCACACATAGAGGTTGAAGCAGAACACATATGCTTGCAGGGGCTGCAAGATACAAGACTGGGGATCATATATCGGGTACATGAAGGGGCCATAAAACAGGCCAAAGAGCACAAGCAGTCCATATTGTGTCTTCCTGGCTGCATCCATGTGTACATAATCGTTCTCCAATTAAATGACTCACACGAGATCTGTTGATAGTATCTGTGATCCATGCGCACCTGGGTCAACAAGATCTTGACAGGTTTCCCGGCGTCCTTGACAGCCGTTGGCGGGGGGCCGGCGGCGGACGCCGTGTGCGCGGACTCATCCGCCAGGTCAGCAGACAGCGCCGGCAGCAGGTGAGTCAGCGCCACTAAGCGGCAGCGCAGCTCCAACGGCGCATCTTCCACGCTTGTCGCGGCGTCCTGCAACCCACAGAAATTGCATTGCATCAGAATCACGACATAGCTGGCGAGAAAAAGCAGCGCCCCATGCTGCCATGCACAAGCACTGCTTCACCGGCTGCATTTAGGAAGATAGCGAGGTGTTGAGTTCGGAACCAACAAGTTTATCTGTAGAGATCTATGTGATCAGCATGGGTCTGCCAATTTCTTCCACCAGATGCAGCTATCAAGAAAAAAATGGTAAGGATCCATGGCCTCATCCATAAGCATGGATGAGTAGACACAAAGTGCAGGCTCCCACGCAGGATTGATGATGGTTGTCTAACATGATATTGATGAAGATTGCAGTGATTCTCACCTGCAGCATCTGCAGAGCGTCCAGAAATGTCTTCCGGTCGCTGCGCAGCGCCCGGCTGGCCGCCACGTCATCGCCCAGCAGGGCAGGAGCCAGCTCGGCGATGACTGATTGCGGCCTCTCCTCTGACAAGTTGCGCTTGCTTGACTCCAACACCTGAAACATGCATCACATCAGGGGCAATGGAATCTTGCCAGATGTCGCTGGATCAGAGGGCACAATGAAGACGACACTCAAACATACCACGCAGAGAGAGAACCCCAACACAACATCATAATATACTCTCCCTCCTGCATTGACGGGAGATACATTCCTGAGCCATATCAGGCTTCCTCCATGTGCAGATGCAAATTGACAAGACGGCGTGCACACCTCAAAGAGCTGCAGTCCCTCCACTTTTGCAGCGGCGGCCGTGGCGCTGATCTGTCCGTCCTTCTCAAGGTTGACGCAGTGTATCTGTAAAGGCTCCCGTTCTGAGCTGCCCTCTGATGCGCCAATGCCTGTATAAGCATGGTGTACCGCACTCAATGCGCTGCAAGAAGTGACAGGAGTTCCAGAATTACTTGCCCAACGCCCGCCGTGGCTGGAGAATTCAGCAGGTCTGGACAGAGAAAACAATCAAGTGGCAGCTAAACAAAGCAAGCCAGGACACACCTTTACAGAGATGCTGGCAGGCAAAGTAGTGTCCAGCAGCTGCAGCAAAATCCCTGCAATGAAATCAATTGTTATTTTTATGACACGATTTCCAGTCCTTCAGAACTAGGTACGTTGAGCAACACCTGGATTATTGCTCTCCAGTCTTCTCGATTCTTGCACTTCCTCCACCAGTCATATGCACGTCCGATAGCATTAAGGTCATCTCTCACTATCACTCTCATGGCATCACATGCAGCTCTATACCAGACTTGGACTTATCTGCACACTGTGCAGCCTGGTACTGAACACTACTCAACAAGTAAAGGAACAAAAAGTACGAAGGAGGGACCAAGAATGGAAGATGTTTTGGGCACCTGCGCAGCTCTGCAAGCCTGCCTAAGGCCCACTGATGCCTTGCCAACTGAGGCCGCTGCAGCGCAGTGTCATCTCCATTAGCTGAGCTTCTATCACCTGCGCACAGAGATACCATCTGTTGCACAAAAACGAGAGTGACTGACTTTGCAAATTGCACCTGTATCTGGGCATAATCTGTTGGTGAAGAATTCACCCTTTCTTTGATCAACCTATAATACCTCCTTGAGGCCGATGGGGGGCTTAGATGGATCAAAGCAGACGTCCATGTAGCAGGTATAGCACAGGCCTCACCTGCGGGGCTCTGCAGCATATCCATGAGGAACGCTCCGAGGAAAGTTTCGCAGGCGCGGACGTGCGCCGCAGCCACCGCCTCCTGAGCCGCCCTGTTGCGCTTGGAGGCCGGCCCCTTGGCGGACACTGCAACAGACGCCGTTGGTTGCGCGCCCTCCTGCAATGTAGAACCCTTTAAATTCACTGAAGCTTGCACAACATCTCAATCCTCTGGTATCCTGCCTGATGAACAAGCCATGTACAGTTGTATGCATACATGTGAGCGGGATGACACATGTTCCCAACGCAGGTGCAGCTTGCTCTGCAGGCGCATCCCTCTGGACCCACTGAAAAACTGACTTCTGAACGTGTGTTCCTAATGATCTAGGTGATATATCTGAAGCCATTGTGTGAGTGCACCTGCTTGAGACCTGACGAGTGCCTGCAGACGGCGGCACTCTCCTCTCGCTTGACTCGCTGCCTCTGACTGACTCTCAAACCTTTGTTCCTATGTCAATCGTCAGTGTTTAGCCTACAGGGGCTCAATACCTGGGCTGCAGTGGCATCGGCCGGTGGGACGACGGCGGCCGACGGGCCGAAAAGCGCGGCGCGGTCGAGGTGCAGCTCGGCCAATGACAGCGCGACAGCTGGCATCGGCCGCCAGCCGCTGCCAAGCGCGGCCGCCAGCTCCATCAGCTTTGGCAGCGCCTCTGGTGGGATGCGCCTGCACAAGGATCGGACAGGATTGCTGTGAACCCCTTTTATCAAGGAATCCCTGAGAGCTGTTGTCATGCTGCATGCGTCAGCTTCACAATGAGGATGCTCACAACGCAGCATCCTAGATGCAGCACTTGATTGCCCTGGCCCAGCGAAGGGGCGCAGCAGTGAGGGACAGCACAACACAGGAAATGCAGCTGCAAAATTCTCTTTCTTGGGGACTTGAAGAAACTGCTCGCACCTGCTTGGGTCTGATGCGAGTTCCTGGACGGCAGCGGCGCCAAGGCTGTGCAGGGACTCCTTCGGCGGCCGCGCCAGCAGGAACGCCCTCACGTCTCGCTCCTCCTCCCGGCTCCGTTTGGCGGCGTTGCCTCCCGTTGCCGGCAGTTGCGGCGCAGCTGCCGGCCCGGCACTGCCGGGCGTCTGGGCGCCCGAGCCGGCCGGCCCTGAAGCGGCTGCCATGTCAGGCTGTGGTCGTTTTGGCAGGAAGGGAAGAAGCATTGCAATGATGTTCACTGCCTCTGAGCCCCCGTTGCCCTCGTCATCTGTGCCTCCTCGCCCCTCCCTGGAACAATAACACAGCGTCATGTACTGCTTTCTCCACGATGAATGCCACAAATGGGTGCAAGTATGTCCGTTTCTGACCAGACAGGCTATTCAAACAAAGTCAGCGTAAAAGCTGATGCCGGCAGGTTTGTACCCTGCAAATTCAAGACAGAGGCAGACGGACATGCATGTGGGGATTGATAAAGCACCTGCGTGCCTCCAGCCGTCTGGATGCTCTGCTTGGCACATGGGCATCCTTTCTGGGCGTCCTTCCGGTCTCCTCTGCCTTAACTCCCTTCTCGCCGTTTGCACCTCCCCGGTCCACCTCTGCAGCTCCCTCCGCGCTGGATCCATGTCCCTTCTCTTGTGCTGTGCCACCTGTCTCCTGTGCGGCCCCTGAGGCCCCTTCTGTTGCCTGGGTAGGCTCTGACTGCCCCTGCGCTGAGTCATCCTGAGAAGGCGGCTGATCCACAAATTCCGGGATGCATTTCCGCGCCACTTTGGGGTCGCGGCGGCCGCGCCTTGTGGGCGGTGAAGGCGGAAGCTTCTCGGCCTGATCATGCGCTGCGGCAGTCCGCTTTGGCTCTGCATCAATCGCTCCCCCTGGTGCACCCGCTATACTACCCCCCGGCAACTTGAGCTCTGGCAGGCGCTCTCCAACTGTCTCCTCTGCTGCGCTGGTTGCATCCATCTCCTCTGCAGGCAGCTGCAGTGTGACTGACTCCCCGGCGCTGAGCTGCGCTGCGTTCTCTGAGCCTCTGTTGGGGCCTTTAATGAGGTCTGTGAGTGTCTGCAGCAGGGCAGCCCATGTGGCATTCTGTAGTGTGACCTGGCGATGGCCCTTTGTATGGCCGTTTGGATGTCTAAGCTGCTCCAATTGCAGCCTCTGCCTGAAGCGCGGCTGTAGCACAGCTTTTGCATCTGCCTCACCGCTGTCATCTGGGCCTGTGTTGCAAAAGAAAGTCTGTCATATATAAGAGATACTGTAAATTATCAATGGTCACATGCACACAATATTGATAAATGGCTTCAATCAGTTTGGATCGTCAGTGACATCAGTTGCCTGATGTTTGACATAATCGAAGCGCACCAGAGCTTCAGCACTCACATGGCATGCCAGTGCATGGCCATTTCTGCACATGCTCACCTGCTGCAGAAGGATGTTCCAGGATTGTAGACAACTTCTGAGCGCGAGGGTGACCTGGATCCCTTCACGGCAAAGCCAACAGCAACAAATTCAGTATCCTTTCACATTAGCTCTTGCTCAGCCCCTTATGTGCAGATTGTCTGCATACACACCTTCACTTTTGCAGGAGCAAGCTTGCAGTAGGAAAAAAAGGAACTTTTAGCAATGAGCCACGTGACTCAAAGCAAGGCAGCTGAGACTTGTGAGAGGAGATGCAGCAGCTGCACCTGTGCAGGATGCGCTTGATGAGTGGCGAAGCTGCATGCCAGTCGCCCAGCTGCAGCACAACTTCCACCAGCTTCTCCAGCATCAGCGCATGTCTAGGATGGCGTGCCAGGCCGTGCTCAAACACATTCCGCGCCACTCCCCACAGCCCGCACTCCGCAGCCTGCAAAAGTATTACTAACTGAATCATGCGATTGTACGCATCAAGATCAGAAAGTGGCTGGTCTTGAACATTCACCAACTGCCTCCGCCTCTCCGCTGCCACAGACAGAACCTTCTACCAGCGCTTTGCTGCTTTCATGGAGTCGCTGACGGCTCCCATGGTAGCAGCAAACCTGGAAGAAGAGCTTATAGCTCACATGCTACGAGCAGGCACTTGACAAAGTTCCAGGGAATGCCCGGGTCCAAGCGCATGAATAGACAGTGATGCAGTGGCAGCATATCAACCACCTCAAGAAGACTGGTGTCAACTTTGAATGCCAGCTCTTGATTGCTTCAATTCCAACACTCCTGAAAGGCATTGCGCAATAAAAAAGAAGGCATGCAGGGAGTGCACGCTCACCAGAGTTCCCATGCGGTTCCACACCACAGCATCCCCGTCGTCCAGCAGCAGAGCCTGCCCGTAGAGCTGCAAGGCGCGCATAGCGCTCTCATCTGACTCAGCCAGCAGCGCAGCCAGGTTCTTAAAGATCACATGCTTCAGCTGCTTGGCAGATGCCATGGACAGACCGGCGCCTTCGTTGCTCTCTGCCAGCAGCGGCTCCACAAGAAGTGCTTCAAAAGCATCCTGAGGAGTCACAAAAGTGCCAAATATGTCAATATGAGGCACTGATTTCTGCTGAACTGTTGCAGGATGCTCCTCTAAACTGTAAACATTGTCTCCACACCCTTCACAAAAGTAAGCTTCGAATTGAGACCTTACTTATTTTTTGGCAGATATCAGTGTACTTGACAGTGAAAGGAGGCTGTTAGACTGCGACAGGGTCACTTGATGGGGCTCCAGCTGTGAGTCAGCAAGATAAGGAAAACGCTACGAACTTGTGCTTCTGTCGTCCTCCCATCCTGTACGAGCTGCAGTGCTCGCATATATGAGTCTGCCACGCGTGCTTCTTGCGCCTCCAAGGTCTCCCCATTTTGTTCCTCTCCATCAGTATCGGGCGAGGCATTGATGGCAGCAAAAGCCAGCCGCACCATAGGTGCGCTGGCTCACGGTCGCACAAAAGCCATCCTTTCGAAGTCAAAGTTCCTCAATGCTTGTGAACCAAAAAAATAGATATCATCGAAGTGCTCTGGCGGTCTATGTTGCAACAAGCTCTGCCGAGAACGTTGACAAGTCCCTTGCCAAAGCCACGGATAATCATGCTTCATGTTTGATAGAAAGATAAGTCATTTTAAGAGAATGTTCAGAGCTTGCACAATGCAAAATAATGCCGATGGAGTGAAAGTGATCGACTGCTATCTTGTTGCTGTAAAGCTCATCTTAGTGCCGCTCAAGGCCTCAACCGGACAGTCTCTTACGTGTCATATAATTTGAGAAGGGAACTGTTTGGTCACTTCTGCGTGACCCGAAAAGTTTTATGTGAACTTGGCACGTGAGGTCACCCTTTGCACGTGCCTACATTCTGCATTGAGTAGCTCTTGCTCTTGCTCTATCGTTAATCCAGTTCGCTCGAATGTGTTTTAACATTCTTTCTGGACATCTTCACACATCTGGAGGCCGAATCTGCAAGTTTCATATTGCGGGGCCTTGCCTGCACGATTAGTGTTTGAAGCATCACTTTCATAGACAGATTCTGGAAGCCAAGACCTTAAATGTTGAGTGAAAGAAATCGGTTTGTTCCTTCAACAATGGATTGGGCAATGAGTGTGTGACATGCTATCAAAGCATGTATAAACGGGACTTTGCTGTGCTGATCTTGTCAGCTTTTGCGATTTATTTTACGATCCAGCATGAGGGCGCTTTCTCCTACCGAAGAGCCTGGTATACTCTCGTACCAATAGACTTCTGGATATTACCACGCTTTGATGTTTGTTTATTATATGGACTTCAGGACCATCGAACCTGCTTACAGATCACCAACGTGCTTAAAAGTCAGGAAACGTCTTGTGCTTACGAGAAAATGTGCTGATGTCACAGGTATCACCATCTCGAGCATGACCAGGCTCTGCTGGAGTCGACAGATGTGCTGCCACCCCCAGTGGCAGCGGACCTGAACGGCGATGGCCGAGTGGAGGTCATCACAGCAACACACGACGCCAAGCTACAGGTATACACACCTTATCCTCCTTCAGGCAAGTCTCTTTGTGCTGGTCTCAGCAGAACAGGTCCATGTGTCAGCACAACCAACTTCATCAGTCGAACTAGAGTACGCCTCGCTCTAAAGAAGCAGTGTCGCCAATTTGCTCTTCAAATCCATAGTGCCATCTGACATCTGCTTGGATCACGACACTGGGTGCTGGATTTTTTTGAGATTCACACTACCTGTTAAGTCCCAGCTCGTCACAAGTTCCCCATGTCCTGGTGCAGGTGCTGGGTCCTAGGAGGCCCGGCCATGCAGGGGAGGGCTTTGCGAAAGCCGCTCTCCTTGCTGAGGTGTCCCTTGCACCGGATGGTCCCAATGAGGCGCTGTCCATGCATCGTGCTGTCGCCCTGGCCGCAGGCTACCTGGACCCTAAGAGGGATGAGCTCGTTCGCGCTCTGCGAAAGCAGGCAAGTCCTTTGGTATTCTGAAGTAAGAACGGCGTGGTGGTTGTACAGGAGAGATGACCGTGCTGAGATTTGGGATGTTGGGCCTGCCTGTAGACAGGCTCAGGCAGAATCGCACCCCGTTATATATTGATCTAGAGGTTGTGGTGGATTGGCTGTGTCGACATGGCATTTAGGCAGGAAACCCGTTGTTTGCATGCAAAATGTTAGAATATCTTGGCAAAGAAAGGAACAGCACTAGAAATGTTGCATGTGCCGTTGCCACCCATTTGCTGCTATGAAGATGTCTGTTGTGGTCTCTCTGCAGGTGCTGGTGGTTGTTACGGCCAATTGGGACGTGATATGCTTCGACCATAATCTGCGCCTGCAGTGGACAGCAAGAGTGAAGGTGCTGCAAAGCCCTCAGAGCCTTCATGCTCACTAGACTTGATCCAGCTCGTCACCTGAAAGCTTGTTGATTTGATATTTGCAAGCTTGACAACTCCCGCCTGCAAGCAACAAACCTCTTGCACAATTCAGCCAGAGGTCGCCTGCTGCGGCCACGCAATTGTTTGAAAGTACAGTGACGTGTGAGGGATATAAGTATTGACTGCAAGAACATGGATTGCGCAGGAGGATGTGCCGCATGGGGCCCACATGGCAATTAAGGAGGTGGCAATACACATCTCTAATCACACTGCCAGAGTGGGGGACAGGGGGATTGTAGTGATTGGAGGCAGCGTAGACCTGGGGGACCTTGCACACCAGGGGGACGAAGGTGAGTCTGACCTTATTGACACCCGGCCCTGCCTTGGCATGTCACAGCGCACATAGGCATTTCAGCAGTGATCTGATAGAAGATCTGACAGTGTCTGGCACAGCACTGTTGATGTTGCTCTCTTCCACAATTGGCTTGCCTATATTTCCCCGCATGTCTGGCAGAGATCCAGCAGAAGCATGCCTTGTACTCTCTTTTATCTGGCCCCTACAAGATGCATCAAAAGGAAGGACGCTTGCCATATGCAAGTGAATTGCCCACATCCAGGTGTCCCATGTGCAGGCAATGTGTCGGATGATGATGTGTTGGAGAGGGAATTAGCAGCAGAGCAGTCTCAGAAGGCTTTCCATGCCTCTGCAAAAGCGGGCGAGAAGCTGCAGGACCTAGACAGGTGACCTGCCTTGGCCTTCTTGCATCACTTTTATCCTTTGTGGACATTCTATGACCAGCGTCTCTCCTTGCTGCATATGCATGGCCAGCTGTATACACCACACCCAATCCTGCAAGTACCCAGTCTTCTGTGGATCAGTTACTGTGGATTGCCCTGAGACGGGGACTTGGATTTGTGTCATGGATCTTTGGTTTGTGCAGGGGAGGGAAACATCAGGGGGTGGACATATCGCGGCATTTTTCCTACTATGCATTTGACGGGGGCTTCGGCGCGCTGCGCTGGAAGCACGAGGCGAGTGCCTGCACCTTGCAGAGCCATCCTTTCTCTGCATTACAATCACTGTTGTGATGCATGTATGAGCAAGCTGCCTCTCATTGCACCTCAGCGCAACTCGTCATCCTGTTGCTTCTGCATGGCTCTGAGGCCCCGGTCAGCGCGCACCCATTTAAAAGGCCATTGCAGTGCTGCACAAAGCTTCCTTACTTGCAAAGGTGCAACAGTTAGCGATGCTTGTGGATGCTGAGCAAAATCTGACTTGCATGGTTCATCAAGGGCTGTCGCATGTTCTCCCTTGCAGCACAGGTGCAAAAGGTAGCAATGCTCATGTCTGTTCTGCAAACTTCAGGGTGCAGACTTCCACCGAGACACGGAGAAGCTGAGCCAGCAGCTGTTGCCAGCGTTGGACTTCCGAATGGACGCGGCTGCGCTGGAGGCGCGCCACTTTGGCGAGGTGGCGTGCCGGGACTTCCGGGAATCTGTGCTTGCCGTTCTGCCCCACAGGTGCTGTTTGCACAATTAACGTCTTGCTACTATTGGTTGAAACATTTTGCTGTGACACATTCTCAAAAAAATTCCTGCTGAAACGCGCTGTTCCCATGGCTGGAGCTCACTCGTGGGGATAATTGGCTGCAGAGCAAAGGCTTTCCCAGGCTGCATTATCTTGCTCGTGTTTTTCCAGTTGTCCAGGTGGCGTGCACAACACTGTGTATGACTCTCAAGACATTTTCCATGGCAGATCATGCGCTGCCCTGCTCTGGCTCGCATGCGATGTGTGACAACCCTTACAACAAGGTCCAGATCTGGTTGCCTGCTTTGGCACACTGACAGTGGGTGATTACCTGGGTGTATAGCTGGGGCAGGAAGCACTTTTAGCTGAAGCAGGGAATGGGGCTTTAGGGAAGGGGCCTATATAATAACAGCTTCACGGGAGATGCAGTGGTGATTTTTGACTTACGGCCGACGAAGATAAGTAGAAAGAGGATATTCAGTCTTGTTTTCTGCGGGCAGGTGGGCGCGGCGTTCGGACACGCGGCTGCAGCTGGCGCATTTCGTGCACCACCGGCCGCACGGGGGGGACCGTAAACGGCGGCTTGCCGACCGGGGGGACCCCTCAGGGGGACCCCCCAAGCCGCGGCGGCCGGGGCGGCAGGCCGACCGCGCCGGCGTGCACCACAGCAACCCAGTAGCCAAGGCCCTGGGGAAGGTGTGCCCAGTTTCTGCTACTTACTCGTCCTGATTCAAGTTGGATGCCTCTTAGCCTCAAGATCTTTCGGAAGGTACTGCACTACATCCACAATGCTTTGTACCATGTCCAGTGGAATTCACTCATTGAGAGCATTCCATACCTGCCATCAAAACAATTGAGGTTCTACAATTTTGGATGAAAACTATTTTCTGCCCCCTATTTCCAATCACTTACTTTTTTGACTAACAATTAGGGCAAGTATGGTATTGAAGATTCCAAGTGTTGGGAGACGTCAGTGCGGTGAGAGGTTATCCAGAAGCTTGAAGTGACTGTGGATGCTGGTGTGCAAGCTTTTTGGCATGCTGACGAAAGTGCTGGTCAATGGACATCGGCGTTGTGCGAGGCACTGAAGAATTGCAATTTTGATGGGCACATTAGTTTTGGTTGAATGCACTGTAACGTCTCCACAGGTCTTTGAGAATTATGTGAGGCATCTAGCTCTGCTCCTCATGTTTTTCTTGTCCGATTCTGTCTAAGAAATTTGCAACTTGTCTGACTCATTGTACAGGTGGCGGAGCGGGCGGTCCTGGGCGGAGGCACCGGCGGTGCGGCGGGCGCAGCGCAGCACAGCGTGCACGGCGTGGCACCCAATGTACTAGTGGCGCATCTGGAGGAGGGCATAGAGGCGGTTCACCTCTACAGCGGGCGCACTCTGTGCAAGCTGCACCTGCCCTCCCCGGGGCTGCACGCGGATCTCAACGGCGATGGCGTGCTCGACCACGTGCAGGTGGGATGATCATGAATATCTGATTTCTAGTTTAGCCTGGAAAGCTGCAGGGTCTATGACCGCATGAGCTAATGGAGCAAGGGGTGCCCAAACATGTGCTTCCATCAAGTCCTCTTCTGAGATTCCAATGCTTGGCATCTCAGTGGCATGCCAGCTGGGGAGGTGCAACATGTGCAAGCTGAGCAATGAACTGTGAAGCAAAACTTATTGTAGGGTGAAATGATATCAGAGTGGATGTTGCGGCACAACAGTTTGTCGAGAATGGTGCTTGTGCAAGGCTGCCCTGCCAAGTCTTGCTGGTTCCTGCTGGCTTCTGTGAAGAGCTACGCTAAGTCCTCTATTCCAACAGCCTCTCGCGAACTTTTTTCTACACTTTTAGCTCCCAGGATATCATTCTGTCACTCACAAGCCTATTTTGTCATGTTTCCTAATCAAGCAGTTGCATCTCATCGCAGGTAGCGGGCGGCCATGGCTCGCCGGACGGCGGCTCGCCGGGCCACCGGCACACGCCGGGCTGCTGGGCTGTTGCGAAGTCCGGCATCCCTCCCCGGGAGCCGCTATTCAACGCCACGATATGCCGTTTCCCGGGGCAGTGGGGCGCCGAGTCCTCTGCGCGCGCCTTCAGTTTCGGCACCGACGGCGGTGTCGTGCCTCTGGAGGTCAGTGCACACCGGTTTCTTTAGAATATTACATAACATTCCAGCCACCAAGCAAGCTTGCCATTCTTGGCTGGAGGCAAGCTGTCACTTGGGAACTGGGCTGTCACACCGCCACATTTTCTCAGCCCACGAGCATGCAGAAAGCTGTTGGTTAGGTGCCGGCAGCACAGGTCTGCCCTTCGCTGTCTCAACCAACTTATTTGACTATGGAGGAACCTCCTTGCAGGCTTTTTGCCTCCCATCCAGACAAGGGCTGCACCCTGGTGTGCATTGCAGCTTACGCGTTGCTCAAGCGGTTGTAATGCGCTGAAATTGCACAGGTGGCGCCGCCTGCTTTCCTACCGGTTCCGGGGCCGCGGGGCCTGTACCAGCAGGGGCACGGTCTCGCGGCGTTCCTCAACAGCCGCGGTGAGGTCACCGCCTACAACGCGCACGGCGAGCGCCTCTGGCAGGTGACTATTGCTTAGTAATTGGGCCTAATCATTAGGGGAACCTCCCCATGTCGGGGCCTGATCTGCAGTTGTGCAGTGTGCTCTTAAGAGTCATGAGTTTGGCTGCCTGGCAGCAGTAGAAGATGCTTTGTACTCCATGACAGGCGCGGTGTGAGCCATACAGCGGGTGGTAGACCTGCTGCCAGAGCGTACCATACTGGAAAAATGACTGGATGTGTTGGTACATAAGCCTGTTCTCCTATTTCTTAAACGGGCATGTTCACAACACTGTCCTCCTTGCAGTCTCTGCAGCCAGCAAAGCAGCAAAAAGGCTGAAGTTGGCTCAAGAAGAGTCTCTTTCTGCTCTGATCAACAAGTCAACTAACCTCTGTCTTGATGCTGCGCAGCACGCGATGGGTCTGGCGTGGTCCAACAGAAGGCCGGGGGGCCTCGGAGGAGGCAACGCCGCGCGACGCGTGGCTCCCACATTAGAAGCTCTTCCGCTCCGTGCAGGGGCGATCCCTGCCGCGATTCTGGCTTCTGGATCGTGGTCTGCTGTTGTGCTGTCAGAGCACGGCAACCGCCTAGAGACCCTGCAGTTCCCGGTGCGCTCTTCCTGCTTCACAAGTGTTCTGCAGATCGCTGCAGCAGCCTCTCCGTTGGGATTTTGGCATTCTGGGCGGCAATTTGTGTGTAACACCCTCACTGCTAAGGGGCCTCTTCACCGAGCTTGATGTGCTATGCTGATGCTCCTGCTAATATTCTTGGATCTTGGGTTAAGAGTTTGTCCGCAATCATGGGTGGCGTCTGAGACTGCGCCCTGCACCTTCTGCTGCTGTCCCTGTCTTGTTGTTTTGTTGGACCCTGACCATACTGTCAGCACAGGCGCTAGCTCCCATGCATTACTATTTTCATTATTATTATCATTATCACACGCTTTTCCTGCCAAGAGGCAAGGTACGTCCTGCAGACAAGCTGCAGTTTTCATTATTACTACACACTTACTCCAGCCCTCAGGGCTAGGTGCGTTGCAGCAACCCCTCAATGATTCCATTCCAGCCTTCCCTGTCTTGGCACTTTCCCACAAATAAAATGACTCCCGTGGAATCCAGGTCATCCCTGGCGCAATCAAGCCAGGATTTGGCCGGCCTGCCTTGTACAGTACCAAACATCAACTGTTTTCGAAGCCTGTCTTCCTTCATCTTTGCCATGTGACAAAGCCATCTGAGCACCCGTACATGGCTCAGAAAAATCACCTAGGCACTAGTGCTCCTTTACTGATTGGTTCTTTCTGGGGCTTGGTGCAGGCGCTGCCCGCGCTGCCATTGCAGATACTGGACTTCAACGGCGATGGGCTGAACGACATAGTCCTAGTGTCACACGATGGCCTCTATGGCTGGGCACAGGTGCGTGCTGCTTCTCTGCTTCCAACCCCAATTTCTCTCTCTGCACCACACGGGCTTTCTTGGCTGGTAAATAACAGCAGCAAGATTTGTCCCTTGTAGCAGTTTGCAGGGCCCTTGTTGGGTTCCTGGAATGCCTTGCAACACCGTGCTGCACAACTTGACCTCTCTGCCCGTGCATGTCATCGGTGCCAGCTGTCAAAGCAGCAAGTTTTGTGCGTTGTGGCAGTGTTCTGTGCCAGTCTTGAGATCCTTGTGTTCATAAGCTGTCTTCCGCGGTCTGAAACACCTCAGGGCACTCTTTCTGGTAGTGAATGTCTACCAAAGAGGTGTTTGGCGTGGCCCCAACACCAACAAATCCTGCCACATCCTTTTGCCACACAAGACGGTGTTTGATTGTGAAGATACAAGACTCGGTGATGAAGCGTGCTAGCTGTACAATAGAGATTGATGTGTGTGCCACGTGGCAGGTGCGGCATCCTGGGGGAGTTCCCTTTGCGGTGCTTATCGCCTGCCTCATAGTGGCGATGGCAGTGGTGTACTTCACGCAGCAGGCAGGACCAGAGCGGGGGAGGACCAAAAAGGGGCGCTCCACAGACCGAGTGGACTGATGTGGCTAAATTAGGGGTTTCTATATATCAATTTATATGTAGATCCCCCAGCTCACCCTGCTAGAAGGGTGTCTGATGGTGGCAGTTCTGTGAAGGGCATGGGAAGTGCGGTGATGAACACTTACACTTAAACACAGATGAGCAGTGGCTGCTTGAGAATGAGAGCTCTGCATCAATCAACAGCGTTAACGTTTCGATGACCATCTTTGATTTGTTGCAGTCTTCTAGTGTGTGGGGTGCAAGCTTCTCAGGCGCACCACTTGCGCTGAGAAGTTTATCGTCTCAGTCATATGACTGCAAAGGCGATTAATCCAATACTGGTATGGATGTAGCAACTTCTCACACGGCCTTTGCACAATGTGACTGTCAACTTTGGCCAAGAAGACTATGCCCATCGTATGTTCCGAACAGAGTCCGCCAGAAAGACACCACAGCGGTAAACTTGATTCATTGAGAGCTTCATATGCCCCCTGGCATCATCATGTTCGAATGTGAAGAAACTCAGGGGAGTTGTTGAGAAAAGGAGGGTTTTACCAGAACATGGTTTTCCCCTTGATCTTGACCGAAGGGGAACTTGTACATTTGCCCAATTGATTCCCCTTTTGTGGTTTTGGCAACCACAATGATCCATTGACAGGGTGCTTTGTGAGCATCAAGCCTGCTGTGGGTGCGTTGCAAATTGTTCACATGAACGGTAATGACAGGGACAGGGCCCATTCATGAAGTTGGCATTCCAAGCTTTTGCTAAGCAGCCAGCAAGCTTCTGGAATTTCTTTTCTTCTGACCATTGCACCCCAAGCATTTAGCAAGGAACCCTTCTCGTTGAGAAAGGCTTTTCAGTAGAGCTTTACGTTTTCTGCTGAAAGGATGTCACCGCAAGACCCTGCTTTGGCAGCACAGTGGGAAATACAGACCATTCTTCCCCAGGATCTTCCATCACCCACGAGTAATCCCTTACTAACACAATCACAAGCACCGTCAGCGCAGCCTTGACAAGATGCCTCCCCAGGCACATCCTGGGCCCGAGTCCAAACGGCAGCGTGTATTCGGCAGCCGCCGGGCAGCTGCTGCCAGCTTCCCCGGCAGCTTCCTGGAAGCTGCCGGCTCCCCGGCCCAGCAGCCAGCGCTCCGGCTGAAAGCTGTCGTCGTTGTATTTCTGCGTCGATGCCCCCGTGTGGACGTACACACTCCAGCCCTGTAAACAGCACACATCCAGCATCCATCAAGACAGCCGATACTCTCACTGAGTCCATTTCAGCGTCCAAAGTCTCTTTAAAGGCAATATCCTGCCGGCTGCATGCGCAATTTCGGCAGTGGCATCTGCATGACTGCTGCTCGGCTCACACTGACAGCGAGTGTCAGCAGGACGACAGCTTGTGCATCCCTGCAACTCAGGGCAGGCTGCGCGTAGACTCACTGAAAGCTTCTCTTAGAGCTTGTTGGCCGGTACATGCGCATGCAATCCGCAGCACAAATGCAAACACATTGGGAGGTTTAGCAATCCTGCCTGCTCAGAGCTGCACTCAGCATGCTTAACTGTGGATTAATAGTAATATATACAGTACTATGTATAGTAATAATAACATTATATTACCTTGGGAACACGGCGGCCGCAGAGCTCGAAGTCCTGCAGGGCACGCCTGAAGAGCGCTGGCACTATTGGGGTGATGCGAAGGACTTCTTGCACAACTGCACAGCACACAAGGCAGTTCAATGTCAGAAGATTGCAAGGATGTTGACTCAGTGCATCCTCTTGCGCACAGCATTGCAATTGCTTCCAAAAAATGCAACCGGGACTAAACTAAACTTCTGGCAAAGAAGCTCGAGCTTAAGCTTTACGCAGAAGAGCGCACAACATGCATTGTGATGCCTAGCCCCTTGTAGAGGATTTTAGAAAGGGTGTCGGCAATGGTTGCAAAGAAAATTGTACAGTACACAACTGCATGCAGGCCCACAAGGCGCCCAGCGTTTGGTCTTGCCAATGCAGAGCCTATTGAAGTCTGTCAAAGACTTGTTTTCCAATCAGATCAGTTGAGATAAGATAGATGGTTACTCGTGCACCTGCGCTGGTGTAGGGCAGGTTGTCCAGGTCAGCGGCCGTGAGGGGCCCACGTGACCCACGTGCAGCCAGCTCAGCGCTGACTAATTCCCTCGCTCGGCTGCCGGCTGCCAAGTACTGCAGGATCTTCGCTGCAGTCGGGCCGGCAGACGCGTTGCCAAACGCGGCGGCAAAGGTGTTGTCAATTATATGGTCATTGGACAGCGGTGAACCCCCTGAGGTGGAAGGTTCTTCAAGGCCAAGCATGTTGCCCAGGCAGGAGGTGCCCCTGTCCTGCAAAGGAGCACCAAGCTTTATCAGCCGCAATAATGTATAGATGCCAGCGGGCTAAGGCCGGCATTAGAGAACATTGCATTTTGATGGATCCTGAGGACACAAAAAGGAAAGCTCTCAGTCGTCAAATTGCCTCAGGCATGTCAATGCTGCAAGCTGAGGATGGTCAAAGATTGTGAATAGTAAGACACATCCCTTCAAAGGGACAGGCGTAGAGAAAACCAGGAGGTGACTGAATGTGATCATCCAAAAGAGGTGCAGCAATGAACCTGTAACTGCATGGCATCGACCTGCCCGTTGATCAGATCCGTTATGTCCTTCCGGGCAGACAGCGCGCGGCTGTACGGCGAGGCCGGCAGCTTCACCGGCACCGTCTGGAAGCCGCCCTGCAGGTCGTCCATCAGCCGCGCCAGCTTCCTCCCGGTGGGAAGCTGCCCCGGCATGCCCAGCACCGCTGCCCCAAACATGGCCCACGCCCAAAACTTGGTTTCCTCGTACCCCGAGAAGCTGCCCATCTGCGCCCATCTGCAGGCAGGTATTATTATAATTGTTACTGATATCGAATGCTTTTCCTGCCAGAAACAAGATGCGTTTGCAGACGAGCTGCAAGTAAAGGCTGCCACCTGCCCTAACCCTTGATGGACTCGCCAGATCCTAGCAAGACCAGATCTTCCACAGGCATGTGGTAATGTTACCGTAATATTGCCCCAGACACAGCACAAGCCGCACCACTTGAAGGAGACGCTACGAGACAGTCACAGACTGCATCCATGCCTTTGATCGGCGGCATTGCCAGTGCAAGACAGCAGTCTGACTACATGTCTCTATTGTCCAGCTTCTCCCTTGCCAAACCACTCACTACACTGGACTAGGCTAGAGCACAGGATCAAATATTCCAAGCTTGAAGCATGCGCACCGCTGGCAGAAGTTCTGTGCGCAGGTCTCCAGCTCAGCCAGCAGCGCGACCACTGCCTGCTCGCTGAATGCCTCTCCCAGAAGGCGCTTCATTTTGAGGTGCTCCTCCCCCTTCAGCAGGTTCAGAGAACTCGGCCCCACCTGCACAGACACACTGCACTGTCACAATGTGACTCTGGCATTGCTCTCTAGGAATAGGACGGAAGTGCAGAAAGCATCGTCCAATGGAGAAGAGTCGTAGTTGGTAGACAAGGGTCTGCTTGGCTTCAGTTCGCGAGAATTAGTTCTTAGCCTGTCCAGCAAGTGACATTGGGAGGATTTTTGGCAGAACCTCAGCATGCAAAATGCAGGCCAATTTTTAAGAGTGGTGGGATTTCTCTCTGCAGCCACAGTTGAGCAGCGTACCAGCTCTGCTGTCACATCTGGCCAAATCACCTCCACAAGGCGCCCCTCTTCCTTCAATACCTTTCTGCATGCCGCCTCATCAAATACCATGATTGTTGGACTTCCCAATATACTCGTCTTCCAGATTTTTCCGAATTTCGCGTTTCTGGCAGCCCTGCACCGCATGCCAGATTTTTTGGTGCCGCAATGACAGGTGCAGGAAGTGCCGCTGTGTGCTGAGGAACAAAGGCGCTGAGGGCGGAGTACAAGAGAGCAAGGGCACTCGCCCAAAGCTGTCGCCTTTGAGCAGCAGGTCTAGAGTTTCTCCAACTATTGGGAGTCCCAAGCTTCCCTCTGGAAGGTCCATCTGAGATAGATCGCCCTGTATTCACAATGTAGCCATCTTTAGATGCGTTCGATGCAGACAACAGATCGCTGTATTTTTGTCCCTCGAACATGTTGCATTAAGTCGTATTCGTCTACCTGGATTTCCGGCGATGATCTACACGCTTTGTACCTCCCCAAAGCTACAGTCCTTGAATGCAGGAAAGTAACATGCCTTGATGGTACAGGACCCAAGCAGTTCCGGGATCCTTGAGTGATTGGCAAAGCTGGCATTGTTACAAGTATCTATATTTAAGTTACTTGAAATCGCAACATTCGGATGGTGCGTTCTTGCACCACCAGTAACCGATCCCCACCAAATGCCCTGATCACGTGCAATGACCGTATCACACAATAGGTTCGAGAGTTTTTCAAATTTCCCCATCAATGAAATGTTAAAGTTGGTTCTATGGCACGACGTGGGGACTTTTGGAAATCAATGCCATTTAGCGTCTTTGAATTGGTGATTGGTCGAGATCAGCCGTTGGTAGCTGACGGAAGCTAGGGTTCCAATTTTAAATTCAGGACAGAAGGCAAGAGCCTTGATCTGCACAATCTTGGAGAGCCACTAGACTCCTCCTCGCATGCATGTCATTCCAGCAAAATATTATCTTCTACACACTACTTCTGCCTGACGGATTCGACTGGCTCTAGCCAAATCTATTCTGCTCATCCTGCTTCCCTGCATGTCTTCTCCTTGGGCTGTCACTTGTTTGTACTCGACTTACTAAGTCTAGTAGAAGGATCCATGCTTCCAGAATTTCTCACTCAAGCGCGCACAGAGGTGTGCCGGTAGTATAGCATGTATGCGTTGGGGCTGCATGCGGTTGCCTCATCCACTTCGAGCACAAAGCCGTCGTCGCACAGGTACCAGGAGTTGCCGCACTTGACATATGCCACATAGTGTCCTCCCTGCGCACCAGCAGCCTTACCTGTAAAGTCTGACAGGTGCTCAACACCTATTAATATTATTTTATTATTGCACGCTTTTCCTGCCAAGAGGCAAGGTGCGTCCTGCAGACAAGCTGCATTGCCACAATCCTACTCCTTGTTGGACTCGCCAGATCCAAGCAAGAACCAATCAACCGTTGGCACGGTGCTCAGTATTTGTACCGCCCCCCGCCAGCCGGGGCCTACGCATTTGCCTGCCCAAAATACCCAAGTTGCAGCGAGTTTCCCTTGCATATTTCCCTTCCGATGCCACCAAAACAAAGGCATCGTGGTTAGTGTCTTGACAGCTGACAGCTGCAGCAGATGCAAAGGAGATAGCCTAGTTGGCCTGGGATGAAAAGCCACACCTATGGCACACACTTGTACTGCGTTTTGCTTCGACATGGGCGTGCAAGCTGCAAGCTGAAGTCACTGCCAGCAGCAATACACTGACCCAGCCAAATCCCTGCAACCCCACAGTAAACCCAGAAAGGAGCAGAAAGTAATTGCAGCGCACCTGCAGGTTGCCACGGTGGCACACAACAGCGTACAGCTCATAGATGACGCCGACTTCATCGGAGTCATTAGAGAGGCCGTTCTTGCGCCGCTCTGGCGGCCTCTTGACTGTGAACCGCTTCTGCAGCACAGTCGAGGACAGGTACGGGCGAACGTCCAGGTGTGCTGAGAAGAGTAGGGGCGTATTCAGCTTTTTGCCCACGCCCTGCACCACAGCACGGCCTCTTTGAAGAGTCAAACAAATCAATGACAGAAACACCCCTGTACGCACAGTACTGCTCCTACACGCAGACAAGTATGCTTTAAGGTGTCACTTCAACAGGAACACAAGGGAAGGAGACAAGACTATAGGTACACCGTCATGGAAGGCTGTTTCAGTGCAACAATCGCACCATGTGCTCGAAGCGCTTGACATGCAGGCAAAGCACGGGTGGCAGCCGCCGGATTGACATCTGCTTGACCGCGCGCTGCTGCAGCCGGCACCGCTCACACGTCCACCTTTCCCCCGGCCCAAGGCTCTCCGGCCGCACAAAGCGGTGCAAGCAGCCCACCAGGCTCGCCGCCCCGTACTGCGCCGTTACGGGGCCCGGGCCCCCCGGCACCGCGGCCCCGTACACCCCGGTGGGGGCGGAAGTCCCCCCGGCGTTGGACGCGGCGGCGGCCGCTGCCGCAGACTCTAAGGCCGCGCCGCTGCGCGGCGCAGCGGCAGCTGGCTCCGGGCTACCGGCTGCGGCTGCGGCGCTGTCGGCGGTGACTGAGCGGTGAGTCAGCAAGTAGGGACCGGCGGGTGCCAGGGCGGCGACGGCTGCGGGAGCCGGGGCCGGGCTGCGCGGCGTGACCGGCAGCGGGAGGCTGCCGCGTGTCGGGAAGGTGAAGCTGCCGGAGCGGCTGATCCCGCCCTGCACCTCCTCCTCTGCATTTGGCATCCTGCGCCGCATGCACAACTCTCCTTAAGTACACCGCCCCCAGAAAAGGCAAGCACGGTATGGGAGGGCAGAAAGATGCACAACTGTGGTTTCCTTTTGAAGGATTGGAGTGCTTTCGTGCAGCACCGTGCCGGCTCAACGAGGACTGCTCATCAGGATCAAAGCCAACAGAAACAGATAGCTGAAGGGGGAAAAGAGCGCTTCAGATGAGACTTAGGGTGGTCACAGCCAAAAGATCATTAGTGAATTAGTCGCACCTCTTCAAGGGAGCTAAGGCGGGCAGAGCCAGGTCAGCGACAGGTGGCGGGGGCTCGTCTAGTGCGGCGAGGTTGCCTGCAGAGCGCAGCGCCTTGTTGCGCAGGCACGCCTTCTTCAGCTGCGGCTTCAAACAAGTCGCGCACTTCATGCAGCGCGTCGGCCGCTGCTTCTTGCCCGTGCCCCCCGATCGCGGCCGCGCCGGCTGCAGCCACCAGACAAGCAAACATTTGCGGAGTGCGAATTCTTGCTTAACCTTGTGTGCACGGGCAATAGAGGTGGCTGTGGTCAAGCAGTCCTTGAGAGGTATCCTGGGAAAGAAGAGGCTAAGATAGCAATTGCAGCAAAACAAGTGCACCCCAAGGAGATGCCAGGTTCAGACTGTCTCCATTACAGCACTTCCTGCAGATGGCAAGGCTAGCAAGGCTCATTTCAGAGGCCGCCAGGCAATGCAAACAATCACAGCACTGCAGATAATGCCCAGAAGTGCAACATTGTTGCGGGTAGGAAGGACAGGACAACGCACAGCTGGAGCTGGGGCAGACGGCGGCCGCTGGGTGGAGGAGGGGAGTGGGGCAGAGGTGGGGCGCCAGAATTGGCCGCCGTCCATTGCATTATCGCCCCCTGGAGCAGGGGAGGTGAGAACCTCATCCCGTAACCCGGCCTGTGAGTCGCCCATGATGCCACTGCTGGCGCCCTCAGAGCTCAGTGCGCCTGTCACCGTAAAGTCCAGTCAGCACTCAGTACAAACGTGGCACAGCCATGGACTGAAAGGAGCATGCGTGGTGTAGTGAAAGCAGGTACTTGGAAGGCATGATAGGAAAGCGCACAGGAGGCACGCAAGTATGTCTTTTCCTGCGTTCCCTGCTTGTGAACAGCTACAACTACTTCTCTGGCACGGCATTGTTTTTTTCATTGGACTGACCCAATTCCCTAAGTACACTTATATGTAAAAATGATGCCAGCTTAGCCTGCACAATATGAAGGCACTTGAAAGAGTAGGCAGCACTGCAGACACGCCTGGCTAAGAGTAAGCCATGGCCCAAATCAGGTGCTATTGCAAACAAAGTAGCCGATTTGATCAAGCCAGCCCTGTCTTGGGTCTTAGGCACCAGGTCATACAGGCTGGCTCAACTGCAAGGGCACTTGGGTGCCAATCTGAGCCCAGGAAGGATTCAGTTCTTCCTCTGGTGGTGCTTGCGGGTGCATTTGCATTTGCATTTGCACATGCCTTCCTTGTCTGGTTCTCTTGCTGAGCTTGTGAGTTGGCCTTTTACGGGTAGGGGCAGACTCCCCGGACGGATTGCAGAGAAAAGACCACTCTGTGAAATTGTGCCAATAGTCAAACAACCTTTACCTCTGGCAGTGCTTGCAGGAGGGGCCGATGCTTCATGCGCGCTGCTGTGGTAGCCGTCACCTTCTGTGCTGCCGCGCCGGGCGGTGCCGCCGCTGCCGCCCGCCTCCAGAAGGGGCGATGTTGTCCCCTGGGGGCTCGGCTCCCTTGTGTACGATCTGCAGATGAACATGTACACCTTGTCAACAAGCAGCACTGTCTGACTGATTGTGGGTTCAAGGTGTCGGCACGCAAGTGCTCAGACGAAGACTGCTTAAGCAGTATTATGAAAGAGTGATGCAGCATTGCAGCGCAGCGAGTGGCAAAGGTGAGAGGAGAGGGCTGCTTAGCAAATGGGCATCATGCAGCAGTTAGACGCCAATCTCACGGAACAGGGGCATTTGCAAAGACGGGGTTCATGTGCAGGAGGCAGTGGGGAAGTGAGGGGTGGTGACTCACCCAACGATGTCCAATGACTCGCTGCTGTCGTCCCTGCCTGCAACGGCGTACCCTGCGCCGGGCGCCGCGCTGGCCGCCTCGCCGACGGCGGATGTCGCCGTCGTGTCCGGCGACGCGCGGTCGTCAGGCAGCTGCGAGGCAGCTGCTGCGGAAGCCGCCGCGATCGCGGCCGCGGCCGGGCTGGCCCCGGCCGGCGCAGCCGTCTCGCCGGAGGTGCCGACCGACGGATCGGCGCCGGCAACGCTGGCCGCGCGCTTCTGCGCAGCCGCCACCGCCATCGCCGCCGCGCCGGAGAGCCGCCGCTGCGCATTCGCCTGCCTATGTGCATCGCATATGGCCCACTCAATACAGCGCTAATGTGCTTTCTGCCCTTATAGCAAGGGCGGGAAGTAGCATCCTATATTTCAAACCCACAATTTACAGGTCCTCACTCCTCAACAAGCATCTGATACCTATATTCCCCCACCTACAAGGACACGTCTTCAGCAACTTCTGCCTCGTCAAATTATGCATTAATGCCCAAAATACACCACAATGCAGAGTCTCCATTGCTGCCTGCTACTGTCCTCTGGGCTCAATTCGTGTAGACAAGCCCTGAGACAGGACAAGGCAACTTGTGCGCCTTTGTGCATGAGCCCTGGTAACTTCACAATGGTATCTACGTGTTAGTCCTGCTTCAGTCTTGTCCCTGGGTGGCACGGGCAGTATCCAAAAAGGTGGTAAAGGTGCGAGTGCGTACTTGTGCATGGGCCCCGGCGGTCGCAGCAGGGGCGCGGGTGGCAGCGGGGGAGGCTTGATGTCTAGGGAGATGTCGAGGAAAGGGTCAAGTGCTGTGGAGGTGTGACCGCACGCACAGCACATGACGTCCGATTGCAACAGGCCCCCGAAGATGCGCTGCAGCGCGCTCTCGGCCTCTTCTGCGCCTGATAAAGCATATGTACCCAACACAGTCATCAGCTGTTCAGAAGATCTCAAAGGGCTGCACCAACCTGGACGGTCACCAATGCAGTATCCGCGGATAGGCCCCCACCGGGGGAAGGCCTTCCTCCTGACCGCCCAATGCTCCGAGGATCAGGGCGTAATGTACGAGAATTGACACACCGAGTCCCACGAAGTTTCTTCGGTTGTACACATTCTGCGGTGACCGCCCTGGTGGTCTCTTTTCAGGAGCTTCGGTGAGCGTTTCAGGCCAGCAAAATCCCTGGTGATGCATGCCTACCCTGCAGAGGAACATGCAGTTCAACTGGGCAGCGCACCTGAGCCGCCAGAGGAGGAAGCCCGCTCATTTGAGGCAGTGCGGTCGTCTGCTCAGGGCTTGGCCTCTTCTTGGTTGGGGAACGGAGACAAGAAGCTGGGCAGGCTGCAGCTGTCGAGGTCAGAGGTCAGGTCCAGAAAATCTGTGACCGGCACCTGCCAGCCGGCGCTGCCCGCCTCCTGCTTCACCGGCCTGGGAGCCTCCAGAGCGCCTGCACGCAAGAAGCACTTTGACTAGTACAAGCATTTCCTTCATGCACACATTTGACGCCAGGAAGGATGCAAGACACACAAGGCAGCGCGAGCGCCAAGAAATGAGGAAAGGCTGCCTGGCATTACATGCAACGCGTGCATACATACAAGATTTTAACTTGCCATGCATGACATCTGCTTGTCACAACTCTCGGTGTGTGCATGCTTTGCATGGGGAACTGTTGTGTGATGCGAGCTTCGATTCTTGAGCTTGTCGCGGTCAAGAAAGGCACATAAGCCGATGGCAACCCAAACTGCCAGCATACCATCAGTTGCCGGCCTGACAGCAGCGCATGATGCAGCCATTCTGTGCACATATCGGAGTGCTTCTTCTTCGCCACATATGCACAGAGACTGCATGGTGTGCATGTTGTGCTTGAAAATGTACACTGCTCCTGGCCCAGCAGTATGGGGCACATGTGCCTTGCATGATTAAATCGATGTCAGAATTCCACACGTTTGACGCTCCGCAGTCGCGACATGATGCCGTGACACATCATCATTCTGTAGATTTCAGGCAGAGCTGGTATCAGGACATCGGGGGCCCACCTGTCTGGCGCTCTGCAGGTGCGGCAGCGGAGGCAGCCGCAGCTGTCGGCTCGTTGTTTGAAACGCTGGGCAGGCGAGAATGTGAGAGTCCGGAGAGCGTGAAGAGGTAGAATTCGTGTGCGTCCTGCTGCTGGTAGCCTGCCAGGTGGTGGTCCGCGTGGCACCACCACGCGTACAGGAACGCCGCCGGACTGAAGGGCGAGCTCGCACCCGAATAGGCTGCAGAAAAGAGCTCATCCTGCCGTGCACCCCAGGCTTGCACTCAGAATCTCCCCCCGTCTCAGAAATAGAAAAGCCACACGCTTTTCCTGCCGGAAGCAAGGTGCGTCTGCAGACAAGCTGCAATAAAGGCTGCCAAGATTCCCACCCCTTGATGATGGACTCGCCAGAAATCCAAGCATGACCCTTGGGCATCTCAGAAATTGTTCAACAAATTGGGTTTATCAAACAAAACAGCAAACATATCAAAGCAAACACACAACTTGTACGCCAACAAGAACAGATCTTTCTCAATGGAGTGCTCGTTGCACAAACATTTTTTTTTTGCTAGCAGTGAGCACCCATGAGTCACGGCCTGCATGCGCTCACCATTTGGCAGGCTTGCACCTCATGGCGCTCATCGCTAACAAAGGCCAATAGCCCCTCTTACAAGCAGGTCACTGTTCTAGAATTCCAGGAAAGCACCAAGAGCATAGCATATCATGCGGCAGTGCAAGCCTTACTTGCTGATCCAACACTACAGCATGCGCTGCCAGGCCGGGCCAGAGGGGCACGTACATCTCAGTTTCCAAGAAAACGGAGACCACCTGGTCCCTATGTCATGTAGCGCCGACAGAAACACAGCAACACTTCAGGACTGCGCACCTGTAGAAGTTGCCCATGTGGCCGGCCTTGACAACGTCGGCCTTTGCATCGCGCGCTTCGCGGATGCGCTCGGCGGCTAGCCACTTCTGGTCCTCCTCCAGCTTCTTCTTGTATGCGGCCGTGACAAATTTGTCCTTGTCGCCAAACAGGTGATCCTCCGCAGCGCGCTCCTTCAGCAGCCTGGCAGAAATTCACAACAGATGGTCAGGGACTACTGATACAAATTACAATTACAATTACAATTACAATTACAATTACAATTACAATTACAATTACAATTACAGTTACAAGTACAAGTACAAGTATCAGCATCTAGGATCCCAGAGACAAGGTACGTCTGCAGACAAGTTGCATTCGAAGGCTGGCGAATTCCACCCTTTGGTGGACTCGCCAGATCCAAGCAAGACCCAATCAACCTTGGGAATGGTGCTCACTATTTTTACCTCCCCTCGCCAGACGGGTCAGGAATGAGGCAACCAATACATCGGAAAACAGGTGCAAAGAAATTCGTGATTAGAAGATGGATTCAGCATAGAGTGCCTGCCACGCAGGGTGCCAGCGTTGCTGCTCGTGCTTCCTTGTCAGAAATGAGAGTGCTGATAACCGGCAGCAGGGAGCTGCCTGTCAGACAATCGCACTTACTGCTGGCCAGGAGCAACAGCAACAAGCATGGTAAGCTGAATCTTCTCAGAGTCATCTACACAGACATCTTGTGCAGTCCAAAGATGGATATTTTGATGCATGTGACCTGCCACGGCTGCCGGCAGGCAAGCTGATCATGCTCTCCCGAACACAAGGAGGAGCTTGGGATGAATGGTCCGGTAACCATGGCCTTCCAGTCTATGGCATGTCCCAAAATTGAATAAGGGGACGCACGTGCGCTCGTAAATGATGTCCTGCTCCCTCTCGCGCTCCTTGGCCTTATCCAGGAGGCCCTCAATGTAGCGCGACTTGCGCGCCAGCTTCTCCTGCTGCCGCGGCTGCACCCTGGCTTCCTGTATGCTGTCATAGACGCCGTCGTAGTCGAAAACTGATGCGTCCTCTGCAAGTGCTGCTGCATGCATCTGTGTCACCTGCGTGCAGAGCAAGAGTCCATGTGTGAGCAGGTGTTCCAGAGACCTGGCTCTCGGGGTGAAGTCTTGTACGCTTGTCCTCTAAAATTGAACAGCATACATCCCTGTTTCAGGACTTCTACCGAGTTCCAGTATCGAGAAAGAGGAGCTGTGCAGAATCTGGCTTTGAAGAAGCTAGTTATCGCAGCTAGACCATTGAAGCGTGCGGCCGACGCTCACCTTCTTGTCATTCAGCATTTGCTCTGCATGTCTGGCGATGTCCTGTCCGATGGCACCATCGTCATCATCATCCCCAAAGACGTTGATGGGCTTCTGCAAAGCAGGTTTGGGTTTTGGTTTTGCACCAGGCTGCAGCCCGTACTTTACGCCCTTGAGGCCTGTCAATTTCCTTGCAATTTCCCAAATTATAAATCTTAAAGAAGGCTGCCTGTCTGCTTAGAAGCTTCTACAAAATATTTCTAATAGACGGGATTTTGTCAGTTGCGTCAAGTATTCGTGCTTTCCAATGCAGTGCAGTCCACTTCCAGTGGGCACGATTCGAAAGTATCGACGCTTGGTGTTAAAAAATTCCTGGCTTTCTTCCTCTAGCTTCCTGGTCTGGACTCATCTTGGACTTTCGTCGCACGTGCCGAGCTTCTGCCATCACGTTTTCCTTGCATTTGGCAGTCAGCTTGTCCAATAGTCGAAATGTGTGTTTCAGAACGCAGTGTTGGTGTGTGCATTGTCATTTCTGTTGCTGCTTTCGTGTTGAATAGCCAGCACGTCCAAACAGCCCTCAAGAGAGGCCTCCCTGCTAGTAGCCTACAGGGTGCTCCACACCAGCTCCACATCATGATGATACACTTTACTTCCGCGCTCACGAGCCCACCATTACTTAATCCATCAAAAGCACTGCCAAGAATGCCCTCGCACACAGCAGCGGCTGCAATTGCGTGCGAGAGAGTGCTCAGCAGGCTGTCACTGAACTTAGTGGAAATGCACTGGAAATGACTGCAGTCCCTAAACCCTAAGATGAACAGTTGCGAACATTCTCTTACAGAGCAAATCACTCTCCACAACTAGCCATTCAATTGTGCATGAGAGCACACTGCTCGCTGCAACCTCTACAACACACGAGTTGGGCGCTGCATGCATCATGCAGGCTGCCATCATGCTCTGCCAGATCCGTTGGCCACGAATAGCTAGTGAGACTCATCTCAGCAAAGATGCATGCGTATCCACATCAGGGGACCTCGTCGTCTTTTATTCCAGCAAGCGCTGCAGTTGCACTCCAACACCGGTGTAGTCCAAATCGCGCGCAGCTTGTAGGGCTTCCGTCCAGGCAGGTCGAGAGGCCCAGGCAGTGTGTTGCCACCATGACACAATGTCTCCCAACTGATGCTTGGGCAGCTTCTCCAGCTCCACCTGCATGTCTGGGTGCGTCACGCAGAAGGCAGTGCACACAAGCGACTCGAGATCATCTGCAGGCGTGGCACGGACACTGGGATGTTGTCCAGGCTGCAGCAGCTGCTCCAGGATGACCTGCTCCAGGATGGCCTTCGATGCGTAGTGCACGGTACCCTCAAACGGCGCTTGCTGCAGCCCCACGCGTGTGGCACTGCCCCAGTCAATTGGCCAGAGCACCGATGCAGTTGTGTCAGTCATCAAGTTGCTGAGGCGCACATCTCTGTTGACAAAGCCCAGGTTGTGCGCCTCCTGTGAGCCAACAGAAGGAAAGCATCGCAAAGCGTTTTGGATCCGCAAGTAGAGCAACACTGCGACAGGTGCAATACAATGTGTGCAAGCCTCAAGGTGCTGAGACTTTCCACAACCACATGAGGACAAGATGATCCACACTGCAGCATGTTTGCAAACACACACCTTGAAGGTAGAGACCAGGGCAGGGACGGCAAGGTGGAGACGGCCACGCCAGATGGCAGCCAATGTTAGCGGCTGCAGGACAGGCGTCGAGACGATAGCGCCCTTGACAAGGGTGTCAAATGCCAGGGATGGCACACCTATCAAGCCCCTCAGAGCGAGCAGCATCTCCAGCTCATGGTCCAAGGTTCTCGCCAGCGGCACCTTGATTGCCACCTACAGGAAGCAATAGAGTGGGCAGTCACCTGCCTGTACGATCAATGCTGCCAATTATTTAACCACAAAACTATTGTGCCGGCACTCCATGCATGACAGCAAAGCTCACCTCGTCGCCATTGGAGGTTGTCCCTTGAAAGACGTGGCTGGTCGCTCCATGACCAAGGAATCCTGTGATCTTCAGTGAGGGGCCCAGGTCTGGCAGCTGCACTCGCAATGACGCCGGCGTGCAGCTAAGCAGCTGCAAGAGAATGGACTTGACATCTGCGAGCTGAGTGCTCATGGCCACCTCCAGCTGGCCATTTGCAGGCAGGCTCACACGCATCAGGGTTATGCGCTGCAAGTCTGTCAATGCCACGTACACTGTGTTGCGCAGACTGCTGGGTAGCTGCTGCAGGAAGGTCCGGCCATATGTGACAGCCTGGCCAACGTTCTTTTCGTTGTCATAGGCGCCGTCTTGCCGCTTCAGATCAAGGATTGCCGCTGTGGTGAGGGGGCACACAGGTTTGCCGCGCAATTTCATGACAGTGTCAGGCTTTAGGTCATTGCCACACACGGACGGTGCCGTGTGGACATCATGGAATTCGAAGCTCATGCTGGATGGGGCGCTATTCAGCAGCCTGCAGAACTTGCTCTGCAGCCCCTGCTCTCCTGCCTCAAGCAAGTGGCTTTCTGGAGCTGCAACCTCGTCCCACAGAGGGTCATTCCAGGTTAAACTCGCTGCTAGGGGGGGCAGCGGCAGCTCCACCCGTGCCTGCTTCTTCACATGCTCCCCAACCTCTCGCAACGTGGTTGTAGTCAAGGGAGGAGGTGTGCCGATCAAGGCCAACAGCTCTGCCTTGAAGTCATCATTGCCTGCAAGGAGGATCAGTCAGCTGAGTAAGTCTGGTGGCAGCCTTGTTCATGCAGCAATAAAATTTGCGCAACGACTGCCAGTACTCGGCTCAGTCAGGTCTTAGGGGAAGCCGTTGCCCCTAAACCCCTATCCTACTACCAGCCCAGAGTGCAAGTCTACTAAAGCAGATGGCATTTGTGCTGGAAGGTCACGTCTGTGCCAGGATGGCCTTATCCCAGACAAACTTGTGGTCAAAACAACAGGGGTCATACCAACACGGTGTGCCAAGACGCTGTGACGAAACATACCTGCACTGCGCAGAGATTGTGCTTGGTCCCTTTTTGACTTGGCTTGTTGAAGTCTAGCTTGCGCTGCAATGGGACGTCCAACCAATTCAAAGGCTTCTGCTTGATCTTCCAAGGCCTTCGCCTCTGTCTCTAGGGGGTCCACCATCGCCATCTGAAGTGCTTCCAAGTCAGGTCAACTACAGATAGTGTTCGGCATGTTCAAGCCTTCGACGCGCCATTGGCCAGCTAGCCTTAGCTGCCCTGGGGGATATTGCTCAGTTTGATCACCTCTAGAGAAATTTCGTGGAATCATTTTTGACGTCCAGTGACCTCCAACCCTAGGCCTATAGCTATAGACCCTTGGCGTCCAAGCCCTACGCCTACCCAGCTGAGCGAGCAATACTTTCCCTTTCTGTGCCAATGCAACTGACAGACTAAAGATATATATAACATCAAAGTGCCTAAGATTGCCTACTAGCAAGCTGTACGTCTGCATCTCGTACTGATAATCACCTGTTTAATTACTGTTTGGGCAACATCCGGTTTACTAGCCAGCACAATAATCCCTCGTGAAAGGCCTCGGACTTTTCAATTCAGAAGTTTAGGTTAAAAACCAATATCTAAAGGTTTCTTTGTAGGTCGCACAACCATGGTGCGAAAGACTCTAGCGGAAGACCTCGAAGAGTGGCGACTACTGCGCCCACTAGAGGTAGTCTGATGGAGAATGCTCCAGATCACTGTTACAATGGAGACCAAATGTTGCATCAATGATGAATACCATCTGGTGTTTCACCTTGCCTCCACCCTGGTGTCTGGTGTTCTTGCTCTCAGTGTAATTCATTGCGTGTCTTGAACTACGGCTTTCCTGTGCACAGAGCATGATCCTGAAGCGGGGATTTTTGGTGAGGAGGCTGTGGTGGAAGAGACGGATGATGAGCTCAAAATTGGGCACCACAGGTGAGGTGATACGTCGAACTGCCTACTTTTGAGGCGGCGAAGCAGGCATAGACATTCAGGATCTGATATGATCCTGTAAATGGCGGAAAATTAGCGTTCACATGTGTGCAGGCCAAGGAAGGGAGAGAAGGGGCTGCCGCTTAGGGGAGGCATAGACTTGGATGACCCAGAGTATGAAGGAAGAAGGGTCAGCCGAGACGCCGTCTTTGGTGATGAATCCGAGGACGCCATTTCAGAAGACGAGTGAGTCTTCCCTTCCCATGCTGCTGGCCAGGGCCCACGTTCTGGGCCATCTGTTGAGTGAGAAATTCCACCAAGTAGTTGCTGCTCGGATCTTCGGGACATCGCCCTCATTGATTGATGCTGGCAGGACTGGGATGGGCGTGGATGAGGTAGTAGAATTGATCCACTGCACATTTTGTAGGGACGTGGAGGCAGGTTCTGAGGAGTATGAGGGGCAGCTGGGGGACGAGCAGGGGGCCAGAGCAGAGCCAGAATCTGCTGTCACAAATGGGACAGTGACGATCAAGATCAAGGCCCAACATCAGGTCAGTGGCCTCATCCCCATGCGCAGAATACATGTTCAGCTATGTGTACATAAAAATTAATTTCATATGCAGCATCCCATGTGCAAGCTTGAAAGACTCCCATGTTCAGCTTTGGAAGTTCACACCGTCACTATGTTTAATGCAAGAGCTCTTATTGACCCACAGAGGATGAGGTCGATGAGGAGGCGGCTGCGCTGGAGCGCGAGTCTGAGGCGGCCAGGGCCGGCACCACCGCCGCTGACATGGCAATTATCAACCGGGACAGGGCGGCGCGTGAAAGGGCAAAGGGGACAGCGGTGAAGAACCAGCGCTCGAGCTGCGGATCCTCCTGCAGAGCTGCCTGCAGGTGAGTGGCTTCTTTGGTTTATGCATGGCACTCTGCCATGGCCCCACCTGCATACCAAGCACAGTCTGTAGGCGGTTTCTTGCAGGGGACAGCTTCCATCTGGTGCTGACATGTGACCCATCTTGCCTGCATGACAGTTCCCTTTGCACTTCGCTTATTCCTTGCAGACAGCATTCATGGAACAGCATTGCATAAAGACTCTGCTCACTGCGGTGATCTCCGTGCAGGCGTCCAACAGGCTGGTCCGGCCGCACATGCATGCGGCGGCATGCGCGGTGGCACCAGAGCTGCGGTCAGGCTTCCACGGGCTGCGCCGTCGGCCAGGCCGACTCACTCCTGGACTTGCACCACGAGCTGCTTGAGCGCGTGCCTGACCGCGCGGCGGCCGCCGCCACCGAGACGCCAGCAGAAGCTATCATGGGTAACACCGGGAAGAAGCGCGGCCGGGACGGCGCTGCCGGGGATGACTTATTGTCTGGTGAGCATCTGCCGCCTCCTGCGACTGCGCCATGCCGCTCTTCTGAGCCCATCGTAGGACCCTGGGTGATCCGCTGTGATGGTTCATGGACACAAAGCCTAACAAAGGACACCATGCTCTATCTCTCGCGCGGGCTGTAATGCTCTTGTCAGTATGGGCTTTGTCGAAGGGAATTGCTGAGCTCGCGCTGCTGCTCCTTGTGCAGGGACCAAGTGGGCCAGAATGAATGCGGTATATGGGAGGTTCGCTCCTTTCCGGGACGCATCAATGGACAGGTGGCACCGGAAGACCATGCTGATGACAGGCAGTGGCGCTCTCCGCAACAACTTACGCGCCCTCAATCAGAGCCTCTCTTCACAGGTACACCCTGTCATGTCAGCCATTCCCTTTTACCCTTCATGCATGCACATGAGAGGATTGTGCTCTGATGGATCGAGTCTGCATTTCAACCCTTGCGTGTCAGGTATTTTGTGGCCAAATTTTGAAAAGCGATAATCCAATGTTCTTTTCATGACATTAATCCTGATATGCAGGTCGCAGCATTAGTTACGGACTCTGGACCGGCAGTGCAACGCACACAGCTGATGACCGCTCAAATTAGGCCCTTGATGGGGCGGGCGTCCGCTCAGGTAGGTAAATCTTATTTTGCATTTGACAGCTAGTTCCTGGAGGTGTTGCTGGCATGAAGTCTTTGGATATGTTGCGGGGCATGCATGCCAGAATGCAGCTTGCATGTGGTTGGGATATCAAGCTGCGCTTAGATGGCAGCCGCTGGCTGGGGTTCTGCACCTTCACATGTGCTCCTCCAGGCGCCATGTGCGGTCATGTGATGGCATATGAACATATTCATTGCCACTGTTCCTTCCTGTGCTCCTTCTTGTGCTGCCTCTGCCACACTGCACATCCTTGAATGCTTCGGCAGGGCCAGTGGACAATGTCAAAGATATATTTGAGGCACAAGAGGCGAGAAAGATCATGCAACAGTCACTGCTCCTGCTGGGACTTATCAAGACAAAGCAGGATCTCATCACGGAAATGACTCTGCTGCTGGACAAGGTTTGCTTCTCTCTGCACACTTGCCCTGACAAGCTGATTTGCTGACAGGCTGGTCAATCTAGGGACAAGTGTTTGGCACATGCCAGTGGCAAGCATTTGCACAGTGCAGTCCGCACCATTATGCATTGAGGTTGTCAGCCCCGTCTGACACGAGCTCTTAGCGCTGACTGCAGTGAGTCCTTCTGCAGGTCATGAGAGGGGGACAGGATGCTGGCCGGCAGTACACATTCCTCTTCATTGCGCCGCATGTTGTGAGGGTGCAAAGATGTCCTCTATGAGTGGGTCCCAGAAGGTGGCATTGATGAGAAATCCCAGCTTCCGGCACTGCAGGCCAAGCTTGCCGACATGCAAGACAGGGTGCAAGACCTTGCCGTGCTCTTCCGCGTGGTGAGCAAATGCCCCTCCCCTGACTGGACACAGCAAATGACCATGTCATTTTGCGGACAACTGTGTCACCGCATGAAGCTTGCACGGCAGAATATATTCTTGACAGGATCCTAATATAGCAGCCGTGAAATTGGTCGCAGGCTTTGTCTTCAACAGAGGCAGACTTGGAGCAAGTCCAGGCTGTGTTTGCAGTGCCGCAGACCACCTTCAAGTGCATGCATGGAGATGTAGGAGCGCTTGCGGGCAGACAGGCAACTTGAGGAAATGCCGCCACTGGCACCGGCAATTGCACCTGATAGGAATCTGAGCTTGGTGATTGCTCCACTTTCAACTTCGGACGATGAAATTCCCTGAGCAGGAAGGCCCTTTGGATATGAAAATTGATAAAGTGCACTGATGAGAGCAGCCAGCACCGCAGTGGCCTCAGTGACCTTGTCGGATCTCCTTTCCACATTGCTTCTGACAGTCTTGAAGGGGGCCATTTTCCTTTGCCCATTTAACTAGATGTTCAGCTAGCTGCTGCACTCGTACAGTCATTGCGGCATGCAGCATTGCTTGCATCTGAAACAGGCCTCCTAGGAGTCTCTTAAACTTCTTTGGTCGCCCCTAAAATCCACATTTGGCAATGGCAGCGGAACATATCTTGATGCGGCACCAATGCTGTGAGGGTTCCAATTTTGATTTCAAGTGCAACACTGCAATAGATGCTTGCAGCATAGCCAGTGAAGATGCATTGCTTTGTGCTACACTTGTACGGGTCAAGCTAGCTAGGGTGCCTATGGTTGCCTTGGCAATTTAGCAGTCTAGCAGATTAAAGCAGCTATAAGTGCGAAAAAGCGTGTAATAATAATAATAATAAAGTGCGATCATAACGAGAACTCATCCTTCCCACTTTGCATATGCTGCCTCCTTCACTCCATTCTGCAATTTGCCGTGCCATGATCACAGAAAGGAGTTCCAATTGATCTGCATCAGGACATGCCGTGAAGCATGTTCAATCAGCAAGAGCCATGTTTTGCATTATCTTGGATTGCCACTAGAATTCTTCGCATGTATGTCATTCCAGAAATAAATAATCTTCTACACACTACTTCTGCCTGACGGATTAACTGGCACTAGCCAAATCTATTCTCCTCATCCTGGTTTCCTGCATGTCTTCTCCTTGGGCTGTCACTTGTTTGTACTCGACTCAGGAGGCTCCACGCTTCCAGATTTTCCACTCAAGCGCGCACAGAGGTGTGCCGGTAGTATAGCATGTATGCGTTGGGGCTGCATGCGGTTGCCTCATCCACTTCGAGCACAAAGCCGTCGTCGCACAGGTACCAGGAGTTGCCGCACTTGACATACGCCACATAGTGTCCTCCCTGCACACCAGCAGCCTTATTTGTAAAGTCTGACAGGTGCTCAACATGTCCGCATTTGTCTGCCCAAAAGACTCAAGTTACAGCGAGTGTCCCTTGCACATTTCCCTTCCGATGCCACCAAAACAAAGGCCTATTGATTAGTGTCTTGACAGCTGACAGCTGCAGCAAATGCAAAGGAGATGGCCCAGTTGGCTTGGGATGAAAAGCCACGCCCATGGCACACACTTGTACTGCGTTTTGCTTCGACATGGGCGTGCAAGCTGAAGGCACTGCCAGCACCGATACACTGACCCAGCCAAATCCCTGCAACCCCACAGTAAACCCAGAAAGGAGCAGAAAATAATTGCAGCGCACCTGCAGGTTGCCACGGTGGCACACAACAGCGTACAGCTCATAGATGACGCTGACTTCATCGGAGTCATCAGAGAGGCCGTTCTTGCGCCGCTCTGGCGGCCTCTTGACTGTGAACCGCTTCTGCAGCACGGTCGAGGACAGGTACGGGCGAACGTCCAGGTGTGCTGAGAAGAGCAGGGGCGTATTCAGCTTTTTTCCCACGCCCTGCACCACAGCACAGCCTCTTTATAGAGCCAAACAAATCAGTAACAGAAACACCCCTGTATGCACAGTACTGGTCCTAAAAGCAGACAAGTATGCTTGAAAGTGTCACTTCACCAGGATCACAAGGGAAACAGACAAAACTACAGGTACACGTCATGGCCAAGGCTGTTTCAGTGCAACAATCGCACCATGTGCTCGAAGCGCTTAACATGCAGGCAAAGCACGGGCGGCAGCCGCCGGATTGACATCTGCTTGACCGCGCGTTGCTGCAGCCGGCACCGCTCACACGTCCACCTTTCCCCCGGCCCAAGGCTCTCCGGCCGCACAAACCGGTGCAAGCAGCCCACCAGGCTCGCCGCCCCGTACTGCGCCGTTACGGGGCCCGGGCAATCCGGCGCCGCGGCCCCGTACACCCCGGCGGGGGCGGGAGTCCCCCCGGCGTTGGATGCGGCGGCGGCCGCCGCCGCAGACTCTAAGGCCGTGCCGCTGCGCGGCGCGGCGGCAGCCAGTTCCGGGCTACCGGCTGCGGCTGCGGCGCTGTCGGCGGTGACTGAGCGGTGAGTCAGCAGGGAGGGACCGGCGGGTGCCAGGGCGGCGGCGGCTGCGGAAGCCGGGGCCGGGCTGCGCGGCGTGACCGGCAGCGGGAGGCTGCCGCGTGTCGGGAAGGTGAAGCTGCCGGAGCGGCTGATCCCGCCCTGCACCTCCTCCTCTGCATTTGGCATCCTGCGCCGCATGCACAACTCTCCTTAAGTACACCGCCCCCAGAAAAGGCAAGCACGGTATGGGAGGGCAGAAAGATGCACAACTGTGGTTTCCTTTTGAAGGATTGGAGTGCTTTCGTGCAGCACCGTGCCGGCTCAACGAGGACTGCTCATCAGGATCAAAGCCAACAGAAACAGATAGCTGAAGGGGGAAAAGGGCGCTTCAGATGAGACTCAGGGTGGTCACAGCCAAAAGATCATTAGTGAATTAGTCGCACCTCTTCAAGGGAGCTAAGGCGGGCAGAGCCAGGTCAGCGACAGGTGGCGGGGGCTCGTCTAGTGCGGCGAGGTTGCCTGCAGAGCGCAGCGCCTTGTTGCGCAGGCACGCCTTCTTCAGCTGCGGCTTCAAACAAGTCGCGCACTTCATGCAGCGCGTCGGCCGCTGCTTCTTGCCCGTGCCCCCCGATCGCGGCCGCACCGGCTGCAGCCACCAGACAATCAACATTTCCGGAGTGCGAATTCGGATCTTGACATTGTGTGCACGGGCAACAGAGGTGGCTGTGGTCAAGCAGTCCTAGAGAATAATTCTGCAAGAAGAGGCTAAGACAGCAATTGCAGCAAAACAAGTGCACCCAAGGAGATGGCAGGTTCATAACTGTCTGCATTAGAGCACTTCCTGCAGATGGCAAGGCTAGCAAGGCTCATTTCAGAGGCCCGCAGGCAATGCAAACAATCACAACACTGCAGACAATGCCCAGAACCGCAACATTGTTTGCGGGTAGGAAGGACAGGACAACGCACAGCTGGAGCTGGGGCAAACGGCGGCCGCTGGGTGGAGGAGGGGAGTGGGGCAGAGGTGGGGCGCCAGAACTGGCCACCGTCCATTGCATCATCGCCCCCTGGAGCAGGGGAGGTGAGAACCTCATCCCGTAACCCGGCCTGTGAGTCGCCCATGATGCCGCTGCTGGCGCCCTCAGAGCTCAGTGCGCCTGTCACCGTGAAGTCCAGTCAGCACTCAGTACACACGTGGCACAGCCGTGGACTGAAAGGAGCATGTGTGGTGTAGATGAAGCAGGCACTTGGAAGGCATGATAGGAAAGCGCGCAGGCGGCACGCGAGTATGTCTTTTCCTGCGTTCCCTGCTTGTGAACAGCTACAACTACTTCTCTGGCACGGCAATGTTTTTTTTATTGGACTGACCCAATTCCCTAAGTACACTTATATGTAAAAATGATGCCAGCTTAGCCCGCACAATATGAAGGCACTTGAAAGAGTAGGCAGCACTGCAGACACGCCTGGCTAAGAGTAAGCCATGGCCCAAAATCAGGTGCTATTGCAAACAAAGTAGCCGATTTGATCAAGCCAGCCCTGTCTTGGGTCTTAGGCACCAGGTCATACAGGCTGGCTCAACTGCAAGGGCACTTGGGTGCCAATCTGAGCCCAGGAAGGATTCAGTTCTTCCTCTGGTGGTGCTTGCGGGTGCATTCGCATTTGCATTTGCACATGCCTTCCTTGTCTGGTCCTCTTGCTGACCTTGTGAGTTGGCCTTTTAGAAGTAGGGGCAGACTCCCCGGACGGATTGCAGAGAAAAGACCACTCTGTGAAATTGTGCCAATAGTCAAACAACCTTTACCTCTGGCAGTGCTTGCAGGAGGGGCCGATGCTTCATGCGCGCTGCTGTGGTAGCCGTCACCTTCTGTGCTGCCGCGCCGGGCGGTGCCGCCGCTGCCGCCCGCCTCCAGAAGGGGCGATGTTGTCCCCTGGGGGCTCGGCTCCCTCGTGTACGATCTGCAGATGAACATGTACCCCTTGTCAACAAGCAGCACTGTCTGACGGATTGTGGGTTCAAGGTATCGACGCGCAAGTGCTGAGATGAACACTGCTTAAGCAGCATTATGAAAGAGTCATGCAGCCATCGTGGCGCAGCAAGTGGCAAAGGTGAGAGGAGAGGGCTGCCTCGCAAATGGGCATCATGCAGCAGTAAGACAACAATCTCTCACGGAACAGGAGCACTTGCGTAGACGGGATTCATGTGCAAGAGGCAGTGGAGAAGTGACTCACCCAACGATGTCCAATGACTCGCTGCTGTTGTCCCCGCCTGCAACGGCGTTCCCTGCGCCGGGCGCCGCGCTGGCCGCCTCGCCAACGGCGGACGTCGCCGTCGTGTCCGGCGACGCGCGGTCGTCTGGCAGCTGCGAGGCAGCTGCTGCAGAAGCCGCCGCCACCGCAGCCGCGGCCGGGCCGGCCCCGGCCGGCGCAGCCGTCTCGCCGGAGGTGCCGACCGAAGGATCGGCGCCGGCAACGCTGGCCGCGCGCTTCTGCGCTGCCGCCACCGCCATCGCCGCCGCGCCTGAGAGCCTCCGCTGCGCATTCGCCTGCCTGTGTGCATCACATGACGCTCACTCAATACAGCGCTAACGTGCTTCCTGCCCTCATAGCAAGGGCGGGAAGTAGGATCCTATATTTCAAACCCACAAATGACAAGTCTTCACTCCTCAACAAGCATCTGATACCTATATTCCTCCACCCACAAGGACACGTGTTCAGCTACTTCTGCCACGTCAAAATATGCATTAATGCCCAAAATACGCCACAATGCAGAGTCGCCATTGCTGCCTGCTACTGTCCTCAGGGCTCAATTCGTGTAAAGAAGCCCCGAGACAGGACAAGGCAACGTGCGCGCCCTTTTGCATGAGCCCTGGTAACTTCACAATGGTATCTACGTGTTAGTCCTGCTTCAGTCTTGTCCCTGGGTGGCACGGACAGTATCCAAAAAGGTGGTATGAATGCAAGTGCGTACTTGTGCATGGGCCCCGGCGGTCGCAGCAGGGGCGCGGGCGGCAGCGGGGGAGGCTTGATGTCCAGGGAAATGTCGAGGAAAGGGTCGAGTGCTGTGGAGGTGTGGCCGCACGCACAGCACATGACGTCCGATTGCAACAGGCCCCCGAAGATGCGCTGCAGCGCGCTCTCGGCCTCTTCTGCGCCTAATAACGCATGTGTACACAGCACAGTCACCAGCTGTTCAGAAGACCTCAATGTGCTGCGCCAACCTGGATGGTCACCAATGCAGTATCTGCGGATATGCCCCCACCGGGGGAAGGCCTTCCTCCTGACCGCCCAATGCTCCGAGGATCAGGGTGTAAGGTATGAGAATTGACACGCCGAGTCCCACAAAATTTCTTCGGTTGTGCACATTCTGCGGCGACCGCCCTGGTGGTCTCTTTTCAGGAGCTTCAGTGGGCGTTTCAGGCCAGCAAAATCCCTGGTGATGCATCCCTACCCTGCAGAGGAACGTGCAACTCAACTGAGCAGCGCACCTGAGCCGCCAGAGGAGGAAGCCCGCTCATTTGAGGCAGTGCGGTCGTCTGCGCAGGGCTTGGCCTCTTCTTGGTTGTGGGACGGAGAGAAGAAGCTGGGCAGGGTGCAGCTGTCGAGGTCAGAGGTCAGGTCCAGAAAATCTGTAACCGGCACCTGCCAGCCGGCGCTGCCCGCCTCCTGCTTCACCGGCCTGGGAGCCTCCAGAGCGCCTGCAGGCAAGAGGCACTTTGACTAGTACAAGCATTTCCTTCATGCACACCATTGACGCCAGGAAGGATGCACGACATACAAGGCAGCGCGAGCGCCATGAAATGAGGAAGGGCGCCTGGCATTACATGCAACGCATGCATACATATAAGCTTTTAACGCATGACAGCTGCCTGTCGGAACTCTCGGCGTGTGCATGCTCTGCATGGGGAACTGATGTGTGATGCGAGCTTTGATTCTTGCGGTTGTCGTGGTCGGCGTAGCCGATGGCAACCCAAACTGCCAGCGTACCATCATTTGCCGGCTTGACAGCAGCGCATGATGCAGCCATTCTGTGCACATGTTGGAGTGCTTCCTCTTCCCCACAGTTGCACAGAGACTGCATGGTGTGCATGTTGTGCTTGAAAATGTACACTGCTCCCGGCCCAGCAGTATGGGGCACATGTGCCTTGCATGATCCAATAGATATCAAGATTCCACCCGTCTGGCGCTCCGCAGTCGCGACATGATGCCGTGACAACAACATCATTCTGTACATTTCAGGCGGAGCAGATATCAGGACATCGGGGGCCCACCTGTCTGGCGCTCTGCAGGTGCGGCAGCGGAGGCAGCCGCAGCTGTCAGCTCGTTGCTTGAATCGCTGGGCAGGCGAGAATGCGAGAGTCCGGAGAGCGCGAAGAGGTAGAATTCGTGTGCGTCCTGCTGCTGGTAGCCTGCCAGGTGGTGGTCCGCGTGGCACCACCACGCGTACAGGAACGCCGCCGGACTGAAGGGCGAGCTCGCACCCGAATAGGCTGCAGAAAAGAGCCCATCCTGCCGTGCACCCCAGGCTTGCCTTCAGAATCTACCCCCATCTCAGAAATAGGAAAGACACACGATATTCCTGCCGGAAGCAAGGTGCGTCTGCAGACAAGCTGCAATAAAGGCTGCCAAGATCCCTACCCCTTGATGATGGACTCGCCAGAGAACCAAGCATGACCCTTGGGCATCTCAGAAATTGTTCAACAAATTGAGTCTATCAAGCAGTAAAAGAAACATATCAAAGCAAACACACAACTGGTACGCCAACAAGAACAGACCATGCTGCCATGCGCCCCGGACTGGCGGCAGTAGATTCCTTCATGGGCTATCTTTCCAGAGGGACAAGCCTACAAGGCCTTTTGCAATTATCAGGCTTCTTGGAGTCAGCTGATTGAGTCGCGAAACCATAGCACTGGCTTGCTTCTCCAGCTTCTCAAATAATGGGGTTGCTGGGCTGCAGGGTCCCTTGCAGACCAATGCCCACATGGAGGAACACATGCAGGCGCAATCAGGTGACAACAAAAAGAGGTAGGAGCCAACGGTAAACACATTCCAAGGAGCTCACCAGCTCGCAGGAGAGGCAGGGCTTGGAGTGGCGGTGGGGGCACAGAGCAGCCGAGTGCGAGCCCCCCAGGTAGAAGTTGCGCAGAAGCGGTGCATGCAGCAGCGCCTGATCAGGCGGCAACGGACAATTCTCAGGTACCGTATCAAGGAACCAATTGTGTGCAGGATCTCAAATATATCACTGTCTACCAGCAGCTATAGTACTAGGCAACCCACGGAAAGTCCTCGAGAGCAGTAAGCAAACCAGGATCAAGGACACAATGCACGCTGACATCCGCATGTGATACATAGAAGGTCCTGACTGCTAAGTGTGCCCAACTGTGGAAAGCTTCTGCAGGGATGCTAACATGGAAATTAGAGCAAAGGCAAGCACAGCTGCACACGGACGGCCAGTGACAACAGCATGTCAGGAATAGAATGTCCGTCTCTCCAGTATCTCTCTGCAGTGGTGCTTTCGTGGGAAAGGTGGAGCTAGGGCAAGGAGAGCCGCACCTGCAGCACGCTGTTCATGAAGCAGGTGTTGCCCAGGTTGGAGAGGCCGCGAAGCCCAAAAGGCAGATCATGCGCCCGGCTGATACCCCTGGCAGCCATCAGCTGCGGGCCGCTCGCAGACTCTGTATTCAACAGACACAACATCCCCGTCAATCTTCCACTGACCAGGTTCTTTCAGGCACAGATCAGCTGCAGGTCGCTCGGCGAAAAGGCATGCCCCATCCACTGCATCCCTGTCAGTTTCCGTCTGAGCAGCTTCTTTCAGCCATATATTAACTGCCAGCTGCTCGCAGAGTTGCCAGACACAGAAAACTCTGCAAACTGCTGCTGTCTAATCTCTGTCAGTAAGCTGGGCCCCTGAGGATGGAACTCTGCTGCGCGGCCCTTCGCTGGCAAGAAAGCTGCATGCTTTGTCCTGATTGCGTGCATGCATTGCTGCTATGCAATATATTTCCAGGGCACAAAGTCCCCCATGGGAACCCTGAAAGCGCCGGTAGTGGACGGGCACATGAGTAATCAGCCCTAACAGGGATGACTCACCCTCAATGCGTTTCCGCTTGTGGCCGTTCGCAGCGGCGGCCGGCGGCGCTTTGGCGCCACTGGCAGCCGCACTGCTGTTGTCCACTGACAAGGCCAACGCCGCAGCACCCTGTTTGAAAAAGGAGAGACACACATCATTATGTACGTAGCCTGATGCATGCAGCGCTAGATCCTGCATAGGCAACAAGGGTGTCTGTCCCTGCAAGGAGTGTGGGGGGTAAGGCCCAAAGAAGGAAGGGTGTCCCACCGACACGCAGCGGTCAAAGTCTGGGTCATAGATGTTATCGCGGCAGGCGCAGCAGTACAGCTCTAACCTCTGCACATCCAGCGCCAGGGGGTGCCCTGCAAGGAGCATCCTCACTGTAAGATGGGCCGGGCACGTTGGTAAAGCACTGATCAGAGGGATTATTGTGCTTTGAATACCAAAGTTGATACACTGGAATACGTAGAGATGTCCATGCTGTCACGATGATTGAAGGAGGCACAGTCTGCGGAGTGCACACACACCAGTTGAGGCATGCTCGCTGCAGTGCCTCTCTAGCCCCTTCCCGACTGCTGCACAGTGCATGCAGACAACTGCTGGACGCTTGGAAGCTTTTGTGGGGTCCTGCGAAGGCAATGCGAGGCGTCTTCACCCGATTGCTCAGGTGGCTATTTGCAGAAACTGGGAGATCTTGTTTGTGCACAGTGGGGCGACCGCACACAGTCACACACAAGATCAAATTACTGTCCTATTTGGTGCCCTGAATGCAACAATCTGCGGCCGATTTGGGGAGGAGGTGTCTCGTAAAGTGCTCTTGACGAGCACCGAGATACGTCAGGCTCGAAAGAGGCATCCAACACGCATCCGTATGGGACGCACAACGTCCTAGATCAAAGAAAAAGAGAACATGTGACATTAACGTACCAATTTGTCGACCCACAAAACACGAAGGCTCCGCTGAATGGGCGTATAGGCGGTTTCGCCCCCTGCTCGCTCCTTCCATGCATTGTGATGGATACACTTCTCCTTCATTTCTGTATTGTATGAGACTCACATCGAGTAATGAGCTCAGGCGCGAGTAGCAAGAAAGGCAATGACAGGAAGTGAGCAACAATTTCTTCTTGTCAACAACTTGCCCTCGAAGCGACCAGTATCTTGGATCCTTATAACCAACCTAATAACTAATGAAATTCATGAATCAAGATCATTCGAACGAATGCAGGCCAAAATCAGACTCTGCGCCTAGCCAGTGCAAGCCCTAAATTTTATTCCCTCAACACGGCGATTATAATCCAGGGTCTCAAGGGGGAACGATAATTTAATCCAATCTTGTGAGCCGCATGATGCCAACAAGCGCTTTGCCAGTGAATGCAGTCGAAACTCGGATCCAAGAGGACAATCTTTTGATAGAAGGGAAGCGAGACCTTACGGCAAGGTTCTGTGCCTGTCGCAAAGTTGGGTGCGATGGTTCCAGCAACCTCATTTTCTTTAGCTAGCTCACAGAGCTCCTTCAGGTGCAACGCAGCGTTTTTTCTGTCAGCCAGACCCAGACCGTTGCTCAGATTACCCTTGTTGAGGGCAACACCCGTGGTAGCAGAGGCAGATGCAGCAGGAAAGAAGAAGCCAACGAAGGCCTCAGAGTTCAGATCTCTGGACGCCAGTCAAATACAGGAGGAGGTGCAAAAGTCAAAGAGGTCACTCTTTGACTTGCGGATGGCGCAGAAGACGAAGCAGGTGGGCGACTTGCTGGAAGTTCCACTGTCTTTTCTTTGAAGGGAACAGCTTGTTGCAGCAAGCTGCATCTTATGCTTCTTTTTAAGTTGGATGCCTCTTAATGTTTGCCACAGCTTTCTGATGGTTTGATGCCCTGACGCAGCCCTTCAAGCCCAGCGACTTCGCCTTCCACCAAAGAAAGGTGAGCCTAGCTCCCCTGCGTTGCTGAGAGTACAGATGTCACCTTGCCAAGTGCTCTGCACTCTCAATTTCTCATGCAGCTGCCTGTATAAGTACAAGTCATTGAAATAATTCACGGATCAAGTCAAATTGTACTGATGTCTGTCACTGCGGTTTCTGCAGATTGCGCAGCTCCTGACATTGGCGCGGGAGCGTGAGATTGAGCAGGGCATCAATCTGCGCCAGGCCCGCAAGACTGCAAAGTAAGCCGCCCTTTTCAAGCCTGTCAGCCAATCAATTTGCATGCATACTAGCATTAGGAAGGTTGCATGCACATGTGGATCTAGGGATTGGTGCCCACACATTCATAGTAGCCTATACTGTGCAATCAGCTGGCCATAATCTCTCTTACCAGTCAAAGCAGTGGCCCTGGGTACTGAAACTGAATAGGTGATTTGTCAGCTTGGTACTAACATGGGGTGTGGATGTGCGCGCAGGAACAAGATGGTGGCAGCTGGCTTTGGCGGTCTGTACCGCTGAGAAATGTTTTGGAAGCGAGCAGTGGGGTCAGTGGGGGCAGACAGACTCATGGCACTGGAGGCTCTGCTGCTTTACCGGTAATCAGTTCCTAACGAGCTCGCTTACATGAGTTCTTAACGAGCTCGTTACTGATCAGAACCTCATAAGATTCTGTTACTGCTTGCGCTGCTGACACTGAAGAAGACCATTGCAGACACTGGGCGGTGCTCCTTTCAAGAGGTGTTGCCCAGCTGGCATCCATTAGAGACAAGATTGTACTAGCTCAGTAGCTCTGAGCCCAAACCTGAGCCTGGTATACAGACTCTTCAGAAGCTTGGAGGTCATTAAAACTGTGATGTGTGGCATGGATTGAGAGGTCTTGAACTGAGACTACAACTCGAGGGTCACCTGACGGTCTTTAAGCAAGTTGTTGGAATTTTTGCCTTCTGGAGAGTCTTGGATCGTTATGTACTGGCCATAGCATTTGTAAAAGAGTCCCTTGCCCAGCAGAGACTGTTTTGGAAGATGTGCTTGTTGTTCTGTTTATTTTGAGGGCCAATCACACATGGATGATCCGCATGCCAGCATTCTCGCGGCCCGTCACCGTCGGCGGCGGTGGCCATGGCCGCCATGCATGCAATCTTTCTGCCAAACTTTCTGTGCATTTCCTCAATTGAGGTTGCAAGTCATCTTTGTGTACACACTCCTTAGGCCCTATCCAGGACTGTCGGTTTCAGCTGTGTTAAATCCTGTGATCAGTCCGCCTGGAAGGCACCGTGCCTGCCCGGCAGGCACGGTGCCATCATGGCATGCAGTGACTGCCATGGCATAAGTGTGATGACATGACATGACCAATGATGATCAAATTACGCATCACATGCAGTATTAACATGATGTTGTTCCACACTAGCTGCCAGTGGCTCGTGTTGAGGCCCCCATGCACTTCCAAGAACGCAAGATTCTCGGAGCACCTCCAACCCTTGTAATGCACCCTTGGGTTGGGGTCAATGTGTCCGTTGGGTTCTTCCGGGTTTCGCGATGACATATTTGGAACGGGTGATCTGAAACTTCTTTCAAAATCGTCAGTCAGGTGGGAGCACATCAACGGTGGTCGCTTGGTACATTTTGATCATAAGCTTGTTTATAAGCACATAAAGAAAGCACCCGTTCGCAGCCTCCGTACTCTCGCTTCCTTTAGCTGAAGTCACCCTTTCGAGGTGTTCTCTGTGTACGGAGGTCCATCAGCCGTTGCTCGCGCAGAAGCCTTTACCATGGCAGCGGTGGAGGCAGAGTCTGTGTTTCTGACTCAGGGAGACATGTCAAAGTACAACTATGCGCAAGTGGCACGCCAGTTCCAGAATGCTATCGCCGACATCGCCCAGACACTGCCGCAGATGTGCACCACCCTTCCGAAACAGAGCAAGTACGGACTGCTTCCATCTTTGTTGTGCTTTTCGTGAGGATCTGTCCCTTTAAGAACCTGTAGGGCAATCCAATCGCATGAACCGAGACCGTTCTAGCTCAGCTGTGGCTTGAGCCTGCGTCCCGGAGACGCACCGTTATCCCAAGATGTGGCCACTGCCTGTGCTATCTCGGGGAACGACTGCAGCAGCTTCCAATAACAAGTCTTCTTTGGGTTCATGTTATATGCATCCTTCGGAATGTGCCAACCCCTGGGGTCGGTTTCTCATGCTCACCTACCAACCCAAGGGTCGCCTGCTTCGAGATGCCCAGCAACAAATAGTTTTGGTCCACGGTCAATCTCAATTTTAATAGCAGTCAGATGCAATCATTTGTCTGATATCGGCATTTTTTAAATGAACTTCCCTTATCCATGGCTGCTGCTTTTCCCAGGGGCCAGTGTTCATCTGACGCATCAATAGGAGTGGGCTACTCTCACAGCGCCAGTGCTAGACACGCCAGCGACGATGCAGAGGAGCTCAACGAAGAGGTGAATTGTTGCCAGCTGCATCTATCTGGAAAAGCAAACATGCCATGCAATTAACCCTGGATTTGAGGTGGTTTGCCATCTTACATGTGTGGCTGCGAAGCAAGGGTCCCCTTCTAAGCTGCAACCCAACGTCTTCTATGCCTTTCCAGATTGCACATACACACCCAATATCACATCCGGGCCTTTAGATTTCCTTCAGTGCGCGTTGAAAAGAAGCAATCTCTCCATCAGAGTCCCATTGGAGCACAGCCTTCACCCAGGATGTATTTGGGTGTCATGCTGTGCACTGTCGGGACACAGTCAAACAATGGACCAGCTATAGGCCTGCACACTGCTCTCCATTCTCCATCTTCTGGATTCATAAGAAGCGCCATGTCATGGTCCGGTGGGCTGCTGCAGGTTATTTCTCAGGTTCTAGTGAATCAGGATCTGTGCAGGAAGGTTGGCTGGAAGCTATGAGAACATGATTAACTGCCTCGAAGAACTCTTCTCACATTGCAGCCGATGCAGACGAGCTAGGGCAGCGTTGGTGGCTATTCTGGCTCTGACAAAGTCACTGGATGACTGAGTGACTGATTCACTGATACACAAGTGCGCTGACATTGCAAATGTGGGTATTTTTGCAGACGAGCCGGGGCAGCAAGCGCAGCGCGGACGTTTTGGAGGGTCTGTTGGGCGAGGAGAGGGGAACGAGCGACGATGCCAAGCGGCCCAAGTGCCCCGACGCGCGCATGCTCAGCCACGAAGAAAAACTTGAGCGCAGGTGTGTGCAGCTGCACTTCCCTGCCCTATCACAATGTGTGTGCACACACTTGCAGCTCTGATGCTGCAGGCTCTGCAGCCATACTGGAGGGGAGTGAATTCGTGGGGGGCTGTCCGGTGTGGACAGGCTTACAAGCCTCATCACCTGCCAATGTTGCTCTGTTAAGTCTGCCGCATTTTCAACTAGCAAGAGACACCATGCATGTTGCTGAGTTGAGGTGGCACCTCTGTGCTGGGCATTTCTAGATCCTGCCCAGAATCCCAAAAGGAGCTGCTACGCAGCTGACTGATAAGTCTGACAATCAGTAACCGTCTTGCCTGTTCAGGCGCGAGGGCAACCGGCGCGCGGCGCAGCGGCTGCGGCAGCGGCGCATGGAAACGGTCTCCCGCCTGCAGACAGAAATATCGCGCCTGGAACAGGTGAGACTATCACGGGTGTTTTTCCTTTGAGCTTGTAGACTGGCCGGTGCAAAATTTCACCACTGTGCCCATAGCGGCTTGGGTCTTGCTTGGATCTGGCGAGCTGAGAAGTGCTAGGATATGTGTCGGCCTTTGGCCTGCCTGCAGCCTTTCACCTCCAGGAAACCGGCACGCGCACCTTGCCTCCTGACAGCAGGGCATGCCGGGGTGACTTCTTACAACATGCACTTTGGCACTTATCATGATGTCATTGCCATTATTGAAATCAAGCGTTGCTGGTAACCGTCTACTTCCGCATGGGGCCTCAGGTGCTTGTATTAGGCTCTTCTGATGACTGATCGGTGACTAAAAGATAAGATCCTGCAGTTCTGCATGCGCTGACTCTGCATGCAGAGCAGGTCAGACAGGCTGGCCTGCCAAGCCGTCCAATGTTCAAAGGCTAGGCCATGTTCATAATTACCTCTCGGGGTGCTGACCGGCTGTGGGTGTGTTTTATTCCAGGAGCGGCTGGTGTACCTGAACCACATCTATCAGCTGGCGGCCTCTGCGCGCTCTGTTGTGGCTGAAAACAAGGACCTCCGCGGACGCCTCAAGGCCCTTCAGACCGGCACCTCTGCACTGGTACGGCCGAATTGGAATTTTTTTTTGCGTTCTGTGGTGAAAACTGCTGAATCTGTACTGTGCAAGACCCTGCGTTGTGGCTTCTCGAGAGCGCTGGAGTGTGACCAGAGTGCTTCCTACCTTGCTTTCTCGCCTGTCCAGCCTAGATCCTCAGCCTTTGCGCCCTTGTCTTATTCGTGCCAGTGCGAGTAACACTAACTGCCCGCCAGGCCTTATAGCTGCGATTGTTTGCCCGCTCTCTTCAGTACTCTTAGTAGCTTCGTGAGATTTGCTAGCTAGTGCCACTGTTGCATTGGCTTCACCGCACACCGAAATGCTGCCGCCAGGTCAAAAAATTTGGACCTGGCACGTCGGCTTGTCAGCTGCCATGAATACTGGTCGCTGACACAGATCACCTCATCTGAAAGGGCAGGCTGATTGGTGCTCTGCTGCCATTGCACATCTGCCGTTGCACTCTGCACCACGAGCCCTGGCCACTCATGTCAAACCAACTTGGGTGGCCTCAGCTCCCCTGCTGATGCTGAGCCGGCTGCCCCGTTCTATTCAAATATCTCAAGAAGGTTCCTTGTTGAATTTGAATTAGAATCAATTTTGTCATCTCCGACAGGTGGCCGAGGCGGCTCTGCCGCGCGCTACCGGGAAGGCGGCAGCGTCAGCCGCAGCCGAGGCGCTGCTGGGCCGGGGCGGGGGAGGGAACGCCAAGGCCGGGGGCAGCAGCAGCGCTGCCACTTCACGCATGGACTTCGATGCCGTTCGCCGCGAGCTCTTTGTGCCCGCCGACTCACCCGTCTGGCCCTTCCCGGTGCGCAACAATACCCTTGTCCTCTCTGTAGCAAGGTTCAAGGGCCTTAGGTGTGCTTCTGCTAGCTCCCCCTCTTGTGGCACTTCCTGGTATGCGGCATACTTGCCAGTGTTTCCAGGTTCTTCTTGTGCTTTCATAGGTCCGGCTGCTTTGCTGCGGGATTGGCCCAGCTTGGCCATTCACTTGTGTAATTATAGAAGAGCTAGTCGCTGCAGTCACACTTGAGTTGAAGGATGCTTAGCAGAGATCTGTGCTGGCACTTGGAGTGCGATCTTGTTGACGAATATGTGGAAGCCTGCCCAGTGCCGGTTCTGGAGTTCTTGCCGGTAATTGGAGACATCCGCGTTTCACATGTGGAATGCTGATTTGATGATTTTCTGTGCAGTGATGTGCCGTGCGTCTGATGTGGCACAAGGACATAGGAGTACAAGCGAGACATCCAAGTGGCGCTGCAGCACGGTGAAACAAAGTCGTCAGCAAAGCGGCAGCCAAGATTGAGGGGCAGCGCAGCGTCATAAGTTTATCAGATACTTTACAGAGACTGTAACTGCAGCAGTTCCAGAAGGCGCAGCATATGCTGTGCATTTAAGGGAATACTCCGAGGAGTGAGTTTAGAAGAAAATATTCCGGGTGACATAAAACAATGGAAAGAGGTTCTTGCGTTCAAGCCATGCAGCGCGCAACCTTTTATGTGCGCATGGGAATCCATTTTCTGAGTGCCAGCCGCAGCACAACCCCTCTTTGAGAGTGATTGATGCAGCGGGAGCACATGTACTGCACTATCCCTTAGGGTGAGCAGGTCCGGAATATATCAGGAGCAGGGGAAGGAACAGAGGGTTTCTGGCGGCAGCATGAGCAGGAGTGAAAGGAACCATTTTGTTTTGTATCCAAGTTTCAGATTTCACGTTGAAGTCTGAATTAGCATGGTCTTTTGAGAGGCTGAAAGGCCCAGATACAGAGAGAGGTATTTTGGATCAAGACACAGCCCAGAAGGATGTACATAGATTAAAGGAAGGTCCAGCTTTCCAATTGTTGCTTGCACCTGTGAGGGAATCCTTGCAGGGTCTTCAGAGACATTTGCCCAGTCAGCATTCATGTTTGCAAGTCATGCTGAGGTCAGTGATCACCTGTGCATCTGCCTTCAGCAGTTTCTGTCTGCTTGCATGTCATGTGACTGCTGCAAGGCACATGCACAGGTAGCCTGCCTAGCTCCTCAGGTATCGTATGAAAATGGACAACGAACAAAGGCCGCCAGACTGTATCTCTGCGATTGCTGACACAGCGCCCTGCTGCTTTGTTGATGCCAGAAGTCCTCACGTTGTCAAGGTCTAATGATCTCATCTGACTCGGTTGATATCATTACAGATGGCACCTTTCCAGTACTGAGCACTGTTCCAGAAGACTATGCCTTTTCACAGTGAATGATCTGGCAACTCCAGCTTGGTTCCAGACATTCAGGTCATTCTTGTAGGCAGGCAATGCCAATTGGCTTGAGCATTATGTACAGTCTTGAGCGGTGATGAAGTGTGTACTGCATCTGCATGGTGGTGCTGTGGCATCGTGACACTGTCATGTAATATTACAGTATGAATCACCTGGACACCATCCGTTGCATTGAATTGTATTACAGCCAGGGCAAAACACGCCTTCTTGCATCAGCGTTGATGTCAACTTTGGCACCATGCATTGCAAGAGTTCCATCAGCAGAGCATCGAGTGCAATTTTTCTGCTGCAGAGATATGCTTGGGATCACACAGCCTGGACCAAGAGCAAAGCACAGCAATGTGCAATCTGCAATCTGAGAGAGAAGCCCACGCGCAGTAGTAATGCAGTTTGCTTTTGTTCCGGCACCAACGGCAAACTTGCTACTGCAAAAGCAAAGAAGTTGATTCGCAGCAGACCCTGGGCTGTTTTTTGCGATTCTTTTGTCAGTTCTCTTATCAGTCCACGCTGCAAGAAATTAAGTATTATGTTTGAGACACAGAAGGTTGCAGCTCAGTGTCCTTGCTGGCAGGAAGGCTCAAATCCCAAGTGGGCAGTCTGTTCCTGCAAGTCTGCAAGCACGCTCTCCTTGGCTGGTCGGGGCTTTGGACAGTGCACAAGCTTCTGCAGAGCCTGAAACCTTCGTCTTTGGGTTGCTCTGATATCGGATGGTGAGCGAACAAGGGTCTTTGCAATATATGTTCCACAGATCCCGCGGGTCTAATTCCCCATCAGCCGCTGCATGCATTTTCTCAACCCAAGGATGGTCCGCAGGCGCCCCTGCACACAATATTTTTGATTGTTATTGTAATATTTAACATGGCTTTGGCTGGTGGGGGCGGTGTAAATACTGAGCACCATGCCCACGGTAGATTGCGTCTTGCTTGGAATTGGCGAGTCCAACAAAGGGTGGGATTATGTAGCATTTGGTTGTAGCTTGTCTGCAGGACATACCTTGCCATTTGGCAGGGAAAGCATATAATTAGAATTACAATGATGGCATGGTTTGGGGTGAAAGGCATGTCAACTGAAGAAGCGCCGAAAACATATCACGGCTTTATTGAGGGAAGTACAAAATCATCTTCAAGATTTAGAAACAATGGATAGCAACCCTAGACCCTTAACGGTTTGTGCATTCATCATGCCCCTGCCATGATCACGCAGGCAGTCTCCTGTAGCATGTTATTGTCAACAGGTACCGTACTAACCACCAGTAATACTCATTTTTGGAGGATGTGGCGCCTGTTTTCTCGCTAAGCCTCTTGACAAACGCAGCCACACGCTCCTCAGCCTGAGCCTCTGCAGAGCTTTCCATCTCTTGCAAAATCTTGCTGACTTTGGAGTGCATTTACTGAAAACACTTGTCTCTGGACACTGCTGCCTCCAGTGAGGCTCATGCCTGCACCCATAACATGAGACTCAGCAGATGCAGTTTTACGGATTTCAAGATGCAGAAAACCCCCTTCGCGTTCACATATCTTAATTTACCGCCTTGCAATGGATGCAAGAAGCAACTGCAGCCACTTTCTCTTCTTGAGGGCTCCAATTGCAATTGACAGCACACCAAAAAGTGTCGTGAGGCACGAGCATGTTATGACAGCATCCATGTGATTTAAGGATCTTAATGTAGGTTCCAAGGAAGTCAGCAAAAGGCAGTATGGACTTACCTTGTGCTTCAGCTTCTGGAAGGCAGGATCATTGAGAATGGCAGTCGTTCCAGGCGCCTAAGGTCCTTCCTCACCGATGTAACCATCTGTAGGACAAAACACGTCTCCTCAGAACTGTACGGGAAAAAAAGGATCGACATGCTACTCTGTGGTAAAAACTTCTGCTCGACAACTTGCACCTTGCTCGCCAGTATGTTGGACGGACGAATGACTTCATCCTTCATTTGTGCACAGCTCAATGTGACTGAATCTAAGAGCAACTTTCGAACAAAGCTCGTTCGCCGTATATTGATAGTCTGGCCTGAGGGAGTTCTTCATGGGTTTTCCCCACATAGAGAGCGTGGGTCGCGAATAATGGACAAGGAAGCTTAGTGCCACTCTTGAGGTGGAGTATCGACCTGGTATATATCCTCTTTAGAATTTGCTTGAAACATGCCGGGCTGCTGCAATACTCTTTATAGTCTCTGAGTGTAGCTGCCACAGATAAGCAATTCCAAGGAACAGTCTTGCTACCTTTCTGTTCTACATTAGCTCTTTAGTGGGCAGACTCTTCAGAGCTGCAGGAAAGATGACACACCACGATCAAGTGCGTGCACGTGCAATAGATTTCGTCACCTACCACGAGACTGTTCGTCATCTGTCATTTCGCCTCTTCTTTTAGGAGTGAATAATTGTCCTGAACTTTCAGACCGGACACGATTCTGAAGCGGGACCTTTTCTCAGTTTGAAAAGATTTTTCTACAGCACATTACGAACGACCTCGGAGGAGAACTTTCTTCGACTTTCACATGAAGACTAAAATACACCTTGCGTCGAATGTTTTTTACCAAAAATTGAGGTCGAGTTTGTCAGCTGCTGTAAATATGTTGGCTTCGAAAGGATTGACTTTTGCCGATGAGGCAGGTTCTTGGTGCTGCAGAATAACAGCCTTGCAATGAAAGGACTTCGTCGCTTAGAAGAATTGCCGTTGGACCAAATATTATCCAATCCGTTATTTCAAAAGATCAAGCATACGGTAATCCATCACGTTTGTGAATAGGCAATATAGTCATTCGGTGACCCGGCGCATGCAGACCTTTACACACCGATTATCTTCGTGGACACCTGATGGGGGTATGAGCAGTATAAAAATGTTACAATGCACCAGTTCAGTTTCACTATTCATGCAGACCCGAGCACCTCTGGAGTATTACGCGTCAATTGAGAGGGCGAAGATGAGCAGGAGGCATGCTCGGCAAGAACATAAGTCTGCCAAGCAGATGCTGAAGGCAGCTTTATTGGCAGATTATGCTCACTACTTAGCAGACAAGACAGGTGATCTGCAACCAACAACCTATCCGGTAGTCTTGAGGCATGACAGTCTTCCGTATCTGGTTCAAAAAATTGTATATCTGCTGCTCTCTGACATCAGGAAGTGAGTGGTGCACGTGCAGGGGAACGCATCGATCACCCTTGGCTCCGAAAGTTGTTGGATGTTTCTGAAGGCAGACTTGATCCACGCAAACTGCTGCACATCTACATTACGGACCCAGTCTCGCTCAGGATATATGACAAGAAGGTTCCTGACCGGCGGTTTCTCCCAAATGTAGGCCCCGACCTTACCCCAGAAACGCTACCGTCTCTTAGCAAGCGCAAGGCTGTGCGCCGCCTTATTGGAAGCTTCTTCCAGGAGTTTTCTGATGCCACAGTCTTGGGGAAAGGGCTCAGTGAGCGCTTGTGAGACACACTCTCCAATATTGCGGGAAGGCAATAATGTTACCTGTGAGTAAAAATATACCTGACCAATTATGAAGACCTGCATGGCAATGAAACTTCAAAACGGACCATGAACAATGTCTTCCTGTGTTTTCACTGGGATTGCAGCGGACTTCAGTATTTGCACACCTGTTGTATGTGCAGTTCGTTGTGGAGGCACTGATAGCAGCTGGATTGGCAACCTGTACATTTGGGTTGAAACTTGGTGGAGTCAATATGTAAACTCACTTCTGTATTTGTAAACAAACGTTTGGAACCCAGTGTGGGGCCCTGAATGTCTTATGATGCTGAGGATGAAAAACAACATTGTGAAGATCATGGCTCATTTTGTCAATGCACAAAATACCCTGTGTTGCGCATTATCGCCCATGAATGGGCTTTAAATCAGAGAACTTGCAGCGCTTCAGCTCAAGTGGTCAACTGTGCTTCGGTCAACAAGATCTGTGAGACGGATAGTCAGCCATGCAATCAGGTATATGCCCATCTGATTATGCATAGAATACCTGGCTTTCCCATTTGAGCAGTACACACGCCCCTGACCAACAGAAGACCTGTCTCTCTTACAGTTGTTAACTTGCCCAGATGGCAGACTTCACACAAATCGTTGAACACCATCAGAGCGCCCTCAGAGCAGCTTCGGCAACACCCACAGCGCTGATCTCAAACCTTGGGGTCATTTGGCCAGTCCCAATACTGAGGGCTTTGCGTGTATTCACGGCCCATGCAATGTCAATGCACGGCTGTGCTGCCCTCAGCTTCTGCCACCCCGGGCGCAGCTGCTTGCGCACCAGTCGCTCTGCATGGACCGGCGGCTCTTCAGCTTCTACTTTCACCAAGTCATGGTACTTGTGTGCCTGCAGGGATGCCAGAAGCAGCATCAGCATCAATAAAAATTTGAAATAGCTCACTTGCCTCTTGACTCTGCCAATTTTAATATAATAATATAACACCGTATTTAGAACTCCGGCTTGGATTGAGGCTGACGGCAGCACACAACACACAATCCAAGTTTTGACGACAGGCAGGCGCTCCGTAACAGACCATGGCAGACTGGAGGAGAGAATATTGCGCGGCTAGAATGGCAGGGCTAAAAAGTAAAAGTTGAGTAGCCAGAAAAGCTATACAGTGTCAGCATACCTCTTTGGGCAGATTGGCTGCAGCAGCTGCATACGCCCGCGCACGCTCCTTAACTTCCTTTTCATTCAAAGGCCCCACGCCTGATCTGGCTTCGGCGCCTGACCTGGCTACAGCGCCTGATCTGGCCGCAGCTCTGGATCTATCGGCGGTGACTAATTTGGCAGCAGCGCAAGATTTGGCGGCCGCGGGTCCCCGCAGAGGTAGTGGTGGCGACTCGGTGGCGCACAGTTGTTCGATGCGTTCTCTGACAGAGTCTGCCTCCTGCAGATGCGCGCTCGCCTCGGCTGTGCACGCTGCAGTGCGTTCCTGCAACTGTGAGCACCACACAAAATTCAGCGGAAGGGATCGAGAGTGTCACCAATAGAGACACCTGCAGGATCATAGGCCTAAAAAACCTGGCACAAGCTCCTTTCACCGAGATTTTCACACCAGACCAGGGACGCATCAATGAGCATCAGGTGGTTTTCGGATGTAAGTGACTGCCCGCAAGGGGAATCAGCCTTGCATTCAATCCAGCACGTCTGTGCAGAGTGTTTTAGACTGTAACGTTAAACAGGAATGCAGCAGTGCTGACCTGGCGCCTCTCTTGCACTGTCCCTCCAGGCAGCGGCGGCTGTGTTGATAGTTCTGCCATTGCAGCCTTCCTCTGCAGTGGCTTTAGTGGAGGTCTGTTGCCCTCACACGCTTCAAGAGCCCTGGCTGGAACGCAGGAATGCTGCGACCCTCCAAGCACGTCCGAACGCTGTACTCGGGGTCTTTCACAACCATTGTTGACTGCGGTGCTCTGCGCATTATGTGCTGCCACAGGCTGACTGGCTGCATCGCAGTCATCATGCCATGAGACAGATTCAGAGCGACAGCATGCAGAAGCGGACTCGCTTGGTGCTGAGCTGGTGGCTGAGCTGGCAGCTGAGTTGGACACCGAGTCCCAGGGATGCCCTTGCTCTGCAGTTCTTTCTGAATCTGCATCAGCCTCAACAAGTGCTTCTGCTTGGCTCTGACTAACTGCACCTGCAGTTGGCTGTACAGGCGTTTGTTTGGAGCTTGCCCTTGGCGATTGCTGCTGCGTGTCAGCTGCACTAGCTGCCGCATGACTCCTGGTGATTTGATCCCCTTGCATAGCAGCCTGCGCAGGAGAGTCTGGCACATAGACCCCTCCTTGAGTCTCAGCTGTGCAGCCCCCATTTGCATGTAAGTCATCCTGTTTAGGACTGCTCGGTGCTGGAGAGTGCAGGCCCACACTTCTCAGGGCGAGAGCCTGCAGGGCCCGCGGCAGCGGGGATGGCTCTTCTCCCTCGTTCCCGAAGCCTGACAGATATTTTCTCGCCTCACCGACCCTCAAGCTGGTCGCCATTGGATCTGAGCTGGCTGAGCTGGCATGCAGGGCAGCTGAGGGTGGAGCTGCGCTGCGCGCTGTCAAGGCGGCTGCTCTGAAGGGATCCCTGGGAGCCGGGTCTAAAGCAACGTTCCCTGCCGCGCTGCTGCGCGCCCACGCAGCTGCCGGTACCACTGCTTCCCATCCTGCAACACAAGTGCAGAGCAGCTTTTATCTTGCATATGACGATATATTTGATTACGTATGATGCTGGATGCATGAATTGTGCACGTCAATATCTTCTTGCATACATGTGACCTGACGGGGCAATTTTCCAGCAGTTTGGAATATATTAGGCCAGATATTCGCCGTTCAGATATGACAGGTTTCGAAAAAAAAGCATGCGGAATAGCATGCAGCGATGCCCACCTTGTACACTTGGCGCCTCTTTCCTGAAGGGCCCCAAGAAGTCTGGCACTGGGGGCGCCATGCGGCTGACTGCTCTGTTTGGTTCTAGCGTCTCGATCCAGCCGCCATTGCTACTTTGAATCTGATTAAGAGCTGTATGCTGGGTCCATCGGCCTCCTGAGGAGGCGCTGTCAAGGCATGCTGGCACCTGCAGCCTGGAAGGATGAAGGCCTGCACAAACACAGCAAAAAGATATTACCAACAGATTTCCTACTTGTTTGCATTTGGGACAAGGCATTAGGTACAAAAATGCCCTCCTCTTCTGTGTGGCATAAAGAAGAAAAGCCATCCATGGTAAGGCTGCATAAGTCAATTTCGTTGGCACCACTTTGAGAATGAGAGATTTGCGCACCTTCTGTGGTGCAGACAAAGAAGTCCCGGCCGGCAGACATGTGGCAGGCGAAAATTGCCGCTGAGAAGCCGCCTCTGAGCCGCCTGCTGCTCCAATTTTGTGTGTCGAACACCCAAACGTTACCACTGTGCTGTCCTGCACGTTCCATCAAAGAAAATTGAGGCAAACCGCTGGCAGTAGCACAGAATCTGTGGTGCACGTGTGAGTTGCACATGCTCTTGAGAGTCAGACAGTCAGCATGAGCTCTTTGAAGATGAGCTTGCATATTTTACTGCAGCATAGCGATGTGGTGCAGGCACCCACCTGATCCCACACAGAGCCTGCTGCCGTCCGGAGAGAAGCTGAGCGCACTTATGGCGCCATTAGTCACCTTTCAGCAGCCACATCTTGCTCAGCCAATACAGAAGTCAGCCAGACCATCTCAAACAGCCAGTGATTCCTAGTGAGACACCCAAAATACAGCGCAACAAACGGTATCAGCACCGTACCAGCGTCCCAGAAAAGACTGCGCCTTCGATGCGGCCGCCGTCCATCCTCCATGCTAACAGCTCCCCGACTGAAGAGCCCGCAGCGAGAAATGCTCCACCGCTGTCATGCAGCCTTGCTGACAGCATACCTTGCATGTCCAGCGATTTCGGCTGGTCATGCAAGAGCCGCGGTGGGTTATACACAGCCAAGCTTCCTGCACAGAATGCACACGATGCCAAATCAGACGTTCATTGTAGTTATTCAGATATTCCCCAGACAGAGTCCCTTTGGGCCTCAGGGAGGTGCAGTATATGTCCAAAGTAGCTGCACAGGAAAAGCTCATGCTGTGACCGTCCCTAGTGGATTTAGAGCATGCAGTTCACAGATAGCTTGTGGTGCGCACTGATGGGCGCTTCTGCTGCATGCAGAATCCGGTGTGACACCAGACGCCCAGCATGCACTGCCCAAGTCATGACTCGTCCATCCTCTCCGCCGCTTATTGCCTGACGAAGAGAAATCCACCCTTTCTAGCAATGCCTTGATCACCATTCAGAGTCAAGGGTCGACAACTTTTACTGCACCTGAAGGGGATTGCAGTCTGCCATTTGCAAATATGTGGAACGGCTGAGGAATTCCTTTGCTTCTTGACAAGGAGCATCCCTTGGGAGCGACTTGTGGCATCGCAAGAGTGAGAAGGTCTGTACACATCGGTCTTGTGGGAGACACAAAACGAACAGCTCTTACTTGGTGAGGATCTAGGGAGGCCAAGCAGGTGACTGCGCCGGCATGTGCGCCTGATCTGGCACACAGAGGTACGCCGTCAGATGTGCGCCACAGCCGCAGGCCGCCGCCCGCGTCCCCGGACATGACAAATGTCCCGCCTCCGCCAAAGTCAAAACATGTCACCTCGCCTGCATGAATTGAAATCCATATTTTTAAGATCTCGGGTACTTTCCTTTTGTCTAAGAGTGTGTGCATACAAAAATGAGCTTTGATCCCGTGAGGCAGAGACTGTGCTGCAAGAGCATGGTGAATGCAGTGCGCGGTGGCATTGGAAATTGCGCACTGGGAAGTGAAGCAAAGATGTGCACAGGATTGGCTGGCAGGCCATCGCCGGGCAGCTGAACTGTCAGCAATTGAGTTGAACGGTACTGACAGAAGAGTATACAGCCTGGGCGCCCTGTGGAGCACAAGCGCTGTAGTCACCGTACAAGTTGGCATGCAGAAGCCTAGGCGGATATCATACATGTCGATACCTAATACTATGTCTAATGTCATTACCAGCACCTGGGAAGACTTTGAAGTGCCTCCAGGGAGTGGTCAGCCATTTTGGCTCCTCCTGCAGCTTCCCATGAGTTCCAGGCAGCAGCTCTGTGCCACCCTGCAACACGGTGGAGGAGATTTGGACCTGTGGCAAATCCAGCTGAAGAAACCTAAAACAACTCGGCAAAGTGGCTTCCTGATGATCAGGTTGCGAAGGTCAAGGCTTAGGAGGATTGCCTGAAGCTGGAAAGCTGCCTTCAGCTTCCAAGCGCCCTTGCTGGAAGCTCCATATAGCCGCAGAAGGCCTGCTGAATCGATGAGGGCCACACGAGATGACTTCTCTTCCGAAAACCTGAGGAAAGGCCCAGTCAAAATAGGATCTCCCCTGGACATCTTGCAATATAAAAGATCCTAAGGCGGGGATAGCGTCCGTTTACACAGGCCACCTCTCCACAATGGAAATATTGAACCCGGAGCGTATTGGTACTGCAGCAGGTAGGGATCGTCACGGCCTGGGCTCACCCACAACGCAGGGATGCTGTAGTCATAGCGGCCTCATACAAGCGTGGCAACACAATAATACCTCTTCTTGAATTCCGTCAGCGATAAAAGGCGTTAACTAGCGTGCATGAGGGTTTCCATGACTCTTATCGCACTCCAGAAGGTGGATTTGCTTGCCTGGCTTGGAGGGCTCGAAACCTGTCTTGGACCCTCGACTGTCCCTGAAGTAGAAGTTGCGCATCGTGATGTCCCATAAAGAATGCAACCTTCAGGTCCAATGTTTTGTGGGGATTGCTTGGTTCAACAAATGGGCTGGTCAACTTACGCTAGAATGCGTTGCTCATCAACCAGCAAGGAGATGATCTACAGCATTGAACAGAGGGGAAGAGATACGATCTCAAGCATCTACGTAACAAGAAGACTCTGGCCCTCTCCAGCTGCAAGCCCTTGTGGCGAACATCATGAGGTCTTGCCCGTGTCTTCACGTGACGTGCACATGCAGAAGACACACATGGCACACCAGTTTGGGTGACTCTCAACAGCTTGGAGCAGTCTCTCAACAGCTAAGAGCAAATTGCTTTAGTCTGTCTCACAGCACAGGTCTCAGTTCTTTGAATACTTGAAAGATCAGACGTCAGATGTCGACACGAGTGCGCATGCATATAATTGCAGGGTGCAACCCTCCGAGGAGTCATCAATAGTTACACTAGTACTTCTCATGGACACAAGATCCTGTTACGTCATCACGAGATCCCTACAGATGCATTTGCGGTTCTCAATGGCAACAGATTTCAGAAGGAATCCCTTACACCACACAGCATGCATGCAGTAGCACGCATATGCGTTTAATTCCACAATGCTATTTGACAATCTGCGGCACTGGCAGCGGCGGCCGAACATAGGCCTCAATTCCCGCAGGTGCCCACACTCGTAGCACTAAGCGTCCGCCATTCTGCTCGGTTCTGATCGCCACCCACCCGGGCAAGCCAGAGACGGCCACATCCGCCACAGGACCGGCCCCACTGAGGTTCAGAGTCACCTGCAGCACAGCAGAATGAGCTGATTGCGGCAAAGGCATCCTTAACAATTCAGGGCAGCTTGTCTGCCCTGCTGAGCATTAAATTGAATGACATGCAGAGGTTTCCTATCGAGGCTCTGTCTGCAGCTTGGCAAGCAGCATTGCACAGCAAGGAGCAGGAATAAATTCAGGTATGCTTCGTGTCAGCGCCAGAAAATACTGAGCCAGCCAGTCTGCCAGCCTCAAGGCCATACAGCATGTTGCTCTCACATGTAGTTCCCGGCCGTACCTCTTTCACTACCCGCAGCCCGCCTCTGGTGCGCACACCCTTGATCCCGAAGAGCCCTTCTGGATCTGACTCCCTTCCCGATGAGCTGGTAGCCTCGCCATCTGCTGTGCGCTGGCTGCTCCTGGAAGCTTCTGCAGAGCTGCCAGCTGCGCTGTCCGCCTGAGGTCCCACCGCTGAGCTTTCACCGCTGCTGACATCAGCGCTCTTTGCTGACACGGCGCTGAGGTGATCGCTGCTGTCATCAAGGAGCGGCGAGGATGTCACGCGCATTGTTCTTGGCCCGTAGAAAGCAAGGCTGGTCGATACGGGCGCATCCACTATGTCTATGCGGACCAGACCGCCCCAGAAGTAGCTTCCTGCAGCTGCCACTCGCCTGCAGTGCATCATCTGCCTTCAGATTTATCCCAAAGCATTCATCCCGATTGAATATCTGCAAGCTAGTGGGTCTCAGTCTTACCCAATTGACTGGGCCTACATGTCGCTTCCAATTAATGCATGGCATGACGAATTACACTCGTGCATTGCAATAGCTCGACAGTTATAAATGCTTAAGAAAGAGATTCTACATAACAAGCTTGATTGTTTAACCTTGTGGGGCTGCTTGTGCCTAGCTGTGCCTGGAATGCCAGCTCTTGGGGACTTGGGGGAAGAAAGGGCTTCAGCTTCCCCTTTGGCAGCAGCTGCTTAGTCAGGGCCGGCTCAAGCAGGTGCTGCAGCCGATGCTGCAGGTGCACTCCCGGAGTATCTGCGGAGGGACAAGCCATCATCAATTCTCACTGCACTCGTGCCATTCTATTCCGCAAGTAGCCCAGATTAGATTCAAATATCATCGAGGCGCCATCAGGAATCGATGGCAGAGTTGCCTTTTAGACTTGCGAGTGAGCCAAAAGCATGCCACTTATCAACGGCGCTGACTTGCCCGTGATCATCAAGTGAATGGAATGGCATTTGTTTGTATTAATGCAGCGCATGCAGGACAGTGCACCGAAGAGTGTGCCGCCAGCCTCGAAGGTGTTGAGTGCGATGAGCTGGAGTGTGGTTCCTGGCATGGCGGACTCCACTGGCAGGTGCCCAGCAATACCAATCGCTGCTGGGTCGAATTGTGTTGAGCTCACGTCGCTCATCTCCCTGACAAATGCCCTGCAGCAACCCCACGACGAGCATGCTTACCCAGATATCAATACCATGAGGCATAACATGAAGCCCTTTACATATAGTAGCATGGTTCTAATCGGAGCTCAGGCTTTAGAATGTTTGTGGGACAGATCAGGACATGCCAAAAATCCCCGCATGCAGAAGCGTTGCACGTTCAAGGACGATTATTTGGCACTCTGCGCACCTTACAAAGGCAGACTTGCCAACATTGGCAGATCCCATGATGTAAACGTCCCTGCCCCGCCGTTCTATGCGCACGGCCTTCGCCACCTGAGCGATACCCTCCCCTGCACGCTAAAACAGGGGTCAACAAAGATGGTCCCTGATCTCCCAAAATGCAGCGCCATGATGCAAACTATAGCAGCAAGTCTATCCAGCCCCTAGTCACCTGAGGCAATGGCATTCGGGATAGCACAGGCGTTGCTGGGCAGAAGAGGCAGCTGTTGCCCTGTTGCCTCAGGAGCTGATGTAAGGGCGGCAATATGCCACTTCCAAGCACAGCATCGTCGAGCAGAGTGACATTGTAAGTATTCAAAATGTGTTCTGAAATGCAGGGGTTGAGCAGCGCACTTGTACGGCTGCTGACGAGGAAGGTGGCGATGGGGCTGAGCCGCTTTTGGGCTGCAGAGCGCTCCAACCACTGGGCCACCTCCTCCGTGTTTGTCCCTTTTGGCAAAAGATCCACCTGTTTGGCCACACAGCATGCCTAAAATAACTGAGCTTACCATTCAAATCCCATGGACTTTACAGCCAAAGTAAACGAGGAAAATATCTGACAACAAGTTTGGCAAAGCAGCAGCCAAGCAAGAAAATGCAAAACACACTGCATACGTTTCATCATAAGATTTAGAGGAAACCACCACATAAAGCACATGCAACATTGTTGCTGTGCGCACCTTTGTGCCCACAAGAAACACGGGGTTTTTTCCAATAAGGTCGCGCACTCGTGAAAGAAAACTCCCTGAAGCGTCCAGCAAATCCACCAGCAGGACTGCTACCGCCCTCTCCTCTCTCACCTGCACACATAGCACAAGTGGCCAAGGCTCAAATTTTGAAACATATCTGCATGCCCAGCTGACTTTGTCCCAGATCAGGGAAGCTAATACAGCTCTGTTTGACCGAGCTGCGGGACTTGATTCTGCCCCTGTCTGACTTGGGGGAACACTTGGCTGCTGTGCAGTGCGCGCATAAAATGGGTTTCCTGCCCTGTTTTGCAGGTGATCGACAGGGCCGCAAAACGGATAGACAAGCTCAGTGGCATTGACTCCTTTGATTTGTTACAATGTTTGATCAATTTTGAAGGCTGCATGCGCGTGAGCTTCACCCGCGCCAGCTGCGTCCGTAGCTGCTCAGGCGAGACCAAGACCTTCAAATCTTCCTCTGAGTCCCTGCCCCAGACATCCGCCACACCCGGCACCATTGCCCCATTGCTGAGGTCCTGACAGCGCCTGACAGACACACTCTTCAGCACACTTCCAAACACACTGCTATTTCTGGACTTTGTAGCGCACAATTACTCCAAAGAAATTGAAAAGTGACGGAAGATCTGCGATTTGCAGCAAGCAGGCCTGTGGATGCATGATAAAATGTTGATACGGCGATGTCCACATAATGGTGTGCTAGGCAAACATGGTCTTTGGAAGTACCTGCACACCAGAGTGCCTAGCTGGCGGTGCCGCCGCTTCTCTTCGTACTTCTCCACAGATACATACCCAGGGGCAGCCGCCTCCTCTGTCTGCAGGGCAGCGCCGCAGCCGTAGCAGCTCCCCTGCCAAGGGAGCAGCGTGTCGAAATTCCAGGGACTAACAGAGTCTCGGTGACACGCAAATATACAGGAGGAGTCTATGCTGAGCTAAAGCAAATTGCCGTCCACATTGTGCTTGAGCTTGCAGAAGACATCTGCTCAGGACCCACCCTTCTGGGAGTGTGTTCTGACAGCTCGATGCCAACTGCATCAGGACTCGATGTGCTGGCAGTACAGCGGCTATCAAAAACCCTGGATCTGCAACATACTTATCTCAGCACCACCGTTGTGTTCATGATACAAGCTGAGGTGCATCAGTACTAGATGTGACAACTTCTGTGAGACAAATTGACGTTATGCGCTCCATTACCTTAGTGATTGAGATGCCGTACGTTGTGGAAATAATCTGCATATATTGGAATGATTCAGGAATATAATTGGTGCGTGCAACCGAGTGAAGGAAGACTGCATCGACTCAGCCCCTGGCACCGCTGTCAAATTCAATCAGTTCATGTACCGATCCAATTAGTCAACGAATTGGCTACTCCTTCTTGAAATCAGAGAGGTGAGAGGACTGGGATGTCGCATGGTTGAGGCATCGCCGTTGGGTGCGGTTTTCTTCTTTCGGCTTCCTTCAGCTTCCCTTTGCTTTTGCAGTACCGGTGTGGCACTTTTATTCTTCCACTCGAAGGGGTTTTGCAGTTCTCCCTTGCGATGTTGTGAGCCGATTACAGGCCTATACATACCCCTGCATGGGGACATGCTGAGACCTGGCTATCACCTAGCTAGATACACTCTACATCAAGTAGTCAGGCAGGTCAACCCAGGCATGCCTCCCTCATTACACATTCCGCCGACGTGGCATGCAAGGGTCAATCCCATGCACTCGTCTTGCAAGCCTATCAGCCACAACAAATGCCGACCAATCTGTCGAGCACTGCAGCAGCACCGAGCTGCTCAGTATCTAGGCATCGGTGACACATCCAGTGGAGGCCGATGTGACAGCCTTGATGTATTTGTAGAGCGTCCCCTGAGTTGCCTTCAGCGGCGGTGCAGTCCAGGCATCCCTCCTTCGCTGCCACTCTGACTCGTCAATCTCAAGCACATCCATCCGCCGCTTCTCCGCATCTATCCTGATCACGTCCCCGTCCTTCACCTGCGCAGCAGGGCATACCCAATATTTGCCAATACCCTGCTGGGACATGACACCAGCAAAAGCAAACCAAGACAGCACGGTGGGTTCTGCAGAAGAGGCTCAAACCGCCCGGCCACCAGTGGCTGCTTGCAATACAGAGCAAGCAGAGGCCTTATCAGTCAGCATGATTTGGGTCCCCAGAACTCCGCCAGACTGCCACTGAAGCTTTAAGGTCTCAGCAAACATGCCCAGTGCATAGCTCACATCACCATTTAGGGTGGGAGCATTGGTGGATGGTTGGGCACCAGCAAAATGGGCCTCCACGCATGCAAGAGATACTGAATGTATTGAGTGACCCCTCACACATGGACAAACAGGTTTACTGATTGGGTGACTCACCAGCGCGATGGGCCCGCCGTCCTGGGCCTCGGGCGCGACGTGGCCGATGCAAAATCCGTGCGAGCCGCCGGAGAAGCGGCCGTCGGTCAGTAGCGCGCAGTCCTGCCCCAGGCCGGCGCCCATGATGGCGCTGGTGGGCGTCAGCATCTCCGGCATCCCCGGGCCGCCCTTGGGACCCTCGTAACGGATCACTATCACCGCGCCCTGCACGCGCACACAGATCACCACCACGTTAGGAGTGCAGGTTCCTGAGAATGAAACAAATTGATGTTTGGATGCCTGGTACGAGATGCGAATGAAAGCCTGCTGCTGCATCTTCTGGAAGTGTGCATGGCCTATTTTTGCAAGATCCTGCAGCATGAAAGGCCATCCATGCCTTATTTGACTGGCGCATACTTCCGATTAGGATCCCATGGGATGGACTTCAGACTGCAGGGTCGCCAACCACAGCGAGGCTGCAAGCTCTACTGATGCTTCCGTGGGAAGGTGAGGGCACCAGGGGTGAATTTAAAAACCTCACCTTCAGCGCCTGTGGGTTCTCTGACAGCGCGTCCAGCATGGCCTCTTCGGAGTCGAACACGCGTGCGGGCCCCTCAAACACTGTCCCCTCCTTCCCAGTGATCTTCCCCACACACCCCTCAGGCGCCAGGTTGCCATACAGTATCTGCGCACACAAAATTTGTGCAATTAGAAGACACATGGCTGAGAATGAGATGATATGAGCTGAGAATGCAATTGCAAACTTCCTTTATTGCCGCCGTTCAGGAGCCTTGATAGCATGCATAAACATCAACCTACCGAGGACTTCCCAGGAAGCTCTCAACCCTGGCGTCAGAGCTTCCAAAGTCACCTTTGACACAGGTTTTGCTTCCAGAATTCAACGGCTGACATGGCCATGAATATCACAGGAAATTAAAGGATGTTATACGATGTGGGAGATTGGGGGTGGGGGTAAAAGGCAAGAGGCGCACTTGCAGGTGTCCGCTGGACTTGATGGGCGTTTCCAGGGGCATGATGACCTGCTGCCCCTTGGCCAGGTCAGGCACGCTCTCCAGATTCTCTCCCAGTGTCTTCCCTGCACGTATGTTTCACATTCGGCATGACATGGGCGACCCCCATTGATGGTCTGTGCAGATCACGCGGCACAGCAGAGATTTGTAACAAACCACACCAACATGAGTAGCATGCGGGGACCCGCACGCTGACTGCAAGGCTTGAATGGAGGACAGAACTCTTCGGGGTCTGCAGGGCTCAAAGAAGCATTCACCTGTGACTGTAAGGCAGCTGCCATCAATGAAGCCGTACTGCAGCAGATATTTCAGCACGGCTGGCGTACCTCCCACCTGCAGCAGCAACCGAATCTATTTATGACTAAACAATAAGTTTCTGCATGCTGCAACAAAGCGCAGGTGCTACACCCCAGAACGTTGCCCTTGTGGCAGATGCCGCAGCGCAATTTGTGACACGCTGAGCTTGCCATGCCCCAAATGGCCAATAGCAGGATTGCACGTCATTTAACTTAAAAAAGATCCCTCCATCCCACTCTGCAGCTCCCCCTCGCTCTCCCTCTGTAGGTCAATTTGTGTTACAAGAGGTCCCAAAGAGGACGATCGAGAGGGGTGTACAGAGAAAGATCGATTACTCCCAACAAATCAACAGACATAAAGGTCAGCTCAATCCTAACTACTAAGACAAGCGTCCATCTAAGCATCTGTTGATGCACTTTGATGTGAATAAACTGCTTTGCAGAAGAGACTGCAGCTACTACCGGCTGTCGACCCTGCCGTCCAATTTATGATGGTAAGCTGAGAAGGATTTGCGGATACATGTTCTTAAACAAAACCAACTTAGCACCAAGTAGCCCCACCTTGTGCACGTCCTCCATCACATATTTGCCGCTGGGCTTCAGGTCGGCGATGAAGGGGGTCCTGTCAGAGCAGGCCTGGAAGTCATCCAAGGTCAAGGGAACGCCGCATGCGCGCGCCATTGCTAACAAGTGCAGCACCGCGTTGGTGGATCCGCCCAGAGCCATGACTATGGTCATGGCATTCTCAAAGGCCGCCCGCGTCATGATGTCCCGAGGCTTGATGTCCGCCTTCATCAGCTCCAATACAGTGCTGCAGGATGAAAGACAAACAATCACTGCCAGCCTCTGCAGACACTACATGCATGCACTTGGATGCATTTGTTCAGGGATTATTCCGCCCAAAAAGAAGTACCACCCATGTACGCTGAATCTCCAGGAAGGCATAGCAAATCACGAGGCATTGTCAGTCTTCCACTTCTCAAGAGCAGAGGCACAATTGGGTAACAAGTGACAGGGCTGCAATCGCTGCAAATGTGTTCACATGCATTCATGAAGTACCTACACACTACAAGTATTTGATTTTCAAGACAGTTATTGCATAGAGAGGGTGCCGGACGCACAAGCCGGCCTTTCGGCACTCCAATCGTTTCAGGGGGTCCACGGCAGGGGTGGATGATGAATAGGGAAGGCTCATGCCCAGAGCCTCGATCGCGCTCGCCATGGTGTTCGCCGTGTACATGCCGCCGCATGCGCCGGGTCCCGGGCATGCATTTCGCACCACGTCAAATCGCTCCTCCTCCGACATGAGATCTGCTGCGTACGCGCCTGCAGCATGCACAGCCACATATGGATCGGCAAAGTAGCTGGTGCCTTGGAGTGGTAATGCGTGTGCTTATCCAATGGCTTTCAATGTATCCAGACTGCATGCAAGAAGAGTGATGATTCAGTGAGATGATAACGCAGGACGCCAGGGTGCTGCAACAGTAGGTGCCACTGGGTGCAGGGGCTAAACGACTGCGCTCTCTCGAAATCTTCAAGCCCTCAGTGCATTCTGAAAGGCATGCACGAGATAATCTTCAGTTCCGCCCTCATGCCGTGCAATGTCTTGAAATTTGCGCACTATCCTATCCATTTTCAGAACAGCTTTGATATTCAGCAGCCCCACTTTGCATGCCTAACATGTAAAAATCGCCCTCTCCTGCAATGCGGCTAAGAAACCAGGGGATTAACAAAGCAGAAAAGGGGCATGGCCACACCGTAGCTCTGGAAGGCTGACACGACGTCGATGGGTTTGTTGGTGGTGGTGCTGACTCCGGGCTTGATGGTCCCCCCGTAGACCATGAGGGAGGGCCTGTTCAGGCGCGCCATCGCTATAACCACCCCCGGCATATTCTTGTCGCACCCCGGCAGGGATATGTTGGCGTCGTACCACTGCAGCACAACGAAGTTCATCTCAGAAACCTATTCGCAGTGTGAAGCATACGTGAAGCAATGTACCAATGAGCAGACATTGTTCCTTGCAATAGGAACCCCTCAGGATCTGTCCTAATAGCAGCAATGAGCCCTGGGAAGGAATGTCAGACTCCTCTTCACTGACTCCGTTTGACTTTCTTCTCTGGAGAGGATAGTGTGAAGATGTGCATTTCTGCATTTGCGCCAGGGTTCGGTATTTCAGACCCACGCAGAAGCTGCTAAAGAACAGGGCCTGCTGCACACAGGATGCCGGTGCACTGAGAGGACATGATGGACTGTACCTGAGCGCCCATGACAGTTTCCACGCTGTCAGCAATGAGGTCACGACTCTGCAGGCTGTAGGACATTCCATCAGTGCCCATGCTGATGGCGTCGCTGACACCGATGGTGTTGAAGCGGTAGCCCACCAGGCCAGCCTCTTCAACGCCTGCCTTCACATCTGCTGCCAGGTCCATCAGGTGCATGTTGCAGGGGTTGCCCTCATACCACACCGAGGAGATTCCCACCTGCGTTGGACATATTTCATTTGTGTCGAATGCTTTAAGAAACTTACACACTTGTCCTTGCAAGAGGCCTGCAAGACACATTCAACGCTGTATGCTGCACTGTCATACCCTGTAGATTGAAAAGGAAGCCCAATCCATCATCCTCAGCAGTGTCTATGTATAATTACATAGAGTTCTGATCCAAAATGATCTTGACAGCAATAAAGGTGTCCAGGAATGTGCAAAGCCTCCGCAGATCTTAATTCCAATGTACTGGTTACAGGGTAATGCAGATTGGGTGTTCTATCAAACTATACCTGAGGTTTGTTCATGTCATCCTCGTTCAGGCCTGTTGCGTACAGCATTGCCTGGGATGCCCCTTGCGACTTTGGCTGAGTCACATGGCTGCTATACTTGTTCAGACCCTTCGGCACCGCTGTCTTCGATGCACTGTACAACTGTTCCAAAACTTCCGCTTGCCTCTCAGGAGCTGCGATTGCGCTAATCCTGAGACGTTTCCTGCAGATGTGCTGAGTTCCGTTCCTGTCAGGTGATGCAAGACGACTGCAGGGCGATGGCAGTAATGAACAATGCCCCGAACAGTACATCCCGCTCGCCATAGTAACACTTGTAATGTTCAACAACTATTATTGGATCCGTCTTCCTTGGAAAGATTGAATTTTACATAAGGTTGGCTTTTACGTCATGGGGGACCGCAGCCGGACGTCACCTAAAAAATTTCGGGCCCCCCGCTTTTTGCTGAGAGACAATTGAGGACTGAAGGATTAAGGATTGACAACATTTGAGGATTAAAGTTCTACTTCTTAGCTATAAAGGCCATTTCTGGATCGCTTCACTCATTCGGACACAATATATAGATTACTCACGGAGAGACAAACGGCAGTTGCAACCAATTGGCCAGCCCAGGGTTCCAAAAAAAGTTTGACAAAAGGAACTGTTCCAGTGACAGCACATGTACAGCCTGTGTCGATCGGCTTTTCTCGCCAAACCTTCACAAAGCCTCCGGCATCACCGTGAAACAGACAATTGGTTCCTGCTCTAAGATGAAGCAGCTGTGCCGTTGGGGGTACAGAGTCATACTACCGAATGACCCACTCTTACTCTGGCCCACACTCAATGGGAAATCTATCAGGCAGCCCCTTTAAGGATGCATCCCCTCGTGCGGCTTGGACTTTGGTCCCGGGCTGAACCATGTACAGACTGCATAGAACTGGAATGCTATATTTGACCTGAATTGAACTAGACTCTTCAGTGCCGGCCACGCTTGCCCCGGCCGCCGCGCCGGCCGCCGCCGGCCCGGCCGCGGCCGCGGCCGCTACCGCCGCGGCCGCGCTTCTGTCCCCGGCCGCCGCCGTCTCCCCGCTCGGCTGCCGCCTGCCTTGCAGCCTTTGCGCGCATGTAGAAGTCCTTCTCCTCCTCACCTGCAGCCAGATCATGCAGATTCTTCATCAAACATTATCATCACATTTTCATCCGAGGCAGCAGTATCCCGGGCCCACCATGCAATCCCTGCGGGCTGATGTGAGCAGGGCATTGAGTCTCTCCAGATTATTCCCTGCCTGACCCTCTTGTTGGAAATGTTGCTGTCTGCTTCCTAGACTGGTGCATGACTGCCAGCATGCTCTTGCCAATGTCACCCCGGTTACTTGCACAAGCAGGCATGCCACCCTGAGCAACAAATCATTGCAGACAGCTGAGCAGAGACGGTTGCACCAAGCATGTGCAGAGATTGCTGTCATCAGATGTTCCAGCTGAAGAGGGGTAACGCACCTTCAAGAACCTTGAGTGTTGCCTTCTTGCCTGACACAGACACCGTGTCATCGTCGCCCACGAGCATCAGGTTGGGCCCCACAGCATTCTTATTCTTAAACCTGACAATGCCTGACGGTGCGCCCTACACCCACAAGTTTGATTGAATATCAGCAAGCAATGAGAATACATAAACCCCTATCATGCCAAGCGGCAACGTGCGTCTGGGCAAAATCCAGCCAGTTTATGGACTCGCCTGATCAAGCAGGACCGTATCAGCCATGCGCACGGTGTTGCATATTTAAACAGCCCTCTGCCGACCGGTGCAGCCTTGAAAAGCAATTGTATCAAGCACGTCAATGGAAATAGCACCAGCAACAGTCATGACCAAGAGAATCAAGTTGAAGTGTTTGCCTTCTGGAACTCCACGTAGGCGATGTCCTGGAAGGTGTCTCTGATGTCTGTGTAGGCCAACTCGTGGTTGGCGTCCACAAAGTCAAACCGCATCAGGCAGCCCTCCTCATAGTCCAGCTTCTCCGGCTCTGCCGGCTCTGGCGTTCCCTCCTCCTCCTCACTTCCGCCTGCATTGCATGCCGTGCCAGGTAAAACCCCTTCCCAGCGCTGATTCAGGCACAAGTCACACCAGTGCACTCCAGAAGGGTGCAAGCACTTGCAATGGTCATAGTGGGGCATGGCGCTGAACTGTGAAGGGGTCCCTTAACAGGCACAGCAAGAAAAGGCAGAACAGGGAGTGCAAGATTTGGCATAGCCCTGAACGGAGCATGGCACTGGGGTGCGACTGGCGCTTATACATCAAGCAAACCAGACAAGTTGGCAGTACAAAGAGGGTGCAGGTTTTTGTATTGGTTTGAATGGAGCCTTGGATTGGGCTGGGTAAAGGTAAAGAGATGGGATGTTTGTTCCAGAAGCAGCGCACTTGCTGGCACGGCATCGGGGTACCCGCCAGTGAATTGAGTGAAGAAGGCCTCTTCGCCGGCAGCCTGAGGCAGCACAGATACATCAAGGAACTAGCTGGCTGAGCAGATGCAGAAACCAACTGCGTCTCGCAGATTAAAGCAGTTGCTGCTTCGCAATGCACGCTTCCCGTGGGCCAGGATCAACTCTTAGGTAGGTGCGCAAGGGAACCAGCGCTGCCATGCTGTACTACAGATGCCATGGGATTTGATCAACTGTTGGGCAGGTGGGCAAGAAGATAGTGCCAGAGCGCTCTTCACACAAGCCAGGGCACCACAGTAAGTGTCAGGAAGGTGCATACCAAAGAGTGCGCCTCGCCAGTAGCACCCCTTGCACTTCGTTCCTCTTGCTTCCTGTTGACAAAGTCCACCTTGCGCTCCAGCCGCAGTGGTGCCCCCTCGTACACCAGCGACTTGCTCATCACCTGCATGCGCACGCATGCATGCATGTCAGATCATGTCACTCTACATATCCCTGTCCAGCATTGATTGTACTGGTTCATCTGACCTGTTGCGCCCGCATGGCAATTACAGCATGCAAGCAGGGGCGTGCGTCATGTCTGCCAGCACAGACCAAAAGGCACCATGTTGGCAGGCTTCTGAACCCACTTGTCAAGGGTTGCCTAGCTTATGGAGTGCAGAAACCATCGTTGAACGTTGCTGCGTTGGCACGCTGCTTGTGGTCAGTAGGCAAGGCTAAATGTCCAAGGGTTATGAAGGAATGGTTGCTGCAGAACAGCCACTTGTCTGCCTCACCAGTGATGCTGTGCTCAACCTTCCCAGCGAGGCCGGCATGCATCAAAACGTGACTGCAAAAAAGCCCGACACAAAGAGCGCAGGGCACACCTCTGTTGCCTGCTCCTCACAGGCAAACTCCACAAAGACCGAACCCCGGAAGTCACTGCTGTTCAGGTGGCGCCGCATGCGAACGCAGTTGACAGGTGCCACTGTGTTGAAGAAGGCTGTGACTGCGTCCAGCGTGGTGTCATAGGGGAAGGGGGATGCAAACAGGCTGCGCGCGTCCACCTCCTTTGACACCTCCTCTGGCGACTCGATCGGCTTTGTGCGACGCACGCTTCTGCCGTCCTCGCTCACTGTGATGCTGTCTGAGCCCTGCAGCGCCTCCGCCACCTGAACAGGCACAGGGGAACTTACTTGCCACATTGCGCCACTCACGACACACAGCAAATGTCTCAAAAGGAATGAGGTCGTTTTGCTTTGCGTTGATGCGCGGTCAAGGCTGCTGATGATGTGAACGTGAAGCATGCTTGGCAGAGCGTAGGAATACGCGTTGAGGCCACCTGGCAATTATACTAAGAAGAGGCACCAACCTGGCTGAGAATCAAACGGCTGACCTCCACCTTTCCATCCTTGCCTTTCCTGGAAATTCCAAGGGCTTCTGTCATGCGAGTAAAGGTGCAAAGAAGCTCCAGGTTGACCCATCCCTGAGCACAAGGCACATCAGGAAATGGAGGCACCTTCACAAGTCAGCTCCTCGACCCAACATGCCAGAGGCGTGTAAGGGTTATCCGTTGCATTTACACTGTTTATGTGAGAACCATTTGAAGCCTGGCAGGCGAGGCATAGGACGTAGATGAGTGGAGAAAGGCATGAGTTGGGGCTCGCCTCAGGGTCCTCCGCGATCTTTTCCCGAAGGAACTTGTCCCGGGGGAGATTGCTGTCGCTAAAATAGAACTCTATCTGCAACAGAGGCAAACGCGTGCTCAAGGTCTGCAGTCTTGTTGTATCTCAGATTTACTACAAGAATCTGCAAAGCGGTGCACAGTTGACACAGCCAGCAAACGTGGCAATCTGGAGCACAGTACTATAAATCGTTAGCTTGAATTGCTAGATTGGACTGGCGAGCAAATGACACTCACCTGCTTCTTGGCTCTGCTCTTGGCTTGGTCAGAGACGACCATGATTATCCAGCCTTTGCACCGCCTCCAGGAATAGTGCTCACGTCAGATTGCTGATCCGATAGAATATGAGTCGCTTGATGTTATCAAGCACGCATCAAGCTGTCGTCAGGAACAAACAAGCCGTCTCTGTAAAGCCCTGCGATGCTCAACTCTCGACCCTTCGCTCACCCTCTAGGGCCTACATACAGGGGACTGTAACCTAAGTAGAGTCCCCTGCTACATATGGAGCACATGCAAAATACGGACGTTCTCTCGAGTCAATCGGCTGCAGACATGCAGTAAATTGCCGTAGAGATGTCTGCGGCATGCCAAAACGCATGTTGAGGTTGCCCATCCGCTGCATCAGTGCAGTCGCAAATGCCATTAAGGGCATCGTGCATGCCTCAAAAACGTCTACTTCGAGACTGGTGCAATCCAAACCAGCGCAGCAAGCCGTCGTCTTTGTCAATGATGGCTTCCACAATGCTGTTCCAAAGCTGTACTATGCTGCAGGAGCCCTTATAGGCACCGTCGAGGGCCTCTGGCTCGAGGGCAGGTGCGTTTGCATTTGGCGACAGAAATTACCGAGGACAAACATTATCCTTATGTTGCAAAGAATCTGACATCATCCGATCCACGAAAGGATCAAAGCATGCGCATGCTAACTTTCGAAAATGATTTTAGGTGGCAGCCAACGGTTGAAAGCTGAAGAGCTTGTATCTAGTCCATTTGCTGGCATTCGAGAACACTCGATGACTAAAATCTGGCCTGAACCATATGCCTGCTCTGCAGAGTGCTGGTCCATGAGTTCTTCGACCTGGACAGTGCAAGCCACAAGAGCTGGCAGTCTCCCATCCGCTACTCAAGTTATGACTTCCGCCCTGCCCCGCCAATCAACCCCTTCGTTCTCTTCAACAACACTAGCTGGAGCTTGCCCTCACCTCCCTCACAGTGATCTCACGCTTAGGCACCGCTGATGCATGCCTTTGCAATATCAGCTACTTGATGAAGCCCATTGGGATGATATGCACGTCGCATCATGCACCCATATCAGCAAAAGCATGAGGTCGCCACGGATGCCTCTGATTGGTCATTGGCCAAAGACTCCGCAGCCCTGCATTACTTGTTCTTGTGACACCCGGTGAGGGTGTTGTCCGATTATTATAACTCCCATGTGCATGTGGGGTTTTCTTTACACATCAGAGCGCTGGGCAGCAAGTCATCAGCAAGGTGTTTTGGGGCAGAGCGCAGCTGGGAAGGCAGCGGATCAGCAAAGTTGCTGTTTGCCGCATTGTGCTGAGGCCTTAGCTTGCTGCAGCGCTTCAGCTTTAGCCTTTAAAAGAACCTCAGTCACCAAGGCGGCTACTGAGTCAGTGGCTCCAGCAATGTGAGTTTGTGCGAATATGATGAGCACGAGAGCGAGCTGGTGTGTACTGCAGCGCAAGCAGCAGCAAGATCATGTACACAGCTGGGTGTTGCAACTGTAACTTGATAGGCAAAGCTAGGTTGTTCTTCTACTAGTTAGGTTGAAGTCCGGACTCGGATCCATGTTGGTTGTAGATAGAAATGTACCTGTGCAGTTCTGCTCCTAGGCAGCGAGTTGGTCACAGAGGTAATTACAATGACTGAGTACAATAACTAATTATAATGACTGCTCCGATTGGAAGGCTTGCGCATGAGGTCCTCCCTGATACTGTATAATAGATGTAGACAGGTAGTGATCACTTTTTTGAGGCAACAACGAAGAGGAATCCTAGTTTTTGTCTGACATCAACTTAGTGACATTCTTCTCTTATTAACTAGTGATTGGGCAGAGCTGCAGGCTTTGTGGTCAAGTGCATTGCATGCACACAGTACTTCAGCCGTGCATGTCCCAAGGAGAGCAATTTTACGACTGGCGTTCCGAGATTTAGCTTCAAAAGGAGGTCGATAGACTCAGTCTGGTGGGAGCAAAAAATCTGGAAAGAAGTGAAACTCTCCCCATCACGCTATGCCAAGCAACAGCAATCTCAAGAACATGAAGTTTGTAAACGGCATGCAGGTTAGAGAGAGCACCTGCATGCGCGCATGTATTTGTGTTGGCACCTGCTACAGAATGAACTCATATCTATAGCATGCAATCGAACGTGTAATCATGACTTGCTGAACGGCGAGCGTCTCTAAGAAATGTGCACTTTAAAGCAAATTTGGTACGTTGCTGTGAAGTAACTGCTGCCTCAACCTTAGACCTTACATGACACATTCTATCAGGACAGCATGCAGCTGACAATCTAACCCACTTTGGGATACGCAAATGTTCACTGATAGAGAGCAACGCAACCTGAAACCACAAGGCAAGCTCTCTGTGCTCTTTGTTCCCAAAACGCCGCTGCATTCGCGCATGCGTGTCCAGCGCTTCTGGGATCACACGGCTGCAAGACGTCATAGCATGCCTTTGCTGCACGTGGCTGGCCATGCATGCAAACCGATGATAGCAGCAGCGCGGCACTTTGCATTGGACAAGTAAAAACGCCCTATTTTGGCTTCTTGTTGGTCGCCTGCCTCTTTTCGAGCGCGGGTGGCGACGGCGCAACTGCCACCATTGTGGAACATAAGCACAAGGTAGCGTCTGCCAAGCCATGCCCATTAGTGGCGCGGCCTTTTCATCACTTTTGTGCGCACGTTTCCGGTCGGCCGCCTCTTTTTGCGCCCCCACAGCACTTCTGCACTCACAGGGCTGTGGCAGACAACCACAGGGGCACGTCCACCAAAAGGAAGATCAATGACGCGGCCTCTTGACAACCCTTTTGCGCTCGTTGCCGGTGGGCCGCTTCTTCTTGCGTGCAAATCTGCCGCGCTCCTCCTGCAGCCGGCCATAGCGCTTGGCGCGCCCCTCGGCCAGGTCCGGATCAGCCAGCAGCTCGTCTGTCAGTGTTCCCTGCCTCTGCTTCTTCGTCATGCGCCCTGCCAGGCACACAAGCAGGCTCAGCCCAAAAAGACCCATGAATATCAAAAGCGAATCTCAGATACCAGCATGGCACAAGATTTAGTGTGATACGCAGGGCTGCATTACACTCCATGTCACTGAACGATCTCGGCATTGACCACACCGGCATTTCAGGCTCCACAACCACAACAAGGTCTGCAAGGGAGGGGAAAAAAGCCGAGACATGCGGTTGTAACATTACAGAATTCATGCTGGGCACTGGCATATAGAACTGGACCCCAGGTGACAATACAAAGTATGGCAAGCATCGTCCAGCAAGTTGGAGGCTGCCTAAAATTTTCTGCAAAGTTGGACGCTGCCAGATTTGCCCAAGGTGAGTTGTAACTTTGGAGACCATAATGAGTCATTAAGGAAGTGCAGTGGCACCTGCATAGAAGTCGGCGGGGCCCTCCACGACGGTGCCGAACTGGAAATACTTGGGGAATTTGGTGCTGTCCAGCGACTTGTAGAAGCGCTTGGTGTCCATGGCTCCTCGCAGCCGGATCAGCCGCAGGTCCCTCTTCACTTCTGGCGTTATCTGCTGCGCCGGCAGATCAAACCAGCCCCTGTGTGGATCACAGCACAAACCTCCCGTCAGCACAGATGCAGCTTCTAAATCAAATTCAGTACCAATAAGGTTGGAAAGACTGTGTGAAGCCTTCACACCACCTGCAGATATGAAAACAGCGCACCTGAAGGTCTGCACGCATTGTGATTGCAGAATAGCATGCGTGTTGTTTGCATGCGTGGATCACACGCATGATTGCCAGGCACAGAACTGCATGGATGAAAAGGGGAGTGGCTCACTTTCCGGCGGTGTCTGGGGCGGCCTTCCTGGCCTCTCGCGCGCGCCTGCGAGGATCCACCGGAGGCGCCATGAGCTGCAGGCACGCACTGACACCGGTTAGATCTATTACACGACACAACACTACCAAAAAGTCACAGCTGTGAGCAGGCATGTCATGTCACGAAGGCACAGTCAGCTCTAGCTGCGACCAGATACATACTATGCTTTCTTGAGCCCAATTTAGGTGTCAAATCTGCAAGCAGTACAGTTTTAGGTGAATGGGATACCAAGAACGGCCTGCACCTGATTTCCAAGAAGCGGTATGGCTCCGTGCAGGGGAACAGAGCCACTGCCGTTGCCAGCGCCGTCTCCGGGGGCGATGGGTTCAGGAAGCTTCACGGCAGGTTCCCAGCGCAGCTCCTCAACATCCTCCTCAGCCAGATCTGGCGCGCCACCTGGACAGAAGCAAATATCATATCCAGATTCAAGACTACAATATGCAGCTGCCGGTCCATATTTCAAATCATCCAATGCAACCCAAAGATTGCGTTGGAATAAGACTCTGCCATCTCAGTGCAAACAGATGTGCAAGGAGCATATGATCCAGATTGAAAAGCATGTAAAGGGACGGACCTGAATGTGCAGCTTCCAGTGCAGTACCAATAGCTGCAGGCCGCCTGCCATCCATGGACTGCAGCGCTGCAAGCATGTTTTGCGCCATGCTATTCAAATCCCCTTCGTTTTCGTCATCTCCCTCCTCCGAGGACCAGCTGGCAGATGACTCATCCTCATCCGACTCTGCTGCAGCTTCAGCATTCAGGCGTACACCCCTGCCCACGTTTTCGCTCCCTTCTGAGTCACTGCTGGCAGAGTCCGCCTCGTCGCTGCCTTCTGAGTCTCCACTGCCGCCTGAACCTGCTGCCTCTGAGGCTGATCCATGCTCTGCTTCCTCAGACTCGCTGTCTGCTGACGAGGCCTCCCCATCACCGTTGTGTAGTGCCACACCACGGACAGGGCCCATCACAGCCGCTGCTGCATCTGCAGATCGAAGATTATGGCCAGAGCTCGTGCCAGGCTCCTCTGATGTCTGAGCTGAGTTGGGGGCAGTGTCTCTTTCCTTGTGTACCCGCCTGACTGACTGGAGAGGCTTCTTACTGCTGCCTGGAGCTGCCTGTCTGGCGGGAGTAGATGCTGCAGTTCCCTTGCTGGGCTTCAATGCTGAGGCATGTGGTTCTTGCCTGCTCCTTGCACGTGTGTGCTTGGCTGGCGTGTCCAAGGACTGCTGGTTAGTCAGGTATGGCAGACATGGTGCAGCAGGTTTCTGCTGAGGCGTTCTGACAGTCTCATTGTCTGCTGAAGCTCCTGCATCTGCAATATGATGAAGGTCTTGCAAATATTGAAACTTGCGACCCTAATGACAGAGTAGCATCATGAAGGTCTCTTCATTATAGAAGTAGCAGCGAGGTGACCTCACCAGCGAAAGTCTCGGATTGTGGAGCTTCTGCTATCGGTGCAAGTATCTTGAGGCTCGTGCGCGTGATCTTGCGAGTAGAGGCGGTGACGTCTTCCTTTGGAGTTTCCTCGTTGCTTTTCGTCACAGCCAGGCGGCTGTCCTTTTTCGTTGCAGGTCGACGGCTTGTTCGCTTGCTGCTGACCTCTGCTGGACCTCCAATGTCCACGTTACCGGTCGTACTCCCAGATCTCAGGCTTACCATCCTGACTCTGCCCAACGAGACCTGCGTATTATTTACTAGGATCACATTCTTCTGGGTCAAGGTAAACAAATGCTGCAGCTACCTCGCTAGACCAATTGTGTTGCGCTTCAAGATATGTCACCACCGTGTTTGGCTGATGAGAGCCAGCGCAGGCTGAGCAAAGTCTTGAAGAAGTGGGCTGTCTGCTGCACGTGCGAACGCACATGCTTTCACGTGCCCTGAAATCTTTCAAAGACACAAATTCAGTGAAACATGCAGTCAAAGATGGGTGAAAATTGATTCGAGAAGATCAGAGTTGTGCAGATGACCGCTTGACAGTCGACGTCGCTATGTAGATGCTGCACTGGATTCACACTTCCAGATTTAATTGATTCACAAGGAGCACTTTTGTACCTGTGTAATCTGGTGAACTAGTGTGCCGGAAACTGTCAGTAATATGCTGTAATACCGGAGGACCGTGTCGGATCACGCGAACGTATTTCCACAAATGGGTTCCTGTTACTAGGAGTTGATGGCTCCAAGTGATGAGGACGGTGAGTTGCTCAAAGCCAGATATCTCTTATCACAGATTTTCAGAATATTTCTGTTAGTGATGCATGGCTTGTCGTCGTCAGATGATAGCTGCCTGCTCGTGGTGGTTCTGGAGACCCACGAGGACCTCTGGTCAGCGCTAGCTGATGAGAGCGAGTCACCTGTGATTGGCAACCTCTCTTTGACGACATTGCTTCAGCAGGTGCGAACGTGATCTTTCCACCAGAAAACCTGTCAGAAGGCTCCCTCAGATTTTTTTTACCTATGCACCTGTTGTGTCTGTGCGTGCAGGGTGGTACATATCTCACTGGGGATTGCATGAATCACAGCCTGGCATATCTTGTGTGCCTGCAGGTTCTGGTGTTCCTCAACACGTTCCTCGCATTGAACGAGGCCAACGAGCTTGTGGTGATCGCTGCATGTGGAGACCAAAGGTAGTCCTTTGTTCTGACAGGAATGGCTGTGCCTTTCACACATTGCACTGAAGATGGTAGCCTGCTGCTTCTTGCTGTGCTGAACCGAAATATCTGGTGTACTGCTCTTCTGGCACACCAACAGGTTGATGGGGCCCTGGGAATCTGGGAATCATGTGTGCATATGAGGTGCTGAGTCAGCACCGCTGACATGATGCATAAGAGGGTGCATATGGGCCGCATGATGAGGGGGGGGGGGCTGACGCATAAAGTGTGGTGCGCACTGCAGCGAGGTGCTGTACACATCACCATCGGTGCACAGGGAGCGGCAGGGGCCGAAACACGGGGCCGTCACAGGGAACGCGTCAGAGGAGGTCCTGAAGAAGCTGCATGCCCTGCTGCAGGAGCAGGCTGCCCTGCCTGGTGAGGAATTTGAGACCTGCAAAATAGAAACCGAATCACGATTGTTCTGGTCGAGTTGCCTCCTTCATTACCTAAGCCTCCCTCAGGGGCTGTTTGTTGGACACCCAGTGGGCTTCAGGACGCATAGTTATTCTCATTGTATGTCAGCTTGCCAGCTTTGCCTAAAGATGGAAGGACTCACACCTGTTCAATCATGCAATATTCATTGGAGGGATCTAAAACTACTGCTGCAAGACCAGAAGGAGCAGCGAGGTGCCAAGCCGTGTTGCAGCCATCAAGAGCTGAGATATCAACATTGTTGGACAAGAAGGGCGAGTGCAGACTACAGCAAATGGGGTGCTAACATGTGCCGGCATGTGCCTGCAGTCGGGGACCATGCGCGGCCAGCCGTATTGGCAGGGGCGCTGTCTCGGGCGCTGTGCCTCATCAACAAGGCGCAGCTGGCGTCTGCTGGCGGCAGCCGCACGCGCAAGCAGCCTCGACTACTCTGCCTCAAGGGCTCGCCGGACGCAACCGAGCAGTACATCTCTGTGATGAATGCCATCTTTGCCGCCCAGGTACATAGAGCAAATGTCATCTTGAGCCCATCTAGCTTTCTTCGTAGGACAGTTGAGGAGCTTGTTGGGATCAAGCACATTGCCAACAATTGCCTCCTTGGGTGCTATTCAAACGCTGGCTCACAGCAAGAAGGTGTGATTAGCTTAAGAGGTGGAAAATTGAGAATGCTTTGGATTGAGACAGGAAGGGATGCTGTTCAATCAGTGGTCTTTACTGAATATTGATGTGCTTCTATTTGTTGCTGCAGCGGTGCGAGGTGGTGATCGATGCGTGCATGCTGGGCGCTAGCGATTCGGCGTTCCTGCAGCAGGCAGCCCACCTGACGAATGGGATATACCTGCGACCCAAGCACAAGGACGCACTGCTGCAGTACCTGCTGGTGTGCACCCCTCCAAACCTTTCGGATCCTTCAATGACGGCACCAAAGTAATTTTCGTGTGGCATCTGCAAAGGTTCAGGATGTTCCCTCCACCTGCAATGGTCCCTCACGCCCGGAGAGACTCGGGCAGTCAGTCGTTATTCTGCATGTACAGAGCTCTACATGCAGACAATGTCATAGCATTGGAGCTTGTTGCTGCGCAGACAATCTTTTGTGGAGACGCGTTCTCGCGCAGCTTCCTGCAGCTTCCGCGTCCAATTGGGGTGGACTTCCGGGCGGCCTGCTTCTGTCACAGGGTGCATTTTCAAATCATTTGCAACAAATTATTGATGCATAGTCCCATTCTAGCTAATTCCATTTCCAGCAACATGGTAAGCCCTGCCAGTGTTGGCGACGAGAGAGGAAAACTGAAAGAAGTCTGGTGTGTGTTCTTTGCAGCGGGCCATCGACCTGGGATATGTATGCTCCGTTTGCTTATCCATCTTCTGTGAGGTGAGAACCATGCATCTCGTCTTCTCTTCCTGTGCTTTATTGGTCAAGAGGGGAACATGCTCAAATCTGCAGATGTTGAACATGCAGGCCAATAAATCTCACGTTGATATTGGGTTTTGAGTTTGCTGATGGTTCGCTTGCTGCGATGCAGAGTATTACGGAGTGCAGCACATGCGGGACAACTTTCAAGGTTGTTGCTCGAACGCCGGCCACCAAGCGGAAAGCCTCTGCAGCCGCAGTGTAAAGAGAGGCTCAAGCATGCCAGTCGAGAGAGTGCATTGCAATGAATTTTTGAAGCCGCAGAACATCAGCATGCAAGCTGGATGGGTTAGTTTGATGGCCAAGCTTCAGAGTACTAGTAAACAAGCAAAAGAAGTTTGCAGGTGGTGTTACTTTCATTCTGGGGATTTAAATCATGCCAGCATTGCTGTAAACGCTACATCATGGTACGCCAAACGGTCCCATTCAACTGCACCTTACAGAGATCTCCTAGGAGGTCTCCAAGGCCTTGTGCGCATATTTGACATCACAAACAAAGGTACCTACGATAGCCCAACAGGGGAACACATCTTGTAACAGCTCAGCTGTTTATCTGTCGTTGATCGCCCCTGTCGGCAATGTAAGATTTTAGCAAGGCATGTGCTGTCTTTGCGAGCGCCTTCCGCTCTATCCTATACGCTAGCACTGCTGCTCGGCGCTGATCTGAGGCTGCATCCCTGAGACCACAGTCCTCTTCCAACGTAGTGCCGCCACCTGCACATAAATCTGAACACTCTGATATTTGGCAAGTACTCTACTGTTCACTTTTGACACGGCACGTATAATGCCCAGATTTCCACAAGAGCCGTCAAATAACATACCGTAATCATGATCACGACTATGCGTGCACCCGAAATGCCTTGTTGGGAGGCTGGCACTATGATCACAGGCAGCAGAAATCCAGCCAATGCAATGATTGCATGAAGCGCAGCCATGAAAAGGAAATCACATCACAACTGTGCATTGATGCCCAAGCTACATAACCAAGGCGCGTGCCTTGCATGATGCCTTCGCAGATTCCTACGAGGCGCTCGGCCAGCCGCCGCTCCTGATCAGGCACTGGATCCCCTGGCAGGACCCTCACTGGACCCCCCTCTCCCAGCGGTAGAGATTTTATGGCGGCTGTGAGGTAGGGGTGCTTCCCAGACAGCATCTCCAGAAACACCTGGTCCCCCAGGAGATACTCTATGCGCTGCAAGCTGAGCGTATCTCCAGAGGATGAGGGCCTGTGCGCAATGGGGAATGTAAGCCGATTCAAACTCAAGCGCAACGCTGGAAGTGAAATGCACAAAAGTGGTTGCAGGAAGTCAACAAATGCGGCATGACAGAGAGGCAGAATTTTCTGCAACACAACGGAGGCTTATTTGTCATAGACAGTGTCAGCTGGAGGACTGTTTTACCCCCATAAGCAAATGATCAAGCCCGCGAAAAAGCTTTCGATGTCAAAACAAGTTGTTTAAATTAACATAAGGGGAAGATCACCTGTCTGGTGCGTCTGAGTCAGATTCAGGTCCAAAGGGCAGCCGTTCCGCAGGGTTGCCCCCCTCAATGACAAACCCGTACACCTGCATGAGCCGCTGATTGATGCACCTGCACAGCAACATGCTCACATCTCAGATGTCTTGAAACACACACACAGCCACGTTCAGATGGATGGGTTTCATGAACGATGGCAACACAGACCTGCCAAGCACCACACACCCCTAGGCAGGCCATAGCATAAGATTGTGATCACCAACACAAGCTTTGCTTCACCCAGACCAGATCGCGCAGATTATTACTATTATTTGAGCTTCTCATATATCTCATAAACCCACTCGATAATTTCCACACTGCAAGAGGAAATCCCACAAAGTCATCCGTAAATCACGATGATATCCTCACTATAGAGTAAGCCTCTGACGCACCCGTCGGCCAGGGCATAGCTGATGGTGGCCTCGGTTCCCTCATCTGCATCCACTACAGCCAAAAGCTCGACAGCGCCTTGATGCGGCCGGAACGCAGCGACAGGTGGCAGCGAGTGATTGGTCATGTCCATGAAAGGCACGAACGCGTGGCATGCCGGGCCGAGCCGGAACGTGCGGCTGCGCACGCACGCGAAGGCCCACTGCATCCGCGTGCAAATGCCGGGCTCGATCGGCTGCGCAAGCTCTGGCAGCATCTCTGCCAGCCGTGCCTGCACAGCAAAAAAAATGGCCTTGGCTGACCGGGTATTGATAGTGTGGTGATCTTTTCAGCGTGAGATCTGCGCTGGGCGATTTATCCCCGACCCTGTCTTTCTCTATGTCTTGCTCGGTGGCGCCAGAGCTGCATTCAATTTGATAGTATTTTTGCTATGAACTCCCACTTCCATCGCTTGTGAGACTGTATATGTAATTCAAGCTCCACTCAATCTAGAACTTGGATAAGCTACTCTCCGACCAGTCCACTGTTGCAGACAGGTTCTTGGCGGCATCTGCCAGGCAGCTAAGAGAGGGTCCATGACCACACATCGCCCCAGCAAAGCCTTACTGCCCCCCACCTGCTGCTGTTGGGCCCCTCTGATGATCTCCGGGTCCTGCAGCTGCTCCAGCAGCTCTGGAGGCAGGCAGAAGGGCAGCGACAGCTGCCCAGGCTTGGGCAGCAGCTCGCGCGTGTAGTCCTCCCAGAATACTCCCCCCTCGCCTGCATGCGCATCCAGCAACGCCACTGCCTGCCACATCAGTGGAACACCTCCAATCAGCTGCAAGCTTGTGTCTCCTAGTTGAGGGCGTGTTCCCTGCTTGCTCTCCTACGTGCACAAGTGGGCTTACACGCCCTAGAACAGGGGAAGAGGCAAGTGCATCCGGTTGGATCAGCTGTCCATGCTGTCTGCTGAGCTGGCGGAGGTGCATGTCAGCCCTCACCCCAGACAATTGTCGGCACCTGACAACGCTTTCATCCAGATCAGTTCATCTTCTGTAGCATGTGATTAATACAGGGACATAGAGGACAAGCCTGACTCGCTATTGGGATGCCAGCAAAATGCCAGCATTGCAAGACAAGGGCCAAAATCGCAGATCCAGACACGCATTAGGACCACAGAAGAGAACCAAAAAGAAAGGCGAGCTGCGCACCAGGAGGATGTCCCAAGGTAGCTCCGGGTTGTTCGCCACGGCGTCGCGCAGCCGCGGCCAGGCAAAGTTGGGCAGGCTTAACCCCTCTCCATCATAGTCCACCATCAAGCAGTAGTCCATGGGTATCCTCAGGATTACCTGCAGCGCAGAGATAATCAGTCTCGCCGCTGTCCCAGCCGCTGCTTGCTTGAATTGCAAGTTTGTGCGCCTTCCTAGGGTGTCTATGTCTGTCGTGACAGGCCCAGTAGAAACATCAAACAGGCCAGTGAAACCGGGACATTTGTGTGACGCAGATTGGTTCATGCAGGGTTGAGTGCCAGCGGCTGCAACAGTGCGAATGGATGCGTGCTGACATTGCTGAAGAGTATATGCCAGACTAGATTGAGTGGGATGTCCTGGGGTGCAAGCTCAGACCTCTCCCTTGGTGACACTGCGGGTCAGGAAGAGGCCATAGCCATGGGGACCACGCCTGAGCTCCACAGCGGAAAGCTCTCCAATCTCTTCCAACAGGTCGTGGAATATTTCCAGCGTTCCTGCATGCAAAGGGCAGGTCATCAATAGTCAATTCACAGGGGCCAGGACAAAGGCATCGAACTGCCAAGCGAGATGGGAGCCTCACCATTCCTGGTCTCAGACTGTTCTGAATAGCTCGAAAACGATTTATGACGCAGTCTCAGAAACTGACATCGATGCTGGTAATGACTGTGCTTATTGAGCAAAGGGGAATGCCATCGGGGCACTCCTTTAACCAGAACCTGGAAAGCTGCTGCGGGCGATGCAGGAAGCGAGCTGAATGGTAATAGGTGCATTATCGATACAATTTGTTGTAGAAGGGATATTTAAGCTGTCCAGATAGACTACTTTACAGTTATTCACGTATTGATCTACATTTTGCGCAAGGAATGATCCCCACAAAAATCTTTCAATAATATTGTAAACGTCTTGACCACAATTTTATGGACTTGTAAACCATTCCTTTCAGGAAATCCACAACTGAAACCAACCGGACTGCGATAAGGGTCGCCAGCGCAGACATGCGGAGTGCAGCTTCCACCAGCTTCCCCCTTATCTCACCTCCTCTGTACAGATGTTGTACATTTCAGCCTTCCTCAAGACACAGGTCCAGCTCAGAAGCTTTTAAGATGATGCAAAGCAGATCAGTCCCATTTCGAAGCTCTGCCAGTTGAATCCTTGACACCAACGCCATCGCTGCCATCCTTTCTGATCCAGGCTCGGTGTCGGTCCCTGACAGGCCGCATGGCCTGCCACACTGCGCTGTTGCATTTGAACCCCGCCCCAAACCCCAGCTGCCATATTTTATCTCCCCTCTGCATCCCCTGATACGTCTCAATGTGCGCCAGCACATACCTGCGCATGCATGCATAACATATTGGAAACATGCAGTGCAGCATGAAGTTTCAATGAAAGCATGGACCAGGCCACTACTATTGGAGATACATGGAACACACATCAGCCTCTTACACATATAACGCGCGCTGTGATGGCCTCACACCAAATTAAGTGTTGATGCATGCAGCTCCATTTCACTCTCAGGCAGAGGTCGTGAACCAAAGCGCTCACCAAGTAGAGGCTGCTGAGGTGTTGCCGAAATGGTACAGCGTGTCCTTGGAGGGCTGCACCAGGCCAGGCGTCAGGTGCAGCTGCTTCTCTATCTCCCCGATCACCCCCCGACCACCTGCATGCATTTTGTGCTTTCCTCTAACGCTGCCGCTCACAAAGACACACAGACCCAATGCGATCTGGCACTGAAAATGGGCTGAATGGCACAGGAATGGCAAGGAGTGCCAGAGCAACTCACAGCATCCATGCACCCATTCCACAACTTCCTCGAAGGCCAGTATCTATATAGACACAGAAATACACGTTCGAAATTGCCATAATTTTGATCTGGGCATTGGGAAGAAGTGCAAGGGGAGATATGGCATGTAGAGGGCTGACCGGGGTGGATGAGGACGTGCTGGAACGCGTGGTTGAAGTCTGGTTCATAGGGCAGCACCTTGCGCTCCAGCACCTGATAACATTATCACCAGCTAACCAGGCTCACTGGCCCCGGCTGGCGGTGGGCGGTATAAATACTGAGCACCGCGCACAAGGTTGACAGGGTCTTGCTTGGGATAACCGACAAACGCGGCAACCGCTCTTCGCTGCGTTATTTTGTGCAGCACCTCTTGAAACTGGACATATGCGAAATAGCAATGCATTGTCTCATGGAATCCCAACAACTCCAAAACAATCACCTTGCGCAGGAGGACGTTATGCAGGTAGCGCAGCTGCTCGGCCCACGGCAGCACGCGCGGTGCCAGGCAGGTCAGGTTCGCCCTCAGCGCGTGTCCCGCCACTTCCATCAAATCTTTGCCCAGCCGAATGCCCTGCAGGCTCACAACCAAGTATTTCCAGACTGACCATTCCCCCGCTACCTACTCATCCAATGCATGTTCTGCACGCGCAAACCTTCCCGGTCGGTTAGTCCGCCCAATCTAGGGGAGCGCCGGAGAAATGCGGGTCCTCCGGGAATTATGGCCTGCCCAAATCAACATGAGCTGCAAAACAGGGGCTGGGGAGCTCGAAAGAAAAGCAAATTCACAGATTGATAAGAATAGAGACTGGTAATTTGTCAAGCAAGTGCCTTCGTGGGGACCACTCTAGTTGCGAATTCTAAAGCTGATTCTAAAGCCCTGTCATACAGAAATTTGAGGAGGGTATGTCTTGGCCATGGTTTGCTATAATCACATGCCAATGCCAGAGGGTAGGGCAGGACAGTCATCGCATTGTGCCGGTTGGGTGAGAGAATCTCTCAGGCCTGGAGCGATGCAGGTGTTCTCTACGGTGATTCCAATATGAAAAGCAGCGCACCAGGTGCCCGTCTTCGTCCTCCTCCCTATAGATGCTCTGGTAGGCCGCTTCGCTGCTGCCGAAGTGCAGTCGCACTATGTGACTCAGCTTGTACCTGTGTACCACAGCCACAGCTAAACTTAGCCTTTGAAGCTGCGACTAGTCACACTTCATGTGCATGCTGATATACGAAGCTCCAGACACCTCCTTAACGCTTAAACAGGTGAAGAAGAAAGCTTAAAACTTCGCGTGGAACCTTTCGTTGCACAAGAAAAGCTTTGTGGCTTCGACGCCGTTGCTTGATGATGTCCCCTCGATACCACATGTGCTTACTTTTGAGGCACTTTACAACCATTTAAGGTCCCCCAAACGCGCCAGCTGGCACGCAGCAAATTGCATTCCTGCCTTGTCAACTAGTTTTCATGATATTTAGATGGTCGAACTGCCAAGGGAGGGCTTCTGCAGTGGGTCACAGAATCCAGGGGATACAATCAGCAGCGCACTTTGCCCTGCGACGCTCGCAAGCATGGTTGGACAGCAGAATTGCAGCGCCACCCAGTCGGAATAGTGCGTTGGGGATGAGCATGGAACGGTTCCTGCCGCGGTAGTGCGAGGCAGACACCGGCTCTGTCATGACTGCCAGCACGCGCATGCCTGTGTACGCCTGCACATGCCACGAGCATCATTATTATTAGTATTGCACGCTCTTCCTGCCAGAAGCAAGGAGCGTCTGCAGACAAGCTGCCGAAATCCGACCCCTTCATGGACTCGCCAGATCCAAGCAAGACCCAAACAATCGTGGGCACGGTGCTCAGTATTTATACCATGAGCATTACCTAGGGGGTAATAACAGAAATTGTTCTATAACTTAGCGGTAATGTAGGGGTACCCCTACATTACCTCCTGCTTGACGATGTTCTGCATTGCCAAAAGTCCTGGTGACAATTCGGTCGAACAGTGGCCCCGGACATCATGGCCAGACACTCTGTCCCATAAGACCCCAGTAACAATCAAGGCGCAACACTCAATCTGCAATGCATTTGCAAACATGCAAGGGCGCTAGAATTGCTTTTTTGGCAAAAGTCACGTTTGCAAGTGTAGACATTCTGCTAGTCCTTTTGTCACAGCATAAAGGGCCGAAGTCTGCACAAGCTTCTCCCGCCAGGCACCTTGACTAATCCGGCATAGAGCCCTCCAATTAATTCAAAGTACATATACCATTAGAGTTATAATTCAGGTGTTGCTTGACATACCTAGTCCTTGAGGACTGGCGTGTGATAGCAATAAGAATGGTTTTAATAAAAAAAAATAGTAATATATTCCATTTCCAGTAATCTCACCTGCATGAGTTCGCGCGCGAGGCCGACGGCCACGGTGCTCGCAGCGCAGCCCATGCCGGCCAGATTGTAAGTGATCACATCCGGCCGCATGCCAAACCGGTGCACCAGCGCAGCCGCCAGTGACGGCGTCGGGGCCACCATCGAGCAGCAAATGATCACAGCGTCCACCTGGCAAGCAGGCAAATACAATGCTTGACCCGTTACCGTGGATTTGTGGAGTACCCAAATCTCTGTGGCATGCTGGCTGAGCAGGCAGTTCTGATTCGGCAATCTTGGCCACGCCCAGAGCGATGTGTATTCTTCAAATTACAATGATCGTTCTGTCTTGCATGGGAGCCTTCTCCCAAAATCGGAAGTCAGCTGCGTTTTGCATCTTCAAATATAAGTACCCTCTTTCAATATGCCCCAAACAACCACTTGGAGTTGGAAGCACTGATAGGTGCTATCACTCAGACAAGGGTGCAACAGCCTCCATGGGAACTTGTGCTTACTGCAATAGAACATTTTCCCGCAGTTCCCATTGGAGGTTTGCCAGGGACTGGTATTAATTGAGAGCATGCATATTCACCTGGTCCGGGCGCAGCTTCAGCTTCTGCAGCAGCTGCTCCGTGCATTCGAAGAGCACCGCCTCCGCCTCTGCCCTAGCCTGCTGCATGGAACAGGGAACGCCGCCGTTCTCCGGCACTCGCAGCCCTATACGTTATCACCCCTTGTCATCTCTCTGCCAGGGGATACTAGATATATTACTAATACATGCGGTTGCCAGATGCAGGGTGCGTCCGCCAGGTTGCAGGTAAAGGCTGCCACTTATCCTCACCCTTGATGGACTCGCCAGATACAAGCAAGACCCAAACATGCTTGACACCGTCCCTGGCCAGCCGTGGCCAATAATAACTACCATGTATATACCCTCAATACTACCCATTGGCTGTCCTGACTGGTGCATGACCCTCTGCAACCCCCAAGCCGCTGAGCATTAGGTGCATGAGAAAGTGCAGCTGCCAGGAGGCGTAATCATGCATGCTGCTTCATGATCGTGACATGCAAGACGACAATTCAATGATATTCAAAAATTCAAAAGGGGGGTCACCATCTGGGATGCTGGTGGCGTTGCCGAGACCTGAGCGCTCCAGCACTTTATTCAAGAAGTCCAGGCTGTCCGCTGTGTGCACCTGCTTAAAAGTCGCCTCTCTTCAGGCTCCTATGTTGCATGACAGCCAATGATGTGCACAGGGCCGTCCAGGAGACTGTCAAAAAATTTGTGCGGGATATTGAATGCTTTCTTACGTCGCAGTTGTCTCACCTTGGAATGTTGCGCAAGGTCCAAGTATTCAGTGCGGCTGACACAAGTCCTGCAACAGCATGCCTTGAGACATCAATGGCGGCGGGCATGTTTTTGATCAGATCCAGACACAGGTCCAGGGAAAGTTACAAGCACCACTTTAGATGAATAACCTCAAAGATTACAGCATTCCGACTCACTTTTCTGAAGGAGAGAATACGTGGAAATCCACAAGATAGCAGCACTTTCGGCGTTGGTACAAGTACGAGCCAACTGCCAAAGCTGCCACAATAATGAAAACAAGCATGGTACCCTGCACACAAAGATTTATCGGAGCTCATACACTTGCTTTCTTTTGAACCTGGATGCTCTTTGGAGCAAGGCAAGAGTTGCCAGAGCATGGGCAAATGCATACCGGATTGAGAACTATCTCCTGCCCGTTGTTTCCCCAGGTCCATAAAGATTGAAATTGCCCTATTTTCACCATGTTTGAGCCCGACAGCAGATGAAAGACGAAGTTCACGTCCCCTGCAAGATGAATTAAAACTGTTGAGGCTGTAAGGTCAAGGTCAGAGTGATTCAGGAGAAATTAGAAACTCTGAGCATTGGCAGGCAGACAATATCATGCGTACAAGATTGTCTCCAGAAGGCACGTCTCTGATGCGAATAAACACTCCTTCAGCTTCGATGAATCTTACTATATACCTTTACGTCAAGTCGCTGACACCATATACTGGATCAGTCTGTAATGCATTTTCCCGTCATACACAATTTCAGGCGGTCGAATGCTACATCACAGCGGAAAAAACACAATACTGGGCTCAGTTCCTGGACGAATTAAAAGTTGGATGTCACGGAAGACAACCCATTGCTGCCACAGCGTTTTCTAGCAGACGCTCACCGAAATCATCTTTCATATATACAATAGCATACCGCCGACGATTCTTACAACGGTGTTTCCCAGCGAGCAGGATGCAAAGTAGCTCGGATCCAGACCACGTGAAGAGCTCACGTGCCACGGCAGACAGTAACGGCAAGATCGCCCCTCTCCAGATCATCTCCTTCAATCAATGAACATTCTAAGCACACTTCACTTTATGTGAAATAATGAAACATTTCAGGGCTATATCATCCGTGCAAGATAATCTATAGCGGCCGGGCTGCTTGGACGGAATGGCCTTGGACGAAAGGCATCAGTGGATAGCCAGAAAGGTGGATATCGTTAAAGATATTTCCCTATCCCGATTTCTTTTGGTTTTGTAGTGATGCTTTGCACCATGACTATCAAGCATTTAAGTATTTCTTCAGAAAGCCCTTGCTGGTAACCGTTGCTGCAAGCCCAGTAAAGCGGCAGTACGTGCAGTGTCATGAACGCCATCGTGAAGCCTGCCCATGCGTTATCTCATGAATAAACGATTCCAATGATCACGACGACGATCACGATGATTTGGTGTTCTCGCAGCTTGCGGAGGCGTACGGTGTTCCCGTTGATGCCGCAGAGAAGGCCATCCTGTAAGTGTCCGTGTCACCGGCTCCGCTTTAGACCCTAAAGCTGATTTGAAACATAAGTTGTCGCGATAACACAACGTATATACACGTTCCTGGTTCCGACTTGTCACGTCCCAGTCAACCGCGCTAGAACACAATTGATTGCAGGACCCGTAGCCTTGACGCCAGGACGATGTGCAGGCAAAGGCGGGAAGCTGTCTCAACCTTCTACGAACCCGAAGGCCCAGCGGCACTGACATGGTTCTACCAAACCCCGACTGGAAAGCCTGTGGCCTCCCCACCCCAGCTCTTCCTTGGCAACCCCCAGGCGTGCACCTGCCGCAATTTGTGGACAGCTTTTCAGACGCTGCAAGAAGATCTTCATTCATTTATTCCTTTGCATGCCCTCATCTGACCGATGTGTCGGATACTTGAGCTTGGCACAGATCCTCAAAATAATGTGTGGCAACTGCCAGCGCTGTTGTCACCATACTGATCATAATGCTCCAGTGCTCCACAGCCTTCAAAGATCCGTGTCAAGATGCCCTTGCGACGAATTTGAAAGCCAGAACTGCTCTCTTTACATGTCCCAAGTAAACTAATATGTATGCTGTGTGGCACTGCAGAGGGAGTCGCTGGCCAACAAGGCGGTGTACTTTGTGCGGATCAACACCAAGGGGGTGAGCGCTGAGTCATGCGAGGCGGACATCGCCGTTGGAGAGGTGCCCATGGGTGCTCTGGAGTCTCTGAGAGCGCTCATGTCTGAGCTGTACCTGCCTGTGCTGAGGGAGGGCGGCAGCTGGGGACGCAGCAGTGACAAACAGACCCACACCTTCCTCAAGGTGAAGCTTCATGCTCTTCTGTTACCGCTGTGAGGATTACATTTCCTCATAGTCATCATTGGTACAAAAATCTCCAGACGGAGGCAGGGGGCATGTGCAGACAAGCTGCATTTTAAGAGTCCCAAGAGCCCACCCTTTGTAGAACATCATACCAGACCGAACAAGGCATAAACTACCAAAGGCACGGTTCTCAGGGTTTGCACCGTCCCCCGCCGGTCGGGGCTGTCACACTTGGATGTGCTATGTAAAGTTGCTGTCATGCTGCTTGTCTGCACCGTTTCCAGCAAGCTCAGCTCACCCAAACTGCATGTGCAGTGACCAAGCAGAGGCAAAGTGAAGTACCAGGCAAACGCATAGTCCACTTGCGTGAAGATCGACCAGACGCGCCTTGCTCTCTCGGCTTGACTTCGTCAAGCTTGTGGCTCATGCATGTGGTGACTTCCAGGACAGAATCTGCTCTGCGCACATCACCAGAGTGCAGATCAGATTGTTCTGAAGCCATCACATGCATAAGCAGTCTGAATCCCAGGGCGCCGTTGACCAGGCCAATACAGAGATTAGGACCGCCAGGGAACGTCAGAAGAACAGTTTTCACTTGACTTCATGCTGCTGAGCAATGCATTGGGAACAGTAATCAGATCGTACCTTGCCTTGAGAGCTACCTAACAGCAACTTATGCAAGTCTTCAGTTGTCCTCTGCTTCTGCTCTGAATGACTATCAATGCAGAGCACAATGAGAGTGCAATCTGCATTGTATAGTGGTTAAGTGCAGAATCAGAGCTCCAAATGATTGCATGCATAAGTGGTGTTTTCCCAGGGCACCAAAACGCCGGGCATATGATCTGTATTTCTAGCTTGAAAGGTGTTGCTAACATTCACTCTGCATCCTGATCACCCCGCATTTGTTATGCCCATGCAGATGGCAACGCAGCTAACCAGTACGCTCACAGAGGCGGTGGCTACAATGGCGGCTAGTGTGGACTTGAAGGAGCCAGATCAGGCGCTGCTGGAAGGCCTAGACACCAAACCGGCCTCTCTGGGCCGGGCCGCGGCCGATGACTCACTTGTCGCCCACGTCGCGGACGTGCTGATGTCATGGTGCGCCAGCGTGGACGAGGCGCTGACTCAGCAGCAGACCGCCCAGCACGAGGTGAGCTATTTTCCCATCGCCGCATTTCACTCTGTGCATTTCAGGTGGCCTGTGCACAGTCTATATTATTACGCACCTTGAAGGCGGCATCCGAATTGAGAATTGAGAAGTAGAGAAAGTGGTTTGCAAATGGACCGATGCCATGGTGGATCCATTACATACATGCAAGGGACAGGCGCCGGCCATGCATGACATATGGCAGGCATTTGCCAGTTTTCCTTGATGCTGGCATTGGCATGCCAGATGTCATGCCTCAGCAGTGTAGCCAATTGAATAACCGCAAAGAAGCCATTAGCAAAACCCAGCAAGTGTGTGGGGATTGTGGAACAACAGGGTTCGCAGGCGGGGCCGCGCGCCGAGTTGGAGCAGTGGCGGTCGCGGCTGGCGGCGCTGACTCAGCTTACGGAACGGCTGAGGAGCCGCGAGTGTCGCTTAGCCATCGGCATCGCCGGCGCGGCCCGGTGCAAAGCGCACAAAGCGTGGCGCGACGCCGAAGCCAAGGTGGGGCCGTGGCATGGGGACTCACTCTCTTCTGTTGGGTTGCAAGAGTTTGACATGGCATGCCATTAGGCCAGATGGGCAAATATTCACCACCAGACATTGAGGAATGGTGCAAAGAGTTGAATTTGCTAAGCTAGATTTTACAGCTTGCTCAAATATGCAGTGGGGAGAAGCCTGGCTGCAGAGCATCAGTTTGTTTTCTGCCTGCCTGTTCCTGACATTGGTCAAGCACAGATATAGAAATCCATTTTAAGCTCTACGGCCGGTCCTATGCTCTCACAGACACCTATGCACGCCAATATATCGGAAGATCGCCTGGTTCTGTGACCAGCTCCAGACCGTAAGACACTTTACCTCGTGTCATTTCTTTGAAAACGCAATGCTCAGCCACCAATCCTTCGCACTGCTTGTTTCTTGGCGTGCGCAGCTGACAGACGCGGTGAACGAGGCCCGGGACAATCTGAAATACCTTCGAGCCCTGGACGCCAGCTGGGAGCCGATTTATCAGCAGTCCAGCCTTGCAGCCGTCCACAATTGCCTGCCAGCTGTGCTCGCCAACATCTACACCATGCACACAATCTCACGGTATGCTCACCCACTGCAATGCCTGCAGTAGCTTGTAGAACTGCCGAAAGCAAAATTACCAAAAGCAGAATTGCCACAAGGCAAGAACTGCAACAATGACGCTGCTGCCCAGATCACTGTCTTTCGGGATGCCGGTGCATGCCGACAACGTGCAGCTACTGACTCCGACTACAGCACTGGTCCTGTCTTGTTGGTGCATTCAGCAACAACACAATGTGCTGTAGCTCAACCGGAATTGTGGTTGGAATATGTTGCACCGTATTAGGCTCCTCTTGGGCAGTGTTCGACATCCCAGAGGGGAATCTCGTGGAATTGACCAACAACTTGTGGGCTCTTTGATTTTGTTCTGGACTGGCCATAAGAGAGTGCTGATTTTCACACAAATTGTCTGGAATTATTGAGAGCCACGAGAAGCTGCTGCTATCAGGTCCCGTCAAGGCCAGGTCGGTCTCAAGTTTGTGCGCAGGGACATAATGCAATTTAGACCCATATGACTGCTGCTGGTAAGCCTCTAGCCACAAAAAATTGGAAAGGCATGCGAACCTGGTCGAACACTGCTTCTTGGGTGCGCAGGTATTATGCGCTGCCGGAGCGTCTGACGGCTTTCCTGCAGAGCGTGACTCAGCAGCTGATCGACTGCTGTCGCGGCTTCCTGGGAGCCGCCGGGAAGCTGTGGGATCAGGACAAGACAGCGCTCATCGCCAAGCTCGGCGCCGCCGTCGGCCTGAGAGACGCCTACCTGGACGCCTACAGGTTGACTAAAATCCTGACTAATTTATTCCAGACATGGCCGTTATTCTGGGTTCTAGAAAACTTTCACCCTTTCAGCCAAAACATGGAGGGCATGGTATGACGTGCAACTTGGTGTGCATTCTGATTTGCATCTTGGTCTATCTCCTTCTTTCTCTTAATGACCAAGAAGGGAGGGTTGAGATGAGTGTGGTTGCTCTTCCTGGAGAAGCTACCCTACTTGTCAGGCATCAGGCTTTCTTCTGCTCAGACTCCTTGGTGCTTGAAGTTGAGATGGGTGCCACGCTCATATCGATTTGAGTTGACAAACTGCACATTACTTGATCTCCCATCTGAGAAATGTTCTTGGATGTGTTTTCTGCAGGAAAGTGAGGGAGGGGGCGGGCAAAGCAGACCCCGCCGCGGTGGGAAAGTTCGAGGCGAATGAGGCCGCAGTGTTTGGACAGATGGACCTGTTTGCCAAGCGCTGCCGCAAGCTCATAGAGCTTTTCACCATCATCCACCAGTTCTCTGAGCTGGCCAAGGTGCGCCAAGATCTCTGCTGTCCTGGCAGCTTTGCAGATCCACTCCTTGGGGAAGCATGCATGATGTCTTGAAGGCAATTTTCTTAAGTACACATTGCTTGTGATGCCAAATATTGGAACCCCGCTGCTACAATGTTCAGTCTTGTCGTGAATCATGCTCTCGCCACAGAATGTCAGCAGTGGCTCAACCCAGCCCTTCCGGCACATTGAAAAATATGCATGACGGTGTGCTTGTTAGTACCTCAGCATGCACTACATGTTCAAAAAAATCAAATGAAATAAAACCCAATGCATGCGTGAAGACTTATTGGCATGTTTGAATTCATCAAATTTAATTTCGTATTTGTATTTGCTGCCTGCGCAGCACACGCACATAGAGGGTCTGCAGGCAATAATGCGGCGCTTCGGTGAGATAGTGGAGGAGGTACGCCGCAAGCCGTACGACCTCCTGGATGCGCAGAAGAACATCTTCGACCGAGACTTCCTCGAATTCAACGTCCACATCAACGACCTCGAAATCGCCGTCCAGGCGCGCTCTGACCATGTTTCCATATCTTCCAAAATTTTTGGTTCTGGATGCTTTGCAGCAAGTTTCAAAATGTACTCTCCACATCCTGAGACGCGCTGCTCATGGCTCAATGTTCATTTCTCCGCCGAGAAAGCTTGCCAGGCCTTTAGGACCATCCTGGCGTTTACATGCATTGCTAAAATTCCCCCAAGCATTCAGAAAGGTTTGAATAATCTGTGTGGTCGTGTGAGACGATGCCAAATTTGTGGAGGACATGACTTCTCGGGGGCGTCTTGCATAGTCATCTCAAGATTGCTGTACTGAGAGGTCCCACTTGAAAGTCATGTCTTTCACAAAGCAGATGTATAGAGTCTGGGCCCATGCAGCGTTAGCTTGAGCCTCTGAAATCATGTGGAAGACCACCGAAGTCAGATGCTGCTGGAAACATAATCCACACAGTTGGTGTCCAGCAGGGCTTTGCGCATGCATTATTCGAGGGTTGAAATACAGATTTTATGACTCAAGCCAAGCTCAGCACCAGCAGTGTCCTGCAGGGCTTTGTGCATGCGTCGTTTGAGGGCATAAAGAGCACGGAAGCTGCGCTGCGGCTGCTGCGGCAGTTCAGGAGCGTGCTGCAGCGCGACTCCCTGAAGGCTGACCTGGACGCCATGTACTCGGTGAGCTGGCATTGACTCACTCCTGCTCCGCATTTGCATTTTGTACACTGCATGCATGCACATTCGGATGTTTTAAATGTATATCACTGATCTGTCGACACAGTTGCTTATTAGCACACATATAGCACACATGGAGCCATAAAGCGCCTGCTGGGCACTTATCCGCAAGCATGCAACTTGTCTTTCCATGCAAGCGCTTTGTTCCCGATTTGGGTCCTGCACAACATCCGGAATCGTATTTGCTTGCATGCACCATGTCTCAATGCGCATGCATGCACGCTGGCTCCCATGTGATGCCATGATCCACAACACTGCTAGGATGCATGCATGCGGGCAGCTACCAAGAGTGCCACTCTGCAGAGGCCATTTTGAGTTGACAAAACTCATGTCTGGCATGCATGCAACAATACATAGCTGTGGCGCGTTTCTTTTCGGGCGCATGTGATATTGCAGCGGTGAGGATTGGTTGCCTGGTTGCCTGCATGCATACAAGCAACGCCTTCCCAAACCGCTGGAATGTCATTTGCAACCATGGGCACCATGAATTCTCTTTCACACTTCCGAGTGTTTCAGGGCACGTGTGTTTTTTATGCGTAAGGGTGACACTCCGGTGTCTGAGGGTTGCTAATTGCTAACCTGCCTACGTATATCCATGCATGCATGCAAGGCAGGCAGTGTTTGAGAGTGTTTGTGTTGGTCCATGCGCGCAGGTGATATTTCAGCGTTTTGCAAAAGACTTGGAGGCGGTACAGGGCATGTATGAGAGGGGCAAGCGGCGGCCGATGCTTCCGAGGGGAACTCCTCCGGTGACCGGGCACATCCTGTGGGCGCGTCAGCTCCTGCGCCGCATCGAGCCCCCCATGGCCCAGTGCGCGACTGCTCTTCTTCTTTTGTTTTTTTTTGAATTCATGTACCCATTCTGGTATAATTCGGGTTCAGGGATGAGGGTGAACCCCCAGAATTAGTTGGTATTAAATAATATTCATGCCGGAGGCGAGGTGTGCGCGCAGGCGAGCTGCAATGAAGGCTGACACACATCCTCAAATCGTATCCTATCTGCGCTCATTTGTGATTGACAGGACCCCGGACTCCCCGTTTGGAGGCTTGAGTTGGACTCGGTTTGGTGTTGTTTGATGGCCAGAGTCTCTCTTTGTGACCTTGGATGTGCGTGTGGTCCTGACTCTTGGGTCATGGCCATGCCAAAGCCAGAGCAACACAGTAAGAATGCATGCTGTCAAATGCAGTGTGAATATTTTATGCTAGGCAACTGCACTCGTCGTGGACCTTAATGTGCACATTTGGTAATGTTAGCAGCGCTTGCCCTTTCTGGCATGTGGATGAATAAAGGGTTGCCCAAAGCGCACGTTGCAATGGCTGATGAAGGGTCCTTGCAGCGTGTGCATTGCCGTATAGGGGTTCAGCCACATGCTGACGGCAGGCCAGCCACGACCCCCGTATCATATAAGCAAGTGCAACGTAGAAACTACCTGAGAGGCTACGCCAGTGACTCACTCCTATCCCAACGGCCTTTCCTGTGCTCTACTATCTTGAGCCCAGGGCCTGCAACAGGAGGTTATGACTAACGAATATTGAGCCAAAGAGTGAACGTCAGCGAACTCGCACAGATCAAGCAATCGTTGCCATGCAGCGATGGTGGTGCCATGTGTCTGTTGAGGCGCTGGCAGTATGTGGGGGCTTCTCTTTGGAAATGAAGAGTTTGAAAATGGTATATGTTGTGTGCAGGTTTGCCAGGAACAAGGAACTCATGGCCGCCAAAGAGAGCAGGCCCATCATCCAACTCTACAACAGGTGAGTCGCCGAATTGACCAAGGAGAGTGGTCCACACGTAGGCACTTGCTCGGCATATTCTCTAGTCTCTATTCTGCATTAATCTGTGAGTTTGCTGTCGTTTGGAAGTCCCCAGCCCCTGTTTTGCAGCCCATTCTGGACGTGGGCAGGCCATGATTTCTGGAGAACCGGCATTTCTACGGTGCTCCTCTAGATTGGGCGGACTGAAAAGCATGACAACTCCCCTGCATAGAGGGTTGCTATGTGCCTCATGTGTGCTGGAACTGAATTCTTTGAATTCAAAAGAGTCTGGCACATATCAGGCGCTCGCTGCCCTCTGTGCGGGGAAGTTGTCGAATTATTATTATTATTATTATTATTATTATTATTATTATTATTATTATTATTATTATTATTATTATTATTATTATTATTATTATTATTATTATTATTATTATTATTATTATTATTATTATTATTATTATTATTATATGCTTTTCTTGCCAAGAGGCAAGGTGCGTCCTGCAGACAAGCTGCAGTTGAAGGCTGCCATAAACCTACCCCTTGTTGGACTCGCCATAATAGCCAAGGAAAAAGGTGTCAAAAAGTTCTATGCTGCAGTCTTGTCTAGTCCCTCTGCTCTCAGCCGTTCATGATAGTCAATCCACACCACACTTATTGCAATCGTAGAAACGACCAGCCTCTCTGCAGTCTCTTGATACCTTTCATGTCAAAAAAAGGTGCAACCTCCGGTGTCTGATTGCTGACACAGGGTTGCTCGCGCGTTGGTGGAGTATGAGATTGTGTGGCATGCCAGCTGGCTCAAGGGGGTTGATTCAGCGCTGGGCGGCCTCTCATGCACCCTCATCTGCCAGGACCCCAGCTCAGGTGCGCAGCTCAGAATATCTTTTTTGACAAGGTTGCTCTTGGGTCATGTAACTATAATGGGCATCTTTATCATGACACAGTCATGGCGCGATGACTCGCCAATGGAGCATGCGGCACCGGCTTGTCAAAGTTAGGATTGCAGCAAAGCATCTTGTCTGCAGCACGCTCTGCTCAAGGTAAGCAAGAGGCGGGGAAATGGGTTCAAGAACAAGCTAAGTTGTTCCACAGAGCACATATAAACCTCATGTATGTGCTAGCCATTCTTGGTAGGCACACTTTCCGTGAGAAGAACAGCTTTTCATGAGTTCGTGCGTACTCGCGAATGATGGCACATACTGCAGGTTACCAGATTGTAGTCAGAGGAGCTGCCCTCAGATTTCATGTCCCTGCACAACTACTGAGAAATAATGTTTCTAGCACCTTGCAGAGAGGCACCAGCAGTTTCTGTATGCATGTATCTCTATTCATGGATTTTGTGATCTCCCATTTCCAAAGAGCCCCTCTTAATTGCACCTCGCAGGGAGGCACCACGTGAATTTCCAGAGGTCTTTGTTGGAGTTGATCCGCGAGGCGCGTTCTCTCGGACGGCTGGGCATAGAAGTGCCCGAAGCTGCACGGCTGGCGCTGACCCAGGAGCACAAGTTCCGGGCGTACTACGACCGGCTTTGTCACCTTTTGCTGGTGAGTTACCGCTGACTCACCAATGACTGGATATATTTTCTGTCTTTTTATGTCACCCGTTGGTCACTGATGACATAGGACTAAAATTATTCATACCTGTAGAGGGACAGTGCCAAAGCTGGGGGCACTTGTTGCAAATGGCTTTTTTCCTATGTGGCGGCCTCATATGAGACCTGATTCCATGCCGCTGAATCAGGCTGTCTTTGGGTGTCACGTATGATCAAGCCCAGTCACAGCCCTGCCTTCACCGTTTGGCTCGGCGCTCTTGGACCCGTGAACATGCTGAGCAGTATCTGAACAGCTGGAAGGCTGACGGCTTGAGAGCCCCGCTCTTACATTCACAACCCTTTACACCGTCGTTCGCATGCTGGTGGGTGCACTCAAGGGTATGCAAGCTGAATGCAGATATAAAAGATTCATGGCCATACCCATGTCATCATGGCATACGTGACCATATACTTGCATCTCTACCCTCACCTTTGATGCCCCGATACTCCTGAAATCTGCGCCATATCACAGCCCTGTGCGCATCACTGTGCAATATCAAAATCCGAGTTTTCTTTGTTGTGTCCCCTCAGGAGCATGAGAGGGTTGTGAGCAGCGTTCCTGCCGCTGCGCTGCCGCTGCTTGAACCTCAGTTGGCAGCGATGGAGGCTCGCCTCAGGCCGGGTGCCACAGTGCTGACGTGGGCGAGCATGAACATCGACGGCTACCTCCACTTTGCGCACCAGGTGACTCATCTGTGTAGTCATGCACCCGTGCATGCAAACAATACATAAACGCGGGGGGGAAAATTTGCAGGGGGAGCATGTATGCAGGGTCAACTTTGGAGACTTGCCGCCTGAAGAGTCATCTCGAGACATCCTGAGGAAAAAGTGAAGGCATTAGGAGGAAACCAAAGGCGCAAGAGCTGCTCTTTACTGTCCGCTGTTCTCTTGGATGACAGCATGCCATTGCAGTTACTAGGCGCAGCCTATATTTAGGGTTTGGGGTTTAGGGTGTAGGGTTTAGCACACGGGCCTGTTATTTGTACTCCATGTCGGCAGATGTGCTGTCCTTAATGTGCTGTCCTACAGCAGACCGAATTTTCACAATTTGTTATTTTGTTGCTTGTAGGGACTGTCTCACCTGAAGAGACTAGTAACAAAGGCGACAGACCTGCAGAGTGTTGATGCCTCTCCATATCCTTGCCGGTCAAGCTACTGTGTAGACCATACAAAGACACAGCTTGTTGTGCAGTAACTCAAATCCGTACAAGATTCAAAATTGCTGTGCGCAGGGGTTGTCGCAGCTGGAAGGACTGGTGACCAAGGTGGCGGACGTGCTTCACAGTCGAGCAGACAGCAATCTGCGCGCGGTGCAAGCAACCCGCCTAGTGGACCTACCCCCCGAGCGGACATTCGCCGCCGATGAATTCGCCTCGCACCAAAGCGGCTTCACCAAACGCCAGACCGAGCGCCTCTCCATAAGGTTTGCATGCTTCTTGTGTGCTCCTAAATGAGTGCAAAGATCTGATCACGCATGTGTTGCGGGCACATGGATGTATGGTGCACAAAATAGGAGTGTTGCGGTGACGCCAGTGTTGCCGGTTGCCTGGTGACAAACAATTACTCACCGGAACTCACTTGAGCGATGCTTAACGCTGGACCCATCGGGGACACTGGCCCTTATCAAAATGGCACTTTTTGCATTGCTGACGAGACAATGCCGCTCTATTTGGGCACGTGCACTTGGGGCACTCTGAATAGAAGGACTGCGGTGAGGCCGGTGTCTAGTTTTCCGCGGGCGCCAAGCAAAGAACCTGAAATGCGGTTATTTCAGTGTTTTCTGCCGGGAGCATATTTCCTACCCGGCAGGAAGGAGTGACACGTGCCTCATCGGGACAGCCAGTGCAGATTGTCCATTGCTGAAGACACAATGTTATTTAGGGCGGGCGCCTGCATAGCTGCACCACCAATAGACTTGAGGCGGTGAAGCCAGTGTCAAAGCTCTCTGCTTGTATCAAGCATTGGCCCTGGGTGATTAGTCATAGCGCTTCAGTGATAGCATGCTTGATACTGGCACGCAGCTGTGACACTGGTCGCATCGGTAAGACCAGTGCAAAATCTCCATTTCCAGAGAAAGAACGTCGTGTTATGCATGCACCTGCAATGACGTGATATTTTATCCTGGGAGAAACACTTGCGTTGAAGCCAGTGCTGTTCTCGCCTGGTGAGAGGCAAGCGAAGCTGGTGGCAATTCGCTGGGAAAGCGGATGTCATCAGAAACAATGGCACGGGCATCATCGGAAGGGAAGTCAGCACCTCAAGTAGCTTCTTTGCTGCCTGCTTGGTCCGCCAGTGGCCGACTTGGGCCAGAAATTTGAGATTTCTCATTTGGATTGATGTGAATTGCAGGAACAAGGAGGTTGAGAGGAGCGTGGATGAGGTGATCCGACTGGCGGAGCACAGCCCCTGCGGCGACGCGGAGGGAGTCATTTTGCCTGACAGCGCCAAGGGGGCGTTCCGGCAACACTACTCCCAACGCATGCACCAGGTGAATACAAATCAGTAGTGCGATTTTTCCCTGAAGTAAATCCAATGATGGAGGGGTGTTGCTCTGGCAAATGCAAATTAAGTGAATTCTTGAGCTCGTGGCAACTGACTGACTTGTCCTTGGGCAGTTGAAGCACATAGTAGAGATCCTCCTGTGCAGCTCAAGGTTCAGGACATTTTGGCAGTTGATGCTCCTCAAGGGGCCATGTACCTCTTGCAAAAGCAGCAATGCTGCTGCCGCACTTTTGGCCAGCCCATCTCATGCCTCATCCTTCCATTTATAATTTGAGTTCAAATTCCGTTGCCTGAACAGGATATCCTTGCGGCGACAGATAACAGCCTGCCACGGTCAAGGGTTGTAGCAGCAAGCTCCTTTTCTTATTTTTATTCAATGAGTGTTGCCTGAACAGGCTGTCCTGGCAACGACGGGAGACAGCCTGCGCGCATTGCAGCGGCGAGTCAGCGGTCCGGTCTGCAACGGCGTTCCTGCTGCGCTGTTCCAGGTGGCGGTTGAGCTGAGCGTGCCCAGCGTGGGGCTCAGCCCATCACCTGCCGCCATCCAGGCCTCCATAGACACCGCAGCACAACAGGTCGCTATATACTCTTTTATTCCTCTGCTAAATCTTTGTAATTTGCGAGCCTTCAAGATTTGGTGTAAGTTCTACGTTTTTGTAATATTATAATTGCACGTTTTACAGTCCTTAAGGGCTAGGTACATCAAGCAACACCTGCAATTAATTCTCTTCTTGATTCTTTCTCTCACACACTCATTCCGGCTCTTGAATGAATTTTGGACTTTGGTGCTGTGGTGGGCTCCTCCAACTTCAGGATAACAGATCTATACCTCTTTAGTACTGCCTTGTGCCGCAGTCTCACATTATTACGGTGCTGGCGAGTTCTATAGTGCTTGACACTCTATTGCAGGTGCTGCACTGCTCGAAGGCCCTGAGGGTGTGGGCGGGGGGGCAGCAAGCGGCTGAGTCCTATGGTGACCTCATCTCCCGCGATGCTGACATCACCCAGGTGCCTAGTTTGGCTCAGCAGTTTCAAAATATCTTCCCTCAAGCTACTTGCTCTCCTGTTTGGCCTGTCCAACACCTCAGCTGTGGCTGGAGCAAATTCCGCAGAATCTGAATTTGCAATATACTATCTGCATATTCTCGTCCCTGGCCCCGGCTGGCGGGGGCGGTATAAATGCTGAGCAGCATGCCCACGATTGGTTCCGTCTAACTTGGATCTGGCGAGTCCAATAAGGGGTGGGATTATAGGAGCCTTGAAGGGCAGCTTGTCTGTAGGACGTACTTTGCCTTCTGGCAGGTGACAGCGTGTAATGATAATAATAATAATAATAATAATAATAATAATAATAATAATAATAATAATAATAATAATAATAATAATAATAATAATAATAATAATAATAATAATAACAATAATTATTTTAACACGCTGGTCCTGCCAAGAGGCAAGGTGCGTCCGCATGCGTCAGAGTGTGATGATATAACAACAGAATTCATGTCTACAAGCAAACCCTGCAGGAATCATCTTGGCAGAGACATGTAGCAACCCTGCCGCAGGTTGAAACTTGCATCAAATGACATGCTTTGCTCAATGCAAGGTTTCAATGTTCCAATTCGAGGTACTTTTGCTGCTGCAGGTGGTGCAAGCATTGGCTGGTGCGGTTGAGGCAAGCACGGCGGGAGTGGCTGCGTTTCTGGGCGGCTTTGACAGCTTCTCCTTCCTGTGGCAGCGGGACATCGCCACCGAGCACGCCAAATTCCTCACCAGCAACCCCAAGCTAGAGGTACTTATCCAGTGCCTCTTCCTTAATTTTTACTACTTAGTACTTTTACTACTTTTTCACTACCTTTTTGTACTACTTTTTACTACTTTTCATTGATTACTGGGACATGAATGCTCGGTGATGGGGACTGTTTGGTTCCGGTGGAGCAATGCCAGGAAGGTTGATGAAAAGCTGCGCCAGATGAACAAATCCACATGCTTGCCTCTCCAGTGTGTTTACCAACACATGAGGCCTTCTGGCAAGATTTCTCTGGATGCCCAAAGTATGCTGCGGAGCAAGGACCATAAGAAAGAACAAAGGCACGATAGAGTGTGTCCTCATCAAAACTTGAGGGGGTGAGTTTGACGGATTTCTTGAAAGGGCGATTGTGCGGATGCTCAGGATTTCGAGGGTGAGCTGAAGAAATACCTGGCGGTAGAAAGAGCGGTGGCAGAGGCATCGCCCTCGTACAGAGCGGGCACCTTGATGCTGGACACCTCACCGCTGCGCGCCAGCCTCAAGTCGGAAGTTGCCGCCTGGAAAGCCGCATTCGCCAGGAACCTGCACCGAAAGGGTGCTGAAGATCTGCGGGTGGGGTTGCCCTGTCATATATTCTTTTGCTTCTCGATCATTCTCAAGTTGCACAAACCTTGAAGATCACGTGGATGTGTATCTTTTCATGAAACTAGGACTCGGAATGGCCATGCATGAGGCTCAGCATAAGCTTGCTTGGAACGGTTTGTTTTACTGAGCGACAGAGTGCCAAGTCAAGCTGCAATCGGGGGTTTCCAAGGGTCAGAAGTTGATGAAAGAGCAAGGTATTCAGGAAAAGGCTTGTAGCTAGTTACGTTTGGCCTTGGGCGCTGCGTTAATCTCCAATGAAGCTTGTCAATGAAGGACAGGGTGACTCAACAGTGAGTATGCGCACAGGTGTTTGAGGCGTACCTGCGAGAAACGAGTGCCAAGCTGAGTGACAAAGTGGCAGATCTGGAAGATGTGCGCAGTGTCATGCTCACCATCAAAGAGGTGAGCCGTCTTACATGGTGCGCAAAACTTTGGTGCCACAGCGGTGTTCAGTATGCCTGCAGCAGACGGGACGAAATGAAATACCAAATGAGCTTGCCTCCGCAGAAGTGGAATGTTGAATATGGGGATGAATGCTCGTGCTGAAGCTCGCTCGTGCTTTCCTAAATTTTGTGTTAGGTTAGCACGAGCAGCTCGCAGATGGCGAATTTGTCCCCGATTAGCATGACGCTCTCCTGTCCGGCAGCTTGAGTCTTTCTGTCCATCTAGAAGCAACCCTGTTTGTGCTAGGCAAAAGCAAACACGCCGATTATCAAAAGTGACAGCAAATACGCATGGTCGTGTCGTGTTCAGGTAAACGAGCGGGAGGTGGACATCGATGCCCACATTGCACCCATTGAGGACATGTACGCGCTGTTGGCTCGCTACGAGGTGACTCATCTCCCGGCATAGATATTCTGCACTTTCATAACTACCACATTACGATAACTGTAATCAAACGTTTTTACAGCCCTCCAAGGCTTCAGGCCTTCCAGCAGCACTTTTGTGGGTCTCTTCCACGTCCTTGCATTTTCTCCACCAGTCGCACCGGAGACCAACTTCTGTTACTTCAGCTGTAATTGTACTTCTCTCTGCTTCATGGCGGCGTGATTCCTCAGTCCACCCATCATGTGAGTGAGCGGCCACAGGCTCATGTGATATGTGGCACAAGAAATTCCACTGTCATGAGACTGAGACAACCAGCCTTGAGTGCAAAGCTTATTCCCCACCACATCAGTCATGTGACTTACGCCATCCTCTTTGCTTCATGGCGGCGTGAGTGCCTGGTCCACTGATCATGTGAGCGAAGGGCTATCGCCTCATCTTGTGTGCCCTACACCCTAGATAGGAATATAAGTAGGTGACTCAGGCTCATGTGATCTGTGGACCCGGCCATTCCCGCTGCCATGCGACAAAGACAGCAGGCCTTGCGTGAAAAGGAGGCTGTGACGGCAGGGAACATTGCAGTAAAAAGCTTGCAGATTTCCAGTCTTTGTAAATCTTATCCCTGACCAGGACAGCAAGAGCACACTGAAGGACATGTACATTCATGACAGTTAATCCGTCACAAGACCTTCTGCCAACTTTTCCAAATTTCATCTTCTGAAACCCAAACCCTAAATTTCAAAAGTTCAAATCTTAGTTTGTGATGGCAATGAATGTGCGCTGCAGGTGAAGCTGCCGGCGGAGGAGTTGGATTCGGTGAGTGATCTGCGGCAGGGATGGAAGCGTCTGCGACGGCGTGCCAAGGACGCCGGCGAGGAGCTGCACCGCCTGCAGGTGCGCGCATCTGCCGGCACATGCCGACGGACCATGCTAGAAACTGTTCAGAATTCCACTGCCAGCTATGTGACTCATTCAGCAAAGCGTGCTAGCATCAGAAACAGAAGTAGAGGTAAGCAAATATGTGTACGCTGCGATGGAGTACCGTAAACCCTACATCCTAAAATATAAAATATATAGCCGGCGAGGAGCTGCACCGCCTGCAGGTGCGGACATGTGCCGGCACATGCCGGCATGGCATTATGTGCTCAGCCATCAGCGCAGCTGCATGGTGTAGGAATTTGCTTGGCTGTTTTTCTGGGATTTTAATTTTGGATTCTGGGTTGCATTGCTCCTAGGGTTCTGCAAGGGGGAAATCTAGGCTTTTTTTAGAGTCATGCAGCTTTTGCAAAGCCTGAGAAACTTTCCTTGAAGAGCCACATGCTTGAGAGCATTCAGTGACGACAGCGGAATGGGAATTCAACTGGGCAGGCTTGTGGTGCATAGACATGACTAGAACTCAGAAGATCAGCACGGAGCTAAAGCACGGGCGTTTAGCGTTGAAGCGTTTTTTGTGCTTTAGCTGTGTGCTGATCTTTGAGTTCTAGTCATGTCTATGCACCACAAATCTGCCCAATTGAACTCCTATCCAGCCGTTGTCACTGAATGCTCTCAATGAAACCGATGTGCTTTTGCCTTCAATACTTTTCCATGCCTTGCAACGGCCATGGGAAGCTTGATTGCAGAAGTAGTCCAGCGTCCCTCAACTGTTTACCAGTCCAGTTGCTATCACGGTTTGTGAATGTTGGAGCAGGCAGGCTTTCAGAAGAAGCTGGTTTGCAGGTTTGACGGATCAGATGAGATCATTTTTCTTCTCAAATACTCAAATTTGAAATATATGAGTTTGCAGCAATGGCTTGTGTCTGTTGGAGCAGGCGGGCTTTCAGAAGAAGCTGGCGGCGGACGTGGGCAGCTTCGTGGCAGATGCGCGCAGCTTCCGCATAGAGTGGGAAGCGAACGGACCCATGCTCCCTGGCCTAGACCCCATGGAGGCCGTGGACCGATTGAAGAAATTCCAGCAGCCGTTCGAGGTGTGACACCCTTCTACCTCTTTTTAAGAAATGGGTGCACCCAAAATAAGCTCGGGGAGTAATTTGCAAGGGCAGTCTGCGCGTGGCTGGGATGCTAACCCGCAGTTGAGGCCTGCAAAGCATCTTGTCATCTGTTCTGCTTATATTAGTGTTTTAAGGGAATACATGCACGCAGCTCACGCCAGCGGTTGCTTCACATCTTGCCATCAAGGCGCCAACCGCAGTGTGTCGGCAGCACTCTCAAGCGCAACCCAGCAGCCGGAAATGGGACTTGTAAAGTGGATGACACATGTCCCCATCTGTATCATATTTTAGAAGGTTATTTCCCTGAAGCATAAACCCTAAACTCTATAAGTATAGGGAATGCAGGGGTGGGTTTTCAAGTGCTGACAATGTAGGATATGCGGTGGTGCAGATGCGCAAGCGCAAGTGGGACAGCCTGGCGAGCGGCGAGGAGCTCTTTGGCCTGCCCGTAACTCTGTATCCGGGCCTCGAGAACACCGAGCGCGAACTCTCCATGCTCAACCGCCTCTACTTGTGCGCCCCTTTTAAATTTTTCTCTTCTTAGGGGTTCACTTTTTAGGGTTACGGGGTTAGGCAAAACCCTAAAAACCCCCTTCAAAATCCCTTAATCTGTACATGCAAACCATCAGCCGGCAACACGTGGGGCTCTTTCTCCTGTTCGAAACACTGTGTCTTCTGGCTCCGACGAAGATTGCTTTTGGGATGGGCAAAGAGCAACTGTCGATGCCCAGTCGCTTGTCACACTGCAAATACTTACCCATCCTTCAGCTGTGCCTGCTTGAGCCTCGTGCCTGCAGCAAATGGCAATCCCTGGATACTGCGTCACAGGATTTTGGTCCATTGCCCTTTGTCCAAGCATACCGCCTTTGTTTTGGAATTGGGCAGTGCATCAGGCAACCTCTGACGCAGTTCAAGGATCGCCATTTGCCGCAAGCTACAAAGCGGCTTACCTTTTGTGATTACCAAAACGCTGCATGTTCTCCATTTTGCCGAAATAAAGTATCATCCCTGGCTGCGTGTGTCACGCTTTCCTTATTTCTTGTGATGTTAGCATGCCTAATGTTGATGACATCAGCGGGTGACTCACTATGCGCGCAGGCTGTACGTTACGGTCATCACCACGATCCGCGGGTTCGGGGAACTCCTCTGGACGGACGTGGTCGCCCAAATGGACACCATGAATGACACCGTGCTCGCATTCCAAGCGCAGGCCAAGAAGCTGCCAAAGGCGTGCCCTTCAATTGGCTTTTAACAATGGCCTGCCAGCACACCAATTACTGCCCTTTTTTATTTGACCAAATTCAGAAAGTATGCCTGCATGGTTTATTTAGTGTCTTTCAAAAGCCAACGTGGCTTTGTATAAATGAAGGAGGCAGATTTTTGGCCTTTAAGAGGCTTTCGAATGTCCCTTTCGAGGCCACAATATGAAATATTCCCTAGAAAGGTTCACTAGCACAATATATGAGCAGCGTGCCCACGGTTGATTGGGTCTTGCTGGGATCTGGCGAGTCCATCAAGGTGTAAGATTATGACAGGCAATACCTGCAGCTTGTCTGCAGGGCGCACCTTGATTGCTGGCAGGAAAAGCGTGTAATGCAAAAAATAGAAATACGAATAGTGGATGATGGCGCGCGCAGGCGCTGCGGGAATGGCAGGCGTTCAATGACTGCAAGCGGACGATCGATGACTTCCTGGAGCAGCTTCCGCTGTTCAAGGCGCTCGCCAGCCGAGCTATGCGCCCGCGGCACTGGCAGGAGATAATGCGCGCCACCGGTGAGTAATTCCTTTTCCGGCGTCTCTTATATGCCAAAATCTCCTCCCAGCCGTAATACATTGAAAAAATGGCTGAGGTTTGGGAGCACGGATGATGAAATACCCGGAGAGACCTGCTGTGTTTCTTGGGCTTTACGCCGTCTTTGGCTAGTATTGTTCCAAGTGCGATGCTGCACTGCGGGCAGGTCAGCACAGAGTTGCAAGATCTGAGGACATGTGCTAATACAACGACTGCAAAATTGTCAACCAATAGTTATATTATCAGCACTGCACGGAAAGACTGACCTTGTTTACTTGCCATGCACAATGTACATAATTTTCATGGCCAGCTGGTGCCCTCTCGATAATGCTGACTCACGCTATTCTCCCATATCTAGAAGAGAGTGACAAACACATGAGTCATCACTCACGTCTGTTCAGGCGTGCAACTGGATCTGTCGTAGGACATCTTCAAGCTGGGTCACCTTGCTGATGATGCCGACTCATCCAGCTGTCACTTGAATACCCTTCTTGATCAATGCACAAGTCATTGTGCGCCTGATCAGGCACGGAGCTGGACTTATCCGAGGACGTCTTCAAGCTCGGCCATCTGCTGGGCGCCAACATTCTGGCAAGGAGGGACGCCGTCGAAGACCTGGCCTCCGCCGCGCTGAAAGAGGAAGCCATCGAGGCCAAGCTGGCGGCCATCGCTCTCGACTGGGGTGACATGGCGCTCACTTTCCAGGAGTACAAGTCCAGAGGCGCCGTCGTGCTCAAGGTGAGGCATCTCGCAGCGCTCGTTCTCTTGTGGTTTGTAGATTCTTGTGGTCGATATCTATCGGGAAAAGGCATGCATAAAGGGCAGGGAGAAGCCGCGTTTGCGAGCCTATATTCTGTAAGTACCGGCGCACAATATTTCTGAGGGCACGATCAGCTGAGAAGAATTCTTGGTAGATGAAGCGGCATTTCAAGAGCAATCAGTCTGTCCTTCTTTTGCTATTTTCTTACTAAGCCACTTTCCTTCGAGATCAAAGGTGGAAAGGAAGAAGCGGGAAGACGTTTGCTCTTGGATTACCGCAGATGTAGAGATCCTTGCTGCCCTTTATCTCTGTGCGCTTGCCGGCAGAAGGATTGTGCTGTCCCCTCAGGTCGTAGCCTTTCATGTCTGTGGCTGAACAACAGCAGATGGCTCGCCTCTCATGCCGAGGATACTTTTAAACAGACCTGTCATTTGCAGTGCTCTGCCGCTCCCATGTTAGGCTACTGGCTAAGGGGCCACATCCTTGATATCACCCTGTTGCACCCTCGAGAAGCGCTGACGTCAGCGTTTCTTTCAAAAATTTTGGGTGGAAGAAAACGTGGCTACACGCATATGCTAGATTGCCTGAACTTTGAAGCCACAAGAGTAATTAAAATGCTGGGTTCTTCAGAAATTTTCTCCTGGAACCGGTGATTTTTGGCGTGCTTTTGCCGAGAAGGGATGAAATGTGGATTCCTGCGCTGGTGAGTTATCTTTAGTAGCCAATCGGTCGCTTCAAAGCAGGACTCTAAGGTAGTTTATGCGCCACAAAAAATGCCAGGTTTATTTGTTAAAGAGCCACGCTGACTTCAGGACGCCACTAAAAGAAACCCTGGCTGAAGTGTTCTTTCGACTTTACTGAACTGAGTGAAGTCCAGACTGGCACCTGGTCAAGATCCCTCCAGGGATGCCTTGCGGATGGCAGTCTTCTGATCCCCATCGTTTAATATGTAGGACTTTGGTTCTGTTATATGTGGGAACATAGTCTGCTGCAGCACAATCAAAAACACATTCAATAGGCTAACGTACCACTAAATCAAGAACATCAACGGGCAAAGGTAACATCTTCAGTGTTTTTAGGGTTTAGGGTCTTCTAGGACCATACAGGGTCATATAGGGTAATAGTAAAACCCTAAAGCCTACATAGAGAGTGCTGATGTTATGCGCGCAGCCGAGCGAGACGGCGGAGCTGGTGGAGAAGTTGGAGGATGCGCAGATGGCGCTCGGTTCCATGGCGACCAACAGATTTGCGGTGCCCTTCCGGGAACAGGTCACCACCTGGCTCGGAAAGCTCGGCCTTGTCAGCGAACAGGCGCGCTTATTCACCGCTGAGATCACTGATTATTTTTGGGGATTTTTATATATTTGGGGTTGGTAGGGTGTAGTCAGGGTATAAGTAGTGTGATGTGATGTGTGTGAACTAGCAGGGTATAACTAGGGTGTAATCCTAAATCCCGAACCTTACACCCAGCAAGCAAGGGAGTGCGGGGTGTGATGATGGACTGAGCAGAGTGTTCCCTAAAGACAGCCGTCCACAAGTTTGACGTATGAAGGCCTTGTCAGTGAACAAGCTCGCTCAATTTATCTTCTGTCATGCTTGTTTCCCTTTCCGGGACGATTCCTGTGGGTTGAGAACACAGAGCGGGGGTACTTAGTCTGTGATCAAGGATTGGTCTGTAGCTCCCACTCACTGCATGACTACGTGAGAATGTGCTTTGTCAGCAAGCCGGGCGTGCTTAGTCAGCGCTGATGTCACCCATGCTTCATCCAGATAGCCCTGATATACTTCCTCACAGAAAATCCTAAAAAGGGTGCACCCTAGTATATTGTCAATCTTTGGCCTGTGAGCCAGAGTTGAGAGACCAAGTGGCATTTTCTCAGGATATCGGGCCTCTGGTCGCCGTGTGGCGCTGTTCTGCTCTGTCCATTTCCTGCTGTGCTGTTGGTGAAGGCGGCAACGCAAACAGCGCAGTAGATTTCGAGGCAGACAGAAGACAGATACACACGGCGTGCAGAGGGCTGACAATGGCCAGCTTTGATTGAGCGTTGCAAATTATACGGACGGGAGTGGTCCCATAGACTGGCACGGGGATGAGGGGACTTTTTTTTACCTTCTAAGGGATTTACTGCGAGATTAAGTAATAAGCATGACAAAGAAGGGTGGTTGGTGCGCGCAGATAGAGCAGTGGCTGGCGGTTCAGAACCTGTGGATGTACGTTGAAGCCGTCTTCTCAGGCGGAGACATTGTCAAGCAGCTGCCGCTCGAGGCCAAGCGTTTCCAAAACATCGACAAGTCCTTCATGAAGGCTCGATTCCTGCTGTCCACCCACTATTTTACCTTGTCCATTTCCTATTTTTCTAAGAAGCGGGCCGTTGGCTCTGGGAGTTCTGCGCGCAGTGGTTGCTGTGTTTGTTTCAAGCATGCAAGGGTTAGTTGGTGGCCAGCTAGAGTCCATTGCTCAAGACATGTAGCATCTTCTCCTTCTCACCCAATCCCCAGCAAGCGGTGCTTATTGGGTGAGAGGAGTCAGTGCTTGCATGCCCTGTGTGATGCTGGCAATCCTGGTTTCTTTTGTATCACCCCTTGAACCTGAAGCAGAGCACTCGCAACATGCACCTCTCGCTTCTACAGGCAAAAACGTACATTCCTTGTGCAACAAAATTGTTTGAAGACAGCGGTCCGTACATGCATGCGGCAAGAGAATAACACTCTCTCCGCTGGTTACATTTTGCAGATTGTGGCGTTTGCCAGTGAGACACAAAACGTGTTGGCTGTCTGCGTGAGCTCGGACATGCTGCGTTCCCTCCTGCCCACGCTACTGGAGCAGCTGGAGCTGTGCCAGAAATCACTCAGCGCCTACCTGGAGACCAAGCGGGCGGAGTTCCCTCGTTTCTATTTCGTCAGCGACCCCACTCTGCTCGAGATATTGTCCCTTGGCAGTGACCCGCCATCTGTCGTGCCCCACTTCCAGTCTGGGCTGTTCGACTCGCTGTCCAACGTCACCTTTGACAAGGTGCGAGCTCCTTTTTGTACATCAGGCCAAGTACAAAATTAGTGTCTTACTGGTTATTGTTATTTCATTTTGGCCACCTGAGGCTCATCAGTCTTGTAGGCAGTCTGTCACTGCCCACCTGTCAAAAACTTCTCATGTGTTGCTCTTGCAGTTGCTGCCTTTTATATGGCAGCGAACGAACTTTCAAAGAGCCAAACAAGTGCATTCTGTGCAGGCCCTGAAGAGTTACCTTTTGCTGTCAATTGTGTGGTTCCTTCAGCATGATCGGGGCTGTCTGAAGCTTGTTGCATCTGGGGAAGGCCTGATAGTTAGTGCACATCAGCTGATGTCCTGACGTGTGCATTTGGCTTGAATATTCTGGTGTATGACTGACTTTTAGGATCTTGGCAGCTTTTACTGCAGCTTGTCTGCAGACGCACCTTGCTTCTGGCAGGAAAAGCATAAAATAATAATAACAATACTATTAATGACTGACTTGAAGCTCACGTTGCTGAGGGATTTAATGCGCAGGCTGACAAGGGTAGAATTCTGGAGATGTACAGTCAGCAGGGCGAGAAGGTGGAGCTGGAGCAACCAGTGGAGGCCAAGGGTGAGCGCTGAACTGACTCATGATGACTTATCGTCATCCAAGTCCACCTTTTGCTTGCTCGTTTCAACTATCAAAGCATGCCTTGGGTTTGTGCGTAGTCTTCTGCACACCAGTCCGAGGATTTCCTGGTAGTTGTGGTGATAGCTTTGCACTCACCCAGTGGAGGCCAAGTATGGGCCCTGCATTTGACTTATTTATTTAATATAGGATAGTGTTAAAAAACCCTAACTCCGAACCCTAAAAATATAGGTTAGGTTGGAATGAAGCATGCCTTGCTCACCTTGACCCCCCGCAGTCTTCATCCGGTGGTGTGACGGGTTGAGCACATCTCCAGGTGGGGTTGCTGGTGGTTCCGGTGGTCGCGAGAATCTTCATGGCTCATCGCAGCTCGTCTTATTTGTTCCTGTCATGCATGGCTGTATCCCTGCTGCTGGTAGGGATGGTGGGACCAAGCAAGATCAAATCATACTCAGAGTTCTCATTTTCGTGAGGGACCCCACTTTTTGTAGGGCCCTTTATGCGCGGCATATCACCTGGTTGAGCGTCAGACCCGACTTGTACTGGCGAGCGCATATAAAAAATAATGGCTATTTCACCCGGACCACCTGAATCCGCAGATGTGCGCATGCTGTCTTCTGCATGCGTCTGGCAGCGGCTTCCGGTGGTTTGGTGGCTGTTGGGCCGCTCAACATACCCAATTGTATTTACTTTCCAGATGTACTTTCCAGATGTCCAATGGCCACAATACTATGCACCATGCGATTAAGCTAGTAGATATAGGGACCTGGCCGGGGCAGTCATTGCCACTGCAATCGCTGGTTTGAACTTTGAAGTTCAAGTTTCAAGTTTACAAAATTAAAAATTCAGATCCGCGCTAGCATGGTCATGGCCTGGCCATAGGAGTCCAATGCCAGACAAACTGTTTCTGTTGGCATGTAAACTTGAAGTCAATAAGTTTAATTTCGATATCCATGCGCAGGAATGGTGGAGGGCTGGCTACAGCGGCTGGTGGACGGTATGCAGGGAACGATGAAGGCGATAATAAAACGCGCGCACAGAAATGTCATCGAGATGAAACTCCAGGACTTCATCTTCTCGCACCCGGCGCAGGTGGCGCTGCTGGGCCTGCAGTTCCAGTGGACCGCCGACACTCAGGCAAGTGTTTTCAAGCAATCCCCTTGCTTTTCTTAGGGTTTGGAGTTGTTTAGGGGGTTATTTTAGGGCTATGAGTCAGCGAGACCAGTGTTGCGCTGCTGGGCCTACAATCTCAGTGGACCGTTGACACTGAGGCAAGTATGAAGATTTGATGGTTTTGGGGATTGGAGGGTGGTTATAAGGATGGCGCTGCTGGGCCTGCAATTTCAGTACACCGCCGATTGGCAGGTGAAGCTTTTTATATAGTCCCCATTTTTAGGGTTGTAACCTTCAAGGGGTGGGATTCAGTGTACCTCACTTAGATGTGGCCATAAAGCGCTGAAATTCCTGAAGATTCAGTGAACCATTGACACGTAGGCAAGCTTCTATGGCATCCCTGTGTCACACTGAAAGTCTGCAGTATATCAGAGGGCTGAAGAAAGACCTCTGGCTCCGGTTTCCACTGGCGGCTGCCGCACGACTTTTAAACAAGGGGTTGATCTGTCCAAGGTGCAGTCATACCTTTGAATATGATCTCTAATTCAGGCGGCGCTCGTGGCGGCCAAGACGGACAAGACAGCGATGGTGAAAGCGGCGAGGAAGGCAGATGGTCTTCTACGCGAGATGGTTGCGATAACTCTGAAGAGTGACCTGTCGCGCATTCAGCGCACCAACCTCGAGACCTGCATCACCGTCCACATGCACCAGAAGGAAACCTCCGGTGCGCTTGAAATGTTTGTTTTTTCTTCCTCCTATACTTCCGCCCCGGCTGGCGGGGGGCGGTACAAATACTGAGCACCGTGCCCACGGTTGATGGGGTCTTGCTTGGATCTGGCGAGTCCAACAAAGGGTGGGATTATGGCGGCCTTCAACTGCAGCTTGCCTGCAGGACGCACCTTGCCTCTTGGCAGGAACCAGCGTGTAAAAAATAACAATAACACTTTTGCTGTCGGCTGCGACAGTCAAGTGCAGTCATACAGGACAAGTGTTCAGCGTGTGCTTGTTTCAGGGCAGCGGTGCCAATCCTATTACTAGCAATTGTCCATTTACCCATGTTGGCCCTTGCTGTATGAGAACTGTGCACCGTTTGCTGCGTACGGCAACAATTCCCAGGAGCTGAGGAAAATTTATGATATTGTGTACCGATGCCCAGAGTCCGTGGCATGCAAGCAAAGAAGTGCCCCTCCCTCCCTGGAAGTTTTGCCCAGTCTGATCCTCAAGGCGGCAGAATTACTGACCGAGGACTGCCTGTTTTGTTGTGTGCCATGCGCAGACACCTGCCTTCTTTCAAACACGCCCTTCACCGCAGTTAATGCCTTCTGGCAGATCTACAAACATGCCCATTCATGTGACGACATGCACAGAAAGTCAGATGTATCAAACACAGCCAGGTCCTCCCTCTCTGATAGTTGTCTCCCCTTTCATTGCTTATCTCGTGATGACCGATGACTAACTTATTTCTGTGTCCTGTGCCCAGAGGACCTGGTTCGGAAGAAGGTGCGGGACCCGACGGACTTCGAGTGGCTGAAGCAGTGCCGATTCTACTGGCGCGATGATCGCGACACAGTCATCATCTCAATCTGCGACGTCGACTTCGAATACTCCTTCGAATACCTGGGTGCGCGCTTCTTCTACCCTTTTATATAAATACAAACCATAGGTACCAATCGATGAAAGCCCCCTAGAGGAATACCTGGAGTGTGCGCCAGAAATGCCGAAGGCCTCTCAACAGTCCACTCACGGAACGTTCACCTTCGCAAGAGAACTTTGACGGGTGCGTGTGCCACTTCTTTGTAATTCTTAGCTATCCTGGGCCGGCTGCTGATAAAGGAGCTCTTTCATCTCTTTTGCCTTGCCTTGCTGATAGTATCTGCATGCTCTTGTTGCTATTATTACATGCTCGGCAAACCCAAAACCAGAGACCATAGGGCGGACTTGTGGAAGACAAGGCGGATTCTTGTGGCTCTGCTTCTGCACAGGCAAAACCTGTGCCAACATGGCTCATATGGCAACATGATACGGGCCGTGCTGCCACATGTGCAGCCTGTGCAGTAATGACCCCACTGGCTTCTTTGCCATGCCAGCAAGATTGCTTGCTCTAAAATTGCGTAATGTGTTTTGAAGCTGCTGAAAAAAAGGGGGAGTGAGTGTGAGGTTGCGTGGCGGCATGTGCGCGCAGGTGTCAAGGAGCGCCTCGTCATCACGCCGCTGACGGATGTCTGTTACGTAACCCTCAGTCAGGCGCTCGGCATGTTCCTCGGCGGCGCCCCGGCCGGCCCGGCCGGCACCGGCAAGACCGAGACCACCAAGGCATGCTTGATTTTCTCATGACACTTCGACAAGCAATTTGCTATTGAGCTAAGGAGAGCAGGCAGAAGGCAGCCTTGAGAATGCAAGGAACCATGCCTGCAAGTTCTTCAATTGGCCACAGTATGGAAGCGGCAATCCTACCCATTGATTCACTTCTGTTTCATTTTGTGCAATGATACAAGATGAGACAGAAGCGAATCCATGGGTGGCATCTGTCATCCCTATCTCTGCAAACTGCTAGTGTCCTTTCCATTCATGCTCGTTATCTTCTTGCTGAGATGCCAGGTCTGGCATTTCACGGGAAGTCAAGAGCTGAGTCATGCCTGCACACTCGCACAGGATCTGGGCAACACTCTGGGCAAGTACGTGGTGGTCTTCAACTGCTCCGACCAGATGGACTACAAGGGCATGGGGAAAATATACAAGGGGCTCGCGCAGAGCGGCCTCTGGGGCTGCTTCGACGAATTCAACCGCATAGACCTCTCTGTGCTCTCCGTCTGCGCGCAGCAGGCAAGTCACCGCTGAGTCATCCTTGCATGCTTTGGCGCGGTTGCTCGTCGAATGATGCGTTGATGGGGATTTGGGCAATGTCAGTCTGGGGATCATATTTACTTTGCAGTTCAGCTTACATTTCCAAGGAGTTGGCTTGCCTGCGTAAACCTTGAGGCGCCTTATTGCCAGAATGACCAGTTGATCATGCATTCATACAAGCGCACTGGCTTAATGTGGGTCCAAACCACAGTCCGTGTAGTGCATCAAGGTCGATCAAGACTAGCCAACTCTCTGACAATCAGGTCCTTACTTGTGCACCCGCTTGCGTGATGTTTGCAGCATCTCTTTTTGTGGACGTGCCTGTTTTGGCAACTCTCATGCGCTGACTCACCCTCCGTTTGCTGACTCACCTTACAATGACTCACCTTTGCGCCTGTTCTGGCACAGGTCTACTGCGTGTTGAGCGCCATACGAGAGCGGAGAAAGCAGTTCACATTCACGGATGGCTCGTCGGTTTCGTTGGACCCTAGGGTAGGTTTCTTCATCACCATGAACCCGGGGTACGCGGGGCGTCAGGAGCTGCCGGAAAACCTAAAGGCGCTCTTCAGGGGCGTCACCATGATGGTCCCCAACCGCCAGATCATCATGAAGGTGCGCTGCTTTTTTGTAGAGTTTTACGTTTCAAGCTTACCAACCCCTCAACCGTAAATCCTATAAAAGATGAAAAAATGAACAACAAATTAAAGTAAGCTGTGCTGTTTGCAAAGTCAGAAGTAGCCATGTGGCTTTTCGAAAGGGGCTGTTTTGGGAATGCTTTGTTGTGTTGCACCTGTAATGTGAACCGGCAATATGGCCAAATTTGCCTTCCTCTCTGGCAGCCTGGTACATGCAGACATGTTGCTGCCGGCATCACAATTGTTGTATGCAAAGAACTCAAGACATGGACGGGGCCTCTTCATGTTCTTATCGTCCTCCGAAAAAGGGCGAGAGCTTAAAATGCTGTCGCCCCCATCTGAGTCTGGACAATAACATGATGAGTTTCCAAGCCACTGCAATAATGTTTCCAGTTTGGTAGTGAAGAATGTACTTTCTGACGTGGTGTGAAGCTCATCACTTCATCCATTGGTTCGACTGCATGGCCCCTCTTCAAACTTTCGTACCAAAGGCATTATCTGACGAGAGGTCAAGTCACGGCCCTGGAGCAAAGGTGCAATGCTTCGGATGCTTGCTTGCTCAGAACAGGCCCGATCGGCAATGGGTGTGTCGCAGTCAGGGGCCACGGCGGTGAACGCGGACTGCGCTAGTCACGGCTGCGTAGTCAGATAACAGATCCCTCTAAAGCAAAAGAATCTACAATGTGTCATTTCAGTGCTGAATTCAGCGGGGGGCTGCTCAGGTGGCCTGCGTGGATACTTTTTCCAATCCGAATTTGAACTCATTTTTAGGGTTTTTGCGGTTTTGTATACCCTAAAACCCCTAAAATATATAGGCGACAGCTCCGGTGCACCTGTGCAGGTGAAGCTGGCGGCGTGCGGCTACCAGGAGAACGAGGTGTTGGCGAAGAAGTTCCATGTGCTGTACGGGCTGTGCGAGCAGCAGCTGTCCAAACAGCCCCACTACGACTTTGGGCTGCGCAACATCCTCTCCGTGCTCCGAACCGCCGGGGCCTCCAAACGCGCCAACCCCGACAAGTGCGCGCCTTTTATTTACTCTAAAATTTCAAGGATTTGACTAATTGTGGGTGCAAAAACACTGCAAACAAGCATGTCAACCCTTACACGTGAGCCCCTGATCATAAAGATGTCTGGGACGTAGGGAGAAAAGTATTTGGACTCTAAGGTATGCTTGCACCTTCGATCCTTCTTGACTAGGCTTTGGGCCATCAAGAAGTCCCTGTTGCTGACCACAATGTGTGTATTGTAAAAAGCCACAGCGTTGGTAGCTTGCAAAAGGCGCCCTATAGTTTGCGATGAAGTGTAGCAATCGTGCCGCGCTTTGCTGTCAACATCACTGCTCTGGCCAGGATGGTGCGGTGCTATTCTGGGCATATTAGCACCCAGTGTTTCCGGATGCCGAAAAGACGCATGAACGAGCTCATCGGCGCCAAGATCATTTCATTTCAAAGTATCCTGTCCTCATCGCACTGCCGCGCTCGCTTAGACCACGCCGGTGTGATTTGAGTTCCCGGTATTCTGGCAGCAATTTCAAGGTTTTGTGTTCTGCTGCTTCGCCTTTGCATTGGTTTTTATCACAAGGTTTTGCCCGCATGCAGGTGTGATCAAGGCCAAGGCATTTGGTGCAAGCTGCAGTACACATTCCTTGAAGGGAATATAATCCGGTCATACCCTCTTGAGAAGAGCACACAAGCTCCATCTGAGGTTGCTGTGGCATACACTTCAGGGTTTATAGAATAATGGGTCTATACATAAGTACCACAAAACCTAAGAGATAACCCTAATACTCTTAAAACATGGAATGCATGCAGGAGCGAGGTGTTTCTGATGATGCGCACGCTGCGCGACATGAACATGAGCAAGTTTGTGGCCGAGGACGTCCCGCTGTTCACCAGCCTCATCGAAGATCTTTTTCCCGCGCAGAAGGCCGACCGCGCCCAGTTTCCAGACATCTCCGCCGCCCTCAAAAAGGTGACTAAGATGTGTGCCTATTGTGACTGTGATGCCTATTTTGGGCGGTAACCTAATTTGGCTCGTTGTCTTATCTTCCTCAGCGCCAGATCTGGCTCCTTATTTCGTTTGCGCGATTTGAGCACGCAAAATTGCTGGCTGCTTCAGATCCCTACGGCTGTTTATAGGTTTCACGAAGGCAAGGCAAGCTTTGTGCCAGCACTTGTTGCCGTACTGGAAGCACTGCATCTAAGTGCAGTCCAATCAGCTCGTTCGGGCTTTACCTTGAGATTTCCATCTCTTTGAGATGATCAGCCCTTGAAGATTGTTGTCAGCTGTCCAATCGCACGCCACCACCACACCACAGGAGAAATTCACAAAGACCTGAACTCTTCGCCATTTTGCTTACTGCTCAGGTGGTGGCTGAGCGCGGCCTGCAGGCGCACCAATCTTGGCTCAACAAGTGCATCCAGCTTTATGAAACCTACCTCGTTCGCCATGGTATCATGCTCGTGGGGCCTTCCGGCTCCGGCAAGACTACCATCATGGAGTGCCTCGCTGCTGCGCTCACCGAGCTCGGGACCAAGACTGTGCTCTGGCGCATGAACCCGAAGGCGCGCACACCCGCTGCATGCTGTCAGCTCTAAGCAGGGTTTTTAGGTTTCAGGGGATGCGAATGAAACCCTGAGATATTGTACAGGAATGACAATACTGGGTAGGCCGATTGGCCCCCTAATTTGGCACATGCTGGGAGAGCAATATGACCGTGCTCTGGCGCATGAGACCTCAGGCGCGGTGCTTGACGGATACACTCTTATTTGATCGCTAGTCTTGCAAAGGCAGCTGGAAGAGAGTCAAAGGTGTTGCGCTGGCCAGCTTTGGCGGTGCTGTGGTAAGATTGCATGAAGTTCTGGGCAGAAATAGAGATGTCCGGCTCACGTTAGCATGCGGGTATGCTATTCTGGATCGTCGCCTGGCACGGCAACTGATTTTATGCCTTGACCAGCCTTGAAAGGGGCAGATAGAGCATAGGTGCAGTGGTCTTGAGGGGATATGGTTCATGGCTCTAATCCTGTGCACAGGGATGTGCAGGACTGAGCAACTGCCATATTCCTACTTGACAGCGCTGGCTATGCCCTTCTTGCCAGTCCTTTCAGAGCCTGCATTCAAAACTGTATCCAAAGTCGTAACCTATAATACCCTTAAACCAAAAAATGTTGGTAACACATGAATTGGCCATTTTTTTAAAAATTTCCGCAATTGATTCAAGGAGGCTGTTTTGTTGCGCAGGCGGTGACCGCGCCACAGATGTTTGGGAGAATGGACGCAGCAACCGGCGACTGGACCGACGGGATCTTTGCAGTGCTGTGGCGGCGTGCGGCGAAAAATAAGAATCAAAACACCTGGATTGTTCTGGACGGCCCGGTGGACGCCATCTGGATCGAGAACCTCAACACTGTTCTGGACGACAACAAGGCACGGCCTCTTCTGGCACATTCCTCTGGCATTCTGCCAGGTTTAGGACAGCAGTGCCGTGCACAGGTGGCAGCTTGCATGGCTCTTCCAAGCCACCTGGCAAAACTTTTTGGACCCAGAATGTTGTCCTGCATATTTTTTATACCAAATTGGGGAGTTGCGTGGCCTCTGATTGCTCTTCTTGGTGTCCTGCATGCATGCCTGTTTCCTGGTTGCTTGCATGCATGCATTATACACCAAGCCAGCGCCCTGTAATTTGACTGCACGACCTTCTTCACCTGTCACATTCAAATTTGATTCCCAGGCAAGGCAACGCCCTCTCGTAACGCGCGCAGGTGCTGACGCTGGCGAACGGCGACCGAATTCTGATGACGGGACAAATGAAGGCCTTCTTCGAGCCCGAAAATCTGAACAATGCATCCCCGGCCACGGTTTCTCGCGCTGGCATCATCTATGTCTCAGACTCCGAGCTCGGCTGGCAGCCCATTGTAGCCTCCTGGCTGCAGGCAAGCGCCCTGTTTATGCTTGTTTACGGACAGTTTCTCTTGTTTCCCTAGTGTCTCTTGGTGTCTTAGCCTCTAGCATCTCTTGTTCCTCTAGTGTTCACAGTCCACACGGCTGTGCTTTGTTAGCACAATGTCAACACATGTGCAGTTTGTTCTTCTGTGGTGACTTGTCAGGGGACAAATGCATGGGGGAATTATGCTGCTCTTGTTGTTTGAGCTGCCACCAAGGTCACCACCCCGGTTGCTCTTGCTGAGCCCACCTTGGCCGCAAGAGGATGCTGATTTGTCATGCATGCATCTGTCCGTCAACCCCAACCTTGAGTTTTCTTGGCGACGTCGATCTGAAAGCTATAATTCTGGAAAGAGAATTTATATCTATTACTATGTCTTTTAAATCCACAAGGACCAGGTGCGTCACAGCATCCGATTTAAGGGTTTAGGGTTTAGGGTATAGGGTTAGCATTACAGCCTTCTCCGTGTTGGGCGTTCTTCCACAAGGTCAGATAAATTGAGAGGATTTAGGTTTTGTCTGACATTATCATTCCAGGTGTAGGTTGGTCTACCTCTTTGCCAGCACCTTCCACAGTGCTAAGCAGAAACATTCTAGGCATTTTATCATTGCCCATTACGTGGGAAACAACATAAGTGTGATAAAATAGAAGGCCTAAAATCATTCTTGACTGAGCAGAAACATTCTATGCATTCTATCATTGTCCATTGCGAGGGAAAAAACATAAGTGTGATAGAATAGAAGGCCTGAAATCACTGTTGGCCGATTGCAGGGGCGAAAGGCGGCGGAGGCAATGTTGCTGCAGCCCTGCTTTGACCGCTACGTTGACCGAATGCTGGACTTCATCAGGTGCGCCAGATGTTTTCTATGCCTTCAGCCCCAGTTAATTTCAAGTTCCCATTGGAGCAAAGTGGCTAACCCTGCCCCAATCTAGAGGCAGCTTCTTCTAGCGCAGCTGGTGCCTTGCATGCAGCTTGGACGGTGGCCCATGTGTGACTCGTGTAAGACAAATGGCCTATTGCAATTTTTTACATGAACTGCCTCGGAGATTTGCCTGCACAGCATAGTGCTGCACTTGCCATTTGACTTCCTTCAAGGTTTGGAAGATTGTATTAGCCATCTCCGATGTGCTGTATTGCCTGGCTGTGTATTTTGAAATGTTTTTTTTTCTCGTTTAATTTCTGTGTTGCGCATGCACAGGACGAACTTGAAGCCGGTGATGCACAACGAGGCGGCCTGCCAGGTCAGCACGCTGCTGACGCTGCTTGAGGGGTCCCTGGCGGCAGGGGATCCCCCGGCAGATCCCCCCTCCCCGGCAGCGGCCGCCGCGCATGCGGAGCGCGTGTTTGTTTTCTGCCTCACCTGGAGCCTGGGTGGATTACTACACGAGAGGGATCGCCCGGCGTTCGATGCCGAGCTGCGCAGGCTCGCCCCTGCAGACCTGATGCCCCCCAAGGTGTGCTCCTCATTTGGCATTATCTTGAGGTATTATTATTACTTGTTTTCCCGTCACCAGGCATCTATCCGGAGATATGACTACTACATTACAAAGCATAGACACATAGGTGGCAAAGAGTCTCTGCCTGTATGGGTATAGGGCACTAGAATGCAAATTGAGGCAAACTTTGAGCATCACAAAGAGATGGACACAGCTGGCGCTAGAAATCATGTGTCTAGATTGCTCTACAATCGTCCATCTGCTGATCTGAGCTGCCAAAAGATCTCAAGGAAGCCATGGGAAGAGCATGGAACCACATTAGCGGTTCTGCGTCAGCAGTGGGATATTTGCGGAGATGCAACCTGCAGCGACTCAAATTATTGTATATGTGTTGCTTGCCTGGCAACGGGCAGGGCCTCAAGCTTTATGCACCCTGAAGCAAAGCAGAGGTTTAGTCATGGCCTCAGTGCACAGATGCTACTGCTTTCGGCATCTGACATGCCCGTGACTCAGTGGCAGCTCGACCTCTATTATGAATTTAGAGTTTAGGGTGAAGTAAACCCTAAAAAATGTGTTTGCGTGTGACCATAGTCTTTTGCCAATGAGTCACCGGTATGCCAGCTCAAGAAGGAACAAGACCATGCACTTGGTCGGAATAGGTACTCCCCGCTTGTTTTCACTTGATAAGAGGGTGATAACTAGGGTTTCAGGGGTCTTTAATATGCGCGCAGGGGGATGAAGGCGACACAATGTACGAGTGGATGGTGCGGGAAGACGGCGGCGGCTGGCGCCACTGGCGAGACCGGGTGCCCCAGTGGATCTACCCTTCGGAGGCGGAGCGTCCGAATTTTGCGCAGATGCTCATCCCCACGCTCGACTCTGTTCGCTACGAGCACCTTCTGCATCTTGTCTACTCCGTCGGCAAGGTTTGTGCTTCTCTTCGCACTTCAGATTTTGCATCTCTTGCCAAGTTTGGCAGGGAGGCAATGCCTGTTTTGGCGCCATGCCCGATTTGGCGATCACATGACGTCTTCACAATGGGCAGAGCTGGCGCATGCTATGGAGTGCAAGTGAGTTCGAGGATTGGGGACAGAGGAAATACAGTAATGGCTTACTAAATTAATGTTGAATAGATTGTCGGAATCTCAATATTGCTGATTTTACACTGCATGGCTGCCCTGAGCGCCATCTGCATTGGGTATATGAAGTCTTGCATGCATGCTACAGAATTCACGTTGTTGCTGCGGCCATGCTTGGCATTGGAATGCTAAAGCTATATTCTGGACGTGACCTTGGGTGCTACCTAAGCATGAGCTCTTCGGACAGTAAGCTTGCGCGCATGGCATCCTGGCCCCTCTTGCTGTGCCTGCAAGCCTATGTCCCTGGCTCTTGTTTTGACGCAGAGCCCCTTGCCACGTCCAGGATAATCCATTAACTTGCTTGTATCGCCACAATATAATTTTCATCCTATTGAGAAAGTTAACTTGCCTTGGCAAGATCTGGTTCTGGAAACAGATACTGAGAATTTCCGAATTGTGCATGCATGGCTCTGCTTAAGCTGCCAAAACTCTCACATACATCTGCAGGCTGTATTTGCTGCTGCAAGTCTCTCCTCCAGAAAGTGGTCTGCTTTGGTGGCGTGCTCTAGCAGCTGTGAATATGGCTTGCATGTCAAGAACTCCACATCTGACGGCACCTGCCGACAGCGTGCCCTCACATGACACATGTGTTGCTGTGCAGGCGTCTCTGCTTGTGGGCGGACCGGGCACAGCCAAAACTTCCATTGTGAACCAGTTTCTGCTGCGCTTTCCTCCAGACGAGGCGACTTCCAAAACCATGACCTTCTCTTCGCTCACAACCCCCGCCATCTTCCAGACAGCCGTTGAGGTGAGTCCTTGCTTACATGTTGCATCTCCCAGGGTCTTTGCGTTTAGGGTTTCTAGGTGTATATATCGTAAATTTCTACCCAAAATTTTTCAGATTCCTAAATACGTGGGACTCGGAGTGCTCACCTGGTACAATTTGGCAGTATCGCAGCAGCACAAGAAGTGTCTTTGCAGCATGGTGTAGTACTGTCGAGTATTCGACAAATGATGTCCTTAAGAGCTTGATGATGAATGAGGCCTGCCTAGCGGTACTGAGGAATTTGAAGAAAGTTGCGGTACTGAGCAAAACGGAGGTTCCCAAAACTGCGCCTTGAGATCATTGCTGACTCCCGCTACGCAATTGAAACCCCTCCCCAAGGCTCTGCTGGGCGCTGCTAATTGCTGTTCAATTTCAAGTATCTCAATCAGATGCTCATAGCAGCTAAGGTCCATTGTCAATCCCTTCAATGTAGACGGCTAAATTGGGGTTGTCAGCTCTTATGAAGTTCAGAGAAACACAACGCCAATTGACCCCTAGTTGTCGTTTAGGGGTGTGTGGAGAAGAGGCAGGGGCGCACCTATGGCCCGGTGGGCGGCAAAACGATGGCCATCTTTGTGGACGACCTGTCCATGCCAGCTGTCAACGAGTGGGGAGACCAGGTGAGCTATTGTGCTGGACTTCCTCTAAGGATGCTGACATGTTGAAAGCGCCTCCGAGGTGTCATACGCAGATTCTGGAAGCATTGTGCTTGTCATTGTGCTTCACTCTGCTTTTGACACCTCGGTAGGGGACCTCAACATATCACCATCGGAACCTTGAATTGCCCCTCGAATTGCCCATCTTATGAAGTATTACACGCCTCTCCTGCCGAAGGTGAGGTGTGGGTCTGTTCACAGAATGTGCAATTGAAAGGCCAACACCTATGCTACCCCTCGATGGGCTGGCAAGATCCAAGCAAGACCCAATCAGCCGTGGGCACGTTGCTCAGTATTTACACCGCCTCTCACCAATGATGTGCCATGCGATACCTGAGTATGATGAGTCTTGAACCCTATTGTATGAGTCTTAGACCCTGACTTAGGACCCTTGGATTCGCAGGTGACTAATGAGATAGTGCGTCAGCTGCTGGAGCAGGGCGGCATGTACTCGCTGGAGAAACCCATCGGAGACATGCGCTACATCGTTGACACCCGGTGCGCGCATTATCCACCCCATGTATTCATAGGGTTTAGAGTTGAAGGGGTTTTAGGGTTTTGTATTTCAAGCTCACGCGAGTCACCTGGTGACTAAGCATCCAAAGTAAGCATCGGGGATGGCAAGAAATCCTAGCTTGGAGGCCACCAGCCGCGGGTGTTGAGGCAGCTGCCTGAAAATGAGAGTGGGTGACGCATGGTGCAAAATATGGTCACCTTGATGCTGACAACAGCAGTGCAAGCGGCTTTTTTAAATTCCGAAAATAGAGCTGGCCTTCCTTAATAAGCAGTCGACATTGAGCACACCCTTGTGACCAAGTCGAGAGGGATGCGTGGCCAATGCATCTGCAGGACAGGGTCACAAGGTTATGCTAGGACATCGAATATTTAAACAAACTTTTAGCAGTAATAATACACCTTTGCTTGGATCTGGCGAGTCCATCAAGGGGTAGGATTTTGGCAGCCTTTACTGCAGCTTGTCTGCAGACGCACCTTGCTTCTGGCATGAAAAGCGAATAATAATAATAATAATAGTAATAGTAATAATAATAATAATAATAATAATAATAATAATAATAATTTTAATAATATAATATTAACAACAATAATAATAATTAATCCCGGCAATCCATAGCTTGGCATGCACTGTTAAGCCACGCCACACTCGGAGAAGTTAATTTCTGCATTGCTGCAGTCTCGCTTTACCGAATGTCTATTCATGCATATTCATGCTATTCAGACTATTCATGCATAATAATTAATAATAATAATAATAATAATTATAACCATGCATGGCAGGTTTGTGGCGGCTATGAATGTACCCGGGGGAGGAAAGAATGACATCCCCAACCGACTCAAGCGGCAGTTTGCAATCTTTTATGTGCCACCGCCGTCGCCAGTCGCAGTCAACACAATTTTTGGAGCCCTCGTGCAGGCAAGCCCTGTCATCATCCACCCTCAATTTAGGTCTGGCAGGGAGATATTGCTTGTATTTTATATTTTTATTTATATATTTTGCTGGAATGCAGCTAGCCTTGCAAGCCTGGGAAAGCTTGCATTTGTGTGACAACTTTCTGTGAATCGGCATTATATGGGTTGAAGGGTTAACCCTAAATCTTAAATCTAAAAATATAGACAATAAGCTAATGTACTAAGTACCCCCTTGAGAGTTTAATTTGAAGGGCACAAGTTCTTTCAGCTGACACAATTCTGATATCCTTTTACAAGCTATCTGGAGGCATGAGGGCCAAAGCAGTCCCAGACTGCAAAGCATGGCGTTTGTGCCTCACTAGATTACCTTTTAGAGAGAAGGCAGAGTTTGTCAGCTGTAGTAGTGTTACAGAGTGACCAGATTGATATACCTTTACGCAAGAGCACTTTTACCCTGAATCTCTTTTACGGCCGGATTGGAACCGTGTATCATCAGCAGAATAAATCAGAAGATTGACTTGCTTGCCAACCCCAGAAGCATCAGACTACGGCAATAGATATCATCAGCCTACCCTTTTAACTAATGCGCAACACTTCAGGTAATTTTCCTTTTCGCATATAATTAGGAATAAACCTTGCGGTGCGTGAATGCAGGGCCGCTTCGACGCGTCTAGATTCTCTACAGATGTGGTTGACGTCGCTTCAAAACTGGTTCCTGCCACGCTGGCGCTGTGGGGAAAAGTGGCCGCCAAACTGCTGCCAACTCCAGCCAAGTTCCACTACTTGTTCAACATGCGCGAATTGTCCAAGGTGCGCAGCTTTTTCTACCCTTTAGGGTTTAGGGTTTAGGGCTGTTCCCTTCCACACATCCAGTGTTGGGGTGGAGGATGCAGGGTGAACCTTTTTCCTGGGGGTTGGGGTTGAGCTCCGAGGTTCAAGGACCCAATTTTAGGTCTGTTCGCCGCGTTTCCTGCCGAATAATGTATACTCGGCAGGTGTACAATCCCTGGATTTGCCGGCGGGGTTCCAGACTTGCAACCCAAGACTTTTATTGAAGCCCGTACATCTTGGCGAGTTGCTGATCTTTGGAGACGTTTTGAGTGATGGGAAGATGCTGGCATATGTCGGCGGGAAACCATGTAATGATCTCAAGTATCTGACTGGGACCGGGTGCTTCATATGGGAATTTTCAGAGCTGTGTGATCCCCACACATCAACGAAGATCCCCATATGAGGCATCCTGTAATGTCCATAGCTGGTTTTAATCATATCACAGAAGCGCTTACTGGAAAGGGTCATTGCTGGTTGAAGAGTGATGCCCTGGCGTTTGCTTTCTGTGGGCAATGCAAGTGGGAAAATTTGGTGGGCGGGTATCTCTAGATGGTAGCGTTGGATCGTCCTGTGAGCACCGCAAGACGATGAACGTGTCCATCTGGGGCATCCTTCATCCTAGAGGATCAGCCCAGATGAGCACAAGAATCACGCCTTTCTCCCAGGAACTCCACCTATGCCCGGCCACTGGAAAAGGCTAGGGATGTTGGTTCCCATAGAGAAGGGAATGTTTGGTGCAAGCAATCCCTCTGTGGAAACGATAGGAAGGGATGCACCTTCTTCCCTATTTGGAATGAAGGAGCAGCCTCACTGAGCATTTCCAATTTGCAATGGCATTCCATCGCTGCCCGCCCTAGACTCCACACAGACTTGCTGAACATGAAGCTGCCTTGCTGTAGCTTGATCAAAACATTTGGCAGTTGGCAATCTTCTTTGTCGTGTCATACTTGAGGTTTGGGCGATTAAGATGAGAACAATTCCAAGACGTTTGAGAGGGTGCTTTTTTTAATTTCTTGCTGATCCAGGTGTTCCAAGGACTGCTATTGGCGGATCGCAGCCGCTTCGACCGGTCGGTGGCGGCCGCGGCCGGCAGTTTTGGCGGCGATGTAACCACCCCTGCAGGATATTTAGCAGCCCTTTGGGTCCACGAATGCGGCAGAGTCTTCGGCGACAAGATGATTACCAAGGAGGACGGCGCCTGGGTTGACAACGCCATCCGAGACCTGGCCAAGTGAGTCATTTTTGCCGGACAAGCTTCAACTTTTGCAATTGGACCTCCGTTTGCACACTGCAATGCCACCCTTGCCAGGGTGCAGATTGCTGTGTGTTGTGCGGTCGTACACTTGCTTATGTTGAAATAGCTGAGCCGGCACTTCTATTAAGACCGGCAAGCTGAGGCCATCAGTAGCGTGTCTTATTGTTGCTTCTTTGACTACATCCTCAGAATACAGCATGACATCACCATGCGGTCTTGCTGCATGGTCCAAGAGAGCAAGGAGACAGACTGTGCCAGATTGTCTGGACACTCTTTTGCCTTCTTCTTTCGGACCACGCTCCATGACAAGCGATTGTAGATTTTTCAAAACGCGGAAAGAAACAACACACACTGTCAATTCAGGGAAGTCTACTGATTGCAACACTTATGGTGCACTGCTATATAGGCAGCACTTCCCGCCGGAAGTTGCCGCGCAGCTGAAGCGGCCACTGCACTTCGTGGACTTCCTTCGCGAGCCCGTTACGGACCCGGAGACCGGAGAAGTAATCGACGCGCATCCATCCGTCTACGAGTCCGTAGTTGGCGGTCTGCCGGACATCAGGTGAGTGCTCTTTGTTTATTATTGTGCATGCTTGAGAGAAACCCGCATGGCTGTGCTAAAATGCTGGAGAGGATATGATTCAAGGATCGTTGTAACAAAAATAAGGCAACCATTGTTGTAGCCATGCCGCACACAGCTTGCTGTCCGCTCCTTAAATATTTAGCGCAGACAGCACGCTCTGTGCTGTGTGGGGACAAGTATCATTGCACAAGTGCCTTATATGTAAATATGAACAGTTTTTTCCCAGCGGCGGTTCAACGAAGAGAACCGCGCATGCTGAAATTAGGGTTTAAAGTTTTGGGATTAGGGTTTAGACCCTCCCAAATTTCAAATTCGAAAATGCAGGAAGCGCGTGGAGGCGCTGCAGCGGCGGTTCAACGAGGAGAGCCGCGGGCAGAAGCTGGAGCTGGTTCTGTTCCAGGACGCGCTGACTCACCTCATGCGCATTAGTCGCCTGCTGGCCATGGAGAGAGGGAACGTTCTGCTCGTCGGCGTCGGCGGCTCCGGGAAACAGTCACTCGCGCGCCTGGCCGCCTACATCGCCGGTAGGGATTTTTAGATTTAACGTAGCATTTGACTCCACCCTAACCCCTAAGCCCTGGACATTTTTGTATTCAATTTATAATTAAGATTGTCAAGCTCCGTAAAACAGTCCCACACCTGCCTGCCCACCTACAATGCTGGTGACAATCTATAATGTTCTGTATATGAATACATTTCGAATGTGGATTCAAGTCAATTGGCTCAAACAAGCACTTGCTTGGGATCCAGGCTGCCCGTGCTCCTGACCGCCTGTGTTGCGTGTCAAAACAGAACTCACTTTCCTCAGACCAAAGATATAGGTTTTGCATTTTGTTAGATGACTTGACCCCCAGACCCTTGGTGGTCAGGCCAGGGCAATGCTGGGTCCCACTTCCTGGACCAAGTTGCTGTTGAGCCATTTTTATCGCCGGTGGGCATCTGGCTATGTCACACGTTGTATGGCGCTCATCTCACAGGGGATATTCCGCTGCTCTAATTGCTGACTTGGCAAAGTCACGCTAGCTCAGTAGTCGAGGAACGGACTGTTCCTTGCAAGATGAAGGCCATACAGTGTGCGACAGCATCATAGATCTGCAGGTTTCCCAGTGAGATTATTTCCAATAGCAGAAACGCTGGGCATGAGCTTCTTTTTTGCATGGTGCTGAGACATCCGCACCATGCTTCCGTAGAAGGCCGAGCCTCTGCTGTAGCGTGGACTTGCCCTTCCATACTAAGTCCTAGCTCCAAAAGTTGGCAGTGAAATCTGGGCTTCAGCCTACGTGTCATGGGAGTGTAGGATGATGTTGGGCCACAAACACCGAGTTTGTGCTAATGAGCTTTCTGCTGTCCACCAAGTACATGTGGTCATGTTTCGCACTTCCACCGAGTTGCACCTCAACAGTGTTTGATCAAAGTATATTGTTATGCCATTCACCGTCTGTGCTAGACGTGCACCCAAATTTGCAAGACCAGTGTCCACCGACTCAAACATACAAGAGGGGGTTCCTCACATGCAAATTGGGTTTTGGAAGTGTGGCATATTTTTGTGCAGGCGCTTACTGTTTCCAAATCACGCTGACCAAGACTTACAACGCCTCCAACTTGTTTGAAGACCTCAAGGCGCTCTACAAAATCGCCGGAGTCAAGGGACAACCGGTCGCCTTCATCTTCACGTGAGAGACATCATCTGCTCTTCTCCTGTGCTCACTTGTGACTCATTTGCCAAACTCTGACTAAGCATGGCAGATCAGCGATCCTTTCAACTCTGGTCAAGGACGCTGCATGTGTATTTACTTGACCAGAGCTGGGAGGATGTGAGCTGCCATGCACAGTCAGACATGAGGATGCAATTTCTTCCGTACAAGTGTGATGCATGCAAATACTACCGATGCAATGCTTGCATGATCTAGCTGCCTGCAGTTTGATCAAATTGACATACCACTGGACAGATTGCTTTTGAGCCGATGCTAAATCAGACATCTCCAGTAATCTTCACATAATGAGCTCAGAAGCTGAGTTGCCAGGGGTGAATGTGATATCTTAATATACAGCTTTCGTGTGGCCAGGGATGCCGAGGTCAAAGAGGAGGGTTTGCTGGAATACATAAACCAATTACTAATGACCGGTGAGGTGGCGGGCTTGCTTCCAAAGGAAGAGCTGGACGCCATTTTGAACGACGTGCGGCCAGTCTTCAAACGCGAGTGCATGGGTGCGCATCCTTCGTTCAATTCAAATTTGAAATTTTAAATGTGCGTGATGAGAAGGACGGTACAAATACACCCATGCTATGGTGGCTTGTATTTGACAACATGCCGCTGACTCCTGGTATGTGGTGGCATCACAAATATCAAATGACACCATATCCAAGATGTCCATTGGTTTGCTATCAGGCACATGCAGGGTGCAAAGTTCCCCGTTCTGTAGTAGCTGCTGCTGCTTCTTACAAAAAATCATGTGCTGGAGATTCATGCTAGAAGGTGTGCGCGCCTGACTGTGTCTCTTCTGTAGCTTGCCTTGTGCAAGTATCAGGACATTTGATGCCATCACATGGCACGTAATGGACAGATAATGCCAGGCACATGCAAGTAGTGCCTAATCAGGGCTCCGGCTGGCGGTGGTCGGTGTAAATACTGAGCACCTTGCCCAGGGTTGATTGGCTCTTGCTTGGCTCTGGCGAGTCCAACATGGACAAGATTTGTGACAGCCTTTAGAATGGAGCTCCTCTGCAGACGCAACTTGCCTTTCGGCAAGAAAAGGGTGTACAAGTTATTATATTTCTCTACTTTTTTATTTGTTTAGGGTTATTCATGGTTAAGGATTTAGGGTTAAACCCAAAGCATTATGAACTAATATGTACTGCCGAATCAGGCGTCCCGGACACGGCCGACAACTTGTACGCATTCTTCCTGGGCCGAGTGCGAGACCGCCTGCATGTCATTCTCTGCTTCAGCCCGGTCGGCAACAAATTCGCGCGCCGCGCACAACAGTTCCCGGGCCTCATCAACGGGTGCGGCCAAGCTTCTCTCGCCTTCAATCACCCTGCATGTCCCGCCAGCATGCAACGATGATTGTATTGTGAGCTCTTTGAATCGGCGCCCAAAGTCCCCCCTGTGATAAACCTTAATCCCTAAACCCTAAAAAGTAAATACAGGGCAGCTCAAGAGCAAAGCCAAGCTGCCCCTGAGTTCCAGTCCTGCAGATGTATGCGTGTTTATTTTCTCTTCATTTTCTACATTTGTTCTGCTGGCCTTTAAAGCGAGCAGCTGGCAAGTGAGCAATCGTGCCGTGCAAACCATTGGCAAACTTTTCATGCACCCTTGCATAAGGCGTTCGGGGCCCATTGCTGCAGTTGCCAGCTGTACTGCTCATGCCAAACCACCCTACACCAATCCTGTAGCTTGGCATCTTCTACTTGAAGTTTAGGATTCCCTGGTTGAACTCTCAACCCTTAAAAGAAAAAACAGGCCAGTAGCCGCTTGCATGGCTCGGATCAGGTAGGGTGTATCGCTGTGTTGCAGGTGCACGATCGATTGGTTCCTGCCGTGGCCTGAAGAGGCGCTGACTGAGGTGGCGGGGAAATACATCGACGAATTCCCCATGTCCTGCCCAGACCCGGTGCGCACCTTTTTGCTTACCTCATCTCCTCATGCATGAGTCACTCACACAGAGTTCGCTAGCAATTCTAAACACACGCGCATGCCCTAGAGTTCTGCACTGTGCTCTTCGCACTTGGCGCTCTGCTCTCTAGGCTTTTGCAGAGCTCTAATGGTGCATCCGCACAGCCTTCAAATCAGCGCTTAGGTTACTAGGTGAGATGCAGCTGCAATGGGTTGAAAGGGATTCGGAATACATGCCATGTGCAGGTGAAGGCGTCTCTCAAGAGCTTGATGGGGTCGGTGCATGTGGGAGTGACCGCCGCATGCCAAGAGTACTACGAGCGATTCAGGCACGCCTCGAAATCTCAGTTCCAAATTTTAGTTTCAACAATAGCTGTAGCTTGGCTTATATATGTTGCTCCCTGTGGTTTACCCACTTGCACATCCCATTTCTCTCCTTCCCATTTGTGGCTTTTCTTTGAGTGTCTTGTGTGCATGCTGGAATATTGAGGCTTGAGCCAGATGAGGCAACAAACCAAGCAGCTGCACTCATCTTCTTTTCTCCGTACTTTGATTACAATCGATGAACTGCATGGCACTTCCCGGACACATCTTAGTGTAGGCTTTACATGTTAGTAAAGGTAGTAATATCAGTAAACGTGGAACGTGTTGCCCTACTGAGCATTGCCTATGCCTGCAGGCGGCATGTGTATGTGACCCCAAAATCTTACATGTCATTCCTGGACGGATTCCGGACGCTCTACGCCTCAAAGTTGGCTGAAACACGCGAACTTGCGGGTTCAATAAACAACGGTCTCCAGAAAATGGACGGCGCCAAAGTGGATGTCAATCGCATGAAGGTGCGCGCATCTGGACGGCCGACTTGATGATAAAATTAGATGGAGTATTTTGGTGTTGCTTGTAACAGCACTCAGAGCTATTTATCGCAAGAGATGTGACTTTGCGAGCTGCAATGTATTAGTATTGATGCATGACTGGACGCATCTTCAGCCATTGAGGCACATGCCTCGATTGTTGAAGCTGGGCCCAGCTGTGTATCATTCCAACGCCCCTTGCATTTTCCCTGTGAGTCAACATTCAACGGGGCCAAGAAAGCCAGGCAGCCTTCGCCGTTGTGGCATCCAAAGGATTTTTTGTATGAAGCTATCTGCTCCCCAGCCGCAACAAGTGCTGGCATGCCTTTCCGGGGGAGCACGGCAGTCGGCACGGGCTTATGAACTGAAAGGATGAGCTTGCAACATGCCACCTGAAAAAGGCAATATTCAAGATAACTTGAAGTGCTGGTTTCTTGGATCCCCGAGCGGTGTTTTCATAACGAAAGTGACCAGCTGACGTGGCGCTGATGTGGCAGGGTGAGCTGGCGGTGAAGAACCTCGAGCTGGCGGCGGCCAGCCAGGAAGCTGAGAAGCTGCTGCGTGACATCAGCGACAGCACGGCCATCGCAGAAAAGGAAAAGGCCAAAGTCGCAGTCATTCTTGACCAAGTGTCAGCCACCGCAGCGGTGCGCCCTGCAAACCCCAGATGCCCTCAAACAAAATCCTTATATTTCTCTGAGTACAGATGGATTCCTAAATCTAAGGGGAAAAAAGGAACATAACTGTCTGTAGATATGCCTCTTCCTAGAAAACCGGACGCGCAAAAGTGAAGAGCAGGGCTGCAGCTGCAATGCATAGCCTGATGTGACCGTTACTTTGCTTCGTTGGATATCAAAGTTATCCAAGCAATAAATAGCATATGACTCAGCGTGCACGTGTAAGGGTTCAAGACCTGCAAAGGGATATGTCCCAAGAAAGCCTGCATAGCAAGTGCTGCAGTTATGCATGTTTTCTGTGAAGGCGCCTTGGTGGGACATCTCTTCTTTGCACAGCTCCAGTCTTCGCTTCGCTGCACCAACCAAGTCAGTGCCCCTGTTATTTTACGTACGGTTTGGGGTTTATGGTTTATGGTTTTTGCTCATGAGAGCTTGTGCATTCTTGCTGCAGGAAATCGCAGCGGTGAAGGACGACGCAGAGAAGGACCTGGCTGCGGCAAAGCCAGCTCTGGACGCTGCTCTCTCTGCATTGAACAGCATCACTCCAAAGGACATCGTTGCGTTGAAGGCGCTGAAGAATCCGCCGGACATCGTGAAGCGCATCTTTGACTGCGTGCTGCTGCTGAGGTACGATTGCCTGATCTGGCTTTTCTGTTCAAAACATTAGGGTTTTGGGTTTTTGGGCAGGAGACAAATAAGTCGCGTAAGATCCTGTTTTGGCTCGTTACCCAGCCTGATCTGGCACCTTTGTGTGAAACGGATCCTGCTCAGAGAACCAGGTCAGTAAAAGATTCGGCATTTTACATGGTTATGGAAGTGAAGCTATGCTTTGCATAGCCTTCCTCCAGCAATCGGTGTTGCGCATGCAAGACTGTTGTGATGACAAGATAAACTGAGCAGGGGAGGCCAGAAATAGACTCTGCGGCCACTGTCATGTGGAATTGGAAGCGGCGACCCAGACTCTCTGGCAGCATCTGGGGCTTGCATCCATCGTCACATGGCAGTAGCCATGCCGGGTATAGAGCAGATTTAAGAGAGGGTAAAGGGCAAAGAGAGAGAGCATGAGAGATATGGAGTGAGACCAGAGTGCAGCCAGAATTCCAAATCCGGCATCACCCACAGAGGTGGCATCGACCATCTGAAGACAATCAAAGAAGCCACTTGTTGATCTTCAGGCGTGGGATCTACTTCTGTAGGTGTTGGCCATGCGCTGCTGCTAGATATCAGCATTGGCGTATTGGGACTCCTCTGACTATCCTCTGTGGTGTCTTGTGTCACACAGGTATCTGCCGGTGCAGAAGGTTGCTTGGCAGGAGGTGAAGGGCAGCCAGGTGAATACACCCTTGCACATTTCTAACCGCACTCGTTTCCTCTTTTGTGCTTCTGCTGGTGCTTTAGCTAGACTTGAGACTTCACAGCGGCCTCTCACGATGCAGCAAAAATGAATCACTTAACAGGTGCTGATGCACTATCATGCTACAAATTCCATTTCCTGATGGGCTGCTTCTTTAAAAAAAACTTTGGTTTTGCAATGTTCCGCAACTTCTGGTGGAAATTTAAAAGATTGTGAATATCTGAGCGTTCGTCTGTGATTTGCTGCACAGGTGCTGGTGGGAAACTATGACGAAGCAGTCAAGATGATGGGCGACACAGCGTTCTTGTCATCGCTCATCAACTTCCCCAAAGAGGCCATCACCGACGAGACCGTTGAGCTGCTGCGGCCCTACTTCAGAGCGCCCGACTTCAACTTTGACTCGGCCAAAAAGGTGTGCCCCAGCTTTGGACTGCATGCTCTGTCGTGTGTGATTCCTACGACTGGCTTGGCCCTGTCTATGATTTGACCCTGCCTTGGTTGACTATGCCAAAAGGGCAGATACGGCATGCTTGACTCCTACAACTGGCTTGGCCCTGTCTGTAATTTGACCCTGCCTTGGTTGACTATGCCAAAAGGGCAGAGACGGCATGCCTACGGGCTTTCCCTTGCTTCCTGACCGCGAAAGGCATGCAAGCGGGAATTAGGGTTTAGGGTTAAGAATCTAATATATACTAGGGGTAATACAAGCACACATTGCATGGGCTGCCTTGTTCCGGGCGGGATGTGAGGTGAGTGTTGATATTATATGGTTGGCAAGATAGGTCATCTTCCTGGTACCAGCGGGGAATGTGAAGTTACAGCGCCTGACATGTCTTAGAATCGCCCCTTGCATGCATGCTGGGAAGCGTGTAGGACTTTCGGTGCAGCTGAAAAAGTGGGCACGTCAACTCCGAGCTTTGCTTTGTGTGTATTTCTTTGCGTTGCGTTCTGAGCTGAGCAGCGATGTTTCCGCAGCTTATAGCAGCAAGCAACGATGTGCGCAGGCTTGCAATGCTCTGTGTGGATGTGTCCAAATCGATGCAATTGCGGCCGTCAATTTTCCCCGGCTGCAGGCTCATTCCACTAATCCTGACAAGAATATGCAGTTTTCAGACTTGGAATACATATGCCATGACCGCACAGAACGGAGATCTCCGATAAACGTGCTGCTGGACTTACCTAGATCCTAGATGCCTAGGAACTGGAAAAGTGTACTAATGATGACGATATATGTCTTGACAGGCAAGCGGCAACGTGGCGGGACTCTGCAACTGGGCAGAGGCCATGTGCACATACCATGACGTGGCAAAGGTGGTCGAGCCAAAAATCGTGGCGCTGCGTGGGGCAGAGAGTGAGTTGAAGGTTGCAACCAAGGAGAAGGACGAGGCTGTCGCTGAGCTGGCGATCGTGCAGTCCAAGCTGGACGTCATGCAGGTTCGTGCATGTGCATGCATGTGCATGTGATCATGTTGCCAGATCAGGCAATGATATCTTCATGACGCATGCAGCACATGCAAGTCACACGGAATGCCCCTAAGAACACCATAGAGCTGGGAAACACCCTGATACAAACCTCACAATCACCCTGCACTTGAACCTGAGCTGCAGGGACAAAATCGGGCTTATTACAGTATCTCCAATTCAGCTCTGACGCTAGAAGACCTGCCTGTCCTGTGCTTGATGCACTTCTGGAGATCTCTCCTGTCGGCAGTATGCACATTCAAAGCAAAGAATCAGTCAATACCAGGTCTTCCAAAGCTTCATTGTCTCCGGATCCATCAATTTCCAAGAAAAATGGCAGTCAAGACAGAAAGGGCAGAAGTGTGCTGTGTACCCCCATGTGCACAGACTGATAAAACTGTCAACTTTTGACACACGTGGCTAAGGAATCTTGCTTATTTCTACCGCAGGCGGAGTTCGATGCGGCGATGGCGCAGAAACAAGCGCTGGAGGAGGATGCAGCGGCCACAGAGCGGCGAATGTGCGCGGCAAACGCTCTTCTAGGAGCGCTGGCAGGAGAGGAAGGGCGCTGGACCGAACAGTCCAAGGCCTTCGACGACCAGATCCAACGCCTGACTGGTGCGCTGTATTATTGCTGGGAATCACAGCCGCCTGAAGTTTATCCTCCGGTTCAGATTTGCCCGTGACGCCATATCCATCAGCTGTGCACTAAGAAAGGATGAGTTGTGTACATTTACAGCTTGCTGTTCCCACACGTTCCCTAGTTCCTGCATGGAAGACTCTGGAAATGAATATTTTTTGTCCGTTCAAGTTGATATCCCAAATCTGGGAACAAAGTGAAGCTGCTCGGCATGCTCGCAATAACATTGTCATGTGGGTACTTCTCGTCAGGTGCTTGGCGACATGAGGCATGCATCTGTTCTGGAACTTCCCTCGTGGCAGTGTTAGTTTAGAGCCCAACAAATGTGAAAACACCACTCTGTTTCAACCGAACATTGCAGCAATATAGTACTTCCCTTCGTGGAAGAAGTGAGGATGCCAGACACGGTGCGGAGGAGCAATGTCATCATAGGAAGATCCAATTGGACCCATTCCGTTATTGAGAGGCACTGACTGGTTGGATACTTCCCGCATGACAGTGTTTGGAGGCAGCTCTAAAGTCTACCCATTCCAGAAGAGACCAACTACTGGGCAGAACCTGAGATCTACATTTCTTGTGCGCAGGCGACTGCGCGATTGCGAGCAGTTTTGTGTCGTACCTCGGCCCGTTCAACCGCGAGTTCCGGGAGCTGTTACTAACGCGTGACCTGCTGGCCGGCTGCCGTAAACTCAACATCCCATTTACGAAGGACATGAAGGTCTCCAGCTTTCTCGCTGATGACGCTGAGGTTGGAGAGTGGACGCTGCAGGTGAGTTTTTGCATTCTAAATTTGATGGTTTTGGGGTTGTTAAAATGAACAAAACGATAGGGTTGTGCCTGCTGGGATGAGGATTGGAGGGTGCAGGTGGGTTCTTCATTTCTTGGTGTCAAATGGGAAATGTTCTTTTCGTTTGATGAAAGGGGATGAAAGGCCAGCCAGGGTTGTGCCATCTTGAAATATATTATATAATACATGAAATTATTGGTGTTAACCCTGATATATCGGGGATATGGTTGTGTGCGTAGGGCCTGCCGACGGACGAGCTGAGCGTGCAGAATGGCATTCTTGTGGCGCGCGCGTCTCGATTCCCCGTGCTTATAGACCCTCAGGGGCAGGGACGCGCTTGGCTGCTGCAGCGGGAAGCTTCCAAGGGGCTGCGCGTCAGTCACCTGCCCGACAAAAACTTCCGCGCCGTGCTCGAGGCGCGCACCCTTTCTAGCTTTCCTTTCAGTTTTTAAACTACGGTGATGTCTGTGTTACGAAATAATCCCTGACAGAAGTCGTCCATCGTGTCTGGCATCTCATAATGCACCACACGGTGGAACTGGTGGTCGCCGAGTGGTGCATTATGAGCTGCCAGACATGATGGACGACATCATGTCACTGGACGTCCTCTTTCTGACCTACTGTGTCGCCAGTGACATGATCGGCGACCACCAGTTCCACCGTGGTGTGCATTGTGGTGCATTCCACTGGAGTGACATGCCAATGGTGCAGGAAGTGGCTAGACAGCAAAGGCTGGAGAAACATTGTTGATAGCTTGCTTCATCAGCCCTAGTCCTGAGGCCTGGACCAAGCGTGTGACAATGATCGCAGTCCCTGGCTGTGACATGCATAGAAGTCTCCACTATCGCCGTTCGATTGTTTGGTTTTCTGGGTTGCAACATTCCCTGGAGAAGGATCCTAGGCTTTTTTTCTTTTAATTTAGGGTAGCCGTAAAGAACTAAACCCCAAGAAAAACCACGTGCAAATGAGGTAATCTGTCGGGTGCCATAGTGGTGCTTATCTTCACTGCCATGTGATTTTCCGCACTGCCTTTGACATGTAGCTCACACTGCGACCCATTCCCCTGTGGAAACCTCAAGAATCCCATTGCCTACTGTGAACAATTATGGATATGCGCACAATTTTTCTTTGGGATTTACCTGAGACCCTAGACCCTAAACTAGGGTGCTGCAACATATATAGTGTAACCCTAAAACTGCTGGTGTGCTCTGCAGGACTGCCTGTCGAATGGCAAGCCGCTGCTGATAGAGAACATAGAGGAGGAGCTGGACCCAATTTTGGACCCCGTGCTCGAAAAGAGATTCATCCGCCAGGCACGCGGCCTGACGCTGCAGCTCAACGACAAAGAGGTGCCAGTTCGTTTCGACCCTAGGATCCTAAATTGGGGTTTTATAAAGACTTGGCAATGTTGAGTCAAAGCTCAGAAGCTTGCAATTTGAACGATTCATTTCAGCTGTCTCTCATGTTCAAGGCAGTGGTGCCGCACCCAATTAGGCAATGGCTAATGGTCGCGCAGATATTTCATGCATGCACCGTGCAACCTGATTTCCCTCTATCTAGACGTTCCCTTCGGCAACGACTGTGAGGGTCATAGTGAGGATATACCACAGCTTCTTTGCGCATTGACACTCCCTATCAATGCACTATGTAAGCTATGGGATATCCTTGCTATGAATGCCCACAGCCAGTCGCCTTGCTTCAGGGCGTTAGAAGCTTCATTGCATTCATTTGAGGGTCGAGGATTAATAATATGTGTTGCTTACCCTATACCCTACAGATATGAGTTTGAATTCGTGCACAGGTGGAATACAACGAGGGCTTCAGGCTGTATTGTACCACGCGGCTGCCGCGGCCGCACTACACACCAGAATTATCCGCCAACGTGACACTTGTCAACTTTACTGTCACGCAAGCCGGCCTGGAAGACCAGCTGCTGGGCAAGCTCATCCTCCAGGTCCTAATCACCTTTCCTCGTCATACTAATCACCCTTCCTAAACCCTGATTCATATATTATAAAATTTTAGAAAAGGGGGAAAAAGAAAAAAATGCTTCCTCGTCTTTGATGATCAATTCTGTTCTACTCGAGCATTGAGGGGAGTGGTAAATGGCCAGCCTGATGGCATCAGAGGCTGCAAGCTGTTGACAACATCCTGTCTTGCATGACTTGGCGCAGTCGAGGCGAGCCATTTTCCGCTTCTTTTAACTGTGCAATGCTGGACCTTGCTTATAAGTTTTAGGGTCTAGGGGGCCTGATATCGGTTCATGACATCAAAGTGACCCCTCAGACGTTGCAAACTAGCCTCTACGCCCGCAGTAGTTGAGGAGAGCATCGCAATTGCCTGCCACCTCTTGAAGAGAGCGGGCCTATTTCCTGACCAAGGCAAAGCATTGCTTTTCTACGTGCAGCATTTTTTCATGCATGACCTGGTAGAGAAAGAGTAAGTTATATGTGGCCAAGGAAGATCTGGTAAGAGGTGCTTTTCGAACGCATGTAGGTCATCTATTTGGGCCTGCAAGCGACTCTATTGCCTGGTGGACCTCTCACCAGTCCTCAAGTGTTGTATGACCAAATTTGGCCTTGTTGGCGTTGGGCGTCCAAGTTGGCCTTTTTTTAATGTCCTCTTCTTCCCACACAGCTTGTCACACAGTGCACAGTGCAGTGGCTTGCAAAATGCCATAGTCAGGCTTTCCCCGCCCTGCCAGAAATCTTGTCTTTTTGTGAAGAGCGGCGTTCCAAAGCACTGCGCTTCCCTGCGGTGTCAAAGAAAGAGCAGATCTGTGAAAGTGGTTTTTGTTGTGTTGCTTGCAGGAGAAGCAGGAGCTTGAGGAGCAGCGGCTGGCGCTGATGGAGGAGGTGCAGAGCTACCGGCGACGCATCAAGCAGCTCGAGGACGACCTCCTCTTCAGGCTGTCCAACTCGCAGGCACGCTACCTCTGCCCTGCCAGATGTCTTCTGCAAATCTCAAATGTTTCTGGCTTGCTGCAGCTTATGTTTTTTAGGGGTTTAGGGTTCAGGGCAACCCTAAAATATAGATTGGGCCACCCGCTCTTGACAGGGTCGCTTGTAATACTTGCTCTGCACGATGAGATCTCAAGCCTCACTGACGGAGCTGGAAAATAGAGGTTTAATGTACAATTGTTTGCAGAACACAGCGGCGGTTTGCCTGCCATAATGATGATAGTCAAATCAGTAGCATACGTCCTTGACTGAGCGCTGAAAGGGATGCCTCGAACGGCACGGAAGAAGGGGTTGCCTGATCTGGCGTGCAGACATAGCCCTATATCCTACCGCATTCTTTACATTTTCGCGTCTTTACAATTGCAGCTCGTCTGCAGGACGCACATTGCCTCTTGGCAGGAACAGCGTGCAACAATAATAATAATAAACTTTACATAATTTGAGACATTTTTATACTGCTGCTGCAACAGGGCAACCTCCTGGACGACACCGAGCTCATCGGCGTGCTGGCCGTCACCAAAGCCACGGCCGCGCAGGTCAGTCACCATCTTCACTATCTAGTCATTTAGTCTATTCTAGTCACTATCTTTCTATCACATTGCTTCCCGTCGCTTGAACTCTTCATCAATGCTTACCTCTATATCTCAGTGCGATTGCTCAGCCTGACATCCATACACTCAACAACCCCGTCTGCACGTAATCCTGGGAATTAACATAGCCTGCCCTACATGTGTGATCTCTCCCATATACTGCATCTCTGTAAGGGGCACCCTTTAGGGTTTGAGTCTAGGGTTAGTATTACTAATGATTAGCCCTGATTGCAGGTAAACGCCAAGCTGGCAGGCGCGTCCGAAGCGCGCCGCCGCATCGGCGAGGCTTGCGAAGAGTACCGGCCGGTGGCGCACCGCGCGCAGATCATTTATTTTCTGATCGCGCAATTCTCCACCGTCAACTGCATGTATCAGACCTCGCTCGCGCAGGTGCGATCGACATTAGTGTGCTTCAGTCAGTTTTTACAGTGTTCTTTATTGGCCAATCGATCCCCTGGTCGATTTGCCTTTGCGATCACTTGGCACCCCTGAATATCACTATCACATTCCCCGGCTGGCGAGGGGCGATATAAATACTGAGCGCCATGCCCGCGGTTGATTGGGTCTTGCTTGGATCTGGCGCCTCCATCAAGGGGTAGGAATTTGGCAGCCTTTACAGCAGCTTGTCTGCAGACGCACCTTGCTTCTGGCAGGAAAAGCGTGTAATGATAATAATAATAATAATATTTCCCATGGAACTCCGACAAGAATGATGTAGCGACAACGTCGCAGCAACGCTCAATTTCATCAAAACCTAACAGAAAGCGAGCCCGGGTCATGAAGATCACTTGGGATTACGACATACAAGACAGAGATTCCACTGAGTCGATTGTACACGCGGCCGCAGCTTGTTCCTTCTGAGGGTTTATAATACCAGGGTTCAAGGGTCTGTACACCCTGAGGTGAATAAGCAAGAGAGGAGATGGGTGGGTGTTGCCTTCGAGATTTCTCACAAGAGGTCCAGCTCGGGAGGGTGACTCCCTGCGGCAACCACCTGCGAGTGGTGTGATCTTGTGGGAGATCTTGCAGCGAGGTTTGAATGCGCTATTTCTGTTTGAGCTGTGGTGGGGATAGGGGTCTGACAGGTTATGAAGTAGCTGCCAAGCTTCCCCACAAGAGCTGAGCAAGGCGAGGTGCGTGCTTTTAGCAAGCCCCTCCTCATGCTCTGATCTTGCGGGAGACCTTGCAGTGGGGTTCAGCTGGGCTGTGTCTTTCTAGACAGCAGTGAGAAAGAGAGTGGAATAGGTCTGAAGTGGCTCTCAAGCCTTCCCACCAGAGCTGTGCATGCTGAATTGAGTGTTGTTGGCACCTCCTACGTCAAGATCGACTCCTGTGGGTTTCCTGCAGGATTCAAGTGGCTGCTTTACTCGAGCACCTACACAAAGAATGCTTATGTAATTTTGTTTGCCATGCAGATCCCTGTCATGCATACCATATGTGCCCTTGATGTGGAGGCCTCAAGCCTTGCATTGCTTCTTTAAACCAGAAAGAACGGCGGTTGTGCCATGTATTCTGAAACATACTGAAATGTACACACTCCTCTGTGCCATGTATTCTGGAACATACTGAAACGTACACACTCCTCTGGTGAGAGTTTGCTAAAACGTTTCCTGTTCTGCGCAGTTCAATCAGCTGTACGAGGTGGCCATAGACACAGCCGAGCGCTCAGCCATCTCCTCCAAGCGAATCCACAACATCATAGACCATCTCACCTATGAGATTTACCTCTACATTCAGCGCGGCCTATTCGAGCGCCACAAGATCATCTTTGCCCTGCTGCTCGCCATCTCTGTGTTGACCTCCGCGGGCAAGGTTAGTCATCTTCTCGACATCATCTTCCCCTTTCCTTACGACCATGGCTTACATCAGAATTCGCACTGGAAGCCAACAAATATGCCAGATTAAAGATCAGGGAAAGTCAAGTCACGTTTGTTGTTGATATCTGGCTAAAGTTGGCTGAAGTTTCAGAAAGTCTCTCCTGCAGTCAGGGTCTTCGGGCGTATCTCTTGATTTGCGGCTTCCTGATGTAGTGAGTTGGTTTTCTGAAGCCAATGGGTGGCTCAGAATGGGACAGCCTCAGTCAGTTTATGCGCCACAAAAGTGTCTGGTGTATGTGTTCATGACCACATTGGCTTCATGAAGCCACTGAAGAAAACCCTGCTTACAGCCCTTGCTTTTCCAATATGTGCACGCATGCATGCATGCAAGGCAGATAGCATTGGTTTCGCATGACTGCCTTCCGCGTAACAAGTAATGCCCAGTCTGTACCAGGATGCTGCACGGTTTGTAGAAAAGAGTCATGCGCCACCGTGATCGCCACTTTCCTCGGACCATCAAGCATGAACAACAGCTTCAAAAGCAGGTTTGCATGCATGCAAGTGTCCTGAGCGTGTGCATGCATGCATGCAGATAAAGCCGGAGGAGGTGGACATCTTCCTGAAGGGCGGCGGCGCGCTCAATATCAACAGCGTCAAGAAGAAGCCCAAGGTGCACATTCTGCCTCAGCCGATGCATAATTCTATATTCCTTTTATAAAATGATACCGTATTGCGCGCTTGTCCTGCCAAGAGGCCAGATGCGTCCGCAGACAACCTGCAGATGCATTTAATATCACAGCTAAACCCTCTGACTGTCCTCACGCATTCTCAGTGAGTAGGAGTGGGGATGATACCACCGCATTTGCCTGGATCTTCTGAGTCTTGGAATGTCCGTGACACCTCAAAACTCAGATGCAAGGTGTTGGCTGTGGTGTCATCTAGTCATCGGCTTGTATTCAGGTTTTGGGTTTTGGGAACCCTAGATTATAACCCCAAACATCCTAACGAGAACGCAGAGTGTTTTTTTTGGCTGGCGCAGGAGTGGATTCCGGATGCGGTGTGGCTGGGCGTTGTGGCGCTTGGAGACATGGGCGCGTTCCGAGACATTGTCGAGGCAGTCACTCGCGCCGAGGGGCAGTGGCGCCGATGGTGCGTTGTATTTAGAATAAATATTATTATTATTATTATTACACGCTTTTCCAGCCAGCAGGCAAGATGCGTTAGGCAGACAAGCTGTATTTAAAGGCTGCCACAATCCTACCCCTTGCCAGATCCAAGCAAGGGCCGATCAACCGTGGGCATGCTGCTCAGTATATTTGTACCAACCCCCGGCCAGCCGGGGCCAGCCAGCCGGGGCAACAAAGTAACACACATATAAAGCCCCTCTGGCACAACTTACAAGTCAACAGGCATGAAAAATTAATGGCAGTGTCATATAAATAGACCTTCACTGCTCCAAGATATTGCGATCATATTGAGATAAGGCATGGGCCTGAGAATCCAGCATGGTGCATATCCTGGAAGCAAGGCAGCTGAATAGCTGTGGTCGATAGATGACATGCAGATGGATTCCCATGTCATCTACAGACACGGCTTCCAAACTGCCCATGTGTTCACGGATGTGTGCCATGCTGAATTGAACAATGTTATGTGTTATCCGTACGATTAGTACGCGGTAATCCTACTGGAGGCAAGGTGTGTGTGTGCTAAAAAGTTGCCGGTAAAAGCTGAGACAACCCCTCTTTCACAGGACAGACCTGCTGAATTGAGGAAGACCCAGTCATTGTGGGCACGGCGCTAAAGTTTTGAATCGCCACCCGCCAGCAAGGGGCCATTTTTATGCCGCTTGAACCCGTAATTATTATAATAAGATGTGGGTCAGAGATCCTAGTGTTGTGCGCACCCTGGACGTCAGAAAATCTGCAACTCATGCACTTCTGCGGACATGCTGTTGCAGTCTATAGCATGTCCAGCAGTCTGCGCATGGGTAGCAACAATCTGGATTCCCCAGTGCCCACAGCACTAAGTGGAAAGGCGCTGTTTGAAGAAAGGCGCGTTCCTGAAAGCCTGTTGTGGGCGAAGAGAAGGTGCTGAGAAATGTGTTGATGCCAGGTACGATGCTGAAGCGCCGGAGAGGGCGCCCGTACCGGAGTACGGAGATCGGCTTTCCAAATTCGAGCGCATGTGCATCGTGCGGGTGGGCCTTTAAAGCTGCAACCTGTTTTCTTGGATTGAGAGTTTGAGCTGCCATGTGTGCCGGGCCGCTTTGGTAAAGCTGATCGAAACATCTTTGGCAAAACTAAACCGGCAGACATGGCAGTCTCATGTGGGCAAGCAGAGCTGCAAGTCCTGATTTCTGCCTCCAACTTTGTGCATTGAGACATATCACCCCTTCCTTTGCTAGTATTTGTTGAATTTCCTTGAAAACTTTTCCATGCCGAGTTTCGAGCTGCTAACCAAAAATGCACGCTTGGTTGATTTCAGGCGTGGAGGGAGGATCGCACTTTGGTGGCGGCTGCTGATGTCATCGCTGATGCGCTGGGTCAGCGTTTCGTGGACAGCGTGCCGCTGAACATGGAGCGGGCATGGGCTGAGTCATCGCCACGCGTGCCCCTCATCTGCCTGCTCTCGCCAGGTCAGCAATCTATTTTTACTATTTGAGCTCTTATCTAAGCTAAGGTACAGCCTGGGTTATTAAGGTTATTGAGATGTGGCCAAGCTGCAGATAGAAGCAGTATTTGTTGACAAAACAGATCTGGGATATCTGTGAGGTTGGCGAGGAAAGGAAATGCATGTACCCTAGGAGTGAAGTGCACAAGAGCCGCCAAACAAATTTTGCCCCGTTTCGGGAGGTTTCATAAGGACTGCCAGTGACTGGCTTGTGTGCTGTTCGTGGTATGTGACGGCTGGATTGCCAACGCTCGGATATCTCAACAGCAGACAAGCATCTCACTGTGGCAATTCAAGAGCATGATAAACGTGAACACTTCCTTGTGACATGGATGTAAGGTAGCGTATGAGGCAGAAATGTGAATCTCTAGACCCTGTGGCATCAGCGATGGACTCTTAAGTGATGGGGCAATCTAGTGAGAGTTTTACAGAGCAGGGATGGTTGAAGGCTCTCCTGGCTTTGTCTGTGGAGCCACTCAATCATTGTCAGCTCTGCAGAATAAGTCAAGGTCTACATTCCAACCCGTTTTTGCAAAGTGATCAGCCATCGGGACTCCATCCTGGCTCTTTGGCGAGAAATTCAACTTACTCCAGAGAGTGAATAGAAAATTTGTTGCGCAGGCGCGGACCCCACGAAGCTGATAGAAGACCTGGCGAAGCGCAAGAAGATCCGGACCATGGGAGTATCAATGGGGCAGGGGCAGGAAATAATCGCACACAACCTCTTGACCGCCGCCCGCGCCGATGGCCAGTGGCTTCTGCTGCAGAACGCGCACCTGGGGCTCGCCTACCTGTCAGAGGTTAGTCACCAGCTGAGTCATCATGCACCAGCATCACGCCAGCCTTAATCTTCTCGAGAATTAGAGTATGGTGTATCAGTCTTGAGTCAGAAGTAATGTGGACGTATGAGAAGGCGTCTGAATGCCCGGCAAAAGAAGAAGCAGCACGTTATGGTTGCGGTACTGTGACCCCACCTGCATTGCTCCTCCCAAGAAAACCTGCTGAGGAGCATTGCATCAGGAAGCTCACACCAGCGGTTCACCAACTTGCAGCAGACAGTACCGTGGCATGCCGGTCAGGAAGGGGCTTGAATTGAAGTGCGTGGTGGCTGCAGACACTATCCAGTCACAGAGCATGTGAATGACAGTGGGGGGTGCCTATTCCGACCACAATCATGCAATCCTATCATAAGTCAGGACAATACAAACGATGATACCATTGGTAAGAGCGGACAGGATGTTGTCTTCAGTCACCATTAAGCCTGCCAAATCTGCAGCAGGCACGCAGCATAGAACCTTCTCATTATTTTCAAGGGGTTCTAGGGTTTCGGAACCCTAAACCCTATTAAAACACGCCTCTGGCAATGCAGCCTGCAGAGCCTCCGTATGTGCAAATTTAGGAAGCCAAGAGTAATGGGTGATTTGTGCGAGCAGCTGGAGGGCGTGCTTTCGAAGACGGAGGGAGTCCACGAGAACTTCAGGCTGTGGATCACTGCGGAGCCTCACGCGGCGTTCCCTATCGGCCTGCTCCAGATGGGCATCAAGCTTACTAATGAGGCCCCCGTCGGCATCCAAGCCGGCCTGCGCGCCTCCTACCAGTGGGTCAATCAGGTGTGATTTTTGTGATTTTTTGATTGAGTGAATTTCCTTCGCATTTTGTGACAAGGGGATGTCAGATTTCTTCAGTGCTTTGGATGAAGCCTGGTCGGGGTGCACTGGTATCTCTGCATGGGGTGAGGAACCTTGCGATTGGACATGCACAGCTTGACTAGGAAGCTCCCTTGTGAAGCACTGCTAAACATGCTGTGCTGGCGTGTTGTCATGCCTGTGACACATTCAGATCTCTGACAGCATTACTGAGTATTAGCCGTTCACGGCATCTGTGCAAGTGCACACTGAAATTGTGGGCTCCGTCCTGTACTTTGATTGGGCTGAAGGAAATGGTGAGATGACAGTATGCAAGCTCTTGTACAAGCGTGGAGGCTGTGCCCTGTTGATACCAGTATATCAAGGGTTATATATTCAGGGGTTTGGGTGATACTGGAATAGAAAATGAAACCCTACGGTCCAGCGGAAGAATTGCAGCAGAATTTGTCATCTGATCGCCGATGCCAGGCCATGACCCTTCCGCTCAGGACAAGACGGGTGCTCCGTACTTAAATTGCTTGGGGGCCCAGAATGCTTGACATGCATTGCTGATACTGCAGTCCCACAGACCCATGACAAGAGCGTTATGACTGTCTTACTAACTTTCCAGCCGCTTGCAAAGAGTCAATTTTTTTTACAATTACTGAGAAAGTACTAACATATTTTGTTGATTGATATATACTAAAGCGTGAAATTCTTGCTCTGCCACGCAGGACATTTTGGATGCGGTCAACAGACACGAGTGGAGGCAGCTGCTCTTTGTGATGACGTTCCTGCACAGCGTGGTCCAGGAGCGACGCAAATTCGGCCCCATCGGATGGAATGTGCCTTACGAGTTCAACCAGTCCGACCTCTCCGCATGCGTCCAATTCCTGCAGGTGCTGATCTTCACACCAATGCTAGACCTACACATAAATCCCTTGAAAATAAACCCTGAAGAATAAAAAAAAGGGCTGTGGAAGGTTTTTGTCATGTCATTGTGCGTTTCATTGTACAGTAACTGGCTGCCAGAAGGATGCTGGCTCTCAAAAAAGTTCAGGTTGCATTGAATGGTAAGCACACAAATGGCAAGCACCTCCTCTGCTCCTCAAGCTATAGATCCAATAAAGGCACACAGCATGCATCGAAGAGCTTCAACACAGAGCTGATCTTGCAAGACAATGGCGACAGACAACGCACAAAGACTCCACAATGGGGTGTTGTGCAAAATGCTGTTTGTATGTCGTGCAAATTGCTTGTCGGGATCAGCCATGCGTGAGCTCTTCAATGCAATCTGCGTCGACCTTACTCAAGATGCATGCTCTCTCCTCTGCCACACCTGATGGCGCAACAAAGCGTGAAGCCACTCCTCAGATATCCAGCTCGTTGGCAAGCAACCTGGCTATTCCTGCATACCCAGTATGGCTTCCTCTGGATACTTCGACTTTCAAATTTCAAAAAACCGAAAATTCAACCTTCAAATTTCTTTCATTTTCATTTTCCAAGTTTTTAATTTTCAATTTTTTGAAATTGTTGAAGTCAAGCCTGAATTCAAGCCTGAAAATTAACGCGAGTGTCGCGCGCAGAATCACCTGTTGGAGATGGAGGCGAAGCGCGCGAGCGCACCCACTTGGGAGACGGTGCGATACATGGTGTCGGCCATCCAGTACGGCGGCCGCATCACCGACGAATTCGACAAGCTCCTCATGGACACCTACGCCGAGAAATACTTCCAGCAGGCGCGCGGCGTTCCCTCCTTTGCCAGTTGTATACAAAAAAGTTTGGGACTAGGTGCATGCACTCGTCACATGAAGCACAGTATCTAAATTCTGTACAATCATATTGTCAATAATTATAAACCGGCTGGCGGGGGGCGGTACAAATACTGAGCACCGTGCCCACGGTTGATTGGGTCTTGCTTGGATCTGGCAATTCCAACAAGGGGTAGGAATTTGGCAGCCTTTACATGCAGCTTGTCTGCAGACGCATCTTGCCTTAGGCAGGAAAAGCTTGTAATAATAGTAACAATAATAAATCGCTATCCTGCCAGAGGCAAGGTGTCATCTGCACGGTGTCTACATAGCACCAAATCGTATCATTGTGAAGTTCAAGTCAGTTTTGGTTAGGACATTCATGGCAAACTCCACATGCGCATCCTACTCAGGCAGGACCTGCACGTTTGTGACGGGCGGGTCCTGCAATAACAGGTCGCGTTTGTGGCGATTGCAGCATTCTCCCTAACCTTCGTGAAACACGCCTCTCCAATTTAGCGTGTTGCTTGTCTCAGCTGCTTGAGGTGGTTGCACAGGGTGCGCTGCTGCCAAACTACGTGCTACACAAGGACATCAAGGAGGGGGTCTCATACACCGTCCCCCAAGGGACGGAGATTGAGATATACCGGAAGGTGCGACTCATCCTCTGACCACATGACCACCGCATGCAGCTCAAATACATGCTCAAGAACCCGGCTGCCCAACACCAGGAGCTTGCAAGAGTTAGGGTTTATGGTTTATTAAGGGTTTAGGCTTATATATAGGGTCATATAGGCTAAACCCTGAATATAGACGATGCCTCTGATGCTCAGAGCTACGATATCAATAGTCTGGGATTAGGGCTCAGCGCAATTTGATAGTCAGAGACCAGTCGACAAGGCAGAATGCTGTCTGACTGCCAAATGATGTGCTGTCCAGCTCTTATCATAAGAGCTTGTGCCAACGCTATTTATACAGTTTTGTGTTCGAAAGCATGCTTGTTGACAAATGGCCAATTTTGAACGCGCAGGCAATTGAGGAGGTTCCCAGCCAAGACAACCCGGAGCTGTTTGGGCTGCACCCCAACGCAGACCTCACCTTCCGAACCCTCCAGGTTTGACCCCTCAGCAACCCTTTTTGAGCCAACCCCTTTCACCCCTTGCATTTCCAAATGATACCCATGCTGCGGTTCGTGGCTTCCGCTTTGCTCATCTGCAACGACATACTTTTGTTGATGATTTTGAGCTCAAGCCATCAACCGCAGCATGCAGGTGCTTGCTGGCTTCCTCTGTGCTCAGCAAGTATATCCCCGAGACTTGGAATCCTGTCCCATAATCTAGGGTTGCTCAACGTCTCAAAAATTAGGACAGTTGATCTCCATCCAGGGCCAATGCACAGACGTTTTGGTTTGTCTGGGTCGCTGAAGCCCAAACAATTGAGCGCTATCAGAGCCGTGTGGCCAAAAGGGGTCATACCAAATGCCACACAATTACTTGAGCTCCAGCGGCATCAGAAGAGCCAAATATCCCTGTGTGGCTGCCGTTTTAAGAAGCTGCCAACTTTAAGAGGCATTGAGGCGGCGTAAACCCTAAAACATATATTCCTATGTACCCCTAAACCCCAAGAAATAGGGGGGGAAAGCAAACTGTGGCTGTTGCAGGTGCAAGCGGCGGTGCAACTGGTGTTAGAGACGCGGCCGCAGGGCGGGTCGGCCGCGGGCGGCAGCAGCCGCGAAGACGCCATCGACCGCCTCTGCGAAGACCTGCTCTCCAAGGTGCGCATTGTTTCTTTCTGTATTATCACGCGCTTGTCTTGCCGAGAGGTAAGGTAAGACCTGCAGACACGCTGCAAGTATAGGCTGCCACAATTTTACCCCTGCACGGACTAGCCAGATCCAAACACGATTCAAGGTGATCATTAGCAATAAAATATAGGCCAGCGGCTGCCTGATCGTAAAGCTGACAAGCGCACACAGAAGAGAGAGTGGCACACGCGCAGGCACCGGCGCAGTTTGAGCGGGAGGAGGTTCGGGAGAAGCTGCGGCGGCTGCCGGGAGGGCCGTCTCAGCCGCTGACGGTGCACCTGCGGCAGGAGATCGACCGCATCAACACCGTCATCGGCCTGACCACCGCCACGCTGCGCAATCTGCGCCTCGCAGTGGCAGGTGCGCGCGCATGTGCCGGCACATGCCAAAATAGTCGTTGGGTTTATATTTGGATTGAAACACGAGGTATTCCTTCTGCCCCTGCCCGTTTGGTACAGACAAAGAGGCTCCTTCCAGGGCATCTTTAATGCCCTGCCCTGGTGATGATGATGAAGATGCCCTGAAAGGAGCCTCATTAATATTGTGGAGTTTTCCAGAAACCATATCTTACAGGGGCAGGACAGGAAACACTACATCCCCAACCACTGGCAGAATTGCTTGGGAAGTCAGCCAGACGGCAGCGGTGCACATGTGTTGATTTGCTGTTTACTCGGGAAGTTTCTGTCCTTGGGTGGGGGCAGGCCGCAATATCTGAGGCAGTTCGACCCAAAACGGCAGCCCTCTAGTAAAGTGCCGTAGAACTCACACTTCTTGCCAATGCCACAATGCATGGCCTGCAAGGGTAGGGAATTGATGTGGTTCTCCAAGCAGGCAGGTTGCAATCCCGAAGGCATGGACCAGAATCTGCTCGGAGGGCCCATATCGTTGGGCACAAAGCCTTGTTGGTATCATGCCAAGCATGCTCTTATTACGTTGCCCTTCAAGCATGCCCGTCTTCACAGCACACGCTACATTTGTCATGCAATGCGATGTGACACCGCAGGCACCATAGCGCTGAGCGCGCAGCTTACAGAGTCCCTCGAGGCTCTTTACAACGCGCGAATACCCCGAGACTGGCTTGCCAAAAGCTGGGAAGCTTCCACCCTCGGCAGCTGGTTTGCAGGATTGCTCGCGCGCCACGACCAGCTGTCGCGTTGGCTCAACTCCGGCCGGCCCAAGGCCTACTGGCTCACCGGCTTCTTCAACCCCCAGGTATGCTTTATAATGACCCCCAGGACATTGCTTGAAAGGGTGCTGATAATCAAGTCAGGTATATATAGTACCCCTGGTTGCTTGTCAGGATTTGAAGCTGCAGGATTGCGTGATCGTGGAAGGACTTGGCGCCCCCGTTTTTTTCTGCTTCGACGGGGGCCGCACAAAAGAGGGGTGAGATTTAGGCGTATGAAGTCAGTGTGCCTGTCTCGCTCAGGGAGTGTGGGAGGGGGTTCATGTGTCTCAGACCCTGACAGATGCACATGCTTATATGATAGAATATGTTGCCATGGCATCCCCTGCCAGCCAGCACAGCCAGTACGTGTTCTTATCTCACTTTGGGACAAGCGCAACAAGTCTGCAGGCCATACCCACTGCCGTAGTCAGTGGGCATCGGTGTCATTCTTGGCGACAAGCAATCCGCCCCTTTTGAGGTGGTCCATTGAAGCAATGACCTCACCGCAATTTTTGACTGCTGCACTGGGACGTTCTTTTTATATGTATGAGCCAACGTTTGGGTAACAGCAGAATCGTGTGCAAGGCCCAGGGGCTCATTTCTAGCGTATCTAGTTAGCAGCATGTAGTACTGGTTTTGTTCACGGCTAAATTTTCATGCATGCATGCAAAAAGAGCCTGATCAGGACGCGTGATGCATGCGCGCAGGGATTCCTGACGGCGGTGAAGCAGGAGGTGAACCGGCGCCACACGGGCGACAAGTGGGCGCTGGATGACGTCGTGCTGACTAGCGAGGTGACTCACCCCGCCAGACTAGACGCCGACGCCATCAAGGAGGCCCCCGCGGAGGGAGTCTTTGTGTACGGCCTCTACCTGGATGGCTGCGCTTGGAGCGCGAAAGAAAATTGGCTCATCGATGCGGAGCCGAAGAAACTCTTCAACCCGCTACCAGTTCTGTACGTCACCGGAGTGCAGGTGCGCACATCTTCTGTGGTGGGAAAGGGAATTGCTAAGGTTGAAGCAAGATTTTATGCATAGAGACAACCCAGTTTCCCTACTTTTTTGCATATATGGCGATGTGGGCAACGGGTATTTCCCTGATGAGTGTCTCAGGTATATGGTTTGCAAGTCAGATTGCAGACATTAGCCTGACATATGGGTTCAAGATGGAGCATTCTCAGTGCGAGCTGGGGACAGACCAAGAAGGTGCCAGTGCATCGGTGGGTGGATTTAGGATATGCACGGGGTGCATCCTAAGGGTTCACTAGTAGGAAGTACTAGAGTCCAGGTCCTGAGCGTTTGCAAATGCTGTTGTTTTGGCATGCCTATATTCCATGCCTATTTTTGGCACATCTGTAGGCCTACAAGTCGAGGATGGCGGGGGATTTTCCCTGATGAGTATCTCAGAGCGGTCCAAGAGATTTGATTTTCAGATGAGGCTGGTCCCCACGTCTCTCGGGGGATCTCTTTGAGGTACAAATTCAAAATGGAAAGTAACAAGTGCCAAAGCTAGAGGCAAAAGAAGCAGCAAGCAGTGGAGCTGCTGGCCTCAGCAGTGCTGCTTGTTGTAACAGCATTATACCAAACCTTGCGAAGCCTTTGCCTGATGCACATTTCGTGTGGTTGAATGCAGGCAAAGGACAAGAAGAAGAGCGGTGTGTTTGAGGCGCCGGTGTACCGGGTCAAGAAACGCACGGGGCTCAATTACATAACCAGCTTCCCTCTGCGCACGGATGAGCCCTCCTCCAAATGGATCCTGCGCGGAGTCGCGCTGCTGTGCTCCGTCGATTGAAAAGGGCAAATATTTGGGCGGGTGTTTGCAGTCAATTATAATAATTATTACATGCCTATCCATGCCAGATTAGGCTTAGGTGTGTCGCAGCAGCGTTTCTATGATGTCTTCCAACTTGGCCTATCTTGGCACCTTCTGCAGTGTTTGCAGAGTTTGCAGTCAATATTCGTTGATAAAGTGGCATGCATGGGGGCATGCTGTGGTGCTGACAATTGTACTTGAATGGACACGCAGAGATGCGCAGTCGCAGTTTTTATTGTGTGCAAGAGTTTCAGTTACGATCGGATTTCTGAGTATGCTACATTTGGGATACAATTCATCCAAAGCCTAAAAGTTCTCCGAGATATTTCCACTCCTACAGGCACCTCATGCATTGTCTGTCACCCTTATATTCATGTCTTCTGCAAGTTCTGTATAAGTTCGGGTGTTCCAGCTTATGATGTAATATATTTTAGCATCAACCGAGTTCTCTGTCAACATTGCCCCCCTACATTTGGTCCTCAGCTGGCATCATACACCATGAAACAGACAGCTAAAACAAACTCCTGCTATCCATCACTCAAGGCCGCATGCAGCGCACAGAGGCCATCACGCAGCGCCATATCCAGCTATGACACAGATGACACAGAGCCAGTTATGAGCGCACTGACTGATCCTCTGCTGCCTGGCTGTGCTGCCCTGCCGTGCCTGCATTCTCCACCCCCTGCTCCTTGCTGCCATTGCTGACATTATGCCCAGCTCTACCCCTTCCCTCTGCAACCCCATTGGCGCTTTCTACACGCGCACCATTCACCCCCGCGGCAAGCCCCACACCCTCCCTGGCATATGCAACCCCAGCACCTCCTGCCCTCACCGCTCTGCTGGAACTACTTGCCGCTGAGTCACCAGCAGCCGCCGATGACTCATCCTCTGCCTGTTCTGGCTGCGCCAAATTGCTAGCTTGGTGCTCAGCTGCGCGCTCATCCATGGCTTCGCTGAGATCCGTGATGTGAGGATCCATCTCCAGCTCAAGCCGGAGGCGATCCTCCTGGGCAGACTCCGAGCGCCCCGCCGCTGACTCATCCTTTGCCTGTTTTGACTCCCCCACACTGCTGTCTGCATGCGCAGCTGCTGGCTTGTCCATGCCCTCATTGAGATCGTAGAGGGGAGGACCAATCTCCAGATCCAGGTTGGGGCGGTTCTTGGAGTTTTCCTGGTCGAGGATGACGTCCACGTCGACTGGCAGCACCGGGCCGCGCATTATGTCGCAGGCCCACTGCTGGCGCAGCCGCTTGAGGCTCTTCAGAAATAGGTCGCCTGCGCAGCGGGAGCAACAAAACCATCGGAGTGAAGCACACTTACAGCAATGCTAAAAAATTGCTGATATATTGGTAGTTGTGTTAAAGGGGCAGTATTGTTGCAGAGCAAATGAGGAAGGCATCCCAGCAGGATCAACAGTGATGAATGGCCTTAAATTTGACCAGAAGGACCCCAGCAACAGCCAAAAAGTGTCCAATCCTGGTCAATCACGCGAGCATTGGACAGTTTTGACACTTGCTGGGATCTCACTGCTTGCAATGCTGACACCTGCGCAAAAACCAGAAGTACAACATCCCCTCTACACGCCAACCAAAAAGTCAGGCACTTTCTGATCGTCCAGGGCATAGGTTGTTGCCCAGCTGAGAGGAATTGCAATGCTGGCAGAGGAGGGACGCACTGCCTTCCAGGCGGTACTCGTCCAGGGGGTTGAGGTGGGAGAATGAGCGCAAGTGCACCGCCGTATCGGTGCTCTTCATGTCCTCCAAAAACTCAGACCACATCGTGTCGAGCACCTGCCAGCAGAACAAACCACTTAATATTATTATTATTATTATTAAATTATTACACGCTTTTTGTGCCAAGAGGCAAGGTGCGTCTTGCAGACAAGCTGCAGTTGAAGGCTTCCGTATTCCTACCCCTTGTTGGACTCGCCAGATCCAAGCAAGACCCAATCGACCGTGGGCACGGCGCTCAGTATTTATATTGCCCCCCGCCAGCCGCGGCCAGCCGGGGCCACTAAATATGCCAGTCCAAAATATCTGAAACACATGCTGCTGGACCCTGTATCTCTAGGAGTTCAAAGACGGGCAATGATCCTTGCAACACCAGCCCAAGAATACCGTTCTGGAAAGTTTCAAGGTAATAAAATTAAAACTTTCGAGGCTTGCGGCGTGGGTTTGGGGTGTGCGTGATCCGCAGGACCATGCTCTGCGACCTGCGCTGCCTCTCCCAACTCGTGCTTCAGAGACAGGAATCTAAGAGGCACAAACAAGAATTACAGCGCAGGTCACAGAGCATCCTTGCTGTCGAGAACATGCTGCCAGCCTGAACAAGATGACATCACTGCAGGATGCACCTTCTTTTCACATGAAGGCCCAAAGTGGATGTTTGACAGTCTTCAATAAAACCCAGAAAAACCACAATGGAGGGGTGTCAATGTTTGGATTCCCTTGAGATATTCTACTCACCCTGACCATGTAGACCCGCTCGAAGGCCTCCAGATTCTCAGCGATGCTGCCGGGCTCTGCCAGGTCAGCAGGCAGCGCGCCTCCGCTCCCCTGCGCGTGCTTCCAGAAGGCCAGGTACTCGCCGAATGCGTCGCCTATCTTGGCGCGCTTGCGCAGCTCGTAGCCTGCCACCAGCGCCTGGCCGATGTGCTCTGACAACGCCTCTGCTGCCCTCGCCCACCTGATCGGCACAAGCGATATTCTTGTCAAATCCTTCCTTTTTTTTTGAATCTAGCGAAATAGAAGGTTTGAGTTGGAGCCTGCTGTTCCCAAGGTCTTTGCGAGGCAGAGCATTGGAAGAATATGCAGCATGCATGTCAGAATCCGCAGGCAAACGCTGATATTGCTGCATCGTGCAAGATTGCCTGGAGGACGTATGCTTGGGGATATACAAGGAAAAGGGGATTAGACGCACCGGCCTTGGAAACCTGAGCCCTCCAGGATTGCCCGCTCCCGCTGCAAGGGTAGCTGCAGACGCAGCTGCTCCTGCAAAACCAAAGAAGAAAACTTAATTTCAATATTCGCCTGGGCAGCAGGAGTCACAAACATCACAAGCATCGCACACACCCGCAGCAAGCATCCGTGCTGCAAAGGTAGAGTACAGTGTACTGGCGGCTAGCTATACCCGTCAATCAATCCAACAGAGAAAGCATCCACTAGTGCGAAGCAAGCAAACCAGCAGAGATGCAGGCGCGTCCAGAGGGACAGCTTCATGCAGCGCAGCTGCCGGCTTCCGGGAAGCCAGCGCCCGCCGCAGCTTCCGCGCAGTTTCCTCGTCGTCCAGAGGGCCCAGCACGCCCTCAGCATCGCCCTGTGCATAATTAAAGCGGCCACGTCAGATGCTGGAGACTTTTGTGCGTTCCCCTACCTATACATAGTATACCACATTTAAAAAACACCATCACGCCATCATTCTCTGCCAACCCGTGGGCAGATGCTAGCACATGATCGGACTGCATGCACTTCAAACTGCGGCGTTTGCAGCTGTCAGGAAAGGGTCAAATTTGGGCATATAAAAGAGCTGATTATCATCTCAGTATTATAAAGAGAACAAGGTGAATGTATCTTCTGCATGCTGATGATACAGACAGGAGGCTGCGAGCTTACAATCTGGATGGGAAATTCGCTCATCTTTGTGACCTCCTTCCAGACCCTGGCGGCTTGGGGCGTGCGAGGCATCTCCAGCTTAATTTTTGCCACCGACATGGGATTTACCATGTACCTACATTTTTAAAAGAACCCCAGTCTCACACTGCATTGCATTCATAACTTATGCCACGAAATGCCTACGCATGCACAAAGGGACACCGGCATGCATGCCTATGAAAGAGCATACGGCAGGAACGCATACAATGCTGACATGCAACAGCAGGATCTTCGCAATATGTTCTCTCTGTGAGCTAAAGCTATGCGAGTATGCTTGCGTAAAGCTATGCGAGTATGCTTGCGGCTCTGAGCTTGCTACAGTATGTCAGCCAGAAAAGCGCCCCAGGCTTCAGCCCTACAGAGCGGAAAGCACTGTCCTGCTAAAAAGTGCATGAAAAGGCAATAGCTGACCTGACTTGGTGCACAAGCTTCTCCAAGTCCCACGAAGCATCGCCGGGGGGGTGCCTGGGATCGACATTTGCCTTCACCAGCCACTCTGCCGCATCCTGCAGACGGACAGAAGCAAAGAGTCACGATAACTATTACGTTGCCCTCTTTATTGACAACACTAGAGCCATTGTTCATATCAAACCGCAGGCTAAATGGCTAATGGGTGCAACACAATGCACACAAAGAAAGGCGGGCGGTAAACAGAGCACAGAACACTGGGAGTCCAGTCGGGTGTGAGATGTCTGCAGGTGTCATGTATGCACATGCTATCCTGCACCTCCCTCCTGCACTTTAGCACGCAGGATGGGACACTACACTTATTGCTCCTGGAAGCCAAAGCAGGCAGCAGCCAAAACAGACACCGTCCCAGGGAGCCAAGACAGGAGCGCACCAGGAACGCCCCGCGGAGGATGCGCGTGCGCTGCGGCCCGGAGCCGGCAAGAAGCTGCGCGCGAAGCTCCGTCTTGTGGCGCCGGAACACCTCGAGCACTGCATCGCTCTGCAGCAACGCCAATCGGCCGGCGCGCTTGCCTTCGCTCAGAGCGCCGTGCACCACGCTTATGTACATGTGGCCTGCCGGGTCCGGCAGAAAGCCCGCACCCTGATCCACCTCTGCGTGACACATGTGTATTGCTACATCAGTAATATTACATGCTCATTCCAGCCCCCTCAGGGCTCAGTGCGTTGCAGCAACCTCCCAATAGGTCCCCTCCAGCCGTAAGGCGTCAGCGGAAACATGAGTCGTGAGCCATGGGGGGACGCCCATGTGCCATTCTCACTACAAGGCAGCCCCAAAATGCAGCTACCTTGCCTTCGCGCTGGACCATGGCTGCTGTTTCCAAAGTGGATTCCGCATTGATAAGAATTCAGCAAGGTGCCAGAGCTCTCTAGTCTCTTCAAAACGTGGTGCACCATAGAGAACGCAGGGCTACTTAAGACACCCAATCCAAAACAGCTGTGTTGCGGAAGACATGGCGTTCCAAGAAACCTGCACTCTGCTGGAAGGGCGCATGGTCTACATGCCGGAAGTGCGCTCCACTGCATCTTGGGTCAAAGAACTCAATTCTGGAAGGCAAGAATAACGGCGCGCACTCTGAAGGAAGGGCCGCGCGGCCTCCATGCCGGAGGTGAGCCCGGCAGCTTCCACAAGGGGGTCGTTGAGATCTACAAGGGTGAATGTCTCGCCCGGGTCGCCCTGGCGGCCGGCTCGGCCGCGCAGCTGCTTGGCCACTCGCTCGCTCTCCTGCATGCTCAGCACCAGCACCAGCAGCCCACCCGCATCCTTCACCTGCAGCACACGCCGAGGCATGGTCAGTGTTTACTATTACTATTCCTCTACGTCAGATACATATGTAATTCGGTTTACCTGTCAGAGGCAAAGTGCATCTGCAGGTGAAATGAAGCCTTGTAAAATTCCCACTCCCTCTTGAACATGCCAGATTCAAGCAAGACCCCAAAAACTGTGGCGAAGGTCCTCTGTGTCAGTGCTGCCGGGGATCAGTAATTGCAAAATACATATGTGATCATGGACCTCACAGCTGACTTCAATCCAGCGGATTTCTTCTGTATGCACGGGATGCATGCATGCCTCCAGATCATGTGCCAATTTCATGACATCCATCCCCTATCCTCTTTCTGTGATGTATGGCAAACGAATGAAGGCTGCCAAACTGTAACCTAAATGTTAACTAAAGATGTAAAGATTACAAAGAATCTCACCTGCTGGGCGCGGTAGGCGCACTCCTCGTCAAAGTAGAGCCACAGGTACGCGAGCGCGCGCGTCATCTCCCCGCAAACATCTGGCCCTTCGCTGGTGTCATGCGCGCCAAGTTTGGCGTCCACCACAGCTTTCAGCCGGGGAAATAACTGCGCGAACTTCGGCCAGGATTTCTGCGCCAGGGGGAGTGATGAGACGAGCTGTTGGTGCAGTCCTTCTGCTGCCTCCAGCGCCTCTTCTACCAGTTTGTCGGCTTTGGCGCAGGGGATCTTTGAGCCGTCGTAGACCGTGGCCACCACTGCCTGCATTCAAATTCAAATTCAAACAATCATTGATTTCTCTGGCCATGTACAGCACACAGTAATAAGGTAACGGGCTTCCTTGCACTTGTCAGAGGAGACACGCCGGTTGCAGGACTTGGTCTTAAATGGGGTTGAGAAAAGACACAACAAGAGAGAACAAGAGAGAATAAGAGAGTTCTGGGGCCCTGAGAATGGACAATACTAAATAAGTTTGGAAGATACCTTGACACGCTCCAGAGCACCGGCCAGCTCGAGCGGCAGCTTGCCCTGCCGCTCCGCCACCGATTGGAAGTTGTCAAAGATGAAGGGCATCTCGTGGCGCTCCACCTCCCACTCTTCCTCTGCAAAACGTGCAGATTTTGCTTATTCTAATTTGGTTCAAATAAAGACAAATTGTCAATAATGGGGGCAAGTTTGCCCCCGTAAAGCATGGAAGTGGCCGTGGAGACAAGCAAGGGAGATAGATGGTGGGGCAGAAAACACAGGAGCTCAACCCTAAACCCTAAAAATAAGCAAGCACAGGGGATTTGTCTGATGATCCCCAGGCCGATGGCACGGAGGTACTGTCAGCATAGCGTTAGATGTCTGAAATTTGAGAGATGAGATCAGGACTGCCCTCCTGCACTAGCCGTCCCACCACTCCTGACAACTGCTCAGGGTCCGTTGCCTAAAGAGGTACAAGCACGTTCCGATTACAGCACGACTTGTTCAACATGCCTGCGAAAGGAAGAATAAAAAGGGTAGGCCCACCTGGGACCATGGCTGGGAGGACGGTGTTTTCCAGCGCCAGCTGTGCAAGGCCCTTTGGGTTGCCCCCCAGAATGATGTCCGTCCCCCGACCTGCCATGTTTGTGGCAATCGTAATCAAGCCTGGCACGCCCGCCTGCCCAGCAGAGTAAACACAGATATATTAAAGGTGTACACCCCACACAGAGAGCATTCAATCGGCCCACAGTCAGGTCCTTGGAAGGCCAGCGTGGTGCTTCTTGTGGACAGCAGCGCTTGAGGCTTTGATGGCTTCCAAGCACACACACGTTAAAGGAAGGACACCCACATTTGCATGCATTGTGGAAGCACTGACTCGGTTGTGCAGTGGAACCTTGTGGTGAGCAGTCACCTGTGCGATGATCTTGGCCTCCCTGCGGATGTACTGCGGCCGTGCATTCAGCATCTGGTGCTGGATGCCCCTGCGCAATATACAACACATCAACTTCCAATACCTAAATCCCAGCACATGCACGCACAACAAACGCAGCAATACTCTCTATTTTGTGGCCTGCTCTGAGTGCTTGGCAGACGAAGGTAAAGCAACCAAGATTGGGACACCGAATGCCTGATTATGTCACATGCATCAATATTCCAAGGGAAATTACTACATCAGATTGGTGTCACCATGCACGCAGGTTGGCGGCAGCGTATTCCGAGTCGGCCACGGAGGCAGTACCGATCAGCACCGGCCGCAGCTGGCTACGCGCCTTAGTCAGCAGCAGCCGCAGCGTGCGCAACATGTGATTCTCCCTGATCCAACAAAGCCTCCTCAGACACGATACAGCTTTACTTCAACTGAGTGCCACATGATGCCGCCACAATGCCTGCTCATCAAGTGTCCTCTCTTGCAATCATGTCCCCTGTCTTGCAAAAAAGACACAGTGCATGCTTGGCCATGCTTGAAAGTGGAAGACATGCTCACAAGCAAACAAACACAAAGCCGCCAGTGTGGCCAGGGGCCGTGTCCCTGCAGGAAGTGGAAATGCAGCACTGCAACACCGGCTCTGGAATACTTCAAATAACGTCATTCCAAAATAATGTTCAAGATGTTTGTGCTCACGTGAGGAAGACTCGAGGCTCGTGGTCAATGCGCCGGCGCGGCTTGTGTGTTGGCACGGCAGTCACCGACAGTCCGTACACCTCATGAAACTCCTCCTCCTCTGTTATTGCTGTGCCCTGAAAATTGACACGGGCAAAATATCAGTAAAACCCAAACCATATACCCTAAACATTCCTAATTCCATCAGTTATGCTCACGCAATGCAGTGTCGCATGCCTAAAGCCATGCATGTCTGACAATGGCACCTCAGGAGAGCACCTCCCTAAACTGCACAACAGAATGCATGAAGTGAGGCAACTTGAGCAACTGAGAAGTGAAGGTGTAAGGAGTAGAGCAGTGCGAGTCACCGTCATGCCGGAGAGCTTGGAGTAGTATTTGAAGAGGGTCTGGAAGGTGATGCTGGAAGACACCTTGGTCCTGCCCTTGATCTCCACCTCCGGATACTCCTGCGCCTCAATCGCCTGCAACATAGTACAGGTCTACCAATGAGACATGCATATACAGTCAGTGCGCCCACATTGCATTCAAGTTGAATTTTTCGGTCATGGGGCTGTATATTTGGGGGAGCTGCTACACAATCCCAGGACAAACCCCACGTGCAAATGAGCTTTGGCATTGCTTGATCTTGTCCCGAGACGGTATAACAGCTCCTACAAGTGCAGGGTAGGCCCGACCCAGAAAAATTTCATGTGCACTGAAACATCAACTGCACAAACGCAGGATGTGCTCAAAGAAACAGGAACACTTGCTTGAGAATCTCCAGAACGCTTCTCTCACAATTGAGGCAGAGCACACATCTCGGCGCACAACGACAATCGAAGGAAGGCACAAATACCTCTCCAAAATGAAATTGCAAACAAGCTCGAATCTCTCTACACGGTGTCAATCAGAGGTAGAAAAAAACCTGGTGCAGATCATCAGTCCAGCGGCTGGTGGGCATGATGCGTCCGGTGCTGGTGTTGACAATCTTCACCTCGCCCTCGCGCACGATGTAGTTCACATCGCGTCGGTGCAGCTCGCGCGCGCGCAGCGCCGTGATTATGTACGGCCCCATCGGCACGGCCGCCTCCCACAGGTCGTTGATGTTGGGCGGCCGGCCCTCTCGCTGGGCCTCGGGGAAGTCCTCTCCCATCTCAACTGCAGCAGGAGTGAAATCAGAGTCGGGACAGAGCATCATGGTTATTTTTTTAGAGGATCCTTGGGGGATCCTCTCCCAGATCGACGTCAGGAAATGCATGATAGCAGCCAATCAAGACAGGAGGTCCACAGCCATGATTTGTTACACAACTGTACCAATGGGCACGCGTTCTCTACTCATAGAAACCAGACAAAGAATTTATCAGAAGGAACGTGTAGACTTGAGACATGAAAAACTTAATGAAAGCTGCCTTGCCTACTGCTTTCAATAGAAAGTATAACAATGATTCTTCAGAAAACCATGCAGCTTCCAATCCATGCTGGCTTCCGAAGTCTTGCACTTGGACCGGTCAAAATGAATACCATATGAGGACAAGGTGATAAAGACAGCTACATCCCCAGAACTGAAGTAGGGAAGCGGAGAGAAAGATGCACAAGCGATGTAAAGCAGAGGCGCACCCAGGAGGGCAAGGACGCGCAGCATGCCATCCCGGGTGAGTGAGATGCGGTGCAGCTTCCGGTCAATGACATAATGACCCAGCCTCAATACCCGCTCTGTCTCTGGCTCCATCTCTTGCTCCCACAGGAAGGGCTTGCCGCCTTGCACCTTGGAGTTGATCACCTGACAACCAAAGATGCACACCACATTTAGTCTCCTTTCTGCGGTAGCATATAAGACAAACATATGGCCCTTTGCGGTACAGGACAGACAAATTTACTAGGTCTCCACTTATCAATAAAGTGAGGGCCCCTAATACCAAGGTGTATATCGCGCAAGACCAAGGCTGACATTCTCAGCCGTATGACATCATGGGAAGTAGCACCAACTGCTGATGTCACAGATTACAAATACATTGAAACTTCAGGCGCATACCGCTTCAACGGGTCACTGCGGGAATTGCTGACAAGGAAGCAGCAGTGTAGTAATTGACTCACCTTGTGGGCGAGTAGGAATCGTTCGGTGGCGCCGGTGTCTGGCTCATCAGAGATGATGAGCGGGTTGCGGCAGTCATCAATCAGCAGCGAGTCGGCCTCGTCCACAATTGCATAGTTGAAGGGACGCGTGATGGCCTGATTGAACAAAATCATGACTTAGAGCTTCATTATGAAGGACTGTCATGTGGAAAAGGCATCACCCATGCTTGCTCATGAGCCTGTGCCCATGCAGCAAAGTATTTATGAGGCTCGGATCATTTGCAGCAGCACTTGCAACGTGGAAACCAGTCCATTTTTTGCATCCATTCGGCTGCATTGTGTGAAAGCCCAATCTCATACAGTGCTGTGATGTTGCAACCCATGCTGTACTGGGAGGATGACCGATTTTCGGCCTTCTCATGCAAAGCAGCCGGGTTTATGCACAAATCGGGCTGCATGGTGTCGAATTCAGTCCACACATTGCTGAGATGCTGGAATTATAGGTTTCCCTTCCCTCTCAAGCAAAGCAGAGTACGGGACGAGGCGCACCAGGTCATCCTTGCGGTCCACAGTGCTGGTGTCCTGCAGGAAGGTGAAGCCGAGCGAGTTGGCCGTGAGGTATGTGATGTCTGCATTGAAGGCCGCACGCTTGCGCTTCTGGCTAAAGCCCTCCTGTATTACTGCCACTGAGACGCCCAGAAACTGGTACAGCTTCCCCATCCTGCATCAGCACATGCATGCCGGTATTCAATGCCCCCATCACCAGATAGGAGCACACTGGTTGAACACCACGTTTTACCGTGTTCAAAAATATACTGGATAAGACTGGGTGACTGGCCGGAGGTGATGCATGGTCGTTCGCGGCCTTCTGGAAGCTGCATGGCTCTGGAGGAAGGACCTCCCTCCGCGAGAGGCGTACGCTATGTCATCTCAAGACCAGGTGCATGTGAAAAAGGCTCCCATTGCATGGCATGTCGGGGGGAGGCGGCATGGACAGCTACACGAAGAGCTACACGAGGGGGGACCCCACCACTCACAGTCCCGCTTGGCCAGGTAGTCATTCACAGTGACAACGTGGACGCCCTTTCCCTCCAGAGCGTTTAGATAAGCCGGCAGGGTGGCCACCAGTGTCTTCCCTTCACCGGTCTGCATCTCTGCTACCGCTCCCACATGCAGCACCATCCCGCCAATCTGCATAGCACACAGATGTGATCAAAGTCCTTGCTTGTTTGCAATAAAAGCAACATGCAAGCATGCACTAAGGCAAACCTTCCTTGCATGCAGTACTTTGAGCTGGGAGTCAACACTACGACTACCTGACGTTCTTGAAGTAAAAATTGCAGCTACCACCAGACATCATGCAGATTTGGTGACAACGGCGAAATCTCCTACACAACAACAAGCAGACAAAGCTCCAGCCATTTCATCAATCTTGCAGTGCTCATCGAATAAATAAGTACGAAGGCTGAGTTCTGCTGTCATAAAAGATGCAAGCCTCATGCTTACCAGCTGGACGTCATAGTGGCGCATGTTCAGAACTCGGCGCGAGGCTTCGCGCACGACAGCGAACGCCTCCGGCAGTATGTCGTCCAGGCTCTCTCCCTTCTGCAGCCGCCCACGGAACTCGCTGGTCTTGGCTGCCAGCGCCTCATCAGGCAACGCCTTCATGTCCTCCTCCAAGCTGTTGATCACCGCCACCTTCTGCATGTACCTGCAAATGCAGCTGACTCTCAAGTCATCTGATCACTGCTATCAGTTCAAATGCGTGAAGAGAAGGCACATGAATGCACATGAAACTCCAATCAGGCAGGTCTTCATGCCCCAGCTGGTTTTTTAATTTGAAGACGCCGCCATGTGATTAGGAGTGAGAGTGAGGTGCCATGCTGATGGCATGATCATGAGCAGTCTCCATGATTGTGCTGTGGGAGAACGCGGGCAGCACCTCTGCAGATCCCGCTGCTTCCCAGTTGCCAGGGTCTCCAGGTGCTTCTTCCAGTGCGCAGGGATGCTTCCCAGAGCGCCACTGCTCTTCCCCGCCTGCGCGCATTTCATGGTCATATGGTGCTGGTGAATATGGGGCCCAGCGCAAGATCATTCACAGCAATCGTGATCTGCAGACAGAGGGTGTCTTAGTGTCTCTCTGAGAGGTGAGTCAGCCACCCCTCAAGCAACCAAGTGATAGAGTACAGCACCTCCTTGTGAAGGAGCTGGTTGAGGAATGCATGGAGCGATCCACGATCACGGGTCTTCGATGTATCAGTGGCTGCATTAGACACAGACTGCTGCTTGCAGGTGACTCGCAAGAGCTGCCTTAGCTGAAGCGATCTGCCTGAGGCCAGTCTGTGCCTGCAAGGGAGTCTGCATGGTGCCAGATGCAACGATCTTCTCCCAAACTTGGTAAGTTGTGCTTTGTTTGAGCCCTGCAATTCAGTATTGTAAGCAGGCATGGGATGGCCCAAGGGCATGACTGCACTTGCGTCCTTCCTGTGCTTTGTTGTCAAGCTTGAAAGATGATACCAAGATATCTAAAGACTCCCGGGTGAGACCAATCTCTTCCAGATATTTGCCGCATGATTTACGTCTTGTTCGATGAGAGATCGCAGCATCAATCAATCATTGTGTGCATGAATACTACTTCCAAATCCAATGTACTTCTGATTCTCCGTCGAATTGCCAATTTGTCAGGCTTTATCGAGTCATCTTACAGTACGCATCCCATTATGACTGAAAGATGCGTTGGGACCTTGCTGGTAAACCTTGAGAAACGGTTCGGACGTGCAACCAGTCCTCCGAACCCTGACTTGCAACCCGCACAGAGTAAACCCTACAGGGGTCGACGAGTCCATCTGATGAAGCTCAAATGCTCCGCTCGCAGCTTCATTGTTCGACCGGCTATGCGTATTTATATAATGCTCGCCAGCGATTCTTTGCATTGAACTATACCGTTGCGGAAGTAATTGGCTGGAGCTTTATTTCCAGACATTTTGATTGGTGGTATCCAGAGGTGTACAGGGTGCAAAATATACTCATACCAGCAGCTAGATTGTACAGAAAATTAGCCAAAATAAAGAAAATTTTATTAAAAGCTTAAGAGGCTGTGTGGAGAGTCGCCAGTTCCTGGGGATTCAATATGCTTGCACTGCACGTTGCTTGTGCTCCTGTATTGTGAGGTGAGATTGGTCAAAAAATGACTATGTCACTACGTGTAACAATAATTATGAATCTTCAAAGCACCTAAGCTTGCATTCAGCAGATTGTGAGAGTATTGGATACCCCCATCTTCCCCAACAGTCTGTGCACTGGATTGCTGTGAAGGAAGAACTGTCTTTTTCCTTCGAGATGCACACCGATGTAGCCTTTTGCTGATCGCCAATGGCCTGCAGGGAAGCTGGAGGGTCTGCGCGCGCTGGTTGGCGTCTCAAGTAAAGCATGTGCAGAGCGGGGTGCCACTCAGTGGAAGCTGCAGACAGTGCTTGCAGCAGTGGGCGGTCGTGCTTTGACCTCAATAACAGGGATCCCATTCTATTCAAGGTGGGACTATTAGAGAAGCTCATTCCCTGGCTCATGTGTGTAGCTCTTGAGATTTGACGTCGCTATTACTCGCAGCCATGCAGCGGAGTCTGCTTGACGTGAGTTGGACACCTCACTGACTGCCTGCAGGTTGGGCAAATGGGGAGCTCCTATCTGCGGTGGGTGCACAGGCCAGCCCCCGGCCAGCCTCGCTTTTTTAGAAGCCCAGTCGTGGAGTACCTCACCAAAACACCCTGGTCAGTCCTGCCACTTGCTTGCATTGCCTCCCATCACACACTACCTTCAATTGAGACTTCAGAGGCTTCAGTATGGTCCTGAGGCAACTGGGACGACCAGCTTATCCCTTGCGTCTTAATTTTAAGTAATATTTATATAATTATAATTAATAATGGGTGCTGTGCAGGTGGGTGGTGCCTCTGATATGGGTGCCCATCATACTGGCATGCTTGAGGCGGAGCTTCCTGGATTCGCACTTGCAGTGGCCCCAGCTGGCGCTGCTTGTGGCCGCTGGGGTCCTCCTTTGGCAATTGCTAGAGTACTGTATACACAGGTGGGGCATTGACCTTCTCCTTGCCACATGAGACTTCCTTGCAGAGTGTCACTCTAATATGAGGCACGCCGAGCTCATGATGCTGGGAGATGCCTGGCTGTACAGATCAATGAGCCCAGCGCCAAAGTGTGAGGTTGAGGGGATGAGACGGCTTGTGCACTTGTCACTTGTATTCACTCGATTGGCGGGGCGGATTGTATACTGAGCACCGTGCCAGAATTTGATTGAGTCTTGCTTAAATTCTGCGAGTCCATCCGGGAGTAGGATATCTGGCGGCCTCTACCTGCAGCTTGTCTGCAAACGCACCTAGCCTCTGTTAGGAACAGCGTGTCACCCTCCCGAGGGAGTGCAGAACAGGCTGAGGATGCGTGCTTGAAAGAATTGCTGATGCCGCTCTACGCAGGCACATTTTCCACGCGCAGCCGCGCAGCTACTGGGCCATAACGCTGCACTTTGGGTTTCATGGCTGCCACCACAAGTTCCCACAGGACAGGGAGCGCCTCGTGTTCCCGCCCCTGCCCGCCTTCCTCATAGCTGCCGCCATCCGCGCCCTGCTGGCAGCCGCCCTGCCCCAGGCACGCCATCTGACCTGCGCACAATGCTTCCCACGATGTGGAAGGCCTCATTGATTGTGCCAAACGAGCTGCTGTTACGCGGAGACCTGTTTCAGCTGAATGCTTCTGAACATTATTGGAGCAAGGTTCGCAGGCTGCTGCACAGCTGAAGCATTCCCCCATTGCCTGTATAAGCTGTTGCATGGTTGCTGTGACAGCTTGCAGGAGACTGAGAGCCTAGAGGAGGACCGACCTTTCTCGCAGATCATAATGCAGCAGATTGACATGTCACAAGCATGTCTTCTGCTGGTGCAGGAGGCGGTGATGCCGGTGTTCTCTGGAGTGCTGCTGGGATATCTGGCGTATGACTGTGTCCATTATGCAATCCATCATGCGCGGACGGGGAGCAGCTGGTTTGCCGATCTGAAGAAGGCCCACCTGAACCACCACTTCAGAGATCACAGCGCAAATTTTGGCATCAGCTCCAAGTTGTTTGATACGATCTTACAGTCCTGCCCCAAGCACTGAACCGGCTGCACTTGGTCTGACATGCACCAGCTGCCTGCAGATCTTGCAGGCCCTCATTGGAGTGCTGCTTGCAGATCTTTGCTGAAACTTAGCTCGGATCGAAAGACTCGAATTCCTTAGTTGGTAGTAACTGGCATCTGCCGCTGTGCTGGGTGCGTAGCTGCAGCTTGGCATCAGACAGAATTGAAGAATCGTAACACACAGTTCACAATAAAATTCTAGAATCAGTATTGCACACACGTGCAAGAATGGATTGTCCCCTCCAGATTCGCGCACGCTATATGATATATAGTATATATAGCGTGCAACTGCAAGATTGCTAGCAATACATATCATCATTATCATTACACGCTTTTCCTACCGAAGGCAAGGTGCGTCTGCAGACAATCTGCATGCAAAGGCTGCCAAATTTTTACCCCTTGTTGGACTCGCCAGATCCAAGCAAGACCCAATCAACCGTGGGCACGGTGCTCAGTATTTGTACCGCCCCCGCCAGCCGGGGCCACTGATATAAGCTATACATATATGTATAGCTTATATAAGGTTTTCGTTTTTTTTGTAGCTACTGTACTATAGTTTTGGATCATCCGGTGATGCATGCATGATGTCATATGATGCCAAGCTGCCATACGCACGCGTGTGTACTATGCAGCATAGTCTATGCTCGAACAACTAAAGGAGAACAACAGATGGTTCCTCGTTGTCAGATTGTTTTTGTGCATGACTCCTGGATTCCTTCTGAAGAAGGAAGGAAGGAAGGAAGGAAGATTACATCACTCCCAGCCGCCTAGGGCTGATTTGATGAACTGGCAGCATCCAAATAATCAAAACAATCCATCACAAAATGTGCAACACCAACAATGTCCAACTGCCACATGAATTGCTGCATCGTCACAATGTCTGCACCAAACAGCCCAGGATATCTGACCTTGGCGAGAGCGCTAAATTTAGCATAGGGCAAGAAACGCCATCGAACAGTGGAGGTTGCCATTGAGCGGCATTCGCAGAATGGATCGTCTGGGGGGTGTCTTCAAGATCTTTCAAAGGAGAAAGAAGAGAATAGTTTCCGCTGATCTTCTCCAGGGGAGTTCCGGCGAAGGCGCTCACCTGACAGTCCCTTCGCAGCTTGAGCAAGCCTGGGCCTTGGACTCTGGAACCAAGCGTTGCAAGCTTTATATGGGGTAAGTTCACCCTGAAACATAACAAGTGATATTTCTCTGATACGTTCTGCTTATGCACCTGCCATATTACGACCCAGTATGGGGCGCTGAGCTTGTGATGCCTCGTGTCACCTGAGCGCCATAAGATTGCTGACATCATTTTTGATATGTAGGATGGATTTGAATGCATCGATCGATATCAAGGAGATCCAGAATGATGGCAGCAGCGACAAGAACAAGATGGTTCCCGAGCTCTGGGAGCTGATCGCGAGCAAGATGACGCCTAAGGAGTGGGCCCGAGCCAGATGCGCCTGCCCAGCCATGCACAAGGCGAAAGTGAAGGTGGTGCGAGCGCGGCCTCACAACTCCAACCAGCTGGCTAGGGCGGCGGGAGACGTGCTAAACGCAAAGACGCTCTGGCTGGACCTGACCGCCCTGAGGACGTCGGGCTGCAGCACAGCGCTCTTCAAGAAGCTCTGGGGTCAGGAGGTTGACAGCCTGGAGCACCTTCAGCAGCTGAGCCTTACTCTATCCGCCAAGCCGGCCAAAAAGTCGCCAGAAGCACCTTTCTGCTGGCCAGCAAAGCCCAGCGAGAGCGTCAGCAAGTGGCTCGAAGCCCTGGCAGAGCCCCTGGCCTCAGCCCGCAACCTGGAGGTCCTGAGGCTGGACGTGGCATACGTGCCTGCGCTGCCTCCCATGGAGAAACTGCAGCACCTCAACCTCATCAGCTGGATGCCCCTGTCAGAAGCCACCTGCCAGTGGCTGCAAAAGCTGCCCAGCCTGCGCACCCTCAGCCTGGAGCAGAGCCCAGCCGCGGACATGCCACCAGCACACACGGCCCCGCCGCTGGACCTTTCAGCCTGCAAGCACCTGCAGTCAGTCAGCCTGTTCCACATCATCCCCAGTGACTTCCAAGCGCCGCGGCAGTGCTCGGTCACCCTCTGGACCGACCATGTGTCACTGCAGCCTTCCTGGGCAGAGACCTACAGCACATCAGCCACCGCATGCAGCGTGCTGGTGCCGGCCAGGGAATTTGTCAACCCCACCTTCTTTGTGGACATGTTTGCGCCTCCGGCTGCGCACCTGACAGCGCTGCGCATAGAGGTCCCCGAGGACATGCTGGGAGTGCTCAAAGAGCCCCTGATGCTGGGCGACAACGTGCCGAACCTGCGAGCCTTCCGCTGCCGCGCGTGGGACATCTTCCTCAAGCTCGGTGGCCAGCTGCGGCTGCAGAGCCTGCGCTGCGACGCGAAGAAGGCTGTGCACCTGGAGATCGAAGAGGAGGACTTGGAGGGAGCGGTCAGCGAGCTACAGCACCTGGATCTGTTCTGGGCGGCAAAGTCAGAGCACTCCCCACTGCTCCGGCGGCAGCTGATCGCGCTGCAGAAGACAGGCCGGCGCTGCAGCGTGGAGGCGGAGCAGGAGCCGCTGGGAAGCTACTGGGGAAGCTTCCAGGGAAGCCGCCAGGGGAGCAGGTTCCGCGCCAGCTTCCACGCAGATGCCGTGGTGGAGGATGCCAAGCTGTGCATGGGCTGTGGCGCTTGCGGCATGTGCTTGCAGGGGAAGCATGGCATCCCGGGCTTGTTTGGCCCTCCCTGACTTGCCAGAGCTGTGAAATGTGGGCAGAAGGCGGGTGAATGCACTTTGTGATATCAGTACCGGTGGCAAATCTGTCCTTCTGTGACTCGCAAGAGCTGTGACAGTGAGCTGAAGGCATGTGCATGCAAGGCAGCTGCACAGAATTTTGCAGCCCTCCGTGATTTGTCAGAGCTTTTGCTTAGCAGCAGAAGGGCATTTGAATCCAAGGGAATCACAGCACAGCTGTTTGGCCCTCTGTGGGCAAAGCTGAGAAATGAGAGCAGAATCAGCCGTTTGAATGATTCAGAACCCATGATGCTGAGCAAGATGCAAGCTGCAGAACGCAGTAGAATGCTAAGTATGAAACCCCCTGGAACGCTGTAGGCTTTACCTTTTCCATTCGTGCTTCTCTTCTAGAAAACGAGACTCAGTCTTGCACAGCAAGAACCATACTTATAAAATCCTGGTCAGGTACATTTCTAGCTGTCATGAAGGGTCTGTGCACTTGTTGCAACAAAGAAGTATGTGCAATCATGTGAATCCTAGTCTACTTAGCCATTGTTGTAGATGTGTGGTGATGTACGAGTATGCAGCGCGCCATAGCCGCAGCTAAGATTAGACATCAGTGTAGTACGGCATGGGATAGGAATGGGAGACAGCGAATTAGCCAGCATGAAAAGAAAGGCAGCAATGAGTGCCAATTCACAAGTGATCTAGGCATGCAGGAAAATTCCGATTCACGTGGAGGAGGGCTGTGATAGGAATGAAGGATGTTTGTAATTTTTACATTAATGGCAGAGAGCACATCTGCGTTAATGTTACAGACACCATGGCCTCATCAGTGAATCATTGTGTAATATTGATCATCCATGCCATGGCATACCATGCAACTGACCATGCTCTACTATTGCAGCTACTAAACAAGCCCACAACGCGACCGAGCCAGAAATTACCTGGTAAAAGATCAGTCCTCTGCCTACGATTGTATATGTGGAGCTGCGCAGCCAATGTGCTGAATGATAATACCAGTACCAGCTCAAATCTCGATCAGCAACCCAGGAATCTATTTGCATGCATCAAGGTGCTGTGTCGGCGGCTGATGAAGCATCAGCCTTGCATGCCAGGCGGTTGGCTAGCCTGCTGGCAATAACAAACGCCACAGCCTCCACAGTCACCATCGGATTGACGCCTGCACCCAGCAACAAGTTTTATCATGACCACAAAATCTTATCAAGCACAGCCGCAATTCTTTACATCAAGTGCAGACAGCATTGTGCAGCCTGTGGAAGCACTGCATGCACTGCTCGATCAATTTCTTGGACTCCCCTGAAGCAATCTGCAGGCGCGCAACTTCTTGGGCAGACTCTTGCACGACCGCAAGTTTCGCCGCCTGCTGACAAGAAGGCCGGGTGACCTACCACAATGCGGCTGTTAATGCTGGACAGTAGGCACCAGCAGAGGGTGTCTATTCTCTCTTTCATGATATTTCATGGGTGCAGAAGCGGGCTCACCGGTGCTGGTCGGCAGGGCAGAGGCGTCGCAGATGTAGAGGCCCTCCACATCCCAGCACTCGCCCTGAGGGTCGGCCACTGAAGTCGCTCGGCTGGTGCCCATCCGCGCCGAGCCCATCTGGTGCGCTGTCAGTACCGCCATCCTGTTTAGCTGCACACCTACACGCACAGACCAACACATTCAGCATTGCAACTTCTGCTGGTACATCATGATACAGGCACAGCATGTGCAAGTTTGAAGGTGCAACTTGCAGAACTCTCACCCTTCACTCACCACGGTGTTCCCAAAAAAATTGGCTGCAAGAATGCATGAGATGGTGGGCAGTTCAAGCTCAATCTAGCACTACAAAGCGGCCCGGTGCTGCTAGGCAAAGGACCTTACTGCTTTCAAAGCACCGCAAAAGCAGGAACAAGTAAAAAAGGCCCAAACGGCACCTTCTGTGCGCACGCTCCGGAGATATTCTTCAAGGGCCTCGCTGTTTTTCAGCGTTCCATTTGCCTCGGTCTCTGGCGTGAAGGTGAAATAGCGGCAGGAATGCAGCGTCATGACTGATTGCGCGCCGGCCGCCACCAGCGCCCTCAGCCCGAGCTCCATGCCCTGGCATGCCACAAAAAAATTACCTGCAGCTGCATTTTGGTTGACCGCGCTTCCGCGAGAGAGCACTGCTCGGCAAGATCGGTAGCGCGGCGGTCGGCGTGTATGATTTCAAATTTTAAATGTAGGCCAGGCGCAGAAGACTATCATGACGGGGAAAGCGGTGATGAGGAACTGCTGCTGCTTTGGCCTTGATCTGCCACATGAGGTGACTTTTCATGCCCCCTCATAAGAGGCTAGCCAGCGCTGACATGACATTGGTATGCCTTGAAACTGTGGGGCAAGTGCACTAGCGTCATTGCAATCTAGAAGCGGAATCAGGGAGCTTGCCATGGCGCTCATGAAGTGCATGGTTGAATAGACCTCCTGCCGGAAATGATTCTATGCATACGGTTTTGCAGGTATGCGAGCAATGCGTCTGACACTTATCCGGCAGAGAGCCACAGCTGTCCGCCTTTCGATTCTCAATACTGAAGCCCGCAGCAATGGGCTCTCACCTTCACCATAGAGATCCTGTCACGGGCGCTGGGCCAGTACTGCACTCTTGGCTGCCCATCCGAGCCTAAATAGACTCGGCCACAGTCCCTATCGCGCACATACACCAACGCCCCCGCAGTGTAGGGGAACTCGAGGGATTTTGCTCGGTATTCTCCCCCCGAGGGCCAGGGGAATGACGCAGCTGTCAGCCCCGGGTGCCCCTGCGCACGGCAGCAGATACACTTTAATTATATGCAACTTTTCACTGGTTTGTGTCAATGAACACTCTATGCATTCTCGAAAATCTTTTCTGGTCTTAATGGCTATAATAGACTGATTAAATTGACTTTCTGAGCAAGGAGACAGAGCTCCAGAAGTGAAACGCCAGCATGGCAGCTGAGCATGTATGTGCTGTTCAGTAGAGCGTCATGCGCACCGATGGAGTTGCCAGCAGTGGTCCATAGCCAGAGCCCTCCCAGTCGGCCGCCTCCCTGCTGAACACGCTCATTATTGCCCCCTCCCAACCCAAGATCGGCCCTTGCTCCTGTACAAAATGCACATAAGCATCTCAGGGACTTCTCATTTCTCCTCGAGAAGTCCAACTGGCAGCTGCACAGCTGCATCCTAACTACAGCAGCCAGCAAACATACACCAGAGATGACTGCAGAAGATACCAGCATTCAAGTTGTGCATCGTGCCATATTCCTTTCTGCCATGCTAAGAAATTCCTTTCTGTGGGCACAACCTTTAATTTTATAAGCGCCTCCATGCATCAAGCACTACATTTGGCAGTCAACGGTGTCACCGTTTTTTTCTTTTGGGCACCATGAGGACTGTCCCTGTCAAGTCTGTATGCATCAGCAGTGTGATCAAGATGAGCTCCGACCAAAAGAGACGCGCCTTGGGAAAGGTAGCGGTCACAACAGTGGCAGGGTGCATGCGCAGGTTGGTGCCAACGTTCCCGGCCACGGTGACGCCACTGCGCAGCAGCAGCGCAGGAGTGTGCAGCGCCCCGGCAGCTGCCACCACATGTGTGCAGCGCAGCAGCAGCCGCCATGGACGCCTGTTTTGGCTGCCTGCGGGGTGATCGTCGCCTGCCGCCGCAGCCGGGGGTGACGAAGCAATGACTACGCCGTTGACCTGGCGCGGCCGGGACGTGGACGCTGTTGTAGACGTTAGAATACGCTCCGCATAGGCACCTGCAATTTGAGATGGGTCCACCGTTTCAGATGATACTCTTGCCCATCTCCAAACAATGGAAATCCTTGTAGAGCCATGTGGTGTTTTAGCCTCATGAATGTCAAGATTCATCAAAGCTAGCACTGTTGCTGAAGCTCGCCAGCGCACTCAAGATCTGAAGGGGAGAAAATGAATTCAAGCATAGTAAATTCATTCAAGCATGCAATTTTGGAAGAGCGTGACTCCTTGCAGCTGTGTCCGGCCAATCAGGTTCTCACATGCGCAAGAATTGGGACGTTGAGCAAGTTATGAAGCAACAGGAGTGGCTTGCCTGTGAGGATCTTAGCCCCACAGCGGACAGCGTCAGTAAGGAAGGTGCTTGTGGTGTCGCGTTTCTCTCCAGAGGGGCACCCAAATGAGCAGTGGCCGCAGGAGTGTTCCCGGCTGGTGTTGCGCGGGATCTCGCCGCAGTGCGCGCCCAGCTGCTTTAGGCCCGCCTGCAGCTTCGAATTTGCATTCGAATGCTCCAGGATACCTGAACAGGCATGCTCAGTGCTCTCAGCAGAGAAGCTCTCACACTCTACAGAAATTGCTTCATTTTGCATTTAACAGTAGCGAACAGATGCTTTAAGGCCATGCCTATGTTGTCACAGGCACCCAACTTTTGCTTCCTGCAAGCTCAGAAGGATTGGAGCAGGCAATGTGCCCTTCGACAATTAAATTTGTCCACATCCTGGCCTTCATTGCACAATTATCACGGCTAAGCCCTTGGGGTCGTTTATCCCAGGGAATGATGTGCAACCTCCTCAGCCGTGTTATTTATGCGCCGAGTACTTTATGTTGCCACATGTGCCATTACTCACCTGTGGTGACACCCAGGCGCTCAGTTACAGCGGCCAGCGCATGATCATACTCCTCGCTAGCAAACACATCCAGACCGTGCTCCTGCGCCCACTCATTCCGCACATGGTCCGGCGTCGCAAAGCTTGCGCTCCAATTGATGCGCGTACCTCCTCCGAGCGTGGCGCCTGCCAGAATGTTGATTCCTGAACAGGCAGCAGCCATGGGTCTGTCCAAATCAAGCAACCCGTGCATGCATGCATGCGAAAGACAGGCCGGCATGCACCAGGACAGAAGCTATCTTTATTTTCCACTTGCCATCATAAACTTGTGCCGGACACAAGGAGTATGGCCCAAGCAATGGTTACATGACTGCCACGAACCTCCTCTTTGCATCTCTCTGGTAGATTTCTGCAAGGGCAGGGGTAATGAGCATGTGGCAATTCATGGTGAGAATACATACCTGCATTGTCAGTGGTCATGAGACCGCCGCCTTCGTACATCGTTCCAAAAGCCTGCCTCTCCTGGAGCGGCAGCTCCTGTGCCCGGGTGTACGTCCCCTTTTCCACAACCAGCACCTGTGCCAAAGGGCGCTCTGTCTCAGCGCATGAGCTGGTGGTCGTTTCAGTACGGCAGAGCACTCACATGTGACGTGTTCAAATCCACACCCGCACAAACGTATGACACGATCATCATGCCAGGAAACGCAGGCCCATGTTGCAGACTTCCTGTTGCCGCATGATGGCATATTGCATGTTCAAGTGCGCACAGGTGTCCGTGCCAGATCATGGCTGGAGCTGCCAAGGGTGAACCCTTTGCACAAGCGTTGGAATGTACCTTGAGGCCTATTTTTGCAAGAAGAGCGGCAGCCACACTGCCGCCGGCCCCGGAGCCCACAATGACCACGTCACACTCGATGACAGCGTCCCACTCGCTGCCGGATTCCTGGGAAGACGGGATAATTCAAGCTCCCAGTAACTCGTAGTACATGACATCCTGAGGCTTCAGCTCGACAAAATGCAAAATGGTGTGTCCATTTGCCGTCCTGGCAAATCCAATAGTAATTCTGTCACACGAAGACAGTTCTGGAAGGGTGCAGTGTGCGTAGGTGATGCTCACCAGCAAAGAACTGGCTAGGGGTAGATCAGTGAGGGCAGTGCGGAGCTCAGCTGCATCCTTATAGCTGGCGCTCAGGTCGAGTGTAGCAGCACTCAGCAGATCCTCCGAAGATGCCCTGCTGTCTTCCAAGTTCGCTGGCCTGTTGGGATCTGGACCTGCAGAGATGGCCAATTAAAATTTAGACATAACCCAGTGCATGAGGCGGCCGAGAGGAGCAGTTTTGGGCCAAGACGAGGGGAAGTCACCTTTATACTGTATTCCAGGCCAGAGGGGATTCTTTCCCTTACTGTCGTGGTAGGAGAACACTGTGCTCATGAGCACACCCTTCATTCCTTTGAATGCCTGGTCAACATGCACAGTGTCAGCACTCACAGTCTTCCGAACTTGCCTGAACAACGATTCCAAAACAAACATCGATGCATGCAGGCATGGTGATTCACACCTCCAGGAACTTTGGAATGCTGGAATGAGCCCAGCCCTGGAGTATGCGCTCGCGCGAAGCCAGGCTCAGTTCTGTGAAAGGCTGGACAAATGGCAAGCTGTGCGAAATAGCTGCAGTGCCTCCGAGAACAAACGTCCCCAGTCTCCATTTCAAGAGCTCCAGAACACTGCATCGGTGCAGGCATTCTTTTACTCTCCTTGTCCCAACTGTACATCCGTCTCATATGCTTTCTAGCTACATCATTTTTGCCAGGATCCAAACCGGCTCCTCATAGGTGGGCCGGATGTGCTGGGGAATCATGAACGGAGCTGCATGAAGGGCATGTGGTGCAAGCAAAGTGCGTGGCGCAAGGGCTGACTTCTACTTACAGAAAGAAGCTGCGCTGTGATTCGGGGGGAAGGACCCTGATGCTCCGCAGCACCTGTGCCAGTTGACAGGTACCAAACTTCTCTTGAGAGGGGTTAAGCACGACTATTCACCTCAAAGTATTATGCACCAGCAGAGTTTGTAGGGGATCATGCTTGAATGGAGCACTGAAAGTCATCTCAAGGACTGGAGCAGATCATGGTGGGTATTTTAGACATCCAAGGCGGTGTCGTACTTACCTCATCGACTACCTCGGGAATACTGTGAATTGGCAGCTGCAGCGAGGCAGCCGAACACGTATCCGTGCAGAAAGAGTTCTGATATCTGTGAGGATCCAACACTGGGAAGAATGTCTCCAAAAGCGCAGCTAGTACATCTTTGTAAGGCTCGGTGACACCCATCCTTCAATAGATATATAGCAATCAATCTTGAACCCGCGTCCAAACGAGGACACGGATTCTTTATTTAAAAGAGGCCAGCAAGCCCAGAATAATAAAGGTGTTTCACAGGACCTCGGCAGATCTTAGTATGTAGATTCTATATTTTGTCCTTGGGAGAAATCTTCCGGCACTCCTGCAACCTCAATATAACAATACGATTACAACATGGATTATTTAATCACAGCGACCAGCGCTTTATACCCTTGATTATCCCTTTCTTTGCTCTGGAAGCAAGGTGACTCAGTGCTCCTGATCAGGCAGGGCTTCCACGTCACTGGACTTCGAAACAGACGCAGAAGTCAAGGGAAGCAGACGATCCCGTCGCAGATATCGTATCTTTAAACTTCCGTGTTTGTTCACGAGGTCCACCATCATCTCCAGCTGCACCTTCCTTCTGCTATAAGGGTGAGTTTGCCCTGGTTGTGGATGTCGTCATCACAATCCCGGGGTTTTTTGAGACAGAAGTGCCCTTTGTGAGGCTGCAGTTGTCAGTCAGTTCACTAGTACGGAGCCGGAAACAAAGTTTGCTGCTGCGATGTGCTGTCTTTTGTCTTTTGACTAAGTGCCGAAAAGACGACTGGGAATGGGACGTGGCTAGACTGCAGCTGACACGGCGACCTGGCTGTCGATATTTTTGCTAGAATTGGAATTATGTGTCTCCTTCTGTAAAGAAGACCGCAAATTTTGCAGCAACAGGTTCATATGCTGCGCAGGCTTTCACTTTGCTGCGAGACTTAGTCATCACACAAGATGGTACGTGTTTGCTTCCTGTTGTGATTGCTTCTGCTTTTGTACGTTTGTGATCTGGTGTTCGCAGAATGGCATGTTGCTTCAGCCATGCACGAGAGCCATGCAATGCAGGACTTAGTGTTGATCGTCTGGTGACGTGCAGGTATCCGCTGGCTGTTTCAGCTGCCCTGCGCAGTCCACTGTTCAGGTCATCGAAAGATTTGGAAAGGTATGAATGAATCCTCACAATAGCTTGCGGTGCTGCAATTTTTGGCTCTTACACCTGCGTCCCGCAAGCAGACTCTTGTAACAAAGGCTGACTCTTGCTCTGTTTATGCAGTTCAACCGCGTCGCCAAGAGTGGATGCAATTTTGTGAACTGCTTCCTTGGTGAGTCTTCCTATGCTCACGGCGGCCGATGCGTTTACATAGTTCCATGCGATTTGCTGTCATTCCTATTTCCATAATATTCTTCTTATCTCGAGCGCCTATGTGTCACTGTTGCAGGCGAATGTGTTGCTGGATCCCTGAGCTTGCGTGTCAAGCAGCTTGATGTTCGGTGAGTGCCCTACTCTATCTGCGCTGGCAACTTGCTTGCCGGAGGACATGCTGCACAGTACCTTCAACGTGAGTCACTGCCGTGCGAGTGCTGTTGCCACCCGCATTCACAGCGAAGTGACAGCTTGTTGGTTTTCCCATGCTGCAGGTGTGACACGAAGACCAAGGACAATGTCTTTGTCAGAATTGTTGTCTCTGTTCAGTACCAGGTGTGACCTCATCCTTTATGGCAGCTCACAATTGCTTTTCAGGTCCCCCGCACATGCATTACTGTTCTGGCCTCAAGGCACAGGATGGCATTTTACTGTGTCTTCCCTTGGGACTGAAATGAAGGCTTTTTGGCACGACAGGTCAAGGAGGATGCCCTCTATGACGCCTTCTACCGCTTGACAAACACCAACGGCCAGATCACCAGCTACGTGTTTGATGTGGTGCGCATGTGTTCGTTGACAGTCCCTTGATATGCATCGAGTGCTACTCCAGCTGTCACATGGATCTTTTTGTCGGTGATTGCAGACAAAAGCTAGCAGCAAATGCTTTCTGTTGCAGTTTGCTGTCAGTTTTAAATCCCATCTTGTGCCTGCAGGTGCGCGCCATTGTGCCCAACATCCTGCTGGACGATGTGTTCACGGTGAGTTTACCTCAAGCCCCAAGCGTTGCCACATCTTGGTCTCTCTGTTATAACTAGGGCTATCTTCCTAGCTTCGCCCACTACTCTGCTTGTATAGAAGGATTGGGAGAGTGCAGGTGGCAAGTAGAAGATAAGACATCGAAATCGCAGATGTGCGGAACTTCGTGTGGTTTAGATAGGGGTATTGGTCAATCTACCCACTCGTCAAGGGGCCTGATGTTCACTGTGCTCGTGCAGGCCAAGACTGAGATTGCCAAGGAAGTAAAGGACACCCTGACCAAGTCCATGGCCAGCTTTGGCTTCATGATCATCGAGACCCTGGTGAGCCCCTCTCTCCTTCCCCTTGCTTCTTCTGCACTGATGCATCTAATTGCCAGGCACGCGGACCTTGCCTTGCATGCTGAATCCTTAGTACGGGTTTGCAGAGGCATTGCCATCAATCACCACATCTTCCTTTGCATGTGATTCTGTCTAAACCGGCAGGCCATGCAATGGCGCGCTGGCAGTGCGGCAGGGTGTATAGCAAAGGATGACTGTGGAGTTTAGGGGAACGATGGCGGGCTGTGTACAAGCATGTGATAGGCTGCGTAGATCACGTGCAGCAGGAAGAGGATCAGAAGCAGAACCTACCGTCAGGGCCTGTATAAGCTGGCCAGCAAATAAGACAGACAAGGGTGCGAGTGACAATAGGTGACTCGGCTCCGTTCCTAGGAGAGTGATGGCGCGCTTGCAGGGCAGCAGGGTTTATAGCAAAGGGTGAACGTGGGGGATTTGGGTCGTGCAGGTGACAGACATTGAGCCGGACCCGAAGGTGCGCGCGGCAATGAACGAGATCAACGCTGCGCAGCGCATGCGCGAGGCGTCCATCCAGAAGGCCGAGGCCGACAAGGTCATGGTCGTCAAGCGCGCCGAGGCCAGCGCTGAGGCAAAGTGAGTTATTATTCTCTTGCATCCTGCCTGCTACCAGTGTGCCCAAGGACATTCACAGACATTGACACTGCCGTTCTGCCAGCGCCGCTTTTTTGCATCCTTGCCCGCTATAGAATTGAATGCTGAGGGCATGCAAAGACACCTGTCATGCCATTCTGCACATGTAATGCCATGGTGTGGGGACATGCAAAGTTACTCATGTCGTCATTCCGAGATTCCGTGACTTTGTGGGAAGTTGTGCGCGAGTTCTTGGTGGGCCCTTGGCAGGGCACGAGTGCTTTTGCATTTCTTCTTCCATTTGCCATTGGGCACTGCAGCTGATCCGTCAAAGGCAGGTCATTGAGGAAGATGAGAGCCTGAAGTTCAGACTCGCCAGGTCAAAATTGCTGGCCAACATTGCAATGCGATTGTGCGCTTTCCAGATAGTGCAAGTCTGATTAGGAAGCGTTCAATCATAACCTAGGGCATCTTGTGCTGTGCAGGTTCCTGGAGGGTCAAGGTATCGCTCGCCAGCGGCAGGCCATCATTGCCGGCCTCAAGGACAGTGTCCTCAACTTTGAGAGCGGAGTCACCGATGTCAACAGCCGTGATGTCATTGAGATGATGGTGCGCCTAGGATCCGTAATCTGCATGTGTCTGGATTCCCTGACCTTGTTGGACCCGTTGATGTGTCGCAAATGTCTGTGTATTTCTAGGCGGACATGTCTGGATTTCTTCTGCTTGAGACTGCAACAAGCTGCAGCGTGCATACCAAATCAACCTCGGCATTGTCAAGAGAATGTGTCATTGGAATTTTCTATTCCAGTGCCATGAGTGCCCCAGCACTGTTTCTGTGATCTGCGTGTTGTTTTTTTTTCATGAGATTAAGCACATCTAAACATATGTTTTGCTGTGCGCGCAGATGATGACGCAGTACTTTGACATGCTCAAGGAGGTGGGCTCCACCCAGGGCAACTCCACCGTCTTCCTCAATCACTCCCCCAGCTCCATCGGCGAGATGTCCGGCGAGGTGTGTGACCCCCATTTCCTGTTTGCCGTGGTGCTGTCCAGTTTCGCTATCCGATGGGCCTTTTAACACCGTGTTACAGAGATCTTGCATCTTGCTCTTTGCGGATCTTGTCTCCAGCACGTTTGGATCACACCAGGACAACCTGTAGATCATGTATTTACCCTATTGTAACACATGGGTTCCGGTTCTGGTCATGCGTGTTACTAGGTGTTCTCTGACATGTCTGGGGTATATGTGTGCAGCTGCGCAACGGCTTCATGCAGGCCATGGCTGGGCGCACGCAGTCGATGAAGCGCGAGTAAGCTTGGAGCGCTGCACGCACCGATATTGTTGATAAGCTGGAGCGCTGGGAGATAGCAGCCACAATGCATGCAAGATTGGAATTAAGGGACTAGTACAGATGGCCCGTGCGAGCCACTTTGGGAATGGGGAGATTATGTCTGCCACATTTGGTGTTGAGTCTGGTGTTCAGGCATGTGTTTGTTGATGATAAGATGTTGGTTTTAAAAACATGCAATTTTGGGAGCAGCTTGTGACTATTGCTCGTTCTCGTTGGCGCCAGTATCAGTCAAGACAGTTCTGTGAGTGGATATCCATACAATGCACATATTGTGTACAGATGATCCCTCTGGAATCCTGCTGTTACACTTCTGTGTGTGCTTCTTTACCAGCGTGTTGTATGTAAAGCTGATTATTTTTAAACACTAGAAGGTTTCAGGGATGATGTGATTTACTGTGAACCTAGTCCTGACTCGACAGTATATATAGCAGCCTGTCTGAGACTGTTGTGACATTTTGTGCATGCGCGCTGGGCGTCGCATTCCTTTTATTTTATTTGCAGTTGTACATGGCAATAGGTGTGTAATCTTCTTGTTAGTTCCCCAAAAATTTGAAGAAGAGCTTGATAGTGTCATGACAATCTGCTTCTGGCAGATGGCTGCCGCCCACCTGTACGCTCACATTTTGAGCGAAATTGGCCCAAACAGCTGAAATGTTTTCCAGCGAATTTGGCGGTAAACGGCAATTCCAGGTTCCGTGATAAAAAATCACTCAAGCCAGCTGCCAGCTTCCTGGAAGCCAGAAGTGGAGGCGATGGGTTTGAGAACTGTGGTTGCCAGCATCCTTGTAACCTCCGCTGCTATAAGAATGAAGTGGAATGAATGTTACCGGTAATATGTCGATTGATGCTCGGTGAGCATGAGCGGCAACTGTGTTGAAGATGGCCGAACTTCAAGGATTCATCTTTAAAACCCAGGCTCTCCACCTGTATAGATCCTTCCTGAGGGCGGTGAAGGGTGCTCCCGTTGCTTCTCAAGGTGGAATTCTCTATTTACTCTGGAAAGTCTTCTACTTCAGACTTTCAGCACAGATCGATGCCCAAATTTGATTGGGATATGTCAGATGCACACGTTTTCGATTAAACACTGTTCCGGCAAGGTTTCGAGACAGCGTGTAAAATATGTGCGCTTCATATGTAGATTATTAGCTTTGCCAAATCCTCCTAGGTGCTTTCGATCACTGATGGCCTCCGCACTTGGCAGGTGAACTTAAGAAGGAGATCAGACACGGATTCGAAAGAGATCGAGGGGCAAAAGATTCATATGCGATGAAATATAGCCTGAGCAATGGGCGTGTCCAGCTGAAGCAGCTCAGGGACATGTTGGGAATGCGACACTGATGGTCCAGGTGCTCATGTGGGCCTATCTCCTTCCAGACGTTGATTTCGTACATCCCGATAGACTAATAAATAGGCATTCTCAATAGTAAGACGAGTCGAAACCTGAATGGCCTGCCCAGCGTCTGTCTCTCTCATGGATACAGTACACGTGCTAATCACAGGCAGGGCAGCCAACATTCTGAGTTGGATTCCAGGATGGGAAAGGTTGGGCGTGAAAGCGGCAGCGGAGCTTTTGACCAAAGGCGGAGCCACGTGCTGCCTCTCTTGGAACAAAACCAAGGTAATGCACAGCTTACACACGGACTAGGCAGCAAGCACATCCTCATCTCAGAGAGCGGCATCTGACAAGCATGGCATTACGTGTACGTTTTTAATGCTCATGCAGAAATTGCGCAGGTGACAAATCGCGGGCTGGGGGAGTGGATGGCCCTATAGCAGATCTTGTGGCCTCCCTCAACTCGTGGCCGGATATCTTCACCACCTCATCGTGCTCAGGCAAGCCCAAACCCATCACGCCAGCTTTTCTGCATGATCCAACTTCTTGCAGAGCTTCATATCATGGAAGGATTGCAGCAAACCCGCCGCAAAAGACTGGTGACAATGCCATGAAATTGCTTTTGCTGTGGAGTATCATACGGCTGTGCATGACAGGGAGAGTGAGCGTCTTTGCGGAGCCGACAGATGCCACGCGCGCAGCGGGTCAGAAAGGCGGAGAGTGGGTGTATGTGACCCATGGCCATGCAGATGCGGAGGAGATTATATCCCGAGTGCTGTTATGCTGCAGCAACGGTGCGCCCGTTTGATGACTTCCTGGTGTTTTCATCGATGTAAACAAGCGCCTGGCCCAGCCAGGCAGCTTAAAACGTGGAGCAGGAACTGAGGAAGGTTGAATATGGTTGTCAATAGGCACATTTGTACCGTGTGAATGCTGGGTTTGTCGTCATTGTTAGGCGATGTGATGTAGCTTCTTGGGCCATTCTCAAACTCCTTCTGGCAAGCATCTGCTGCTCAGCCGTCTGAAATGGAGGCTTAGGAATTTGGATTTGAATTTGAACAGGTGCACCGCTGGTATTTCGCTTTGAGCCGTTCATTCTGGCAGCGGAAGCGCGGACGGCGGACGACGCGCAGCGCCTGATCAGGTGTGCCAGGGAGGCGGGATATCGGGAGTCTGGGGTCACGGGGGATGAGTCAGCGCGAGTCATCGCCGGCATCCGCTGCTCCATCCGGTTAGAGGTGAGCAATTTAGTTTCCATCCTCCAAGCCAGGCTGAAAAATAGGCCCTCAGGCATGCATGTTGTTTGCAGTGGTCTGGTGCCTTTCTGGCCTTGCCATGCTGCTTGCAGGTTCTAAAAGACGTAAAAACATCTTGCATGGTTGACTCTTCTCTTGCAGTGGGCAGGCCTTCACTTTTCCGGGATTATCTCGAGACCATGACCATGCAGTCACCGTGCCCTCTAAGCGAACGCATGACCAGTTGATCAATTTCTCTGCGTGGCCACAGGTGCCAGTGACTGATGGAGGACTGTTGCTGGTCTCCCCAGAGTATCTGCGCCACCTCACAAAGCTGGCCAATGAGAAAATGGAGCTCAACTGGGCACGCATTGAGCGCTTCCATGCTCTCTTCAAACAGCGCTTCCTGGCCGGTGAGCCAGCTGCGCTTCTTTCTGGTAGCCATGGGATTGGACTGCGCAAAAAGACGCGTTGCCATATGGCGTCTTCCAATTCGACTGAGAGGCAGAGCGAGCGAATTTTTGCGGCGGTGGTTGATGCAGAAGCTGCAGAGGCTGCTGCAGGTGAGAATTACTATGTGATACCGGAAGACAGTGTTGCGAGAGTGTGACCACCCAGCAACCGCAGAAGAGTCTGATCGCAGCACATCCAGCGTACGCCCTGGATAACCCTCCCACATTGACTTTTGTTATGCGTGCAGATGAAGATGTGAAGACAGGAGTGGGCGTGCAGCGGTTGTTGGCCCTGCGCAGCCGCCAGCGCCTCGCCCAATTGCAAGAGCTGCGGCTGCTAGTGGGTGACCAGCCAGATCATGCTGTCTCTGAGGGCCCTTTCTGGCGCCTTGCCCCACTTCATGCCCATGTGAGTACCTCTTCCACCCACCCATACAACTAATGGTCTTTGTCGAGCCTTTACACAGTGTTCCCACAAGCCCTGAAGGCAAGGCAGACCGAAGCACGTGCTGCACCGTGACAGCTCTCTGCAACCACTGCATCTGCTTCGCAGTGTCACAACAGTTGATCGGGCAAGGAGATGCCTGACAGGCACTCGTAATATGGAGGAAACTGCCATGATAACAAGGAGATTGAGTCGTGCCCTGTCCTTGTCTGCTGCACAGGGCGTTCCCTCTGGGGCACTGCACAGGTGGGGGCACTCCATGGTCATTGTGGGCAACAAGCTCATCATCTTTGGCGGGTATGGCGGGGCCGGCGCGCACAGGCGCCTGGACGACGTGCTTGTCTATGATATTCCTACTGGGATTGTGCGCCAGCTGCCCGTCGCTGGTGTGCTACCCTTGCATGTAGCATGCTGCAATACATGCTCTTTGAAATTTGGATGGGGCAAAGCATTGACTGGCATGCCCGTATAAGAGTGGCCTCCCGGTAGGTAATATGCACGGATGTGATCTAAAGTTCTGATTACCATCAAGGGTGCACCAGGTGGGACTCCTCCAAGCACACATGCCGGCGCCAAGCAGAGTGCTGGGCACTGCGGATCCTGATCATCCGTGTGAAGTCCCATTGGCAGGAAAGATGATGTACAGCACGTGGTGCTGTGAATCCCGATGTTTCCCACAAGCTAGAAGGCTAGAAAATTTCTCAGACGATGCACCTCTTGTTTAGGTCCGGGGCCGGCTGCGCGCGTGGGCCACGTGGCGGCAGCGCTGAGCTGGAGCATGCTGGTGCACGGAGGGCGCACCGCGCCAGATCAGGCGCTGGGGGATCTGTGGCTCCTGGATCTGTCTGCAAAGCGTAGCTCCTCCGGAGAGAGCTCGGGGACCGGAGACGCCGCGCGATGGGTGTGCGTTGATGCGAAGGGAACTCCGCCTGCGACGCGCCATCGCCACTCGGCTGTGTCGGTTGGCGGCAGTTTAAAGGTGCGCAGGGAGCTCCTTGGCAGAGCACCAGTGCCGGGTAAATCACATTGCCTCTTCTACCACTTCCCCCAGCCTTCCCTCCAAAGGTAGAATTGACTTGAACAGTAGACAAAGAGAATTGCAGTGATTTCGGCGGCAGCTAAAGCCGAGCACAGTGGCACGATGACGTTTTTTTGTCATGTATGTCAAAAGACAAGTGGAGCTGTTGCCGTCGCACATCTGAATGCATGCAAACTTGGTAAACTCTATGGCAACCAGCATCTGCAGCTTTATCAGTGCGAAAAGCTCTTGCATCCTCTAGCTACTGATTTGGGTAGGCAAAGTGCCTACTGCTGTTGATTGCTATGTGCTCACAGGCCTCCTTGGAGGCCTGGCCATATATTACAGGCTGAGATGCTTGTTTCCTACACGGTGCAGAGCGGGAGAATAGTCATGTATGGCGGCATGGCTGATGGGACCGCGCTGGAAGATGTGTGGGAACTGCGGCTGCGTGGAAAGAGGTGGCACTGGCACGAGCTGACATGCACGGGTACAGAATCATCCTCCATGAGATCAAACAGCGGATCCTTGGCTTCACTGCTTGCAGCAGACTGCAAGAGCCTGGCATGAAGAGTCACCCAATTTCTTATCAGCTGGAGTCTTCCCCTTTCAGGGCAAATCTGCTGCCACTCATGTTTATCTGCACGCCTCGATGGTGCCCATTGTTTGTTAATAACAATGAAGCATGTATCAGCCCCTGATGAGTGAGCTTTGCAATTCTTCAGGCGATTTGCCCGGCCCCAGACATTCGCATGCGGCAGCCGTTACAGGCAAGAGCATGTACGTCTACGGCGGCGTGCGTGACTGCGGGCAGACCATAACTGGCGCCATGCATGTGCTGGACCTGGATCGCCTGATCTGGCAACGCATCAATTTTGATGATGCGCTCCCTCGGCCGCCGCCGCTGTTCTCCCACACACTGACTGCTGTCGGCCGGTACCTGCTTGTGCTCATTGGCGGCTGCCCAGAGCAGGACACAGGTGCGAAGAGCAGCTCATCTTGGCAAGAGTTGAGAGTCATCACGTGCTCTTAAAGCTGCGCTGATTACTGCCAGTAGCACAATATCAGTGTGAGGCACTGCCAGCTTCTGAATAACTTGTTTCAGACATTCTGCAGAATAGCATCTTTCGACATGAAAAAAAAAAGAAGTTGAATTAAGCCGGCAGCATACACAGATGCTTCTGTGACTAAGGAACTGTTCTGTTGTGCTCTGCAGGGGTAGTGCACATGTTTGAAGTGCAGAGCCAAACCTGGATGCTGACAGCAGCAGCTGCAGCGGCGGACTGCCGGCCGGTGCCGGTGCGGCACTGCGCGGTGGTCGCGCCGACAGGTGACTCAATGGTAGTCATCGGCGGCGGCGCGCAATGCTTCAGCTTCGGGACCACCTTCTCCCGGCCGTGCGTGCTGCACCTGCCGCGCAGCCGTCCTGCAGCTTCTCGCAGTCAGGAAGCTGCCAGCATGAGCTCAAGCGGGAACGCTGCCAGGAAAGATGATGGCCCATGTGCAGCTGTGACAGATAATGTAGCAGCAAGGACGGACAGGCCTGGCAGCAGTGGCAATTATTTTCCAGCGGAATGCCAGGACAGCAGTGTCAGGCAGAGCGATGACAGCAACTTGGGGAGGCAAGACAGCAGGCGTGCAGGTCCACAGCGGAGCTCTGGTAATGCACAGAGCAGCGTCGCTTCCAGCCAGGATCTCAACGGACATTCCCTAGAGCAGAGACGAGGTGGCTCCATGGGGGACAGCAATTGCCAGTACAGGGGGATGCTGCATACAATGGAGGCGCCCAGAATGAATGGCAGCTATGAGCCCAGTGGCACAGCAGAGATAACAGCGCAGAACGGCTCTGGTGAGAAGGGATCGTGGGCGCTTGTGGTGCCGAAGCAAGACGCCAAAATATTCAAGGACGCCCTCAAGCAGGCAGGTGGCCTGAACAGGCACCGCCGCAGCCTTGTCTGCGACGGAGGTGTCTCCGTCGCCCTCCCGGTCACCGACGCATGCGCCGAGGGTCTACATGCCTTCCCTGGCAAAGGGAGCAAATCTGACAAGAAGGGTCAGGCGCTGAGAATGGTGGCAGCAGCGGTGGCGGAGGGGCAAGTGAAGGTCTGTCGGATGGCTCTGGCAGAGGCGAAGGTGGCACAGTCCCAGAGAGAGGCGCTGGTGCAAGCGGCAAGGGATTTCCTCTCCACATCAGGTAATCCCAGCTGGCACATTGTCTCCATGTGACTTTGCATCCCACTTTGGCGATTTTGAACTGCTTGTTTTCATTGATTTGCAGAGCCCTTGAGTGCGGCTGATCAGCTACAGACAATGGTGTTGTTTCTAGTAAGGTCCTGGTATCGTGCGAATGCTATCCTGTTGAATGGCGATTGCGTGCAGGTCTGTCAAGCGAGCGCACAGAGGACCTCATGGCAGAGGTGCCGAGCAAATGGGAACGCTTGGGAGACCTGGTGCTGCTGCCCGCTGACTCATTCCGGGCACCTGAGTGGGCAGCTCAAGGCGAGGCCCTCTGGGCCGCGGTGAATGCTGCATTGGGGGCAGACCGGCTTGTTCGTCAGGCTCCCATTGCCAACACAGGTGAGGCTTGTATTCCATATTTAGAAATGCAGAGTCAAGCGGCTTCTCTCCTGTGTGTCTGTGAAGAGGCTTCATTCCTGAGCTTCTTGCTGTTATGCACTAACTTCCAGCGGCCATCTCCTGCACTGTCCATTCCATTGTTCAAGCGCAAAAATTAGACCATCCACGTCTACCTGATGCAATGAGCTAATCACGTTTTGAAGTCTAAGACTTACCAAACCTTCCTCGTGTGGTGCCCTGCAGGCACGCGTGACAGCCAGGCAGGACTGCTTCGGGGCGCTGATGGATGGACCCGGCATCTGGAGAACGGCGTTGCCTTTTCCTTGGACGTAACCCGCTGCATGTTCTCGTCCGGTAATGTGACGGAGCGCGCGCGCATGGGGCGGCTGCGCTGCGCGAGCGAGACTGTAGTCGACCTGTTTGCCGGCATCGGTTATTATACCCTGCCGCTGCTGGTGCATTCGCGTGCGCGGCCGACCCACCCCCTTTTAATGTGTTTTCATTGGACCCTGGGGCCTGGATGACCTGTAATTGGGGCTGTTTAATCAAATGACATTGCAAGGCAGGGATGGCTGAAGACGGTGTGGGATGGCTGAAGACGGTGTCTGCTCCCTTGCTCTTTGTGGAAATGGAGTCTTGAGAGTTCAAGAAACTCTTTGCGCATTGTTCTTAATGTGCTAAAGGAGCCTGTGCACATGCAGCTGGTGCTCTCCTCTACTCTTTGGCTGCATTCCAGCGTATGGCAGATCGGACTGGTCTTCTGTTAACATCCACCCTTTCTAGGGACATTGCAACTGAGGGGATCGAGCCTGTTTGCCAAGGCTGGCCTGCATGTAACACGGCAGGATTGGTGCCTGCTGTTTCTACCTCCCTTCCAATCAGCCACATGTGGGTTCCCAGGCGCGGCAAAGGTATTGGCGTGCGAGTGGAACCCGGCAGCCATTGAAGCGCTTCAGCGCAATCTGGCGTTCAACCGATGCGCCGACCGCTGCGAGGTTCTGCAGGGCAACTGCCGCCAGCTGGCGCCCAAGGTGTGCACAGTAATATTCTGCTACAACGACACTAAAGCTCCTTAGTGACCAGTCATGCATCTGCACTTGCTGCCATGGCTCTTGGGACAAGTAAACATTCAAGCCCTGAATGGTCAGTCATGCATCTGCCGACCACGCTTTCCATGGCTGACAGCCACCAGCCACAGCCGCATGCCACCCAGCACCCTCACAACCTGCACTATTTGGTTGACATGCCTGTTCCTTCTGTTGGGCGTCTGCTGACAGAGATTCTAGCCCTCTCGGCTGTTCTGCACATGTTATGCCATGTTCCCCCTGGGGCAAGGGGCAAGGTGCCATGATGATTCTCATAAATCCACATGACTTTGTATGATGCTGAATTGATGAGGCGCTTGATATGATATGCAGGGAGTGGCGGACCGGGTGCTGTTGGGCCTGCTGCCGTCCAGCAGGGAGGGCTGGCCGGTCGCGCTGGCTGCTCTGAAGCCATCTACAGGCGGATGGCTGCACCTACACCACAACGTGAAGGACAGCGAGGAGGCTGCCTGGATTGCCAGCACGCAGGTCTGTATGTGTCTTTCTCCAGGGGCCGTCTTGAATTGGATTCTTCTGAAGTCTGAGTTCGGTTTCATGCCCAAGCTGTTGACTACTGTCTATGGCTTCCTCCGTAGATGCTATGCCAAGCTGGGGCCACGCTCTGGTGTTTGATCAAAGTCGCTGCATGCTTATTTCACACAGTTCTCTTTGTGCATGGTATGCTGAAATGTCTTCAATAGATGAGCTCATAGATGGGATGTATGCAGGCGGAGCTGGAGACGCTGTCCCGGGAGCTTGGCAGAAACTGGCGCGTTCTGATTCGGCATGTGGAGCGAGTCAAGTGGTATGCACCACACATGCGCCACCTGGTCCTGGACGTGGAGTGCCGGCCAGATCAGGCAGCCGTCACATCAGCCATCAGTAACGGCGCTGACACAGACATGACTACGCCGCTGACGACACGGCTGCCTGGTATGACAGCGCATGACATGAGTATGACGAGTATGACACAATAATGCATTGAGCTCCTTTTCTGTCTGCTTGGAGTGCAACATGTGCATGTAGACAATGTGCAGTGATTTTTTCCAGTTTATTTTCAATGCCTGATGCATGTCTCCTGATTGGTATTGGTGTCATTTCTGCGCAGGCAGGATAAGCGACACAGGCGCAAAAGGTGGAGTAGCAGATGGAAATGGTGGAGCTCTGGCGTGTGACAGCTCTACTGTCAGATCAGGCATCTGCGCAGAGGTGGCAGAGTACCGGGGTATGACAAGGGAGAGGTTTGTGGAGATCAGCAGGGAGAAGCAGCCTGCAGTGCTCAAGGGACTGGACTTGGGGATTGCTGTTGACGGGTAATCTTCAGGGGCTGCAAAGGCTGTAACCTGCACAAATGCAGTCCCAAAGCGCCTTGAAAGCATACCGTTTACTGCCAGTGATGAATTATATGCATTGCTGCCCTCAGGATAAACGTCCGAGCAGTGCTGCTTAGGTGCATGAAAGGAGGATGTATGCTTGCAGGTGGACCGGCGCCTACCTCAAATCCCTTCCCAGCAGCTCAACCACCCTTGTTAGCGTCCACGTCTGCCCTGACCCCACTGGTAATCCTCTGCTCTCCGATCTTGCATGCATCGCATCATGCTGTTACCGTACGTCCAAATAGAAGCAGCTTCCATCTGATAAGTGCAACTATGGTGCACTGGGGGCCTGCTCTTCCCAAGAAATATGATGTCTAGGAATTCGTGAGTAGTCTGCTTTCATGTGACAAGCATGCGGCATGCATGCAGGCCGTCTGCATTTTGTGCACAAGAATTTTGAGTTCCGCACGATGCCCCTCGCTGAGCTGGTGGGCAGGTGCGAGTCTGCAGAGGAGTTCCCTCCGCTCATCTCCCCTTGCGAGAGGTGTGCCTGTTGTCCCATGCACTGACATCACTCATCAAGCCTACATGCACGATGATGCATGGCGTTTACCAGCCGACTTCTTTCCCCCATCTCTCTATATGGGCGCCATTACTGAGGAGTGCATTCTCATGCATGCCCTTCTCCAGACAGCCTCTGCTCCTCAATACTCCATAGGAGGTGCTTCATAGACCAGTACAGACAGTCGGGCTTTTGAGTTTGTACTCTAGTTACGACGGAGAACAAACCTAGATGCTGTGCTGCAGGTACTATCTGAGGAGCATTGGCACAAACCCCAGGAAGGAGCCGTCAGACATCGCCGCGGCCTTCCCAGACCTCGCTGCCGACCTGTCTCTGCCTCCGCTGTTCCCTCCTGATCGCCTGTTCTCATCAGTGCTGCGCATCAGCTCAGGCATGCAGCACTGTTGCTACTCTTAACCAATTTTCCTCAGCCTGAGAGCAGCCGTGCATGGAAGAGTCTTATCTGCTCAGGCATGCAGCTCCCTTGCTAATTTCACACACTTTCCCTGAAAGGTGCCATATGGCTTTTTCTCAGCATAGAAAGGCCCTGCGGTAATGGGGAATTATAGATGCATGGGGCAGTGTGAGACAATGTTACTATGGTGACTGTAGGTGGGCTGCGGCTGTGGACGCACTTTGATGTAATGGACAACCTACTGTGCCAGGTCAGGGGCACCAAACGCGTGAGATTGTGGCCGCCACCAGAGGTGCTTGCTTCCACAGACAAACACCCGTCGTGTGGCTTGCAGAACATTTTCAAATGTGCAAACATGCCTCCCACGTTTCAGCCATCTTATGATTAGCTGGTGACCATTATCATGTTCTGCTGCTATCTTGTGCAGTCTGCCATGTCAGCTGCAGCCAACTGCACACATCAGAAATTATCTAGGATTTGGTCAGTCAAGGGATGACGTGGCGTGTGATTCTTGCATTAGTCATGCCCGATGTCGGCACATGCATGCGCGCAGGAGGCAAAGCTGTACATGACCGGCTCGTCCTCAGAGGTCACCGACATTGACCAGCCGGACCCAAAAAAGTACCCCTTATTCATCAGCGCAGTGCACTTCGACTGCATGCTGCGTCCGGGAGATGTGCTGTACATTCCAGCACTCTGGCACCACAATGTGCTGGCAGAGCAGGACAGCGGGATGTCTGTGTCGGTGAATGTGTTCTGGAGGGATATGGAGAGGGGAATGTATGCTGGGAAGGATCTGTATGGGAACCGAGACCCCCCGGCGGCCGACGCGGCGGCGGCTGCGGTGGAAGCTGCCGCGAAGGCGCTCGCCCAGCTGCCGCCCCACTACCGCAGCTTCTACGGGCAGCGGTGCGTGCGGCGGCTGGTTGAGAGCCTTGAGAAAGGCTTTGCTGAATAGCACAAGGATGCCTACCAGACAGGGGCATTTGCTTGCGCGGCCGGGGGAATAGCTGTGGGGAAATCTTGAGCTCAACTCGAGTTGAAGGAGGTTGCAACCGGTCGGCCTGTTGTATCTTATCTTGTGACTGCATATATATGGTTGGATGTAGCATTCCGTTGATTTGCCCTATCGAGGAGCATCATGAGTGTAATCCGTACCTCAAATCTTGACATGTGAGTGTGAACACAATTGTTGCAGGCATCAAGATCAACCGATGGCGGCCCGCTTAGCAATTGCACCTTCGCACATCAGAGCTGCAAAATGCTGCACAACATGTATCGTGTCGTCAGAATCAAGCAATGCATATTTTTTCGTGCAATAGGCTTGAATTGGAACACTTGAAGTTTCTGCATGGCATGTTCCTCTGCGTATCTGCAATTTCAGCCGAGGCGAGTTTCAAATCTGGAACTGGACACCAGCTGGCCCAGTGCAGGAAACGTCCAGCATCATTTCTCATCCAAGCTTTCTTGATTTCCAAGAGCTTTGAGTTTCGAATATCCACCTTTCTACATCCTCTCAGTGGCTGGTGAGCCCACGTAAGCTTTCGCATTGTTGCCTTCCTTGCCTTTTGGGCAACATGTCCAAAACAGCACAGGCCACACGCAATACGATCACGCTGAAAGGTTCTACAAAAGTAGTCACAGAGTTCTTCGCTTATGCTGTCAACAGGTGGGTGCTGAACATCGTGATGTTCAATGCGAAGACCACAATTTCTTTGACAAGCCTTGAGCAATCACGACGTCCTTTGAGGGTCATTGTTCCTCTCTGGCAAATTAATCACATTTGGCCGTGCTTTGATGGGAGGCAACTACCTTTGCAGAGTCCTGTACGCATTAAAGCACAGTATATTGCAAGATGTCCTTGATGGCTTCAAAACCCTGCAGCTTCCATCTGGACAAGCAAATAAGGATAGCATCCCATCTAAATTCCATACATGTCAAACACCCTTCTAACAAGTGCCCTGTGCCTGCAGTATCCTCTACCAGCGGGGCATCTATTCTGCAGAATCCTTTGAGCCACAGAAGCAATATGGCCTCACAATGATGGTCACGACAGATACAGGCTTGACAAAATACCTCACCAGCGTTCTGCAGCAGATGTCAGGTGCTGTCTCTGCGACAAATATGCTTCAGCATGCAGGGACTTGGGTATTTGCCTTGCTTCTGTGATGCTGCATACACCAGCAGGTCTGGAGTAGCCAAGTGTCGCTGGAACAAAGCCAGCTGAGCTGGACCATGTCCATGTATTTAGTTTGCAAAGATCAGCTCACAGACGTGCTTGCACAGATTGGCTTGTGACTGGCGCCCTTCAGAAGATGGTGCTAGTAGTCACCAGTGTCTCAACAAAGGAGGTCCTGGAACGATGGACGTTTGACATCCAGACAGACAAGGCAGTCCTCTCTGGCGAGTGCGTGTCCTCCTTGAGCACAACCCCTGCAGGACAAAAGTTGCCGATGTCAGAACTAAATTGCAAAGCACACCATTATTGCTTGTCGGCTAATCCCGCAATCAAGGGGAGCAGTATGGATGCCCTGCGCGCATGGCAAGCAAGCCAAAAAGGGCCTGCTCATGAAAGGGCACTAACACTGTCCAACACTTCTCTGAGGGGTGTAACATGCATGGCCGGCGTGCATGGCTAGATGCCAAAAGAGTCGTGGGACAAGCTGTCAGTCATGTGCCACGCCGGTGACATGGCGCTCAGCTGACATGTGCGCGCATGTGCAGGCAGCCAGCGCCTGAAAAGTCAGAGAGCGAGATCACCTCAGAGATCCAGGCCATCGTGAGACAGGTACGGCTCATATAATACACTGCAGATGATGCATGAGCAAACACTGAAAGCTTGTCATGTATGCACTGCATGTCTGTCCCATGCTGTGGCATTCTTTGAGTCTCTGCTCTGGGCAAACACAACACAACCGTCTTGTGCAGCTATTCCGCAGCATGTCAAGCAACCTTTTTTTATTACGGACCAAAAGTCATAAGATTTGCTGATGCAGATTACAGCGAGTGTGACATTTCTGCCGCTGCTGAACGACCCCTGCACATTCGACCTGCTGGTGTACACAGACACTTCCTCGGACGTCCCTTTCGAGTGGTGCGTCGCTAGCACATCCGGCCAGCAGTACAGAGTTGGGTTTACTGCCTGAAGTCACTAGATATTTTCCTGGCACCTCATGTCTATGCAGCAGCCGGGCAGCTGCTTAGCTTGCCGCAGATCCTCATACTGGCCCAAAGCAGAGACCGATCTTGCTGAGGCTGCTTCTTATGGGCCATGCGACTCTCCCAAGCAGCTCTTAAATCTGCACCCTGCCATTATATTGCCATCTGCGCTACAGGCTAAAGACCCACTCGCATCAAGCCTTTTCTATGGATGGCAGTATACTATCTCAGATGCCCTGCACACCCTGCGGTGTCTGTCTCAATCGTGTCAGATGTGTGAAGCAGGGGGATCCGCTGACATCAGCAGAGTGCATGCGAAGGCTTACTCTGTGCTTGTGGTGTCCCTGCAGGGAGGAGTCAGATGCACGGTACATCACCAACGCAGCAGATGTCAAGCTGCGGTCTTTCACCACCAAGGCAAGCGCTCTCCCCTACTTCTCAATTCCTGCATGTGCATGCTTGCTTTTCTCCTTGCAGGTGCTACCTGCACCATCCATCTCCATTGCAGCTACTTGCGCACTGAGCCTTGCCAAGCAACTTTCACGTATATACGGCTTTGCTACTACACAGTGTGCGCATGGCTGTTTTCTCGAAAAGGCCCACCTAGATAAACGTGCGTGGGTGGAGGGGAGACAGGGGGCTTGCTTGCTGTTTTGAGTCTCGGTGCTCACCAGGAGATGTATTGGGCTGCGCACCACGACCAGTTAAAAAGAGAATCTCGGGCTCAGTCAGGTCTGCTGCTGGGTGCAGGTGCACAAGGTGGATGCACTTGTGTCATACAAAGCAGATGCAGAGGGTTAGCTGCTGACGCTGCAAGTATTTGCTTGTCATGTCTACAGGAGAGCCTACCCAAAGCATGGCAAACGTGTTGTGGGGGAAAAGTAATTGTTTCTCTCAGCTGGAGATCAGTTTGTTGAAGCGTCCGTAACAAGTCTACTGTACAGTGCATTCCCTGAATTTTTTGTGCCCATGAGTGAAGACTTTGATTTTGTGGCAACCTTATCCTCTATTTATCCAGTATCCACAAAGTGCCCCTGCACAGATCTAGACCCATGCACACTGTAGTTCTGCTTCCTTTCACTAAGTGAACTCATAATGAACAGGGTGCCCTGCTTAAAACCAGTGACCTGTGGAAGAGCCTAGTCCTCTCAGCTTGTGGGCACCCGTAGCGGTTCAGCAACAGATTCAACTTCTGCATGTTCTTGCCTATCTTCCGTATACACAAGTGCAGTCGTCTTGTGCTATGTTTCCCAAAGGCAAGGGACAATTGATGACAAGATGTTCTCCTAGAATTCAGATCCTGCTTGTACAAAATAAATCACCTGAGGAGGCCCTGATTGAGACACCTTTGCAAGAGATTGATTAGCCTCCTGGCTCTGGACTCATGCGGCATCAAAAGGATGTTCAGAGGAAGAACAAGTGTCTTGGTGAGAGTTATGCTATTCCTTAGATTGCTAGATTGCATATATTCCACGACTGCATACAAATCGCACCGTCGGCGCGATCAGCTGCAGGCAGCAGTAAGTTGGTGTTTGCCACTTCTCCTTAGTCTGCATCTGACCAAGACCTGTGACATGGGGAACGAAGCTGATCATGCGCTCTTGGCTGCTCCTGAAATACTCTTATAGTACAGACCAAGTCTGCTACCAGGCGTCACTGCTACAAAAAATGGCCGGCATTTTGCGCATCCGCCTTAATACAGCCTGCAACTAACGCACCGAGTACCACTGCCCCATACCGGTTGATTGTGTACCGCCCTACCATCTATATATGTCCAATCAATTGTGGGGTAACCAGCAGTCTGAGTAGTCTAGAAGCAAGTTTTCCTTTCCTTACCGGGCCATCGCATGTTCTTGTGACCGCCTCATTCAGCAGGCTACAGACTGTTTGATAATCATTCAGCCACTGTAAGCCGTGATCCTCAACCACATGTAAACTCACTCGGTCTCACCAGCATCCCACCACATGAACCACAACTCATTTACACCGTTTCCTGGACTTCTGAGGTCTCACTGTTGGCTTCATTTCAATCAGTTCATTGCCTGTTCGATTCCTTAGGCTCAAACCAGCGTCATCACGTTTACAAATAAAAGCGGCAACCATTCTGCCGCATTTAATTTCTCCTCTGCCCTGAAGGGTACCGCTGCGTCCTCTGCATCCGCAGGCTCTGTGTTTTTGTGCTCTGTACTTTCCTTGGCAATCTCCACAGTACCTGCATGCGCCAGTAACCATGCATTCTGAGCGTGTTCATAATATTGCACCAGTCCCTGACATCTCCCCCACCTGCAGAAAGCAGCATGTCACGCGGTGTGAGCAGATTTCCGTCACAAGAAAAAAACAGATGTGATCGGGGGAAGGTCAATGCACAACACAATATGGGTTGGAAAGTGATTGTCTCATTGCATCAGTACTTCCATGCGCAGAAGCAGCATGTGTGTACTAGTACGGCAGCTTGAAGCGCACATGCACAACAGCAAGCTGCTGCTGCTTGCTCTTGTTGCTGCAAAAGCAAGCCACGCCCATGCTACCAGCAAATTTAGAGCGCACCCTGCTGCTTCAGTGCCTTGATCTGCAGCTCCAGCTCCTGAATTCGCGCTGTCAGCTTGCTGATTTCAGCGCGAAGGCCGCTGATGTCATCCTGCTGATCTAGCATGACTCCCTCCTGCATGTTGACCTGCTCCTTCAGGCGCCCGATCTGCCGCTTGAGATCCTTCTCCTCGGCTTCAGACATGGTCACAGCGCAGCTCAGTGCATTCCACTCTTCCTGCACACCAGCCAAGATAGTACCTTTTGCAAGGCCCTGTGAGGCTGTGATGAGTGTTCATTGGCTACCATATTTTGCCAGGCATGGGCAACAATATCGGTTGCTGTAAGTGCTTGCTGCATCAGTGCTTTAGAGATCAGTATGTAAGGATGACACAAAGCTGTCTTTATTAAAGGCAGCGCACACGCGGATGCAGATACTTGCTGCCAGGCAAGAGCAAATTAGTGGAATGTGGCTGTCATGCTGCAACCATGCCTCGGAGAGCAAAATGCAAGAATGGCAGCTCTGGCTCCCGCTTCCAGTTGTAAAAAGTTGAGGGAAAGACTTGTGAGAGAAAGGAGATACCTGCAGCTCGTCAATGTAGTCCAGGTCTTTGTTGCAGACAAGGTGCAGCTTTTTTACCAAAGCCATAAGGCACTCCTTGTCGGGATGGTCTTCAGGCAAAGCCTGCCACATGCATCCCATGCTGAGATTTTAAAGCTCAACTACATTGCGCAGTAGGTGTATATATCGGCAAATAAGTATGCAGGAACCACCAGTACCTTGTTGTACATAGATAGCACTTTGCGATAGTCGTGCAGGGTCCTCTGCACATCCTGCAGCGAGAGGAAGACTGCTCAACGACGCATTTCAAGACAGCTGAGCCTCATTGAAAGACAACATGATCAGCAAGCATCCAGGACGGCAAACGTGTGCGTACTTTGAGTTTCTCCTCAGTTTGCACTGGACCTTCGAATGGCACATCATCAGGGTCCATGCCGTGTTGAGCTGATGAGTAGTCTAGGGACGGTGACATCGTCAATAATCCTGCACGCTCAAGCTCGTCAGACACTTGATCACTCTGTTGTCAATTCGTCACTGTCTGCCCGTATTCGGTGAATCCACGGCTTCTCTTCGCCACAGAGGACGGTCTGCAGGAGACGGCCAGAATCTTCATGAAAGGCAGATCTTTGTTGAGAGAGCCTCAAGGGTCATTCTGGATCTCAGCGAGGCTGATATGATGGCTGTAAGTCCAAGCAAGAACGGTGATCAGAGATGTCATGTGCACCCTCGTGACCCCATGGCCAAGTCATCCCGTAACCTCAAAATTGCGTGCAGGAGTCCGATTACTTTGCTCAAGCATTCAAGAAATTCCGAATGGTCTTCATGGAAACATGGTGATGTCTCTTGTAGCACCGCAGTGCACTCTCAAACATGAGGGCTGCACAGTGCTGGCCGACATGTTTGTTACACCCAATGATTTGCAAAAAGAAGGTTCATCGGTATATGTCACATGTGCTGGGTGCCTCTGCTTGACGCCGAGACGCTGCAGGAGCGGACAGGGCACCCCAAGTGCCTGACCCCATTGTCAGTTCTAATGTACAGGGATTAACATCAAATTGGCCTATCAATTCAGGCGTTATGGCACATATTACAGCTGCAGGTCCTGTTTAACAAGTGATCTGGTTTGCCATCATGATACCCATTGCTTTCTGGAGCACTCGGCATGTCACATACGGAAAGTTCAGCACACAACGATCTGTCCCAGGAAACCCCCTGCACTGCTGTTGTTCCACAATTATGGTATTTCAAAAATGAGACGGATCATGCATTGCCTAAGGAAGAGAATGCCGACATCAAAGCAGAACAGGCAACACTGCACCCAGTCTGGCTGATTCTGTACATAGAATATGCATCAAATATACCATGATCAGAAATCTCTACATAGCCTTCCTGTACTAAGCAACACACCCACAATCCCTCTTTGGACAGAGGCACTGAGGTAATCTCCTGCTACTCTGGCTGCGCAGGTTTGGCCCGCTGCTACTAGCCATGCATCAAATGTTTCTTTCAAAAATGGGACGTTGTTCCACAGCCAAGGCGCCTCGCAGACCTGCAGGAACACAGCGCCCTCACATGGGTTGGCCATTTGCCAACAGTTTTGCAGGCCATTAAGCTCTCATGGCCAAAAAAACAGGGCAGACAATAACCAGCTTGGTGCATTTTTCCCTGGGTATGTCCTGCATGGAAGAAACTTTATGGTTTTGGGTGATCTCTGACCTGGAATCACTTGTCATCGCTGCTTGGTTTGCCACCATTGTGCAGCTCCTGCTGCTTGTTCTCCAGTGCAGCCTGATCCAGCACACAGGAAGAAGTCTTCACAGAAGCGGGCAGCACGCCGTCCCCATGCACATGCCTTTAAATGAAGCGCCACAGAGAATGAGACCTGCAGGGCTTACATTCAGATTGCTGGCGCGCACAGACAGGCACACGCTTGCTTGCATCCCCAGTTGATATGTGTAAGGCCACGAATGCATTTACATGAACAGATTACCAGCGCACACACACAGAGACATGCATGCATGCATCCTCGACTGCTAACATGATAAATGCATTAACACGATTAGTTTGTGCACCAACACTGTCTGCAGATCCTTTGCACGCGCATGCAGCGATATCCATTATCCCTCAAATGCAGCCATGCAATCAAGATGGACTGCAGGTACCTGCAGGGGCTCCAGAATGTCTGCCACCGCCGATCGCAGCTTGTTCAGGGTAGATTTCATTAGCTCAAATTCAGCGGCTGTCAGCTTGAAGGGGGCGCCAACCTCTGTCTTCTGCGACATCATGTGTGAACCCCAATCAGAACACTGAGGAGTTCCATGTTCTAGCAGCAAGGGATGCCAGATGCATAACATGATACATCCCTGAGCATGAGGCGTGAAAAAGACACGCCTGCATCAAGACTTCCAGCACACACTCTGCTTCCTGGAGGACTTGTCCAATCTCCTGCAGTCCACCAAGTAAAGCTAAATCAAGTCCTCATGCAGCAGTTGCAGCAGCAGCTGGAAAGTTGCAAACCGTCTGGGACGACGAGAGCACAGCTTACCTCGATGCCTTTCTGAGGATCCGTGAAGATCTCACGGGCCTTGGCATTTTCAAGCCAGCGGGCGGACATATCAAGCTTCTGCATAGGGACACCCTTTAATCAGCAAGGCACTGGCAAGCTTGACAAGTCTGGACGACAACACGCGGAGGCCAGCAAACTTGCAAATAGCACAGACGTGCAAAAGAAGTCGACACACTCATTGCTGAGGGTTTTATTTTCAGTTCTGTTGGAAATAAGCCCAGAAGCAAAGCAGTAGCTCCCGCCTGAGACAAGAAGATGGTTACGTTCACCTGCGTGCCGTTCATGACGATACTGATAAAGTGAGGAAGAAAGGAAGCGCAGGAATAAAAAAGAAACTGTGCGCTGAACAGTCTGATGGTATTTAATTGCGAGGCCAACACTTCGTGCGAGCAGGGCAGAGGGCACAAAGGTATTATTACATATCCCCTGAGTGGTGATTACAAACAGGCTTTGAAGCATGCATCCCATACATTTCCCTGCTGCCCTCTAGAGGACTTGAAACTTCCCTTCTACGTAATTGCCAGATGTTGACATCATCATCCCACTCAAACTACCTGCGGTTGCCCTGTCAACCCATCCATCTGCTGGAAATGAGCCTGCTCACATGGTACCAAGCTCAGCTCGCATCTTCCAAATGCAGCAATTGACCCGCACACACTCCTGATATCAATCACATCTGTCTTCTGTGCATGCCATGGTATGCTTAAATTGCGGGACAAATGGAGAGTGACTGAACCATTGTAATGCATCAATTGATATCAGTTCAGGCGCCATGGCAACGCGCTGTGTCAAGTCTCACAGCACTGACTGAAAGTATGCTTCTATTCAACCCTCACAGATCAAAATGTCGCTTCAGAAACACACACAGCAAGTCTCCTGTTGTCAGCAAGGTATGGCATTTCCCAGGAGGTATCCTGGCCGCACAAGGCACAACTGCATTGCTATGCTCCTCTCCCAGAGCTCGAGGCTGCATCAGGTTTCAGCGTTGCTAGCCTTATCGCATTCTTTTGACTTTTTGCTCGGCGCTTTATCGCCAGGCGATCCAGCAGAGCTGGTAGGCTCCCTCTTCTTTTGCTCTTCAGCATCTGCAGACACACAGTGCCTGTCAGTCTCTGCATCGAAGAGCTCCAGCAACAAGCATCTCACCTCAAGAGTAGCTGTGCATGCGTCATCTCTTGCAAGCAAAAGCAGACACAACTATTCCCAACTGCATGGATCAGCATACCAAGCAGTGTTTGGTTAAATGGCTTTTAGAAGACAATGTGGCTTTTTACAATATAATTTTTGCCAATTTGTGGCCTTTTAGAAGCTTTTGGATGCTACCAAACGTACTTGTGCCACTAGCTAGCTAGTTAAACTAGATTATTACCATCAGTGGCCTCATCTGCAGGCTTGGAAGCAGCCGGCGCCTGCTGCGCAATTGTGCTCTTTTTGCTGAAGGCGTCCTGTTTCTTGAACTCGCGCATCAGGTACATGAAGTCTCCATCCAGCCTTGCAGCTCTCAGTCTGGTCTTCTTCAGCTGGCTCAGGTACCTTCCCAGTTTCTCCTCAGAGTCCTCAAGTTCGTTTGATCTGTCCTCCAGGTCTTCCTGCACATCACATGCCAAACATATGACATCTCAGACAGTAAAAATGGTGGTATTAAAGTGTCACTTGACTGCAGGTATGCTGCTCACTCAGCAGGTGTGCTGCGCATTGCATGCAGCTGAGACAAGAGCCTCGCGAGAGATAATATATGCCGTCATGAAATTTGTCACCATCTTGTGCAGCTGCAGTTGCTAAGAGGCCTGCAAGATTAGCAGGTGTGGCAGGACTGCTGCAGTTGCCATGAGCGTCGCAAACCTACTTGGTATGGAATGAATTTTGCAGCAGGACTCGTGCATTTGAAGTCACAAAAATGGAATCCGAGATGGCATGCAACATGCCGATGAGGCTCAGACTCGCCAGGCTGCTGCGAGGATGTCACCTGCAGAATGCTCAACTCCTGGTATACAGCTGCCAGCTCGCCCTCTTTGTCCCCAAGATCTGCCAGGACCTCATCCAGCTTCTTGGACGTCTCAATCTGAAAGGCCTGTACGCACACTAGACATCAATATATTTGATGTGGCCATGCATGAGATCGGCGGTCTTTTCACATCACTGCCACATGCATTGCCTGCAGCAGCAATATTTTGCAGATGGTATTGCATGAGAGCACTTGCATGGTGGCAGATCACTGCTGCATGCATGGCGTGCACGTGATGTGCCTACATGGGGCTTCTAACACCAAGGCAGGCACCCATGCATTTATTAGATGCAGATGCAAACTAGCTAATGCAGAAGCACATGCTGGCATGCGTCATGCAGAATGAAGCTTTGCTGACGCCTAAAAAGTTGCAGAGTGTCCTGCAAAACCGATTAAGCTTTGGGGGTCACCTCTAACTGATTCAGGCGGTCGACTCCCTTTTCCAGCAACTCAACAGCTCGATCTGCCTGTGATCCAAGCTCCACCGTGCGTGTGCCGTACTTCAAGGCCTGGACATTTGGACACAGGTGCTTCTTAACATTAGCTTCTGATTGATGCTGCTGCAGCAGTAGGGTGATGCTGTATAAGCCCATGAATGCATGCACATGACATCAAAGTCCTGAATGAAGAAGCTGCAGCCATGAAGCAAGGTAGCCAGATCTTTTCAGGGGGCGTGTGTATGCGCAGTGGGGTCATATGTACCTGCAGCAGGTTTTTGATGACATCCTTTGCGTTCTGGTTCGCTTTCTGTAGGACCTGCATGAAATACACAATCACATGAGACTGCGCATGTGGTCAAACACAGCTCACATGTGTTGCATCTAGTGTGTAAAATATCTGTGGTTGGTTTTCCATGCTGCATGCAATCATGCATGTCTTTGGGTTTGAAGTGCACAACCAGGCAAGAGAGGGTCACATGTGGCGCTTGTCGAAATTAATCCAGCTGTCATTCCTGCTTCAAGCTGCATGTACCCATTTGTTTGGTTTTGGAATGCAATCAGTTGATTGCTCTGACTGGATAAATGAGGAAGCTGGCGCACCTGGAAGAGAAATTCTGATGACAAGGGTTCATGCTCATAAGTTGGTGGAGTGGCCGCATTGGGCTGCGCTGGTGTGCCAAGGGACTGGCTCGGAGCCAAAAATCGCTGCTTCACACCAGATGAGTCCTGGAGGCAAGAGGCCGGCATCTTCAGAGTTATCTTGGGCGCCCGCTGTCCCTCTGAAACACCTGCATGCAGGTCAGATGACTGGCAAAATAGTAAAGGATGGTGTGTGCAACATGCATGAAGCTTATATTCCGCAGCGGAACTGCAAACTGAGAGAAGGCAAGCATATGCAGCAGTGATTGACCTGCCCTTCTTCTGCTGTGAAGGCTCATTACCTGCTCCCTTGGTAGGGCTCTTTGGGATCTTTTTAGGAAGAACAGGGAAGCCTGCAATGCAATCTGGAGTTGTGAGGCACTTAGCTGTGGTAATGTGCATCGAGGAAGATTGAAGTGGACAAGCTTTAAACCAAGCCTTTGCAGAGAAGGTAATACCGTCTTTGTCTGCTGCAGCATCGTTCTCTGACTGCTTATTGCTCTCAGCTGGGCTGACGTTTTCGATTGCACCTTTGATACTTGCACTGCTAGGATCCACGACCGTCTTGTCCATAATGAGAACTGCTCCTTTCCCAGGCTCGAGAAAGCTTTGCTCCGTGAAAACTCGAGACCTGCGAGGACAGATAAACAAGGAAAGGTTTTTTTTTTGAACGATCAGCATCGGCAAGTTGTGCTGACGTCGGGAAATTCGTACCAGACGCCTGCGATGAAATTGTGTGTGTTGGAAGGCCTGAAATACAGGCCTGCAAGGCTGAGGTGTCCACAGCTAGCTTGCGTTACCAGCACTTCTACCCCATGCCATCCTCCAGGCAAGAGACAGATCAAAGAGAATGAGCTTTTAAGCAAGGATCTTGGAACATGTCAAAATCGGATGATTGCTGAGGGGCGGTTGATCTGCCTCAGAAAGCGAGCAGAGGTCCCAGCAGAAGTCCAAGAATGACTCACCATTACTGATTTGTGTCATGATCACGACATTGTGCAGTATGATGTGGACATCCACCAAAGGAGGATAAGAGTTCGCATCTCATGACCTCAGGAAATATTTTTCTTCCAAAATGTTTCTGCGAGCATGAAGGAAAGAAGAAGTCTCTAAGGACCAGATCTTGATAATGGTTTGCGCATTGCAATCAGAGATGCTCGAATGTACCGAGCTTGCATCTTTCAAAGGCGGCAAGCATCCTTGAGGAGCATCTTTGAGATGTATGCCTATTGCGCCTGGCATGCTTACACCGGAGCAAAGCGCGGATAATGCAGACCATTGAATGCACTGGGTGATATAAGCACAAGAAATTGAAGCGCCATTGCAGCGCACTCTATCAAGTCTTCAAGTCCTGGCCCAGACAATGCTCCAGTACATCCCAAAATCTCCGGTGACCAAGATTCTTTGACTGCTTTTAAGAGCACTCAGCCTGTATTTTGTAGCAGGATTCTTGTTGTGAGTGCAGCCCGGACTGTCCCAAGAGGTCTCCTAGATTGTGGCACAGCCACAGGAAATCTGCGTAGTCATGTGGCAATACGAGCTCTCCTCCCATTACTTGAGATTTGATCGGGTCTCAGCACTGCTCGCCTTCCTTTGACTTTCTGGATGGCGTCTTATCGCCCGGCGAGCCAGCAGAGGTTGTGGGCTCCCTCATCTTTTGTTCTCGAAATTCGGCACCTGCAAGCACAAGGTGCCTGTCAGTCTCCACATCGAGGCGTCCCCATTCCATGCATCTTATATTTGAAACAGCCGTGCATGCATCACTTCCAGTAAGCATTAGCAGTAATGACCATCGCCTGTTTCATGAAACAACATCCCAAGCTTACTCCTGCAGCATTTAATGGGCTTGTGGGTTACCTTCGGTGGCCTCATCGGCAGGCTCTGTGGCAGCTGGCGCCTGTTGCGCGCTTGGGATTTGCTTACTGAAGGCATTCTGGCTTTCAAAAGCCTTCATCAGGAAGGTGAGCCGCCCATCCAGCCGCGCTGCTGTCATTTTGGACTTCTTCAGCTGCTGCACGTACCTTGCCAATTTCATCTCAGTACCCTCAAGCTCATGGGATCTGTCCTGCAAGTCTTCCTGCATACAACATGCCAGAGAGATGACATATCAGACAAAATGCAAGTCTTGAAATGTCACAAGACTGCTGGCATGCTGCGAGCTCAGGTGCTGTGCTGTAATAGCTTTCAGCTGTCACTTGCGCAAGGCAACATCTGCCATCAGGAGAGTGTTGACATCAACATCTTGCCCAGTAGCAGCTACTCAGAGGCCTGCAGATGTAGCTGGGGTGGCTGGACAATCTCAGCGGATGTCAGCAGGCATGAAAGGCAAGCTTGTGCGCATTATCGATCAGAGAGTCCGGACTCCTGCGCGCTTCTTACCTGCAGCACGCCCAACTCCTGGTATGCACCTGCCAGCTCCCTCTCTTTGTCCGCAATTTCTGCCAGGACTTTATGCAGCATCTTGGACGCCCCAATCTGATAGGCCTGCATGCACATGACAGTTGTCAGCGTGTCTTATGATAGCAGCACTGCTTTTCACGTGATCAGGCATCAGGCATCAGAGCAGGAGCCCTTCATGCCAGCACATCAATGCTACAAGCATGCTTGCAGCAGCAACATTTAGCACATGATCATGCATGATATCAAAGTTCCTTGTATACTGGCACATCACTGCTACATGCATTACCTGCGGCATCAACATTTTGCACATTATCATGCATGAGATCAGCGGCCCTTGCCTAACTGCTTCATGCATGGCCTGATGTGTTCACATGCGTATGGGCTGTCTCCCACACCAAAGAGGGCACCCATGCATCTCATGCAGGAGCTAGTATAGACATGCATCTGGTGGTGTGATGCCCTTCCAGAGTCCGCTTGTCTGCAAATGTACAGCAATACCGATGCATGCAGCATTTTGGCCACACCTCCAACTGATTGAGGCGGCCGACTCCCTTTTCCATTAGAGCAATAGCGCGCTCTGCCTGTGCTTCGAGTTCCATCATGCCTGTGCCATATTTCAAGGCCTGGACATTTCAGCACAGCTGCTGTTACTCTTCTGGTTTTGGTTGATGCTGAATGTGTGCACGGGACACCTGACATGAAGAAGCTGCAGCCGTGAAGTAGGGTAGCTACAACTAACTTGGTAGGTCATTTGTGCGCAGTGGATACACATGCACCTGCAGCAGGTTTCTGATGACATCCACTGCATTTTGGTTTGCTTTCCGCAGGACCTGCATGGACATACACACACTTATGATACGGAACATCAGATCAAAGAAGGCTCAAATGCGTTGCATCTAGTATGAATGCATGCAGACTTGAAAGCTAACCACAGCTATTTCACATACATGTATTTGCCAGATGCTGTTTGGGTTTGGAATGCATGCAGTTGCTAGACTGCTTCAAACAGAATAATCCAGAAGCCAGCGCACCAGAAAGAGAAATTTTGGCGACAAGGATTGAGGCTCGTAAGTCTGAGGAGGGGCCATATTGGGCTGTGCCTGTGTGCCAAGGGCCTGGGACGGAGCCAACATGCGCTGCTGCACACCAGTGGAGTCCAGGGTCCAAATTGCCGACATCTCCAAAGCTGTCTTGGGCGCGCGCGGTCCCTCTGAAACACCTGCATGCAGGCCCGATGACTGGCAAACATGTTGCAGCACATTTTTGCGACATGCATGAACGTGATGTCTGCAGCAGGACTTGCACAGTGACACAAGGAAAGCAGATGCATCAATGTATGGAACTTCCCTTCTTCTGCTGCGAAATTGCATTACCTTCAGCCTTTGAAGGGCTCTTTGCGGCCATCTTGGGAGGTACATAAAAGCCTGCATTGTGAAATGAAGCAGTCAGGCTCCTGTCCGTGGTGGTTTACCAGGCTTCAGGCAGGGACATGCTTTAGAGGCAAGCAAGTGCAGAGAAGGTCATACCATCTTTGTCTGCAGCAGTATCGTTCTCTGACTGCTTGTTGCTCTCAGCTGGGTTGACGTTCTCATTGGACTTCGCAGCTTTGGTATTCGGACTGCTAGGATCCAGTACTGTCTTGTCCATGATGCGAAGTGATACTTATCCAGGCTCGAAAGCTTAACGATTTCTTCCGCAAAATACCGAGACCTGCGAGAAGAAAGAGACACATGAAGGGAAAGCAACTCAAATAAAACAATCACCAGCTGCAAGCTTTGCTGGTGGCGGGACAGTCCTACGTTAAAATTGCTAGTATTGAAAGGCCTGAGATATCGATAGCCAGCTTGCAACGCAAGATTTTCTACAGCTAGCTTATGGAACCAGCACGTCTGCCCCACGCCATTCATCAAGCAGGAAGCAAATCACAGTGCATCGGCATTATGGCATGCCAAATGATCGGAATTGGGAACATCCTCTTTTGCTATCGAACGTTCGCAGATATCCCAGCAAAGGTCTTGAGATCAGTACAAGTCCAAGGATGACTCACTATCACTAATGTGTGTCATGATTAGCAGACTTCAGCATCTATTTGCAAAGGAAAAGGATAAGGATGTTTGCAGATTTGTCTCTGCCTTTTCTAACTTTCTGGTGCACTCTTAAAGTAAAGCAAGCTTTGTGCTTGACATGCATCTGCTTTTCAAATGAGGACCGTACTCAGAGATATTCCCTCCGATATATCATTTGCATTGTAGGATGCTGGAGGCTCTCACTAAAAGTTGTTGCCGGGCAGCACGGTTTCGTGTGTCTTACATATATCATGAACCGCTGTATTTCTGTGCAAGGCGTGTGCAAGGATACTGCTTGGCATGGTGACTGACAGATCAAGTGGGACTAGTATGTCTCTTGTGCCTTGCATTTAGCAGATCGCAAGCATGTATGCACGAAAGGGCAGTGTCAAGGCACCGCGGTAAATGTACATTCACACGCCAGACCTACTACTGACCAGACGCTCGGAAGGGTCTTTTAAGATTTACACTCTTTGAGCACGGCACTTGCTTTCACCAAACCATGATCATCGATCTGTGCACACTGACCAGGGCACAAAGCAACTGTGCTTTGTAGAAGACTAACTAAGCACTGCAGCTCAGCACAACCAGTAACACTGTGTTACAGCACAAGCAGCACGCTGGCAAGAACTTATCCATTCGCAGGTCTGCAGCGTTTTTTAGCAACTTGCACACTCGCCGCCACCTCGTGTGACACTGCTGGTACTGTGCATACAAGATTTGCCCCAGAATCCCTTCCTTGTCTGCCCATATGGGGACCTCAGTGATGACCTGTAATCACACAAACCTACGTAGTCGTCAAGGTGGGCTAATTCTTGTGGGCTGCAGGCAAGGGACATGTCGAATAATGCACTGGTATCATACAGGCCACAATGATGGACAGGGTGCCCATGTTGCGCACCCCGCTCTCAATCTTGTTGGCTTCAGGTGTCCTGGCTCAGCTCCCCAGTAGGGAGAGCCCGCATAGGTTACATGTGGCATTTTGAATTTTGGATTCAGAAGGTGGCCTAATCGGGCCGCCGGAGTTTTTGGCAGAACCCCTCTGCGGTCGTCACGCAACTTCTGATGAGGCCCGATCAGACGTGCAGCTGTGCACAAGTGCTCTCTCAAAACCCACCATGGCTCCTCGCGCATCCTGGCGATGCTGCTTCAGGCCGCAGGTGGCTGAGGGCGAATCGCCGGTGGGCGAGATCGTCCAGCCGGGCAAGGGCGGGGAACTGCGCGATGTCGAGAAGGATAAGTGCACGGAGGACAGCGCTAACGCGGACTTGTTTGCCCGTTTGCAATGCCGTCCCATCCGTACCGATGGTGATGGCATGGAGGACGCGGACGATGATTTCGCGTCGCCGGCCTCCAGCTATCAGACTTGCTTCAGCGAGCAAGACCCGTTAGACCTCAGTGGAATGTCCAGGTTCGTCTGTTCGCTGAGCTCCAATTGCCTTTATGTATCCACATTTAATCGCAGGTCAGAGGTGCATTTGTTGGTAAACCGCGAACCCGTCGCAGATGGGCTTTAGCTATGACCACTTGGGCGTCATGGAGGGAAGCTCTGCTGGAGCTCCAACCAAAGAGAGGCATGTGACTGTCGGATGTTTTTTGTCGATTACCAATCACTAATATTCCATCCAGGGAGATTAGAAAGGCATGCACATATTCATTCTTTACGAGATGAAGCTGCACAGGCAGCCATTGCACGTGTCTCCCAGTGCAGGAGCCCAGCAGTGGCTCCCTCTGTTGGCACGGAGCATTAGCGGCGACATTCCATTGATTCAGTCCTTGATCGGTTATGCTGCCTGAGCTATCTAAAATTCGGTCCCAGTACTGGCAGTCAGCAGGATCCTAGGGTGCAAGGCTTCCTGCAGGGGCGCATCACTTTCAGACGATATTTGAATCTCTCGATTTCAGATTCGAAAATACATAAGAAATGTGTTGCACGAATTTCTTATTGGAGCTGATGAAAGGAGCACCAGAAGGCCCGATTCATACATATCTGCAAGCCTGTATGCTGACAAAAGCGCCACCATCCATGCAGGATATACAGGACGTCGTCGGCGGTGAGTGCAGCGGAGGGGATTGCATCAACATCCCAGGCGATTGGGGATGTGAAGTGGCTAGAAACGGATCTCGGCCGGCCGCCGGCGCAGCGGCGCACGCGGCTGCCGGACCCGGTACAAGAGCTGCCGGGAATCAACCTGTGGAGCCTAATCAAGGACTGGATTGGCAAGGACATCCACAAGCTGGCGCTGCCCACACACATCAATGAGCCCCTCACCGACCTGCAACGCCGCGCTGAGGCCTTTGAGACCTCAGAGCTGCTGGACGAGGTGAGTTGCACAGCTTGCAGCATTGCGCGCGCATGCAGTTTTCGTTACAGTACTCGGCCCCTAATACTGGGGATTGGAATATATAGCCATATCAGCTCATAGATGCTCTTGGACTGGACATCAGGATCCTCTGGAGTCAGGCATAGCCCTGCATTGGGTGCCCCAGCCAGCACCTGCTCAATGATGCATGTGCTCTGGCTCTTGCACTTGCAGCATTCCTGGCCCTGCAGTGGCCTTGACTGAAAGCTTGACCTCAGCCTCAATTTGCGGCCAGCAAGGTTGTTGGCACAGATACTAATATCTTGCTGTTCTTGCTGCAGGCAGCGAAGATGCCAGCGCAGAGCCTGGAGAGGCTAGTGCAGGTGGCGGCGTTTGCCATCAGCATGTACAACACAATCAAGCGTGTCCAGAAGCCCTTCAAGAATCTGCAGAACTCCACCTTCGAGGTAGTGTACCCTGAGAAGGGGCTGCGCGCGATTGGCGAAAAGGTCAGCCACCCTGCCTGAGGTCTGTTGGGGTCTATTAGTCACCCTTCTGCTAGACCACAGCAGGAGGTCTGCAACCAGCTTCATTGCAGGGCACTGATTAACAACCGGCAGGATCCTCTTGATGTACAATGCAAGGTTGCGGGGTTCTGATCCCAATGAAGAGCCCCTGGGTTGCAGACTGCAGCCATCTCTTTGACCTTCGCAACAGCCTGCATGTGAGTGTCTATGAGACAGAAGTCCTTTAAAAAAATGAACGCACCTGGATAAGGCAGAGTGAGCGGTATCAAACCGGCAGTGCTACACGAGCAGGGCATGAACGATTGATTGCTGGCGCACTCTTGTTCATTGAGTTGAGCATTCAGGTGTTGGTGTTTGTTACAGATTCAGCATGTGCCGATGGTGCACGTGTTCCATTGCGATGGCCGCGGCTGGGAGTTTGACGCAAACGACGAGTTCTCCATGGAGCTCTGGGGCAACCACGCCATCATTCGCCCAGTCGGCGAGCTCTATGTCAAATTCCACGATGGTGATGAGTACTGCTGGAGCACGGTGAGCGCCCCTTGTGCTCAATCAAATTAGTGCTGTAACCTAGTCAGCATCCCATGAGGACCTCAGTATATTTTTTTATCAGTATGGGTGTATCAGTATGGGTTTTTATTCAGTTTCCAGATGCTGATGACATTCACCTACCAGTCAGCAACTGAGAGCATCTCCAGGAGGACTGCATTGCATGACCTTGACGCTTGAGAAATCCATCCACACTCTGTGCCTGCACCTTATCGCTGACCTGGAGAGCATCCAATCAGCAAAATGCCAGTATGTCGATCGCGGGGATTCTCACAAACAGACAAGTGGCGCGGTGATCCTGAGACGAGGTGTCCTGTTCCATTGAGTCAAGGAGCCGTGCGGAGACATGTGGGGGCGTGTGCGCGCAGGTGCCGACTTACATCAACAACATCCTGATCGGCAAGCGCTGCCTGGACCATCGGGGCTCCTTCCACGTCACCTGCCTGACCTCTGGAGACTGCTTCCGCTGCAAAATCAAGGAGCCCATCTTTGGCAAGGCCCACCACGATGTGCGCAGCTGCCTTCTCTTAACTGTTGTTGTTCACTTTTCTCATGCTGTACGCTCTGCCATGCAATTGCTGTGTCCCCCTCACTTGGCCCGCTGTTTCATCTTGCCTTCTTACCCATTCTCTTGTGCTGCTCTCTACCTGTGATGCCAAAGGTGGCGAATTCTGTTGTCTTCTGACTGGCTTTTAAAACATAGGCTTAGCATTTGACACGAGGTCGAGAGTGAAGCGCATGCAGGGTGCATGCGGTGACTGACACGCGCATGTGAAGAGAAGGGAGATCAAGGGTTGTGCTGTGCGCGAGCGCAGGTGACTGGGTACTTGGAGCAGAAGGGGAACAGGGTGGAGGGCGTGCAACTCAGCGGCAAATGGGATGCAGGCATTGCAGCCCAGTTTGCCGATGGCTCCAAGCGCCAGATCTGGACCGCCAATCCACCCCATGTCCACCCCTCCACGTGCGCACCCTTCCCATTCCTTGTGTTTTGATTTTTGATATCTTGCTAGCACTCATTGGAATGACAGCAAGCATGTGGTCTTTGTGGTGTCCATTGGAACAGCTCACACGCTCACAAGTCTTTCAGTGGAACACATGCACTGTTTCTGGTCAGCTGGTCTGCTGAGAGGACTTTTACTTCGAGCACTGAGGAATAAGTACGTCTGCCAAAGCATTGCCTTCTTTTCAAAGGGTCTGTCCGCTAGGAGGTTGCCGCCAGAGCTCTGCATGCGAGCGAGCGCCTGTGTGCAGCTGCCATAACGTCGCAGGTGTTGCATGTCAAAACTGATTTTGAAAGTGTCCATTTCATCACAGGCACCCCTTCTCGCTGTGGGCGCTGCACCTGAACGAGCTGACCCCGGAGCTGAAGGAGAAGCTGCCGCCCACAGACGACCGCCTGCGCGCAGACATGCGCCTCTTTGAGCATGGCTTCTACCACGAGGTGAGCGCCCTCCTCAAAATTTTCCCCTTTCTCGTCCTCTGTACAACCTGTGCTGGTATCCTTGAAAATTGGACATGATTGTGGCATCTGTGGCTTCAAGCATCTTTCACCCATATTGCTATTGGGTGTGCACCGGCGAGGAGGTTTGACTGGTTTGTTTTAGATTAAAGTGTCTTCGGTCTGGCTGTGGTGCACCTGCCAAACATTCAGATCCAGACCGCCCTATCGCAGGGGACTTTGCAAGGATTCAGATCCAGACCGCCCTATTGCAGGGGACTTTGCAAGGATTGTTTGACACCCATTATGCTGCATCACACTGAAGCTGTGCTTGATCTAGTGCCTCTGCTAGCCGCTTCAGCACAGCAAGCTGGCAGGAATTGGGAGTTCAGAACGAATCGTCTTGAGGGTGAAGCTGTATCCATTTGGCAGAGCGAGGAATTATAGTTGTCAGAGTGCCTGCTGTTCTGATTAGGCATTCTCTGACGCTGTTTGATCTGCTGTCAGGCAGATGAGCACAAGGTGCAGATGTTACCGAGCACAAGGTGCACGCAGCACAATAAGCTGACGGTGGGTGACATATTGCAGGCGAATGAGGAGAAGCTTCGGCTGGAGGAGAAGCAGAGGCAGGAGCGCAACGCCGTGGAGGCGGCCGGCGAGCCCTGGCAGCCACGCTGGTTTGTCCAGGTGCGCACAGTTCCTTTTACATTCCCCCTGCAGCGCGCATCGCATATCCCTGTGCTGCCCTACTGGGTTTCAGGGGCGCGCTCTGCGACGTACTCATGCGCGCCCCTTGCAGCGCCGTCAGAGCTGCGCCAATCCCTCTGCTATGTTGGCAGTGCTATCTATCCACTCCAATACCGCTCTTGCCAGAGTGCATCTGAGCGCAGCCTTCTCTGAGCAGCAACCTTTTTGTGCAGCAACCCTGCTATGGTTGGCAAGAACTCACTTGAGCGTTGCATGCCTTTGGATCTTAATCGAATGCCCTGCATGGAACAAACCTTTGAGGATTGCTCTGCCTTAGTGCTTTGGCTGCTTCAAAAGTCACATGCCCTGCCGTGATGGATGGGTTATAGCTGGACACCTGGCGTGCAGCCAGCAGTGCTGCAGAAGACTACAGAAGACAGAAAAATACACATGTGGTGTAGCGGTCTGCAATTATGTGCGGCAGTTCAAGGTGCAACACAATCCTGCAGTGTGTTTTGCCTACTGATGATCTTGTGACTGCCCGTTCAGGTGCCGAGCAGGCGGGGCTTTGAGACCTGGCGGTACAAGGGTGGATACTGGGAGGCAAGGGAGACAAGCAACTGGGCGGAGTGCAGAAATATCTACGGCCCGGGTCCCAAGGGAGAAATGCCGCCCGAGTACCCTCTTTGAAATATCTTTCTGGCATCAATGAAGTAACAGTGCATTCATGAGCACAGAAAACGGGCGGACAATCCCAGACAGGCGTGATGCAGAATGGTGCTGTAAAGGCACTAACTGTATGATGGAATTACACAACTTTCAAATGATATCAGAAGTATCCAGTGCATCCACTCAAAGTATGTGGATGAGGCTTTATTGTAGGGTAGATTGCATGGGGTCTGCTTTCAGACCCCTCTATATTTTCGGTTTGGCGTGTGGGCACTGCTGCTTGCTACCACTCCTCTTTCTTATGATTACAGTCAGTTTCTGTACAGGTTGTGTGCACAGATCGCTCCAGGCTCCTTGTCATGGCAGCATCTTGCCGTTCAGGCCATGCCGTGCAGTGGCCTGGCAAATATTGGACAATTGTACAATGACCGACCCTTCTTTCAAGAAAGCAGGACCGGTGCCAGAGCTGGCCTGAATGAGGAGTGTCAAGGAACTTTCATGTCTCAAATCAATTCTTTAAACATGCAAATGATGCGATCACTAGGATTTCTTATTTGCGTTCCAAGACAGGCGTATTGCTGACTGTAATCAAGTAGAGTCCCTGCTTCTAGCGATCCCTTAAGACACCTTTGTAGGATGTAATACAGTTCATTGCAAACCCTTTAAGGAATGCATTCCCACACCACTATGGCTGGCCCGCTAATCAATGCAGCTTCAATGACTGATTTTCATTTGCTAAGAAGCCGCTGTTGCTTGGCCACCAAGTCCTGCAGCCCCTGAGAGTCCTGCACCGCCATTACTAAGAGCTTCAAACATTAAGAGCTTCAAACACCATCCGAGCCATTTTCTCCAATGTCAATATAATCTAATTTTATATATTCATGCTCGACGGGCGCTCATCTTAGGACCACTGCGACATATGTGAAGATGATCATGATCAAGCACCTGGCACCTGGTTTCAGGCTGAAATTGTCAGGCGACCCAGGCCCCATCTAGACTGCAGATTTGCTCGGAACACAACGGAAGGCCCCACAATGACGCACTTCAACCATCAAATGAGCAGTCACAAAGCTTAGCTACACCTTGGCAGCAGCGCTCTTGAGTGCCTGCAGATTCGCGCCAGCCTTGCCTTCCTTGAGCAGCTGGCGCTGGTTCTTGATGAGCTGCATGACGCTCTCCTGCTGCTCCTCCAGCCGCTGCAGGTACTCTGTCAGGATCTCAGACATAGCATCCACCTTCCCAAAGGTGCCTGTGACATGGCATTTGGTATTAGTATACCTTCTTGATGTCCCTGCTGGCGGGGGGCGGTATGTACACTGAGCACCGTACCCACGCTCGATTGGGTCTTGCTTGGATCTGGCGAGTCCAACAAGGGGTAGGATTATGGCAGCCTTTAACTGTAGGTTGCCTGCAGGACGCATCTTGCCTCTTGGCAGGAAAAGCGTGTAAAGACAATAAATTTATAGTAAGTCCCTTCTTGATGAGAACTTTGGCTTGAACAGATAACACATCTGCAACACCATGTGCTTGGCAATGTTCCAAAGATGAAGAATGTTCACTTGGCATCCAGAACTGAGATCTCAGCAGGGTGCGCCTTAATTCAAAATCATGCCATCCGTGCTGCATCCAATGCAAGAGAGGCTGCAGTGGTGTCCTGACCTATTGCTGCAGTGCTGGTCTGGTACAACACAGGGTCGGTGTCAATGTACACACACCTGAGAGGCCGGATTTGAGAGTGGTGATGCGCTTGGCGTTGAAAGCCATGGCCTTGAACTCTTTTGGGGCCTCCTCCGGTGCGCTGAAGTCCAAGTGGAGGAGATCTTGGGCCACCCCGAAGCCAGTAAGCCCACCTGACACCACGTACTTCGGAGGCTGCTTCTTGGGCTTCTCGTCTTCCTCATCTTCTAGCTCCTGTGAATTCATCTGACAGCCTCAGTGGGCTGGCACAAGTGGTGGTGAGACTGGGAATCTGGCAAGCCACTTCGTCAAATACTACGATAAAGCCTCTGCGGTTCACAAGTCAACCTGAAAGGTAAGTCTATGATGACTCCGAAACCGAACCAAGGAGAACAGTGCAATTCAGCTGTCGGACTTTCCAAGGGCCTCCAGAGATGAAGGCCCTTACAGCTGGGCCGTCACCTCTCGTCGAGGGTGGATGACGATTGCCTTGTCATTCTCAATGGCATCTTGTAGTGCAACCTGCTGGTCCTTTATTCTGTTCAGCTCATCCAGCAGGCTGTCAAGTTGGATGGCTTTGAGCTCCGTCATTTAACTTGGCTCGGTACAGGCTCACTTACCGGGAGAAGGAATTGTCAGATAGATTGGGAATGTTATATGAGACCAAATGCCGCAGTACGACGCAGATCTGTCCTATCGCGATCGGTGCTTTCAAGGAAACGCCCGCCCGAAAGCATGTGGGCAGCACGTGCTAATCATGTGACCTTGCGGCAGCGGCTCGGGCCGTTCTGTCGATGATGTCGAAATACAGCTCTGCAAGCCTGCAAAGTGTACAACAATACAAATAAGGGCGCTGTTATCGAGTGTTTTGGTTTGGCACCATTGGACATTGCGTGGAAGCAAGGCGTTGTCTAGTAAATCCTTACTTTTTCTGAAAGGCGCATCCAACGGCAGTGTTAGTATTCAGTAAGTGCAATTGATTCGGTATCCATTTGAATCTGAGGCAACTTGAGTGATCGTCTAGTGTGAACCCAGCACTGCCGTGCCACCTACAGTAACAGGAATATGGTGAAGAAACGCAAATTGTCTCCCAAGTCAGTCTGGGACGAGGCGGATCTCCGAGATGCCTTCAGAGAGGCGGGCATTAAGGAATCTCACATCCGGAGGTTGTACAGGTGCAGTTTCCCAGCATACACCTCGTGACCACCACACGCAGCAGATCTTTATCAGATATACCAATGCAGTGCCTTGCAAACGAATTCCCTGCAGCTAATTTTGAGTACGACTGTCAATCTAGAGTTATCTGGATGATCTTAGCATGGGGCGTGTGCTTCTTTCGCTGGAAACTGATGAAACCGCTGGCGCACAGGCACCTCATCGTACACCCTGAGGCTACCTGGCACGATGTTCCGGACCTTCCCAAGGCCGCGTGTGTCTTGTTGGACAAGGAGTATGTGCGCAGCACGTCTGTTGTGGAGAAGGAACAGAAGTCGTCAGATGGTAGCACCTGCAAGCTGCTGGTGAGGCTGCAGGATGGGATGCAGGTGGAGGCAGTGGTGATGACCTACGACAAGGAAGGTGCGGCTGTCATGGATCTCTTTTACTCTGCTTGGCATTCTGTGCTCCTGCGTGCTTTCTTTGTGCGCATGCACCGGAAACAAAACCAGCCAGTTGCTTCCGAGTGCGGTTTTTCTGCCTTGGAAGCGCATCGTGTGGGTGGTCCAACCGGAGGAATCTAGACGGGTGCATCTGCACACATCAACCCCTGCCGAGGTATCAGATGGCATCCTGCTGGCAGATCTGAGCACAATCGTGCTTCTATCCTGATCCTGCAGATCCGGCTTCTCACCAGCATAAACTATAAATGAGTCCTGCCTATTAGGTTGTCAAAGTGTTCTGTGCCATGATGCGCAGGTGGAGATGGTGAGAGTGAGGATGGGCATGCTGTGTTGGGGCAGCAACGGTCCACGCTGTGTGTCTCCTCTCAGGTCGGCTGCCAGATGGGCTGCACCTTCTGTGCCACAGGTACTTGGCATCCCAAGAGTCTCACAACAACGCAGACCACTGCATTCGTCTGGGAAGGGTGATTGGTGGTAGAGCACACACGTGGCTTGCCCTGTTGATTCGCACCAATTCTTACAATCTGCATGGCGCATCTGCCTTTCTCTCTGATATCTGCATTCATCTGGGACAGATGCGTGATGACAGAGCACGCCTGTGAAGTTTGCCCTGTTGATTTGCACCAAATTCATACACTCTGCATGGCACATCCGCATTTCTCTTGAAGACCTTTCACCCAGACCGCTAGATCCCGGTTCTCATGAAGAATTTGACATCCCTGCATGTCTGTGGCATCTCGTCAGCCCATCTTAGGAGCTAATTTTGCCATCTGGCCAATTATGCAGACCTGTAAGGTTTGTTGTGCTGCAGGCACGATGGGACTCAAGGGGGACTTGACGGCTGGAGAGATAGTGGAACAGCTGCTGCATGCGCAGCGGGTCACTCGGATAAAGAACATCGTCTTCATGGTGAGCTGCCTGCCATCCATGACGAGATCGCCCCTGCTGTTCTGCTGCCCTGCTCTTCGGGATGCAGTACATGGATGAAACAAGTCATGCCCACCTCTGGCCTATTAACTTGTGGGAATGGATGACCATTAGCCAGCATTTGAGTCGCATGGGTGTCTCTGCCGGGTCCTGCAATTGCTGCTAGGGGTTCAGGTTGTGAGACACAGGACATGGAAATGGGTATTGTTTATCTTTCCCTGTCTTTGCTACTGGAAAGGCAGAGAAGAGATGAGAGGAGAGATTTCTGACGGGATTGAAATGCTAACCTTGATGACTCATCGTGTGCAGGGAATGGGGGAGCCTCTGAATAACTATGAGGCGGTGCGTTCGGCAGTAGCGCTAATGATCGATCCTTCGCTGTTTTCGCTGCGCCGCTCCAAGGTCACCATCTCAACCGTCGGCATCGTGCCACGCATCCTTCAGGTAGGAGCTATTTGCTTCTCTTGATATCAGCATCCCTTGCCTGGATTCTACTGCCAATGGGACCTCCACTCGAAATGAACTCGAGCCAAAGGCAGGGTCAGACCTTGGCAGTTTGCTTGCAGTCTCTTTGAAGCGCGCTGTGGCAGTTTGTTTGCATGACAGAATTTCACCACATGATGCTTGCTTCTGCTCAGGATGACCGCAATGTAACATTAGCAGACAGGCAGGCGACGCTCAAGCAACATGTTTCTGTGGAGGATTGATGAGTTTTGTGCTTGCACGGCATTTTGCAAAGCATGACTAGCACATGTCATCAGCAAAGCTCTTCGTGTGCACAGCTGGTGGAGGACCTGCCAGGGGTAAGCTTGGCGCTGTCGCTGCACGCGCCAAATCAGGTGCTGCGGCAGTCCATTGTGCCCTCCGCGCGCGCCTACAAGCTGGACAAGCTCATGGCCGCAATCGACACCTACAGGGAAAAGACCGGCCAAAAGGTGGGATTCTGTCCACATGTGAAATCTTCCTGGAAGCGTGTACTGTGCATCTGTCGTTGATGCAAGAGCCTTCAAGGGCACCTGCATGCATGTCAACAACTGTTGCAATATTTTCATTGGTTGCAAGAGGCACAGGATATATTCCGTAAACCTTCTGATGTCCACGTGTGACCTGTCAACCCGTTTGCAGTCTGATAAGTTCTGCGCAGCAGCCCCATCGGGCCTATGTTGTGAGGGGTCTGTCACCAACAAGAAAAGAGAGAAGGCAAGGCAAGTAGGCGTCAGGGGCGCCAAACTGGGAGAAAGAGCATCAATATTACAGTCTTAGAAGTGAAGTCATATATGGATGCGCAGATTTTTGTGGAATATGTTATGCTGAACCAAGTGAACGATGCGCCGGAGACGGCACACGAGCTGGGGCAGCTGCTGCGGGGGAAGAACATGATTCTTAACCTGATCCCCTGGAACCCTATATATTCCCCCGACATGCACTTCGAAGCCCCTGGAGGCACCCGTGTCGCGGCGTTCCAGCGCATCGTGCGTGAGGACTACGGCGTCTTCTGCACCGTGCGCCAGGAGATGGGGCAGGACATATCGGGTAATCTTCCATGCCCAACACACAGCTTTGCTGCTGTAAATCAAACTGTTGATGTCCAGCTGCCTGCATGCAAAGCAGACTTGCAGCTTGCGAGGTTGTTAGCCTGCTTGTCTCAAGCAGCTACTTATTGCGTGCATGCTTCTGGGATCCCGGAGATCATTCCTTCATTCCTTCTGCCTGGGCTGCATGGCATATTGGCAGCTGGCACCAGTGTACTCCTAAATTGGAGTTAAAACTTATTGACTGTTGTCGTCAAGTAGTGACTTCAAGGCTGAATCTAGATCTTTGAATAATTTTGCAGGGGCATGTGGGCAGCTGGTGGTTGAGCAGGGCGGTGCGGGCTGTGGGGGCCAGAGCGCTGGCAAGGCAGCAGACATTGAGGAGCTGGGCAAGAGAGTTGCAAACATGACCACGGCTGTGGCATGATCACAATATGCAAATCTGAAATTAGTTCGTTAGGCATCAGCATCAGCACAAACTTGTGTTCATCATGTTGTTTATGAACTATGGAAGGGCACACATAACAGATCGTATGTGAGTACGAATATTGATCACAGTGTGATTGTCGTGCTTCCCATCAGCAGTGTGTAAAACATTTGTCTTTCTCTAATCTGCAAACCTGGTGGCTACACATCTGGTGCTGCATGACATTCTGCATCACTGCGTCCTATGTATATTCAAGTTCTGTGGTTACTGTTCCAACATGTTCATTCCTTCTTGTTCAGCAGTATACAGATAACAACGAAGCAAAAAGCAACACATTAACAAAACTTCACTGAAGGCGCATCTTCACTGCATCAATATTGAAGCAAACAAATGAGGAAGGTGGCACGGCCCCACTAATACTACTCTACAAAGCAGGCAGTCTGCGCAGCTGTAGGATCTCCTCTGAGGACGGAAATCTTTCCAGCAGCAATATGTCTGGATCCAAGTCCGCCAGGTCTTCAACGAAACCAAACCAATAGATGACAGCACCCGGGCCGAAACGGTTGACATACTTCAAATACTGCGCATCCCTCTGCGGCCTGTCACATCAGCATGATCTCAGCAGCTCAGCATGATGTCAGCACAGCTGCAACCTCAAGATGCTATTCAAATAGCAGAAACTCTGCAACTTCCGCTTCAGCTCTGCAGTACATCTTGCCTCCAAATGATACACAAAAAGTGTGAAAATTTGTGTCATTTGAAATGAGGCCAAGGGGGATTGCGGCGGGCTTGCTGGTCAACAAGTTTTGCAGAACCGTTCGGCATTGGGGAATTGATAAGTGGCACTTCAAAAGCGGTACAGACAGCAAGGATCGCACATGTGCGTACGCCTACTGCCAAAGGTCGCTTTGCTGTCTATCCAGTTTACCATACGCCCGCACAGCAAGACTGGAACCTGCGCCGTGAACAGAGTGATTTCAGAGCAGTACATGCGCCTCAAAACAATTGCCACCTGGCACGTCACTCTGCAGCTGACAACTGCAGCTTGTCTGCAGACGCACCTTCCCTCTTGGCAGGAAAAGCGTGTACAATAACAATAACAATAACAATAACAATAACAATAACAATAACAATAACAATAACAATAACAATAACAATAACAATAACAATAACAATAACAATAACAATAACAATAACAATAACAATAACAATAAGGTATCTGAGGCACTTGCAATCGCACAGGCAGCGCAGTGCCGGGAGTGCCAGGAGAGCAGACAGAGACAGCCTAGCAGCAATAAGGGGGCAGCGTCTGAGAAGTGCGATCTCACCTGCAACTTCACATCAGGGGTCTTGTAGAACCCCTGCTCCCGCAAGGCATCCTCTGAAAAGAAAGGGATCCCGTAGTTACGCAGCTTCTCGCACAGTAGAGCCTCATATTCGATACCTGTGCTTGCATCAGGAGAGCACGTTGGGCACCTCAATATATAAGCATCATATAATTCACGTGTCTTAAGTGCTTGCATCGACCGTAACGCCAAGCCTACCAGGGAAGAGCAGCAACGAAATTCTGAAGCAATCGCAGAGAAGATGCCAGCTGTTGAGCATGAGGAAATTCCCAAGCAGGCCAAGGGAACTCAAAAACAGCACAGCAAGGAGGAGCATGGGTAAAATCACCATGCACGTGGCGGACAATGTCCGACTGCGGCGAATACATGGTGTCGACTGTTGAAGCTTCAATGATATCCGCCCGCAGCCTTTCAATTAGAGAATTATCGCTCTCCTCCAGAGCCGAGGTACTGAGGTCGCTTCTGGTACACTCCAGAATTCGTGGAGTGCGAAGCACCTTGGTGCTTTTCTGTGAGGATATGCTCAGCTTCATCGGCAAAACGCATATGCATGAGAGTATGCCCAAGGTCACAGAAATTAGCAAAGCTCCATTTCTGCAAGTTAAATATGTGGCTGAGAAGGGGCACCTGGCGGCTGTCAAGGCCAGGGATGTTTTCTAACAGGCGACGAGCCAGCAGACATGGAGGGCACTCGGCCCAGCACGCCAGCTGTAACAAGCTCTCCCCTGCCAAATACCTTGCAAGAATGCAGGGAGGCACTTCCTGTCAACACGTACTAGATATTGTCTGGCATGCTTGCCTGCCTCTTAAGATACAAATGCAGAAGCTCAAACAGTGGCAACGGGGGCGTGAAGGGGGTTGCATAGGGTGGTACGATTTGTGTTACCTGTCCACCAAGATGGCAGTGTTGGCGCGCACCCAGCCATGCGACTGGATCACCAGGGCCTGGGTTTCTTGGGAACAAGCCGCTGAAAGCTCGTCATAGGATATCCTGCGCCAGCAGGTGAATAGTTTTCTTGCTGATCTGTGTCTGTGCACTGCATCTACACCACTGCTTGCTTCACCTTGATTTCGTAAAAATCTAAAGGGAAGGGAACGCACCCCCATTGCTTTGAAGCTTTCTCAATGTGCGGAATTGCATTTGAAGCAACCACAAGCCCCACGCAAAGCCGGTCAAAGTCAACAAGCTTCATAGCTTCACTGATGCATGTGGTGGCCCTGCTGGGGGCTTAAGGACCTATCGTATTGAATGAAAATCCAAAATTTTCATCAAGAAGATTTGATTAGTTTATCTAGTTATTACTTAAGTTAATGGTGATATTCCCGTATTGCAGAATATATCCTTTTGTCAGAGGCTTTCATGGCATAACAGAGTCGATTGCAGGAACGTTAAAAGGTCAATGCGACAAACTATTGGCAAGAGACACGAGACACCGGGCTCGTCCAGATCAAAGATAAGATCCTTAATTAAGGGTCCAATTTATGAAGAGGAATCTGACGGAAGGACTCTCGTTCAATTGTCCCTTGCAGTACCTTCCGAGCAATTGGAAGCTGTCCTTGCACGGGCCCGTGCAACGGCGATCCGCCCAGGACCTCATTCTCGACCATGAAGTGGCAGTTTACTAGTCGATGGTATCTCACAGTTGTCTCACAAAAAAGAAGAGTTCATGCATGTCCGTGCAAACAAAAGGCACATTTGGTGGTGATAAATGTTGACTGACCTTTGGCAGATCGTGGAAAGCAGCCTTCCTCTGACAACTACAAAGTTCTACACCCAGTTTATGGCGTAGTCTTGCTCGATCTTTTCTATTATCAATCGATAAATGGCAAATCTGTCGCATGCGCGACACCTTTTTGGGCTAGGGAAAAGAGCTTCTGGCATCGCAGGCCCGCTACAATGTGCTCTGACTGCGTTGCTGGCAGGATCGGGGCCTGATCATTTGCACGCAAGTGATCTTGCCAGTCGAAGTCTACATTCCAACCCGTTTTTGCAAAGTGATCAGCCATCGGGACTCCATCCGGGCTCTTCAACACGTGAGTCCATGCCAAAGCTGCCCAATGCTTACAGGCTGCATTTTGTGGTAGTTGCACATGATCCTCGTAAATGTACACTCTCATGTCCCCAATGCACCTCACTCAAGGCTTCTCTAGGCCACTGCTGTATGCAGCCCAGCAATGTTCTGGAAAGCCCTAGTAAACAGTAGATGCATTCTCATGCGTGTGTCTATGCGCTGTCAATACTGATTGGCTTTAGAATTCAGTGTATTCCCCGTTCGTCACGAAAACAGTATTTTAATTTGGCTGTGCAGGCGATAGCAGAGGAAGTGGCTGCCACCTTCATGCTACACCTTCTCATCGGCACTTTCACACATCGTCAGGTGCTTTCAGCCTTGCCTTCGGTCTCAGCATCACATAAAGTTGTGCCTGCATGGCTAGCACACACACTGCATCAGCCTGCTATCACATGCAACCATCCCAACGTTCCTTTGCCATGCTGATCCACCTCACTTCCCAACCATTAGCGCAGAATGATGACAACATGTTTTCGACAACGGATCACAAGTAGCAGACCCTTTCACCTGTCACTGCTGGGATTGAATGTCTGGACTCATGTTCAATGCATGTGACATGCAGCCAGCCTGGCGAAGGATTACTACGAGGTGTTGGGCGTGCCCCGCGATGCCTCAGATGGGGATGTGAAGAAGGCATACTACAAGCTGGCCAAGCAGTTTCACCCCGACACCAACAAGGTGCACAGCTGCTTGCCATTCCCCAATGCAGATTAACATTAAAGCCTTGTCCTGCTGGCGTGTCTGCTTGCATGCAGGGGGGCCTTGTAATTCTCTGCTAGCATCCCATGGTTGTTTGAGGCTCCGGATTGAGTACTTATGAATCAATCCTTGTGGGATATGTGTCTGAGTGGGGGCAGATACACCTGAGAGTCTCTTTTTGCCCCAAGAGCAGAAGCACTGCTGTACCTGCACTGACCCAGCTCCTCTGCCGCCATCCTTGCTTTGCATGAATGAAGTTCTTGGTGCAGATGTATTCCTGTGCCGCGTTTCCATCATCCACCCTTGCACTTGACAATCCGGGGTTGGCGCGCAGGGAGACGACGCGGCTGCGGCCAAGTTCCAGGAGGTCAGCAAGGCGTATGACACGCTGAGGGATCCCCAGAAGCGGCAGCAGTACGACGGCATGGGCGCGGACGGCTATGAGCGCATGGCGGAGTCTGGTGGCGCCGGCTACAGCCAGGTGAGGAAATGCTTACATGTGGGTGCTTCATGACGCACGAGTGGGGCGTCCTGAGATCATCTTTGTCTTACAATACATCAAGTGAGACCATGCGAAGATCGCGGTTGCTTGGCACACCAAAGTGGCACACCAAATAGCTCCACTGCCATGTGATGCACGCTATAAGGGAGCCACCCAGGTTCTCCAACCAGAACCCACTCCTGTGCAACTCTCTCCAATGAAAGTGCCACTCCCCTCTGCAACTGCTGAGTCTGACTGCTGGGAAACATGTTGTGTGCGATTGATTTTCCGCTTAAATTACATCTGCTATGTGAAATGCTTTTGGTCTAAATGGCCGCAGAGTCAAGCTGTGGGCATAATTTTGAGGTCTGTGTTCTGGGCGTGCAGCAGGGCCAGCAGAACTGGGACCAGGCGCAGGAGTTTGAGGACATCTTCTCGCAGTTCTTTGGCGGCGGGGGCGCGTATGCGCGCGGCGGTGCAGCAGGGGGATTTGGAGGGGGCTTTGGAGGGTTCCGGGCGAAGGGCCCCGACATGCATGCACGAATACGGTGCGCGGCTCTTTCCCTTATGGATGTCTCAGTAATTGCAGCAGAGCAAAGGTACAGGGTTGAAGACTCCCATAAGAAAGGTTTCACAAGATTTACAGGTGAAGGCCCCAGCTGGCTGGCCTTACCGGCTTCATGCCGAGATGGCGTTGTTGTCCGTACCACTGTTCACGTCTTGTCAGCTCTCCCCTCGGCCACAATTGCAGTTTTTACCGGACGTTCACCTGCATCGCTGGGACGTCTCGTATATTGAGTAGCGCGGGATGGGGCAGTGACTTCTGGACACTGAGTGGGTGCATGCTGGACCATGCACCTGTCAAGCCACAATTATTTGGTTATGATGGCCATCTCTCGATGCACATGCTTATGCCGTGTGCATGTTCTGGTTGGACTGGCGTGGCTGAAGTGTTTCTTGGGTCCCCTGCAGAGTGCCATTCATGGATGCTGTAAGGGGAACAAAGGTGAAGACGAATCTCAAGGGCGAAATGGAGGTTGACATACCTGCAGGTGAGCACTGCCGCTTGCACAGAAAAATTTTGAGCTATTTGCTCTTGATAAGTAGATTAGGCTGTGTCCGCGGTGTGAGCCCATGGGGGCGTAGTATTGGTAAGATATTTACCATGCCAGAGCTGGTTCACGGTGGTATCCCGGAGAAATCTACAGCCGTGACATCGCCGTGGACAAACCTTTGCATGGTCAGTACAATCTAGTTCTCAAATACAAGCTTGAGGTGCATTGAAGCCCTCTCCTGGCATGCCCCACCTTCCTGCATTCCTGTCTGTGCACACACGCCCTGTAGCATCGTTCCACATGCCTCGAACGATGTCTGAACCCCTCTTGGACGCCTGAAGAGGGAAATATTGCAGAGTCTTTCAGAAGCACCAGTCGCGTTCCTGAGGCTTGGGAGCTGATGTTTCTTGGTGCTGTGCAGGCATCGACAACGGGGCCATGCTCAAGGTACCGGGGATGGGGGGACCGGTCCCCCGGCAATTTGGCGGTGCTGGCGAGCCGGGGGACCTGCTGCTCCAAGTAGAAGTTGAGCCGTCGCCGATCTTCCAGCGGGAAGGCAATGACGTTAGCGTGCAGCGCTCCATCGACTTCACGGACGCCATCCTGGGCCGAGATCTCAGGTGACCAGCACAGAATGGCGATGGTTCCTTTTGTAGCCCTGCAATGCCTTTCATTTGCCAGCCAGCGAGTATTGCTTGGCTTGTGCCAACCTCTGCAAGATGCCGCCCGATGCCTCTTATTCATCTGACATTTCAAGTGGCGATCCTGCCTGCCAAGCTCACACTGTTGTACCTGTTCTCTTGACATGTGTGACTCAACTTGGCATGCGGTGCCCCCCTCATCTGCAGTCTGGTTGGAGATGGAAAGTGCTCGAAGAAACAAGTGCATCAGTGCTGGCCGGCCGTGCATGGCAGCTTCGGATATATCAGCAGGAGTTGACTCTGCAACGCTCTATTGGCAACCCTCATATGTCACAAGCCAACTGTGCACTGCATATTGCGCTCATGCCGTTGCTTTGACGGCGCGCAGGGTGCCAACGCTTGAGGGCGAGGCGGATGTGCGAGTGCGGCCGGGCACGCAGCCGGGCGACCGACTTCGCATGCGCGGATACGGCATTCCACACGTCCATAACCCCTCCCGCAAGGTGCGCGCCCCTTTTAGAGACCCTCAACGGATGTTTATTACCCCTAGACCCTAGGAGTATTTGATCACCCCTAGGTGGGGCGCTGTGGGGCTTCATCCATGTGGGAGTAAGGCGTGAAGTGTTGCATGGGTTGCCCTGATTTTTACATTTTTTGCAATGCATTTTGTCTAAGCTACGGGACATTTTTTAGCAAAGAGTCCAGAAAAGCAACAAGCAAGCAGCTGCACACCTCTAGCACACAATCCCAAGAGGGCTCCAGGCTCGGCATCCTCTTACAAAGCGGAGGCAGTAATGTATCAATGCCTGGGATGCACCGGATTCCTGTGCAGGCAGTGGGCGGCGCTCAATGTGCTAACGCTGTTCCAGGGGGATGTAGAGCACTCTTGTGCTTGCAGTAAGTCGCGCTCTAATGCAGGGTGTTACTGGTGTGCAGGGGGATCAGTATGTTGTCTTGAACGTGCGGCTGCCGCGAGAAGTCAACGAGCAGCAGCGGCGGCTGTTGGAGAACTTCCGGGAAGAGGAGCAGCAGCGAAAAAAGAAAGCCGCTTGAATTTGTTGCTTTGGTCTCAGTGCAGTTGCATTAGGCTCCGGTGTATCAGCACCTCAACCTGGGGGCAGATGTGCATCCTGACGGATTTGAACACTTAAATTGCAGAAATTAAACGTAGAGGATCGAGAATTGCTGCCTGAGCCTCGGCAGGCAGAATTCTTGAGCTGATTGGTGGCCATAAATTGCCTATGTCTTGTGGCCGAAGGGCGTGAGTCTAGCACAAGAGAAGACCGTGTATGCTCTTGGATAAGCAGCCATATATTGTATTGACCACATGTTGTCACAACATTGTTGTGCACTGTGCCAACTATTGATCAAGCTTTTATCAAGCCTTAAGGTGCCAAAGTGCGGGTCTGGAATGCATGTCTGCCAAATATTTGGAGTAATTTGTACTGTCAACATTACTAGCGAACAACCAGGGGTTTTGCCTGCCAACAGCTAGCCCTGATAGTGCTCTCAGAGTAGGCTATCCTTTCAGGATGTTGCACTACAGATGAGTAATCGCCCCTGAATTTCAGGGGGGACTCCTGGCTAGAATTATGGGGGGTACAAATTGAGTCCATCACGCTCCAAAATCGTCAGGCATTTACTTGCTCATTCGTTGTGTACGTGATTTCGGGTGGGAACCTCACTTTTGTGGAAAGACACACGACAACACAAAGACGCGTTGTGCTCAGACAGTTCCTTACCTCAGATCAACTCCACTCCGATTTAGTTTACGCAGAAGAAGATACAAATAAGAACGTATCTCAGCAATATCTTAATCACTGAATTTTCCCATCTTGCGATCGGGCCCGTCTGAATTGGCAAGATGCCGAAGAAAGTGGGGTTGAACAGTAAGGCAGAGGAGGCAAAGGCAAAGAAGGAGGAGACGAAGAAGGGGAAAGCTGTAGCTGAGGCAAAACAAAAGGAAGATCAGGAATGGAGGGACGCCGGCGAAGGGTCCAAGACTAAGGCCCAGGCAAAGAAGGACGAGCAGGTATTGGCCCATTGATCTGGCTAAAGCCATTCCTCTGCCAATTCCCACGACTGAATCACCTCCGTGGCAAAATGAAAAATATTGATGGAACGCTATTACAGTGCTTCTCAATATAGAAAACAATGCGCTTTGAGCACAGGAGAAGAAGCGGCAGGAGGCAGCTGCCAAGAAGGCAGAGGCGAAGAAACTGGCTGAGGAGGAAGAAGCCCAGCTAGCAACAAGCGCAAAGAAGACTCCCAGCAAGCAAACTGGGTCTAAGGTTCACCCATACTCTTCCTTGCAGTGCAAACACTTAGCTTTGTGTTCCTGGCTGGAGACTTGCTTCTATTGGGTGCGTCACATTTGAAGCCGATTTGTGGATGTGTACAGGTGACATCGCATCAGCTGAGGACGCAGAAGGAGATTGAGAAACAGGCTGCAGCAGAACAGGCCAAGAAGAGGGAGGCAGAGGCCAAGCGAATGGTGAGGCCTCTGATGCCATCTTGCAATGCATGAAGAAGTAATTGCAACCAGACCATTTGCAGTACATATACCTGCGTATGAATCCAGTCTTCAACACGCTCAGAGGGATGCGTACCACATTTATGCACACAAACAATTTTGTACTATGCATCTCTTTAGCTGAGTAGATGCAAGGATGGTCAAACAAGCAAGCAGGAATGCTAGACAGCCGCATTCTCAGATGGAGAATCCAGCACAGGGGATCCCACTTGCACTAATTGTGCTGACATCTTGATGAAGATGTGCAGCGCTGCAAATGGGGCTATTTGATATATGGAAGGCTGACTCACCTGTGCAGGTGACAGAGGATGACTACGCGCAAAGAGTGGAGGTGGAAAATCCGAACCGGGAAGAAGATGCGGTCGAAGCGCGCAGTGTGGAAGCTGCACTGTCAGCGCTGACTGTGGGAGAGGCAACGCCTGAGGACAGGCATCCTGAGAGGTGAGTAAATTGACCATGCACTTTTTAGGGTGCTCACTGCATTTGCAGCCCTCTCCAGGATGGCAAAGATTTGTGCCCCTGCATAACCAGGGCCCACAATTGATTGGGTCTTGCTTGGATCTGGCGAGTCCAACAAGGGGTTGGATATTGGCAGCCTTTAGCTGCAACATGTCTGCGGGACGTATCTTGCCTTTTGGCAGGAAAAACTTATATTGAAGTACTAATAATCACCAGGGCTCAGCAGCGGGCCTTGATGGAACAAACACTCCAAACAGTCCACCGCAGGAGGGGTCTGCAGCATGGCAATGAAGACTTGAGGGGCTAGGGCAGGGAATTTGTGAGGGCTTGACGTCCTAAATGGGTCAAAATAAGCATCGGCAGCATACAGCATGGGCTGCAAGAGAAGTGCATCACACCTGTCTTATAGGGGATGGAGCATTGATCAGGCTCTGCATGGAATCGCGGTCCACATTCTCTGCTGCGTGTTCTGTCTTGCTTGCTCCATTTGTGCCTGCCCATATGGAAGCTGCCATGCCAAAGGCATGCCAAACTGCTGCAGTCTTCAGTAAAATATTATTACTGCGGTGAGGCTGCCCAGATGTCCCATCAGCGGTAGCTGGTTCAGAATGGAATGAGCAATTGACCAGGAGGAATTGAGTACATGCCTGAATATGTCTGCAGGCGAGCGCGCGCAGCATTTGCAGCCTACTCAGAGAGGATGATTGCAGAACTGAAAGAGGAGAAGCCGGGCCTCAAGCAGAGCCAGTACAAGGACATGGTCTGGAAGCTGTGGCAGAAGGCGCCAGAAAACCCCTTCCTCCGGCCGCCCACCACTTAGATTTGCAGCAATCTTATATTATCAGCTCGTCTGTTACAGATCCTCCTTAAAAACACTGGGACAAGCATAGCTGGCATCTGTAATCAAGCCGGCATCTCTGGTTGAACGGTTGTCACGTATTCAAGGGAGGAAGCAAGTACTTGCAGACGTTTATCAAGCATCTCCATACTGTGACAGAATTTGATGTGAGTAAGCGGCAGCCAATTGTCAAATGGTACTCTGCACTTGGTGCGCTGCTCAAGAGCATGTTCCTTGAACAACACAGCTGGATTGTCTCCCTTTACTCGTTGCATGCCAATCATACTCAGGAGAGGCTAGCTATTGCAAGGAATGGTGAAAATTTTTCACAGTTGCCTCTGGGCGTTCACCTTATCTCTGAGATTTCTCACAGCATCTGATGCACAACAAGCGTACGCAGTTTAAAACTGCACACACTTCAAAACAACTGCTACCTTCTGCAGAGCTTCTGCAACCGACGCAACATAGCATATGACAGGGGACAAACACACGGCCCCAACAACCCAGTCAAGCAAGGCACCCCACATCGTCCCAGGCTCCTTGGAAGGATGTTATGTCATGCATCAGCATATCAAAGGGCGTTCTATGTTGTGGTAAACCTTTTGCAGTCAACCTCGCTCGTCCTTAAAGGAGATGCAGGGGGGCATAAACTAAGATATTATTACTCTCGATATAAGCCGAGGACGGTTGAGAAGGCCTTCTAGGGTGAGTCATCTTTAGTCAATTTTGTTAGATCAGGTCAGGTGCCTCTTATTCTTGGCATTTTACATAGGAGACATTTTTCTCGTGGATTGGTTTAGGCTTGCAGCTGTATCACACTCAAAAACACCAGGCTGCAATATGCGTAAAGCTACGATAGATGGTCACACATCACCTGTGCTGTGGCCGGACACAGCAATTGATACACACCACTATCAAGGAATGCACTGCACCTAGGAGTGCCACAGTGCCTCCCAGGCATCAAGGTAGCTTGGTTGAAGGTCCAGGTCATGCATCAGTTTGTCAACTGGCCTGGCATCCACCGATTGGCCTCTCTGTTGCCCCTTGTCCTCAGCCACAAACAATGCCGCTCTGTCTCTCAGCACCACACAGCCTTGCGCCAGTGACGGCTGCTTGCGCTGGGACAAGATTTTGCTCAAGCTGATAACCTTGAGCCGCGGGCGGTCAACAATAAGCGGAAAAGCAGAGTAATGTCCCCCGACGCATGCCATGGCAAGCCTCTCCAGGCTCTCAGGCACGCCGCGCAGCCGAAATGGGCCGAGCAAGATCGCGTCTTGCAGGCCCGTGAGCGTGGATAAATCCACGATCGTGGGAGGCTGGTTGCAGCACGTCTCATGCAGCACCAGCCGCTTCAAACTCCTCAAGTTCTGCAAGTTATGAATGCCGATTGTCTCTGAAAGATTGGCTTTAATACATAGGGTGCTGACTGCCGGGGCGCTTGTGTTCAGACCTGTAAAGCCTGGTTTGATCATTGGCTGAACTGCAGGGCTCTGCTCCACTGTGAAGACCTCTAAGTTCGTGGCTCGCACACTGGGATCCCAGGCCACGCCGGCACAAGTGCATCCAAAGGTCTTCAGCACCGGAGGCAGCTCCTTCACAAACACTGTGGCCCCCTCAGCGGTCAGCATGAGATGCTCAAGTTTCTTCAAAAAGCCAAATGCCGGCCTCCATATCTGCTTCGACCGCGACTCCGCAAGGGTGACAGAGCAGCTGACCAGGTTTGCCAAGGGTGCGAATGTGGATTGCCACTTGCGGATCGGGAAGGTCAGTGTGACTTGCAGTGACCTCAGCAGCGGGCACTTTCGCAGCAACGCGTTCAACAGCAGCAGCTTGGAATCCTCTGCCGGCCAGTGAGATCGCTCGATTTGCATCGCGCGCACTTTCTTGCCGTGGCGATTTAGCCATGGCAGCAAGTGCTTGCGCGCCTTTGGCAAAGATGGAAAGACAAATTCGCCTCCAAGTGATAGGGCAATTATGTCTGCAAAAGAAGCCTTGCGCCACTGGCGGCACACGCAAGCTGCCCTTCCACGATTTTCGATTGTGAGATTGGCAAATACGTGCTCCAAGATCTCATCGTGCAAATATGGAAGGCCTGCACCTGCGCATCATTGGTCACAGTTGAGATATTTTCAGAAGATCAGATCTTCGAAAGGGTGATGGAATAGAGACGAGATGTAATTATTTTTCTTTTGTTGCAAAAAAGGTCAATAAAGACGCCTAGAAGGGTGCTCACCGGAGCATCCTCTGCCACGTTTAGATGCGAGTTCTTCTTGTTGCGCGTCAAAAGCTTCTACCGCAGCGACAGTGACTGTGGTAGCTGTGGACCGTTCTCCGACTGCCTCTCGCAGTGTCAGCAGTACTGCTGATGCACAAAGGATCTCATCGTCCATATTGATCCCCTAGACTCCAGTAGGTACCTTCTTATGTGGCTGGCATCCCAGATCTCCTGAAGCGTCGATTGCGGCTCAGCGTCCTTTGCTGATTTCTGCCGAGTTACAATTCGTACTACTGTCGTGCAAACTAAAGTGAACGCTTTATGACGTCATCACCGCCCTTTCAGGAATCGTCATCACTACTCTGCAGGCTCTAAATTCGTCTTTTCAATTGGGAACAGGGCATTGGCAGTGTGGAGGCAGCCTCGTTCGTCTGTTACATTTGATGACCATCTGTTATCGTTCGGTTGGTGTATGGCTCTCATCGCACGGTTGCATCAGATTTACAATTGTATGATAAAGGGCGAAGGTTTGGATTGGGATTAAGTGTCTGCATTAATTGCATATAGGATCAGTTCACGCAAATAAACCAAAAACCCCCCAATCATCATATTAAGTTAAAATGACGTCATAGACTTCAACCAGATACCAATGCAACCCACAATCGAAAGCTGCGGTCAGATTGGCAGGGTCAATTCAGCTTCAACCTTTGACCCTCTTGGCATTACAACATATTCAGTCCAACATCAGAACATCAGTAATTCCTGCAACTTGTCCTCCTGAGAGTGCGCTTGATTTTCTAAGCCCAACATCGATCACAATCTTATTGAGTCGCGGGCAACCAAATGGATTGTGAACGGGTGTGGTCATTGGGATATTGTTCGTCCGCTGCACTCCCTCCAAAACATGTATGGGTGCCGGATGTAAACGGCTGATAGCTTTGTAAGGCCTTTGAATTCCATTGCAGGACAATTTCATCCAGCACTTGTCAATCTGCGTGACTTGATGTGTATCAACAGAGCCCCAGGAGTTTTGCCAGTTTCACTGCTCGCAAAGCACACCAAACTCATCATAGGCATGCGGCGCTCAGCGCGCACGATACAGCATAACACTCTCAGGAAGACTCTGCGCATGCCACAGCGATTCCCAAGCGTCTGCAAAGTACGATCTGGCGCCCAAATTCCCCATCACAGTCTCAAAGACAGTCAAGTCCATGGGCCTGCCTACCACCCTCAACTTGTTCCCACCCATGAACAATGCTTCTCTCCCCTTCAAGACAACACAGCCACGTGGCACTGCAACATGCTCCTTTGCTGTGATTCCTGACAGGCTCATAAATTTCAACACCGGGCAGCCAAGCAGGTATGGCACATGCACTGGGTCTCTGTGGCACGCCAAAACCAACCTCTGCAAACTTGGGGGCAGGCTGGTCACCTTGAAAGGGCCCACAACGATTGCATCTTGCAGGCAATTGAAGGCGGACAACTCTACAATGCGAGTGAATACATCATCTTCACAGGGATCGAGGAGCATGAAGCGCACAAGACATTTCAAATGGGCCCCTTCCAGTAGGTCCTGGAAATTGCGAAGGAGCACAGTTTCTGCTTCCGGGACGTGATCGACCGAGCCTGTAAGGCCCACACCTCTGCTGTTATGGCCCTGGGATAAGGTCAGCACCTGAAGCTGTGGAGGAGGCCTCGGCTGATGACCCCATCTGACAACATCTCCGGAAAGACCTATAGTCCTCAGGGAAGAAGGTAATTCACCCACATATAATACTGGCTGCTTGGCCTCCAGAATAAGGTGGGTGAGGTGCGGCAGTTTGGCAAAGGGCCACAAAGTCTCAGCATGCTGATGCGCAAAGGTGATGCTGCAGCTGACAAGGTTTGTGAGAGGCTCGAGCAGGTAGCACTGCTCAGGAACCAGTTTGATCTGCAAGATTCGCAGCTCTGGACACCACGTGGGCAATGCATGAATTGTTGCACCGCTTAGAGTGCTGTGTGGGCCTGCTGATTGAGTTAGCTGGATTTCGGTCAAGCCACTGCCGTACCGACCAAACCAGAAGGACAGGTCCAGGGATCTCTGAGGAGGGACAAAGTCCGGCCCAAAAGACATCACACGTGCACCCAGCAAGGAGGCTGCTCGCCAGTGGCTGCACACGGAGGCGGCCCTAGCCCGGTGTTCAGTGGTGAGCTGGCCAAAAATTAGCTCCAGTGTGTCAATCGGCATTTGCCCTTCGTTTGTGCCTGTGGCACCCAGGCACAGAGAACTCAATCTATCTTGCTGATAAAACTGTGCCGCTTCTGCAAGATGCCCGAGAGACACACATATCGTTAAAGACTTGCATCAAGGTACGGTCGACCTAAGCTTGAGGTCTTTTCATCTGTGATCAAACCCGAGTATTAGAGGGAGCCGTGAGAAGCAGAAACTGTGTGCTGACACTGGGAAGGAGTAGTGAATAGTGAATAGTGAACAGTGCTTCAGAGGGATGACCTCTGCTTCTCTTGTCTTCTAAGGACAAATCTCTGCCCTGCGTCATCGTGAAAGTTGGGGTTCTGGCGGTCCTGCGACAGACACCAGCGCTTCTTTTGATACCTGCGTTTTGCTGGCCGATCCAAAAGCTACGACTTGCAAATGCACAAACCCTTCTTCCACTTTTATTGAGGATGTCGCGTACCCAGATCAAAGGCTCATGTCGGCAAGTCAACAACCTTCCTTCGGTGCCCTTTGAAACGTTTACTCGATGCTGCCAAAGCGCCTTCCAGACATGAACAGTATCAGATGAAGTGCACATTTTTTTTGGATTCCATCATGATCGAGATCCCCGCCTTTCACCTCTTACGAGCATCAGTCTGTCCAACTCAACTTATAAATTCCGGTGACTAAGGTTGAGTCAGTCTTGTGACATGCTTTAGTTCTGGTGATGAGACAACCTCAGTCATTTTAGCATTTGAATGTTTTATGTGTGAAAAAAATATGGGGTGCTCTTAGGAGGGAGGTAATTTGATTCAGAGGTTGATCCTTTCTTGGAAGTTTATATACTAAAACTGCTGTCTCAGGGGCAACGCGCATATACAGGAATTGAGCGGTATCAAGAGAACAAGTGCTGCATTTAGAAAAGCCATGGGAAATGTGAGGAACTTGCATGATCACATCAAGAGCCAAAACACAGCACGCAGGTGAGCATGAATGTAATTTCTGTGCAAATTGAACTATATCAGGTCCTGAGACAACCTTCTCATAGCGGAAATTGGGCATTGAGGGCACAGCTCAACAGGAAGATGCCACTGCAGCCAAACGCTAAGCAGTACCTTTGCTAGTTTCTTGGAAGCTGTGCATATCAGTGGTATATTTTGCATCACTGCGCAGCCCCTTCGTTTCCTCTAGAGACCCCGGGCCCCTCTGGCGAGTCGCTCAGATCAATGACCTCCGCCGCAGGTGCCGCCACCTTCCTCTGGCTTCCATCCTCGCTGTATCTCCCCTCGAGACCCCCCATCCCCCCTGTGATATCTCCCCTGCCAGCTCCCCTGATGCGCTTGGGGCTCGAGAGATCCCTCTCTTGACTGGCCTTCCTCTTCTGTCCAGGCGGTTCAGCATCCCCACTCGCTGCTGGCTCCTCAGTCTTCAGCCCAGGAACTGCTGACATGAGTGCCACACGTGCGCCATCCTGGCTGCCAAGCTGGCGCTGACACCCCTTCAGTGCTGCTGCTATCGCCCGAGACACGTCCTCGTCATTCAGCGCTGCAGCCGCCTGTTTCCACGTAAAGCACATGTCAAGCAGCACAATCCAGAAAACCAAGCTGCATGCGGCGTTGTACGCTCATCAGCAGCAGATGTGTGACAAGTGCATATCAAGAAGAAGAAAGCAAGCCTGGATGCACGCCGGCCAGACACTGACAGAGTAGTTAAAGATCTGTGGTAGAGAGGGCTGTGAACTCTTCTTGTTGTACATAGGATCGTTTAGATGGTACACAGCAGGGCCCAGGGGGTTACAGAAGTATGAAATTGGCGCCGGCAGAAGTACCTGAATTGGCAGGCTGCCAGATGGCGCTGACACGGCAGCCAGCGCTGACATGGCGGCCGGCGCTGGCGGCAGCTTTGCAGTAGCTGCTGCCACAGCGGCTGTTGGTGAGCTGCTTGGGGAGCGCACAGCGTGCTCAGCAGGCTGCGCAGAGGGAGATCCTGCAAATCAGGTATGTCTTATCACTAATCATCAGCCTTGCGCCCAACAGAATGCCGAGTTCAGCTTCACATTACATTGGCAAATATCAATTATCTGGACATTATGCGCTGGCTGAAACCAATTAAAACAACATCCAGCATTGCTTCGTGCTCACACGATAATTCGCATCAAATGGCCCCCACCTGCTGCCACTGCCCCGGCCGCCGCTTGCTTGCAAAGCCGCGCCTCCAGACTCGCATTCGCATTGCGTGCTTGGGCCAGCTGGAAAGACAGCGCCGCTCTTTCCTTGCGCGCCATCTCAAGCACAGCTGCATGCTCCCGGGCTGCAGCCTGTAGCTCCGCTGCCTGCCGCACCATGACCGACTCCGCATGCATGCGGCGCGCCTCGGTTTCCTGCAGCGCCGCCGCCAGCTGCGCAGTAGCTGCCTGCAGCCGCGCGTTGTCTGCCTGCACGTACGCGCCACAACTTTGTCAATTCTCAAGTACCATTTGTCAATAAAGACTTAAAGCAGATTTTCATTGATTGGATCCTTTGCACACATGAATTATTTGCATGCAGTACTATGCTACAGATCAGTTTGAAATAGTGCATCTCCAGTGCTATCGTAAGGCCAAAGAAACGCCCACCTGCAGCACTTGCAAGGGTGGGGCCAGGCAAAGACAAGCAAGCCGCGGAGAGAAGAGCTCACCTCGATGCTCTGCATGGCGTCCAGGGCTTCACTCAGGCAGCTCATGGACGCCTTCACCTTGGCTGCAGCTATCTGTGCCCCCTGAAACACCACAAACACTTATTTTGGTACTCTCGAGTGTCAGCATCCGAATCACTTTGCAAGTGGGCACCAGTGCATTTCTAGGGAATCAGGGCTATCATGTACTGAGTGCAATCTTAATACTTTTGAAATGTGCTACAGATCAGGCAAATGCACTGCTCACCTGCGTGTACTGCTGCAAAGGGTGCTGAGAGCTCACAGGGTTCCCCTGAACCAGCAGCATGAGAGCTCACTTATTGGGCAGCACCGAGAGTATGAAGTCATCGTTCGACATTTGCATTGCTGCCTGGTATTATTCAAAACATCATGACAGGCCCCTGTCATCCCTCCGATACTCTCTCTCTCTCTCCAGAGTGCATGGAGCACTCCCTTGCCTAATTTATATTTCTGGAAAAAGGGTAACGTCAAATGGAGCTGCCCCCTGCACAGTGTTTGGACTGCCTTTTGCATCATGAAACAAATTTGCCCTGTCCACTCTGACCTGGCCAGGCCTATCTTTGCATGCCTTTCTGGCCTGACACATGAATTAGTCCGCTCAATACTAGGGAGCTGCTCGTCAATGTGAGAGCGCCTGGAAATGGCCTGCCCACATCGAATCTGAGGGCTCGAAATCGAGGCTGGGGAGCTCGGAGGACTAGAACTGTGACGAGGCGACGAATCACAGACACTCAGATTTCTATTATTAAACATAGACAAGACCCATGTGCGGACCATTCTAGCTTGCAGGACAATTCGGCATTTGTGTGTCCAGCGGTTGAAAATCCCTGCCAAGGGTTGCGCACCAGGAGCATGGCTGCAGGGGGGATATGAAGTGGGTTGCCAAGGGGCGATGGGCCAATAGCCGGGGTTGCGCGCGCTTCTTGTCTCGGGGACCTGGTAGGGAAATATGGAACTGCCCGGGGTGACTGCTGCAAGCCTGCCCTGGCTGCTGCAAGGGGGCTGCCCACCAAAGACGCCGCCTGATTAGGGGCCCCTGCAGATTCACACAGCATGACTAATTGCCCGTCATCCCATGATCGTGCAATGCACAACTTTGCCTGGCCAAGCCATGTGCTGCCCTACACAAATATGAAACCACAGGAAGCCAGACCGCGGCAGTCTCCTTTTACTTGTCATCCGATCTTCACAGAAGGATCCCAAAGTCCTAAAGAATGTTGACATAACGGGATATTGTGATCGGTGAGTAAGTAAAGAGGAGCTCACGCGCTGTGTTGACTGTGAGGGGTGCAGGGGTGTTGGACGTGGGCTGTCCAGTCAGCATCCCAAGGGAATGCTGAGCTGCTGAGCCCTGCAGCCCCCCAGACGCTGATCTCTGCTGCGAATCCTGCAAGCATGAACGCACTTCTTGATAGGACAATTCAGGGCCGAGCATTCTCCATTTTGCAGCCATGTGCCCCACAAATGAGCCGATACATCTCCGTACAGACACCCCTAGTGCTGGCCGAAACTAGACATGCTTGCTGCCAATAATTAATTTATCTGATGAGCAACACTGAAAGTATGGGCAACACAGAAATAGATCAGTGTTATGTTGAGCAGAGCTTGCAGTGAACGGGCGTGGGCCCTCACATAGAGCTCAACAATCTTTCTGGACCTCTCCGATCCAATCATCGCGTGAAGATCCAACCCCCAATTGCGCCGCTCCTCTGCAGCCAGGCCCTGCAAAGACGCGGCACTTAGCTTTGGTTTTCAAAAAATGCAATGCCTTTGTGGGCTTCCACAAGATCTCTATAATAATAATAAGAATAATAACAATAACAATAACAATAATAATAATAATAATAATAATAACAATAATAATAATAATAATAACAATAATAATAACAACAATGAAAATAACAATAGTAATAACAATAACAATAACAATAACAACAACAATAACAATAAAAACAATAATATAATAACAACATTAATAACAATGAAAATAAAATTGAAAATAACAATTGTAATAACAATAACAATAACAATAACAAGAAGAAGAAGAAGAAGAAGAACAGCTAATATTTAGAAAGTCACGGGACCCCATGTGAGTCAGAGTGTGTCATGAGGCGGCAAGCAGAGCTAGAATGATTGGACTGTGCAGATTCCGTAGCCTCAACTGCAGGGCCCAGTGTCACAGGGTGCCAGATGTTGACCAACGCCTTGCTCTGGTCTTCAAAATATCCTTCCCTGGAACAAAGTCGACACAGATTGGATTGCTGACAGCGGAAGCAGGAGTCTCTCACCTGGTACGCATCAAAGTGGGCCTTGAAGCGCATGAGCTCTTGCGGCAGCAGAAGTGGATGTACACACGCCCAAAGATCTTGCAGCTTGTCCTGCCCATGTCCACCTAGAGGCTCATTACCCATCACCTGGTGCAGCCCCTGCAAAGCATAAACACTGCATAAGTGGAATGCTGCGAAAGGAATGCAGGTCAGTGGCAGAGGTAGCCATCTTGACCTCCATGTCACACCCTTCGATCATGGGACGGCTCAGGTTTGGTTTTTTGTGAATTCGCTTGGGCGCATCACACATCAGTGCTTTACTTGAGTGTTCCCATTCTCTTTGTCAGGAGAGCAGAGGTTCTGCACCCACCTAGAGAGTGCCTTCAGTAAAGGGTGCGTCCAGCAGAGGTTGCCTTCGATATTCATGTATACTTGTGGCGCAGAGGGGATAGGCAAGGTCAGACTCCAGGGGTGAAAACCCACGGGGTTGAGGGGTCAGCAGTGTGTCCGGAAGAAAAATGCGAGTGCATGAGAGTTGAGATTATCACCTGTGGTGGCATGCCCACTGGTGTAGGTGCGGACGCCTGCGGCTGCTGTAGGGGCTGCGTGCTAGCCCGTGCCATGTCATTCGGTGCTCCTGTATAATCAGCCTTCACACGTGAAAAAACGTTGCCTTAAATGTCATTTGTCGGCTAAATGCCTGCATCCCAGGTATCATCATACACGGCAGGAGCTTTAGCCTCTCACATGTTGGCCAGACAACGAGCTGCCTGAAATGCAATCGCAGACCACTGGCATTTACCGGGTGAGCAAAGGGAAGTGCAATCCTAGAATTTACATGGGCAGCAGTGAAGTTGAGTGAAGGGTGCGAGTGCTCACGGGAAGTTGAGAAGCCGGGGCCGATCCGCGCAGGCAGCTGCCCAGAAGCCTGTGCCTTGTTTAGCGACCCTTGAGGAGGCAAGCTCCAGGGGTACGAAGCCGCAGACGGCTGCGCTGCAGGAACCGCCGTTACGGACTCCTGCCGCACTGCAGTCCCTACGGATCCCAGACGTGCGCCCGTTGTTACGGTCGCTGCGGACCCCTGCCGCGCCGGCGGCTGCGGCGCCGTCCCGGAGAAGCTGCCAAAACCCAAATTTTCTTACAAGATTTTATGGACATAATCATGACCCACTTACCGCAAGGAATATCAATACCACCCCATTTCTAATTCACATTCGAAGTGCTTGTTTCAGACACACAGACCTATGCGGATCAAACAGGCAGACCACCACTGCAAATTGCAGCCGCCGTCTTTCAATCAAATACACCTCACCTTGCACGAGAAGGCAAGTCTCCTGCGGCTGCCTGAACAGGCTGAGCAGACAGTGGCCGCATTAGCGACGGCCTGGTCAGCTGCAGCTGTGCAAAGGCTGCATTCTGGGTTGCGCGCACTACAGAGACCGTGCTGGGAGGTGTGCTGCTCGCTGCAGCCTGGCTCTCCTCTCCTGACTGGCCCTGGGCCTTGTCAACCCCCTCAACACCCTACAAGAGAAGTGCGCATCATGTAATGGAGGCTTACCGCCCTTCGAAAAGGATAACACCGCGCAGTATGGATATTTTCATGGCAGCAGAAGGCGAACTTATTTCAGATCAAAATGTTTAACAGCACCGCTCCAGACATCCACTTTCACAAGACACAGCCCTTATGTCTGCTGTCAAATTTGTGTAAATACACGAGCGATTTCTTGCAGAAAATCACCGAATGCAAAGCTGGCCTGGGGGCTGCCGACTGCTGCAGTGCTGGCGGCTGCTGCGCCGGCTGCCCCGTGTTTGAGGACAGGAAGTAGTTGATGCGCGGACGCTGACTGGACTCGCCACTCGCTCTTGCCTGCGGAGCTGCCGGCTCCTTCTGCTGCTGGGCTGCCTGTGATCCCATGCCGCCGTTCACAATCGGAACGGACGGCGTTGCCGGGTGGCGGCTGACGGCCGCCTGGGCCAAGGACAGAGGCTTCTGAGCGGATGAGCTGGTGGGCGGCGGGGAGAACGCGCCCGGCGCGGGGATACCACCTGCCACCGGAATGGAGGTGATTACCCCGGGGAAATGGGGGCCCCCTCCGGGGGGGCTCAGCGTGGGGGTGCCATTTGCCGGCGGCACCTGCGAACGCCTGAGTGGGAGCAGCAGTCCCTGCAAATGCTCCATTCCATAGGGGCCGGCTGACGGCGGCCTGACAGGGCCGGCGGCTGCTGCCGGGCCAGGGAATCCCGCGGTGGCCACCGCGAGGGAGCCCTGCGCATCCGGGGCCCCAGCAGGGGGGACCTGCCGGGCTGCGGTGGCCGGGGGCCCCCCTGGAACGCTACCGGCTACGGGAATCCCAATGGCAATGCCGGACCCCTGCCACCCCCCGTTCTGAGCAGGGGGTCCTCCGCTTGTGGCTTGCACTGAGAAGCCCTCTGCAGGGCCCTGCTGGGTTTGGGGCTCATGGCTGAAAGCTGCAGGACGTTCGCCGGGGGGACTGGGGTCTGCTTGCTCGCTCTCATCCACAAGGTTGGCGGCTGAGAGGAGCATGTCGCAGTTGGTCGCCATGCTGCGGTGGGCTGACGTCGGCGACAGTGGCGTTGACGCTGCTCCTCCCTGCAGCCGGGACTGCCCTTGTCAGTATTGAGTGGCCTCTTCTCAAGCTTGATTCTAGCATCATTTTGACTGTTTCACCCAGGACGCGACCCTTTCAATGAAGAAATTGGTGTACGCACTGCGTAATGCTTATGTGGGCACTGCCAACAGGTTCAAGATGAAAAGGATGTCTTCCATAATGTCTCCATGATCTCTCGCAGAGGACACTGCCTGAGTGGCGCCCACACTCACAGCGGACAAACCAACTTGCACCAGTCATACACGAGTGTGCCTGCTGAGGCTTTTCGATATGAGCAATTTGTTGACGTCAGTGAAACTTCACGGCAGTGCTCTTAGCCCAAACCTGGGTATGGCTGCGGCGACGGGCCAGGCCGATCGCCCTCTGCAGGCGCTCATCGAAGTCTTCTGCGCGGCTGTAATCCGCCTCCGATCCAGCGGCGCAGTACAGGCTGTGCTCCAGCTCTGCCTCTGGCGCGTAGCTGCGTCCTGGGAACGCCTCCTTCATCCGCGCCACACTATCCCGGCTGCACAGCACTCGAGAGATCTAATATCCCGCCTGAACTCCGCTCCTCAAGAAGCAAGCTTGTGCAACCATCCGATGGCCAGCTTGCACGCTTCACAGACCTGTGCACAGCTAGCTCTGGACCTGCAGGCTTTGCCTTGCATGCCTGCCAATGTTAAACATGCGCACTCACAAGACTTCGGGCATGTGGTCATGTCAGGATGTCGGCATTAGTTGCCACGATCCATGCGGCCAAATTGCTGCGTGGACATCATAGGACTGTGCCATATTGGACTGTATACTGCTCTGGCTAAAAACCTGCGAATGCCGGTGCTGGAGGCCAAATTTGCTGATGTGTGAGGACAGGAAATCAATTACATATCTTCTAGAATAATGACATAAGGCACCAGCAAAATAAGAATGTGTTCAAGGGTGATCTAGCGTGGCGCACATTTTGGCGAGGGTGGCGGTGCGGGCGGGGTGGTCTGCGTCGGCGTTCCATGTCCTCGGGGGACGCTGCATGGGCACGCTACTGCGCGAGCTGCCAGATCCGGTGCTCTGGCCTGCACAACAGGTCACACCTAATGCATGAGGTTTTTTCTGTCAAGTCATCGGGTCCGGTCAAGAAACAAGTACTACACTGACATGTTGGCCAGATCCCTTCAGGTGCTCCAAGCTACCTCTGGGCAGGTCAAACGCCAGAGGAGAGCAGTGAGAGCATGAGGAAGACTTTTTGGGACAATTCTTCGGTCCACGCTTGTCCTACGGCTCGGCTCAATTTCGACTTTCCATTTCAATCGTCCTTTCGCTTGGATCTCTCATAGTGGTGACCTACAGAGTGCGGCAGCAGTTCGAACACAGCTCTGGCGCAACGTGCAAGCCCCGCTCTTCCACTTGGGGTTGTCATGGCGGAGATTTCTGCACGACCGTGGAAAGATGATCCATCATGCTTTGCACCAGTCTGGCGCCATCTACTAGTGGTTTCAGCGCCGTTGCAAACTTGGCCAGCACTCAGAGTTTGAGACCGGTGACATATCACAATGGTGAAGCCCTCCAGTCGGAAGCACTCTACTGGTTTCCCCACTTTCTATATTTCCTGGCAGGCCGCACCTGGGCGCTGGCTTCGGGATTGGCCGGTGACATGCACGCGGGCGACGCTGCCCTTTGGCATTTCGCTGCGCCGGAAGTGAAAGGTGTCTCTTACGCGGAGGTAGTACTCCTCCTCGCTCTCACCGCTCTGCTGTCCCCAGTCCAGCCAGTCCTCCCTGTGAACAATCAATTTTGTGTGAGTTTTGGTTTGGCAGTCCCTGTCTGATGTAATAGGATTGCACCTTCTTTCCCTCTAGGCCTTCCTCTACATATATATATATACTATAATCACAGTCAGGGGTCACACCAAGACTGCAGTAGGGGCTTATTGAGGTGTCCGCTGCATCAAACTGAGCCAGTTGTCATTCTCGGCCGCTGCTGCTCATACTGAGGCTAAACGGGGCCCATAACAAGCCAGATTCACAGCCGGATGTGTCATCAAAACCAAGCAGATATTCTCCCTGATTTTGTTGGTGATATGGATCAGGACTTCTCAAAACGTGGTTCATGCAGATGTCTTGGGAAAACTCGGCAAAATCCATGGACCATCTACATGTGTGCTGTGTGCTGAGGCAAGGATGTTGTGAATCCCCAATCCCAGTTGCATTTAAATGTCTGTGACCGCTGCTGTTGCTGCCTCAATGAAGGCACAGGCATTGCCTGGCGTTGTGCAATGCTGCTTGCTGACTGCTGCTTGATGGCACCACAAGGAGGATAAAACTCATAAAAGCCAACAGGGGGTCTGTCCGCCGCCCTTTCTTTGGATGCTGCCTCACAACCCAGCTCTGTGCTGCTCTCTGCTTTCTGAGCTGCAAGATCTTCTGACATCAAATGACCAAAGGCAGGAAGGTGCCAGCCATTTGGTGATTCAAAATTAGGCCGTGATTTAGACCCACTGATACTTCGCTACCCAAAGTCTCAAGCTATGAGTCGTGGTGGGACTCTTATTGTGAAGGTCCATGATGTGCCAAGGCAATAGAGTGGACGGAAGAAAGATAGCGGCCCTAGACCCACTGCGTGGCAACTTTTGACAGTTCTAGCCATAGCCGTCGCCACAAAATGCGCATACAAAACACAAACAAGCAGAAATATGGGTGTATGAAGTTGGGGTAGGGTCATAATGCATCTGGGGGGCTTGCCTGCAGCTGTGGTGCGTCCTGAAGAAGTCGGCGACTTCTTTCCATCGGTCCAGGCGCTTGCCCGAGCCGTGCACAGGACACTGTGCGACATACTCAATGTAGCCTCGTGGTTTGGCGGCCGACACAATCTCGCGCACGCTGAAGCCCGCCGGCAGCACCACCGCCCCCGCGCGATGCTGCACCGGCCGCGGCGCCTCTGCGCAGAAGACAGGTCTCAGCTGATCCTCTACAACGCGAGAGCAGCAGAATCGGTACAAGGCAGGAAATGGATGGTGCACAGCTTCTTGTGTCAGCTGCTACATAGGCCCCCAATTCCACCGGTGCAGGACATTTGTTTGAGGTATGAATAAGACAACGCCCAGCAGTGAAGCCGCTTGGCAGCCACCTAGACATGGGCCTTGCTGGCGTGCACCCCCGCAAGCTTTTGGTGTCCCACAAACCGCTGGAACACCAGCCAGCAAGGCAACACGTCTTGCCTACAGCCGGCTTTTGCCATGCAGCACATCTTTGGCTTCCTGTACCAAGCCCAGCAGAGCAGAAGGGACTGTCACGATCAGAGGCCACCCTCCATTTAGTGCTCCCACTTCTTGCCATCAGCGACCTTGTCCAGATCTTTCGCACAGTACTGCAGCCACGCTGCACTGCCATGATGAGTGAAGACGACGCTTAACAATATTGTAAGCACCCTGTGAATTTGTCTTACTGCGGGTCTAGAGATGAACATAAGGAACAAAAATGGGCGTGCGCAGGATTAGCAGCCCACCCAGGTTGACGCCACGCACTGCCTCTTCGGCCACTAGAGGGTCCAGCTCAGCAAATTGCGCAGCACGCAGGTCGCCCTCCTCCTTGACTACTCGCAGGATCTCCTCAGCGTCGTCTATCAAAACTGCACAGGACCACAGAACGTCTGTGAGTGCTGTCACCACATCAAAGAAGACACAGAATTCCTTCAATGTCCAGTCAACAAGGGCCCAGAGACGTGCATGCTTTGTTGACATCACCACAAAACACGATGCACAGCAACATAATGCCATGCTGCCTGCTGTGCTCTGCTGCAGGAGAGACAGGCAGCCAAAAGCCTGCAAGCACTGCAGTGCCAGTCCCAATGCAGAGGCAGCACGTTCTTCGGAATCAGGATGCAGGAAGCAACAGTAAAATCGGTCACACGAGCTCGGAAAAGGCAAGTGAGGACAACAAGAGGTGGGAGGTGGACAAGAGAGGTGGAGATCCAGGGTGCAGGATTCTAGACGAACACCAAGTACCTATCTAAATACCAAGTTGTGGACTGTTTTCGGTTGCTTTTTTCACTGTTGCTTGCAGGAAAGGAAGGGGCTCACATGGGGAGCCCAGTCTGCCGTGGCCGGGGGTATTGTAGGCCCGAGCATTTGCGGCCAGCTGCTCAAAGTCCTTGAGCAGAGATGCCAGGGACTTGTGCGCGCCTTCGCGCACGCGCTTGCGGATCAGGCTGAGCCAGACCTCGTCCTTGGCTTCGACGTGGTTGCCGTAATCGGGCACAATCACCTGATTCACCCGCTCCTGCGCAGTTACATGCATGCACATCAAATATACACCCCACGCTCACATATAAGGGAGCTATATTGACAGCAAAAGCTTTGTGATATCAGACATGAATAATTACAAGGGTGCATCATTGATGAAAGGCATCATCAGGCTTGTCAAATGCCTCTGGCCAAAACCCTGGCTCAATCATGCATTCTCACAAGGCCATTGAACGGCTGAAACGGCACCTTAGCACAGTGCCGCTAAACTAGATCTTTATTGCGAAGTCCCTACATGCAGGCACAAACAAGAGCCAATGCAGGTTTTATCTGCACTGTAAGAATTCAGATAAATCTCCGATGTACATTGAGATGGTGACACAGGTCCTCACCGTGAAGATGAAGCGCTTCTGCCTGGGTACGCGCTTGTTCAGTGCGTCCAAAACATCCCTCAGCAGATCGCGCATCCGTTCATGCGCACTCAGCCCACCGACCGCTCCCCTGCAGCAGCAGCGCGTTTGAAAAATCAGAGATGCTGTCATGCATGCAGCTTTTATTTTGCCGAGCTCTTCCGCAACATGCAGTTGGAAGCACGGTGTATGCATCCACAATCACCGGCCGCAAAGGAATTTTATCTTGGCAGAAGCAGCAGGGTCATTGACAGCAGAGGCGAGTGGAGCAGAGGCAGAGAGCAGAGTGCGCGCCCATTCTGGCGGTTCTTAGTTGGCCTGCCCCTAGGCGGCTTCCCCATGTCAGAGCGGCTGGGCCACTTGTAGAGCGCCAGCTGTTGCTGCGGCTGCAGGTCTGACGCATCATCCCCCCTCACCATTTCTTGGCTGGGCCCCGGACGATCCACCCCAGCCTCGTAGTCCGCATCCGCCGGATCGTCCGCCTGTTCGGATAATCCACCCTCGCTCCCATCGGATTCCTCACCCTCCGACGGCCACTGGGGCACCCCGTAGCTCTGCCCGTCATCGTCCGCAATTTCATCATCTCCCTCGCTGACGTAGGGTTCACCCCGGACCACATCGGAGGGTATTCCCCAGTCCCCCATGCCACCCTCCTCCTCCATCTCACCCCCTGACTGCATGCCTCCTTCCGCGCCGGCATCCCCCTCTGCTGTCCCTTCTGCTGCGGGAGGCTGCGACTCCCCTGGATCATCTGCCGTGGCGGACTGCAGCCTTTCTGCTTCGCGGCTTTGGGCATCTGCTGTGGTGAAGGGAGACTGATCGGGCCCCTCAGCGCGGGAGGGGGGTGCAGGTTCCTGGCAGGGAGCGGTTGACATCACCGCCAGCTCAGCCGCCAGCTCAGCGGCGGCCGCGCGCGGTGAGTAAGCGCCTGTCACGCGCATGAACGGGGACGGCCCGCCGCTGTCCTGCGAGTCCGACGACTCATCCTGCCGTTCCTCTGCAACGTTCCCTCCCTCGCTCATTTGCTGCACTGCAGCGGCCTCCCAGCTGTGCCCGCGGCTCTGCTTTGCCGCCTGCAACTCGCTGCTGGGGGCCGCACCCGAGGGGCCGTCCCCCGTTTCTGCATCGGTCTCCGATGCTGTGTCGCCGCCCCTGCAAGCCACAAGCGCCGGCTGAGCATTCCACTTGCCTGCTCTCATGGCATCACAATGAGTGGCACGACCAAGTCCTTGAATCGTCTTGCAATCTCTCGAGAGAGATGTACTCTCCTAGACATCGCCCTCTGCTAGCTTCAGACATGAGTTGGGCATCTTGCAATCATCGTCATCAATCCTAGAGGTCTAGGAAGCAATGATACAGCCGGTCCAAACCAAATGATCACAATGCACATTTTGACCTGAGGCCAACTGGCCAGCGGTGTTATTGGTTATGTCAATGCGGCAGGAGGTTACCTCAGTGATATGGAGGGATGCACTGCATCGTGGTCCCTTCCGCTGCCGTTTGGCATCTCCTCTAGAGGTTGAGATGCCCCGGTGTCCTCATCATCTTTCCCTTTGCTGCCCCCTGACTCCACCTCTGTGGAGCCTGCACCCACCAAGCCCTGATCACTCTCCACCCATACAACCAAAGGGCACAAGCTGCCCTGCATATCATGAGAACGCTTCAGAGCAGGGCTTGAAATGCCAATCATGCAAAGCACTGAACAGGGGCCATAGAACTGTATGCTTTGCTTGAGGCTGGTGTCCAAAACAAGGAGTCTTGCACCTGTGCAGGTGTTCTGCACAAAAATTCAATTCCGGCACACAAATGAGCTCTTTGTAGGCGCACGGTACGGTCTTGCAAGATATCGTGAAATCTCTTGGAAGTAGAGCGTTGTCAGGCTCACCGATGATATCCACCTCAGGGCTGCTTTCCTCATCTGTCTCATGCCCACGCCCTGGCTGAGAAGCAGCGGCAGGGACCTCCGGAGAGGGAATCCGCCCTCTCTCCGGGTCCAATGCTGACGTGGCGCCACCGCGCAGCCGCAGCTGCGGCGGCTGGTTGCCGGACTCGGCGTTGCCCATGCACAGAGCAAATAGCGGCCCTCTTCGCACTGTAGACGCATAAAGCTCTCAGAGGAGTTCACCCTGCTGCAATTCGGTTGAGTCGAAGACATGCAGCAAGTACCCTGGCTGCTGTCTGCACCCCTGCTTAAGCCAGCTGAGGGCAGAAGAAAGGAGGGCTGAATTCCCAGTGCAATATGCACTTCAGGGGAAACCAGCTCAAGAAGCGCATCAGCACCAAGGGCGGCTGCATGGCTGGGTCGGCCGTGGGAATCATTTGCTGCGCTTTGCTATAAAGATTCCGGAACCAGCAGAAGTGCAGATGCTCTCACTGCGTCAGAGGCCCGCAGGTCAAAGAAGACAGCTGGACTGGCAGGGACCAGTGCCCGCGTGCACTGTGCACTTAGATCATTCCAGAAGAGATTCTAGGAGTGGGTGCTGCAGTGTCGGGGGGACTGCGCAGCTGGGAGATTGTGCGGGCGCGGCTGCGCACCTGGGTTTGGGGGTTTCAGAAGCAGTGGCGGCTGGAGGCGGCCGCTGTCGGCGTTTTAGGCAGCTTTGCTTGTCACCGCCAACGTCAGCGCTTCCTCAAGGCGCAGCCCTTTTGCTTGTACAGGATCGCTGGCAATCAGTTGATCTGGATAGGTGGGTCATCATATTTTGCTTGGCCCTAAGTGAAGTTTGGGACCTAGGAAAAATCAGATTGACATTGGAATTAGATAGGAGAGGCACAACGACCAAGAGAAGTTTAGCCTAGCACCGATGCATCTACCCATCGATGAGTCAATTGCTGCTCGGTCACAGAAGAGCCGATCAAAACCTGCCACATTGGACATGCACTTTATATGATGCCAGAAAAACAGTAAATGTTAAAATCCGACGTCTGCTTTCAGAAGAGAATGCGTGCTGAGAGAGACAAATCCCCTGCAGGTTTACAATCGGGACCCTACAATTCCACAGTTCCCAAATTTGGCTTTGATGTTGCATGCAATGGCCTGGTGGGCCTGACTGCAACGATCTGGCACCTCATCAAGCATGCATTTGTTCTTCTGCATGCCTACGCAGAATTCCATGATTGGACATGGATGGCTTTGAAGGTCTAAGAGATGTACAATCTTGTAAGTATTTACATGTACAGCCACATGGCAAAAACAATTGTGCTGCGCACATCAGCACTGCCGACATATTCAAATCACAGCAACATTATTATCAGCAAACTGTAAGGTGTCCAGGCAAGTGATGCACATGTTCCAAAACCACTATGACTGATTAGGTGATGGCTGCATCGATGCTCCAGTAGATGGTGGTTGGCTCAGCGTCCCTCTTGTGGGAATCCCACCACCATGCATATTTAGATGACAGCCTCCGCATCTCCTTGGCAGCTTCCTCCATACTGGGCTGGCCGCTGGAGGCTACATGCGCCGAAACCATATAATGCAGCAGATCCTGGAATGACACATCGGCGCTGTAAGCCTTGTAAGCAACCAGCTAATTAGCTGGTTGCTTGGAGCGCCTGCATCTAAAAATGCAGGTGCTCCAACTTAGAAGTTCCAAACCGAAATCATTGCAGGTGCTGCTGCAGTTGCTGTAGAGGGCAACAAGGGTGCATGCATGCGCGAGTGCATTTCTTGGAGGATGCAGCTGCAGAAATAGCGCAGGCGAGTGCGCTACAGCAAAGATTCTATGTGGAAGCTGGCTCAAGAAGGCAGAAGCAGCACCTGACATTCCAAGTTGCAGGTGTCCTCAGGTGATATGTCCCACCTGCCATCAACGCCACTCCATCAGCCCTTCACAATGGCAGACACTCGCATGCTTGAGGCTTCTCAGGGGCTTGTTTGAACAGTGTCATGTTCCATGGCTGCACTCTCAGAACGTCTGCTAGGACATCTGGCTCGGGAAATATCAAGTGAGTGATACTGCAGTGATTTGGAAGAGCGCGCACTTCATCCGATTTGTCATCTCCCATGCGCCATGTCCCTGGGAAGTATCATCATGCCCAGTCCACTTGAAGGGGTCAAAAAGCCTCGCCGAGGGTCGGTAAATCGAGAACCCCGGGTCTGTCGGTGCAAATCCCATACGCCAAAGACACTCCGTGAGATATGTCTCGCCTCCACCCGAGCTGACTCCTCTTACACACTCCTCCATTGACTTGAAGCTCAAGCGCTCCAAGAGACCGATGCTCAGGATCACGCCTGCATGCATGCATAAATTGGTGAATGGTCGGTACCTGACTGGACTGTGACTGGATGTGCAGCTTGGAAGCATGCAGCAGCGCATCAGGCATATCTGCCAGATATCTACCATAATTCCCCAAAAACGAGGTACATTCCAAATGGAAAAAGAACAAAAGCTTGCTGCTGTGTTTTGGCCGTGTTGTATGAGGTGCACATGCATAGCATTGTTTTTCAGAGATGGCATCCACAATCCAAGCAGCTCACAGCTCCCGGAGACATAATAAACAACTGAACAATAAATTCAGATTCCCAATCAGGTCAGCCTGAGGGTGCAACATGTACCATTCATTTCTGCCAGTCCAAGCACCGTTATTGGTCAGAGATTTCCCTACCTGCCCCTCCGTGAATGCTGTAGCCTTTGCTGCTTGGGAAGGGAATGCTTCCCTGACATGGCTCTTTGGTGCTATCGTTCTGGTCCCCAAAAAGATCTGGCGCTGCGTCACAGAGCAGCTGCGGCGTGCAGGGGCAGCCGTAAGGTGGCGTGAAATTCCACTCCCGAGGCCGCACTGGCGCGCTGTCATTGCTTTGATCGCCCCGGAAACCTGCGCGAAGGCAAGCACTTTGCATTGAGCTCTCTTCCTTGCTGTGATCTGTGCATTTGGTGCAGACCTGATCGTGCTCCCAAGCAGTCAGTCAGGCACTTGACCTATTGAGAAGAGCAGGGCAAGGCACAAGAAGTTAGATTGCACGTTCACACCAGCCAGACCTCTAGGTTGGGCTTACGTATGCAAAGACAGGCCTGGCTTGATCTAAGAAGCAGCAATGTGAGTTCAACCTATTAGAAGGCAGGTCCACAGAGACATATAGTCACCTGCAGTGAGGAGCAGGAGATCCGGGTGGTCCTTTGTGTGGCAGGGGAGGCAGCGGGGGGCGCTCTTGTAGGGGCCCCCATGCTGGCCCCCCCACCAGAGGTTGTCGGTGATGACATAGGGGACCTGAGGGTCAAAACCATCCAGCATCTGCAGCACTGCCTCTGGAAAGAAGACTGTGTCTGCGCCGCCAAAGAGCATCCACTTGTAGCCGGTGCCATTCAGCGCCTGGGCCACACAGACAGCAAACTCTGCACACCATGTGTAGTTTTGATCACTCACTACATATAATACTTAGGTATTACTACTGACTGATTGCATGCATACATGCCAGTGACGTGTCATGCAGGTGCAGGGACTCGTCCAATGGCGTTCCCTTCAGTGCAGCATCTTCAGCTGCACTTCAGTGGTACTTAACCGCTACCACCTACTGGATTATCTCGATCTTAAACCATGCACAAAAAATCTTGCCCAAGAATCACACTGACAAAAGTATTGTCACCTCATTCCCAAGCACTATGTCGTTGTGGCCTTACGTTTGCATGTAAGCTGCCTCGCGGCTCTTCTCATCTCCACCTAATGGGGGCGATGGCTGTTCTGCTCTCTGAGAGCACGATCCGCGGATGCAGATCAAATACTATGGCCTTCTAGTGGCTTTTACATTTCAGTGGGCTGCTCTGGACCCGTACAGGAACCGCCACATCAAGTGTGCAGCACTATTCAGCTTCACCTAATCTACGGGTGAGAGGCCATTTGCTCTCACAACATGCGCTGCTGGCAGTCCGAACACAAGTGTCTCTTGCATATCAGAGGGATGCCCATAAGCCAGGTTGGAAGTGTTGCTTCAGGTATGCAGCATTCTCCGCTGTGCAGGGGCGATAGAAAAGTAATACCTGGTGGGCAAGGAAGGGTGTCAGCGCCCAGCGCGTGTCGCCAGAGTAGGCAGACCTCTTCGGAAGATCATTCGGGTAGAACACCCAGGTCTCCCCTGCCGCAGTGGCTTCCTCCTGTTGATTGCTTGTTGGCAGCACGTCCAGTGACACTACTGTCCGGATCCACTGCACACATCACATGTGGAGGTGCCTTCAAGTGGCACTTCAAGGGAGCGCACAATGTCTCTGTGATGCTGCATGGGCAGGACATTTGCAGGAGACATAGCAAGCCCATCTGCTGAGCCCATCTGGGCGTGCCGATGACCCTGTAGACAGTATCTGTGTGCTGTGTGCGCACACTTCTTGTGTGTTGACAAATGAATATAGGGGCAGGCATACAAGACCCATGGCTACATGAGTAAAGGCCAACTGGCTCTCAACTTGAGTTACAGGGCTTGGCATGCCATGGGCATCTCCTCCCTGCAACCGCTCGAGGCATGAAATACTGCTGACCTTCATTCACTAAGTTCGTGGGAGTAACACACCTGTCTCAGCTGCCGGCCAGCGCTCACAAGGGGGAGCTGAGTGATGTCTGCGCTGACAGCGGCCGCCAGGTCCTCTCTGGAGATCCGCTGCGCAGCCGGCATCTCAATGATCTGCACGCACGCCACAGAAAGTCTGCGGAGCTCTTTACACAGACATGCCCAGACCATGTGCGTCGAGGCAATTTGCACACAATGTGCCCGGAGTGATGCATTGTGCCAAGTGAATTGCTCATAGCGCACAGCAGCACGCTACAGGAGTGCTGCGATGTCCAGATTGACATGCGGCATGACCCGATGGCGAGGGCCTGTGACCGGCTGTCACCATGGCTTCAGACTTGTGCTCCACACCAGAGTTCTTTGCAATTGTAATGGATTTACCTGTGGTTGTGAGCCCACCTTTGATGCTGCGCGCTGGGTTGCCATCACGGCCCTTGCTCGGCTCTCAAGGTGTCTTAGCTGCGCTGTCAGCTGACGCATTTCCTCCCCCTGGCTGTTCCAAACATGCTCCTGCTGCTGCTTCTCCAGGGCGGACAAATCTGCTTTGAGGAGCGAGTCTGCACAGAAGACGAGCAAGTGAGCAGGACTGGACAAATGATTTTTCAGATTGTTGCTTCACAGCCAAGCTGTTTGGAATTTTGAGCTGAATAGAAGTCGGAGCCAGCTGCTGTGCAGGACAGAGGTAGCAGAGAAGCTATGCCACTTGAGACTATCCAAAATCCTACTTGCTGATCAGCACTGCTGGCAAAGCAGGAAGCAAGTGGTGGATAACATTTTCACCTTGTCCCCAGTTGAACATCGCTATATTGTGATTTGGACCACTTGACAAGAACACCGTGAGGGCACCAGCCAATACTAGGAAAACTATAATTGAACACGGTGGTTTTTCTCTTGTTGGACACAGCCTTCCAGCCAGGCCGCCCATGCTTTAGCCTTTACTACCCAATGATTGATCTTTCTAGATCTTGTTTTTAAGTGCACCACTTTTCTTCAGCGCTCGATTTGAAAAGTCAAGTTAAGGTTCCGTATGCATAGCTTTCTCGAAATTCATTAGCACTATAAGCCGACGTAAGAAGGCCTTGATGTCAACACAATTTCCAATGAACTATGATGACATCAAAACATAATTTCCGAAATCTTATTTGTTTATCCAGGCTTGGACCGTCCGAGAGGTATGCCCACGTGGTGCCCAGGCGCTGGATCGAGGATGTTGTCCTCGTCACCGGCATGCCCCTGTTCGCCCTTCGCCAATATTTCACAAGTTTGAGATCAGAGGTGTAGATGTTTGTTCTTTTCGCATTTTTCCTGTAATTTCAGGACCGTGTCAATTTATTGCTTCTGTCAATGTATTGGACGCATCATTGCAGGCCCAGGCTTGAATGTTGAAGTGGTCGCGATAGTGCGAGCAATGCTGGCGATCTAAGCTACGATCAAAGCAATGTTCCCTTGACGGTAGCCTTCGCAAAGTCCATGACTCGAAGCATTTGGCAGGGGTTATCTAGATACCTCGCAGCTCTCGCACTGATTGGCCTTTGCTGGGCGATCAGCATCCACGCTGACGATGGACTGTCCGCACTTCTTGAATCGCACTACCAGCACAGCGGTGGTGCAGCCTCTCACCGAAATGTGGACTTTGCGTCCCAACTTAATCTGGATAGGGACCCTGCTGAGATCCTAGCAGAAGCAGATCTGAGCTTTAAGGCTCCCAGCACCTATGAGATAACTGAGGTCAGCCTTTCTCAAGATCCAGAGCACAGTAGCGCACCTTCTGGCCTCAGCAGCAATGGTCACATTGGTGCAATGCGCGCAGCAGCGCCCAAAATACAGTGGGGCCGTGACAAGCGCCTACAATCGGGTGCACTCAGTGAGCACAGCGCAGAAGTGCTCTCTGGAGGAGATCAGGTCAATGTGACTTTCCTCAAACGCCGTATTGAGGAGCTCACCAGGTTCGCAAATGCCCGCCTGTCTCACTGGTAGCTCGCTGAATATAGAGATCTCTGGAAAACCGCAGAGCCGCCATCATTCAATGGGTTAGTAGGGAGAATGTTCGACCCTCTTATATAGAGCTGGATGCCTCAGGCTTGGATCCAAGCTGTTGGGCATCACTTAATCTGGTCTTACCTTCTGGTGTCAGATCTTGGCACCTCCGGCTGGCAAAGGCTGGTACACGTACAGCCTGTGGTCTATTGAATCCTGCTTGAAACAGGCAAGTTGTTCAAGGGGTAGAGTGTTGGTGGCCTTTACATGCAGCTTGTTTTTGTACGCACCGGTGCCCTCCCTGTGGCAGGACAGATGGGATACCACAACACTGAAAATATCGATGTGCCATGCAGGCTACTTGCGCGAGCAGCAGAGGGGGAGGCGGTGAATCTCACTGAGATGGGAACGCCTGAGGATGTGGGCGGAGGGCAGAAGGAGGGAGCGCCGCGTCAGACACGGCCGCTGACAGTCGCTGACCTGGCGGCGGCTGTCCCTTCGAACCGCGCGCATTTACCCCTGGTCATTGCTGGCCGAGAGTGGCGCCAGGTGGGGGCCTTAGCCACAGACATGACTAATGACGCTTCCATGCGGTGAACTGGCTAGATGCATTCACCACTTCTGCCAGTTCACAAAACTGCTATTACAACGACCTAGCCGGATTCTATGCCTTACCATTAAGCACCCTTGACACTGGACATTGTCGCTCTCTCTGTGGGGCTGAGGATTTTTCCTGTACGTTTCATTGAGGTTTCTCACAAAGGTTTTGACGTGCAGGGTATGCGGGCGGTAATTGCACTAGCCAAGGAGCCGAGCACGGAAGATCAGTTAGAGGCGGCGGCGGCAAATGAGACGTGGGTGGCTTATCCAGACGACAGCCCCCGCCGCAGCCCCTTCTTTGCCGGGGACTCTCGCGCTGCCATGGTGCCTCTACTTGCACACCAGGCAAGCACTCTACATGACATTGATGTGCTTTCCGTCAAACATTGCAGCAGGGATCCAATTAGCTGTCTAAGAAAAGGCTGCCCCCTTTCCGTCCTAGTGAGTTGCTCTCTGTCCCTGCACTTAGTACCTTGTGTCTGCACCTGCCAGTGGCTGTTCCTCAAGCGCCCTTGCGCTAGCATGAGTAAATTCAGACTGAGCAGTCCCCTCCGGATGTTCTCTGTAAGAGAGCATGCTGAGCAGCAAGAGCCCCCATTTAATCGATAACAGTCAGGCCAGACTCTGTGGCAGCACGCAAAGACGCAAGTGGTCTTTGGCAGACTGATGGGCTCACAGCACAGCACATCAAGCAAGCAAGCATTTCAGTTGTAGAGGCTGCAAGCGCATGAGGATGCCATGAACCGTTGCACCTGTCTTGAACATGGCCCCTTTTTTTTTCCCCTCCTGGGGTGGACGTCATGGGTTTGATGAAGCTCAATGGGGCTTGTCACTCTCATTCAAATTTGGCGGAACCCCTGTAAATTCCGGGTCCCCCGGTCGCCACTTCGTGGCAACCGGAAAAATAATTGGGACTCCCTTCGCGGCGCCATATTGGCAGAAGTGAAAGTATGATAAAAGAAACACACCGCTATTCCGGGCCGTGTGCGGTCGGTGATACTGCAGTTGTGAGGCAATGTGCATTGGTGATGGCGGAGGATTGGGAATCTTAGAAGCTCAGATGGGAGCTAATTGGCTGATTTACGCAGCCATAACGGCTGTGCGTGCATTATGCGCTGGCATTGAGGTGATTTTAGGGACACGGCCGACTAGGATAGAATTAATGACGACTGACTCCAGCACGGCGTTCAGGAAGTTGCTGCAGGAATTTGAAGATTTTGATGCTTTGATGGCAGGCGCTTGGAGATACCTACAAGTGGCTGCTCTACGGCGACGATGACACTGTCTTCTTCCCGGAAGCTGCCATGCAGCTGCTGGCCAGCTTCGACCCGGAGCTTCCCTACGCCATCACTGACAACATGTGGTACAGCTCTTTCATCTTTTTTTTTTTTGGTTTTTTTTTATTGGTCACAGCTGCTCACATCCTGTCACATCCACCTTGGTTTATAAATTTGGAATCCCTGCAGTCTGGGATGCTATAGCCCTGAAGCGGTGCAAGTGGCATTAAATATGATGTTACGATCATCTGAGTGCAGCAAGCTTCACTAATTTGGTATGGTATCGAATATAAAACTCTACAAACTCATAGCATCCAGCTGGAAACTGGAATGGGGAGCAGGAATGACTATGTGAGAGATGACCTTGACGCTATTGGGCATCCATATGACTGGAGGAGAAGTGCAAGAACCAAGAGACTGGAGAGCAATAATCCAGGTGTTGCTTGACGTACCTAGTCCTTGAGGACAGGAAAAGGAGTAATGGATAGCATTCTGCAAAGATGGGTGGGAACAGGGCACAGTGGCCGTGAGTGTTGCTGAACTGCTAGTGTGAGTCCTGCTGAATTACATTAACCCTGAACCCCAAATATAAAAAACTAAAACCCTGCTGAACTATAGTTCAAATCCACGGTGACAGGTTCGAGGAGAGCTTGGTCGCACAGCCGCCCTTCCGTCATCCGGCGGCCGGCGCGCCGCGTTGCCTCCCCTGCCATTTCATCGACGACCCCCGCGCCCTCCGCATGTTTACAGGCGAGCTTTCTGTGGCCCTGTGCTGACAGGGCATCCACCCGACCTTCTGCCAGGAACAAATCCTTGCAGGTCATTATGTTGCGTGTTCTTGGTGGCTTATTTGAGGGGATTTTGAAGACCATTTGTATCCTCTCGGGTTCAATGGCGTCATGCGCACCAGCCGATTGTGAAATTTGGTGCCAACCGGGGCTTTGCAAGCCTCTAATCAACATCCCTCAAGCTGCCCATCTAAAGGCAAGGCACTCATCAATGGTGATGTTGCCAAGGTCATGGTTCTACCCACCAGGTCTGCCATTCAGGCTGGCTGCATCTTGCGGCCAAGTGGCATTCACCCCTTGCTATCATATGCCAGCACCGGCTGGGATCCAGAATGAAGAATCAAACTGACATCCTCAACGATCTCTGACCGAATCGACAGATTGTTTGCGCATATGACAGGCTTCCACCCGCCTGGCTCCCCCTTCAAGCCGGCGGCGTGGAACTTTGCATCGCCGCGCGGCTGCCCTTGCACGCCCACGCTGCTCTGCGCTGCCGAGTCGGAGCGGCCCCTCTACGGCGTGGCCGCTCGCGGCTGCACCGACCCACCTCCGCCCAAAGCCGCCACCTACGCAATCCACGGTGGTGCAGGTGCTCTCACTTGGACTTAGACCATAGTTGCACCATTCGGTCGAATATTTTTGGGGACCGAATATACGGCCCTATATTCGGTCATACGGTCTGAAAACATACGGAATTCGGTCAAAAACGGCCTATTTTGGCCCAAAACACCGAATATACGACCAAATATACACCGTATGCCGAATGGCCGAATCCGTATGGTGCAACTATGACTTAGACTTTTAGTATGATACCATATGGGCTGCAGACCAGACCTTCAGGCCCCACAGATGTGGCTGCAGACACTCTGTGTGTATGCCCTATGGCCTTCGGGCTTTGGGTTTGCCGACACTGTAGTAATAATAATAACCAAAAAAAGCAGGTGCTGCCTCCTTGAGAAAGAAAACGTCTCAGTGGGGTAAGCGGCAGTTGAAAGTTCCCTGGTGGAATTTTTTCTACCAAGGGATGTCACACCCTTCTAGGCCTCTATACGGCGTGGCAGCTCGCGACTGCCGGGAATCGCCTTCGCCGAAGGCCGCAAGCTATGCAATCCACGGGGCGGGTGATGTGTTCTCAGTCTGCCACTATGCCTCAGTCCTTTTCCAATGTAAGGCCCGAGATCTGGAAGAGTATAATGTTTGAGGGGCAAGGGTCGGTTCTTTTTTATTTTTCTTGTTCTTTTTTTATTTCCTTGTTGGCAGAAGACGCCATTTGAAGTGTAATGGTATGCGAGGGAGTGATCTGCTCGTCAGTGTATGCTGATGTAAGCTACTTGGGTCAGCAGAGCAGGCTGTGATTCTTCCTGAATAGCATAGCACGTGCAAGTTTCGATGGGAAGCTCTGTGTTTCTACCTGTTTCTGTGCCAGCAGCATGCTGTGATTTCCGTGAGCACTGTTTCAGCAAGCTGTCTCGAGATGGGCAATGCTGGTGTGCAGGCGCCATACTGAGCGTCGGGCTCATGAGGCGGCTGAACCGGACGCAGTTTGAGAGCTGTGTGCTCTCCCTCAAATCCACAGGTACGCCCCATGCACGGCACACACTGCTTTTTCTGACGGCCACTCTGCAGTGGTTGCTGCATAAAGCTGCAGTGCAAATTAAAGGGCGGCTATGTGCTGTGGATCTCCTTTGGCCCCGGCTGGCGGGGGGCGGTACAAATACTGAGCACCGTGCCCACGGTTGATTGGGTCTTGCTTGGATCTGGCGAGTCCAACAAGGGGTAGGAATTTGGCAACCTTTACATGCAGCGTGTCTGCAGACGCAGCTTGCCTTCGGCAGGAAACGCGTGTAATAATAAATAATCATAATAATAATAATGTGCTGTGGATATGAGAGGAGCAATGTTTGACATCCACTGACGTGGGAACTTGATGGAATCGATTCCGGTGCTGTTAAAGACCGCAAGAGAAATTGGACTTACGCAAATTTGTGTGATCCCTCCCTGGGATTGGCTTTATGCTTCTGGGTTCTGTTCCGCCCACATCATAGTGCCAAACTTACTAGGCAGGCCATAACTCCCTAGCACTGCGCACAGACATTATGTCAGAGACATCCATACAGGCAGCCCTGGATCTCTTCTGGGGCTTGTCAAAATTTGGTGAGAAACTGTGTGCTCTGTCAAAGCATGAAAATAAGCTTTTTGCTTGGATGCAGGAGGAGATGCATTCTTCACGATCTGCCTGTGGCGGGCAGGCTACGCGCCGACGGACCCCGGCTATTCAGTGTTCAACCCCGAGGCGCGCATTTTCGACCCCTTCCAATGGGAGTGGGGGAACGACAGCGATGGGGAGGCCAGGATCATGCGAGCTCTGGAGGACTCCAAATCTGGATCCTGTGACCACCAGTGCCAGGTCAGCATCCTGCTTCAAGCTTAGGGAAATTATATTTTTCTAGTCTGCACAAGGCGCCAATCCTCAGTACTTGCTGCAGTTTTTTTCTGGTGTCACCAATAATCTTCAAAGTCACCGCATTTGCATCTGGGCTTGTGTAACACCAGATGGCATGTCCTGAGGTGTGTCAAGATTCTTTAATCGCCACTTGTCAAAAATTCTTTGCTCTGTGATCCAGTGTTGTCTTTTAGGCCATAAGTTCAGCTCCAGTGCCAGCCAGCAAATGTAAAGCAAGCCATCACAGCACCTTCCGTTCACCCGATCGGCTTCCGTGCAGCTCTTTGTCTCTGAGCCAACAGGCGTTCACAACTGCTTTAGGGTTGGGTTTTAGGGTGGAAGGATGAAGAATAAACATGTGCGGGCATGTGCGCGCAGCTGCGGCTGGACATGATGGTGAGCGCGCATGTGCGCTCGCGGTGGAAGGGCGTTCCCTACGCCAGCGCCCAGATCACCAAGCTGACTAAGGCGTACAGGCAATGGTCCCGCCAGAGGCAGCAGCAGCCGACAGCTGATTTCTAACCGCCACATCACATGATCTCTGTGCCCTTGAAAGGACTTTCGGTGAGGACTTAGGGGCGGTGTCCCTGCTGCTTGAAAAGCTGCAGAAGAATTTCAAGGAGCGGTCAAGGCAGCGGCAGTAGCAGCAGACAGCAACGTTCAACCGCCACCATGCTTGACCCTTGTGTTGTTGAAAGCTCCTGCCTTTGAAATTTGACAGCAACGGACCTGCCCTGTCAAAATTATGAAGGGAGTTTTCACTGCAGTGGCAGTAGCAGCAGTCACCTTCAGCCGTTGCTTCGGATCATGTGATTTCTTTTTCTTTCTGTGGGCATGTAGCTCCTCCAATGGAGCGCTGAAGCACATGGAGTGCTTGTGGTATTGCTCGGGGAAGCAATGCAGAGCTAGCCTAGCTATGCAGAGCTGGCAAGGGTGCAGCAGCAACACAAGGTGGCTGCACTTTGCGTGACCTTTGTCCACCTGAAGTCATATCCATTGAAGTCCATTGATAAGCTGTACATGCGTCTTTATAAGCTGCATGAGTCGTACTGGGAGTAGTCGCATCCTAAGCGGCATGAGCTGATGGCACTGAGCCGTCATGTTGCCTGTTGTCTGTTGTAAAAATTACTGTCGGGGGCTCCACCATCTGCCCTGGCTTTGGCCGACCGTCTCGGGGCCGAGTGCGCGGCAGGCCTGCATCAAGAATGCATGCAAGCTCATGATGATTACATCATCTGAGCCAGTAATAATAGTGCTAGCCAGCCTTGTCAAGCAGCCTTTGTACGTGAACATGTTCAATCAGATCCCCCCAGGAGCCTTGTGAGTGTCTGCCATTCTTGCGGGCTAATAAATCATATTTCGTGGGCAATCAAGTCACGTCATTTGAGGACATTGGCACTTCCTAGGCGAGGTCACAAGCTGCCGCAATCAAAAGCCCGCTGCGGCTGCAGCCTGCACAAATTGGGTTTTCGCAGAGTGCCAGCCTCTTGCTGCCGCCTGTATCGCATGGTTATGTGATTGCAGCAAATGCAGGACCACCGCTATGGCTATGGTTTTCCGGTCTTGCGCGCATGCAAGGTTTGATGAGTGTCTCCGTGTGGTTTCAGGATCTGTTGCACTACAGTGTGTCAACGCATGTGGCCTGCACTCAGCGCTGCATGGACAAGGCAATCAGGGAGATGTGCATTTCCCTGGCTATCATGCAAGCTGCGGCTACCACACGGCTTCAAGCAAGTTGCACGTTGCGGCTAATATTTCATTGCGCCTGGTATTAAAACCCTTCAATGTGGGATCAAGAGCCAACAGTCATCTGTTTGAGCATCGATAAGGCATTGGCTTCAGGGGCAAGATTGGAAACCTTTGCATTCCCAGTTTATGTACGGTAGTATAGCGTGCCTGAGAAGCACGCAGAAAAAGATTTTGTCCTGCATACAAATGTGTTGAGATCCATGGACTTTAGAGACTGCACTTCGTGGTAATCAGACAGGTTCTGGGAAGGAGCATCAACTTTACTTGCTGGATTGTGACCTGGTAGGGTTACTGGGGGATTGTATATCTAACCCCCTGGGGTTACTGGGAAAAGAGTGATTTGTTCACAAATCCAAATGATTCAGAGACCCCCTGCCCTCTGTGGGAAGTAAGGCTCGTACGTGACCTATTCACTTTAAATACAGATTCACGGTGGTTTTCACCAAACTTTTACCACACATAGTACCCATAACAGTGCAGAAGGCTCGTTGTCTCACGGGTTCTAATGATCGAGCTGTAAAAGTTTTGGAATGCGAACACTGAACGTTCGCATTCCCATCTCTTCTACCTGTCGCGGGCGTAGGTCTTTCAGGCTGTTGTTTATGACGTGTTGAAAGGTAAAATGTCTCTATCGATCAGCACTTCAATTCTGGGCAGCACCTTAGTTGACCTCTCGAACAGGAGCTCTCGAACAGAATACCGTTTCTTGACCAGATCGTGACCCACAGCAAGCGTAAGCTGGTGCGAAAGCACTTCTACAAAGCTGCTGAGTAGAAACAGATCTTCGGGAGGGATGAAGGGGTTCGCCTCGCGCAACCTCTGACATCTTGAAACCAAGTCCTGGTGCGAGACCCTGCTACAGAGGGTTCTGCCCCACAGCCCCCAACAATACGACGGCCTGCGTCTCTAGACTCATTTCCACCGTTAAGAAGACAGCTTTGGGGCACACCAGTTGTTATCACTTCATGCGCCAGCACTGCTGCGTGTGCTTTGACTCGCTGCTCCAAGGCACCTGCTGCCAATGGCTTGCCTGTCACAGCCATACTTGTGCCCCTCCGTCGCCAGTGGCTTGTGTTCCAATGAGCACAGCAAGCTGCAATTCCTGTCAGCTTCTTCACAGCGGCCTTAACTAGACAATGGGCACATGCGCTGATGATGATGACTAAACAAAATATTCAAAGGGACTAGCCGGAAGCCTAAGTGCACCCGTAGCGGCAAAATAATTGCTGACCCATCTCACCACGTCCCTCAAAAGTGCTCTGAAGATTGTGCCAGCTAAAAGAAGGGCAGTCTCACAGGCAGCTAGAGCAGCACTACTCTGTGTTTGGTGGAATGCATGTTGGCCATGCCTGTCTGCTCCTGACAGCGCCCATTGTCTGTGCTGTGCAGTATGCGGCCCTACGCATCGGTTCTATGGAGACCACCTACCGGCATTGGCCGCAGCTGCTAATACAGCATCCAATCACGCCGGTAAAGCTTGAGGGCGGGGCGGCTGTTTCTTCCACTGCCGACGCAATGCAGCCCAAGGAGATGGCCAGTTCAGGAGACGAGAGCAGCGAGGATGTAGATATTGTCGGTGAGTCTGGAAGTATTTCTCTCTCAAGCAAACTGCTGCACAAGCAGCGCATTTTTTTTGTTTTAATCAGAGTTTGAGATGTTGCTGATTGTCGCCTCACAGTCATGCGTGTTCGTAGTTTAATGGCATGATGTGGAAACCAGGAGTGTTGTGTGTGCAGGCTTGAAGGAGGGCAAGTGGGAGATGATTAGCAGCGGAGAGGCCCCATGTTGGCGCAGCCATGCAGAAACTGCTCAGCAGCTTCCTGCGGCAGGTGATGCTGATATGACAACCGGCGACGCTGTGCTGTCAGCGCGTCAGGCGCCGATGGCAGGTCCTGCCACCGAGGCGGAGGACTCGTCTTTTGTCCGGAGTGTCCTGATGGGGGGTCCTGGCGAGGACAGGGAGGACCTGCGTGCTGACCAGGGGGTCCTTTCCGCCGGCGGGGGAATGGATGTGCTGGCCGGTGACTGCCGACAGCAGTGCAAGGCGCGGGCCAATCAGCCAGAGAGGCTTTCAGAGCATGGCAGTGATGAGGAGGGTGAGGAATCCGAGGGTGATGACCCCACTGATGCAGACTATTTGGGAGGGCCAGATCGCCCTGGGCCCAGCAAAAGGGAGAAACATGCGCGCCAACTGCTGTCGAAGCAGCACACTTGGCCGTGCCGGGCAGACAGCTCCAATGCTCCCTGTACAAGGCGCTCCCAATCTCCGATCAAACGGCGTCACAGCAGGCACGCACACCACGGATCACCCCCCAAAAATGCCTGGTGTTTGTTCTGCTTGTGTTGCGCGCTGTCCACCGCCTTCAAAGCCAGCCAGCGTCCATGTGGGACATGTGTGCTTGGAGCAGAATGTCTTACATGGAAGTAGTGCAGTCTGATGTCAGCAAAAGTATTATGCATGTTATGATGCCTTGCGGTACGTTGCTTCAGGGAATGTGCCACGCAGCCAAAAGCGTGCGCCGAGATGCGCGGACTTCTCGTTGAAGTATTGGATGCGTTGGAAAAGGGGGTAACCCCAGACATTCTTGAAGTGTTCAAGGTGAGTGCCCGCATGTTTTGCAGGGGCTTGAGTCATGTGTTCTATGTTACAGCCTATCAAAGTATGCCTTCCAGATTGTCTGTCAAGTGCCCTTCAAGACATCGAAGAAATGTGACGGATTTCGAGACTTGCATTCAGACAGGCAGGCGAAAGGATGGTAGCCAGGCTGGACTCTTGAGTGTTGCTGCTCCAATGATGGCAGTGTATGTATGGCTTGATATCATTTTCCGCTTTGCAGGAACGAGTCAGTCCGGCAAGTGTGCCGGACTATCGCGTCCATGTGGCGGCCACCGACGAGGTGTGGTTGAGCTTGATCAGGAAGCGCGCTAAGAATGGCACTCACTATTCGCTCGAGTCCCTAGTAAGGGACTTTGAGCAGATGGCGGCCAACGCACGAATCTACAACACGCCCGGCAAGGGAAGATGGGGCGACACTGGTAAGCCCTCTTCATACCCAAATACTGTTGTCTCTTTGTTTTGTAATGTTTCCTGTCTATCTGCACAGTTGGTGCTGGCCTCTCAGAAATTTAGCACATTGTGCCTTTCAGCCATTGTCGACAATACACGCTAATTTCTTTGTGCTCTGCAGATATCATTAAAGATGCAGAGACAATTTTGTCCGTTGTGAAGAGGGAGATTGAGCTGCGCGCTGCTCAGTTTGCAGCCTTGACTGCACAGACAGCCCCAGAGGCTGCCTGCGGAGTCAACATCGGTGAGTGGCTATTCTCTGCATTGAAGCAAACTTACTGTGCCGTGCATAAAGAGCATTTGCAAGTCAGCTCATTATCCATCAGCAATTGCTGCGTTTTGAAGGTTTTCAATCTCGGGAGTGTGCTGCTTGCAGTGGCTAATTGCGCCACCGGCAGCATGCAAGCCAACACCAGCGCAGATGAGAGCTCTGCTGCAAGGGAGCACCAGGACATTGACCAGCAAGACGGCACAGCTGCCGTTGCAGGGCCCCCCAGCGGCACTGAGGGAGGGCCCCCCGCTCTGGCAGGGGGGTGCCAGAGGTCAGAGCTCCAAAGGCAGGGGTCAGGGGTGCCGCTTTCGGAGCTCATAGCCGCCCGCCGCGCCGCGGTCCGGCAGGCCTCGGTGGGGGACCCGGGTGAGCAGGACCCCGCGGCGGTGGTCCCAGCGGGGGGGCCAGGCGGCCTGCAGCCGCGGCAGCCGTCAGCCGCCCAGTTGATTCCTGCGCATACGCAGCCAATGCAGCAGCCAGCCCCTGCGAGCGATGCCAATGCCGTCCCTCAAAACGATCTCATTCAGCCGCTGGGGTTAGCTCCGGCAATCCCCCAAAGTTCTGGGGTGGAGAAAACGCCAGCGCCACGCCAGCCGGCTCGATGAGTCAGCCGCTGCCCGCAGCCGTGCCCGGTCAGGATTCTTGGGCTGCCCAAGCCGATGGCGCGCATCCGTGGTCGATGCCTACAGGCGGCGGCGTCACCGCGCAGGACCTGCAAAGGCCGCCTGCGTCAGATCATGCAGCACATGACCAAGTGAACTCAGTGACAGTGCAGCAGAGCGGCGAGGCAACCGAGCGGGCAGTCCCTGCTGCGACAAGTGCTCCTCCTGCAGCTGTGTCAGCGGTGCGAGCGAGCCAGGATGGAGCTCTTGCTCAGCTGCAGCTGACCAGGCCGGTGCAGAGGCCGCAAGGGGCTGCTCTGGGGGCCACAACGGACCTGCCTGCTCCAACAAGGTACACTGCATGCTGGTTTCAAAGAGCAGTGCGTTGCTTGGCGGACTTGCTGCTTGCACACTGACAGGTCCAAGGGGCTGAGCCTACGTGCGTAAGGAGCACACAACTCGCTGCAAGATTGTTTCAATGTGCAACGGTTCTTGAAAACTCTACATCGGGGCCTACGCCTTTCTTGATCAGCCTGCAATGAGGATGCGATTGCATGTGTGGTGCAGTGGGCGAGGTCCGCCAGCACACCAGCAGTCCCAGACAATGACAGACCTGCTATGTGCCTATGTGCAACAACATTTTCGTCCTTGGCAAATGGCACACCTGAAACACCACTTGAGGGTACTTAAGGTGCGCGCTGTTGCCGATATATGCAGAGTTTAGGCCTGAATTGAATTCCTAAATACTGCGTTGAGCAGAGCCCTGCATGGAGCAATTTCTTATTGGCAGTGCGAAGCAGGCTTAGCAGTACTGCAAGAGCAAAATAACTACTCTCTCACGTGAACTTGCCATTGCTCTTCTTTGAGCAGGTCTGCCGAACACCGGAGGAGAAGCATCTGTGGAACATCAAATTCAGGAGCATTGTGGGCCCCAAGCTTCTCAGCCAATTTCAGCAAACATGCCAGCAGGTGCGCACTTTGCTCCATCCTCCCCTGTCAGACGTCCACATTAATTGGCCCACAAAACTTCTGCTTGCTTCAGCTCAGCAACACTTTACTTGTGTGAATGGAGGCCTCTTGCTAGTAAAAGATTGGCCGTTGCAGTGTGACAAAGACATTCCTGGGCGTATATAATATTGATTTCTAAGGGTTAGGGGGTGTAATCATAAACCCTCTACATGATGCGGCAGTCCATTCAAAGCACAACAACTGTTTTTTTATAGTTTATGAGGCTCAAAGCCGCGGCTGACTTATAACTTGTGGCACTGCATCTGCAGGCACAGAGGCCTGAGCCATTGGCAGCACCGCAGCACTTCAATTTGAATTCGAATTCAAGCGCGCGCCACCCACAGCCTGCAGGGCAGCTTCTGCCGGCCGCGGCCGCGGCGCTGCAAAGTGGGCCCTCGATGCAACAGGTGGCGCCAGTGGATCTACTCGAATTTGCACGGCCCAGCTCCCTTGTGTTTTCACCCCCGGGGCAGGGGGCGGAAGCCGCACGGGGAGTCATAGGGTCTTCCGCGCTAGGGTGTCCACCCCCAGGGCAAGGGGCGGAAGCCGCACAGGGATATCCAAGTCCCCGCTCCCTTGTGTTTCGAACCCCGGGGCATAGGGCGGAAACAGCGCAAGCTGCCGAGGATACGGCGCAGCGGGCGCCCGCCGCGGGCAAGCGGCCGGCCGACACGGCCGCCGCGGAGCCGGCCGCCAAAATTGCGAGGATGGACGGGACCGCCGGAGATGGTGTTGCGATGGTGCGCCTTGATTCAAACCAAAGTTCATATTTGGGGTTTCAATTTCAATTTGCATGTTGTACCGCAAGGGGACTGAGCACCGTGCCCACGGTTGTTTGGGTCTTGCTTGGATCTGGCGAGTCCAACAAGGGGTAGGATTGTGGCGGCCTTCAACTGCAGCTTGTCTGCAGGAAGCACCTTGCCTTTTGGCAGGGAAAACCGTGTGATAATATAAGATAAAAATAATAATAGCAATAAGAGAATAATAACTATAATAATAGCAAGGATAACACCGCCTGGTCATGGCGCATTACTCACAGCATTTGTTCCCAAGTTGTCTGATGGCTATTTCTGCTGCGCAAAACAAGAGCCCTCATTTCCCTGTCTTTTCTTGCTTGCCTTCCCAACACGTGTCTCTGCAGTCTCAGCGACACTGCACCAGGTTGAAGGGCCGTGCTTGCTTGTGACATGCAGGTCTCTAAGGGGCAAGTGATTTCCTTGGGGCGCTCCAATGTAAAGACCTCCAGTGGACCGGCCCAGGCAGAATCTGTGCGACTCATCCCAGGTAATTCTGCAGCACTGACAGGTAAAACAGTGCTGTCAAATCACCATTTGCGCTAATTTTGAAGGTGTACAACTCAAGGCAGTATCACCGGCAGTGTGATGGCTTGAGGTACACAAGATCCTGAAGGAATGAAGCTCACATGCATGACCTTCGTTCGGCAACCAGCAGATGTGTTGTTCAATAGTTTGGTTCCAGCCGATGTCCATGCCTCCATGCCTCCAAATGGCGCACTGCCTCTTGTTCTGTTTTTGCGCAAGCCGTGCACCTTTTGGCAGGCGTCCTTTTGGAGATGTGTGAAGGCAGCCACAGAGAGGGGCGCCTGTGTTGTATGTGAGAGGGTCTGCAGGCATGTGATAAAGATGATGTCACCTCCAAAGCCTGTGCTTGGCATGCATGCCTACCATTGTTGAAAACGTCCGGTCTGCAACGTGGACTGCTTGGCCTTTCCTGCAGGAAGGACAGTTTCCTCCTTTGGTGGAAGTGGAACTGGCGCCGCCAGAGCAGCCTCTCACCAGCGCCCATTGATACCATACCCCGCTGCAATCTCCCAGCCACAAACACCGCACCCCACACCGGCACCGGGGCAATCACAAAAGGCTCCCACAAGTTTCACTGCAGAGCCTCAGCCAATACCAGGTACATCTGCTCTGCTGGCAGTCAACACAGCACTGAGACGTCGCTGCTTGTGAAGTCCACTTTTTGGTGCATTCTTTACTTGCTGCCTGATGTTCTGTGCACTTGGGAATCATCCTCAAGGAATGCAGAGCCCACCAGGACAGAATATTTTGAGCACCTAGCAGACAGCGGGTTTGTGTAACACTGGAAGACCCCCGCCTATCAAGCGTTTCCCAATGCCCCAATCAGCAGCAACAAGTAATATACACTCGGCTGCTTGCGCAGGGCAGAGAACCTATTCCCCAGGGAGAGATGCGAGTGGCTCGGCCGGAGCAGCCTCTCTGCCGGCCCCTTTGATACCACAACCTGCTGCATTCGCCCAATGGCAGGCCACACCGGCACAGCCGCAGCTGGCGGCCACCGCTTCTGATGCAGCTCTCGAGGTGCTTGTGCAGGTGTGCAGTGTACTCACCCTTCCCTGAGACGCTAGGCACGTTTTTTATTTTTCAAGGCTTTAACATACAGCTGCTTTTGAAGCATGTATAGAGATGCTGCGCGAGGGGTTCAGGGCATTTTGCAAGGGTGGATCTCCTGACTGAAACTCAGCAGAGAGCTAATCATTTGGCGCGTTTGAGGGAAATGACGGCTCTCCGAGCTACACACTGGAAAAGGGTTGTCGATGGCTGCAGGCACAGACTTGGCTCACCGTAATGCTACAGGACAGCGAGAAGCGCCGCACGGCCGCAGAGGCAAAAGTGAGTCAGCTGGAAGTGCAACTGGCGGCTGTGACGGGCGACTTGAAGCATTCCCTGCACGCAAGGGACAAGCTGCAGTTGCATGCGATAGCGTATATCACAGACTTGGAAGGTCGCCTGCATGCGCTGTCTCGTGCAGACAGCGCTGCACAAGCAGGTGCAGCCTTCTCAAAAGTATTTTCGCATGAGGTACAAACGCTCTGCTGATGCCGACGCATGATCAAGGAGCCTGCGGGGGGTTATGTCAGCATCAACATTGAGATGTGGGAATCTGCCGGGTTGCGTGATGCATCACAGCGCAGTCCTGCTTTTGCCTGTATCGGGAAGTACGGCTGTGTCATGCAATCTTTAGCTGCTTGCCGGCAAAGCTGGATTTGTTGTTCGGGCTTGTGTTGGGCGAAAGCGCTCCTGAATGCTTAAACCCCTTCGTATCTGCAAAATGAGGGCTCCTAAGAATTTCCATGCTGTCACTGTGTGCAGGTCCTGGCTCCCTGCAACCGGCTGAAGCTGCCGAGCGCGGCCGCAGCAGCTTCCCCTCAGCCGACCCGGGCGCGCGGCTGCAGCCGGCTCCGGCCGCCAGCTCAGCGCCAGATGGCGGCCAGCCTGTTCAGGCGCGTCCCCAACATTAGCGCCCTGCGGCATCCATGCTTTTCTCCAGAAGTGATACTGCACGGTGCAGCACAGCAAAAAGACAAACACCTCATCTTAGTCACCTAATCCTGGCCTTTCGTGCTCTGGCCCTGGACCATCAAGTCCTTCGTGTTTCATGTAGCCAATTGCGCTGTCACGTGACCTTCCGCAATATTGGGTTGTCAAACAGGCAGGATTTTCCGAGGCGGATGTTGAAGCTGCGATCGCTGCCGCCTTGGGTCAGAGCCGGCCTCGGCTCACAAGCGAGCCAGAAGAGCACTTTGCACCAGCGCCCGGCGCGGGCCTTCCTGCGGATCAGCAGCCGGCAGACACACTGGGTGAGCCTGAGCGCCAAAGAAGGATCTCGGGAGGGAATGGCGGTGCCTCACGGGACCAGCAGAGAGCAGCGGGCGATGGCGGTTCTGCCGGGGAGGCGCAGCGAGAGGAGGGGGCTAGCAGGGGATATGTGCCAGGAGGTTTGGTGTCAGGCAGAAACATGGGGGATGTTATTGATCTGAGTGATTCGGATTGAGCAGCAGGCCACGCTGAAGGGATGCTTTTGGGCTGCAAACTGTACAGTGAAATCCTTTTGTTTTGGCTGGTTTTGTGGTGACCGCCTCGGGGAGTGTATTTTTCTACGGCTTGTGTGGTTGCCTTTTTGAAGAGTAGTATGCGTGGACAAGCACATGCCCAGAAGGCATTTTTGAAGGGTGACCTCAGCCTTGCCCTTTCTTTTAGGTAAAAATTGATTATTCTTAGTAGGCACTCTGATTCTGTGTGTAGCAGACGTTTGCTTTTTCAGCTGAGCAATGCAATGGTTACACGTTGATCAATGGCTACGAACTGTCATGCAATTGCAATTCCATTGCAATATTTCGTTCATCAAGTGGTTCCAGATTCGGCCGCGACGCCGTTAACGGCTGTAAACGTCAACAAATTGTGAAGTCTTTGTGTTTATGGTATGCAGCTACTTAAAATATGCTGGGCTCTCTTACAAGAATAATGATGAGATATGCGGGTCACTTTGCAACTGCGAGGCACCAGTAACGGCAGGACTGGCCTTGCATGCAAAATTTGCATGCATGATGATCTGCATGCCACACGAGCGCGTTCCCTCCCAAGAAGCCATGTGTACTCTTTGCGCTTGCTGCATATGCGCATTTTCTTGGCATGATCCACGCTGTCGAGAGATGATACGATGGATTGGGCGTTACACCAGCCACAGCAGACTGGCCCTCATCTGGAGGTGTTGCACGGCTTTAAAGAACTCTCATTGCTTGTCAAAGTAGTGTAAAGCTCGTTCATCTTGATGAAAGATGGAAAAGGTCCAAAGACCATCACAGATGGAGAATATGGCCTCCCACTAACCTGTGGCCACAGAATGCTTTGGCAGCCTGCCTGCAACCCAACCCTTGACTCAAGTTCAATGATTTGCTTCGGGCCCCAGCTATCTTATGTCAGCAGCTGTAGATTCCATAACAACTGGGTGTTGCAAAGTGGGGCAAGTATGTTCAACCTCATATTGTGACACTGCCTGCGGCAAGCAACAAGAATGGTCCCGCCACAGCCCCACAACAAGCATCTGCTGCCCTGTACCGTGCCAATTTGGATAGGCATTCTCCTGAGTACTTCCAGTGCAGTTCTAAGCTAAGGAGCGCCTGGGAATAACTCCTTCTGTAGCTGCCGCTCAGCTGGCTGTCAACTTCATCAGTTGCAGCCGCTGTGCAGCGCTGAGCCGCATATATGCACTTGAAAGGATCTGCTCTGCTCACAGTCCTACCCATTTCCTACTCGCCGTGCACACCCTTGAAAGGCTGCTTGCATCTGATGTAGCTTCTGAACGTGCCAAAATTGGATCCCACTCCAGAGCTTTGTTCTGAAGCCCGAGTGTTGTTCTGAAGCCCATCCCGCAGAGCCACTGCCGTGAGGTGAAGTTTGCAATACTGCGGCTATTCATCTATCATTCTACGGCCAATAGAGTTCTCCTTGAGCCTGTGGCATCGCTCCGAATTTTGATCCTCCACTCGAAGAGATCAGGGACGTTGTCCCAGCTGCCATTGCGCCGTGCCTTCCAGTACTCGCCGGTGAACCTGCATGCACACTCTGCTGTCTCGGCAAAACCTGCAGCAGGATCATTGCGAGGAAGATACACATCCTTGCTGATGCTGCTGTGCTCTGCTGGTCTCTGCATGTTCCTCTTGTGACAGGAGGTGGCTAGCAGCGTTGCCAGATAATTACTGCTGCCATGTGGGAATCCTTAAAAAAAATAAAGGCCTAAAATCGTCCTAACCGCGCACAGAATAGCTCCCTTGCAAGCTCCTCTTAAGAGCTCTCCGCGACAAAACTCATTTGATAGTATTCTTTCATACACTTGGGATCTCCCAAACTGGAAGTTCCAATGCAGACGCCACAGTAACACTGCAGTGTGGTACAAATTACATCCTTTGCATGTGTGACTCTCAAGGCAGTGACTCATGAGGTGACGATGAAGTGACCAATTCATAAGGTGACTGATGGGTGACTCACTTGTAGCGCTGCACAGTGCCGGTGGTCAATCCTGATGTCAGCGCGCCGGGCTCTGTCAACGCAAACCAGCGCGGCTGCAGCGGCGTTCCCTTCTTCGCCTCGTCCAGGACCTTCTTTTTGATGCGCGCGGTCAGCTCCCGTTTGAGGCTGTCCGCCTACGCCAGATAATTTCGATTTACGGCGCAACTCGCTGCCTTCAGCTGAAGCAATTGAAGAGTAGAAATTTAGCAGGTTCACCTTCCTGCAGAAGACAAGGTCCTGCTGGGGGCACTCCTCTCAGCTACCCGGTACCAAAAGTGCAGCACTTGTCACAAGAACTCAGGGACGAGCTCTGAGGTGTCGTGAAAACAAGGTGCAGGATGGTGTTATAATGTAGATAACCCCAGAAAAGAGGGCATCCTGGCACAGTGCTGCCCTGTAGAGGTAGCTCTGCTGCGGCCTTTTCCTGCTGCAGCGACAACAGAGAGCCGACAGTGCAGCCCGGAACTTGCCGTAGGACTTGCAACCGAGTAGGTTGCCGATACAGGCAGCAGCAAATGTGGGCTTATTGTGTAATGCAGCCAGGAGAGGCCATAGCCAAAACAGGCGATCACTTAAGTAGTGCACAACAGGCGACTACAGTACTAATGCAGCACCAGAACAGGCGAGTACTAATGCATCCGAAACAGGGCACGGAAGCTGCGCGCACCTGGCCGTAGCGGCCGTCTTCGAGCGCGCGAATGTCCGGCCGCAGCCTCGCGTCCGACGCCGGCAGCCGCTTGCGTTGACCAACCGGGATTTCGTTCAGAGACGCGGTCCACTCGGAGAATTGGCACCTGCACACGCGCGCAGGGCTACTTATTTATTATTCTTATTATTACACGCTTTTCCTGCCAAGAGGCAAGGTGCGTCCTGCAGACAAGCTGCAGTTGAAGGCCGCCATAATCCTACCCCTTATTGGACTGGCCAGATACAAGCAAGACCCAATCAACTGTGGGCATGGTGCTCATTATTTATATTGCCCCTCGCCAGCCGGGGCCCTTATTGTATATGCACCATTCACACTCCTGTTTTAGCCACTTTTGGTGGCTACGGTATTTTTAAGCAAAGGTTGAACACAAATACAGTCAAACCACATATACAGAGCAACATTGACTAGCCCTCAACAGACTGCATCAAATGCAGCAATTATCAATATCTCATGGGCTCTCAAAGCCAGTCAGAATCATTAGTCCCCTGCCAACGCCTTGAACAGGTGCCTGGTTGATTTGAGGGCTTCCAGATCAACAAGGACAATATGCCTCCGCTCTTGAACTCCAGAAGACATCAGAAATTGCATTGATATGGAGCTGCCCTTCACGCAAAGTGCTTGCTTTCAAATTCAAGCGTACTTGCATGCAAAGCTGAACGGCCGCCCTCTGCTTGCAACAGCTTCATTCAACTCCGTGAACTGAGCATTTAAGATTCTATTTTGAAATTGCTGCTATAACAGGAAGTGGAAAGCACCTGCCAAGGCCGCCCTGTGGGTATCTCTTTTCCCACAGTGTTTTTGTGGATCCATTAGCCATGTTGGCGACCAGCTTCTGGTCAAAATGACCGCTGATGGTTGGCGCCGGCAGTTTCTTCCCATTCAGTTCCACTACTCCTGTCATCTGCACTCAGCACAGAAACACATGCAGACTTGCCATGCCGCCTGGCCGTGTCCTGCTAAGCAGAGTTCCTGGCTGCATGCATGCATGCAGGCGAAATATGAAGAGCCTGAATTACAGCTTCAAATCGTAGCTCTGACGCACAAGCCTTGCATGTTTTTCACTCTGAATGTACTCTGTCCCAACTCTAATCTAGGACACACACGCAAGCTGACTGTGCAGGCTCTTCAAAACTCCGTAGGACGAGTCACGCACTTCATGCTTGAGGGCATTCTTTCCGCTGAACATGCCGGGTTCCTTGAAGGTCAAATGCACGGTAGCACCACTTGTGTGGCTGGTGATTGACAAGACTCCTTTGTGGGTAATGACCAGGTTGCCGCTGATGAGGCCGCTGATATTGGAGGTCCCCTGGACACAGCGCACAGTCAGCAGGTTGGTAATGGATCTGAAAAATTCTGCCTTTGTTGAAATGACACTGCCATGAAAGGAACTGCACTGGCGCGTCGCACTTGAAGTATTGCATTGTAGCACTTGCTGCAGGTCGGTTTAGCGGGACAGCAAGTGCAGCCTTTTGGTTCTTGAAACATCTGGGCAAAAGGAAGCATGGATTTCAGAATAAATGCAAGAGCCTTATCAGGACAGTGACCGACACACGTGCTGACGGCAGAGATCTAAGTGCGCACTCTGGAATGCATTCCAGCTTTCCAGCAGCCCCGCTCCCTTACAGATGAAAATATCACTTAATTAGAGATCCTCACTTACTTTTAGGTTAGGGGTTTGTTGAGAGGACTGCACGGCAGATAGGCACGGCATGCACGACAAAAATAAATGAAAAAAATGAAAAAGAAATGAAAAAATGGAATAATTTTCAAAATGAGCACACCTTGCGCCAGGAGTAGGTGTCGCCATCTGAGAAGGTGAGTACATCTGTCCAGTTCAGATGAATATCCACGGACGATCCCCAGAAGCGGACTCGTGGCTCATCCTCTCCAGAGAGTTCCCACTGAGCCCCCTGCAGAGGGGTTCTTTTGCCATGAGTAATTGATTTGTAAGAGTTGAGTAAATTAATGAGTAAAAAATAAATAAATAAGAAAAATGTGGTGTCCCATGGCCGGTTCTTTCATAACATGCAGAGCCAAATACTGCTATACTCAAGGGTTGCAGCAGCCCTGGACTGTCCAGGCTCGATATGATCGGTATCTGCGTTATTGATTTGGTAATAGATCAGCATGCAGCGAGCTGACGCATGCCAGAAGAAACTAACAAACACTTATCTGATTCAGTGCAAGAATCAGACCAATCTGAATGGTCTAGTGCAGGTGCTTTGGGGACTGGATGCCTCAGTCCAGTTGCAGGTCTTTCTGCAGCCCTCCAACACGCCTTAGCGCTTTTGAAATCTTAATCCACAATTCACATTCGTTCAGAAATTTCACAACATCTGTCTGCAGGGCCGAAGACTCGCACCTGGGCGTGCCAGGCGTTGATAATGCGAGTGGATCCCCTGAAGTCCTGGTGCACAGCCTCCATGACTGCCCGCATGCCCTTCTCAGGCCTCACAATCTGATCACATAACTCTCAGTCACTCTCCGACATTTGGAACCTACGCAGGGATGCTGTGTGCAGGCTATGAGAGTCAGGGAGAAAAGGTGAGCCACCTCGAAAGTCTCGCCCATCACAGGGTTCATGCACTTGTAAGGACGGAGGCCGGCTGAGAATCCGATTTGCGCGAACGCTGCCACTAGCAGCAGCCGCTCCATGCTGCCCTTAGGCAGCTCTGCTGCCTGCGCCATGGGAGGCTGTTATTATTACTATGAATAAAGATCATAATATGCGCTGCCATAGGTAAGGTGCGGCTGCAGAGAAGCTGCATGCAAAGGCTGCCACATATGCTACCCCTTGATGGGCCCCGCCAGATCCAGGCGAGACCCAGTCAACCGTGGGCGCGGGCTTACGGGCTATTTGTGTTGACCCGTGCCAGCCGGGGCACACATAAAATTACAGGGCTACGCAGTGATGCCTAATCTATCCTTCAATGCCTTCTGGAAAACCACTGCTGGCATTGAGGCCGCCAGTTGCCCCCCCGACCATATGTTGATTTGATTACCCCGTTGAATAGCAAAAGACCCTAGAGACAAGCATGACTAATCACAGGCTTCTATTTAGCTGAAGATCGGGACATGACCCCTGCTGCAAGCCTTACACCTGCACTCAGCTCCCATTGACACTTCCGTCAAACCTGCTCGCATCAATTGCTCTAGCCGAATTCTTTTCAGGCTGCGGACTCAGAATTGACGCGCAAATAGTAGGATTGTGATGCGATGGTGAGGAGATACTACCTGATCCAGCAGTTCAGTGTATTCCAGTTCTTCTGCGCGGAACTGCAGCTCAGTCAGGGGGCAGTACTGCCCAATCGGCAGTGGGGCATCCAGTATATCCTTGCCGATGAGATCCTTCAATGCCTGCCAGAGGCTGAATGGCCTCAGAGGCTCCTGCATCATGTTCCACAGGTGGTCAGCCACGATCACACGATTGACTCTGTAGTGCATCAGTCTTTGGATCACCAAAGCTTATGACATGTGCTTAAAACACCAGAGGACGGAAACTCCCCATGCGGGAAGCAATTGTGTAATGAGCTAACGATCTCTGCCGTTGCTCGGTGCTGCCAGCGTGCCCGAGATTACCAAAAGCAGCAATGCCTGCCGTTGAATGGAGTTGGCTAATTGCTGCAGATGCTTTCCAACTCAGGCACGACGAAAGGATGTGATGGGGATAAACTCTCTGAGAGAAGAATGCACACCTGCGGCTCGGGGAGAGCAGTGCGCCATTTAATGGCAGGCTCCTCTGCAGGCCAAGCAGCAGTCTCCACATGCGCAATCATCTTGCCATCACAGACTACTGTAGATGCAGGAGTGATGCCCGGAGTGCTTGGAACGCACATCTCGCCTGCAGCAAAGGAGGGTGCACTCAACCACAGCCTTGATCTACCTTGTGTGCAATGGTGTTGGTTGTATTGGTGGAATTTTTCTCTTGCTTGGACATCCGAGACGTTATCATGAGCGCTGCAGATACAGATACTTCTGATGTTAAATGAGATGTCCATGTGGCCAGTCCACCACAAGTGTGCAACCCTCCCAATCAATTTAAGAGGCTGGCAGGTCCCCAGTGAACTGTGTTTGCAATGTCAACTAGCTATAATTATATTTTTAGCCACCTTTCGATATCACAGGCAACATATGATGGAAGCCGCAGCTTCACAGCGCTGTAGGAAGCCCGATGGACATCGTGCTTGTCCCGGGTGACAAGTGGAGGCACTTGGGAGGGATATCGCAGGATCCAGTTCATCAACTTAAGGATTTCTCAATAACAATCAACCAGGATTGCAATCCACACCACACGGAACGCACCTAGCCTGACGCTTGTGCGCGAACCTACGTTCCAAGGTTTGGTTGGCTCTTCGACTGAAGTCGGCGGTTGACGGCCCCCTCGGCTACGGCAAAGTCACATCATCTACCAGGAACAAGACCCTTCAGGGATTTTCAGCTTCAATTGTCCTCCACGCTCGTGTTCGAGAGATGTAGGGCCATCCAGTCATCTCGAAAAAGGGTGTTCTCTGGCATTTCCCGTAACCAGCTGGGGTCGTTGGTGTATTGGGCGCATGCATCGTGCCCAAGATTCACGACACGGCTCGAAAGCTCGCCGCAATGCGCGAATAAGCACCATTCTTCACTATGTCTCCAATCGAGCAACTTGGAGAACCAACTCGCGATCTCATGAACAGCGGCTTCGTCGGTGTAGCATGGTAAGTCAAAGCAGCGCATCCCGAATCCGCCTGGCTTCCGGTGGCTCGTGTAGACAACACGCTTCTGCCACCTGCAGAAGGAACCGTCTTGACGCCAGGGAGCCTGTAGACAAGTGAGCTGCAGCAGATACAACTCCGGAAAGCGCCGTTGATGTTCAATATTGAAGCCACCAGCTTTGCCTTTGATAGCCAATTCTCGAGCTCAGACAGCTCCTTCACGCTTCGATTGTTTCCTTACGTATCAATAATGATTTTGCCGATTGATCAGGTACTTGGAACAAAAATATACCAGACCTTCTCCCAGCTGTCTTTCAATAGGGGGCGCTGGTTCAGTCCAGAAGAACGGCGATTCGACGTCTCCATTGAAGCATGAGGTGATCTCCGCTCCTTCTATTGCTTTAATATCCCAATCAACACCATTACTGAGCAAGGGCACCTCTGAGATTTGCCACCTCCTGCTGTGGCAAAAAGCACCTGCATCAGGTGCTGGCTGTTCTTGGAGGAATTGATATATCCTTTAGAAAAACAGCTCATGCAGTTCTGCTCCTCACCGAGAATCTCATGTGTGTGAGCTAGGCCTGTCAGTAGCACAGGCGTTCGCAGACCCCTTCTCTGGCTCCTGTCTCCTGCTCCTGCATATGCATTGACCATGCAGCGGTAATGTGTCAGGTGCTGGATTGTCGTCAGGAAATTGAAAATGGAAGTCACAGTAGAGGCTTGAGCAGTGAGGAAGGTAATGATGGCTTCCTTGGGTGAAGATGCCTACCCTGTAGAGACATTGCCGTACATGCAAGCCGCAAGCATGCATGCGTGTGACCACCCAGATGCGAAATCTGGTCGCATGTGCAAGGAGGCCCACAGCTCCTGGATTATTTCTTACATGCATTGCACACAATACTTCCTCTGCCCACACCTCTGGAAATGCCAGGAGTGAACGTGCATATGCATATGCATGTCACAGGTCGCAAGGCAGCAAGCCAAATCTGACACGGGGTTTCAAGCCAGGCAGTGTTCAATTGTTCATCAGGTGAGTAATCCATACTCCCCTGTAGATAAGGGCTGGAAATCGAGACCTCCATTTAGCCGCTTCAGTGTAAAATTCAAGAATGGCGTTGTCGTGACAAAAGGAATGGCAAACAAAGAATCACTTTCCAAACGCAGCAGAAGTAGTCCAGGTGAGCCCTTGAGACGCACACTTCCTGTGAAGCATTCATACAATACATACATTCATACAGCATACATTTGAAGCGTTCCTTCATCAAAGTCATGCCTCTGCTTCTGCGGGTGATGAACCTCATTATTTTGTGAGTTCTGTGTCACTGGAGATTTAGTGGTACATCTGCAAGACAACATTCTGGCACTTATTTATGATTATCACACCAGCGAGCAAACGGCCAGAGCAGCCTGCGTGTGCCGCCAGTGGCGCGCGGCGTCTTTCCTCAGCACAAGCATCTTTTCAGTGGGCGAAGACCTTGATCTGGACAGTCTTACGTCCAAACCAGAACCCAGCGATGCCTGCATGCAGCTGGGAGACTGGTTTCGGCGATATGGCGTTCACGTTCACGTTCATGCTGTAAGGCTCAAGTCCTCCCATTGGCTTGTGAAGAATTTTACGCAAAGTGTGTTTGATGCGTTGTGGCAGACTTGCCCGGACGTAAATTCCCTGGAAATTACAATAGTCACGCCCGTGTACCATTTCTTTTCCGCCGCTGGCGGACCTTGTCAGCTGCTGCATCACCCTGGAGCGTGCCCCGGCCAGATGGCCCTTTGCCGCTCTAAAGAAGCTGACGCATCTTATGATCACTGCCAAGAGGTTCACAGTAGATGTTGGGGTGCTGCCGCCCGCCCCGAAGAGCCTTAACTGCTCCTGCGCGGTCCTGACTTGGGAGAAAGACATGCATGCATACCAGCTAGAGGTGCTCACATTGGATCAGAGCAGAGTGGAGCATCAGAACACTCCCCAAGGTTTCCTCAAGTATGGGCAGCAGGCTCCGTCTGTAAGCACCTTATTTCGCCGTGCCAATCTTTCTGCTAGCATGAAGAAGCTGCCACTGCATGCTCTGAGATCGCACGTGCGGTTGATGTTGCATGATCCTGTCAGACGTTGCTCGTTGGCTTTGCTAAATCTGTCGGCGCTGCCTTGCTTGAAAGATGCCCTTCTCATCGGCTGCTAAGGATTGTGCCAGGTGCCAGCGAGTCTTAAGGGACTTAGTCTGGCGAGCAGCTCTGGAAGTAGATATCTTCCACGATTCATGAATGCTTGCAGCTGAATCTAGTGAGCTTGAACAAGCGTGCAGCCGGTGGTGCACAGGGTCCTTTTCTGGGCCCATTACCGGTGTTGCACCCTCCAGGCAGTCCGAAGCTCAGCGGCATAATAGCATTGTTTGTGCTGAAAGGGATCTCAAAGCCGTTGAGCTGGCGTGAGATCAACGTTGGCATGCTTGACACAGAATAATGCATGATCTGGACACCAGGCCTCACATGCTGGATGCCTGGGAAGCACTGCGGGAGGTCTAAACGAACTGGTTGTCTGACAGTGTACAGACGTTTGATACACAAAGGGTCCATTGACATGACCAGAACAGCTGGCACTGTTTGGATGCATTTGTGGCAACTTATACAAATGTCAGAAGCTGTGAGTTGCAGGCATGTCGAGGGTGCAACGCTGTGGCAAGAAATGCAGCAATTATGACCTCTGTATAGCAGAGCAAGCTTTTGGCAATTGTAAATGTGGGTATCAGCCCTTTATAAAGTAAATTTTTAAAGTTCCGCGAGTTTCTTAATATTATACTTCACCTTCAGACGGACCATGCATGTTTGTCCGTTATGCAGGCTTCTCTGCACACACAATGAAACACATTGTTTCTGGACCCACCAATGACAACGCAACACAAAGCCAATTCTGCTAGCAGGATGTTCTGAACGAGCATCCAAATGGTCTGCATGCAGTGCCACATGCAATTCACAACAAATGTGAGTCCAATCTCTAGAACCCCTCCCCATGTCAGCAATGATGGCGCTCTAAGAGGGCTCAAGGGTATTTGATGTCATGTGTATCCCTTCATTACTGTGGATGCAGGCTACTCTGCAATTTTTGGTTTCCCATTGGTTTCCCATTGGAAACAATGACCCGCTGACAGGGTTCCTGTCAGCGGGTCCGTGTCTACAATGCTGCCAAATTCCTCAACCCAGCAACTGTCCTGTGATGTTCCGCATCCGATTCTGAGGGCGCTCAACACTGCTTTGGTGCTTGCGACGCATCGGCTACTGCTCCCTCAATTGCATTTTTCACATTTTCCATGCTGCCGGCTCATTCTTCATGCTGTCTCATGTGTCCTTTCCAGGCTGCTCTGCAGGCCTAGGTGCGGCTGCTATCAGAGCTCATCGTTGTGAGGCTTCTCCAGCATCCAGAGTAGCCTGAAGCCGAGGGGGCAATCAAGCTCAAGACTGAGCCCTGTGATGTCCACCTGGCCGATCCGCCCCTCCTCCTGCGAGACCTGGCGCACACACAGCGGGGGTGAGTCATTTGTGCCGTTTAGCCATCAGTGCTTACACTTCCTTCACATGCGCTCGCTCTGCAATGAGGACTGCATTTCTCTTTGCTCTGAAATTGCTGGCTGCTGGGTTGAGGTTCCTGTGGCTGCCTGATGCCTTCCTTCACAGTTGACACACACTCTGTAAACAAAACCATCAAGACCCCCCTAGCGCACCTGGGAGGGCGACAGCTTCTGGGTGGTGGCGGGGTGGATCTTGCCGGGGGCAAGGGTCTCGAATATAATCGATGCCGGGTCGATGCGGCCGGGCAGGCCCAAAACACGTACTCGGTCCAGCAGCGGCCAGGGCAGCCCCTCCGCGCACTCACCCTGGTGCGCCTCATCCCACTCTCCTGCGCAGCGCACGTTATAACATCATCTCAGCAATTCTGCGAGCAGATAGCCGTTCAGCACGGGAAGGAGGGGGGTTTCGGCTGTGCTGCTGGGAGGATCCTTGCATGCGCAGCGAGACTCAAAAGTATCTGCTGTGCAGCTTTATTTGTTAGCCTGACAGTAACAAAGCAGAGCTGACCTCCTCCGCACACACAGGTAAGGAAAATTGCATTTAAAAACCACAGGGAAACTTCAAGGACAGCCTGCAGCTCCTGTTGCGGGCAGGTTGTCTAGCCGACATGCGCCTGGCACTTGGCATGCGGAAGAACAAGGTCCAAGGTGCTTTGTGACTTCTGCAGGCGATTTGCTCACCACCGCGTCTGAGCGAAATGGAAGGGAGATAGCTAGGTTGTAAGGGGTCTTTGGAAAATTCTCACCGTCGGCGCTGAAAGTGCCGGAGAGGATGCCGGTGCCGTCCGGCTGCGCCTTGGCCCGGAAATTGATGAACCCGGAGTCCACGCCGCCCGCCACGTCCAGCACCTGCGCGCAGCATTCCCTCTCTTTCATCATACAATGTTTGTACTTTTTAAGTGCTTCCCTTGCGCACAAGATCATCTTTGCTCAACAAAGCTTCCTTTGCTAGACTGGCACGTCCCATCAGAGCAGCTGTGCACTTGGCGACCTTCTCGGTCAAGGGCTTTGTTGCAAATGGGTGAAAGACATTCAAAAAGAACCATGTTACCCAGAAGCCACGATTTCTGACCAAAGGAATGGACAGCGATCACATGTTCACAGTTGGGCCTTGAGGCTCAGACGCCCAAACACATAGAGATGATAGGCGCCCTTCCCATCATATCCCCTCAATGCATGCAACACTGTGGCCGCCTCACAATACACCCAAACCACGCATTGCACTTAACACCCTGGTGCCGCTTCAATAGCTTCACCGTGCACTGTGCTTAGGAGGTGGGGAAGCTATGAGAGCACACGGTCCCCCACCTGGTCCCCCCTGTCCGTGTAGAGCTGGCCCCAAGCCACGAGTGATCTGCTGGCGGTTCCCCCGAGGGCGGCGCTGTCGGGGGGCGCCGGGCCACAGCGCAGCGCCTCCCGGGGGGCCCCCTGCATCGGCAGCCGGGGGAACGCCACCAGCAACGTCAGCGGCGTTTGCAAGGTCTCAGCCGTAGTCATCCTGGCCTCCTGCGAGAATCACACTCACACATCTCAATGTTGTGTAGCTCGTGGTTCACAGGCGCAGCTTCATTGCAGAGAATGTGCAGATGCACCACTTTAAACAGCCGCAGCTTGTTGGTGCAGCCATGGTCATGAGCGCGTCCTATGCAATACCTGCAGAGACATTTGTCACGTCAATAGCTGCTGAATGTCCCGAAATCTATTGAAATTCTTTATGTTGACCCTCAGCTCTGCTGTGCAAGGATATCCCTTATTTTGGAAGCATTCCACTGGCACTGAGACTAATCCAGATGCCGGGGATTTCCATTTTCCATCCGTTATTATGTCTTCTGAGTTCCACCTTACACCTTCCAAGGTATGCAAGACCCCATGCATTACCCCCCTCCCATGTCTCTCTACATGCCCTTTCCACAAGCTGAGCAAGCTCAGGTTCCTATACTAAAACCTGCTTCCAAATGAGCGCGAGAGAACTCAGTAGCAACCAAATTTTATTCAATCAGTGAATGCAATTGAGACACACCTGCATTGGAACTACAGCGCCGCCGAGAACGTGCACCGGCAGGTGGGTGAGAGGGGCGGGCAGGCGCACAAAGCGGCCGGCGGTAGATGCGTCGACCGGAGTCTCGTCGGAAATGTCGTACCATACACCCTGGGGGAAATAGCCCTGCACGCTTTCCGCCCCCTGCGCGCAAGGAAGGGCGAGGGTGATTAAACAAGCCATGTCCGCTCTTGGAGTCTTGCCTTGAAGTAAGGAATAGTGGGGAGTACCTATTCCGACCACGATAAGGCAATCCCATTACAGGTCAGGACAATAGAAATGAATCACAACGATGGCAACAGCGGACAGGTGTGCCTGGCTCAGTCTGATGGAAAAAAAAAGAGTTCCAGAGGAATGAGCGCTCTCTTCAGGCAGTGTGATCTTCGCACAATTTGGCGCTACAGCTGATCGGGTGAAGCCATATCTATCGGTAGCAATGTTGGTGTTAAGCGGCTACCTTTGTAGCAGCCACACTGCCGACCAACAGACCTGGCCTCGCAGGATCAGCAAGGGCGCCAGATTTTGGAAGTGCAGTCCTCTATTGCCCTAGAAGGCATGAAGACCTGAAATGCACTTTGACCAATCTTGCTGCAGTATCACGGTCTCACAGTGGTGGAAGCTGCATATCCCAGCTTTCCCATAAATCAAGCCGCACCCACCTCATCCAGCACGGGGGTTACTAGCACGGAATCGCCCATGAGCCACTGCGAATCAACGTCGCGTGCGGTGGCGTCCTGCGGCCACCCGAAGAAGAGCGGCCGCGCGAGCGGGCAGCCGTGCCCGGCGGTGTGACGAAACGCGGTGTAGAGGTACGGCAGGAGCTGATATCGCAATCCCAGCGCATTGCGGCCGGCCTCCGTCACTTTCGGCCAGCGGTAGAGTTCCTGCACGTGCGTTAAACTCTCCATCAGTCGCTCATTTACATTGGATCAAGCCAATCAGAAGATGATCTGAAGCTTGGGTCAGTCACCCAGTAACATTGCATTCAGCCAATCCAAAGATGATCTGATGCTTGGGTCAGTTGCTCAATTAAATTGCATTCAGCCATTCTGAACATGTTTGATGCTTGGGTCAGTTGCTCGATAATATTGCGCAATTGCCTTCAGCCAATAAAGATGAACTGATGCTTGTCCTTTGTTGTCAGTGCCAGTGCCTTGCGTGAGACAGGTGAAGGAGCAGGCATGTCACACAGTTGCCTATTTAGGCCTTTGCAAGCATGCATGCGCCTAGACAAAGCAAATTCAATTGCTTTTCTGCTTTGTTGCGCTGCAAGGCATGGGCTTCTCATGTTTAAGCTCCTGTACAACTTTAGGGGCAGCCAGATCAAATGCCATGCTTTGCAGGTCCTGTTCAGGCTGTGCATGCATGATTGGCACGCATGCATGCCCATCATGACGGAACCCAAACACCACACAGTGACATCAACGCCCGAACCTAGATGCCCTGTAGGCTCCTAAAAATCATCAGCCAATGTGAGCCAAGCAGCAATGGCCACTCTGGCTTCCAATGACGCTCTCTCGTTACGCGTGCTTTGATTCCATGCTTTCTTTGGCATGCTGCACATGCAGCAGAGTCCCATTGTGCAGCAGCTTCGTACAGCAATGGTGGGGAGCACAAGAAGGTCTCAGAAAGGAAAGGAAAGGAACGGCAAAAAAGAGCGAGCTTGAGATTCGAACGTGTGCGCACCTGGTAACCGGAGGTGAGATCGGAGTGGGATCGCGCGAAGGGGTAGAAGGCACCGGCGCTAATCCACCGAGCGCAGAGCTCCTCCGTGGTAATGCCCAGGAACCCGCAGATGTCCGCCCCTACACAGATTGACACACCAGGAATCTCAATGGGCATCAAGGACTGCCACCAGGATGGCTGTGCAGTACTGCACAGCGCCTGCATTGTCCTGCATTGAAAAGGAAAAGAGCCCGCAGGAGCGGTGCAAAGCCCCGCAGGCATGCAGGCTGAGACTTGTTGGGTGCCCTGATGGCAACGAGCTGCATAAGACGAGCAGCAAGGTGGCCTGCCAGCTGAAAGAGTGATCACTTCTGCATGACGACACCCCGGCACTCCCTCTCATTATATTACACAAATGCCCTTGCTAACCCCCTCTCCACCCCTGCCCAGAGGTGCCTGCGAGCCCGCAGATACGCATTCTGTCTGGGCATACAACCTCGAGCCTGCACTCAGACACTGACGGTCTCGACAGCCAGATGAGCAGACTTTCCTCCACGCAAGAAATCACTCTTTCCTATCGTGAAATAGGAAGGGAAAATTTGCTGCCCACCTGCCATGGGCATGCCCAAGATGCCGGCCTCCAGCACTCCCACTACAGACCATCTCAGGTCATCCCACGTGGCGGCGTTGTCCCCCGTCCAGTGCGCCGCATAGCCCCCAGATCCCACAAAGGTAGACCTGTGCGCATCAGCAGCATGTACCTCAGATATCATTAAAAGCAGAGCACAACCCCTGTGATGTTCCCATTCTTTTAGAAGTGGGTGTATCTGCTTCAAACCCACGACCCCTGAATTTCATGTGCTGGCATGAATGCTACCATGCTGGGATTTAGGTATTCAGGGACTTCAGCAAAAAGTGGCCGGTTTCAGACATTGGAGTTCCAAAAACGTACGCTTCTTGGGATTTCCAACTCTGACCTTGGCCACTGTCAACACACCGGGCAACATCAAGCGAAAAGCAGCTCGCGCACGATGGCATCAAGTCTCAAATGTCATCAAAACAACCTCTGGATGTTACTCTTCAGGTGGGCACCTAGAAGGGGCGCTACTTGACATGCACCAGAGAAGACCTCCAATACTGACATGCCCACTAACAGATGAATTTTCATACCTAGGACATTTGAAACAGCGCGCCTACAGCTGGCATATTCGGTGACATGACGGCCTCAAAACCACATGCTGACATTGCGTTCCGCCCACACGGTGCACCCCCAAGGCTAATGCTGAGAGACAAGCGAGAGCAGAGATTGGTAACGCGCCTCGTGAGCACAAATGGCCGCTTGGCGCCGTCGTGCAGGGTGTGCAGCGCGCGGGCAGTGGCGGCCGCCTGGCTCAGTCCGTAAAGATTATGGGTGTTGTACTGCAGGGAGCCGTCGTAGTGGCGGGCCGTAACGGGCATTGTACGGAAGCTAAGCGGCAGCCGGACGTTGTTGTTTGCGATCGAGTAGGGCGGCGCATCCACCTGGGGTGGAACCACTAGTCTGGTCAGCACCCTTAAATATCATCTATTGCAATACTGCCCAAGGGCCCTGTACAAGTGTCCGCAGCAATGCCATCTAAATATTACAGCTCGTCAAACAACTGCCAGGAGAAGAAGCAAGCTCCAACTGGGTAGAGGGTAAAGGATGTGTCTAGGGGCACAGCTGAAGAATAGCTTGAATGTTAATGGCCCTCCAGACACGCTCCCATGTCCTACCAAAGAGCAAGTGCCATTGAGATGCTGGCTCACACATTCAACAGGGTCAAGCCCACCCGAGAAGACGTCAACCCCAATTTCGATGTCTTGTTCGAGGTACTTCATGTTAATTGAATACGCCCAGCAAAGAAGTTTGCAACTGACCTTCAGGAAAATCTCCCAGGCAGCGCGCTCCAGCTCGGGCTCCTGCCAGGCGCGTGTCCCAACAGTTTCAGCCACACCCTTCACCTGCAAGCGCAAAGTGACACCGCTCGCACAAGCAGCATTTTCTCTCTGATTTCATTATCGCACAAGCAGCATTTTCTCTCTGATTTTCTTATTTCATGAAGCCTGCTTCTGCCTCGTCTGGGGTGGCTTACGATGGCAGACTCCATAATGTCAGAGGTCAAAGAAGGCTACTCTCGAGAGGCAAAGAGTTCGATGCGCGTGGCTATCGACGAGGCCTTGCTGGTTGGAGCACATTGGCTTCAAACTAAACCCAGGCATGCCTTTCACTCAAGCACTGCCATGAGCAAAAAGAAAAGGGAAGGGATCATGACAATCCCTGAAGCCTGATATTCATGACTAAACAAGATACCAAAGCATTCCTGGTGGAGAGAGCGCCAAGACAGGGAAGGCTGGAGGGATTTGATGAGTGGTTGCTGCAAGGGAACTAGCCCTGAGGGCTGGAACAAGTGTGTTATGATAATAATCAGGGTCACCATCATCCCCAAAATTAAATGCGACAAACTGCTCACATCAGTGCTGGAAAATGAAATGCGGTAATATGCCTTAAATGCGAGCTGCAGCGGCAGGTGCTGTGCCACATCAGCTTCTCAGCCAGAGCGTTTAAGAATACTTATAGCACCCGGGCAGAGGGTGGACGGGCGAGTGCGCACCAGGGAGCCGATGAAGGCGCCCTTCTTTGCATTGCCGTTTATGCTGCCCGGCATGTTTCGCGTCGACTGCTCCTGAAGCAGCCATTGCTTGAGGTATGGCTCTAGCGACCAGCATTGCAGGCGGCACGCCGGCGGCTCCGTCCCGAACGTGAAGAATGGCTTTCCCACGCCTGTGGCAGAGCACAAAACTCTGAATTGGGTTATCCAAATGTCTCACTGCAGAAGTATGGCTGCGCACCAGGAGAAATGCAACACATTAAGGGAGTCTGCCCATTGGGGCTTGCATGTGAAGAATTTCCCAAGGACTTGCTTTTGCAGGTATGCAAAGAAAAGCGCACACACCTACTTATAACAAACTATCGGCGCCTCAAGCGGAAATAATTTCATAGCACAGCCAGCTCACCTCTGCTGTCAGGCAATGCCCACAACCAAGGGGATTGAATTGAACCCTTTGAGCAAGCCCCAATAGTAATCAGAAGCGTGACAAAGCAGGCAGACAGGAGGCGCACTGGGATCGACGAAATCCAAGATGCCATCGGGCGGCAGCTCGCACACGTGGCCGGTGCAGAAGTTGGACACCTCATTCATGTCCACCCAGAGCCCATCAAAGGGCACCAACGCGTGGAAATCGCGGATGTGATCCAACCACCACGCCTGCCCCTCAGGGTTTATAAAGTCGGGGAAATGCACCGCCCCAGGCCAGACCTGCGCAAGTGTGGGAATTAGTAAGCATGAATGCTGCTCACTAGGTCTGCACTTAGACCCATTGAGACATGCATCTTTGTGAGAGAGGCAAGGCTCCCGTACTTTTTGAAGATTATGTCACTGTGCATGGCTGACCATGGTGACTACGTGTGCCGTGTACCCAGTATTAATTTGAAATCTGGGTACATCAGCAAGGTGGACACTCTGGTCAGCCAGATATTCTGGTCCAGATCAAACAGATGCATGCATGCACACCAACTTCAGGCCATGCACAAAGTTTCATCGCAAGGTTCTTCCGCCATAAATGCCAGGGCGCTGAACACGATGCGCCAGCGCGTGCGCAAGCACAACTTGATGTTTACGGAGCACATAGAAGAAGAAATGATGCGCAGAGAAGGTCAATTTGGGCACCTCAGCGATACGAGGCTGGCCGGTGACATCAGCGGACACAAGGAAACCATTCATGCATGGAAAGAACGCAGCATGCAACAGCCAAAATTAAGTGCAACAGACCGGGCAAAGGTGGGAATCTGGCCCACCTCAGCGATGTAGGGCTGGCCAGTGACATCAGTGATGAAGATGCCGCGCTTGAGGCCGTCCTCGTAGGCGGGAAAGCCCGGCAGCAGGGGGATGCCCGGGTCCAGAATTGGCACGAAGCGCTGGCTGTTGTTGTGCAGGCGCTCTACAAACTCCTGCATGCTCACACATTACTGTCGGCAAATCTGTGTGCTGCACGACATCCAAAGGTGTGCTTGCATTTTGAGGCGCTCACAAAACAACTTGCTGAAATTGCAGCAATTGGCACAGTGCAAATCATGAAGTACTCCTAGTGGCAGCAAAGAGGTATGCATCCCTTGCACAATAGATATTTTGCCACAAAACTGCACGTTTGAAGACCGATGCAGATTGTGCTTCCTATGGCCCAGTCCCCAAGTGGTTTGGGTTTGTCTTGCTTTCAGTGCTCTGACAAGTCCCGAAAATTCGGCAATGGATACGCTTTAGAGGTTTGCTAGATAGATACGTGCAGATATCGATACATATTCACCCTCAGAGGACGACCACTTCGATCCACGTCCATAAATCACGTTTACGTGTGAAAATACCTATCAATCGACGCCTTTTAACGTATACTCAATAGATCACACGGTATATACACGAACCCAACAACACAGTGCCAGAAAATCAAGATATGCACTTCCGGTTCGTATCCTCTATGGCTTATCTACCCCACCGGTTACTAACCAGACGCAACCACATAGTATACGTTTGTAGGAAAGCGTATCTAAAAAGCTACGAGGGACATGCAGGAGTTTTTGAAGGGGCGATACAGCCGTACCCATCATCCCAATGACACAGAACCATGTCAAGAGGCAGGGGGGGACAGAAAGGTGCGCCTTCATGGCCACATGTCTGTATCTCACGCGTGTCGCAATTTTTCGACAGGCTCATGCACAAAATAAGACCCAGAGCAGGGCAACACACATGGAAATCACGCCAAGAGTTTCGGAGCGAGGCACAACCAGATGGCAAGTTATGCAGATGAATTGTCCTGCTCCAGACCTTGACGGGAACGTGCAAGAGTCTCTCAAGGGGCTCTTCAGCCCTCTTCTTGTTTTGCCACCCTTCAAGGGTAGCGCTGTAGAAGGCCAGGACTGACCATGGGGAAAAGTAGTCCTCGGTGTTGATTTTGCCATCCTTGACGGATAAAGCGGTAGTACTGGTAAGGAATAGGGGCAATGCAACCCTCGGTGCTAGATTGCGGGCCATGAAGGGTTGCGCCGGCTGGCGGCAGGGGTACTAAAACATACAAAATAGTCTTTACTACCCCCTGGGTAGGGTTTGACAAGAGGTTGTGATGAAAAGACGCGCGCCTGCACAGCTGGCAGGGGGAAGTTGACTGGGTCGAAGGTAAAGTCTCGCTGGTGCTCCATGTAGTCAATATCCCCCCACATGGTGTCAAGGGGAATATCCGCCGCCGTGTAGTTGTCCACAACTTCTTGCATCTCCCATATGGATGCATAGCCGTACCTGCACCCCGCCATATGCTGTCAAGTTTGAGTGATTTAGATTAGATAAAAGTACAATGAAACAGACACCCTGATGAAGCCTGGGGGAGACAGGGGTCAAGCATGCAACCAATTTCTTTCCCTCAATGATGTTTCAATGGAGTGGTTTCGTCGACATACAGCAACCACCAGTGCATGCCTTTTGTTTGGGCTCGTGGGCATATTGCCCTCTGCATTGCCCCCGACATGCAAGAAAGTGATGCAGCCGCGTCGGAGAACCCGGGCATTAGCAGCACAGGACACACTTCCACTTGCTGCTTACTTCGCCGCAGTTTGGGATTGATATGTGTGCTGGCAGGGAAATGGCACATCTGATCAAAATTCAAGAGAGGGGTGCGCACTTCGATTGGTGGAATCCGAGCGCCCAGAGCGGGGGCATGGCGGGGCGGCCAAACAGCCGGGTGTATTGCTCCAGGACCTGCACACATGCAGTGGTACCGTGTCGGACAAAGGACACTCTTTAAGGGCCTGATGCAGGGTGTCTGAAACCCGTGGGGCAGCTCTAGAGATGCCCAGAGATATCCACATGCAGCCTCGTGATGCAGTCGCTCAGCCAGGAACTGAGTTGTGACGGCCCAGTCAGGACGCTTCAAGGCTATCTGCTTTGTGGTAGCTATGCGGAATGCGCATCAGGGGGGATCAGTAATACATTGTGCTAAGAAAAGGGGAGATATACCTGCATGGGGTTAGGCCCTGGGAAGATGAAGATGTCAAGGACGCCCCCGGTGACGCGCCAGCTGACCTTGTCCTCAGTAACCACCGCATCCATTCCGTTCGAGTTGAAGAGTAACATTCCATGCGCGCTCCCGTCTGCAGTCACGCACTTCAAACATTCACCTCTACTGTGCACGACCTGGCCGTATGCATGCCTCTGCGGTCACTTTCTTGCTGCTACGCATGCATGCCTTAATATAACACCAGATTCATAACCATACCGCTCTGCAAGCAGAACAAAAACGGGCATGCGTGTTAGATGTCCTTCCCACCTGTCAGCATTACATCACGGCCGTCGCTGGCACTGCTGCGATGCTTTTGGTGCCTAGAAAACAATGAGCATGCATAGATGCCCTGCCCAAAAATTGGAAGCTCCAGAAATCCTGGTCTGAGCACACATGGACGAGATCCAGTACGTAAACAAACAAGTGAGTATGGTTTAGGGTTCGCACCCTCGCGAACTTCGAGCACAAATGGGTGGGAGCCGTAGAGGTTGAGGTCCGGGTAGTCCGTACAATCGCGGTTCCACATCGCCAGCGGCCGCCCGTTACGGCCCACCTTCAGCCCTGCACCGTAAAAGCGCGCACGCTTCAATTCATCGTTACGGCCCCTCATTCACATTACAATAGGGGCATGTGACAATCTGAGCATAGAGAAAAGACTCGGCGCATCCTCAGGTCTCACATACATCCTCGAAAAGCAGACGTCTTCGCATTCACCCTGCCTGGCAGGCTGCTGTGGCAACTTGATCATGTGTGTCGACATCTTGCACCCTACATTGAATCTGCATGTCCTGTTTCCACAGGAGGCCCCCACCGAAGAAGTCACCCGCTTGTGCAGTCTGAAAGGCAGCGAAATCATTGCCAGAGGTATGCAATGTGGGAGCATGTGCTTGCACAGATTTGTATGCAGGGCAAATACAACAGTCCTCACCTTCTACCTGTAATGTACTTCTCGTGATTGCAAATCCCCTGGTCAGGGGCGTAAAAAAGGGCGCACCGCTGGATGAAATGCGCTCGCCGAGCCCATAGATGAAGGATGTCCCAGGTCTTGTGGGTGATTCCAAACACCGGTAGTAAGTATACCCCTATAACACTGTTATTCACCCCTGATCAGGGGCAAAAAAGGGGCGCGCACCGCTGGAGGAGATGCGCTCGCCGAGCCCGTAGATGGTGGAAGTGGGAGGAACCCATGAGGTCAGCTCCAGGTACTGATCCTTGTACAGCATGCGAAGCCCGGTAGTGTTCCAGAGTGCAGGCTCGCCCGGGGCGGCGGCAGGCCCCGTGCGCGTAACCTCAAAGCTGAAGGGCTCCGGCGTGTAGTCGAAGCGGTACTTGTGCGGCTCCGCCTTGGAGTTGGCGTCTGCGCACCAGCAGGATACATTCTTATCATGCCTGTGCACGTTGTACGGTAAAGTGAGTAGGCAACTTTGTTGCCCCTGCCCAGGTATGCCAGCATGGTTTCTCTGTATGCATATGAGATCTTTGAGGCTATCCCACTTGGCTATAAGGTGTGCCGTTCCACCAAGGCACATGAGGCCTGAGCCTGCAAGACTCTGGATTGTGTCTGAGGACATGACGACACGTCAGAAGTCAGCTTTGATTGCTGTTGTGGACTTCAGCATGCCATCGCGCCAGCAGACACAGCCTCTCTCGGCAGGTCATCGCACTGTACACGACGTCATAGAGCATAGCGTGCAGTCAACAATCAAATAGATGCTGTCAGTTCAGGACATCTGCTAATGCCAGCACTTGGTACTTTTATTTGTGCCATTGTCCTGCCCTCTTGAGCCTCAGGTGAATTTGTGAGCTAACGATATTTCGTTTATGTCGACGGCAAGGATTCATCCTTTACACATTGAGAGCCCCCTAAAGCCTATCAAGCATCCATTTCGCTGAAAACACAGATGATAAATGAGATGTCTACCTGCGACCTCCTCGGGTGTCTGCGCCAGCAGCTCGCGGGGAACCTCCCAGCGTTTGTCATGGGGGTCGGTGATGCGAACGCGCAGAATGTCCGGGATGCGAGTGTCCGCTTCCAGCTTCAGGTATTTCAAGTCTACTCCCAGCTCCGGGGAGGCCTCCTTCCTCAGCTCCAGCAGCGCCTGAGAGAAACATGCCTAGGCTGTCTATTGTCAAGCAAGATAAGGGTGCAAAGGATGAGCTCCTTTCATTTCACAGGATGTCTTGTCAATATGACCGATGGTGTTAGGGCTTGCACAACATTAAGCCCAGTCTTGGAGCTGAAATCCTATTACGGAATCAGAGCAGTTCATAATATGAATTACTAAGAGAACGGTCCCTTGCCCTACACTACTCTTATAATCGGTACCACAGCAACCCAGAGCTGACAACTGAGCCGAGTATAGCCTGTCTCAAGCTCTTAATTGATCCAGTGCCTGTCTCGTGCTCCTGTTATGGACAGGTACACACACAGCTTGGTGCCTGTCTGGAGGCGGCCTTGATGACACCGAGCAAGGTTCCCATGACTGCATGACCACCCGCACATCTTGGCAATTAAGAGAAGGAGATTTGGGACCGTGCACAGTGCGACTCTTTGAGCATGTCACGGTCTGGATCCAAAGGGGCGCAAGCGATCGGACATAGAAAAAACTTGGCAGCAGCGCACCTCAACGCCGGCGGCGGTCTCATTGACATCGGTCACGGCGTAGGCATTCTGTGCTGTGTTTGTGAAGAAGCAGGAGGGCTGCTCCAGCCTGGGGCCTCCCTTGTTGTCCACGTCGATGAACGGGTGCCAGCAGCAACTTCTGCCCTCGCATGCCTTCTTGTCAATGCCCGCGTAACCTGCGCAGCGACGCGCACATCTGATCACAGCCGGCTACACTGTATGAACAGCAATCCGCCAGCCCCTTTCCGGCGCCATACTGCTACCCGCTTGGGCAATCAGTTGACTGGACAGCGCAGATCGTGCTCAAAAGAGTGCACATTGCAATCGGCTGGACAGCACAGATCATGTGCAAGGCAGTGCAGTTTGCAGTTTCGCCCCAGGCAGTAATGACATGATTATGGCCAGCGGCTGCAGCTGAGGAGAAGGTATTGTGGCGCCTACTGCCCATGTCTATTCGCACGCTAAGATGGTCCAAAAGCGCGAGGGTTTGGCTAGGATAGCAGCAGGAATAGTATAATGCAGAGTTCGTTAGATTCCAAGGCACACAGAGGACGTGGCCAATGTCAGTTACAGGATGGGACTAGGGCTTGGGAGGGACCGCGTTCGCGCAAAGAGGTCCCTTCATAGAGAGGATGCAACTGCAAAGATCAGTTCCAAGCCAGATGAGATCATTTGTAATCATACAAATGGCCGCAAGACCGTGATAAGTATGTGTCAGGGCCATGGCATGGTACAGTGCATTTAGCAAACGACCGCGTACCGCAGTCCTTCCTGGGCCCATGGATGTCACAAGCTCCTGGTTCGGGAGGCTCTAGGAAGCTAATAGCATGAACACCGACCAAGAAGCACAGGAGGACGAACGTTGTCGCGCCAAAGCGCATTGCAATCAAGACACACAGCCTACACTGTAGGTACGCACATCGCCGACTATCAAGCACATGGTTAAGAAGCTTCGGAGAAATAAAATCCGCTATTTGACCTCACTTTTGACGGAAGTGACCTCTGGCCTGGCCATCTTCTAGATCGTTGAGGCGAAACAGTTTTGGCAGTATCTGCATGCGGCATAATTTGGCAAACTTGTCACGTGAGGCTTTTCCCAGATCCAACCGTTGGATCATGCAGCTGGCATTTTCTAAACAAGCAGGCAATACTTAAGCTTTAGTGCTGTGTGCTGGTATGATGTAGTCCCTCTCCCTCTTTCTGTCATGCGTTTGATCAATCAAGACTCCATGCTGCAGATCTGTCTGTAGACCCTTTAGCTAGATGTACATATGTCTAGCTGTCGATCGACAGCCGACAGTCGCGACAGCCAAATCTTAAATGGCCACGTCTGTTGATAGTGAAGGCCTAGGCCTGCTGGCTTATGCTTGCCCCGGCAACAATGCGCGGTGCTGCACGTGCAATATCGGGGTTTCAGTCGATTCTTAGATTTGATTCTTAAATTCTAGCTCTTAAGCTGCTAGCCGGGTGAATGATGCTAGCTAGCTGTAGCCGAGACCAGCTGGCATTGACATGCATCAACTTTCTGCATGATCAGAGCCCGAGCTTAAGCATCTGCATGAGGTGCTTGTCATGGCATAGCAGTGGAGACAATGGTCGCCACACTCAAAGATAAGGGTGTCACAAATTGATGCTGCAGCTTCATGATGCGCTAAAGACAGCATGCCCTTAGATATGAACCCAGCCGTCGTTGTAATTCTTGATTACAAGTAGTACAGTCTAAACAGGGCCAGAAAAATGGTACCTACAAGTCCTGACAACGAGAAGCACAGTGAGCCACTGATCATGCATGCTCCCATTAGCCGCTTGGTCATGGGAAACATGCGGTCACTGCAGCCCGTTTTCTTCCATGCAGTGCCACAGGGCAGTTAGGAAGTTCTGCCTTGCTTAGAAACGATCCTCTCAATCCAATATCTCTGCCAATCCAAAGCAGCTTGGTCCTCAAATCGCAGAGTCTAACATTGATTTCCAGTGTTTGCATGTACCTCTCGTTCAGCTTGGCTGCACACTGCCAAGCGAATGAATGGACTCGTCCTATCCTGACCGTGCAGGCAAATTCAAAGACACTGACATGCCAGCCACCGGATGCATGCATCTAATGACCGGCTGTCCCTCTCCAGTCTTTGACTGCTTCTCCGCCCCATGAACAGTTCCTCACACACTAAACCTGAAGACCCCTACCACAAACAGTAAATGGCATATCGCCGCACAGGGGCTCTGTCAAAGTGCAAAACATAGAGCAGCAATAAAGCCTGCACAGAGCAATTAGTGCCTAGCTTTTGGGATGGAAATAAATAAGTGGAGAATGCAGTGCGCGCAGTGTAAGTCAAACGCAAGCAGTCAGCAAAAGTTAGGGCGCAGCCCCGCAAACTAAAAGAATCTTTGGGGCTCCCGATATTGGCTGCTTCTGACTCAGAAGCAGCCGCAGCAAGCTCCTTTGGAGGCGACAAGCTCCTCAAAGCCATTGTTCTGCAAACATGCACTATCGTGTATTGAAGCATACCCAACAACTACTACATCATTCGCCTTGTCTTACCAAGGCATCGGCACTTCATTCCCTATCTTGGCGTCGCCCTTTTCCACTGAATCCCCTACTGCCTTACCCTCAGTCAGGGCATTGCTTTCCTCATTCAGATACGCATTGTAGTTACTGAGACCCTTGGCAATCTCAGGCTTTGGGGTACATGCATTCAAAGCAGCAGCGAGTCATCCCCAAGGACCGTCAAAGATCGGCCAGCGGCTGTGAGGGGCCGAGCAGGGTCTTTTCGAGGGCAGCCAGGTCGATTTTGTCATAGTCTGACAGCGCATGCGGCAGTATGGACAGTGCCTTGTAGGCGCCCTCGGCCCCTCCAGCCATGAAGGCCCTGTGCACCAGTGGCAGTGCTTTCTTCCTGTGGCCCACAAAGTGCAGCACCTGCCCGCGCAAACACATTTTGTCAGTTACTAATCACGCCATCACTTGCCGAATTTACTGTAGTTTTGAATATTTATGCACTGCTTCCATGGCACTGGGCTAGACAGCAAACGTGATGCCCAGGACCGTTCAACAATCTGCCCTGCTGTGCCACCACACGCCAGCAAGCACTACGAAGCAAATCACAAACAAAGCGACCAACGCTTTGTAAGCTTCAAGCACACAACATATTTGCCGGCCCATGAAAGGAAAGAAAGAGCTCAAAGGAGCATCGGTTCCCCTGTAGCAGGAGAACATCTCACCTTGACGCGGGCGGCTGCCAGGTCGTCAAATGAGGTAAGAGAAACTGGCAGGCGGGCCGGGTCGGTGCAGCAGCTTTGGTCCACGTGGCAGTAGTTGTAGCGCATGCACGTGAACAGGCACACCGTCCTGCCGCCAACCTGCACACATGTGTGATCCCTCAAAGGCTGAATCGCTTGACAAGGGTCAAGTGCAAGGGGCAAGGGCAAGTCCAAGGCCCAATTTGACCAACAACTGGGACAATTGCGAGTTAATTTTTTTGGTCATGTGTGAACTTGTCTGTTTGGTTGCTTGCCAGCTTGTACAGGCACTGACGTTAGAAATTGGTATCTATCCCATTTCTGCTGCAACTGTTCTAGGCACGCTATCACCGGGTTGTTCAAATCGCCACAAATCATTCCACCCCTTGTTACAAGCTGATGCAGGCAAAGTAGAAAGGGCAGAAGTTTCTCCAGAAGGGTTCATCAATGCAGTAATCTTAGCCCCTCAATCTGAAAAGGCAATGCAAAATGGGATACTGGAGTATGCCAAGACCAGGCAGATCCAGAAGCTTGCCTCCAAACTGTCAGGAGACTTAAGGCAAGTACACACCTGCTGGCAGGTGCGTCCCTCCTGCACGCTGATGTTAACGCGAGAAAGCACCTCCTCCGGATCATCCTTGAAGCCCAGCAGGTCCGTCAGAGCCTCCTGTGCACAAGTAAAAACACATGCATGTCAGTCCACTATATAAGAACGCCATTTCTGCCTGAACGCCGCAAAATTTGGGCATCTCGGTTTAAAATTTTGATGGTGACAGCTTACCACTAAATCACACATGCACTTGCCTATTGTGTGCTACTCCTACAACCTTGCTTGCACTGGGCACTAGCAGCATCTTGACTCCTATCCCGCACAGTTCTTCGCAGAGGGTAACCTCATCCGCTGGAGAAGAAAGGCAGGATAGTGGTTGAGAGGCTGCTTCGCAGCACAGTGACAGCCTCAGAGTACGATATGTACATCAGAAGAAACCACTGGGGGCAGATATGGCTTCTTGCAGGGTGAATATGTCCATACATGCACCTCTACAGGAAAGTCCAGGGGAAATTTCTGGGTTTACAGGCTGCCAAAGTGTACCTGGCCGGCAGTGAAGGTGGAGTTGAAGGGGTAGATGGCAATGACGTCCTGCAGGAAGGCAATGGCGCTGCCGTAGCGGCCGCGCGGCACAAACTGGATGCCGATGTTTACCGGCATGTCCGTGGCGTCCGATAGCGTCAGCCCGTAGTCAAACTGCGCGCCCTGGCCAAAGACCTGCACACCACAGCACAAATCCACCCTCAGCGCATGCGTGTCAGATCCTTAATTACCGTGAATGGTGCATGCGGCTTGGAACATCAGGGCACATGACCACCCACAGCACGATTGGCTACCCAGGGGGACATGCGTGTTTTTTAAAACGTTTTCCTCTCTCTTCCCCTATCCCAGGTGGAATGTGCATGCCTCCCCAAAGTCAAGGATGCTGTGAGGAGGCCATGAAAGCGACATATCTGGCAGAGGATGGGGAGCTCACCTCTGCAATGGAGTCAACCACGAGTGCATCCATGTCCAGGAAGACAACGTCAGTGGAATGCTCCAGGCCCTCTGCCGCCAGCTGCTTCATAAATGCAATCTGCATTACAACAGTACACAGCGCGCTGTCAGCTTCACGTTGTGCATGTGACTGAAAATGTCATCAATGCAGCCTGTCTTTGCTGCGCTAATTTCCAGCACCTCGAAAATGAGCTACAAGCTCATTGCCTCAGTGCTGAATCACAGGCTGCTGCTGCATCAGAAGCCACTGCAGCTGTTGGGACTTTTGCAGCACCGCATGCACAAGACATGATTATCTTGCGGATCCGCCTGAGATGAGGTGAAGTGGCGTCAAAGGGTGCAACGAGGGTGCAATAGGGTGCACTTCCTTCTGCACTTTGCATTCTACTTTATGCATCTGTGCTGATCAGGGAGGAGATCCTCAAGCTGCATATTGCGCGCACCTGGGCGAGGTACTGGTAGTAGTTGGCGTAGGGGTTGCGGCCAAGCTTGGAGCGATCAATTGTGAACCTGAACAGGCGCACATCAGCTGGCAAATCGATCTGCGTGGCCTGATCAGTCAGCACTGCAACTGTGCACCCCGGGTGAGACCGGCGCAGCGTTGAGATGAAACTGGTGTCCGGCTTGGACAGCTGGTCCTTGTCATGGCCCTGCGCAGGAAGAGGCTTGCTGAGTCACTTTGAGGTCAGCGCACGCATGCTAGACTCTTCTACATGCATGCATCATGGAAAAGGCATATGCATCAGAGCAAGTAAGATAATGCATTGCAGCACTCGACGAGTCTGGTGCGTTGTCACTGGCAGGCGCAAGGCAGGATAGCAGATGGGCACAGACCAGTCTTTTTATCAGCGGACGCAGGAAGAACCCTGCTCCAAAATGTCTGCATGAAAACGTGCAAGTGAGCTCTACAAAACTTCATATACATCACAAGCACAAGCGGAATGCATGCAAACGCAGCTGTACTACACAACAAATCAGCCATCAAGAGCAAGAGGGTTCGAGGCCCACCTCTGCTCCGCGCTCGCCCTCTGCATACCACGCTGCAAAGAGCACTTTGCGGCCGGAGGGTTCTGGGAGGGCGCCGGAAGCCTCCAATGCGGGCAGGAAGCCCATCACTTCAGGATGCGCCAGGCACCGGGCGAAGCAGGTGTCGATCTGCGGGGGACGGCTGCGGGGGGACGCCGAAGGATCCGCCCTGTCGAGGCACCAGCTCCGGCATCGCAGATCTCCCTGCAGCAAGCTCTGCAGCTCTGGCTGCAGTGTGCCACCGGCAGCGAGGCTCGAACTTTGCTCCGCAAGCGAGAGCTCGACGGGCGACGGACGAGGCAAGATGTCCGCGGGCGTGGAGGTCAGCAAGCCACCAGGAGCGGTGCCTGGCAGCAGCCGAGATGCGGCCACTCCACAGCATATAAGTAGAACCACTGGCAGTAACGGTACGGGCGCGCGCTTGAGTGCAGGTTCCCTATCCAGCGGCGTCGTCGTCAACTTGGAGGGGTTGGGAGGATTGGAGGCCTTGGTGGTTCTTCTCACGAGCATTGATATGCTTGGATTCGCGTGGCCCTCGGAGAGCCTGCACAGGGGCAGTCCAAGGTGTTTCAGACAAGGCATCATGCCGGGGCAGGGCTTTTCGAAAACCTCATCGCCTCCCCAACAAATTTCGCAATTTATAATTAAGATATTATATTTTTACATTGCTCATCGCAATGCTTTGCCAGGATCTGCAACATTGCAGCACAGCACCCACGGTTTCCTGACCAAATGGCCTGCTTCTGCTGATAGAAAAATCAACAAATTGTGCAAGCTCGCAATTGAAACAAGCTCAGAAACTCACAAGCTTCTCTGTTACGTGCACATGCATATGCGCAGAGCCCATGTGCAGGCAGGAGACACGTATTCTGGGGTTTCAGAAGGTGCAGGACCCGGAGGTGCAGACTCACCTGAGACAAGTAGCGACAGCCGCAGGCGCACCAGAGACCCCGGGAGACTGGGTGCTTCAGCAGGAGGTGTGCGCGTGAGGGTGCTCCTGTCTGCCTTTTGGTTCTGCCTCTCTCGTTCTGGAAGCTTCGAGCGAAAATGCGCCCAAAAGTGCTCAGATTCGGGCAGGGATTTGAGGCTTCGACGACCCGTCACGTGGAGAAATGCACGTGCGCCTGCTGAGCCGATGGAAGACGAGCCGCAGGTTTGATATCCACGGGTGTGGTACATGACTGGACCGCCACACCTGACCAGACACCAGAGTGTGTCCTGGTTTCAATGATCCTGTCATCATGCAGTGGCAGCGTGCGGATACTGGCTCCAGCCGCTGCAGCTGCATGCATGAATTCTAGAATGCAGATCTGGCTTCAAGCAAGTTGCCCCAGTACCGCCGCGTCTGGCCGGCAGTGGTTGCTAGCTAGTGCTCTCAGGGTAACACGAAACACCGGTACAATATGTGTACCTACATCTATGTGCCCACGCCCTCATTAACCCGTGATCATAATCGCATTCCGGCATTGCCTCAGATTCAAACGCATCAACTGCAATTGCATCAATTGATCGACAGTCACAAGCCTTGGTGGCTAGAGCTCGGATAGGTTACACACATTTTAGAAGTAAGGCATGCAGGTTTGACAAGCTCTTCTCTGGACCACTGTTGAGTACGAACGCCAGCCCTCACCACACCTTAAAAGCAGCCCGCAGCACGTTTTGTCTCCTGAACATGTTCTTAATCAGGCTCTCAAAATGCACCCTGCCCTGCAGCACCTTGGGCCCGGGCCCTGAGTCGGGCACCAAACCGCCACCGAAACAAGGTCCTCCAAGAAAGGTCTGCTCGAGGGCCGCAAGCCTGTCCCTTGCAAAAGGTGCTTGAAACATACCAAGCTTGACCGAGAGCAAACGGTCAACATCAGAAAGGCAGGCGGTGTCATAATATACACAGCGCCACCAACAGCACACTCAGTTTTCTCCAAAAGGCACATCGTTCCTGACAAGACAATCTCAAAGCATGTCATCTAGTCAATAATCGAAAAAAACGCGCCGTCATTCTTACTGACCCGCACAAAGACTCCTGTGCCACCCAACGACCCTGCCCCAGATATGAGCCACCTTTACAAATAAATTTACTCAGCAGCACAATCACCATTGCTCACTGCAGGTCGACACCTGCCAAAACAAATACCTTCACAACAGGCTCAAACAATTGCAACAGGACCTGCGATAAGACAATACCCAGGAGCTCTCTCACATAGTGTGCAACCTAAAAAGTCTCCAGTGTCAAGTCTCGACCACCCCTGCTCCCCATTTCAAAATTGTGCGCACTCAAATGCGCGTATGGTGCTGGTACCAAGCCTTTCAGCATGCAAGTAATCCAATTCAAGCACAAAAGGCGCAACCCTTTTAGGAGACACACCCTTGACCTCACAGTGACGGCAGCGCACCTTGCTACCTACAATGGGGTCTGCTACTCACTGCTTTCACCAAGAGCACATACAACAAAGTCAGCTGTCAGCGCCAGCAAGGACCAAGGGCTACCTCGCTGTCTAAACAGGAGGTCGTCGGCAATCCAAACATCCCCCGGCACAGGTGTTCTGTAGCTCATCTAGCTTGCGGGGCAGGCAGCGGCGATCACAGATGCCTTGACAAATTGGCCGCGCACGCGCGGCCGGGATTCGGCGAGGCGGCGGCGGCTCTCGTAGCGGACCTTCTTCTTGAAGTTGCGCAGCTTCTTCTTCTCGCGCAGCTTCTCCAGAGCTGCCTTGCGGTTGGCCGCCCAGGTGGCCGGGTCGCCCTTAGTCACCATCTGCACAAAATCACACTCTCGAGTGAGTTTGTGAATAGGTCACAGGAAGAACACGTTGCATTCAAGCCCTTGTGCAACATGAGGTTGCAAGAAAGGCTCAATGACCATCGACACATTTTTAGATCAGAGTGATTGCTGGCGCCAAAGAAAGCAAAAACTAATTTGTGGGACAAGTGAGCGGCAAATATGTAACGCAGAGAAGTCACAGCAGCGTTGCTTTCCACACTGACCAGACGGACAAAGCCTAGCGAATACACTGTCCAAATCTGATAACCTCACCTCTGCATGCAGATCAGTGGCGACCTTGAGGGCCCGGCAGAAGGAGTGCTGCTGTAACTGCTGCTGCAACTGCTGCTTGGGAGTAACCACGATGTTCGGCGCGCCCATTACAATGTTGGTGCCGCCTCCTGCCCTGGCCGCAGCGCTCTCACCAGATGCCGCCAGCTTCTGCTTCAACTCCTGCTCGACACAAATCCATCGCCCGTCAGCCCTCGTGCATTGGGCATAACACGGCCAAGTGCCGCAGCATTTAAATAGGGCTCATGTCAGTAACCAGCCCGCAGCGGTAATAGCACTGGTGCAATGCAAGTAAAGAACTGCAAGCGTCCAAGTCAGTAGATCCTTCTGGAGAACAGAACAAACATAAACGACACAGGCAAGAGGCCAGGAAAGATACCGCAGCAGGTGCGGGCAACGGATTAGCACTGCCGCGGGCGCATGGCCGTGGCACCACAGCAGTGAAAGAGCGCGCCAGCACGCACAGGGCAGCTGCCGCCTCGTCAGCCTGCACGTCATATTATCATTAGTAGTGGTATTTAAAATTAATTAATTTTCCTGCCAACAGGCAAGGTGCGTCCTGCAGACAAGCTACCGTTCAAGGCTGCCATAATCCTACCCCTTGACTCGCCAGATCCAAACTCGCCAGATCCAAGCAAGACTCGAATTTATCCAGCCGTGAACGGTGCTCAGAACTTATCCCGCCCCCCGCCAGCCAGGACAATTTTTTTGATTTGTCACGCAATTACACTTGAAAGCATTCAAAACATAGAGGTGGATTGGTCAGGCCCCAGCTTAGACTGATATGATCCACAACTTACTCTCAAGTCATTGCACTAGAGCCCCAGAATGAACAGCGTCAATCAGCGTCTGATGGCCTGCACCCAAAAAAGCAAAGAAAACAGGCCTAGTAGGAGCGCGCCTGCATCTGGCCCAGGTCTGTGGAACCGGCGGTGCTGCTTGGAGGACCCTCCACAACGAGGGGACCGGCAGTGGAGGGCCAGGGGGCCAGGTTGAGGGGCGCAATCTCCAGGTCAACTGACACCACCATGCGACTACTCACTCCCAGTGATTCACACCTGCACGCCAATAATAAACGACTCAATGCTCTTCACCCCGTTGGATGATGTCGTCACGCAGGTCCCCTGCCATAATTTAGCGCCTGAGAGCCTCAAGACTGCGTGACGGGACTTCCGCCCCAACAGGACATCATCCCAGCACTATGTGCTGCCATGTTTTTGATATCCGCATGCTGTACCGCCTGGCAGGCATCCTGAGCATTGCCCATGCAATAATGGTTATGCAATATGACACCGTTTTTGCACCCAATGCTGCGCAAATCAAGTGGCCAGAACAGGCGCACCCGTTGAGAGGGAACGCCGCGGCACTTGCGGCGCCGTCCGTCAGCGCGGCAGCATCCCCGGTCATCTCACTGGCGCCTGAGTCATCGCTGACTGCGCACACGGCCTCCCGACGATCGCAACCATTGTCCTCCATGCACAGCCGCTTGTGGCCGCTGGTGGCTGCGGTGGAAGTGTCCAGCTGCGCGCAGTGCAGGCGCTCCACTGCCAGGATGCTAGGGGCCGAGAGTATGCGCGGCAGGAAATTCCACCCGCCGCGCGCCGCGCCCGCGTTGCTGCCGAAAACCGGCGCCTCATGTGGGCGCACGAAGGACACCTGTGGGATTAAGCAGAAGCTAACTGAAGCTGACACCGACACCTTGCACATATATTGGCCCAGCTTGAGAGGCATGCCGGTACTTCAGGTTTGTCATGCCGACTGCTTGCGCAATAGCAATATCAGTCCTGAATTCTCACACCCCACACGGGCTGCCACTGGCTAGGGAGTGGGATCAACGTCCCAGAAGTTCATTGTGCACTTCTTGCACCGGCGGCCAGCAGTGCATTTCAATAACAGAACTTGGCACCAGATGAAAAGAGGACTGCACCTGCATGGCTTCGCCGGCCCAAGCCTCCTGGTAGCTGCTCCCACGCAGCTGCCCTCCCTCACTGGCGCCGCTGTCTGAGGCTTCACTCTCCGCGCGCTTCAGGGTGGCTTCTAGCGGCGCCGCTGTGCTAGCTTCCATGACTGATGCCTGAGGCTGACTCATGGCAGACATGACTGCTGTCTGCACCGCTGAGCTGCCACAGTCATGCAACAGCCGCGGCCGCTTCTTGGGCGGCAGGGCTGCTCTCTGTGCGTCGCACTCAGCGGTGCCTGTGGCACACTGCTGAGGTATGCTGGCTGCGTCCAGCGATGCGGCTGACAGCACATCGTGGCGGTACTTTGCACTGATCCACCCCGCTGCATGGCCTTCCAGGTTCTCTGTTCCTGCACAATGGAACAGTGCCTTTTTAGGTCACAGTTCAACAGGACGATCACACCGCGCTTCTTTGGTAGACATGCAACTATCATGATGGAACGCGACCCAGTCACATAGCAGTCTTGCAGACTACATTGTCCTGGCGCATGGCACTCCAACTATAATTAGCATGAATGATCATCGGAATCACCTGCGGCCATGACCTTGCGCCAGATGTGGTGCCACAGCGTGGCGACCTCATTCTTCCTGATGGGTTTGATGAGGTAGTCTGCGGCGCCCACAGTGAAGGCCTTGCAGATGGCCTCCTGGCTCTGCTCGCTCGACATGACTGCAATATACGAGACAACCAAGGCTTTTAGCAACATGACCTGTAGGTGGCGGCTAGAAAAGGAGAAGGCAACAAAGGCCCCATTCTTTCACTATTGTACGCAAAATATTAACAGCTTGCCCTGGGCCATTACAGCGCCGCAGAATGCTCGAGAGCTTTGCCCCCTTGGCATACCTATGACTGGCAGATGGCTCCAAACTTTGCGCTGGTTCACCTCACAAACCAAATCCATGCCGTCCACCTGCCAGCACAAGAAATTTTGGATTGAGGCATGTAATAATTTTGAGCTCGTTCGGGAATGATACAACCCCAAGAGGAGGGTTCACACATCTGTCAAGCGGACCCTTCTGCAGACGAAGGGGAGCGTCGCACACCTTTGGCATCATTATGTCTGTCAGAATCAGGTCGAAACAATGCTTGTCATTGTGCTGCAGGATATCCAGAGCTTCCTGGCCATTCCTTGCCACCGTGACTGCAAGGGATCATGACACGGTCAGCGGTGGGCACGCGTCTTGCGGGTGCGGCAACTCTGGGCAGCACACAGTGCGATGCACGTACGAAAAATACCTTACGCATGCAAGAAACTATCACTAATCACCTCTGTAGTTGCACTGCTTCAGCAGCTGCTCCACGATCCGCAGTGTCAAATCGTCATCTTCGGCAAGGAGTACGTGAGGAGAAAAGCTGCGGGTGCGCTCCGTCAAAACCTCCATTCTGAAGTTGCTCAAGGCGGTAACAGATAACCAGCGTAGATTCTCCCTCGAGACAAGACGTCGTCCAAAATTGTAGCGCGCCTAGATATCACCAGGGGCCTGCTGGATGTACCAGTGGCCTTGAGGTGCACGGCTGCAAATCAACCGCGTCTGCTTGCTGCTGGGGTACAGGCCTGGCTGCTTTTGCAGGTTCAAAGTGAGATGGGCCAGCTGATTGCATTTGCCCTCCGCAGATACTTTGAGCAGAAGATCTCGGGCAAATCTAACTTTGCGGCCAAGTCACGGGTGCCCCAGTGAATTAACCCGTGCAAGGGCATGCATTTTCTGTCCACGTTGTCAGACGGCGTTCAATTTAAAAAAAAGTAGTCAAGAATGCATCATTGTGCGTTTATCACACCTGGCGTTCGAGGCTGGCCTCGTTGCCGGAACGATATCCATTTCTGGGGTCCTAAGCCATTACCCGACATTCTCTGTGCGCGATAGTGTGGCCTAGACCAGCGGATCTTCCCAGGAGCTGGTCAAGATGGCCAAGCTCGTCAACATGCGTGGGCTCCAGGTACTGTTTGTGCTATGTGAGTGCATGCGATGTATTTTATGTCTTCTGCCTGATCCATGACGACGATTGCCCGCATTGCAGGTGTTCATAGCGGACATCAGGAACTGTCAGAGCAAGGAACAGGAGAAGACACGGGTTGATAAGGAGCTTGGGAAAATAAGGAAGAAGTTTGCGTCCGGGAACGCAATCACAGGTAGGAGCTTAAAATTCGACCTGCACAGGCTGATGCTCTGCACCTTGGATGTGTGACAAGACGCGTTGAGGTTCCCTTCTTGTGCAGAATACGACAGGAAGAAATACGTTTGGAAGCTCCTGTACATATTCATGCTGGGGTACGAGGTGGAGTTTGGGCATAAGCAGGCGGCAGACCTTATTCCTGCAACGAAGTAAGTTCGACTTTGCCCATCTCTTCATGCCCAGGTATTCCCTTTGTTGTACATGCAAGGGCTGAGCGTGACTGTGTCGTCCAGATATGCAGAAAAGCAAGTGGGTTACATGGCGTGTGCAATCCTCCTCAATGAGGTGCGCCAAAGGTCCTCCATCCTCACTTCAATTTCTGCATCTGTGTGTTGTGCGCTCAAAAATCTTTTGCAGCTTATGGCAATGCAATGATGGGTGTCTTGATTGGTGCAGAAAGACGAGTTTCTGCGGCTGATTATCAACTCAGTGCGAAATGACCTCATCTCGAGGAATGAGGCCTTCCAGTGCTTGGCGCTAGGCTTTGTGGGCAATGGTGCGCATCCACACTATTCCCCTTGGCATTGGTGATCGCTTCAGTGAATACTGGCTGTCTCTGCACAACTTCGCCTGCTGCATGCTGCGACTGAAACCATCTCTTGCTGCAGTCGGAGGCCAGGAGATGGCATCCCTCCTCACCACCGATGTGATGAACCTGCTGGTGAGTCTCCCTGCCACTGCCGTACATTGAGGGGCAGCTGGTCATGAGACCTGCGAGCAGAAGCCCCTTGCAAAGCATGCACAGCTTTGTTGGTCCCCTTGGGAAGACTTCAATGCTGCCGGTGCAATATTTAAAAATCGGTGGAGTGAAGGGGGTGTCATGGGTGCAGACAAACGGGGCGGTGCGGCCGATAGTGCGCAAGAAGGCAGCCACGTGCCTCCTGCGCCTGATCAGGAAGTCTCCACCCGAGGCAGAGCTCATGCCGCCGGAGCTGTGGTCAGTGAAGCTGGTGCGCATCCCTAAACTCTACAATCCATTCTAGTCATGCAGTGACACCCATACTGACATGTGTCAGGCCAGGAATGGCCACCAATAATCAGTAAACCTGTGACTACGTGTGCCTCGGTGCTTAAAATGCATAGGTCCGGATAAATACTGAAAACGAGCAATGAAGGCATGGCGTCCTTCTGCATGTTGTCAACATCCCTAGGCATCGACTGCTTTCCATACCATGCTAGTCCAACCCATCTCGAACAACTTGATTAAGCGGCATAGCAGCATGTCTCCGTGTCTGTGGCACAGGGCACCATTTGTTGTGTCATCTCAGACCCTAGTCATTCAAGCGCCAAAGCAGTCGGTGGAAGTGTCGCCTGGCAAACATGAACTCATGTCACCCTAGAATTCACCCATCCAAGCACCAAAGTAAGCACTGTCGGTGTTGGCGCAGGCGGCGCTGCTGGAGGAGCGTGATCTGGGCGTACTGCTGTCGCTGGTGACGCTGCTCCTGGGGATTGTATCGCGCAGGTACGACCAATACAAAACTCGCATGGAGTTTTAAAGTGCTGCTGGATCCCGCCTGGCCCTTGAAGGTGGTTTTGAAAGGTCCTGCAATCCCCAGAATTCGGCATTGAAGCACTCATCATGGAGGTTATGCAGTCCAGCAGCAGGACAATCCTGCGCTCATCGTGACGGTGGTTGAGTTATGCAGTGGGCCAACAGGCCAAACTTGGCTGCCATGAACGCTTGAAAAGGGTGAAATGCTTACGTATCGTAACTGCCGCGCAGCTACGAGGGGTACGAGTCACTGGTTCCGCGCATAGTGAAGCTGCTGGTGCGGCTGAACCCGGAGAAGGAGCGCGACTCGGCCGGCCGCACCGTGTTGCCCGACCGCGCGTCTGTGCCCCCGGAGTACGCCTACTACGGCATTCCCTCCCCCTGGCTGCAGGTGACGAAGCCTCCCTGGACCCCCGACACAATTCTGAGAAGCGGGGTTATTTTGTTACTGGAGTTGTCAAAAGAGCTGGACATGACTAGTTAGCTGGTGACGTCAAGTAATTGACAAACACAAGGGATGTCCAGGTTTCATCCAGCGCCCACATTCTGATCGACCCGCCTCTAGGCTGTGATGTGTCTGTGTATGTTGGTGCGTGGTGGAAGACATTTTCTGAGTTGCACTCAACGCTGATTTTAGCACTTGGTGTTCTTGAACAACATTGTTTTTGGAATTGGTCTTCAAGCCAGGGGTTAGCAAGGTATGAGAGAGGGCGATACAGAGCTTGGAAAACAGGCACTCGCTGCTGGGGACACCGAATGCCATGCATGCCAATTGGTGACCTGCATTATTTCTTTTGTCTCTTCTCATGTGCAGTGCTGTAGTGCCCCTGCGTTGGCCCACTCTGTAGCTAGGCCAGTCATACTCCAAAAGATCTGTCTAGAGCAGATCGGATGTACCAGCAGCATCCAAATGGTCACACAAGGCTCTTACCTGCATAGCATGGCGCTGTGAAGCCAATTGTGCTGCATGTTCAGCTTCATCAGTAGCTTTCCCATTTGACCAATCTACGACAAAATGGACCTTTCTCGTTGCAGATCACCCTTTGAACTCAGATGTACACGCCTTTTGCAGAGACATTGCCAGTTTCGTAACAGGCTGACGTCTGTCTTGCTATGTGCAGACTATGTGCTAAGAGTTGCAAAGTTTTTGACAGAGTGCAGACACATGAGAACTGTATGACATGATGATAGGCAGTTGTAGACTGCCCAAAGACCAATGAGCCTCAGGTGGCTCCCAACAGGTCTCTATATAATAATAATAATAATAATAATAATAATAATAATAGAAATAAAAATAAAAATAAAAATAAAAATAATAATAATAATAATAATAATAATAATAATAATGATAATAATAATAATAGTAATAATAATGATGATAATAGTAATAACAATAATGATAATGATAATGATATGTGCGCCGCAGGTGAAGTGCCTGCGCGTGCTGCAGTACTTCCCGCCGCCCGAGGACCCGGCTGTGGGCCGCGCGCTGAACGAGGTGCTGCGCCGCGTCATCACCGGCAGCGAGGTGGCCAAGAACGTCAACAAGAACAACGCACAGCACGCCATCGTCTTCGAGGCCATCGCCCTCGCTCTGGCGCTGGAGGCCGACCCCGAGCTGCTCACTGCAGGTGGGTACATCTGGGGGGTTCCAGGGCCATCCGTGCGGAGCAAGGCCGTGCATTGCAACCTGGCGCAAGCGCAGCACAAGCAGGCACATGTGCTCGTAACTCAATTGGATAGAGTGTCAGATTACGGCTCTGGAAGTTGAAAGTTCAAATTATTCCGGGCATGCCCCTTTGTTGCTCATTTATCTTTGGACGTGACGGCCTCAGATGACCTTCAAATGGGGCACTGTCTCTCATGAGTTTCACAGCCGGGGTGTTGGAAGTGCATATCTTCCTGGTTTTCAGGAATGTACACGGGGATGTGCCCTTGGTGTGCACAAGTTTGGGGTATGAAGCCACGGACGTGAGGTATGTTTCATCTGCAAAAAGATCTGACTCCTCCATACGTCAGGCGTGGTTGCAGAAGGTCCAACAACCCAAAGAGGCCCCCTGCCAGGCTACGCTTCCCGTGCTTGTCACCACTTGCAGGACAGGCCCCTGCTTGCATGACACTCTGATGTTAAAGGAGCTGGCAAGCTCGCTGGTGAACGCAAAGGGCGCGCCCGTCTACTATAGTACATCCCCATCTTGGTGTCTGGTCCAAAGATAAAGACCTGGCTGAAATACTCTGCCTGTACTGACGGTGCAGGCGTGGCAATGCTGGGCAAGTTCATCAGCGTGCGCGAGCCCAACATCAAGTACCTGGGCCTGGAGAACATGGTGCGCCTGGCAGAGGTGCCAGCTGTCGCAGACACCATAAATAGGTGACTCCCCTCTCCATACCTTGTTCTTTTAGTCTTCAGGTGACCCATCCCATCATGCCTTCTCTCCTCTGTACCTCGAATCTGCACCAGAGAGCTGAGACGGCCAAAGTCAGCTCTAGAATTAGGATCTTTCAATCCAACCAACACAATCAATAAGCAAGTAATTCCCAATTCCTGCCATGCCCTGCCCCCCTTTCCAAATCTTCAAAGAGAGCGAAGATACCAATCAAGGCAATGCCTCCCACGCGGAGGTTGCGCCATTGCATGCATCGGGCACAAGACCTCATACTAGCTCACATAAGGTCGGTCTAGTGTGGCTTGGTCTTCCATAAGATCAGCCAGCATTGCCCATGGGATGTTGGCCACTGTGTTGCATGCATGGCGAATTATGCATGATGAAAGGTGGGCCATGGCCCCGGCGGTACAATCCTTAGCACCGTGCCCATGGTTGATCGTGTCTTGCTTGGATCTGGCGAGTCCAACAAGGGGTAGGATTGTGGCAGCCTTTAACTGCAGCTTGTCTGCAGGCAAGTAGGACGTTCCTTGCCTTATGGCAGGAGAGCGTGTACTAAAATGTTAATAATATGGTGTGGTGTGGCAGGCACCGGCAGAGCATAATAAACAGCCTGCAGGACGCGGACATCTCCATCCGCCGCCGCGCGCTTGACCTGCTCTTTGCCATGTGCAACTCCGGCAACGTGCGCGAAATCGTGGGGGAGCTGCTCACCTACCTCCAGGTCAGGGCCCCTCTTTCTATGGCCATTCTTATTATTAATGTTATTATCACTACACGCTTTCCTGCCAGAAGCAAGGTGCGTCTGCAGACAAGCTGCAGTGAAGGCTTTCCAATCCTACCCCTTGATGGACTCGCCAGATCCAAGCAAGACAGGATCAACTGTGGGCATTATTGTACCATTGAAATACCACCTTCGTCCCGTTGTGGTGCTCACGGCTTTCCTTCAACACTTGCTGGGACTTCAAGCTCCAGAGACTGATGTGGGATCAGCCAGCTTGAAACGAGCACAGTTGTGCGGCTTCTTCCACGTGCCCATTGCAGCAGAAGTTTCTCTTGCCCAGAACGAGTACCAACTGCATTTTTGGCAACCCTGAAACCTAAACCTCAAATATACTGCCAAGCCAGCGCTGATGGGCATGCATGGAACATGGATGTTTATTGATCAAAACATGGCGCAATGGTTTGATTACCTCTAATAGGACCACGGAAACTTGCGCAGGGCGCGGAGTTTGGCATGAGGGAGGAGCTGGTGCTGAAGACGGCGGTTCTGGCCGAGCGCTTCTACCCCGACCTGCACTGGTGCGCGCATGCTACTTAAGTACATCAACCTTATTAACGATGACCCCTTCCTTGGGATCAGATAACGTCCCGGAGTATTCTGGCACCGGTGCTTACCAACAACTCACACTGCAAAGGAGCCCTTTGTTCTTGCTCCTGCGCCCGCACTGTCTGTCATGCGTGCACTGCTTACTTAAATTCAACTATCAGAACCGGCCGCTGTTGCAGGTACGTGGACTCGATGCTGAAGCTGATAGAGCGCGCGGGTGAGCTGGCGAGCAAGGACATCTGGCACTCCACCGTCCAGCTCATCACTAACTACCCCGCCCTCCACGAGTACGCCGCCCGCAAGGTGGGCACTTTGCATGCCTGAACAGAGCTGTCATTCTGGAGCCTGATGAGTTCAGAAGCATGAGGGGGGCTGAGGCCCATTTGGTCGACTGCTCCAAGCACCCTATGGCATTCGTGCATTGTCTAGAGTTAGGCATCAACCATGTGCTTTTGGGCATTGAAAGCTATCCAGCACCGGGCAGCTGTCGAAATGATGGGCATGAAGCGGCCAAGCTCAACACGAACAATAGGGCTACTATCTCTCAGATGTGGCAAAATATCTGGAGCCCATCGCGGATTATCTGTGGCGGGTCCTTTTGGGCATCTCTTGAGCACTAAGTGCCTTAACTTTTCATTGCAATTCGATTCACCCCACAGCCATGTCTCTCTTTGCCTCACTGTTCCACCACCCAACTGGCCTGCCTGCTCTAGTGCATGGCACACCCAGGACTCATGCTTTCTAACCTCCGCCGCCGCAACATGTTGTCGGCATGTGCGCCCATGCATTGACGTGCAGTCAGCATGCGTGCGCGTGCCATAACGGCTTATCGGCACATGCGCGCAGGTGCTGGAGTCGCTGCAGGATGGCGCGTCCCACGACGCGCTGGTGAGCTGCGCGGGCTATGTGCTTGGCGAGTATGGGCGGCTGGTGCCAGAGGTGCCCACTCATGTGCAGTTTGCGCTGCTGCACGAGCGCTTCCTGTCCGTCAGCAGCGAGACCAAGGTGGGCTTGCCCTTCTCACGCTCATTATGTAAGTAGGACACAATTCAAGGAGATTGAGTCGAGAGTTGGCGCTCTCTAGCCTCCCATTTCCAGCAAATCAGATGGACACAGTTTGTATCTTGGTGTCTGCTCTCTTACTTATATTGATTGGTCTTCTCATGGGTGGTAACAGAGGAGCCTCGACGATGTGACCTGTGGTCATCTGCCTGTCATGAGTAGTTTTCATAGTCCTCATGCAATTGTCTTTGCTGTCATATGGCGAAGTCATTGTGCCCGATTTTGGTATACGTCCGGCTGCAGGGGCTGCTGCTGACGACATACCTGAAGTTCCTGATCGCTGACCCGGGCGACGCCAACCTGAAGGCGCTGGCCGAGGAGGTCTTCAACAGATACTCCAAGTGAGTTCAAATTCCCATCCCCATCCGTGACGCGGGATTTGAGTCTCAGATCACTAGGTACTTGCATGATTGGCTGCGGACAGGCAGGCATGCCTGTCTGCCAGTGCATGCCTGCAAAGTCTGACGAGCCCACGAGCACACATAGTATGCATTGCTTGCTCAACTTCTCAATCTTGCCTTTGTTGCTGCAGGCAGATCCCGCTCCATTTGAACTGCTAGAGTCTGGGAGAAGTTGCTCTTCGTCTGCAGCTCAAGCATACAAAGTACGGCACGTCGACTGCCCATGGTCACTATCATATTCACACGGAGACGCATGGGCGTAGGTACATGGATGTGGAGCTGCAGCAGCGTGCGGTGGAGTACCTGAGCCTGGAGAGGCAGCCAGAGCTGGCGCGCGCGAATGTGACCGCCATGCCGCCCTGGGAGAAGCGTAAGTCGCTCCTCCTGCGCCGCATGGCCGAGCGCGAGGTGCGGCCTGCCCGCTGACTCTCGTAATCTGCCTTGAAATGCCTTTCATCCCCCGTAGCCCATGTTAGCACATCAGGCCATGCATGTAGAGGTGGTGCTTTCCTGCAAGGGCTGCTGATCTCATGCATGGCCACCCATGACCTGACCTGGTCCAAGTCATGCCTCACCACCATCTAGAACCACATTGGAATCATCGCGCGCAGCGTCTGGGTTGAGGCCTTCACCATTGCCGCGGCATGTGGTCGCAATCACCGGTTGTATGTGGTCATAGTACCGTCTTGACGATGTACATACGACCACCATTTGAACGTCGGATTTCAACCTTTTGTATGGCTGTCAATGCGAAGAGGACTGTTTGACATGCGTGTAAGCTGATAGAGTACCTGGTGCTTAGTCATGTCTGAAGAAGTACTCCTTCTTTGTCACTCACGTCACTGCTGGCGTGCAGGGTGACGATGTGGACGAGGTGGCGCACCAGCCGGCCTGGCTGCAGGAAGACGGCAGCGAGGACCGCGCCACGGCTGACGGCGGCGCAGCCGCCGCGGCCGGCGTGGGTGCCCTCTCGCTGCACGAGCGCGCCGCCTCTAACGGCGCCGCCGACTTCATCGGCCTCGACAACGGCGCCCCAGCCGCCCCGCCTGCGGCAGCCGCCCCGTATGCCAACGGGAATGGCCACGTGCCGGCGCCGCCGGCCGTGGCAGCGGCCGCGGCCGGCCCGGCACCGGCATCGGCGCCTGCGGCGCAGGCGCCGGCGCGGGACCCCCTGGAGGACCTGCTCAGCCTGTCGGCTGCGCAGCAGGCTGAGCCGCCAAAGCCAGGTAGGGCCATCTGCTTTCTGCAGTGTCACAAACAGCTGCTCGTGATTTTGGGAAGTCTGCGCATGTTCAGATCAACTTGTGATGGGGTACACATGTGGAGAGATGCTTCCGCAGGAGATCGTCATGTATACCCTGTCACGAGGAGTTTGAACATGCATGTTGCTCCCATTGTCAAAAGATCTCTGCTGCAGATGTTCTCGGATTGGATCTTCATTCAGAGCAGGATTGGACCCCAACATCCCGACTAATTGTTATTTTTTATGGCTGCGGCAGCGCCTTCTGCGTACGACCCATTCAGTGTCAGCGGCGACGCGCATGCGCTGATGGGCGGCGCCCCCCCGGACACGCGGCCCCTCGGCGACATCGGCGCCTGGTTCCGAAAGCTTTGCACCTCCGCCTCCGGTGTCCTGTACGAAGACTCCAACCTGCAGGCGCGCTCATGTCTTGACATTTTGTTGACACATCTCTTAAACGCAATGCTACAAGCAAATCCTGTGGTGCCATCAGATTCGTTGCAGCTCCACCGATCTCTTTGGCGTTTAGTCCCTCAGTAGAAGCAGCAGCATCGTTGGTGGTAGCTTCTTGACAAACAGCTGGTAATTTTGCCTTGTGTTGTGTTCTTTGCAAGTCACACAATCCATTATTTGATCTGGAGTGTTGTGGGGGGAGAATGCCCGGCGAGATGCATGCACTTTCTCTTGAAACATTGCCTCAGCCGCCTTGCAAGCCTTTTCTTTTTAGAAAAATAAAATTAGAAAATGCGCTGGTAAGAAAATGCGTATTTAATCAATGCACATGCAGATGTTTTGTGTAGCACATTACCATCAGCACGTCAGAAAGTACGCCAATAAAATGTGCATACATGCGCGGTGCAGGTGGGTGTGAAGGCGCAGTACCAGGGGTCGCAGGGGCAGCTCATGTTCTTCTTCGGCAACAAGAGCGCGTCTGCCCTGGAGCGACTCATCTTTGTGGTTCCCCCCGCCGGCCAGTTTGCCTTCCAGCAGGGCGCGGTCCCCCCGCTGCTGGAGCCCAAGAAGCAGATCCAGGTGCGCGCTCTGTGCAGCCGATTCTATTTTCCATACAGTATTATCTTTATCATCATTGTAATAACTACTTATTGTAATAGCATTTTAGGGCCTTTTAGGAGCCACCTGAGGCTCATTGGTCTTGTAGGCAGTCTGTCATTGCCCATCCTCAAATGTCTCATGTGCCTGCAGTCCGTCAAGAAAATGGCAAGCCTAATTTTGTTTTAAGATGTCTGCAGCAATGACTATAACCCCAGTTGTGCTGTAGAGTAAGATACGCATTTGCACAACACAGAGCATGCAATGAAAAGAGGTGGCATTCTAGTAGTAGGCGGTGCGACAGGTCGCATCCCGGTTGCCAGCTTTTGCGCGTAGCCAGTGGGACACAGGCAAAGCGATCTTCTGTGTCGCCATTGGCAACGTGCACGCTTGGCAACTTGGTGGCTGTGAGGGCACCTTGGGTGATGCATTTGCACAGCACAGGGCATGCAATGAACTCTAGTCCTGGCAACAGGCAGGCCGCATTCAAGTGGCCTTCCTCTTAATAAGCCAATGATACAGAGGCAAACGCCAGCCGCTGCGTGTCATTGGCTATGCAAAAAGGCAACCTGGCTGCGGCTGCAGCGCCTCACACGGTCCTTCTTGGGAAGCAGGCTGACCGAAAAAGCCTGAGTCCTTGGTTGCGTGTTCAGCCCGGGCATTTGCGCCCGCTCCCTCAACAGGTTGATTTTTGCCAGGCAAATGTCCGCTCGGAACAGTCAAGGGATGAGTAACCGTGCCGGCACATGCGCGCAGGTGCCACTGATGGTGGCGTGCATCGCCCCCTTCCTGGCGGGTCCGCGCGCGCAGGTCGGCTACAGCCTGGGCGGCCGCAGTGTCAGCCAGAACCTGGCTTTGCCCATAGTCGCGCCCAAGTTCTGCACGCCGCCCGACGCCCCCGTGGCCAAGGAGGCCTTCTTTCAACGCTGGCGCGCCGTCGAAGGTGCGCCGATTGACGCCTTATGTCTGTGTCTGGCGGAGGCGGGCATTTGGAGATCCACTGTCCAAACTTCATGTCGACCAATGTCTATGCGGTATGTCCAGAGACAAGAAAGTTGCATGAAATATTGGCGGCTGACTGGAAGGTTCAACAATGAACTGCACCTGTTCCAAATGTTCTTTCCTCTTCAGCTAGAAGTCTTGTTCTGTTGGATCTGAAGCAATGTATGTGTCACTAGCACAAAGGGGGCTTGCCAATGCCCAGGAAGGCTTGTGCTATTGCAATAGCAAGTACTGCAAGCCAATGACTGCTAACAGTATTGGGCCTCCTTGGCGCTTGCTGTTTTGCGCGCACTGCAAGAGCGGCATCCAAGCCACTTACGCTAGCACGGCCGAGTCTCTGCCATCTTTTGCACCGCATGCACCGTGCCTTGACCGGCCTGCACGCCCCAGTCAGAGTGCTGGTTCTTCTTCCGATGCATGTTGCTTGAGACTCGTGTGCACACCTTGCTCGCAGGGCCGCCGCTGAAGATGGGCGAGCGGGTTTCGCGCATCACTCCCGTCACGCGCGCGCCGCTGGAGGCTCTGCTGTCATCGCTGAATTTGGGTGTGCAGTCCGGCATCGACCCCGACGCGGAAAACCTCGTCGCCGTTGCAACCTTCTCCTACACGGCCCCAGGCGGCCAGCCGCAGCAGGCGCGCCGCTTCCTTCCTTCTTTCAAATTGGAGCCTGAAACAGAGGCTAAAAAGAGCTGCAACCAACCACAAGGAGCTGGCGGATCCTTCTGGGGCTTACACCGCCTCCAGATGGTGCACACTATTTTTATTGAGCATGAAATAGGAATTTTTGCAGCCAGGCGCAGCATGTGGAACCGCCTCGAGTTTGCTGTGGTGCGAGGATACAGAGGAAAAGTATGCACTATCTTGGACCAAACTCCGGATATGAAAGTCCGCGTGCTTATTTGCCACTAAACACGTCTCGCAAAGTGCTGATGCTTGAATTTGCCAGCAATAGCCACCTTGCATGCTGCCATTGCACTTTGCAGGATTGCTGCGTCCACAATGAGGGTGCAGCATGTCTACTCAGGTGTGGGGCGCTCTCAGGATATTGACTTTATATTTTGCAGACGGTGTTTGGAGAACCGAGAGCTTTCTGTGCAGGTGCCGGTGATGGTGCGCGTTGAGGTGGAGAAGTTGCAGCGGCTGCAATTTCAGGTCACCGTGGCATCCACCGACGGCAACACCACCTCTTCCCTCAAGGACATCATCTGCCAGCTGCTTGCCAAGCTATGAGTGTCAGGATGTTTGTGTGAGCCGTGTGTTGGGAACTCCTGTGATAAGAAGAATAGTGCCCGCAACGATTATGTTGCCGCTATGCATGCGTGCAGATGTTGCAATGCATCTTGTGAGCTTTAGCAGCGGTTCTCAAGCTTAGCAGCGACGCTTAAAAGAACTTGTAGGCCTGAGGGGCTTCGAGCGTGTATAACTGTGGGGTCGCGGCATTGTTACGGTGATCGTGTTACCGGGGGCCATGTGGCATTGTAAGATCGCACAGACTGTGAAGCTCGACGGTGTTCAAGCTGATTTGTCTTGATTACATTTGCTCAGCGAATGACTTGTATCGCTGCTCTCATGTGGCTTCACACCAATGTGTTCAAACTATACTTCTGTGACAAAAGCTGCCAAATCAAGTCAAGATCACTTACATTGTTGGCCAGCATCGATGCCCCGCTAGTTCAAAGACTCTGCCTTCATGTCATCGTATGATACAATCTTATTTATCAATCAACATACACGAAGATCTTAAGAGCACAAAATCGCCGTTGCAGATGCTCTCTTGGGTGACTGCCAGTGGCAAGCATGCAGATCTGGCCAGCCATCTCAATAATGTTGAAGCTGTACAATCCCCATAACATTACTGTAATCTCACTGAACATCGTTCAACTTGATCAATTGAAGCCATCATCTTCAAGCGTATCGATATCTCTGTACAGGTCATCATTCCGGATGTGTCATGTTTAGGTCCGATTCCTTTTTGAGATTGCACAGGTGCTACATCGTCAAAATGTGGCATCCACTCTCGTTGGTCATAAAAGCGTTTCACTCTTCTTCTGCAGCCAGGGCAAATTCACAGAAAAGCCTTGGTCATTCCTGCTGCGCGCACAAGCCTAAACTTCCTTCTGACTGAAAGCTTGTTATCTCACACAGTTGTCTCTAGAATTGATGTTTACAGTCCCTGTCAAGAGTCTCCGTCAAAAGAGCCCCTGTCATCACCAACAACACACGGTTTCTGGTTCTGTCCATCTCTCTCATCCGCCCGCCCTCGCCAGACACTCCAGTGGGGGTCAGGCTTCAGGATCACGGCCAGGATCGAAGGCCATCAGCTTTGAGGCCGAGGCTAGTCAGAGTCCCAGTGAGCTGGTGAGTGGGCCCTTTCCGGGTAGTTGCAAACCCCCGGAACTTGTGACCAGTCATCTCTTCGGAGACCTTTACTGGGGCATATATCTTGCCATTGTAAACAAGGAAGCTCCCCCCTATGAGTTGAGGCAACACCGTGTCAAATGCCATCATTTCCGGGCGCCGCGTTGCCAGAAAAACGCCGCCTCACTCGCACTTGATCGCGCGGTATATGTGGCGCACAAAGAGGAGCGAAGCGCGCCAGCCGATGGTGCCGAGCATGATGAAGAAGGCGAGGCAGACGCAGGCCATGTAGCCGAAGAAGAAGCTGGTCTGCATCCAGCCGCCCATGTCGCTGCGCGCCAGGTAGTAGTAGAAGCAGTAGCCGTAGATGAACAGCCCTGAACACCCACAGTAGTGCCCACTCATGCAACGTGACAGGGAGGGCTAAGTGGGGAGAAAGGGCTGCCTCGCAATCTAAAGTGCACTCGTCCCGCGTCAGATTGCAGAACACTTAGCCCTTTTAAAACGATGAGGATAAACATGTATATAAGAGAAAGAGTGGGTGCGCACCTGTGGAGCCGCCGCACATGAAGGAGCGCCACCACCAGCGGTGGTCCTCCAGGGCCAGCTGGAAGTAGGTCAGCGCCACTGTGATGAACGCAGTCACCACCAGCAGGATCAGGAACACTATGAACAGGATCGAGTAGATCGTGTACACCTGCGCGCATGCAGCCCATCGGATTACACTGTAGAAGTCATTCTAAAATCTGCACCCTCGCGGAAGCGGGAGAATTTTCGAAGCAACTTTTAGGGGTCTTCGTGTTATCAAGTATGCAAGTGCCTTGCTCCAGCGGATTGGGCTTGTCGAGAGCATTCTGAATCTGGTCTCAAAATTATCAGAGGTTTTGGAGTTTGGGAGAAAGGGTCTGGATTCATCCACCCAAAAAAATTCTTGCCAAAATAGTTATTTATTGCGGGTTTTAGAATGACTACTACAGCATGCCATGACCTCTACACGAAGCAAACTTCAGACATAAGAAGGGGTCAATTCGAGATCTCAAATGTGCTCTGCTGCTTCAAATGTTTGTGATTTGGGAAGCTTACAAAGAGTATCGTCATTGATCATAATGCACTCATGCTGGGTGCAGACTTTTGGCTGGCTGTGACCTGGTGAAGAGTTAATATTTCAAAAAATCAAAGGTTTGAAAGGCAGCAGTGTGATTCTTACCTTATGGCCCCAGACGCTGGCAAAGATGTAGTACAGCTCGATGTAGATGGCGCTGAAGGGCAGGAAACCTGCGTAGAATGAATGCACCACTCTTGAAAACGAAGTCAAGTTCTGCATAGTCTATTGTTCAGGATAATTCTGCGTTGCACTGCATGTAAATTTTTCTCACCTGCCATGACCATCTGTGGGATGGCGTTCCTGTACCATGGAAGCTCTGGGATCTCCCTTGGATATCTGCATCAGCACAATCCCCGTTCTCAGCCTTGCTTGCATGACCAAGCCTAAACCTGCTTTGCATGACCCACATCAATAAGCAATGAAATTCAAAGCCTGCTTCGATATCATACTGGAAGCATCAGGACATCACAGCCACTAAGAAGATCGAAGATGCGCACTTGTTGGTACGGCAGGGGGCCTTGAATTCTGTGCGCGTGTTCTTGCCGATGATGCCACCAAGGATGGTCAGGGGGATTGTGATCAACGCCCATATGAGGGTAATAATCACAATAGTGCCGAAAGGCAACGCCGCCGTGGACTGCACCATACCACGTTATTAGTCATTATTCAAGCCATTGCAGTCACAAGCATGGGACTCTATCAATGCTCATCCCAGAACAGGACACTGAGATTACATAGGCACATGGACACCCTGTGACAAAAGATGCAAATTCTAGCACTTCTTGCCAGCTGCGCAGCGGCACAGCTCGGGCTGGCAATTTTGGCACTGTGTGGCCGGCAGACACAACCACGAGAGACACTAATTTCTGTCATGACAATAAGCAAGTGCCATGTGCCTTCAGTACCCACAAGCTTGAAGGCTGCTGTTCCCAAGCATTAAAAAGAGAACCCACCCGGTAGACAATGGCGACAGTGTTGTTGACGCAGAACATGAGGAACAGCGGACCGCAGAAGACCACGGACGTCAGCAGGATGTTTCTGACCCAGGCGGCCCCCTCCATCTGTTTGTAGTAGCTCCCGGCTGTGTACCCGGCAATGCCGGCAGTCAGCGCGTATAGCACTATGAGCGCCGTGTACAGGCCTCCTCGGTTGTAGGGGTAGAACACCCCCACGCAAGCCAGCCCAAAGATGAAGATTGACAGCGCCACCAGCTGAACAGCAAAACAACAATTCCGGGCATAATCTCCAGCCGTCTGTTCGGGTAAGATCAGAGATCAGAATATGCTCACGCAGCTGGGAGGCAGAGGCAGCGCAACAGGTGTGCTGCATGCCATGAACTAGATAATTGATTCAGCTGCTGTGCGCAACCGCACATACTCCCAGAAATTTAATGCAGCAAGCTTGGATTACGTCATGCACGTGCCCAAGGAACAGACGCCCAAGAATGATCCAGGCGAATGACGATTGCAGTGATCACAAGACGGTTCCTGTCAAGATGCTTGGCATAAACTTGTGTGTGTGAACAGGGCAAAGAAAGGGCACCTGATAGCCGCTGCCGACTAGGGCGCAGAAGAGATTTTTGTTGGGCGGGAAGCGGAACACCTCGCTGTGAATGTTCTTCCAACCGCTCTCTTCCATGTCTTCTAGCACTGCACCCAGGACTTTCAGACTTAGTCACCAAAGTCTAGTGCTATGGCCTGCTGTGCTGCAAAGCCGGACACTAGCCACAAAAATAAGGCTGCAAGGACAGAATAGGACACTCAAAGCATGGCTAAGTTTCATGGCAGCTCGGCGATCTAATTTGCATACAGAATGCTGGCAACATGGCAATGATTGTAAATACTGGAGGCAGTGGGTGGGCATTGGACAAAGGAAAGCAAAGGCAGCTGCAGGATTCAGGCAGAGGAGAGAGGCACCTTCATCGTCGCGCGTGTACTTGATGAAGTCGTTTTTGAGCACGCGCATGAGGATGGTGGCCAGGAACCCAGTGAGCAGCACCACCGTCACGCAGCTGTTGATGATGGAGAACCAGTGAATCTGAAACACAGCCAACATCTGACCCTCAGGGAATCTAGATCATGCGTTCAACTCACACATTTTGTACAGATGCAGAGCATCTCACAAGCCCAAGGAAGCTCTCAATCTTTGTTCCTTAGGCAAAGCAAGTACAAGCAGCTTGCATGCATCTTGATCAAGCATCTCAGCTTCCTGGCAACCATGTTCTGTCAAGTCAGACACTGGATATTCCCCAAGTAGGCGCCAAGCTTGATGCCAGAGGTGAGATGTCTGAAACTGCTGGGCCAATGCAAGAATGGAATACAGGCCTCAAGGGCATCCGGCCCCTTTCTCAAGGGGAGAGGTGCCCAAAGAGCGTATTGCCTGGTGCAAGAGGTGTGATGTTTGAACATGCTGGACAATCCATGCATCTTGAACACATGGTCTGACGGCATCTTGCGTCCACTCCAAAGTAAGAGGTTGGCAAAGAACACAGCTGACCTCCAGGTGCTGAGGCAGGAAGGAGTAGCGACGGTACTTGTCCATGCGCTTCTCATAGGGGATGTCCGACTCGTGCCACTTCACGCTGTAGGTGAACTCCGCAGGCACCGCTGAGTCATCACTTACCACACCCTCAGACAGGTCCACCTGTTCACATCCGACTGCTTATAGTCCGCCTTTGTAAGTTGTCTATTTGGGTGAAAGAAGACCTGACTGCCATAAATGTCACACCCCAGATTGGATTGATATGCATCATGGTTCCCTCAGAGCAGTGACTGGCGCCCCGTAAACGGGTAAAGACTACTCGAAGCTTTGGATGAGATGGGCGATGAGCCAATGCAAGACTGATCAAGTGCATAAGCTGTTTGACATGTTTTATTTCTACACATGGATCTCAGCCCTGTGTAAAAGGGCTCACCACTTGGGCGGGGTCGGTGGACACATTGATCTCCACAATGCGCTGCCCGTTGTAGGCGATGTCAAAATGCACGTGGGTGAATAGGTAGTGCTTCAGGTGAGAGTCGCCTGGGCTGTTGCTAACCACCTCCTTCTCCAATTTCCCAATGAATCCCCAGATCGGCAGGTCATCGTAGTACATTTGGAAGTAGTAGTCCTCCCTAATTGCCTGCAGTTGCAGTGACGCAGAATCTCACACAAGCATTGTTGGTCATGGCATTGTTGGACATACAGGTTCGTCAAGGGCGGCAGAGCACAACGTGCAAGGAATATTGCCAAATGCATGCGCGCATGGATTGCAGCATCAGCATCTGCTGGGCGCATATCTGCTTTGAGTGCAGATGGGGCACAGCAGTTGCATGTCTGCTGCCCGACCATCACACATGCAAAGCATCTCTGGGCAACAATGCTGATGATGTCTGGACTAGCAAAGCGGCCTGTATGAACGCACCTTCCTGAACTGCTGCACCTCCTTCTTGTCAAAGTTCTTGGTGCACAGCACCGCATGCTCCTGCGCCCTCCTGAAGCTGAGATCGTAAGGGGTCACAATCAGCCTGTTACCATCCACCACCTGTGGCAGGCTAATGTTAATACAGTGCCTGAGACACAACATCCAATCAACAGCATACATCATGCGCATGGCACAATGGTGGCACATCTGGAGATCAGCCTTGTTCGCGCCTCTCCCAATGTCTCAAGCTTGTGTTCAAGACCATCAGGTGGTCTGCAGAAAGGCAAGTCGTAATATTGATAGGTCTCGCTGCAAGGCACCATAGTTGCATTAGACGAGCAGAAAGAGCTTGATGCAGCACGAATCTAGCATAAATTGTCATAGATTGGTTTCTCGTTTCATGCAGAGCCTGATGGGATTGCAAGTACTGCCTGGTCCTGCAAAGGATGGTGCATCACCTGGGATTACTGAAGGGGCCAACTTTATTCGCGTACAGTTTGACTCTGTCCCCCTCCATGTACGCTCGACCACATAATGCCAGTCGTATAGATGCAAAGACCAGCACAGTAAGTAATTTTGAGAAGCTTCTCATCTTGATGTGTTGGAAATGCTCAGGTAAAGTTCGCCCAGATTATCATAATGACTGCTCCTTGATCTGCTGCTTTCTTTCAAATTTTGGCAGTATGGCATCCAAAGAGCGTTGTAAGATTGGTTCCGCAATGAAGCTCGCGCCAAGAAAGTTGCCTGCATCCTCACGTGGCAAAACGTCATCAAGTGCTGAGGTGTGCGTTTCGACGAGTTGGGATGCAATTCGCCTGAGGATGACACTCTGTCACGACCTTAACTTGTTGACTTCGTGCATGACCAAGGATCAGAAGTTCAAAAGGCCCTAGAGAGTAGATCGATCTGGACACTTAAGCATGCAGGCCAGCATCGCGAGGCATTCCTTGCGGGGCTTGAGAGGGGCACAGCGGGCATTGGGGTCCTCTCTTCTCTCACAAACTCAGAATCTCTTGCATCCTGGAATTGCAGCCTCTTTTCCGCCTACTGCTGCTCTGACAGCATCCTCAAGAGCGAATTTTGCAAGCGGGTCAGGATACAGAGGTCTGGTGGACCCAAACACCCGATCCAGGGTGCCTCCAATCAACTATGGTATTCGGTAAGCAAGACAGAGGCTCCCTGGTGGATCAGTTGCTGCATTTGTATAGGGCCTGAAACGACACAATGTGGACAAGCACAGTCAAATACAGCTGTAGTAATCCCAGAACTAGCTGCCAAGCAACTGTAGCATTGCAGGATCGTGCCGCAGCAGACCGCCTTCGTCGTGGAGCGTTTTGGAAAGTACTGCAAGACATTGACTCCAGGTAAATGTCCGCACAACATACTGCAGACTGCTGCACACGAGTAGATGCCCTGTATCCTTGATATCTCCTGCTCAGTACACCATCGCTGGACAGCTACTTGCGAGAAATTCTGATGAAGCACGGAGTTTATTCACGAAGCAGCTAGCTGATGGCATGTGTGTGTCTCCTGCGCAGGAATCCACCTCCTCATCCCACTGGTGAGACATCCAAATTCACACCTGGGGCATCTGTTTAGAGAATTGAACATTTTGCACGCTTTTCCTTGGGTCTCAGGCAGGTTTACAGGGGTCATCCTTCTCGTGCAGGTGGACCAGATTGCGTATGTGCACAGCCTCAAGGAGATGGCGATTACCATCCCTAACCAGAGCGCAATCACCAAGGACAACGTCAGCCTCATGATCGATGGCGTCCTCTTTGTCAAGGTACTGCCCTCCAAAGTGACACCTGCTATGCTGTTCACTTAGCCCAAAGTCTGCTCCAGCCTCCCCTGACACCGTGACAGCACAGGCTTGGTCATTGGACGTTAGCTCCCAGGCATGCCGATTTACCAAGCAATACAGTAACAAGGTCCCAGGTCCGAGGAAGCTGCTCCATCTCAGCTGCTTCATGCGCATGCAGCCATGCTTGCCTCAAAGCGGCCGGTGCCAGCAATTGTAGGATCCCTATCCGACCACATCAAGCAGGACGGGCCTTGCTAAATGATACAGGCTGTCGGTGACTAATGCCGCTCTGCCACCTCTGCCCACAAAGGGAGCAGTGGTCCAAAAATTAGGGCAGGAAGCATGCCGCGTCCAATGTGTTGTTCTCCCAGCACGTGCATGCCTCGTGGATCATGCCAACGCATTGAACCTTGTTGGCGCAGGTAATAGACCCGGTGCGCGCGTCGTACGGGGTGGAGGACGCGTATTTTGCGGTAGTGCAACTGGCGCAGACAACCATGCGCAGCGAGCTGGGCAAGATAACGCTGGACAAGACATTCGAGGAGCGCGCCGTGCTCAACCAGAACATCGTCAGATCCATCCAGTGCGCATGCATGCACCCCCAGTTTTGAATTCCACCTAGACACAATGGAGCTAGGGAATACTGAAGAGAAAACAGGATGTGGAAGAGCGGTGGTGGAGAGTGAAAATGTTCAATTACGTTATAGACTAAGACTTTGTGATGGGGAAGTAGATGTTGCGCTCACTTGCACTTGATGGAAAAGAAATTCTGCGTCAGCTGAAATCAGAGGTCGAAGTTGTGTCTCCAGAACGTTGGCAGTCTGTACGGTTGAGGGCGAAGCTGGCATGGCTTAGATGAGCAGTCATGAGGCGTGCGCGCAGCAAAGCAGCTTGATGAGATTTGGCGTCAGTGAGCTCTTATGAATGCAGACGATGCACAGGAGTTGGAGCATGCTGGGAATTTCAAAACTCAATTGAAATATTGAAGGGGCTGTGGCTGGGGTGCAGGGAGGCGGCGACTGACTGGGGCCTTCAGTGCATGCGGTACGAGATCCGGGATATCTCGCCGCCCCCAGGGGTGAAGGCTGCCATGGAGCTGCAGGCCGAGGCAGAGCGCAGGAAGCGCGCGCAGGCAAGCACCTGCCATTCCGTCCTATGCCGTCATGACAGCCTTTCAGTGCGACCTGTGAACACTTTCAGAGGTTTATAGCTGTTGCTATCTGGTCATGCATGTGATCAGCGTTTAGTGCATGCATGCTGGTCATGGACCACTTCTGTCATTGAGTCCAGATTACATGTGCTGCATTTGGGTGAGGGTGGTCTGAGGAGCCCTGTCAATGTCAAGCTGTTTGGAGGTTTTGGGCTGGCGTATGTGTTGCATGTATGTACTGTACATCCATGAAAATTGGGTCTGCACACTTCCGTTGATGATACTCAGAGACTTTTGAGGGGCTTGAGTGTGTAATGAGGGTGTCTGCAATGAGGACCTGCAGGCACAATCTTGGGTCAATCGTGTGCATGGCAACAAGTCTCATGTCTGAGCTTGCAGTGTGGCGAGTGCAGATCTTGGAGAGCGAGGGAACCAAGCAGGCCAAGATCAACCAGGCGGAGGGAGAGAAGGAGACCATCATACTCAAGTCAGAGGCCGCGCGCACAGACGCCATCAACCGCGCCACAGGTGCGATGCCCTGCCATCGTGCTCTGGCAAAATACCTCACAGCGCAGGAAGAAACCTCCACTGTGTCCCTGGGAATGACAAATAGGCTGGGGTGCTTTGCATCGACATGACTGTCATGTGCCAAGGATGTCAGTTGAAGCCAAACAAGAACTGCACGATTGAGGATGAGCTCTCGCTGAGCTGCACTCCTCTGCAAGCAGAAGCCTCCTAAGCAACTCCCTGTGATTTCCCAAACAAAACCACCACCCTGGTCAGCAGCGCAACCATATTATCTTTCATGAATTCCATTTTTGATGATGAATTTTCGAATCTGTATATGTGCTGAGCCGCCATCCGACGCGCATAGGTGAGGCCGAGGCGATCTACCGGCGCGCGGACGCGACGGCCAAGGGCATCGCGATCGTATCGGAGGCCGTCACCGGCCCGGGCGGCTCAGAGGCAGCCGCGCTGCGTGTGGCGGAGCAGTATTTGAACGCGTTTTCGAACATCGCCAAAGAAGGCAACACCCTGCTCCTGCCGGCTGCCGCCAACGACCCGGCCGGCATGGTCGCGCAGGCCATGTCCATCTACAAGACCGTCGCCGCGCAGAACCGGTCCTTGCCGCCGGGGTGCGCGCACCGCTAATGTCGACTCTTCATTAGTCATCCGCGCTGATTTCATATTTTCATTAGTCAGTCGTGCTGATGTCATATAACATATCAACTAGCCGTGTTGATGCCGTAGTCAGATCAGTCAGCCCTGCCTATGTCGAACCTGAAATTCAACCCCTGAAGTGTGGGTAAATATGAGAGGCACTTGAGACGGCACCGGCGGCAGCTTGAAGCAGCACCACAAAACAGCAGTAGAGTTATAGGTGCATATTCTCTTGGCCGATGATACTTTTGGTGCACCGCTTTTGTGCGAGTGTTGCTTTGCATGTCTTGACTGCCCACGTCTGGCGGCATAGCTGAAACTGGCAAATGTGTCTTTGTGGCACAGGTGTTACATGGGAATTCCCACTGACGTTCTGTAGGGCCATGCGCGCATTGCCCGCAAAGCGGGTTTCACCCAAGGGTTGTAGCTTGCACAAGTGCTGGAGTTAAGAACACACTCAAGGCTTTGCATGCGTGCATGCGCAGGCCCTCGTCTGGCAGTGACAGCAGTGGGGACAGTGGGACCAAGCAGCAGCAGAGCCCGCAGCAGCCCAGCAGCACATCGCCCAGGAATGAGAGCAAGCCTGAGCCCAGCAGGAGCACACGCGCAGCAGGTGCCCCCTCCTGAAAGTCATTGACAGACTGCTCTAGGAGACCCTTTTATTAATAGCGCCCACGATTGACTGGGTCTCTCTTGGATTTGGCCAGTGCATCAAGGGGTAGGATAGATGGCAGCCCGAACAGCCTGTTTGCAGGTGCACTTTGCCTCTGGCAGAATAAGCATGTCACAATAAAGTGAGAACATGCAATAGACATTTTCGGATCTGAGATTGATGGTCGTCCCATGACTCTGATGGTTGTCTGTCCGGAGCTCTCCTGGTGATCAGTGCTCAAACTTCTGAACTGAGTGGTCCGCGCATAGGAGCTTTATTTAAGCGTTCCCAGGTCCAATCGCACCTTATCTGTGATTCTCTTGTTGTTTTGAGCTCCCCAGCCCCTCATTGTTGCAGCTCGATTGAAAATTTGGGCGGCCCATATCTCTTTGGCCCCATTTTCTCAGGGGCACGGAACGCTACCGTAAAGCACCCCTGGTGGCCAACCGAGGGATCGGGCCCCAGGTTTAAAACCAATCGGGGGCTGAGGTCAACGTCGTGCACCACAGACCCCAACAGGTTCCACGGCCCGTTGATTTGGATGGTCAGGTGTCTAGGTTGGGCGGACTAAGAATCAATTCTCTGAGCAGGATTTCATGTGTGTGGAATTCAGGTCCGTCAGTGGCGCCCCTATTTGGCGATGCAGATGCTTGGGCTCCCTTTGACACCAACTCATCCGGCTCCCCAGGCTTCAGCTTGCAGAAGCAATGATTGCAGCACCCAGCAAGTGGCCCCTACGAGCATCCTCTCATTTGCTGATGTTTGAACTGTGTGAGGCAATCTTGCCGTTCTTCTGTTGGAAAATTGATGTAAAGTCTCATGAAGCCGCGTCCTTGATTTATTGCAATAGTGACATATGAAGAAGTCAACCATGTATACTGTGCTGCTGCTGTGTAAGCTGAAGGTGCTTGTTGCAAGTTGTTCCCTTTCAGAGGATGTGGGCCAATACAGAGCTCACTGTTTTGCAAATGCAGGGGCATTTCTAAGTTTGAATTTGCATGCGCGCGCGCGTGATCTCAGGCCGCATCGTAGATAGCCAAAGGTTACACGACTTTGCATGGAGAGCCTTTTCACTAGTTGTGGAATAGCACTGGCCATAGTTGCACGACACCTGACACGCGTGTCAGGTGTCGGAGTGTCGCGAACGTTCGCAAACGGGTGTCCAAATTTTGGCCATTTCCGACACCGCTCCGACACCGGGTTACGTAAGGGTTACATTTGACCGTTTCTGACCGTTTTTGGCCGCTTGGACGCCGGGAAATGACCCAACAACACCCCAAACACATATAACATGCTTGTAAAGGTGTTTAGAGACAACTCCGATGTGTTTTGATGCGTTGTCGGGTCCGGAAACAGCTTTTTGAGGTTCCGTCAGCCTTAGTAACCTGTAGTCATCACCCGATTAAATGGTTACTAACGTCCTCAGGTCTGGACACGCGTGTCGCGGTGTCGTGGTGTCGCGAACGTTCGCAAACGCGTGTCCAAATTTTGACCAGCCGTGTCGTGCAACTATGGCACTGGCACTACCCAGTCTGACCAATTTTCTTCTGCAAGCAAATAGCCGAGCACTCTGGGAACACGGGTTAGCCCCTATGTGGCCCCAATAGCACTCTGCAGCCCTCATGAGGCCCCAACAGCCCCCTTCTGATAGCGATGCATGGGGGCTGTTGGGGGCTCAAATCCCCCAACATGCCCCCATCCCTGGGGGCTCTTGGGTCGTCTTGGGGGCTCACAGAGGCTCATCCTCGTTCCCAGAGTGGAGTGTATCTCTGATGATGGTCGTGACATCAAGCAATGGGCTAGAGTCAGCGGGACATGCCGTGCAACGAGCTCTGTGCAGCTGAACGCCATCAGAGTAAGTGTTGAGACGGATCCAGCTGGGTCCTGGCTGCAAAAACAACGCTGGGATCAGGCCAGACGATTGGAATTTGCATGGAATGTCAAAGACGCGTCCTGGCCCAGTACGCTGCAGCTGCAAGCTTGCCATTCCTGAAGTATCTCAAATTTTCAGGCATGCACAAAGGACACCCAACGGCGGCCGCGCTCTTGAATCATTTGGTAGCAGAGGCTCCTGTGTTGCGCATTCTCTCCATCAAGCACAGGATCGCACTGCCTGTGGCGCTCGGTCAACACTTCAAGCACCTCATACTTGCAAGCCATACATACTCCGCAGAGGTGCTTGCATTTATCAATCAGTTGCAGATGTTGCAGACCCTGTGGCTGGGCGCGGCTCAGCGCATGCACAGATATTAAGTGGCCGATTGCCCGGAAATTGATTTGGCAGGATTGCAGCACCTGTCACACCTCTGTGGTCAGAGGGAACTCTGCGTACCTCATATATCTCTGTCCAAGCATGAGCTGATGGTGCTCTACAATAACTTGGAAGGCTGTGACCTACTATAGGAGGTAGCAGCAATGTCTTGTCAAGAGTTGGCAGTGAGCAGGTATGATGAGTCAGCACAAAGGTGGCCTACCCCGAAGTATGACGCAATCCTTCTCTAGATCAGGGATCAGATTCTAATCAGTACATTGGATGGGGCATGGAGCTTGAAGAAAAGTGAAGTCACGCTTGTTTATTTAGCAACTTTTTAGATTTAGTGAGCATGCACCTGGCATCGCACCGTGGAGGCTTCAGATTAATACTCCATAACAACTACAAAACCCATGGTACTAGTCAAAGCAAACATCATGCCCTCCTTTAAAACGTTTCACATGTGGCTACCATGTGCTCACAGTGTGGCTCACACTCATCATGAGTGACTCATGCACCCTCTTCCTCGCGGTCTGAGCCAGATGCTGATGACGAAGAGGGGGATGGCATCATGTGGAGCGGCACAAACACGGCTGCTGTCTGCATGGGAGCCTCTCCTTCTTCCTGCTCCTCTTGTGCTTCATCACCCAGAGGATACAGCGCCCAGCCAGAGTGGTCAATCGCCACAGAGCTGACCGCACTAGAGCCCACCAGTGAAAGGCCTTTGCTGTACAGCAAACCATCCACCTGTAATCATGCAATTGGAGCAACACTCAGTATTCTCGTCAAACCATGGCAGTATTGTGAAACTTCAGAAGATTGCAGACAATGGCGAATGTTTATCGCGGACAATGCCGCCATTACTTGCTGTTTCATGGCTGCAGCATGTCCATTTGTAGACAGCTGAAAGGGACCCCACCGATACGACGCCAGAGGCATTGTGTGCCGCAGGAAGCTTCAAGACGGGGAGCGGCTGTGCAGGCAGTACACTCAAGTCTGCTTTGCTGCCGTCCCTCTCCCTGCCACTGCCCACTTCACTCCTCCCCGTTTCTGGTGCACCTTTGCTCACCCCTCTCTCACTGCCCTGCTCCCCTGCACTGCTCCCGGCCGCACTTGAACTGCTACTGCCGTCTGGGCGGCCCGGCACAGCACTCTGCGCTCCTGCCTGTGCTGCTTGGCTTGCAGGTTCTGCAGTGGGTAGCTGGCTGCCCCCGAGCGACAGCTGCTGGAGAGGAAGATTGCCAGCTGTCGCAGGGATGGCTCCACTGGACGCTGTGCTGCTCGTGCTGCAGGGCCAGCGCTTGATGGAGAGCGAGTGCTCGGAGGCCTCCTTTGGTGTAATGGCATTCACTCCCTGCACATCTGGGAGGGCATGAGTTAGCAGTGACACATTGAGCGAGGATACATGAGCGAAATTCTTGTGCTGTAGCTACCACACCCTGTGCGGACATGCCAGGCCAGGGACAAGCATCCCACCAGACTAGTAAAGTGCATGGTCGCATAAAAGCACTGCCCAAGGGTGCTGCCCCCCCTTCCAACTCAGAAGGCTGGAAAGCGTCAGGTGCCTTGTGAACAAATCACATCCGGTGAGGCAACATATTGCTGCGAGACTAGGTGCCGCGTCTTCAGATCCCTTTCGGCAAAAACATCCTGGCAAACAGGACCCTAACTATTTGGAGTGACAAACTGCTGTTGCTGCACCTGCGGCTGGTGCGGCCACCAATTGATGAGCAGCGTCGCGCGCAGGTCAGGGGCCGCGCTGCCGAGAACGCCGTGGCCGAGACCACCGTCAAATACCGCGAAAGCGCCGCGGCGCGGATATATCATGGCGCACCGCTGTGGATCATCAGGGCACGCGCGCATTTTGGCGTTGTCAAATCTCTGGTCCACCACCACTGTCGGCCCTGGTGCACAGATCCGAGTAACGGTTCAGATTGCATGCCAGGGTCAGATCAGAGAAATATAAGGTGCATGTCGGGGTTGGAGAAAATATCCAAGGGGAGTTGAGAGCACTAGAGTTGCATGTCAAGATCAGCAAGGAAGAAAAGATGTTGGAGATTACAAGCATGCTGTTGCGTGATGGTGCGACCAGATAGCAAGTAACAAGAGGCTGTGGGAATACTGGTAGGTCTAGGTGTGGGCGGGAAAGTGCAGGAAACTCCATCTGGACACAAAGGGATTATTGGTCACCTAGGCGTTTAGGGAAGGTGCTGCCAGTGAGGTACAGGATGGAGGAGAGCATCGGGTGCACCATTCGGCGGTCCTCCTTGAAGAGATGCTCGTCCTTGTCAAAGTGAAACGCTAGCCCTTTGCCTCTCTCGTACACCTGCCAGGCCACACCGTTACCATAATGGGGCACAAACTGACCATGTCGCCATCTTTGCTTAGACAGCAGCACGCTGTCAAGCAATGTAGTTGATGAATGTTGGATAGAGGCATGCCAATGTGTACAACTGCACACATATACACATACATTGGTGCGGGGCTGATATGGTTGATGATAGCGCACTTGCACCCACCACTCGGCACCAGCCCAGTCATGTGGCAGCCAATGCCGCATGACCTTCTCGTAGAGGATGCTGATAGCTGCCTCGCATGCAGTGCAAGCTTGCCCTGCCGCCTCTACATTAGCCTGGCAGTACAGAGCAGCTTTGGTGAGCACATCCTGATAGGTTATTGGCAATCTCATAGGATCTTTGATACATGTACTTCCCACTTTGGAGGTACAGACTCTTCTATTCACCCTTCTGGCACGGGCTGATCCAGATCAAGACCTCAGGATGCTGTACCTTTGGCGTCCAGAAATTGGGACAATTGGCCACAGCAGGAGCATCATTTAGGATGTCGCTCATCAATGCATTAGGAATGCAGTCTCTGTACACGCTCCCATAGGACTGCGGCCACTGTGGGGAAGGGAGCAGGCGATCTGGAGGTCTATCTGTAGTCATTTCGATACACAGACCTAAAGAAGGGAAGCTATATACCACACATGCAGCGATAAGTGGACTTCTTTGAGACTGTCCTGTGAATTTGGTTTCTGCACCATTCAGTGCACTATTTGGCTTGAACTTGCAGTCAGAAACGCCTCTGCAGAACGCTTTCTATCACATGACAACCGAAGATGCCGCGCGTTGTTGAACTTTGCGAATCTTCAGCTCCAGCAAGCCAGGTCTGCACACACGCTAGATACTCGTCCGTGTATGACACAAGGAGAACAAGCAGCCGACCAATTGCAAGCGAGGACATGTGCAGCTGTTGTGCCAGGTGGGATGTCCTGTCCTTCGATACCCCTGTTGACCGGAAGCGATAGTAGAACATTCTAGCAGGTACATTGAGGCATATGGTCTGGTATCGAGCATAACGGAAGGCAGCAAGCTTTCTTGCGTTGTCTCGCTTCCTCTCGTGGAGCCAGCAAGTCCGCAGCAACACGCACGTGCTTCCAACCCGGTAAAATTGGGTTTGAAGCTCCGTTATTTGCAGCAGAGCTTCTCTGGAACTGGTTTCTTGCACAGAAGAGTAGCAATAGCTGCAATGGTGTGTCCAGATGCCTCAGGGTGAGTTTACTGTTCCTAGACCAGTTACAACACAGGGGAAAGGGCTGTCCCACCTGTGCGACCAGTCAATCAATCACCAACGATATACACACTCCTACAAGTATATTTTGTAGCTAAGGAATGTGTGACTGCTTTTCAGACGAAACTGTATGCCTGGATTGCGAGCATTTTGTACTGAGGATTTGCTTGCTGTTCTGCAGGTGTCAGAAATGTTGATAGGGCCCACAACATCGTGTGATCGCGCGTCCTGGACATGTTACGGATTCTCAAGAAATGTAAGATCAAGGGATGCGAGCAGTACCAAGCCACTGATGTTCCGACTTGCGACCCGCGGGCTACGGAGGGCGCAGGTCAGGAGCATGTGTAACAGCATAGCAGCCCAGGCAGTGTGCGGCAAGGATCAGCACATCACCTGGCAAGAAGGAGCTGTGCGGCGAGAGGCGAAAGAGAGGGCCCTGCAGCAGCGAGGCTGCGTCATCTGGTTCACTGGTTTGAGTGGATCGGGCAAGTCGACAGTGGCGTGTACCCTGGAACATGCCCTCTTCAACCGTGGCGTTCTGACGACGCTGCTGGACGGTGACAACATCCGCCACGGCCTCAACTGCAACTTGGGCTTCTGTGAGGAGGATCGAGCAGAGAACATCAGGAGGGTGGGCGAGGTGACCAAGCTCTTCGTGGACAGCGGCCTCATAGCCCTGGCCAGCTTCATCTCCCCCTACAGTCGAGACAGGGACAACGTGCGCGCACGGCTGGGCCCCAGGGACTTCATTGAGGTGTACCTGAAGGTGCACATCCAGCCCTCTCCATTTGCGGCAAAGCAACTTCTCCAGCAGTCCTGTCCTAAATCCCCGCCCTTCTGATGTGTCTGATCCATGCCACACCGCCACAAATGAAAGCTTCTGTGTGTCTGGGCATGCGTGTATCGAATGCTTGTGCACTGTCCTGTGGGCAGTTCACTGCCAGGCTGTAGGCAGTGAGTATTCTTGCTGCAGTGCATATTCAAGGCTCGTTTACTACAAAATGTCAGGTCAATCTCACCCAGCGCCCAATGTCAGGCAAGCTTGCTGGTGCACCGGCTGCCGGGGACCGGGTATGACTATCGAGCACCGTGCCTACAGTTGTTCGGGTCTTGCTTGGATCTGGCAAGTCTATAAAGGGGCAGGAAATATGGCAGCCTCTACCTGCAGCTTCTCTGCAGACTCACCTTGCCTCTGGCAGGACACGCGTGGTATAATCAGTACCTTTATAGTGTTGATATCTATGAAATAAATACTGAATTGCTGCGCAGATTCCTCTGGAGATGTGTGAGGCGAGGGATGCAAAGGGGCTGTACAAGCTGGCGCGTGCGGGCAAGATCAAGGGTTTCACCGGCATCGACGACCCCTATGAGGCCCCTGAAAACCCGGAGATCACCCTCGAGGCCTGCAGCGCCGACGGCCGGCCGCAGTGCCCCGAGTCCATGGCGCGCACCATTCTTACCTACCTGGAGGTGCGCCAGATCCAAGTCGTGTAGCCCCACAAAGCATTGATGCATCCATCGATTTAAGAGAATGAGAATGGGCTTGCCTGCAGAAATGATCCACAGTATCTAAGCAGCGCAAGGCAAGGTCTGTGCTCTCCCAAGCAGGATCAAAGCATTGACGCATCTGTTGCAAACCGGTGCATAGCCAGCTGTGTGTGGGCAAAATGGAGGAAGGTGAAGCCGTTGTAATTGGGTGAATGCGATGACACTGGCTTGTCTTCCTGCCATTGCGGCCACCTGAAGGATCGGATTGGCCCTATTGTGCAGAGAGCACTGCGGGCAGGCTGCTCAGTTATATCTCTTGGCATTCCAGCACGCTCAAGATTTGGCCTTTAGTAATGAAGGTTACTTTGCTTCGCTTTTGAATTGCCATCTGCTCTAGTGTGTCCTGTGCTGCTGCGCAGAGCCATGGCTATTTGAGAGCGCCCATGGCGAACAATGCAGTGAGCGGCCCTGCGCGCGCGATTGCTGACTGGGCCGAGCGCAAGACGCCAGTTTTGGACTACAGCATCTAGCAGCTTCCAGTAGCTTCTGGACCACGCGTGGCTTCGTCCTGCTGTGCACTGCAGCTGCAACGATTTCAATTGTGACAATTGGCAGCTGCAGTGAGGCAGCATGGTTTTGCTGTGAGGGGTTATTTGAAAATAGGTGAGGATTTAAGCAACAGTGGCTAAGAGTGGCCTGTGATTTTCATAGCAATTATTGTGAAAGGAAAGGAGCAATATCAAGTGATGGGAATGGAGAGAGCAGCTTGGATGGGGTGGCACAGGGATGTGTACATTGATGCTGGCATGATGTTCCAGTTGCCATCTTACTGTGCAAGGTTCAAGATGCCAGCAGAACGTGTATGTTAGAGCAGCGACAGCCCTGCATTTTGCAGTGTATAGGCAGCAGAACACATTCCTGTCAATGCATGCAGTGGCTGGGTTTTGCGACATTTTGAGCCCAGAAGCGACCCGACCCCTGTTGATTTGATTAGAGACCTGCAGCACTTCAGCACTGCGCATTAAAGGGTAGTGTCAAAGAGTAAGGCAAGGAAAGGGGGTATACCAAATGCTGTTGCAGCCTGTACACATGTGGCGAGCAGGCTGGTGAAAATGTACTGTAATTTCTGCAGGCTACAAGCCAATAAGTTCTGTCTGATGGGTGCATACATTTTCTTCATGCGCACGTGGTCTTGCTGAGCCACATAGATGAGTTGTGGAAGACCTTCTACTACTCCTGATGCTTGAGATCGAACACAGCTGGTGTGAACTTGTAAGTGTCCTTGGTCCTGATTGCTGCAGCTGAAAGCTCAAGTGTTTTTAAACTTGTGGTGTCGATGGTGTCAAAGTTATCACAAAAATGCTTGGCATCAACGCCTGCACTGCAGCTGTCCCTGCTTTTGGACATGGACTCAATTATGTCTGAGCAGTGACTTCATGCTTGACCTGCTTGTCAGGTGTGCACAGCGCAGGTAAGATGCTGAGGCTTGGTAGGACACAGAGAAGTATGAAAAGTGCCACTTGACTTGTCTCTTCAATGGTTGCTTCCAAAGCTTGTGTTCCAGAGCTTAGCTAAAAGCACACTCCAGATCTAGAGTCATTGTTTCCTTGACCCACTCAACCGTGATGATCATGAATGCTGCACTTGAAAAGACATTCACTGAAGCACATATTTGAAGCAATCATGATGCACGACTTCATAGTTGCACGACACGGCTGGTCAAATTTTGGACACGCGTTTGCGAACGTTCGCGACACCGCGACACCGCGACACGCGTGTCCAGACCTGAGGACGTTAGTAACCATGCAATTGGGTGATGACTACAGGTTACTAAGGCTGACGGAACCTCAAAAAGCTGTTTCCGGACCCGACAACGCATCAAAACACATCGGAAATGTCTCTAAACACCTTTACAAGCATGTTATATGTGTTTGGGGTGTTGTTGGGTCATTTCCCGGCGTCCAAGCGGCCAAAAACGGTCAGAAACGGTCAAACGTAACCCTTACGTAACCCGGTGTCGGAGCGGTGTCGGAAATGGCCAAAATTTGGACACGCGTTTGCGAACGTTCGCGACACTCCGACACCTGACACGCGTGTCAGGTGTCGTGCAACTATGCACGACTTAACCAGCAGGTTATGTCAACATCAGCTTGAGAGGGTCAGGCTGCGCATCAGGGAACACCTGCAGATCGATGGCATTTTACTCGTTCGAGGATTGTGGCACGACCATGAAGCTGATAATTTCCTGCCTTCTCTCCTACAGATGCTCCCTAACCAAAAGCCAAGTTGGAAAAGCAAACATTTCTTTTTACGCTAGTTTGTTTGAACCGTCCATTCACAAAGCTGCAAGTTGCAGCCAGCTTGAGTCAGCGATACATGAGGTTGTAGCCAGTCGACTTCCTTCGTTCTTAACTCCTCGACAGTTGCTACGTGAACATCAAAAGCTGCCCTCCTTAGAATGCATCGAAGATTACTGGCGTTTGTAATAGTTCCCAAAATTGCTATCGTCAAGAGAAGGCTTCTGGATAATGCTCCAAGCAGCATCTTGCCTAAGCAAAGACGATGTGCCTCTTCGGGGGACTCGAGCACGGAATCGAGGCCTGATATTGATAGCAAATTCTGGGCACCAATCGACGAGGTGACATACTGCCACTGCTATCCAAGGACCCCGCTTGTTCTGCTTGGCCTTTACCTCCTATGTGCGACAGCTGTATTCACCTTTGAACTTTCAGGAGGTTCTCAAAGGAGGAGGACTCCCGCCCTGCATGGTGGCAGCGCTTTTGAGCGGAGATCTGAGAATCATAGCTTGCAAAGCCATAGACATGATGCGGGGCAAGGATTCACAGGCAAGTCACTCTTTTTGGATGTGTAGGCAAGGTCATGCATGCTCAGCCCTTGGGAATTGATGCTTGCTTGCTACACGATACACTGCATCATCTGTTTTGAACACTGTGCGGTGATTCATGTTTCCCTGCAGATCTCCAGTACAGAAATGGAGGTCCTGCAAGAACAGAAGAAGGTCCTGGAGACTCAATTGAAGATGGTGCAAACTGGTGGCATCCTTCAACGCGTCAGCATGACATGTATGCGCTCGTGTTCCCGCCTGCACATGCGCGGGATAATGGGTGCGTACATCCAGCTCAGCCTTACAAAAGATGTTCAGAACGATGCCGGGGAATGCGGCTAGGGGCAGGCCCTTCTAGAGTTGGAAGTTATGTCCGAAAATATCTTGATACACTGATCGCGACGTACGTCATGCCTACATAGTATGAATGGTGGAGAGGATGCAAGAACCGAGAAGATTGGAAAGCAGCAGCATATGTCTTGCTTGAAGTTTCTGGTCCTGAGGAACAGTAAAGCGGTAATAACAACTATCTTATCATCAGCTCCAGCAGCAGCAGTGTGCAATACGGTACGTCTTCAAGTTGACAATGGTGTGTGGCCAGTTCGGTTGGCTGAGCACAGCTCACAGCAGTGTTGCGGCTTGCAGAGCACGTTCAGGAGGCTTACAGACTCCCATATTTACCAACACAAATCAGAGAATGGAAGCAAAAGGGCAAGAGCGAGGGAGAAGTTGTGTGGGAGTATGTCCTCTTTTCAATCTATGGCCTGAGCGAATCCCTAGTCCAACATGCAAAGTGGGAGCCGGAGCGTGTTGCTGCCAGGTACATGACTTTTACAAGCCTGACCAACTGAGCTTTCGCAGAAATTGTATTGTGAACTGCGGAGTGTGGGCAAAACCTACTTGTTTCACCATATGTAATTGACATGCTGGCAGCGGCCAATGCTGTGCGCAAACTTTATGAGATTTAAATTAAGCATGGTCTGACTTGGAGCAATAGTTGGCTGTGCGCAGGTTGGACGCTATGTACTCAACGCTGTGTCATATGGACACGCCAGTTTCGGATCGATGGGATTGGGAAATAACATTGCACACTTGCCCCCTGATGCCTGACGAAGTGGATGCACTCGAGTGCATTGCAAAGACATTCAACCTCAAATACAAGAGGGTAGACCTGACGCAACAGGTATGTGGTATGCCTGATCCTCCCACGGACCTTCTTGGATCAAAGTATCCAGCCAGTTTGATGGACCTCCGTAAACAAAGCCACTTGTGGGAGATGCTGGCCAAAAGGTGTGATGTCAAATTCGAGTTTAAAGTGGTAATATGGATGCAGGCGGTTGAGGAGGCTTCAAAGCAGCAGCTGAGGCGGATGTGCAAATCACGCAAGCTGCACATCTCTGGTACCAAGAAGGATCTTGTTGCGCGCCTGATGCCCTATGCCTCAAAGACTTCCAGCTAACGGCTTTGACCTCTACGACTCTGTAAGAGCTGATGTGTTCCCTGATATGGGGTCCTCAGAGCGTCTGCACTCGGGCATTAACGCCATTAACATGAACTTAAGATCAAGGTCAAATCAGCCAAAGCAGAAGTCATTTCGTGACAGAAAACAATCTCCTCTGCTGAGGCAAGAAGCTTGCTGAACTGTAAGAGTAAGCTTAGATAAGAGTCCCGAGCTAAAACTACAGTCACACATTTTGGCAACCGCTAGATTTGCGTCAAATATCTTATAACTGTGCCAGGGTGTGCATGCAGCAATGCCTTCCACGTATTTAGTAAGAATCCATCATGCTCCAGGTCTGCAAATAAGAAAGTACCGATACATATTTGCCAATGTCAAAATTGGGGGCATGGAGCATCTCTGCACAAGCGAGCAGGCAGAGTACACCTCATCATTTTGCACTCTCTCACTTGGTGTCTACATTGACTATCGTGCATGCATTTGCATCTGCCCGTCAAAAATCAAAGCGTCTGACTACGTTTATGTGCTTGCTCGCATCCCTCAGTTTTACCACTACTCTAGCCTTTGAGGGCTGGCGCGTAGCCGGGTTGCTGGAAGTGGTGATGCCTGATCTGGTCAAAGTGGCTGCGCAAGTAAGGGGCCCATGCATCCTCGCCAGCGCGCCATGTCAGCGGGAACGTGCTGCGCTCACATGCTGGCAGGTGCCGCTCCAGCCGCTGACTCATCGCCGAACAGAAAAACAGGTTGAAGTCCAGCGCGCTCCGGTTGTAGGTGCGCCACGCCTGCGCAAATGGGGAGGTATGTTATGCAAGGCTCATGCATAAACTTCACGGCACTGATGTCTCTGGCAGAATGCACCGAAGAAGCAACTTGAGATGCCTTTGATCGTTGCTCTGCATGCTATCAAAAGGCGACTTGACCCGTGTGGTGTGAACAACTTTTGCAAGTCTCACTCCCTTGAACTGCAGGTCTGAGCAGAGTCTTGACTATCCCAGCAGGTGAGTCAGCACCTGCCAGCCAGACCACAGCTTGGATGACAGCGCGCCGTAGCCTGCCAGCCGGAGCGCCGCAGAAATGACCCAGAACTTGGCTTGAGCCGTTGCTGTGCACAATTTGAAGATGAGTGAGTCATCGGGTATGCCCACTGGCGGCCGCCGGCAGTCCATGCTCGGGTAATTCCCGAGCGTCAGCCGCACCGGCGGCGGGCTGGCCGACCAGTACCTGATCAAACACCCTTTTTCTTTGCTCATTTTCCTCAAAAACTTATCTGGACAACCAAAACACCACCCCTTCAGCCCTGCATGAAGTTCATCATGATCGTTGGCACAGTCTTTCACCTTTGAACAGATTCAGCTGGTCAGATACAATCTATCATTCACTCTCATCTAAGATCGCTGTGCAGCAAACACGAGCAGCCTGTAATTATGGCACCCACTGCAATGCTATATCTCAAGGAATTGCTGTCTTCACTGCCCAGTCCCAGTAATTAAATATAAGTTTGCCACAGACAGAAAGACAGAGAAGGGGGCCTCACCGGTAGCCCATGTTCCACCAGCCGTACAGCGTCTCAGGATTGGTGGTTGAGGAGCAGGCATGCACCACCATCGGCGCAGGCCCCTGGTTCTCTTTCTGCACAGCAGACACAGATGGACTTCAACTAAAAGTGCCCAAAGGTCTGTCCAGGTCAGTGCTGCGTCTGACAATTCTCCCTAATACCCTGTACCAGAAGAGATAAGTGTTGCAGCTATTAGCAGTTCTTACTATTTTGCGCAAACCGCCAAGTGCACGTATATTGGGGCCAGGTGCATGCAGCCGTCCTGCTCAGAGAATAATAATAATAATAAAACATTATATTATTTTTCAGCAATCTAATCTGCTGCAGAGTTGTCGTCACACCTGGGAGACAGCCGCGGCGGAGGCCAGGACGATGGATGAACAGACGTCCCCAGGGATCACGTCAAAGACCGAGGCAGCCTGCGCCAATCAAGAAGAGTTAGCCAATGTGACCGCAAGGATGTACACAATGACTAAGCTACAATGGCCCAGGATTGGTGATTCCGGCATGGTCTTGAGCATATATAGATAGCCATGCAAACTATCCGCTGCCTTCATGGGCCATGCCTATAGTCCCACCTTACCGGCACGCACTTGCACAATTGAGAGCCACCTTGCACAAGACGTCCTGATTCCAGTCATAGACAACATATTCTTTGAAGGAGGACACAGTGCAGATGCCCACCTTGTGCGATGTGAATGTAGCTATGCCCAGCGCGAATGCGAGCGCGATGGAGGTCGGCCCGGCGTTGTTGCCAAAGTAGCCGGGGTGGGGGGACCGTGCGGTGCAGCCTACGAGCGAGGGGCGCACGATGGCCACAGGGAACTCCGCCGTATGGCGCGCCGAGATCAATACCTGCACCAACGTAGACTTCAGCCACATCATTGTCATTTTCTTTTCATTTATGACTACCACACGCCTTTCCAAATCACGAGGATCAGGTGCGTCGCAGCTGCGTTCTTTGACAGCCTTTCAACCTTCTCTACTGCGGGCTTTCCTCCAGCAGCAAAGCGATAAACCAAAAGAATCCAGACACAATCATTCCAGGATTTGACAGGTCTACCTCTTGTGCCAGCACCTTCCAAGGTGTTAAACAGAAACATATCAGGCATTCTGTCATTTCATGCAGTGCAAGTTACGGGCCTTCACAGACCCTGACCCAGAAAATACAATTGCACTGAGGACAAGAAGGCAACACTGCGTGGACTGCTTATCTAAACCCCAGTAAAAGTGGGTCTGAAGAGGCACCTCAGCCATGCGCTTGGTGAAGAAGTAGGCATTCGGCATGTTGGTGGCCCTCAGACACTCTGCCACCTGAATGACGATAGCACAGTGAGCTCAATAATATGTATGCTTTGTTAATAAACTCCAAGCTCCAGACACGCTTTACTTCTAGAAGAGAGGGTGCCACATGGAGTTGGACAATGAAAATCCAACAGGAAAATAGTTTAGGATGCTGAGAGGACACCCACTGACTTATCAAATCAATCAAGCGGCTCAAGCTGAGCTGCAGGTTCGCTCTTTCTCAACCTACATGAAAGCAGACTTTGATTTTACTGGCACTCACCCGCTTCGCGGCAGCCTCGGGTGACAGCGCCATCAGCTCGGCCGCCAGCGCTTCCACATCATCCAGGGTGCCCCCCTCTGGGTCCCCCACACAACTCCAGGGGCTTGCCCCCCTCTCCTCCATCCTGAGGCTACTCTTTTCACCGCCCTCATTAGTTCTGCCCCTGTAGCTGATGCCAAGCAAATCCCGGATGCTCCAACTTGTGCCAACTCCCCACCAGCTCTGATTAAAGCCCCACCGGCTACTTCTGTTGCTGTGGCCTCCTTCACTGCTGCTCTCCGAGCCACTGCTGCTGCAGCTGCTGTCGCCGTCCATGCTGCTGCCTGCACTGCTGCCTGCAAAGCACGCAAACTTTTTTATTCTCACTACTGAACTTTTGCGTTGAGCTGAGTGCTGCACAAGTAAACAATTACACAACTCCGCCAGCGATAAACATCGCTGCATGAAAGATCCTCATATACCATTGTTGACATATCTGCAGTTAAACATGCCCTCCTGCTAACAGGCAAGATGCAATATGACACAAGCTGTTGTTGTAGGCTGCCTATATCTTGCATATGGGTGCGCCTTGCAGATTTAAGCAAGCATGCTGCAGCCCCCTGCTCTCAACCCCTGAGCTAGAACAGGGTTTTCCGAATGAAATATTCCACCTCTGGGCCGGCAGGCTGACAGGTCAAAGGGGTACAGTGTTTCTTCGACGTGGCTGCCGTGCGGCCGGTCGCAGTTGACATACGCTGTCGACAGGTGCACGAATGCACGCAGCTTCCCCGCAGCCGCCGCTAGATCCGCCACATTCCTTGTCGCCTGCACATTGTTATTTTTGTTATCACTATTATTATTACACGCATTCCCTGCCAGAGGCAAGGTGCGTCAGCAGATAGGCTGCATGTAAAGGCTGCCAATATCCTGCCCCTTTTTAAACTTGCAAGGTCCAAGCAAGACCCAATCAACCGTGGGCATGGTGCTCGGTACTTCTACCGCCCCCCACCAGCCGGGGCCCAATTTAGGTGGAATAATGACCTGCACATTGAATTTCGCACTCCACCTTTTTGGACAGTAAACTTGCCCGTGACTGCTGTTCAGCAGCGTCTGCAATGAGAAATTGGCAAGGAGCACCATAAAAGTACTGACTACTGCTCAGCATTACTGGCGCATGCCAACCGAAGAGAACGCATGTGACTTGCTGGCTGTCAAAGGCAATGCAAGAGGTGCCCAAGAGTGTATGGCAGGCAAAAATGTCCACCTGGTAGTTGTTAGCGAGCAGCGTGTGAATGTGTTCCTCGAAGCAGATGGACGCCGCGCAGTGGATCACATAATCCACCTCCCGAGCCAGCCGCCTCCTGCAAAGAAGTATCTCACTTCAGGCGAGCATTTCATACACTTACATCATCCAACTGTGTTTCTGCTGTAACGCAATCAGCAATGCATTATTCTTTCATACTGCACAGACATGCTGGCTGCATGGCTTATTGAGCAGACGATTGCACTGAGCAAATGCCATGCAACCTTTCCCTCGCACGTCAGGTTTTGCGCGCGTTCGTTCCTTCTGCGATATGTTCTTCCTGCATGGATCTGCCTATCAATGCAGCCGAATCCCATGCAAAGGGCAAGGGAAGTTTCAATGCGTTGCAGACTTCTAGCTCTCAATGCTGCCTGCTGATGTCACATAGTTGGCTGAGGTCAGCGCTCGCCTGTTTGGGCCGCTGACGCCGCAGTGCGGCAGGAGAAGGTCCCCCGGGATGACTGTCAACTTTGCAGCAGTCTCCGATGCTATGCGGCCATCTTCCTTATGCAAATGCCACATAGACCGCTCCAGCAATTTATTCAGGCGCGCCTCGGCTGTGCACCAAAATGACACTGTCACCAGTAATCCCTGTGTAGCTTCTTGTGTGTGACGCCTAAAAATTGGAAGGGTTGTGAATCAGGGAAACACAGTTTTTGGCACCAGCAAAGCTTCGAGTACGATTTAGGCATAGCAGTGCTTACTCACCAGCAACGCCTCGTTTACTTCGGATCATTACATATATTCGCTTCACGCCCGGTATTGCTCTGAGAAGCTGTTCAATCACCTGAAAGCATTCGCGCTGATGGTCAGCAGTCAGACAATCAGAAGTTGTTCATCTGATTTTATGACATATTCGCTGCTTTAGTGGACCTTGTGAGTGCACTGCACTGACTGGCAGCTGCAGGGCAGATTGCAAAAAATTTCCACCCACTGTACAACACTTAAGTATACGCTTTTTTGCTCGTTGTTAGAACAGCTTTTCTGGAGGTGATTATAATAATTTCACTGCGTTGAGGAGCGGAAGAGAAGGGGGCTCGGCATCTCACCAGGCTGCCGAGGTATCCGGTGCCACCAGTGACCAGCACTGTGGCGCCACTAAAGGCCTCCACTACAGACATTGGCTGACTGGTGCTTGCCACGGGTGAGTCTTCGGGCGAAGCCAAGCATGGAGGCAGCTGCACTTTCAATGGCTGCCCCTTCACGTGCCCAGCGCGGGCGTGCACATCCCTGGTCTGGGGATGCCTGGCCTTGCCTCTGTTTTTGAGATGCACGTCCCCGGTGCTCCGACTCGCACCTGCGATGGTATTTGATTTCATTTTACAGCACTTCTGCTGGCGCAGATATCCAATTTGCTGGAAGAAGCCATTTTATGCGTGCAACACAAGACATCGTCTGGGGTAGGTTTCATGCAAAATCTTGCACTGGATGAAAATTCGTTGACACCGATTGCTGTGACAAAGATACGGTATTGCATATCTTGTAAGGTAAGGACCCCACAATGTGCTTCAAACGTCAAACAGCTGTTATCCTGAGCACGGTACAGCAAAACAGTACGTCTGTGCTTGGCATCTGATGGTGTCGTTACGCTCACCAGCACAATCGTGGGATCTTTCCATGCAATAGGAAGATATCACGTCGTGCGCATCGCGCCTGTGCGCTCCCGTCGGAATCACAGAACAGAGTTCGTTGCCTGAGATCGCACGACCGACCTTCGCATTTCGAGCCCAGCAGCTAATGTACCTCTGTTAATATCCTATGTTTTTGCCAGTCAAAAGCTAGAAAGCCGCCCTTGCCAGCAACTTTTCGGTCGGGAAGATGCACAACACAGTCGACATTCATCGCTAGGAAAGTTCAGACTCAGGGCTGCCAGATTTGGCTGGTGCACACCTGGCAACTTCCCCCCAGCGCGAACCTTCCGGCACCTGCTTGCTTTCGAGCGTTGTGAACATTCACTGTCATTCTTATTTATATCAAGAGGAGCATCGTGGACCCCCCATCGGCCGAGACATCAGCCATGATGGTGATCGCACTTCTACATTTGTGCATCTTGCACTACCATTGTAGTTTGCGATCGCTTGATAGAGAAGTCACAAGCAGAAACAGTCTTTATTGCAGGCACCTTGTCAAGAAGAGTAAACTAAGTGTTGTGCAATTCACGAGTTATAGTTTGTCACTGCCCTTGCCCCATTGTTCATGACTGTGCAAACCGAATTTGGGAAGTTTCTTTGCATAAGAACAATTTGGCTATTTCACAGGGCTTACAACAAGTCAGGACTGAATCGAAACGCAACGTCAAGCCTATCCCAGACGGTGCAGCACCTAGCTCCCTTGCAGTCATCCCTGCAGAGTTCCAGTGCTTCTGATTTGACTCAACACTTGCAGTATATCTCAAGTAGAATACGATTGATCTTCCTCAACATTAAGTGGACTGATTGCAGATGCGGAGCTGGCATTAGTGGCATACAGTCTAGGGATTGCAGCAGGGGCGTGGGCTTGGTCAAAGTATGTCTACAGAGACCAGAAAGCGCACTCTGAATTTTGGAGCGGCGCATTTGCTGGCCTGGCAGGCGTCGGCCAGGGAGCCATCCTAAACAGAATTGCTCAGGAACTGCGGAAACAACTGGTGAGGCTTTCCCCTCAAGCAATTGCAACGTCCAAAGGGTCGTATGCATGCATGCGCATGCGTAGCTGTCGCACCACATGTTGGCTTAGGTAATAAAAGTATTATCTTCAACCTTTGTTACATCTGCAATTGGTCTACCATCAAGAGCGGCAGTTCTGTGTGCTGCAGATGACAGCGGGCATAAATATGCATGGATAGACCGCCTTGGCAGCGCTGTGTACCTAGTATAAAATACAAAAATATAAGGACGCCATGACACTGACAGGTGGTGTTGGCTTTGAGCTGCGTGTCTGGGTCCTCGGCTCTTATCAGCATGGGGCTGTACTTTATTGATTTTGTATCAATCGCCAAAAATGGAACTTATGTGGATCATCCACATGATGGTCTCCAAACGCTGCGAAAACTCCCACTACCACGCCCAAATTTGCAATCGCTTGTGCTGCTTTTGAACGAGAATTATTGAAATGGGTTTCTTTGAAGTACTGCAATGTTCTGATTTATGGGGTTTTTGGCTCTGGTGCCTATTCCTGCCAGAAGTACCAATTTTGTTTACGCCAGGACTGCAAGCGTTTTCAGAGCCAGAGGCAGTATACCGGTATTTGCCTGAGGTGACTGAGGGAGAGCTCAGTGACAGGGAAGCTGCTTACAAGCAGTTCACAGCTTCATTACGCTTTTGAACCTGCTATACAAAGAGGGTTATATGTGACACTGTATGGGAATGTTGCTCTTTCACCAGCATAGCATCAGATTCATATGTGGCTAAGCACATGTGTAGGCCCAATCCTTGAGGTGCTGCCATGGTTCCGGAGAAGTACATGTATGTGTAAGTACATTTGAAGTGAGACCTCCCCCCTAATGCTGATTCCGTAACCGAGCCTTTCACAGTGAGTTACAAACATCCTCAGTAAAATAATTTATGGCAACTACCATGCATGCCAGCATGCACAATGAGGACTCTCAAAGGTCCTAAACAAAGCGCACTCAGCAGCCAAACAACAGTTTTTAGATACCACTGCATATTACAATGTCTGCCAGTACATGAACAGTGAATCTAAGAAGCTCTTAGGCAGCCAAGCTGATGGCAAGCGATCCAATGTTGCATTGATAGTACTCAGTGAAGGAAAGACAAAGCTCACCAAGGGACATTAAGGCATTTCACAGGCGAAATGCTCACCAATTCAAAAGGAGTTCACTTCATAATTTCAAGTGTTCAAAAGTTCATCTCAAGATTCTGAACCAGCAGTTCCATTGCAGTTTGTACCTGTACATTCTGTGTCAGGCATCCGCCGTTGCATACTATTTCTGACTGCATTGCGGCGCAGTGAGGAATAATGACTTCAAAGTGTGCTCCAGCGTATCAGCTTCTGGCCAGCTTCTCAGCAAACTCCACAACTGCGGCCTTGGGCACGCCGGTCTGGATATCGTGTGAAGGAAATGCGGTTTTGAAATCGAGCCGCGCAAGTGCTCGCCAGTCCAGCGCATGCTGCGTCCAGTTATGGGAGCTGCCTGCGACGCCACAAAGACCACCTGTGAGATTGCCTTGCACCTGCCTTCCTTTGGTCTCAGGTGCAAGCATCCTCTCCATTAGAAACTTTCTCAAAACAGATCAGCTATACACCTCTGTCAAACTGGATGGGCCCCTTCACATGCAACTTGCAGAGATAGGAAGTAATCGAGAAGATTATGAGATCCAGTGTGACCTCAGGTGCAGCGGATGCAAACGAACAGCTGGGTGTCCTTGCTACAATATGCATATGCCTGCTTGGGCAGCACCGATTTTGAGAGAGAAAATGATGAGGAAGTGTGTGCAAAAGGAGACAGGGCTGTACTGAGCACCTGGAGGAGGGAATCCCAGAGCAGCAGGGACAGGTTTTCCAAAGAGGCTGATGCCGCCCAAATTGGTGATGACATCAGCGGGCAGGAGGCTGGATGACGGCCGGTGCAGGAGGGCAATCTGGCCTGGGGAATGGCCTGGCACAAGCACATACTCCAGTAGCCCTCTGGGCGGCACCCATTCTGGCGTTTTCCCCGCTGGCCCCTTTGCATCTGCCACATCCCCACTCTCGCCTGCGCCATGCGCACCAAGGCAAGGTTGATGCTTGGTATTTTGAATATACTATATGCTCAGTCAAATTCTCTCGTGGCTATACTGAAACGCGCGGGCCAAAGCAGCTGGATAGTCCGACCGTTGTGCTTCTGGGCGTGCTGTCCTTGCAGCCGATTTGCCTGGCCACATTTCAAGGGCAACAATACAAGGCAGTGCATGGACAATGCAAGGCGGTGCATGGATCACATGCAGCTCGTTTGTTAGCTGTTGACATGTGTTGATCAAGGGGGCAATGGCTGAACATGTGCTTGCCTGACAGAAAGAGCAGACGCTCCTTTGGCAGGTGCAGGTTGGTGTCAGGGAGGAGGCGGCGAAGGACGGCATATGACCAGTTGTCGGTGGGCACCTTCCAATAGCTGGCACCGCCGCCAGCATAGGGCGCCTCCAGGATGTGCATTGCCACCTGAGCCGTGGGGAAGGCTTCAAGCAGCGCTGGCAGAGTTCCCACATGGTCCTGGTGCCCATGGGTGACTGCAGCAAAAGATGTTGGAGCTTCAGACATTGTGTGGGTGCATTTGATCGGTAATAATACAATGGGGATCTCGTGACGTACGCGACTGAGCCGTTGACATGCCTGAGGATTTCCTGAACGATTTACGACACTGGATCACAGATTTCGCAGCAGACAATGGGTTTAGAAATCTAACATTAATTGAAGAGGGACTCACGAAGGATCATGCGTAATTTCCCGTGCTCGGTGGCAGCCCTAACGCTTCTTATGATGAGGTCTGTGTAGTTCGTCCCTGGGACTCCGGTATCAACCAGGATGAAGTCCTTGCCACTCTTGATCAAGAACACAGAGATGTGCACTTCCAGATACTTTTTCACTAATTCCCACGTCCTACCGAGGCGGTAAAGGTCCGGGGCAATCTCGTCAAAACTGGTGTTCTGGGTGCCCTGTGGGACATGTTTCTCATCGGCAGATTGGAGTAGTCCATACAAAAGAAATCCGAAAATTGCAATTGCCACGCTCAGGATGGTCAGGATCTTCCCGTTCATATTGTCAAGACCAAACAACGAGATCTGATGTATCCAAGAAACAGGGTTGGGCCTTCACTCACACGGCAATTGTCAATTACGGATCGCCCAGGCTTCCGACATTAATTGAGCAACACTGCTGGGCCTAGAACTGCGGCGATGTGAGGTGGACGTCCAGAGAGTCGCACGTGCAAGCACGGCACACATGTGATCTCAAGAGTTCATACCCGCTTCACGGAAGCTTCCACTTTGGACCTGGATCAGATTTGCCACAAACCATGATCAACTGATGTCCAGAAAATGCAAAAGCGATGATGGATTGGGCATAGGCAATGAGTAGCTGCAGGCCTTGTGTCTTTATCAGCTGGATGCAGCTGCGCAGACTGGGCATGCCTGGACTCTCGAGAGCTCGACCCGAGCTCTCGGAGAGCAGCTCCGCGGCTCTGCACCTGTCATCACGTGCACCTTTGCGCATGCGCATAGCAGGGTGATGCTATTGGCACAAAAAGCTCTGGCATCAAAGACCACACCCATGAATTTACACAGTCACCAGGCGTACAGGTAGCGAACAACAGATATCAACTTCACCTACTTCTTCTAGTAAGCATGTATATGCCATGGAGGCAGCTGCAGGCTGTTCCCTCCTTCTCAAGGAGACCTGTTCAGAGTGTTTGGATTCCCGTTCTGCATTCTGCTTCAGCAATGAAACTAAGGCCTATACACGAGGAAACTGACTCAGCTCCGAACCTATTGAGACAGATCTGACGAGCTACAGCAAGCCGCAAGAATGCGCAGCGGCTCAGTGGGGATGCGCAAACATACCATGGGCGCTGCAAAGTCTACAGCGGACGGTTTGGGATGACCTGCAGAAATCTCTATAGCTCCTCTGAAACAAACCTCCTTTGAGGCTGAGAAAAGCTGCAAACTGAGAGGAAACTAGTCTACAACAGGCCCGAAGGTTACCCCAAGCCATACAGATCTGTTCCTAGTGAATCCCTTTTTCTACTGGACTTCCATCTAGGATATTACTTCTGACCGCATATAAGCACCCAGAAATGGCAGCATCAGGCCGTCCTTACTTCACAAAATTTCAGGAGATCAAAGTTGCAGGGCTAGCAAGCTTCTTCGCAAACGTCACAATCGCGGCCTTGGGCACGCCAGTCCCCACATCGTGGGAGGGGTATGCCGTGGCAAAATCGAGCTCTGCAAGCGCTCGCCAGTCCGACGCCTCCTGCGTCAAGTTGTACGTGCTGCCTGCAAACCAATAGTAGCCCAGTTAGATCAGCCAGATGTTAGGCGGATGCCACGTGCAGGATCCCCGATGCCCAAAGCAACCTGGAAATCAGGGACCAAGCAGAACGTTCCCACAACAGATATGCAGAAGACCGAGGCAATTTTGATTTCCTTGTGCAGTACCAAAGGGAAAGATCCCAATGTTGTGAATGATATCAGGAACAACATTGTGATGCTGATATCATTCACAACCTGGTGCAGCAGCTACTTCAGGGGACACAGATATCTGAAGAGATGAGCCAGGTGCACCTGCAGGAGGCAGTCCGAGCTTTGGAGGGGTATGTAATCCGAAGTAGCCACCGCCACCGATATTCACGATGACATCAGCGGGCAGGAGGCTGGAGGAGGGCCGGTGCAGGAACGCCACGTGACCAGGGGAATGGCCTGGAACGTGCACATACTCCAGCAGACCCGCAGGCGGCACCCACGCTGGCGCCTGTCCCGCCGCCCCCTTTGCCTCTGACACATCTCCACGCTCGCCTGCGCCGCATGCACAAAAAATACATTTATGCATGGTTGGAATACAGTGGCTTATAGGTATCAACAATGAACATTCACAACAGCAGCGTTGTTTGTTGCTTGACCTAAATTTTCAGCAACACAAAGCATGCAAGACCCTCCTCTGCTGCTATGTTGGCATATTGAATTCGTCTTGGTCATGGCAACCACCGAGATTTTCAGGCCACATCGACTTTTTGGACCTACAAAGAAAGCTGGTGAGCTCTAGGCGCGTCCTGTCTTCTTTCAGGGCACTGAATGCACCGCGCCTTCGTCTGTGCTGCTCTGTGGTCTAATTGATATACAGGAGCAAAATAACATGGCAGAAAGACATGCCTGACAGGAACAGCAGGCGGTGCACCGGCAGATGCAGGTGGGTGTCAGGGGCAAGGCGGTGCATGATGGTGTATGCCCAGTTGTCGGCAGGCACCGCTGCATAGCTGACGCCGCCGACAGCATAGGGCGCCTCCAAGATGTGCATCGCCACCTGAGCCTGAGGGAAGGCTTCAAGCAGCGCTGGCAGGCTGCCCACATGGTCCATGTGTCCGTGGGTCACTGCAGCAGAACATGTTGCTCCGTTTACCGGACGGCGTATCATTGCATGTCATGATTGAATGGTGTTGGCCCGAATGCAGCTGCCCATTTGCGAGAAGATCTCACTGCACTGGACAACCGATGCCTGATCTGCAGTACTTAAATGAGACAATCACAGTAATAAACGATTCATCCCTACAAGTAGAAGTGATGGAATGGGAAAAACAGACACTTACGAAGAATTATACGCAAATTCCCATTCTTGGTGGCAGCCCTGACGCCTTCCACAAGCAGGTCTGTGTAGTTTGTGTTTGGGACTCCGGCGTCGACCAGAATGTAGTCTTTGCCGCTTCTTATCAGAAATACCGAGATGTGAATCTCCAAAATCTTTTGGAGCACTGTCCATGTCCTACCGAGTCGGTAAAGGTCAGGTGCAACCTCATCAAAGCCAGTATTTTGGGTGCCCTGTGGTACATAGCTCGGATCAACAGCTTGCAGTCTGGAGTACAGGGCAACCCCCAGGAGTGCAATAAGGATGCTTGCAAGTGTGAGAAGCTTCCACTGCATGTTGTGGCCCCTAGTTAAGTTCGAGCATCAAGTGATGGTAAATTCTGATGGGGGCTTGGATGGATCTCCACTTCTCAGCACCCAGTATACAGCTAGCAACAAATCCACAGGAGCAAGAATTGTGTCAGTGCCTGCGCCAAAGCTTCAGCAGCGTGGAGAAGAAGGCCCGATCGTATCACGTGCGAGCAGGTTTTTTACACGTGCCAAGCAATAACGTGATGCAGATGTTTTCTCTGGTCGTGGCAGTTTCCATCATTTTGGGCGCTCCGACACTCTTCATTGCGCCAATTTGCTGACCCAGCAGATAGAATCTTCATAAAAAGGATCTTTAAGGCCCTGAGAGGAAGACCTTGCTTGTAAATTGCGCTTAAGCTCGTTAGATATTACTTTTGCCTCGTCAACGTTTTGAGGCGGTAGAAGTCATGCAGACCGGGTCTGTCCTCACCCAAGGCGGTCCCACGCACTACCGGCAGCATCACAGCCGGCACCATAGGGCGGCCCCTGCTCAAGTTGGGCCATCTCCCTCTGGAAGGTTGCACTTCGGGAATCTCCAGCATCAGGAGAGCACCGCGACCAGCATCAGCGTGGACTTTCGTTTGACAACCGCAGAGAGGCCTGTTGCGTATCGCAATGGCCTGGAGCACGCGTACACAGCTGGAATCGGTGGGCCCCACAACAGAAGGTCAGTGAACTCAGTAATAAGCAGCTTGGCAGCGTTGCCCGCCAGCCTGCCAATGCCCACGGGAGAGGACAGCGAGCGTGTAGTTTTGAAGCCACTGCCGCGGGCCGTCGAGAATGTCGCGGACGATCCCAGCTTGCACAATCCTCTCGCGCGACAGGAACGTTTGAGCACAGGCTGGTTCGGGGTAAGCACACTCCAGTCAATTTGGCCTGGAGAAGCTTGGGCATCACAGGGTATACTGTCACATGAAGATACTGCCGCGTGGGTTGATTGCGGATGCGTGCATGTCAAAACAAGCAGAAAGTCAGCAATATTGGACAAGAAGCTGTGTCAGCATCTGCACAACTTGACCGTTCCTGTGCGCGGCAAATCCCGCTTATTTGGCCTAGCATGTCGTTCAAATGGAGCTACCTATGTGATTGTTCCTACTTGTCATTCCCTTCCTCAGTCTCTGTAGTTTTTTGGGTGATCTTTTTCTGTGTTGTTGAAGTATCGCCTGATCACTTTGTGTGTCTGAACAGGTGGTGGTTGAATTCGATGGCGTTGTTGTGGAGGACACTTCGGACCTGCACATCAAAGCTTGGCTGCAGCTAGCAGATGAGGAGGGCAAGTCGAGGCCCTTGCAGTTCGCACTGAAGCGTGCAGATGGTATGAAGAACGAGCAGGTCCGTCCTTCCTGCCAGCCCCACATGCCTCTCATCATCGTCCCTGCATTTTCAGGAGCCAGTCCGAAGGCTTCTCAGTTGGCTTCTTACAATCTTCAGCACAATGTGTGTGCGCAAGCAACCGCATCCCTCTTCAGCAACTGCAGCGCGTGCTTGCTCATACCTTGTCCTGTTGGCGCATCTTGCAGCTGTTCTACTGCATGAATTGTGCTACATGTCGCATTTGGACATGCACCACCTGTCTTGAGCTTCTGATGCTCTCGCTTGTGACATGTCCTTCCTTTCACTGCGCAGGTGGTGCAGGAGGTGTTCTGCTGGTCGCGCGCACCGATGGAGGTGCGGCGGCTGTGCGCTCGCAAGGAGGAGCTGTACGCTGCGCTGGCCGGCAACCACAAGCCGCCTGTTGTGCCCGGCGTGCCCCTCTTCCTGGAAACCCTCGTCAAGCACAATGTGAGCCTCCTCCCGTATGTGCCATGGCCTTGTATGCCAAGGCATTCTCAGTATGTATCTGACCATTTTTGAGTCTGAAGAGAGACGAGCAGCAAGGCTTGACTGCTTCTTGTGCTCACAGAGCTGCTGCTGAAAAGTTGAACAAGACGACTTGGGGACTGGTACAGCACTGTGAGGAGATTTGTGCCCGATGTCAAGATGCGATTTGAGACTCCAGTGGCAGAACTTTGTTGAAACAAAGGTGATGGAGCATTTGATGCCTACGATGGATGGTTGACAGGTGCCGGCGGGAGTGGTGTCATCGGCACCGGAGGCGCGCATGCAATCGGCGCTGGCCGCCACCGGGCTTAAACACGCGTTCCAGACCGTGGTGACAGGCGATGACGTGTACCGGGGGCGCCCGGATCCGGAGGCGTACCTCTTCGCCGCGCAGCAGCTGGGCCGCCCCACTGTTCGCTGCGTTGTGGTCGGCAATTCTAACCAGGTGCAGAAGCTAAACCAATGTCCTGCGTTCTGCTATGCCTATTGCTATTGCCAATGCCTATTTTCAATGGCAGCTTTTCTGTGAAGGACTGCTTATGTCTTTTGCTCGAGTCTGCCTCAAGTTGCCCACTTGGCGGCATGCAGCAGTCCCCAAAGGATGGTTATGATCTTGCCTTTGACAATCGTGCTCTAAAATACACGATGGCACCGCTGGGAGTAACCCAACTGATGGCTGGCATTTTGGCCTATCTGGAAGCCGGTACAATATTAATTGTCAGGTTTGCTAAAAGCACTCAATAGATGGCACCTTTTTGTGGCTGTTGAGGAGGCTGTAAACGCCTTGTCAGAGCTTGAAGGTGAACTGTGCGCGTGCTGCCTGCAGAGCGTGGAGGCGGCCCGGGAGTGCGGCATGCGCGCGGTGGTGGTGGCGGGGCGCAAGCCGCTGTACGAGCTGGGAGCAGCCGACCTGGTGGTGCGCGGGCTGGATGAGCTGTCCTTCATCAACCTGAAGCAGCTCTTCAGCGACGAGGAGAGCGTCGAGGCCCAGGTGCGCACTCATAGTGCAGCCCTCACCTCTAATCCGGCTTGCTCTGCAGGAAAGCAAGTCACTCTTTGTTTTGCAGGATGTTGACTCAATCTGAGTCTCTCGGGGTGGGTTGTCAACTTGTGTAGTCTTTCCTGAACAAGAGCTTAGGGGACGCAGACGTGAATTCCAATCTGTTGTACTTTGTAATGTCCTAGTTGTATGTCTCTTGGGCATGGATGTTGTCCTGACTAGTCTTCTCAAGAGGAAGTTGTGCTGAAAGAGAGTGTGGTGGGTTTTTCGCAGAGTGATGAGCCAGAATTGGAGCCTGAGCTGGAAGAGGAGCCGGCAATCTCACGTCCCACCATGACCATGGACTACTGGCCGCAGTGACACCGTCAAAGGTGCTGAGATGCAGAAGCTTTGCCTGGCTGAGAGGGCAGAGTGCAGCGCACAGGTCGGTCAGCCAATCTGCAATGGTTGTCATTGCTATTAGTATAGCATAGCCTTGTAAGGATATACGGAGAAGAGCAGGTCGCTGCCCTGAAGGTGTCCTGTCCAGCTGCCTGTTGCCAAGAGGCATGCGCTTGTGATTGAGTGGAAGATTTGATGCAACAGTGTTATAGTTGATCGCGGAAATGAGTGTTTGACGCAACTAGGGATTTGGTAGTGCCGGACCATTCTTACCCGTGCGCGAGGCGGGCGGTGCTCGGACGAATACAAATGATTAAAGGCTTGGGGGCTACTCTTGTACCATGATGGGGTCTGCTCAGCGCCCTTGCCACTCTGTACTAATGCCCCCTTGTAGAGTATGGAGTCCAGGTTGCAGACTTTGCTTACTTTGGCCAGGTCGGGGTTGCAGCCTCGGAAATTATCCAGCCTGCATTAGGATTTAGATAGCATTGGTGAGCACATGTGTAAAACAGAAAGCGCGAGCGCTAAGGGAGGGAATTAATAGCGCAGGTCAGGGACTTTTATATCTTTTTGTACTAAAGAGGATTTGCGAAAGACCTGAGGTTCTGGGAAGCAAATGCCTTCATTTTCAAAGCTGCCATTTTTATGTCGAGAGCGCTAGGGCCCAGGCTTTTCAGGGTGACTTTCTTGTGCCCTCATTTGCAGAATAAGTGTGCAAGTGCACAGTGTAATACAGTCACTGTATCACTCTGTCTGTGTTCAATTGCTTGTTGCCCTGTTGCATTATTTTGACAAGACCATGGCACCATTTACCCGCAATGTCTCTCTTGTAAAACACTGGCTGTGATAGTTCTAAAGCTCTCACATATGTTCCATTGATAACTCATACTTAGTAAGCGCTCATAGCTACAGTATCAAATGGCCCGCTCCATTTCGCACTGTAGAATCCGCAGACATAGTCATAGGACTGGCTGTTCCTCCCTACAAAGCAATTGCAGTTGCAAGCAACCAGAGATTCCCAATCTAGGATCATACACTGGCACTGTCTATCTCTTTTCCACGCGCATGCATGCATATGACTTCTCGACTACTCATCGAGGTTTCGTGGCTCACAGCACATTGTTCATGCCCTGCATTTCCTATAGACAGAACTCAGCATCAATCAGACCATTGTAAAGAACGGTGAGCCCGCTACTATGCACAGGGGTCCAGCATGCTTAGGTTCACAATTCTACGTATTATTACTGCAGGTAAGATGAGGAAGTTGCAGGGCTTTAAGTTGATGACACAGCATCCTGCAACTTCTTGGTGGTCGCCTCCTTCCCTCGCCACCCTGGAAGAATCTTTGTCCAGTCGTCCTGTTGCTGTATCCTGCATGCGGGAGCAAGCCCCTCTTACTTGCATGCACGGACACATGGGCGCATGATCATGTTTTGAGTCATTCGTTATGCGGCTTTGCAAGCAGACATGGTAATCCCTGACTGTGCCTTGAGACCTGTTGGCATAATTTGTCTCTGGATGATTTGATTAAGGGTGGTCAGGCACATGCACATCTCCCTCAGATCTTCTCTCAATCTACCGCATGTGACTGAGGACAATTTGCACAGCAACTCAGGGGTACATATCTCCTGAGTCCTGCATGCAGAGAGGTTGGTCGCACCAGCAGAGGAAGGTGGCGTCCAGCAGGCATGCCAGGTTGACAGCCAGCAGCTGATGTCGCACAGGCACCTTCCAGAAATTCACCGCCTGGAAGGCCGGCCAGAAAACAAGCTCCGCAGCGTACGCGCTCCAGAAGTCGTTTTTGCACTTCCTCTTCACATCCTGCATACAATGGATAAACGCACAGTGAACTCATCATTCCAAACAGTCTTTTGTGCCTGCCACACAATCTAGACTGCTGATTTCTTGCTTTGCAGCTCTCCAACACCTTTCATTCCTACAGATGTCCGTGTTCTCTTCTATACCTTGCACTCCTATTCAATTTACCCGAGTGCATGCATTCCAGGCGATGGTACTGCTGCAGCGCAGAGGCAGGCAGCACAAGCAAGTGTTGCTTTGAGGGGACCTACAATCCCCAGAATACGGAATACTTTCACAAAGAAGGGGCAAAAGGGGTGTACAGACCTCCCAAGAGCCGCCCTCAGCAAGGGTCATGTAAGCGAAGAATCCCAGCACGTGGATGGGCCCAAAAAGGCCCTCGTCCAGGACAACCTTGGTCGCGATGAATGCCGGCGAGCCGATGCGAAACCGCGCGCGCGCAAATTTGTCCAGCGCCACATACCAGCCGTGGCCCACAGGCCCTGTGCGCGTGACATCAGCAATTAGTCATCTCCTGCTGCATGGCATCATAAGCATGCCATCCGCATGGTCAATAATCTGGGAGCCGGGATGCCCAGCAAGTATCTAGAATGAGGACTGCCGGGGCTCTGCTCCTGAGCAGAGCCCCACAGATAAAAGCAGAAGTGACTTGCAGCGCGCAGAAGCTGCACTAAGCAGAGCAAGGAAGAATCCCCGTGATGTCTGGGATGTTGCATGCACAGGAAAGAACGCAGTTGCTGCAATGCAGACAGAAACATTGGACTGTCTCCTGGCATGGAGATGCAGAAAGGAACAGGAAGTATGCTCACCTATGAAGACGGCGCCATAGCCTGCCGTGACCAGCGAGCGCTTGAAGTCAATCTTCTTGCGCCCCTCTATCTTCTGGCTGAAGACGTCCCCGAGGGCCCTGCAGGTGTATTCTTGGTACTTTACCATGCCACCATGCAAATCTAATACAAAAAGTGTACTACGCGGCAGCCATGCATGGCAGTGCAAAGGTACAGATCACGAAAAGCACAGAAGTGCAGCAGTCACTATAGCATGCAGATGCGGCAAGGTGGCTGCTGTGAAATTCCGATAGGAGAGCAGAAAGCATGCAAGTAGAATGTGAGCCATGCTGGTCCTGCAGGCCCCAGGGCACTGACCAAAGGGCTCCACTTGTGATGGCCTGTGTCCTGACAGGGTGCGAGTGCAGCTGGTGCTCGTAGGCCGTCCAAACATTGCGAAGGCTGTTACCCAAGATCTTCAGGGCTCCTGACATGAAGGGAGCTGATTCTCCCTGCTGCCTTTCCTCTTCAGCAACCTACACGTTCCCAGCGAATGGCGCTGCGCCCGTGATATACAGTCGCTCGCCGAACGTTGAGGTCCTGTCAGTGGCACAGTGATGTCACTGGTCCGTGTCGAGGCTATTTATGTGATGTCTCTTAGGAAGGCACATGAAGGACCACATGATCCGTAACGACCAGGGCACTGATTGCATCTCTGCCTTAAGAACTCGACCGCAAATGTATCGATATGCAACAAGAGGATCGAAAACTAGCAGGCTACATGGAAATGGCAGCAAGGATGTGAGGATAGCACTGTGCACCCACCTTGCACAGCCGACACCTGAGCCCTAGCACCTGCAGTCGCTGCTCACCTATGAGATATTGTATTTCAGCCAAAAGATTGCAAATGAAAGAAAAAATGATGATCTTCTCACAAGAAAGTCTGAGAGGAGAGGGGAACCCTAAGTGGAAGAGGCAGCAGCTGCCTGCAGGCCCTACATGTAGCTGTACAGCGATCTAGCCGGAAGCTGGTGCACTGAGAGCAATTCCTTTCAAACTAGCTGTCTCTGCTTGCGAGTTGAGAAGGGAAGCTTGCATTTGACTTCATTTGTGACCAATCAGAATTTTCTTCTTCGCACATTACATATTTTCTGCCCTCACAAGGCGAATCAAAGCAGCGATGTCTCTGTCTTGCCCGGATACCCTGGTCAGGGAGCCTGCTCGGCTTGCTATCCCACAATTGGCAGCCTTTAAAAGTAAAACTTTGGCGAGAAGGCCAGTGAGGCAACAATGCAGGTGGGTCCTCAAGATTTTTTACTTTGATCTGCATGGGCAAGACAGCAGGCATACACATGTGTAAAGTTTGCAAAGCGTAAACTTCTTTATCGAACCTTCATTGTGTCTGAAGGCGATGCAACTTTGCTGCGAGCAAGAGCGATCGTGCAGAGCACTGCAGCTCTTTCAGTGCACCACGGAGGCCGGCAGGCAGATCACGTACTGCACTTGCCTCCACGGCATTGGACATTCTTGTGACCCAGAATGTGGCGGCCCCTCACGACTATGTGCTGGTGTGCTCTATTGCTGACATCTGCCATTAGTTACATGCAAGTGATCTGCCAGCACTGGCCGACTTTACCCCTCAGAAAGAGCTTACATCCAAGAGGAAAAGCCCTTGCATGCATCATCCTTGAGTTCAATTAATCACATGGCCTCTTGGCAGAGCCACACAGGCTTTTTTGCAACTGGGAGCAGGTCTGGTCTGTTGCACAGGGAATGCCTGACCACAACGGGGCTGGGTTATCCTACATATGTCTGGATGCCATCATGGCTGGAAAGACACAAGACACATGGCTGTGTAGGTGCACTACGAGGGCACTCTGGACGACGGCACTGTCTTTGACAGCTCCCACGAGCGCGAGCCGCTGGGCTTCATAGTGGGCAGCGGCAAAGTCATCCGCGGCTTTGATGACGCCGTCATTGGCCTGTCCAAGGGCGAGCGGCGCAAGGAACGTGTGCCACCAGAGAACGCCTATGGTGAGTCTTTTACGTTTGATTTACATTTTTCTGCCTGCGTGTCTGTGCGTCCTTGCAAATGTGTCCATTAGCTACTTACTTGGTGTCATGCTCTGGAAAAAATATCTTGCAAATCACACATCCTTATCGCGATCCTGGGTGCGAAGGCCGTTTAGCAGAGAGTCTTACAGGCACTTTGCAAGACAGAGGCAAGGATAAATCACTGCGAGTGTCTGTAAAGGAGACATCAAACTGCCCATCTGGGATAGGTCTCTGAAATTCACATGGTGGTGCAGGCGAGTGGCGTTCAGAGCTTACTACGAGCATCCCCACTTCGCAGCTGCCGGAAGGGGCCTCCTTCAAGGCGGGTGACAACGTGCGCCTGTCTAATGGGGCAAGCGCAGTGGTCAAGGAGATGACCAGCGATGCGCTCACCCTGGACTTCAACCCGCCCATGGCCGGCAAAGCCCTCACCTTTGAAGTGGAGCTGGTCAAACTCACAAAGGTGCCACAAACATGTACTTGCTTGTTCATATCTTCCTGCCCTTCAGCCGCAGTGTTGCATGTGTGTGGGAATCGGGGAACATTCAAGAAGTCCCACAGGCGCTACAATGACTCGCACGGAGAGTGGGCTTGCTTTCTGTGGGCACTGCTCCCTGATGCCTTTGGAGCTGCTATGCATATGCATGCGTGCTTGCTGGTCAGGCCGTGGCTAATTGTTGTTTGATTTGCACTGCTAGGATGATATCTGATGCTCTGGTGCTGTCATGCGCGCAGGCGTCTCATCTGCACAAGGCAACTTTTGCTGCTGGCTGCTTCTGGGGCCCGGAGCTGATGTTCCAGCGGATCCCTGGCGTGGTGGCCACAGAGGTCGGCTACTCGCAGGGCCAAACAGAGAACCCCACCTACGAGGACGTCTGCAGCGGAGACACCGGCCACACGGAAGCTGTCCAGGTGTGCGTCAGTCGTACTTGTCAGCCTCGAAGATACATTCCACGGATACTAAAGAAGATTGAACGTAAAGTGAAGAAACAAGATATATGGTACTTGGTGTTTGGAAATATTGATTATGAACTGCTGACTTCCTTGGTCTCCTTGTGAAAAGACAGGATCCCTTATGCTTACTGCCTGTGCATATCTTCAGATGCTTGTTTCTGCTGCCTAGTGACATCGTCATGTCTCAATGATGGCCCAATTTTTCAGAGTAATGGAAATTATCATGAGAGCTGCTGTTTCTTTGCACAGGTGACGTATGACTCAGGCCTGGTGTCATATGAGGACCTTCTGGAGGCATTCTGGAAGCAGATAGACCCCACACAGGTGAACGGGCAGGGGGGAGACCGGGGGACGCAGTATCGGACAGGAATTTATGCCCACAATGAGGAGCAGCTGCAGATTGCAGAGGCTTCCAAGAGCAAGATTGCAGAAGATTTAAAGGTGCGAGCTTTGATCTGCGGCGGCCGCTTTCATGCTTGCAAAGATGCAAGTCCGCCATCAAGCATGCTGGAGTCCATGCATGCCCGTTGAGCTCGCACAAGGGAAGATATTGCATGCCGCAGTGATTGATAAGCACATCATGTTTAGGATGGTGCTGTTGCAGCCCAGAAGCAGAGCTCCTTTGGTGACACTTTTTGCACAAACCAACAATGCGTAAATTTGGATCTCGGGCATGAGGGTGTCTCATCAGGAAAGGAAAATACGGGGATTGCTTGTGCAGGCAGCAATTGCAACAGAAGTAGAGGAGGTGCAGAATTACTGGGCAGCAGAAGACTATCATCAGGAGTACCTGGCCAAGGGGGGCAGGTTTGGGCGGCCTCAAGACCCCTCCAAGGGCTGCGATGACCCCATCCGCTGCTATGGCTGAGTTTTGCAGCTCTTAATCCAAGCATGTATTCTCTGTTTTTCTGCGCTATTTTCCTGGGTGTCTTGCATAGATCTTTTCCCGCTGTACAGAGACGGAATTCTTTGCAGCTTTGATGCATGTTAATAACGTTGGGTACTCTCATTGCATATAGAGAAGGGTTCCTGATTTGAGAGCTGAACGTTATCAATTGGATTTGGACTGCCAAGCTTGTAAGGCTCTTGGAGATGCATTGTAGTGGCAATGTGCGAAGCAGCTATTGGCCAAGCATGCATGCCACATGGCAAGCCATTTGATACCAGAAGATTGTTTTACATAACTTTGGACTTTGGCACAGACAAAACACATCATTTTCTGCGTTTGACTTCCAACTCAATATCGTATATAAGGTAACCCTTTTAAACGCCCTCAAGCTTGTGCCTACTATCAATATATTGCACTTCACTGCAAGTCAACCATGCTTCAGATATTCCTTCACTCACAGGACATGGGTCTATGAATCTTGACAGCGGGCGTCGTTCTGGCAGACTGTCTAGCGCAAGACTGATGTCTGAATAATTTGCAACCATTCGCTCACGAGTCAGCCTGGAAAAAGCGCTGCAAATGCTGCAGGGCAGACTTAGAGCAGCATGGTGGCTGGGTCCTCAATGTAGCCACGGAAGGCCTGCAGCCACTGAGCCCCAAGGGCGCCATCCACTACCCGGTGGTCGCAGCTCATGGTGACGCTCATTACCGCTGACTCACCAAAGCCGCCGCCCGCTTGCGCCACCACTTTGTTCTTTGTAGCTCCCACCGCCAAGATCGCGGACTGCGCACCATAGAAGAGCGCATCTTGATTGACCCCATTCAAGAGAGATTCGTACAGCCAGGCCGAAGCAGGCAGGCTTACTTCTGTGGTAATCTTGAGACTTGCACCCAGGCATGACAGAATTACACACGCCTGTAGGAAGGTTGCCCCATGCAGGGCCAGCAGGCATGCACTTAGAACACTTGCACAGCTTGTCAAGAGCGCACCCTGAAAAAACCACGCCGCACAAAAATTTCCAGCTGCTGGTCTCTTTGGCCTCTAGACTGGGGTCAGTGAGTGGGATGCAGTCTTCACATGTCACTGGACAAGTAGTTTGCGAATGTACCTGGGGAGGATTGATGATGGCGGCAAACTCGTCGATGCCGTACATACCCAGGTTACTCACTGAGAAGGTGCCACCTGTAAACTCAGCCGGCTTCAGCTTGCCCGCCTTTGCCTGTGCGCACAGAATCCACGGTTGGCTCAACCACACATGTATATCTGCGGTTGCCCAAGATATAGAAGGCAGGAAGGCTCTCACAGAAACGCTGCTGCAACGCACTAGTTTCTCATGGATCTGAAAAGCAAGTTTTGCAAATTTATATGCAGCTGCTAATATCAAAAGACACTGAGCTAGAATTGAGGCCGTCAGAGCTACATTGACCAAACGCTCAAATCTAGGGTACTTTGACCTGTCCCCCAGGTCAACCATATGACAACATCATTTCCTAGCACCGCTTCGAGAGCTAATTGTCACGCTCATGTTTTGAGAAAAGCTCACCTTGGCGGCCAGCTCCTTCACAGTGGCAGAGATCTCTGCCAGTCCGAGGATGTCTGCGTCGCGCACGACAGGCACCATGAGGCCATTAGGCGTCTGCACCGCCACGCTCACATCCACATTGTGGTACACGCGGATGAAGTCTGTGTTCCAAGAGGCGTTCACATCCGGGACCTTGCGCAGCGCCTGCAATAGCTCACAGCAAATTGTCATCGCTGCCGTGACATGCCTCATGGCAGAATAGTAACCTCTGCTACCCCACGGGTGCCCTGCGTCAGGTATGCTCTTAAGCAAGCGCGCCACTTCTTGCACAAAATTTATGCCATCTGAACAGGGGCCAGGGCCCCATGCTAGAGGAGCTTCCCAGCAGGAGAGCATCAAACTCAATGCAGGGTCTTCCCAAGATCAGGGGTAGGTGCATGGATGGAGAAAAAAGGTGCAGCACACCAGAGCGGAAGCCTTGATGATGAAATCGTTGACGGAGATTTTTCCGCCGGAGGGTGCAAGGGCTTCATTGAGCTGAGCGCGCAGTTTTATGAGGCGGTCGGCGTTGAGGTCGACGGTGAGGTAGTAGTGCGGGATGGTCGTCTTGGACTCCAGCAGCCGCTGCGCTGTGATGCGCCTGATCTGGCTGTTGGGGACATCCGTGTAGTCACCCTCGGCCTGTGCATGCATGCGATAGCGTGAGCGCAAAAGAGGCGGGCTTCCACATAGCAGCAAATGGGTAAAGCAGCATGCTCTATGTTGTACCCTATCCTGAAGACCTCGACCAGAGGATCCTGCTGACAATGTTTCATCAGTGTCTTTGATTTGGGTGAAACAGGCAAAGTAAGTACCAGCGAGAACCCTTAACGAAAGGTTGCAGCAACAAGCAGCCTCTCAATGATTGGCAATCATATTGGAGTGGGGTGCGTAAGAATGCGTGCATTGCATGATGTAGGCTAGGTCAGGGATCAGCGCGCACCTCCCCTCCGGGGGCAGGGGCGGCTGCGGCCGAGGGCTTGCCACCACCGCTGGAGATGAGCTGCTGCACATCCCTTGCCACAATGCCGCCGTTGGGGCCGCTGCCGGACGCCTGCGCAATGTCCACGCCCGCGTCGCGCGCCAGCTTGCGCGCATATGGGCTCGCCACAACCCGCCCGCCTGCCCATGCAGTCCCTCTCCCTCAGCTATGGATTATAATTTTGGGTGAAAAATGAACTGCCTATTGCGTACAGGTACATGCTGCAAATTGATCTATCAACTCTCCTTGAACGAGTGCGGACACGGAGCCAAAATTTAGGATACACTTCTTGGGGTTCAAGGCAGGGAAGTCGCAGAAATTTACAACTCTGCGGCACGAGAGAGCAGCGCGCACCAGAGGACGGCTTCGGAGTGGGTGGTGCAGCGGCCTTCTTGGGCTCTGAGGGTGCAGGTGATGGCGCAGGTGCTGCCTTCTTGGCAGGCTTCTCCTTCTTGGGCGCCTTCTTGGGCGCGCCAGCACCAGCTGCATCCTCTGCAGTGAAATCTTTGAAGGCAGCAATGGCGTCCTGTTCCAAGCATACAAGATATCAGGAAAGGGCTGGTAACCGCTAGATATATACCACAGCAACATAGTGCCTGGCATTCTACTGCCTGTCCTCATCGGAAAGGAAGATGTGTGTAAAGCACATGATCAGGTCTGTGTCATGCAGGAGCTGCTGTTCAAAAGGTTTCCTAGAGGTCATAATCTTTGTTGACACATTCAGGGCAACCCAGGTGAGTGACAGTGACGAACCTGGTCCTCCACAAAGACAGCCACTGGGGAGCCGACAGGGATGTCCTTGGCGCCATCCGGCACGAGCAGTTTTGCAATGTAGCCGTCATCCTGACTCTCCCAGTCCATCGTTGCCTGCACCATATTCCAGGAAATGTGATTCAGATTGGCTCATAGTTTGTTTGGAAAAGCAGCCTCAGGTACGCACTTGTGGCAATTAAGGGCCAAGGCCCACTCTTACATTTCTTGCTTCCTTTGGGGAAAAAGGGACACACTAGAGGCGGCGCAAGCTGCAGTGAGTGTTGTGCAGCGCACCTTGTCGGTCTCCACCTCTGCTATGCTGTCGCCAGCTGCCACCTCATCGCCCGCCTTCTTTTTCCACTCCGCGATGTTCCCTGCCAGCTCACCAAGACATCTTGTCACTATTTTCCGCTTCAACAATGTTAGTCACCTCTCAAGGCACACTGTTCTTTGCTCACCAGCCAGCAGCTGCAACCTCGATGAAGAAGGCACACCGGGTCAAAAGCAAGACCGGCATGGCAAGAAAGGTACCATCAAGAACTCCACAATCTCTAGCCTGCTGAGATAATAACACTAGGGCAGGAGTGCAACACTGCGCTTACCTTGCGACATGGTAGGGGACAGTGCCGGCAATCCCATGACAGTGTGGGGAGGGTAGTTGCCGGAGCCGCCAGATGACTCAGCAGGTGCGTCATCCTCCTCTTCCTCTTCAGGCTCCTCCTGCGCCGCCGCCGCGGGTGCTGCTAATGCACCCGAGCCTGGCGTGAAGTCCTTGAAGGCCGCCACCTGTTGTGCAGTCATCAAGACATATGATGCAAATCCTCAAGATTCAAGTACATGCTCACTCCATTGACTTGTCCAAAGGCACTGGATTGACTTGTACAAGCATGCACAGGGAAACGAAGAGCTGAGGCCACTGCGTCTCAGTGTTGTGCCCTTTGTGCTAAATCATGGCAAATTTTACGCATGTGATGACGGGGCAACATCTCAGGCATGTCAGCAAGGCAAGACCGGCTCGGAGGTTATTGTGAAGGGAGAGGCAGAGAGAACTTACATCGCCGGCATCGTCAACGATGACAGCTACAGGTGTTCCCACAGCAATGTCCTTTGTCCCGTCCGGGGCCAGAATCTTAGCCAAGACTCCCTCATCCTGCGCCTCCCAGTCCATTGTCGCCTGTGCACACACCCTTTCTTTTGTGGGAGGCCACAAGAAGAGCATATTCCCCTTGCAAGACTCACACATTGCTTGTTCCAATGCCTCAGAATCTCATTCCTTTGCAGGACTTCCACGCCACCATGGCTGTGCTGCTTCTCCCCTGTTCGTTCTATTCACAGGCTCACCTTGTCTGTCTCCACTTCGCACAGCACATCGCCAGCAGCGAACTCCTCCCCTTCCTTCTTCTTCCACTCAGCTATATTTCCCTGGCCCCAGTGCAAGATCCCTCATATAAGCTTTCCAGGCATGGCAATGTCTGCTTGATGACTAGGCAAACACTTGGTGCATTTTGCATTGTAGTGTTTTCTGGCAATGCAACGACAAGGTGATGATTGGTCACAGCCTTGGAGGGACGGGACTCTCTGCAGGTTCGTCCTGATGTCCAGAAGGAGGACCAGTGCTCACCTGTGACATGGTTGGTGACAAGGCGGGCATTTCCATCACGGTATGGGGTGGAAGTCCACCGGATGCGAAAGCCCTGTGAAACAAGAGCGATGTGCATCGCATCTGAGCGCCTGTGCTCCTGTGAAGGCTCCCAGGCAACATGCTGCCTTCCAATACGGATGCACAGCCCATGCCTGCAGTCGAATTAACCCTCAGTCAGAACAGGGAACTCTAAACAACAGTAGGAACAGCTGGTTCAGTGGTACGCTGTAAAGAAGGATGCTAGGATGAAGGGCCACCCATAGCAGGCCTGCTGCCTCACCGCTGATCCATGATGCCGTTCCACTCGTACTGTAGTTTCTCTGCAACGCTGTGCGGGCGAGGAGCACCGCACAACGCCTTGTCAGCCCCATCCTGGTTAGTGGAGACCCTTCTCACCTGCAGCATCATGAAAGCATAAATGCAAGATCCTTCAATTCTCCAGGCACCTTTGCGAAGGACATGCATCTGCAAAGATTTTGATCTTCTCCACAGCCAAGTTAAAACGGACCTCTGTCTCATGGGTGAACTACAGCATTTGCATCTAACAGAACGAGCCCACCAACCACCTACCGATAAGCTTTAGGACCGTACGCTCTCTCTTTGCAGCACATGCCTGCAAGAAGTGATTTTGGTCAATGAATCGGCAGAAAGGCTTGATCGCCCCGTGAGAAGATCCTTTATGAATTTTCTGACCCTGTAGGTCAGACGTTGAGTTACATGCGGACATGCCTAACTCCAACAGTGCGAGCCAAATGACATTTTAAGGATCCAACGAACATATAAAGAGTCTTTCACAACGGTAAATTTGTCTGTAAAGTGATTTAGGGTAGGCTGCCACAGATCATCCCAAGAGCCAGTGGCCTTGCCTGTCGTAACGTAGGCCGGAAGAGCTCTCCTGATCGCGTCTTTCACTTGTAATGTTCGGGGGAGGGCTGTCAGCAATGTGAACATTCACAAGAGAAGACCACCAACGCCTGGGCTTCCCAGAAAGGCAGGCTACAATTGACCAACTGGCCCAGGAAATTCCAAGAAATGCTTGCATGGCTGTTGAGGTAATGCCTGCAGATATAATTTGATGCCAGGGCTGGTGCAACAAGGCAACGGTCTCGATTTTGATTAGCAATATTTGGAGGCATGAGCATTCAGCAGTACAGATTCAAGGTTGCACAGACTGGTTACATCAGCACAGGCCATATTCTGCAACTTGCATTGAATGTCCATCAACATGATCTGCTTCGGTCATTTCAGTGTTCCAAAGTGTGCCAGGGAGGGCATCGGAGTATGCACCACTTGTCCTATATACGCACAGCCTTGACTGGCCTCCAATATATATTGATCAATGAATATAACATCATGGTGATCACCACAAATTTGCGTGGGAGCAGCATCTGCACAATAGTACAAAGCATTTCACAAATCACATGATGTCCTCTGGTCTGCGCAGAGGTTCCATCATATTCCACAACAGCATCTAAATCGCTGACGTAGGTGGTCTCTTCTTAGAGCACTCCATTCCATCAAATCACTTCCGTCTATTCACATCGTTTCTGCCAAGCCCTGCTCCCAATAGTGGTAGCAGCTCCTCAACCTGTCCTTAAGAACTTGGAAAACCTTTTACTGGGCACAGCCCTGATCTAGCGCACTTCTAAGGCACCAACACTGTAGAGCCCCCAATACCAGTCTACTGAGGGCAAGCGCAGTATCCATCATAATACAGGAGCAATGCTATTGAATGTACCTGTCTGCCTGTGCAGGTGAATCTGCGAGCAGGTTCCTAGAGCACCAATAATTGTGGCAAATGACTCATCTGCAGCAGAAAAGAAACTCAACGGAAACCATGCTATACGCATCTAGCATCGCCGCCACAGCAGCTGTTCTGACTAAACCATAGCTCACACGTAAATCTTCAGAGGAAGGGATCTCCAAAACAGGTGCATGCCGAGGCACATTGGAAAATCCAGAACAGGTTTACCCAGCAAAGCATCAGCTGCACCACCCTGCACATCGCTGTAATCCTACAGGTTCCACATCCAAAGCAGCACTGGAGCTCTATCATGGCATAGCAGCTGAAGTCAATCCTGGCGCCCAAAAGTTTCTGCCGGATCGGCTGCATTCAGGATCTGAATGTAGCATCTTAAGGCTACGCTTGCTTCAAGCCTGGCATGGAAACTCTCCCTTGCACAATCCGTCAAAACAACAACCAGATAAAGCAGAAGAGCAAGGCATGGGCTGCTCCAAAATACCCATTTCTTTGCAAAAAGACTCCTCAAACGCTTCTTCGGTTCCATGGTTGTTCATCTGGTTCAGGTGGTTGGCCTCTATTCAGCTCAGACATTCTAAAAGGTTGGCCGCAACAGTCCGCAGACAGCATCAGTCTGCAACTTCCAAAAGTGGGCATTGGGGACTCAGCAAGCTCTATTGAGAGCTGTATGGGCTGATGGAATCTCCCTTGGTGAGGGAAGAACTCTGCCGGGGTCAATCTGCAGATTCACACAATTGAGGGAGCAAGCAGCGACAGCCTCGGAAAGCGCTCAGAAGAGGATGTAGCTGTCGACTAACCCAGACCTGAGCAATGTGTCTGCAGAAACAAATGCCTGCGCACTCGTCCGTTCCAATGCTGGCAGTCCTGCCAAGAGTGACATAGGAAATGCATGTGCAGAATCTTATCCCAGAGGAGTTGCCAAAGGCACCCCTCATGTGGACTGGCTCTTTGTGGACATGTCGGCCCCAGTGGCAACAATGACCTTGATCTGGGTAACAATCTGGCGCCTCCACTTATTGCTCAGCAGGAACCCGCCGTGGCCCAACTGTGGGTGATACATCACCTGCAATCAACACATCAAACAGCTAAAGATCAAGCACTTGGTGAGAGGTGGATCACCGCAAATGCTTTGGGCCACATATATACATGGAGGGAAAGACGTAGGCAGCACGCTACCATGCATGAATACCGTCACAAGGGGTAAAGGAAGACATGAACCAACTGCAGGCTCTAAGAGGGGCATGTGCTACTGTCTGGGTGTAGGGAATGCTAATTTTATGGTTTCTCTCTATACGTCTTGTCTCTCAATACTCGAACATCTGTAGTACTCCTCTGCCAACACCAGGCCTGTCTGTTCCTGCTTTCAGGCTGTGATAGAGTGCCCCACCCAGAGGCAATCTGGCTTCTAGTGGCGGAAAAGAACAGGAATCATACCTCGCAGGGGTGGTTGATGGACTGCAGCAGCTGACGCAGCAGCTTGGAGGGCACCAGGTCGTCCTCTGCGGCCAGCACCAGCAGGCACGGCTCTGGCAGCTCCTCAGGCCACAGGCACTCCCGGTGCCACACAAACTTGCGGCAGAAAGACTGCACCACACCACATTGTGCGTGTCAGCACTTCTACTATTCTTGAAAAGTAAGAAGGAATCTCATGCTCATGACTCGCGGGAACCAATAAATTACCAGCAAGCACTCAGGAGATGATACGAGAAATCGTTGGCCCACCTCCGCTCTACAAAGGTCACATGTAAAGCAGTTCAGATTATATAATTTTACATCGTGCGCACTTCTACATTTTGTACACTTTGGACGGGCTAAGAGCAACAGACACAGTCAATGCTCGGCCATACCTCAGCAACCAGGAGGTCGCGCGAGAAGACAAAGCGCAGCGAGTCGACGAGGCCGAGCACGTTGGCGACCATGCGTGGCTTTTTGTACACGAAATTCTGCAGCAGCTGCGGGTAGATCGTCAGCATGCACACTGGATCCATCAGCACCTGCAACACACATGGCGTGCCATTTGAGCCAGTCCCTGGCAAGCCCCACTCGTCAATATCAGAAGGTGATTGGCAGGGGCACTTGAGGTGGGTGGCAGGCTCAGAAGCCTTGCGCTGCCTGCTCATTTCTGGGTGTTGAGGACATTCAGGTGGCAATTGAGCGCACCATGGACTGCACGGAATGCCCGTGCCGTTGAATGATGCGGCTGAGCACAAAGGTGCCGTAGCTGTGCCCAACAAACGCCGCCTGGCTGAAACCATGCCTGCATGCAAACAAACATAAGTATTAGGAGAGGACTTCAGATATCTCAAAAATGCCCATGAAACCTTCTTCACGGATTGAGAAAGGGGTCTGAAATTTTGCAGCACACAAGGACTGGATGCCCAGGTAAATGCAACATGAAGAATGAGGGCATAATCAATGCATATCTTGGATAAAAAGTACAGGGCAACATAAGCACCAGTAGCAACAGTGCCATTCTGCTCACAAGCCCGAAAAAGGCACCTCTTCAGGATGTGCATGGCCGCGTCAGCCATGACATCGGTGGAGAAGGCACGCCAGGAGAGGCAGACGCTGACGTGGCGCGCCTCCAGCAGGATGATTGGCCGGGTAGGGAACGCGCGCGTCAGCTCCGCCACAAAGTGCAGGTACGGCGTCTGCACACAGGAAGAAGAGATGAATCTGTCATACTTAGAAAATAAATGGCGGCATGCAGGTTCAGCGGCCCTAAAGCAGAAGATCGCTATACGCAGCCAAAGGGTGGTGACTACTTTTGCACATTTCTTGCTGCCACTCAGAAGGACAGCCTGCAAGGAGAAACCAAGGGTTGCACGATATAGGGTTGACTCACCAGGCCAAAGCCGACGCCGTGGATGAAGAAAATGGGTGAATTCTCGGGCGTCTCCCTGTTAAGGCGCGGGATGGGCAGCGACGAAACCGAGTCCCACACCTGCAATTAAGAACAATCCTCACACACTTGCAAGAACAGCAGGTCGACTCCCACCTGACATGTTACTTTGCTTGGCACACTCCAAATCGGCACGCCCCTTGTGCCATTAGGAAACATGGAGCTATGCAACACTCTCCTTGTCACAGCTAGAGGGAGAGAGCAGCACCTCCAGGTCAGCCTCGCGGTTGCCAATGAGCCGCCGCAGGGTCTGCGCAACTCTCGCCACAGGAGACGAGGCGGTCTGGGGGACCACCCCATCGGTGAGGGGTGCCCCGGTGCGAGGGCTGACCAACTTCTCTGGAAGTCCAGCCCCGGTGGGAAATGACAACGGCGCAGGGGAGGCGCATCGACTGGAGCCACCGCCGCTGCTGCCTGATGCGCTGCTGCGGCTGCTGCCGTTGGCGCTTCCGCTGCCACTGCCAGTGCCGGCTGCTGCTGGGGCGGCCAGGCCCTTGCGCACCACCAGCGGCTGCAGCACCCAGTAGCGCATCCCCTGCAGCACACCACACAAATCCCTGAACTTTCTCCGCCCGCTTCATCCTACAGACGCCGGAAGAGATCACCAGGAAAGCTCAATCATGTGAGTAACGATGTGTACACAATTGCAAAAACCTCAAAGAGGCTCGTGCAACTCGCCCGAAATTGTTGAAGACTCCAAATGAGGTCATCACTGTTATTTCAGTTGCGACCACACACATCCCTAAGCTCAGGTCTTATCTGCCCATATGAGAAGGGGCATTGGTGTGAATGTGCATCCAAGCGGCATGTCACCTGCTGGCGGTATGAGCGGAAGCCCTGCGCGTAGAGCAGCGCGTCGGTGGCGATAAGCATCATCTCTGCGCCCAGGAACAGCACCAGCGGCTTGTGGATCCAGCGCAGCGGCTCCCACAGGTGCGCCATGAACTCGATGCTAGTATTGCGGCCCAGCTCGAACTTGACATCGAACTTGACCTCAATGAGGTCAATGTACCGCTCAGATCGCTCCAGTTGCTGCACCAGTGTTGTATCTTGTCATGCGCCCGTACGCCAGAACATGGGCAAAGCAGAAGTTGAGCTGAGCAAGTACATGCGGTGCAAAAATAGACCTCCAGGACCCTGACATGTTGAGACAACCCTCTGTCGCTGACAGGGCGGCTTGCAGCGCCAATCAAGGTGCTCATGATGAAGCAGCAATGGCTCAACGCAATTCTGATAATCTCTGAGACTGGCCACACACCTCCGGTGTCAAGTCGGCCACGCGCTTGCAGTAGAAGCCGTAGGCAATGAAGTCGAGCACATTGCCGCGCAAGATCTCGTCAAACGGCGCCCCATGGAACCAGCCCGACAAGAAATCGTCTATGCCAAAGATGCTGCCGAGCTCCAACAGCCTCTTCTCCACCACTCCCTGGAATGCCGGATCGATGGCCGCATCCGTGATCACATTCCTGCTCGTGTGGCCATACCTGCAAGCGCCAAAAGACACGCCATCAATACAACTTGCGTACAGTGGGAAAGTGGCAGGGTGCTTTTATTGCTGCCTGTGCGGCTTCACAAAACGTCCTGAGGGAAGTTTGACAAGCAGTCCTCAGTCAGAGCAGGGGGCTCGTCAACCCAAATGGCGCCAGGACTCACAGGATGGAACCCCAATGGGCCCGCTTCCTGGTGATTGGATGATACTGATCTTGCCTGACTCTGTCAATCAGGAAAGATCCCTTCGGTATGAAGAAAAGGGGATGGATACCCAGCAGACAAAGGTGTCCTTTGGTGACTTATGCCAGAGATGATTGATATGTGACAAAGTCGTGAAACAACGTATATCCACGTGCGATCCAAGAGTGGCCTTTTAAGCCTAAAGGCTCCCCTACTATCTCCCAAAGGCCATGACGAGGCAGCTTTGTACAGATAGCATGATCCAAAACCTTTCGTGGGAGTCCCATCACCCAGTACTCACTATTTAGAAGACAGGGAACAATGGACAGAAGGTTGTATACTGAAAGGACCATTCCCCACATCCCTTCCTGACAGCGACCAATCCCCTTCTAAGAGCCGCCCACTACCTTCAAAAACATCGAAACAAGCTAGAACAATGAGAGAGCGTACCGCCAGCACTGTACTCCGTAGAATATCGCTTCAACCGCCAACCACCCTAAAAGCCCCTGCGCCCAGACACTGGAGCATCCGTAGATCGAGAGCACTCCCGCTGTCCCGGCCACGACAGCCGCGACTCCGACTTTCAGCTGAAAAGGCCGCTGCAACAGCCTGTTGACAGTTGCTGACAGCATTTGCTGCCCAGCTCCCACAGCACGGATGGCGGCAGCTTGCGTCACACCTGACCGCTTCTGTGCTAGGTCCTGTCGCGGTCTTGCTGTGCAAATTGACAACTAAGTGGTGAAAAGTACTTTTGGGGATCTGCTGTGCCTTTATTGCGCTCTCTTTGTACTGTACCCGCCTGCGTTGGAGCCAATAGTCCAATGATCCAAATCCAACGAGGTTGTTGGAAGCTATCCGATACTGGGCGCATGTGCAGCTGAAAACAGCACAGTGCCCATGATATCGTGCATGCTCACTATTACGGTAGCTTACTGGGCGATCGCGGGGCCGCAGAGTACAGCACGAACACACCCATCGTCGAGCCCGACTCGCAAGTAACGTCACCGAATCCGCCACATGGCCCCTCCAGCTCAGCCTGGCACACAAAGCACCTTCCCATGCATGCTGAAGATAGGGCCATTTATTGTTGCATTGCTGTCACATATTTTGTAGCGTGACGCGGTTGTAGTGCACCGTTTTTCCCCTCTTGGAGATCCTCTAAATATAATAATCTTTATGAGTGGCTCGAAACTTCGGGACGGATATCGACAGCGCCGATGCGGGTGTCTCAGGAGCGGTCGCATCGCCGAATGTACCCGGAGATAGCTCCGAAAAAAGTCCCAGTGTTTTTCCTGGGGATCGGACCTGGGAGAGTGGCGTAAATATCGTTTCATCTACACCCCTTGGCTGTATATATATATATATTTCTGCTGCATTGTTCAATACGTCTTTGAGTGGTCTTGACAGTGTTTCTGCTGGCAGCGCTGCGCGGCATGCATGCTAATCGGTCTGTCGGCGCCGAGCTCAGAGTTCAAACCAATAACCGCGCGGTTCTCATCCATGTGCATGTGACATATGCTCTGCACACTATTATGCATCTGCTTTGCTCTCTCCTCCTCGGAGACAGCCGGCGAGGTCACTTGTCCTATGGCTTGTATGCAAGCAGGTGCATGCATGCACAGTAGTATGCAATGAACATGATGCCGTGATTCAGCCATGGGGTCCTGTGACACTCCTGTCGGAGACACCCACATTGACAAAAAAGCCGCCTGAGAGTTTACCCAGAATTCACATGTAGTATCCATTAGGACCGAGAGTCACGCAGAAAGAGCATTCCAAACCCCCTGCCATTTTGGCGCGTACACCAGTAATCGGACAGTCTAGCTGTCAGCAACATTCAGGCAAGCCCCGTTTGAAAAAGCACACCAATCAAACACAGATGAGATTGCACCTGCGGGCCTTCAATTAGCCCCTAACATTATTTTGTCATCACACCAATCCCGTGAACAATGGCCTGACACCCGTGCACAATAAGTCCTTGCATTCAATCAAACACATACCAAAATCCAGAGACTATCCACATGCATTATATGGTGCTCCAATAGCTTTCAACAAAGGACACAAGCCACCTTTTGACAATAACCCCAATCCTGTGAGCCAATCGCTTTGAACTGCACAGCAGCAAAAGTCACTAACCCATTGAGGAAAGCACTGAGTGGGTCGCCAGAGCATCAGTCGTATGCTTCTTGCAGCAACAACCTTCACAGTCGCCAACACTGAAAGCAGCTCCCACGTGGGAGTCAACACACTGGACTGACGTTCGACATGGCCGCCATGCCTATTGAGGCTGCGAGGGAGGGGCATAGCAGGTTGTGAGAAGGGCAGGCAGGACCCATTACTTGAAATTCCCAAAATTGCACTCAGGTGCATGTGCGCCGCGGCCGGCCGGGCTTCCATGAACCAGCCAATTGGACTTGCAAGCCTCATTTGAGCAGCCCTTGTCAACGCATGCATTGGACACATACAGCAGTAGTACAAGACGTGTGGGAGGACTGACACAGCCTGACTCGACGTCATCCCTCCTGACGCGTTAAATTCTGTGGGTCATATTCTGTTGGAGGAGTCCCTGAAACGGCTGGGCTCAGGGCATGTTGCGGACGCCGAATGACAGCGCGTCCACGACCAGGTCGGCGGTGGCCTTGGAGCTCTGCCAATTCTGGCCGGTGATGAGCTGGCCGGTGCGCACCGCGTACGGGTCAAAATCGCGCAGCGCGCGCACGTAGATGCCATCCTCCTGTGCACGAGAATTAAGCAGCTTCAAGGGATTTGTACTGTCATCATCATCATCATCGTCAAACGCTTTTCCTGCCAAAAATAAGGTGCGTCTGCAGACAAGCTGCAGTAAAGGCTGCCAGATATCCAATCCTGTAATGAACTCGCCAGAACCAAGTAACATCCAATCTACAGAAATTCAGGCAATGTGCAGAGCTGAGAGGTCTTCAAAGCAGTGATGATTCTGCTCACTGTGGGCTTTCACAGGTGATCTCATGTTCACCCAGGCCATGTGCAGAGCTGGAAGAGCTGATGCAGGTCCAAGTACGGGCATTCTTGTCTAGTTCGCTGCACAAGGAGGGCAGGATTGCGCACATCGCGGATGCGGTCCTCCAGCAGGAATGGCACCAGCGCTGCGCGCCTGACAGCCTCCTCTTCTGTGTTGCTGAAGCCCGTCACCTGCACAACAGGACAAGTACTGTTCACTCACTGCCAACTGTTATTCAACTGTCATGTCCTCACCGTGCCCTTTTCCGTCCCCTTGGCTGTGAAGCCCTCTGAGCGCTCCGCTAGAAGTCACAACCCGACCGATGTGCGTAGCCTCTTGCAAGTCAGCATGTGCATCTCACTGCAGGAGGAGCAAAACGCAAGGGGCTCATACACCGTCAGAAGCTGTGGGAGCACAAATGGACCACCCCAAGCCCTGCCGCTGAGATCCGATAAACCAATGCTAGACTCAGAAGCAGCAGGGCAGCAGGTGGCGGAAGGTGCGCGCACGTCCTTGCGGAAGACGAGGGGCGTTCCCTCGCGCGGGTCCCCCAGCTTGATGTTCCTGGCGTGCACGATGGCGGCGGGGCCATGGTCTACCGCGGCGATGATCTTGCCGGTCGCGTACGCCTCCTCCACCAGCCGCCGCAGCTCCTTGTTGAAGGGGCCATCCCACGCGATGCCATGCCCGCCTGCATGACATGCATGCACGCTGAGGTCATCCATGTTTCCCGTGCAGGACCATCTTAGCAGACGTTGTGGTCCACCAGTATCACTGCCTCCTCCACACCTGTCATGAAGCGCTGGCAATATCTTTGAGAGACAATCTGCTGCCGTTATTCTTTGCATGCGCAGGTACCTCACAGCGAGAACGACTGTAATGCTGATGTAAAACACATGGTATTCTACAGCTCAAAGAAAGAAAACAAAGGAGCATGCCTGAGATGAAGATTGCGCCGTAGTCCTGGGAGTCAACCAGCGCCACCGGCAGGGAGTGATGCATCAGGCGTTGCGCCTCAGCTGCACCACACCACCATGCAGTTAGGTTGACCCCTGAACGGGAGTTCTCTGCACAATAGAATTATGCCTGCCACTGCATGACAATTTCATTGTATCATGTGGCCCAATCTCTGCATGATGGAGCGGGGCGCACGGTCAGCAAGAAAGAGCTTGACGGTGTGGGTCTTGACGTTCTGGGGGGCGACTGAGGCTGGGTCGATGGGGATGGGGCCGCCGCGGATGGAGGCCATGACCACCCTGTACCCCTTGCGCCTGAAGGTGTAGTACGGCTCTGCAATTGTCTCTGCCCTGGAACAGCACCAAAGTGTCCTTGTCAGACGAAGCTGCTTTAGGGGCCACACTGCAGCACTGGAACTGACTTGCCATGCCTATTATAGGTCCAAAGCACAGAATTCAGTCGAGAAACTCCTCAGACAGACCCTTGACTTCAGCTTCTTAGAAACCGCTATATTAGAGTGCTGCATCTCACCATGCGCCTGTTGGAATCAGCGTCTCGCCTAGTGTTGTCTCTGAGGTCGCCACTATCAAGATACTGTCGCTGCCCCCGCGGGTTGAAAAGACTGGCCGGCCCATGGCGTCTCCTGCAGCTGCCTCGCAAAGGTGCTGTCCTGCCCAACTCTCAGAAAAGAACTCGTTTATCGATCGATGGAAAGCAGCAACTTGAAAATGTGCACTTGAACAGAGATTCTCTTGATTCAAAATCCACTCATGCAGCAGTCCAGTCATTCCTTGGACGAACATAATCATCTCCGACCTCACGTCGACTGTGTCATTTGACGAATATTGCAGAAACTGTTTACTTCCTGATTGCAGAGAAGGGTGCCGAAAGTCCATTTGCAACTGGGCAGAGAGCAAGGACACAGGCGAACGATGGCGACAGCGACTTTGAGAAACCTCGACCCACCCATGCACCACGCGCCGTTCCCAGCGGGCTTTCCGCTCACGCGTGAGTCGCCCAGGATCCTTGGAGAAGGCGCACTGACCGATCGCTCGATCACCCAACAGATCCGCAAGGAGCTTGCTGAGCAGGAGCCCCGCTACGAGACTGGGGTCCCACCTTATCCTTCTGGTACGCAGTCCTTGAGACTCGACCAGAATTCTTTTCGTCGCAACAGCACCTGTGCTGCACAACAGCCATTGTGCAAGGCGTAAAGAACAGCACCAGAGCTGGCTGCTGTTGTCTGCAAGGATCCTTTCTTGGAGGGTGGAGAATTAGTCCCAGGCAACTGAAGAACCTGGTTGATATGGTGCAGGCTTTCCGCGGCAGGGCGTTGTGACTATCACACCACGCACTCCGGGCAGCAGGGGCCTGGCGCGCATAGAGAGGAAGTACCTGTATGAGAAGAACGACCCGGTGCGTGCCAGCAGTCAAGGAGGCCACAACAACATAGCTGCAAGGCCTCTTCAGCTTTGATCTTGCAACCTTATACACAGGACTGTACAAAACAAATGACCAAACATTGAGACATTCTGGAAGGCACTGTGTCTCAACAGTAGTGTCAGTGCTGACATCTGATCTTTGTGCAGGACATTGACATTGCGCCCAGTGGCTTCCCCCAGACACCCCGCCCCGTGGGTGAGAGGTGTGCCCTATCCCGCTCCTGTCATTGCTAAAGGCTTTCCTCGAGTCCAAGTTATTGCTGTGTCGCCATTAGGACGCAAAAGAAAGGCGTTCTTGGTGCTCCATGAAGGGACAGAGATGATTCGTTATATATTAAGGAGCTGAGAAGAAAGGGTGCATGCAGCTATTTGCAGGTGAGCTCGGAGCCAAGCCGCGACTACCTGACGGCGTACGCTGAGAAGGAGGTGCGCGAGCGTCTGCAGCGCGCCACGCCCCCGGCCGACCGCTACATCGTCACGGCGCCCGCTGAGCCAGCGGGGACCACCCAGGTTGTCCAGAAATGGGTGAGCGCTTGCATGCCAGTCCTGCTGCTTACTTCACCTGTCTCCCAGCTGGGAGCTTTGATGCGCAATACCATAAAGTTCTCCTTCAAATCTAGAGCAGAGAGCAGAAACGTGCTGCTGCTGGCGCAGATGAGAGATCAGCAATGTGAGGTCAGGCCATGCTTAGCACGCTATGAGAATCTGTGCATCCCTGTGGCCCAAGGCTTGCCATCCCAGGGGGCATCCCCCCTGTGATTTCAGGGTTCTGAGGCGCCATTCTTGTCCGCCTAGAACATTTTTGCCAAATTGCCGTGCCCTTTGCTGGGCAAGACATGGATTTGTGAGATTGCCCACAGACATTAAAGGGTGATATATATGCAACCCTGAATTCTGCCCTGTATAGAGGCCCTGTCCAAACGTGCTGCGCCACCTAAGGACGTGTCTCATTCTTACCTGAGTTTGTGGCTGTGCAGTGGGTCAAGACTCAGGGCGCCATCCACGAGGCGGAGGCGCTGGGCAAGATTGTGCAGGAGAGACTGGAGGAAGCCACGCACAAGGCGTCGCTCAGCAACCGGCTGAAGCGCGAGTCCGACAATGCGCGCCAACTGGAGGTCGAGGCACGCAATGAGGCCAGGTCGGCAGCGTTCCCTCCCTCTGCTACCAATCCGGCTGTTGCACCTGGAGCACTTATGGGGATGTAGAGGTATCGTTACAGTTACACGATTCACATGCCAGAGGCAAGGTTCGTCCTTTGACAGGCTGCAGGTGAAGGCTGTCACTGTAGAGTAAGATTGCACAAACATCAGGCTGTAGGATCCGGACAAGGATATTGTTATTATCATTATTATTATTACATGCCTTTCCAGTCCATGAGGATCAGATGCGTTGCAGCAGCGTTTCTATGACAGCCTTCCAACCTCTCTATCTTGGGCTTTCCTCCACCAGGTCAGAGATAAACCAAGAGAAGCCAGGTCCTGTCTGACAAAATCATTCCAGGACTTGACAGGTCTACCTTTTCTGCAATTATATTATGCAAGTATCAATTAAAGACAAGTACCTGCGGCGCACTCACAGGTCACACTTGCATGGGCTAGCACCGAGTGCTGAGCACCCCTGTCATCGCATGTCTGCATGCCATACCACAGGGGCTCTGCAGCACATGCTGACCACTCTCTGATAAGGCGCTGGCACGAGATAAATTATGCTGTGTGCAGGGACACGCCTGGCAAGGCACGGCTTGCAGTCATCCGCATCAAGGAGGAGCTGGCGGACGCCAAAGCCGATGTCATCGAGCGCACGCGCGAAGTGCAGGCACGCTTGCTCAGCCACTAATCCTTGCAAGATATCAAGTGCTCCTGAAACCCTGCTGCACATGCATCACCTTTCACTTGGAGGCAGGGTTTGACAGGGTCCAAAATCTCAGCTTGTAGGGTCAAGGGCGCTGCCTCGGTAGTAGCTCAGACTCCGGGACATTCCTGAATTTTCCAAGAGGAAGATGCACATTCTACCTTGAATCTGGCCTGGACAAGGCCCAATTCTAAAATTGTAAGGTGCCCCTTCTAAAAGCCATGTGGCTTCGTGACATTGCCCAGAAGCAAATTTCAATTCTCAGCTATTCCCAAGGCTGCCATAAAATCTTGCCCACAGGCCTGAATCATTTTGGCCAGTCCCTTGGGGTGCCCTTGGGCGCTGTCAAAACCTGCTTGGATGGAGGCAGCTGGAAAGATCATGCATGGCACTTCGGAACGGAACGGAACTGGACGTTGCAGTATCTTACACATTGGCCCCGGCTGGGCAGGGTCTGTCCAAGTGCTGAGCACCGTGCCCACAATTGTTTGGGTCTTGCTTGAATCTGGCGCGTTCATCTGGGGGTAGGGTTATGACAGCCTTTAACTGCGGCTTGTCTGCAAGACGCACCTTGCCTCATGGTAGAAAACGCGTCTAGTAATAGTAAATAACAATCCGTGTATTATATTAGGCATGGCTGCGCCGCGCAGGCGGCTGAGGACGACCTGAAGAAGGTGCAGTACGACCGCGAGAGCAAGATGCAGGAGGCCAAGGTGGTCACCAAAGCCGCGCGCATCAAACGCGCCGAACTGAATGACCTCGAGCGCCTGCTGGCACGGTGAGCACTCCCTTGTTTCAGCTCAAACTGACTGTGTCAGCGCTACTCAGGGTGCACGAGGTAGTCTGTAGTTCCCTGTGCTGTACTAGATGAAGGCTTTTTTCTGAGTGCTGCCATGAGAGCCACATACTTCTCCTATGGGAGAGCACTGCCTGTTGGCAATGTAGGCAGCGGGGTCAGGGCTTGACACCCCTGGCAGGATCGTCCTGGGAAGGGCCTGGACCGTCTGGGATCGTCCTTGATGGACCTTTGGTCATACCAGACCATTTACTTTGTTTGTGCACAGAGGTGCTAGACAGGTGGGAGTCTCTTGAGTTTTGGGCATCAGTCATGGCCCTCCTGGATGTTGTTGCCAAGCCCTCCCTTCACCTCTGAACCCTCTCTGCTTGTTGCTGACAGGATTGAGACAGTGCGCCGGGAGGCTGGCGAGGCTGAGATGCGCGCTGACCAGGTGTGCAGCTGCCCTCGAGTCTGAAACGGGTAACTGCATGTGACTCTGCATATGTCAGCTTGACGTGGTACAAATAAACACCCGAGGATTATCTGTTTCTTGTCCTTTGAAAAGAGACAGCCCATGTTTGGACACCTCGACAGCTCGCATCGCTGTGAGGGCATTATTAAGCATAGTTTCGAGCTGCATGCGTGCCTAACAGGTGAGCGTCGAGGTTCGCAACCTGGTGGAGATTCTCAACGAGAAGCAGAAGGCGCTGGAAGAGAAGCTGGACGACCTGAACAGGTACGCTTCCCCATTTCAATTGTTCCATGCCTGCAGTACTTTGCAGCCGTGTCCGTCTAGTAATACAATCTTGCTCCTGTGGGAGGGCACCCTCGTCAATGTCTGGGTTTCATGCCTGTCGCTTGCTCGGAATGCACCCTGTCATATTTAGAGCATGTGCCAACCATAGCTCCTCAGATTCAATTTTTCAGGCTCCAGAAGATTCAAAGTGTGCTGTATATAGATAGGAATGTATTGTAATCTGGCCGAGTGGGCTTCCGGCCGGACCTGAAAATTTGCTGCTGTGCACAGGATCCGCGCACAGATCAACCAGCTGGCGCAGGAGTACAGCGCCGCAGTCAGTGAGCACGAGACCGCAGACGCTGTGGTTGCGGTGAGTCATTGCTGACTAACCCTGCCCTTTTGCGTTCTTTCCTGGAAGCTTAGCAGACTGCATTATTTCTGCAAGCCAGCTGCTACGAGCTAATGTCTGATCCAAAGTGATGAATTGCGACAAGGGAAGAGCAAAATGTCTGATGCATGCTCGGTGCTGTGTACAGCGCAACATGAAGATTGCGGAGTCGCTCAAGAGGGAGGCGGAGCAGAAGCGCAACGAGTCTATCAAGCTGGCGCATGAGTGGGATGAGGCCAAGAAGGCTGCGCAGGAGGCTGCACAGGTGATTCCTGTCGTGTGTTCAGCCTCAGTGATACTCTGGATGTCACCAAAGCACTGCAGCATACTTGTCTTCCTTTGTTTTAGCACTGCTGTCAATGCCCCCCCAGATGGCAACAATTTGCTCTGGAAGACAATTGTTGCCCTGTGGCTTGCCCACACAACACCAGAGCAGACTCTGCATTTGGGTTTTGGTGCATGCTCCTGGATGATCCTGCAGTGTACCTAACTGATGAGTTTGGCCAGACAAAAGCTTGCTCCGTGAGATTTTGCTACTGCTTATACGGCATGCTTATTATGCACTGTCTGCTGTGCAGAAAGAGGTGGAGATCTGGAAGCGCACGCGTGAGGCGGGTGCGGAGGAGGAACGCCTCGTGGTGGACGTCACCGAGAAGCTGGAGGCGCCGCTGGTCTCCACTGAGCGCGAGGTGCGCGCCCCCTCCAACATTGCTACCTGTGCTAGAATCCCTCTAGTCTGCATACAGGAACTATGCGCCTCTGCGCTGTGTTCACTAGTTTCTCCCAGCGTGCATTGTTCAGCTTGCTTGACAGCATACAACGTTTGTCGGTTGCATGTGTCAGCTCGAGCCCTGTACATGGCGTGCTCAGAGTCAACCGAGCAGGCTGTGCACAGTGTTAGCGTAAATGCAGCATATGTATTGAGACCAGCTCAGTGCACATCTGCACAATTTGCATATCATCGCTGATTTAAATAACGGTCTCTGCATGCAGCGGGCGGGCGAGCAGCTGACACCACGGCCACTGCAGGACATTGAGCACGATGGGGAGGACTGAGCACAGCCCTGCAGCATCCATACCACCCTCAGCAGCAGATACCGCTCTTGCAGCCAACATCACATGCATACTCGAGCGCTCTGCAAAGAGTATCGGCTGGGAATCCTGACGAGTACATAAGGGATTCTTGAAGCGGCCACAGTGATCTGCCGGGGTTGTACAGAGTGATGATTTGTGGCAAATCTGGCAAGAGATATTGTGGCCAGAGGTGAATATTTCCTCGATATGCATTGTCTTGCTAGACGTCGTCGCCTGGCATATTGTATGGCGCCATGCAAGAATGACTAGCCACTCGCATGTTTTGAGGCGACTCATTGCAGAAGTAGTCATTCTTCTTACAGAGAGCAGTTGTAGTCATGCCTTGATACAGTACTTGCCAGCTCTTGTAAGGCATATAGCACATTGCAATGAACTTTAAGCAGTAGCAGAAGTAACACTAGCAATGCTGTTTCAAAATTTTCCCGTCATCACATCGTGTGATTCACATGGACTTGCCAAGCCAAAACTGCACACCCACCAGCACACTTTGTGCTTCTCTGCTTTTGATTGATCAGTGATGTCTGTTCCTAGAACCACATGGTGCGCCAAATAGGGACCCAGTGCAATTATCCATTGTCGCCCAGAATGTTATGTTATGTTATCTCCCAGAACAAAAATCAGGACTACTCAATAGAGTCTTTGAGCGAGAAGCAGTACCAGACCCCAACTCTTGAGATGCATCACTCCAGGCGTGACCTCGGGCAACAATTCCCCCTCTGCAGGGGGCTCGAACGCGCTTAGCAGCAGTTCCAGGCGTTCCCTCTCGTCCTCCACCGCCAGCAGCGCCTCCAGAATGCCCGACGCCGGGTCGGCCGGGCTGAGCGGCAGTGGCTCACCCTCACCTAATGCACCAGCCTCACTCTTCATCCACCCTTAGATTTTGGCAAGCGCTGCACTTGAAGCGCATGCTTTATGTGTCTACAAAAAACCCTGATTGAAATGTCATGGAATAGAATGCCCCGCTCAGAACTGCTAATTGACACATATACGAGATTGGCAAAGGTTAGTTGAAGCACACCTAGCCTCTTGCGACCAGGTGTGCCTTGGAGTCTCTCACTCCCGCCCCAAGCTGCGACACCTGATTAGGCATTCACACAAGGCTGAGACCTCTGCATGACCCGGTTTGACCAAGTGGGGTAGTTCATCACCGGCCACAGGCTGTGCATGCACCGCAATCCCATCAGCACACCATCAGAAAGTATCCAGTGAGAGATGGTAACCCCCCAAGGCCTTCCAACCAGACCAGACATCCCAGCATATGCATACTGGCAACCAGACTCTGAGATCTGAGATGGGACCAAATCGATGGAGCATGTCACGTAACAGATCAGAGCAGAAGTTGAGATAGAGCCGAGACGCCATAGCCGAAGAACAAAAGACATGTGTGGATCTGAGGTAGAGCTGAGAACCCAGAGCAAAAATTTCGGAGCTGAGATCGATCGGGATATCCCAGCAGACTTGTGGATTTGAGAAAGAGTAGAATTCAGAGCTGAGATCCTAAGAAAGTTGTGGATCTGTGAGAGATCAAAAGTCAAGAGCTGAGAATATAAGATCATGATGAGATTAGCATCAGAGTGGTGGTGTCAAACAAGATCCTAGAGCAAATTAATTAAAGGGGGAGGGATGTCACACAACATCGTCCCAGATCTCTAATATTCCAGTTCAGCGTTATCAGTTGAAGCTCAACATTCACAAAAGCATTCATCGTATGTCAGGAGACATACCAAGCTACTCCAAATGCAAATTCTTGAATTAAACCTTAACAAGACCACCACAAAACCTCAGGAGCTCTATAATCAGCATAAATCTTCTTCATATGGGTTTGAACTGGACTTGACAATCATTTTGACATGGCCCTGAACCCTAACACTGTCATTGACTATCATCCGATCATCATAAATCTTCATATGAAGGTTCTTGTTTGGCCCCGACTATCATTTTTGACTTGGCTCTAAACCCTAAAACATCACAGACTATCAACAGGCCATCAGCAATAATCATCTAAGGGTTCCCATCATCTTTGACTTGGCCCTCAACCCTAAACATCACTAACAATCATCTGACCATCATAAATCTTCATCTCGGAGTTCATGCTTAAGCCCCGACTATCGTCTTTGACTTGGCCCTCAACCCTAAACATCACTGACTATCATCTAACCATCATAAATCTTTATCGCAGGGTTCATGCTTGGCCCCGACTATCATCTTTGACTTGGCCCTCAACCCTAAACATCACTGACTATCATCATCACAAATCTTCATCTCAGGGTTCATGAGTAGCTCTCTATAAATGCATCTTTGACTTGGCCTCCTACCCTATACATCACTCACTTTCATCTGACCATCATAAATCTTCAGATCAGTGTTAATGCTTGGCCCCGACTATCATCTTTGACTTGGCCCTCAACCCTAAACATCACTGACTATCATCTGACCATCATAAATATTCATCGCAGGGTTCATGCTTGGCCCCGACTATCATCTTTGACTTGGGCCTCAACCCAGTTTTATATTTTTTTTTTTTATTTTTTTATTTTTATTTTTTTTCAGGGAGGTTGGGGTTTGCCATGTTTCAAAGGGCACCATGCCAAGGCAAACAAGGTGTGCAATGTCATGCACCCTCTAGCTAAGTTGTATGTATGCCCCTTGAGGGGATGTGAGGTGGTGGCAACAAGGGCTTGGTTCCCAATGGCTCATATCCCCATGTTTCACTTTCCCATGTTGGCAATTTTGTTGGCAACACTTGGCAACTCTTGGCAACACTCAGCCTAGGCATGCTGCAGCAAGTCGCTCTCATGACAAAGGCTCAAGGGACCCACAGGAGGGCATTCTGGAGCTTCCATGGCCTTGACACACCCTGTGCACAACTTGCTCCCTCCTACCAATTGTTCCCACTGCACATGGCACACCATGGGTCAGCACAAGGCCCATGCTAGACATTGCAATTTGCTGCAAGCCACTGCAACCCTTATTTAAATTCACACCCATCTCCAAAAATTCTGGGACACCCATGGCAACCCATAACATGGCCTTCTGCATGGGACTATGAAATGTGTCTCCCCACATCTCCCGCAATCTCGTGCAAGAATATTATTGCACCCGGGGGCGACGCCGCACTCACCTCCACCTCCGCCGCTTCCGTGACAGCCGCGCGACCTCCGTGTTGGCCCCTTGGGAGTCCCAAGTCAAGCACTCTAGCCTCACACAATATGGCTTGCCTACACATGCATGGCAGACCACTTCTTGTTGCCGCCGCGTGCCGCCCCTAGGATTCCCATTCCTCAACCAACATTTAGGGTTTAGGGTTTTAGGGTTTAGCGTTTAGCGTTTACACCTAGTGTTTTGGGTTTGGGGTGTCCAAAAATGGACCCCGGTTTTAAGGGTGATCTTGGGCAATTTTGATGTGCTGATCACGCCTATGAAGTCCTAACTTGAAAATTCGACCTCCTTGGCTCTCTATAAGGCCTCAAACATGGTTTCAAGCTAGGGTTTGCATAGGGTTGGCTCTAGCTTCTTGGGATGGGGCCTATGGTATGGTGGAGAGGCATGCAATGGGGCCCACACTGTCACTGTCTAGGTCTTTGGGTGTGAACTTATTACATTAATAGTCGCCCTCACAATTGGTCCGCTCGGGCTTCATTCGAGCGGACACATGGTCACAACCTATATAGGCTGCACTGTGCATATCATAAACACACAAGGTAGTAGCTCAGTGATCTGTGACATCCCTCCCCCTCAGAAGGAAGGATGGTAACACCCTGAAGACCTAGTACTGAACTCTGTCAATCCTATGCATGCATATTCCTGAGAGATATACTGATGCAAAGCAATCAATACACCTATGACCTAGATCCTGTAATGTTTCTGCTGCAATGCACTCAGAAACTTGCACTACTCCAGAACAACTGGGGTGCTGTCCGCAATGGACGTCCTGAAACCGGTAGCCTGTACCTGAGGCCTGTGTACCTGTACCGTCAGTCAGTCTGTGCTACAACAGGGCGTCCCCTGGAAGCTACTGACCTCCAGTATTCCTCTATTGCATCTCCACAATCGTGAAGATGAGATTCAGGCTCCCAAGTGTCTTCACTGGGCGGGTAGCCTTCCCATCGTATGAGAAAGAATCTCTTGGTCCTGTTTTTTGCTTTGCCTGGCACCTTTTTATCCTGATGGTCAAGGATTTTCTCTACCTTGAAGACATCATCATTATCAAGATCAAAGGGGTCAGGTTCTTGTTGCCCTCTGCTAGGGTCACTGTGCTAGGGCTTCAACAAAGCAACATGAAATGTTGGAAAGATCTTTGAAGAGGCTGGCAACTTTAGTGTATAAGCTACCTTTCCAACCCTCTTAATAATTTCATAGGGCCCCATATATTTGGGCATCAGCTTGGAGACACTCTTACCTCTGAATTTAATATTTTTAGTGCTCAGAAGTACCTTGTCTCCAATTTCAAATTCTACTTCTCGCCTGCGTTTATCTGCATAAGCCTTGTACCTGTCCTGAGCCTGCCTGAGACAGTCTCTGGCATTATTTAATGCCTGCTGCATGTCCTTATTCATCCTTTCTGCAGTTGGATTTCCTGCAATATCAAGTCCTCGAGAATGGCTTACTAAAGCCACTTTAGGGTGAAACCCACAATTCAACATGAATGGGGTAGTCTTCATGCCTTCATGGCACGAGTTATTTACAGCAAACTCGCACTGACTTAGGAATATGTCCCAGTCATCCTGATCTGGTCCTACAAAATGCCTTAACATGTCCTCCAGTACCTTATTCATCCTCTCAGTCTGACCATCAGTCTGAGGGTGAAAGGCTGTAGACATTCTCTGTTTAATTCCTAATATTTCACAAAGGGTCCTCATGAACTTTCCTGTGAACCGGGGGTCCCTATCAGAAACAATACTGTCAGGCATACCATGCAACCTGAAAATATTATCAACAAATAGCCTGGCAGTGCCTTCAGCATCAATTGTAGTTTTGGTAGGAATGAAGTGACACATTTTAGTGCACCTGTCTACTACCACCAAAATGGCATCAAATCCATTTCTAGTCCTGGGCAACTGGACTATGAAGTCCATGCTAATGTCAGTCCACTTCTGGGCTGGTATCTCTAGAGGCTGCAGGAGACCTGCAGCTCTTTGTGGAACTGTTTTATTTCTTTGACATTTTTCACATGCCTGCACATATTCCTTAACTTCCTTGCGGATGCGGGGCCACCAAAAATGTCTGCTTACAGCATGGTGTGTTTTTTCTGCACCAACATGGCCAGCAGAAGGAATATCATGAAACTCATACAAGATAGAGTTTTTAAGGTCCTTGTTATTAGGGATGACTAAGGCTTCATTACGGAACCAGAAGTCACCCTGCTGTACTAGCTCACTTATATTCTTAGTGTCCTCAAACCATGGGTCTGCCTTATAGCCATCTATAATCTGCTGTTCCAACTCTGGAGAAATCTGTGGAGGTGGAGGCAATTTAGGCTCAGCAAAATTTGTCAGTGTTCCCTCCCCCTCAGAAGTAGCAGGTGGGCCTATTGGCAGAGGTGCCGGTGAAGCGGGCTGTGACAAGCGATTAGCCCGACGTGTCAACAGTGCAGACAAAAAAGATGGGTTGCGACTCAAGGGATCGGCAACATTTGTCCTGCCTGGTTGATAGACATACTGCATGTTGTCCTCATAGTCTTTTAAATGTGTAGACCATTTGATCTGCATGCGAGTCATAGTCCTAAAGGTTCCTGTATTGGGTTTGTGATCTGTAATTAATTTGAAGGGTCTGCCTTCTACATATGGCCTGAAATGGACGAGTGCCATATAAGCAGCCAGAAGTTCCTTATCACTGGTGCCGTAGCGCGTCTCGGACTCAGATAATTT